TCTTAATCTCTCATCCTTCAAGAAGTCCGTCCAGACTGTTGTTGATACCTCGTGGCTGCTACAACCGGCTGCACAATCTTCTCCGGATCCTCGCCATCATCATTCTCATCATTTAGGTACTCGTACTTCATGATAATGTTGCGGATCCGTTCCCGTTCCTTTTCCCGGTCCTCGCGTTCTTTGGCTAGCGATGTCACAAACTTGGATGTCGACGGCAAATCCATCGTCTTAATTGTCGACCCACTGTATACCATGCTCTTAACTCCAGGCCCTCCTCCTCCTCCACCACCAGATCCTGTTGACCCGTTCGACTTGAGCAGTAAAGCATACTTGACATGCCCTTGTTTCGGCGCTTCATACGTAGTCCCAGGCTTCCCAGGCTTCCCAGGCTCAAGCAAACCTGAAGTCTTGGGCACAGGTGCATCAAAGGGCTTCTTCACCCCTCCAGCCCGTACTCCACTCGCCGTAACGTCTGTTCGGTCCATCATTAGTTGCTGTAGTTCTGCCTCCAAATCATCCTCTGCTTGCAAGTTCTCCCGCTCAGCCTGTCGCCGCTTCTTTTCCACATATTGCCGTTGTCGTTCACGTTCCTCCTCCTCTGACTTTTCCCATTTGGGCATCGTAAACTCTTCGTTCCGCCCAATATCCTCTTCATATCCTCTTCTCGTCTTATTCGTCGTCCCATTCTTGCCTCCGCTCTGCACAACTTGCATCCCGCGCACTTCTTCTGGCGGCGGCGGTTGCCCAGACATGACCGCCTCGAGCCCTCGGGTTGCACCCTCTATAGTCTCGTACAGCGGGGTTTCCGGCCGGATCCGCTTAAATGTATCCCTCAACTGGAATTCAATGTCCATGGATACGTTCCGCTTGAGCCGCACGTAGTACTGCAAAAACGCAAGGTACAAGTCAATTTCCCTCGCAATCCCGCGCTCAGGTAAATGCTGGTCTACAAAATTAAGGTACCCACCACACGAGTCCAACAAAGTGCACGCCAACCGTACTCGAAACAGTTCCAATGGTGAATCTAGAGCACATCCCTCGGGCAGTGGCATGTTCCCAGGGTACCCCAGCGTCAACATCAGATACAGAGTGTTCATAATCACGTGGTGATCCACAATCCGTCGCTTGCAAAGCTCACCAAGGAAAATCGCCTGCGACAAGCGAATCTGATTATTTCGAAATCCACCAAGCTCCAGCCCACGTCGAATATCTTCAAGAACGCTGTCTCCAACCATCACCGCAAACGAGTAGTAATACTTTTTAATGTCCTGTAGCATATCCGCAATAAGCGCAATGTTCTCCTGTTTGACTTTCCAAATCTTGTAAAACACCTTGCGCAACGCGTGAAACGTCTCTTGATCATTCCAATCCATTTTATAAAGTTGTCCCAAAATGAAATCTTTATTGTCTGCGTCCAAGTCAAGATAAATGAGCTTCCGAATGTACCGCTCAATGACGGGCCGCTCCTTGGCAGGAATAGCATTCAAGGGAGGAGGAGGTTTGACGTAGTGAATCGCATATGTAATCAAAAGTTTCTCATCAATCCCAAGCTTGTTGGAGGCACGTGTCTTTTCAATAAAATCAAGGTACTTGCCCATGATTCTGTGAGTTGCCGGCTTGTAATACAAGTACTTGCCGCATCCTTCCAAGAATCCACAAACCATTTCAATGGTCTGTTTGTCAACCCACGTCAAAAGCGAATGCAAAATGTGGAAAATCGCAATCTTAGGCACAAGCCCAAACTTTACAAGTTCAGAGTAGTAACGAATGATAAACATACGGGTAGAGTATAACTTGGCCACCTTTTTCTTGCGAAGATACCCAAAATAGTCTTGTAAATAAGTCAAAATGCCATCCAAAAGCCCAGGTGCAATAGGATTAATGTTGGCCAAAAATCGACAATAATAACGTAACTTGTACTGTTCTGCAGGTCGCATTGTAGTCAAAAACTCCAACACCTCTGCGCGCGTTTTGTCATTGTTTATTTCCTTGAATTGGTACGCACATTCATCAGCAACATCCTTATCAGGGTTGCGAGAAAGTTTCTGCAAAATATCTGTGATTGGCTTTGCATCTTCGCTTATTTTATCAGTCGACGACTTGGTTATATACTCGGATGAGTCTTTAGGCACAAATTCTTGATCATCTGTATTTGCTTCTTCAATAGTTTCAGACTTATCAGAAACCTTTTCTAAACTCTGCAAAAGTTTTTCTTCCTCCTCATCGTCAGAAACATCACTAACATCATCTGGAATGTCGGTAGTAGGAGCAAGCCAAACTAAATCCTCGTAAAATGACTTTTCAGAGTCATCAGTCCACAACTCCCCTTCCACAAGAGCAATATCACCTTCGTCTCCAATTTCTGACTCTCGTCGAAGAATAATTTCTGCCATGGCTAAACCAAGAATTTTAAACAAAAGTTCGCAATTCGAAAGCATAATGGCCGCTTCCTCCATCAAAGTATTGTAATTATTCGCATGCTCTTCCTTCAATGAACCAAACTTCAAAATACGTTTTTCATTTAGTCTTTGCATAATCAAAAGCTGTCTAGCAAGGTACCGGACTCTGCGATCAAATGAGGCAGCATAAGTACCAAGAACGCGTCGAAATCTAACCCGAATTGGAGCAGAAACTAGTGGCTCAATAGATTCATCTGAAGTCCCATCAGGGTTGCCCAGAATCTCGTGGCCATAATACTTGTGGAGCATAAAAACAACACTAACTGGAGAAAAATTAACCAAATCAGATGCTAAAATCTCTTTAAGAGCCATAAGTGGTGGAGGATCAACAGTTCCGGATGGGCTTTTGACCTTAGCAAAGGCAGGAAGTCCATAAGGAGCAGCATCAGAAGCATCACGAAACACACCAACAAGCCAAAGCTCAGTAATGATCCGAGTAACCAATTTTTGACGCTGGAAAACATTTTTTAATTCACGTTCGCGTGCAATTTCTGGAAGACTGGCTAGCGCACTCTTAGAAGGATTAGCCACGCCATGCATCATGTTACTGAGTAAAGGCCCAGTAAAATTGATACCAAAGCGTTGATGGAGAGCCGACACAATCTTTTGGTAAAGTTAGATTTGATGAATAGAATGTATTATAAACAATCGTTGCTTACTTCGGTTCCTGAAAAAAAGTCTGCAGAGGTTTTGCATTTAATAAGGCCTTCTGTGACCGCGCTCACAACCTCCGAAAGATACTTTTCAAGAGACACAGTGCGGATGTCGGTCAAAAGGGATTCTAAAGAGGCAGAGTTTAAAGAAACACGAACTTTGCGGATGAAAGCAGTGTTTTTCTTTAAACTCATGTCTAAAGGCGCAACAATAGGGAATACGTCTGATACTGGTGTTAAATAGTATAAAGGAAGCTTAGAAAATACAAACCTGCTTCATCGTTCCATGCTGCTTGATTTAACTTGAGCAGCTCAAGTCGCCGAGAGTGATAGATTGAGTAAGATGCTGTAAGAGAGGGGTCCGTTGCAATGTCCGACTGATCAGCAGGAGGCATAGATGCCTGCTCGGCACTTGAGTTGGGTGCATCTACCTAGAAATAAAGTTAGAAATCGTTATTATCAGTTTGGATTAACATACCTGAGACATGAGAATTATTCATTAAAAATTATTCAGTCAAGTTTATATACTGAAAACAATAGAAAGGTTGGTTTATGGTTGGTGATAAAAAGGGTGGTGGAAGAGAAAAAAAAAAAAAAAAAAAGCTTGAGAAAAAAAAGAGGGAAATTGAATGGCTACTTATTAGAAGAGTTAAAAACATAGCATATGTGACTAAGCATAAAGCTCACAATTTTTGATCAAAATCAAAAAATAAAATAAACTACAGCATTTAAACCTTTATATTGGCATGGAACCAACCGTCAAAATAGTCACATAAGAATAGGCACTGAATGGTCAATTATTAAGTAAAACATATTGGGACTTGGAAAGATACATTTGAAGGCTTATTTTTTGAACAAAAACGCTGTTACAACAAAGGCGTCTTATGACTTCAAAAAATAGACGAAAAGAGCTACATTCTTTCAGAGTATCTAAGGTTAAGTTGTTTGAAAGGATAGACGATAATTTCAGGAATATGGTCTGGTTGTGAAACAAAGATTAAGGAATGTTTTAGTTGAAATTGTAGTTTAGGAAGGCACACAAAATATTTAGGCAAAATCAAATTCACTTATAAATTGAAAATATTTTTAAAATCTCCTTAAGGAATTTGGATTTTTAAGAACTCATTTAAATGAATTCAAAATTTTGAAGTAGTTGGTTTTTAAAATGCCATTTTTTTTTTACATCCCGATACCAACTAATCTTATCATTACTACAAAATGACTAATCACAACTAAGCATGTACATATATTTTGCCATGCTGTTCACCTTGACATTCACGTGAGCCATAACTTTTTGGCGTAGCCACCTTTTTCCTATTTGCTGGTCACTTCTTCAAGTCTTTCAAAACAACCAAAAAAAATAAAATAAAATAAAAACACCTCCCCCTGTTGTCAATTGTCCGCAACGGTTTAACTTTTAACACTAGACTTTCCAACGACACCAGCGTGTGTCCGAGTTTTCTTTTTTTCACCCTTCTTCATCATCTATGACCTCGTTAAAGGATTTCATCAAAAAGGTGCGCGCCGCCAAAACAATTGCGGACGAGCGTACTGTCATTCAAAAGGAATCCGCCGCCATTAGAACATCGTTTCGCGAAAATGACACCGACAACCATGTGCGGAAACAAAATGTAGCCAAACTGCTATACCTTTTCACTCTTGGTGAGCGCACGCATTTCGGCCAGGTTGAGTGCTTGAAGTTGCTGGCAACGTCGAAATTCTCCGACAAGCGTCTTGGCTACTTGGGCACGATGCTTTTGCTCGACGAAAATCAAGAGGTTTTGACCCTTTTGACGAACTCTCTCAACCAAGACTTGTCACATCCTAACCAGTACATTGTGTCGCTTGCACTCTGCACTCTTGGTAACATTGCATCTACCGAGATGGCTCGCGATTTGTTTGCCGACATTGAAAAGCTTATTGTTTCATCAAACTCTTACCTGCGCAGAAAGGCAGCAATTTGTGCCATGCGTATTATCCGCAAAGTGCCCGAGCTTGAGGAAAATTACGTAGACAAGGCCAAGTTGTTGCTTGGAGATAAGAGCCACGGTGTTTTGCTTTGTGCCATGGCACTAGTGACAGATATTTGCATAAATAACCCTGATCAGATTCCCAATTTCCGCCAGTCACTCCCTCTTTTGATTAAACAACTTGAGGCCGTTATACAATCCGGATATGATCCAGAGCACGACGTGACTGGTATTCCAGATCCGTTTTTGCAAGTCAAGATTTTGCGTCTAATGAGAATCTTGGGAGCTGGTGATGCTCAATCTTCTGAGATGATGAGCGACATTTTGACATCTATTGCATCCAAGACTGACTCCACCAAGAATGTTGGTAATGCAGTTTTGTACGAAGCAGTCCAGACCATTTTTTCAATTGAGGCAGACCCTGGTCTTCGGGTGCTTGGTGTTACCATTCTCGGTAAATTTTTGAGTAACCGCGACAATAATACTCGATACGTTGCACTCAATACTCTTTTACAAGTCATTGAACGTGAACCGATTGCAGTTCAGAGACATAGAGCAACCATTATTCAGTGCTTGCAAGACAGCGATATTTCTATTCGCCGACGTGCGCTGGAACTTTCATATGAGCTGGTGAATGAGCAAAATGTACGGGCTCTTACGCGCGATTTGTTGTCCTTTTTGGAAACTGCTGATACCGAGTTCAAGGCAAAGCTTACCTCACAGATTGCGATTGCGGCTGAAAAGTACGCGCCTAACCGCCGGTGGCACATTGACACCATCATACGGATGCTCAAGATTGCAGGAGGATACACTCAAGAGAACGTTTTATCGTCATTTGTTGTTTTGGTGATGAACTCTGAAGATTTGCAACTGTACACTGTACAGAAGCTGTATGCATCTGTGCGCAATGATTTCACTCAGGAGGGCCTAACATTAGCTGCAACATGGCTTATTGGCGAATACGGCAATGTTTTACTTCAAGGAGGCTCATTCAACGACGAAGATCAACCTGTGGAAGTTTCTCCAGCTGCCATTGTCGATGTTTTGGAGTCAATTCTTAACAGTTCTTATGCCACTGAGGTTGTCAAGGAGTATGTTTTGAATGCTTTGATGAAGCTCACTACACGTGTTGGCCAAAATCCTTCTATTATTGAGAGAATCCGGTTGTTACTACAGAAAAACGCTATGGATTTGGATACCGAGATTCAGCAACGTGTTGCTGAATACAGTACGCTTTTTAAGTACGATTCTGTGCGGGTTGGTGTTTTGGAGCGAATGCCAGCGCCGGAGATGGCTCAAGAGCTGAGCAAGCGATATGAGGAAGAGAAGAAGAAGAAGGATGTGAAGCGCAACCCATTACGGTCTGTTACGGCTAACTTGTCTACGGGAGGATCTACAGGTAAGAGTTCTGTGGCAGTTAAGAACAATGGTGGTGCAGGTGCATCTGCTGGTGACTTGCTGCTTGACTTGATGGGAGATGATGATTCTAGTGCTGGGGCTGGTGGCGCTGGCAACGGAGTATCTGCAGCACCAAGTGCAGCACCCCAGAAAAACAATATCGACTTGTTGTCTGATTTGTTTGGAGGAAGTGGTGATAACGGTAGCAGTACAAGCACTGGTAACGGTGGTAGCACCAACAGTGCACCTGCCAAACCTGCAAACCAAAGCATTTTGGATCTGTTTGGCAATTCACCTGCAGCACCATCATCAGTACCTGTTTCAGCTCCAGCTCCGACACCCGTGAGATCTACTGCACCCTTTTCATCGACTCTTGGCATTGGCGAGATTGAAGCATACTCTCGAGGATCACTTCGATTAACTCTTGAGCCTATTCGCAAGGAAGAGCCTGGATCTGTTGTTATTGTTGCACGGTTCCACAATGACGGTGGACTCGGTTCTCCTGAAATTAGCAACATTAATCTTCAAGTTGCCATTCCTAAAGGTCAGAAACTGACGATGAAGGCTCTGAGTGGAGGAGGCCTAGTTGTTGCAGGATCTGGGCCGGTGACACAAGAGCTTAAGATTGCGGGTACACCTGGAGGCAATGTTAAGCTGCGGATGCGGTTGAGTTATAGCGTTGGTGGGGGAGAAGAGGTCAAGGACCAGGTGGACTTTGCCAAGTTCCCCGAGGGGCTGTTGTAATTAGGGAAAGAAAGAAAGATATAAAGAAAGAAAGAAAGGTGTTGAATATATATAATTATAAATAAATATTTTTACAGTTTTAATAAAAAACCAAAAAAAAAAAAAACCAAAAAATTAATTTTTTTTTTTTTTCAAAGAAAGAGCAATAGATTCGAGGTATTTTTTAATAAAATACGACTGGTGACGATGATTCCTACAAAACAAAAACCCCCCTTGGCAGCAAAATCTAATTTCGCGCATTGTTTGAAAAGTAATGTTAAGCTTACTGTTATATTTAAGTTAGCAAGTAAATTCTGGGGTAAAGAGGACTAAGAGAAAATTAAATGACGAAAACAATTATTTAATTGCCACGTTATATTTATTCTTGGATATGACATTCTATATATATATATATATATATATATATATATATAACACTCAGAATGGGTAGTAGTTTTTAGAGACCTTGAGATTTGTTGTAGAGATTGGACACAGGAGTGATATATACAAGGGAGAATTAGAGAGAAAGTTTTTTTTTAGGCGTGTACTTGAGATACTTTTGAGTTCTAAAGCGGTTACTGTTATTTTAAGCCAGTGCGGGTGCAAGACATATATATATATATATATACCCAACAGGTACAGCCATATGGAAGGGTTTAAATAAGTAGAAGTAGAAATAAGAAAAAAGAAAAAAGGAGAAGAAATTGAAATACAAAAAAAAAAAAAAAATGAGGCTTGAAAAGAAAAAGATTTGAAGATTTGAAGATTTGTTTTAAGGGATATAGGAATTGGATGGAAGTATGGAGATTTAGAAGAGTTAAGAGGTTTGTTAATATATATATATATATATTTTTTTTTTGTATTTATTTAAAGAGAGTAATTTAGGACCTAAATATGCTATAGAATATGTATGTAATTTTTATAATGTTCGAAGAGAGATGTTTTGAGATTATGAGATTATTATTATAATAATTATGAGAAAAACAAAAAAAAAAAAAAAGGTTCAAGACCTTATTCAAGACCACCAGATAACCGATGTTGGTGGCTGCTATAACATGTGGGCAATTAATTTAATGCATTTAAAGATTAAAAAAAAAAAATAAAATAAAAAAAAGCGAAAGATTAAAAAACAAAAAAAAACAAAAAAAAAAAAGCGAAAGATTAAAAAAAAAGAGGAATGATTTTGAGATAAAGATGACAATTGGTTCAGTTTTTGAATAAAGACAATGGGAAAAAGAAAAGAAAAAAAGGATTTTAAAAAATATACAACAACATCAACAACAACAATTGCAAGTCATAAATACGCAGGCATGTCTTACATTTATCTTTAAAAATCTCCAAAAAAAAAAAAAAAATACAAATAAACCAGCCAGGTTTTAAGAATTCTCGGGAAAGTTTTTTTTTTTTTTTCTTACGGGATATGGTATTTCTAAATTTTTTTTTTTCTTTTCCAGATAAGCTCAAAATGTATAAACAATTCTATATACAACTATAAACCAGCCAACCCCGCCTTTAAGTAACCATTTGGGGAGTGTTTTTATATACACCAAAGGATTACAAGTTTTTTTTTTTTTTTTTTTTTTTTTAAAGAATAAGAATAAGAATAAGAATAAGAGAATAGAAAAAAAAAAGTCAAAAAAGAGTATATATATTATTAAATTAATAATAGCAACCAGGAAGTGAGAAGAAAGAAACACAGTGTGCACAGTTTACATTAAGTTTACTATATAATGATGATTAAATGAATAAACAAACAAACAAACAGACAAACAAATAAACGAACAAACAAAAAAAACAAACAAAAAGAAGAGGAAGATGACGAAGAAGGAGAAGAAGTAGTAGTAGAAGAAGAAGTACAATAACAATAACAATAACAATAACAAGAAGTAGAAGTAGAAGTAGAAGTAGAAGTAGAAGTAGAAGAAGAAGAAGAAGAAGAAGAAGAAGAAGAAGAAGCAGCTGCATTTCTAAAGTGTTGTTTTGATAATATTCAAAATTTAATTTAATTTAATTTAATTTTTTTGATTAATTGATCAGGACGCAGTTTGTGGCTGCTTTAAAATTTATCATGAAGACTTATTTATTTATTTATTTTTTTATTTTTTTATTTGAGCGCGTTTCTGGTTAAATGTTTTTACGGGTCTTTTAAAGATATTGAAAGAATGCTTATTTTAAATTATTTTAAATTATTTTAAATTATTTTAAATTATTTTAAATTAAAGAAGATGAAAATGTTGATATTAATATAATTTTTTTTTTTTTGATATTTTTGAAATGATTTTGCCATTTTCCCTTCAATCATTTTTTTTTTTTTTTTTAATTTTTTTAATTTATTTATTTAACAAAATTACGTAGACACGCGCGAGTTTATTTGGGTGGGACTTTTTTTTCCAGTTGGGAATTTTGAGTTCCGACAAAGGACCTAAAAGAACCAAACAGCTTAATTCAAAAGAAGAAGAAGAGAGAAAGAGAATAAAAAAAAATTAAAGATTTAAAGATTTAAAAATTAAAGATTTAAAAATTAAAGATTTTTTTTAGATGAAAATTGGTTTGAATTGAATCAATTGATTTTAAAGATAAGTTTGTTGAAATAAAAAAAAAAAAAAAACTATAAGTTTGATTTATTATTATTATTATTATTATTATTATTATTATAAGCGTCACTAAAAGAAATTTTTTTTTTTTTTTTTTTTTATTATCAGTTAATCAATTCTTGAAAGATTGAAATTCTGTAAACATTTCATCTAAAACCCTTTAATATTTTTTTTTTTTTTTATATTTACTTTTATATATATATCAACATTTTTTTAATAGATCTATCTAGATATATATATATATATATATATTTAACAATTCTATATAATATGTATATTATGGTTTCATTAAATAGTAAAAAAAAAAACAAAAAAAAAATAAAATTTAGCCATTTGGAAAAAAAAAAAAAAAAAAAAAAAAAAAAAAGATTGTTTAGAACGCCCTGCGTAGACACACACACACACACATACACACACAAAAAAAAAAAAAATTTATAAAAATGCCAGCCGGCCCGCCCTGTTAAAAAAACAAATCTTTTTTTATTTTGTCCTCCAAAATTTATGAATTTATTTTTTTATTTTTTATTTTTATATAAAAAAAAATAAAAATAAATATCTCACAACAATTTCTAAAATCTTTTCTTCTTTTTCTTTTTCTTTTTCTTTTTACCCCCATCTAATCGAATTTTAATATATTTATTACACACTCGTTTTTTTTTTTTTTTTTTTTTTTTTTTTTTTTCATCTATTCTATACCCAGTCAATCGTTCGTTTTTAATCATTTCCTCAAAAGATCCATTCTTTGCATAAAAATATGCCTTCCGCCGCCAATGGCAGAACGCGTCCATCCCATTCAGTCCTGTTGACTCGCAATGTCAACAATAATAATTCAAATACTTCATCTAATAATAAAGAAGTAAACCTTACAGAATCTTTCAACAATTCAAGTAGTAGTGAAACATTAAGCTCAAAAACAACTATACCCACATCAAATTCAACAGAAAATAGTCCCAGTCCTGGTCCTCGTCCTGGTTCTCGCTCGTGTTCCGGATCTAGTACCAGTAGTACCGACTCTTCTTTTTTCCCCTTCAATAACATAAACAAAAGCTCAGATTTACTCACAATGGGAGATTCAGCTACTGCTCATCCTGCTCATCCTGCTCATCATCATCCTCCTCCTCCTCCTCCTCCTCCTCCAGTAAATCCACGCGTTGCAGCATTGGCTTCTTCGGCAGGTGGTGCAGCCTCAAGCGTAAGACGTTTCCCGTCAATCCGCGCCATTTTCGGCTCAGATTCACCCACAGGGTCTTCTTCAAAGGCGGCCGGAGCCCTGCGAAGACGGTTGCGCAAGAATAACGCACGTCTTGAACAACAACAACAACAACAACAACAACAACAACAACAACAACAACAACAACAACCTCAAGAAAATCAACCAAATTCAACCCTTTCAGAACAGCACCTTAAACAACAAGATTCACAAAAGACTTTAACCCCTCCATCTTTACATCCAACATTGAGCTACGCGTCTTCAATTATATCAACAGCTGGCCCACCACCTAAACTCGACGATTCCATCATTGCAGTCTCAGCTATGGACGATTTTTCAGAATATAAGTTTAACGACGGGTCAGATGATGGCATCACAACAACAACAACTCTCACAAAAGAAGATATGGTAGCCACTTCAACTCCAACTCCAACTTCAACTCCAACTACAACTACAATTACAAATGCAACTGTAAATACAACTCTATCAACTATAAAACCTAGTATCACTGCTACTAGCAACTCCACAGTTACTATAAAACCAATAACTGGTCGTGGAACCAGCCCAACCAATCTTCATCTGGATTCTTGTCCTACACCGTCTTTGCCGGAACATTCATGTTTCACACCTGCTGCTTCAACTACTCGTTCCATGATTTCTTCCGCTACCCACTCGCGCACTATCCCTTCTTTTGCATCAACTTCTACTTCTACTTCTACTTCAACTTCAACTTCTACTTCAACTTCAACTTCTACTTCAACTTCAACTTCTACTTCTACTAATACTTCTACTATCTCTTCAACATCAACTTCTTCCCCAAGCATGCCCTCTTTTTCTCCACCAAAACGCTTGTCCCGACCACCTCCCCCCACTGCACTCTCATTTACTAGCATTAACGGGAACGCAACAAACCATGCTTCTTCATTATCGTCAGCTTCTTCATCTTCTTCCTCTACAACTGCTACAACCCCTATATCTACATACCATACCTCATCATCGTCTCCATCTTCCTTTTATTTCTCATCATCTTCCTCGTCCTCCTCAGTTTCTTCGTCTTACGCTTCATCCTTCACTTCTCCATCTCAGCTTTTAAGAGGTAATGGCCACCACCATAATAATCACCATAGCCATCATGGAAATTACCATGGCCATCACCACCATCGGACTAAAGACCCATTCCATGATCGTTTCAAAACTCTTGACTCGGACTACTCTCGGTTCTGCTCAAAAACAGGTGTTTATAAAGCAAACGTACTACGTCTTTCTCTTCTCTCTTTTCTACGTCAACAATGTGGAGACCAACATGCGGAATCAGCTACTTCTACGGACCCAGATGGTGAAGGATTGTCATCATCCTCGAAACAAGAAAATCCCTCTTCTAATAATAGTTCACCGAGAGGCTTGGCCCCAGAGGACGTTTCAAAGCGCCTTAAAATATTTCACAAGTGGTGGAACGGCCTACTTAACGCGCTTAAGGATAAAGACAAACCAGTTTCTGGCTCAGATCGTTCAGCTTACTTGGAAGCAATTTCTGGCATTATTGCACGCAGCGAATGGGTCTTGACTTATAATGATGATGCAACTACCTCTTCGGTATCATCCACAGACAAAAGCACCCTTCTCAATTCTTACAGACTCATTTTCGAAACCCTCCTATGTGAAACCCTTTCTTGGGTCCTCACAAAACTATCTCTCAAAACAGTCCCAATTTCCATGGCTGCCTTTGCAGGCAAAGTCATTGCATATGCCTTTTTTTACTCTCCCGGTGTAGCTGCCCCACTTCTTTACCTCTTGCGCGTCCCTCCTCTTGCTGTTGATCGCATTCTACGCGTGTCTTTCCCACTACCCGAAGAAGATGACCCGGAAAATCTAACCAACGGCGGATCCCCAATTAATCCTCCGAGTTCCGCCTGCGACTTGGACGTATTGACCGAGGCTGCAAACTCCATGCGTCCTTTTTTCCCTCAATATGTCTCAAACCTTGTTGGATACACTTACCATAAGATTTCTGGAGGGGTCCAACACTTCCAAGAAAACTCTGGAGCAAGAGCATCAACTTTCCCAGTTTCAGGTACCAATTCTTCTGGCAGTGCGGGTCCGTTTACAATGACGAACCCACATGTATCCAAATCACGGTCAAAACCGTTTCGTTCCTTCCATAAACAGCAACAGCCACAACAATCACAGCATTATAATACTACCAAACAATACCAATCTGTTCCACAGGAAAACCCGGTCCCTAAATCGCTTTGTACAAATGTTTTTGCATCAAAACCACCAACACCAGCTCTTGTTCCGGACATTTATGGTCCATGGGTGCGTCGCTGGACTTCTTTCAACAGTGACGTCTTTTTTTCTTTCCTTAAGCATTATTATACTATCATTAGCACCATCTATGCCGCCTCACCTTTGTGCCCACTCAACAGGCAGTATCCGAAACAGCACCTTGGTGGTGCTTCAGGCGGACTTAGCACACCGACAAACATGGCTACAGCAAAAACTGCAGCCGCAGCTTCTACCAGCTCTGCATTGCATATGACAGCTCCGGGACTTATTGTTCTTCATGCTTTTATTCTCACGGGCCTCGATGCTGTGATCCGGCCTCCACAGCGCAAGTCTGTTTCTTTGTCGTCATCTTTATCCCTTTCGTCATCGTCATCGTCATCGTCATCGTCATCGTCATCGTCACCATTGCATCTCGCGTCTGGTAACCCAAGCCATTTGCGCCTATCTATTATGACGTAAGTGCAAAAATAGCTTATTTTAGGTTTATTTTCTCTTTGTGTCAACAAAAAGCAAAGCTCCCGTTTCATATACTAACCAAAATAATTTTTTTTTTTTTTTATTTTTTTTTTCTTTTATAAATTTAGTAACGCTCTTAGATCGGGCGCCGTAAACACAAATGGCGCAACTCTACCACCAGACTTTCTCCCAGACTCATACGCAGTTGATTTGACTCCTGTGAGCTCGGCAATGGGCCGCAGAAGAGTCGACCAGCTCAAGCTGTTGGCCGTCATTCGCGAGATTTTACATAACGACGAGTCATGTACGCCATTTTTCGAGCCTTACTGTATACAGCTTGAGCGTATTTTACATGCTTCCGCATACCGCACCAGTCTTTATGATATTGATTCTTGTGTGGTTTTGTGCGACCTTGTTGAAGAGTTTCTCTCAAGCCTGGTGCTTTCCTCCTCGGTTCGTACAAGACACAGAATTTCTATCCAAAAGGACAATGCTGTTGACTGGGGGTTCTGGATTACTGTGGTCCAGCGCATGTTATCTTCGGAAAATAGCAACACTGAACTTCGTGCCCTTGCATTTTTATTTAATGTCTGGGACCATATTCCCATTGCTGCCTCAAGTTCCGGTAGCCGCTCTGGTAAACTCTTTTCTCAAGACCGTTCAGCTCAACAGAAAACCTCTTCGTCCATTTTCGATCTCTACTTTGATGAACAAGAAAGTCTTCGCTGGAACTGTACTACCTGGCTTCTTTCTCCTCAAATGTGGATGCGTTACTTTTGCCATTGGCACCCCCTTGTACGTTCCTATTATCTACGACTCCTCTGTTGGCGCGTAGCTTCGGTGGGCCCAGGCCCCGAGCATAGCGGATTTATCACGTCAGTCATTTTCTCAAACCATAATGCTGATGCTCGTGCACTTCTCGAACAGCGATTGACATATACTTGGGCTCGGTTTGGCGAACTTGTTGAGGTTTGCGTTGCCACAAATAAACCTGTTCCTTCGACAGTCCCGTGTTTGCCTATTATGCATCGTCAACTTAAAATTGTTCACAATCCTGCGGCTATGGCTGCCAATCCTCCAGTGGCTGGTGGTGGTGGTGGAAGCAATAGTAGCCATATCCCTGTTTCTGTCATGATGCTACAACACGCCCGTGGAAGTAACATGGGCAGAGCGTTTCACCAACAACTTCAGCAATATCAGCAACAGCAGCAGCAACAACAACAGCAACAAAATGAAACTGCAAAGGTTAATACTAACACGCCACGCAGAATTGACCCATATGAAGTATTTGATGAAGTTGCATACTCATACCCGACTCACTCACAAGCTCCAGACTTGCTCCCATCCAAAGTGGGAGCAAGCCAAGGCTCAACTAATGGGTCATTTGTCTTACGAAGCAATCATAACAATTTAACTTCTACCATTTCAAACGTGAGCACACACACAAATGATATGGCTTTAAGTTTCAAGAGATATAGCACTGGGCGGTTTGAGCAATCAACATTGTCTTCAACACTACATAAGAATAACAGAAGCTCTAATTCAACGCCATCGTTGCTCAACATGGCGGCAGCTGAAGAGCAAGCTGCCCAAAGACAGAACCAAGGTACTGCTACTCAACAACAATCATTTGGGTCAAGCATTCGCAAAAAATGGGACTCTTTCAAAACAGGCAGTGGGTCTAATCTTCGTCGCTACTTTGGGAAGAGTAGTGGTAGCAATGGCAGCATAAATGGAAGCTCAGGACCTGCCCAGTTGACGATGCAGCAGCACAATCAACAACAGCAAGTAGAGCAGTCTAGCTGCCCAAGTTGGGGTGACACTGCAAGGCTAGAAATTAATGGTCGTGCGGCTTATTTGAACGAAGTTGCACCCGCGTCTTCTTCAACAATGGCACCACGCACACTTGAGTCTCTTAAAGAAAACTCGATGACCTCCACAGATCTCGGCCAACCGGTTCTTACAGCTCTCGGTGGATCTGGCATCCAATCGCCCGCTCTATCTTTTGCCTCTCTGGACGGGTTTGAACCTTCTGGTCTTGAACTGCTGCCACCTCCACATGCACCATTTTCTTCTGGTGGCCATGGTGGGTCCATGACGCCTCCATCATCCTCTTCGGCTGCATCGTCGCCCACATCTTCGCCCATCTCCCTCTCCCTCTCTTTTTCGTCCTCCACACCCAACCATGGTCCTTCCACGCCAGTTTTGCATCATACCGCTGGCGGAAGTGACTACTCACCTTGTCTTTCTGCTGAGTCTTCAACTTTTTCCAACTCATTCACTCCCATCTCTAGTCTTTCGTCAGCATCAACACCGCCGTCACCTGGGTCTTTGCTACAAAAACGCCATTCCAATGGTGACAAATTTGTTAGTAGTAACAATGGTGGCTTTTTTTCACCTTCAGGGGGGAGCCCTCATGGACGCCCCAGAACGGAGCAGCCATTGCCACCTCTTCCTGCAAATATGCAGCTAGGCTCGCAGCCTGGAACTAACGGAACAAGCACACCTCAACAAGGAATATCACGTGCTGGCTCGCGGCTTTTGTCTCGCACATCGTCTACTCTGGGACGTACCGGTAGCTCTAGGCTTCTCAGTCGTAGTCAGACCATTACCTCTAATCATAATTCTGACTCTAGCATTACTGGTTCGCACAACTCCAATAGTGCTGCATCTCTCACGATGACACTCATTCCTCCACCCCCTCAAATTTTGCGCAAACGTCCAGAAATTGTGAGACCACGTTATAAATTTGGATTGGAGTTTAGCGAAGAGTCTTTGCTCAAGCAACAAGAACTGCTTCATTCTAAGCGTACCCAGTTGTATTCTCATCATTTTGGTTCACCCTCAGGACCAGGGACTACTCAATTGAACACTCCACAGTTTCAAGCTCATGAGCAGGATTACTACCATTTCCATGATAACCGTTTCTTGAATTTTGCACCTTCTTCTGCGACAGCTACAACGAGTCCTCGCGTTGTAAAACCAAAATTGCCTTTTGATGGGGACTCAGATACATTCACTGAAAACGAGGATGACAATACGGGATATAGCATTGGTGGATCATCGAAGGAGATGAATATGTGTTTGAGTATGCGCATCAATGCTCGACTGGAGCCCATGGCTGGCCATGCATTTGGGCTTGATATCTCGCCAGAAGCCCTAGAACTTGTCAAGTATCTCCAGCGCGAAGCGCAACGGATGCAGAACAGATATACAAACATGTTCCGTTCCAAAGTCCAACTTGTTCCACAAACAGCAACAGTTGTGGGGTCGGTTTCTCCTCGCCCGGAAACTCCCTCACTGGAAAAATTTGGAGTTGAAATGATGGGGTCTACTACATTGGAGCCTACCCCATCATCTGTTTCTTCATATCGCACATGTAGTGAGGGGACAAGCAGTACTGGAAATTGTAGCACTCAAGCGTCGCCAATCTACACATCCTTTAACGATGGCCCTACTGAAATGAGAACTCTCGGAACAGCAACGTCGATGTTGTTCAAGCATTATAACAACAGACACGGACAGCAGGCATCATTTGCAAGTAGCAAACGCAACTTAAGCAAGGTTCTAGGGCTCTACGATAATGGAGATGATGAAGATGACAGCGACGTGACATTTGATTCTAAAATGCCATCAGCTGCCGCCCCACCCACTAATGTTACTGAAAAGCCTCTTCCTGTATCTGCGGTACCTGCGGCATCTGGAGCCTCTGGAGCATCTCCCCAGATATCTCTTTCATTGACATCGCCCGACTTGTCTGACATTTTAAGTCATTACGGTGACGATAATAGCAGCGGTACCAATAGTCCAATGATTGAACATGATAGTTCTTGCGACTCACCTGTTATTTCCGATCGCACGACGACAATTCGGACACGCGTGGGACACCATTTACAACAACAAGATATGGTGGCCGACCGTAATAGTGGATCATTTAGTATTTGCAGCGGAAGCACTGCGACACGTGCGAGCGTGGATCCCAGTGAAGGCAAGTATGATGCACTTGGAATCCGACAAGTTCTGACTACAAGTGGTACTAGTAGTAACGGACTTTTAGGTCGCCCTGACTTGATGTCGCTTGTACCAGCCCTTTCATCACGATCTGCAACTAGTACACCTACCTCATTAACTGCTTCTGCTCTTGCTTCGCCGTTTTTGGGCTCAGCTCCTAGTACATCCACCCGTGCACACTCCGAGTTCCCCTTTGAATCCTCTCCATTGTCAAGATCCGACTCTGAAGGTGATTCATTTGACGAGAATGATGATGGCGATGACTACGACTACGACTATGATGACGACGATGAGAATGATGAGAATCGTGAGGGTTTACGCAAGTTTGAGCACATGTCGTTACGTCGGGGCGACGCACGCGCACGGGCCAAGATTGCAGACAATGACAAACACTGGAAGTACGCTGGCCGCGCGCTCAATGAGTGGGCACTTGTTGTGCGCGAGTTTCAGGATTTTGTGAGAATGCGGCGTAGTGTATTTGGCGCCGGTCGACTTGAGGAGTTGGATGTGCCATTTATGATTGCTGAGATTCCAGCAAAGGCTCTTATTGGGTGATATTGAAGCTTTATTTTTGTCCTTTTAAATGGTCAAGTTTAAGACATTTGACATATATTTTTTTTGCATTTTCTCTATTATCAAAACAAAAGTGATATAATAGCCTTCTTCAATAACTTTTTATTTTTCCATAAAATAGACTTAATTTTTAATGTATTAATATTCAAAAATTCAAATTTCACAAATTCCCTTAACTTTACACTATATTTTAAAGCTATCTTCATCATTTATTAAACAAATCAGCAAGTTCTTCTGGTTGCTTCGACGTGACCCGGCTGCTGGGCCCGCTAGCAACCGCTGTTTCGTCCTGTGACACTTCCTCCGTGCTTCCGCTAGCCACACTCACATCCGAGTCTCCGTTACTGTTCTCTTCGCGCCCTGCTCCGGCCAACAATGAAGATGACCCTGAAGGTGATGGCGATACTGAACTGAAGGGGCGTACACGTAGCGACGCTACAGGTGAAGGTGTGGCACTGGTGGTTCCATGAGCAGTGGCTGGGGTCACCGAAGGGGGAGGGGCCGTGCTTCTGTTGGGAAGCATGTTGAAGATTGTGGTTGAGTCAAAGGAGGGTGATTGAGAAGAGGACGTGTTTTCCTCTGTCTCGTTTTCAGCCTCAGATTCATTTTCGTTCTCTGGCTCAACCACTTCTTCATGTTCGTTCTCTGGTTCAGCTTCTTCTTCTTCTTCATGATCATGTTCATGTTCATGATCATTTTCTGGCTCACCCTCATCCTCATTTTCAATCTCGAGATCGTGCTCAGTCTCAGCCTCAGATGAATTCTCTTCAACATCACCCGACAACGCTGTGACTGACGAGCTCACACTAGCCACACTCTCTGTGCAAGATGCAGGAACAGCCACAGGCGTCGATGGTTCAGACAATGCTTCAATAACTGGGGGGTCGGCAATAGGTGCTGTTTCAGGTACAGGACCAGGGGGAGTTGTAGGTGCAACAAGAAGGGTCGGGGATTCGGGCTCAGGTTCTGAAACGTAGTCGGTAACTGTGACAGCGTCTAAAATAGCAGCTGGAGAAACCGGGGACACTATTTCAGGTGCATTCTCAGGTTCAAGCTCAGAAACAGGTTCAGCAGCAGAAATGACAGGTGCAGCGGCAGCAGGAGTAATAGGACGTGGACGACGCACACGAGGGGTTTGTCGGGAACCAGTGAAACTCCCATTACGGTGAGTTCGCGTTGATGACCCGGTGCTACTTCCACCACTGGCATGTCGCTGAGGTGGGCGCTCAAGTCTTGCAGGTCGCGGATTCTGTGGGAATGGTGGGGTAGGCAATCCATTGGTTGAGTTTTCACCAAAAAGTGTAACTATGAGGTACCCGGCAAGCAAAGCTCCAGCACACTCAATGGCCCAAAGAAATATCGGTCCCACAATAAAAAGCAGAATCCGGTAGCGGTGCATCCAGTACCGAAGGCCGCTCCATTTTGTGTGCAACGTAAGTAAAGCCCCATTCAAATGGGCAACGCGGTCAAGTTCTACAACTGCCCATACGTGGCCATCCCCCTTTTCAGTATCAAGAAAGTCTTGTTCAACAATCCCCTCAAACTCGTCCTTGATGCTTTTCTTAGGTGGTGGTGCGTTCTTTTCAAGCTGCTCGACTGCAGAGTTAACATCGCGCGGGATTTCAGCAGGAATCTCATCAGTTTGCCGAAATTTGGCAATAAACAGTGTACCCTTTGTTTTCAAGTACTCTGACGAGGAACTAGCCCACCATCCAACAGCATCCAATACCGTCTGTGAAAACGGATATGTCTTCAACGCTGCTCCTGAACCATCTCCGGCACGGCCTTCCAGTGCGTCGCGTCGTGTCCAATCGTCCACCATGTCCAAACTCACGCGCTCGCTGAATCCGCCACTTACAAGACCGACAGCATATACGGGAGACCAAAATAACGTTTCCAAATATTCAAGCAAAAGCGGTTTATATGCGAGGATAGCTGGTCGTGTTGCTAACACAGACACCAGTGGTTTCTGTTGTGGTTTGGATGGAGCCACCGCATGCAGTGGAACACCAGCATATAAAGTTGTGGTGGAGTTTGGTGTACCACCGCGTGCGGGGTGCACTGCAGGTCCACGCACGTACAGTTTTGGGAGGTCCATGAGATATGTTTCAGGGAAATGGGTGAGAGGGAATCGCGAAACAAGCCCGGCATTACGGTACAGCAGCTGCTTGTTTGGCACGACGTAAGCCGGGCGTGGGGAAGTGCCACGCGACAATGAGGATGCAGGACCGTGGAGCCGCACAAACTCGTGGATATTGGGAGTCACAGCCAAACGCACCATAAAGTTCCCGAGATTCTTATTATGAGCATTTCGGGGGAGGTCCAGGTCAACAGCAAGTCGGTACCCGACTGAGTGGCGCATGAGAGGGAGAAGTGTTGCAGAAAGGTCAATGGCTGCAAAGGGGCCTGGTATTTGCGCGGTTTTATCTTCTGAAACATGGCCTGTACCGGTACCAGCAACTCCTCGGGCCCCGGTAAACGTGTCCTGGACAATTGGCGGTGCCCCGACATGGTATGGATCAACAGCAAGCCATGAGTAGTCAAAGTAAAGGGGGACGGATACTTCCGACTCCGGGATGAAATGGTAGTAAATAATGGCATAAAGTAGAAAGGCCGACGCGTAAAGAAGTATGGCAAAAAACGCCGTCACTATCACGTAAAGTGTCCGGCGTGCATTGTCTGGGGTAAAAATACGGCGCACAAGCGGTTCCGCCGTTACGGACTGAAAATTATTAGAAAAAAATCAAGTAATATAAACGGGCAACTTACATAGAAAAAACTGAAGGCTTGGGATAGAGGGTATAACATTTGGTGATAGTGTTAAAAGGTTTAAGTTTTTGGAGGTTTGGCTTTTTTTTTTTTATTTTTTTGGTATTTTTAAATTAATATATTTGTGGTTAGTACACAGAACATTTTTTTCATATTTTAAATTTACATTTATATAGACAATTTGTTGGCAGTAATGTTGATGATGGTTGCAACCCGCTCTACAGCAGTTTGCGCACCGGACCAGTCCCGAGCTTCAGCAAAGTCGCGGATCGCTGGGAATGTCCCCCACGCATAAGTCGACCCGCTGGGCCCTGACGGGTGCCACAATTGAGGACCAAACACTACGTGCTTGAACCATGACCGGCCAGGCACGCCGTTATTGTCCAGCAAGTGCTTGTCAATTCCAACCAAATGCGAGTTCCAGGACCACCGGTGTACAGAAAAAATAGGCGGCTCACCAGCAGAGTTCACTGCTGTTTTCCAGCCCTCGCGCCAAATTTCAAATCTTTCACCGGCTGCTTTAATTTGATGAATCGACTGCCGCAGAGGCTCCAAATTGAGCGCGTCATGGCCACCCTGCGCATCTACGTACTTTTGTAGGTCGTCAACATACCACCCCAGATACCGGGCATACGCCAACACGTCTAGCGGGAGGATTGGGTCGTCAGCAAATCGCAGCGCCAGACGAGCAGCAATGTCTGTGGCTGTTCGATGATATGCAAAGTCCTCAGTATCAGCATACCGCTCTATCCATTCGTAAGAATCAAAGCAGCTATTTTTGGGGTACCGTCTACCAGTGAACCCAATTTGGAAAGAGGTCATGCCGGCATAAGACTGAAACGACATGTAATCGCCCGGGTCTCGGAACGGTTTCAACGCCCGTGCACCGTTTTGAGAACCAATTGTTGCGTTTGTTGCCGGATCCTTGACTTGTTGCAACACTTCGGCAAGCACGCGCTCCACAAGTGGATGGCCTTGGGCAGAAAAGTGGGTTCCTGACACGGCTTCGTCCAGCGAAATGTAAAGCGCTCCGTTGCGTCTAAGCTCGTCCACATTTAGTTCTACCCATTCAGTGCTTCCAGCAAAGTTGTGATTGTTGGCGTCCCAGCTTGCAAAGTAAATTGACCGTAACGGAACCCAATCAAGTTTCGTTGCCATGTGGGAAAATATACGTGCAAGCTCAAGTAAGACTGCTGTCCCTGAAGCTGACTCCACAGCACCGTAACACCATGAATCTCTTTTTGCACCAATTACAATGGCAAGTTCACCTTGTTCCACTCCGCTAATTTTACCAAAAACGTTCCAAATCGCGTGGCGGTTTTTGACAATTGGCGACGTACTAATTCTAGCACGAGGACCTTCAGCACTACCTGACCACCATTCATTAATACCAGTGGGCTTGGCAGCAACCCAACCCTTAGATGCCTTAATACCATGTCCTTTTAGTGCTTGTAAAAATGGTTTAATGTCGCGCCACGACGAGGGAATAACAGGAATTGTTGGTAGGACTTGCACACTATTTAGATCTGACACACGATGCTTAGAAAAAGATGACCACCCAGGTGTTAAAATATCACCGGGGATAATCTCTGGAATCGACGCAGATGCTCGTTCAATGGCTCCGTCAGGATAACCAGGTCCTTCGGGCCATGCCTGGTCACCTTCTTTACTATTGCTAAAAGTCACGAGGCCAACAGCGCCATAATCACTGGCTAATCGCGCTTTCAGACCTAAGTCTAGTCGGCCCATTCGTGCAACAAAAAGAGCACCCTTAAGCTCAATATTTTTATTTTTCAGATACTCCAGGTCATCTCTTGTTCCATAATTGACGTATATTAGGGGACCCTCAGCAGTTCCGGCTTTAGAAAATGCATGGTAGGGTATCGGCTGCTGATGAATTTGAGAGGAATCCCCGGAATACATGGAATCTTCAGTCATAGAGGCCGAATAAACAACCTTGTCACCGTCTAACAGCTCAAAAGAACCAGCTGTTTGGTTTGGATATGAGAGGTACACATTATGCCTAATAGTGTTAGAAAGTCTTTGTTTGAAGTCAAGAAAACAAAATAGTACTTACTCGGCTAGCTCCACTGGATCCATTCCGTATCCTTTTAATTGTTCTTGAACATAGCGCGCCAACGTCAAGTCACCCGATGTTCCTGCCTGATGAGGCATTGATGATAAATAATGAACACGCTCTTTAATCACGTTGCTGTCAATTGTATCGCGTAAAAATGTCATAAGTGAGTCTCGGTCATAATACTCACCACCTCCAAAGGCGTCCTTGGCGCTGCCAGGTAATATACCAGACTCAAACGAGACATAAATAATGAGGAAGACAAAAAATAAATATAGCAACCGTTTTAAAATAAGTGGATTGCCAAATCGCGAAATCAGAGCGTCAAACCGCCTGCTAACTTTGTTAATTAGTTGGGCCACTGGGTCTAACATCCGCGACACAGGTGTAATGATTTTACTGTTTACGTTGTGAGCCAGTTGCTGGGTTGCAATAGCAGCTCGGCTTGTAAAAGACGGACCCCGGTTCACTGTTTCAGCTGCAGGATCATATATCTCAAATTGTTCCATCTCGCGATGCACGTCAGATATGCCCATTTGTGCTCTATGACTCGGGGCATGGTACAAGTCGCTGTCTTCAGAGCCGGTTTCGCTAAGTAACGAGTCTAAGTCTCCGGTTTCTGACTCGTAATCTCTAGAAGGTGTTGTTGTAGCAGACAAGTTTGAATGTTGCCGCCGACCCGATAGAGCGCTAAGAAAAGCTGCCGACTCACCGGCCTGCTGTGCAACTCGGCTTTCGTGGGCGCCTTCAACGCTATCTTCAGGGTCGATATATGGTGGCGGTAGTTCGTTGGGAAGTACCGGTGGGTGATTATTAGTGCTCATAGTTTCAACCCTATGTGCGGCACTTTAAGAAAAAAGAAATCAACAAAAGGGTGTAAATCTAAGCGGGAAATTGAAATATTCCTGCTCAAACTAGAAAAAGCTAAAAAAAAGAGTCCAACTACCTCTAAAGAAGCTTTTTTTAAAGGGGTTTGAAGGATTTTGTGAAGATTTTTTCCCTTAAAAAACAGAAAAAGAGCTCAGTTTGGCGCTCAAAGAAGGAGAAAAATGTCGGACGGCGAGTTTCTTCATACGCACAAGCTTAGTTCTAATGGTGATGCCGCGTAAGCCTTGGATCACGTGATGAGTAATTATGAGTCTGACATATATTTCAAACTTTTTTTTTTTTTTTTTTTTTTTTTCAAACCACCAAAATTTTTTTCCTCTTCATCACCACCAACTGAAATCTAACCAGCTACCGCCATTCAACAAACACCTTCCACCCTAGAATCTTCAGATTTGACCGCTTGTTTTCCTTACAAGCTAGGCATTGAAATACCTTCTTTTTTAGAACTGTTTTAAGTTCCTATCCAATTCTAGCTCGACAACTGTTTTTCGCGTATGTGCATGAATTTTCACTCCTATTGGGACGCGTCTAACTTTTTTAAAGGCTATTATTTTATACCGTTACTGGCTCATTTCATATATATATATAGGCGATTTGCCTCTGAGTGAGTTTTAAATGTTTCCTTTTTTTATGCTCCTTTTTTAACTTTTTTTTAGAAAATGAGCAGAGCCCCCCCTCCTCCAGGATGGAACCGTCGGGCGACAGGACCTCCTCCGCCACCACCAGGAGCTTCGCGTACTGGCGGCCCTCCACCTCCACCACCTTCTGCATCGCGACCACCACCACCACCAAAATCAAGCAACCGTGTTCCTCCCGGTCCTCCATCTGGCCCTCCACCTGGTGCCCCTCGAGGTGCACCGCCGCCACCTCCTAAGCCCCCCGCCCCTATTTCAGGTGTTGATCCTAAACAACTTGATGCGCGTGCTGAGCAACTCTCGGAGCGCAAGAAAAAATGGATTCAACTACAAAAGCGCCGCTATGGTGAACAAAAGGGTAAATCTACCTATGTCCATCAAGCTAAAATTGAAATGCCACCGGAGCATCTCAGAAAAATCATTAACGACCATGGTGACATGTCTACTCGCAAAGTTGCTGCTGACAAGCGCTCCTATCTTGGTGCCCTTAAATACATGCCACATGCAGTAATCAAGCTTCTTGAAAATATGCCTCAGCCTTGGGAACAAGTTCGTGAAGTTAGAGTTCTTTACCATATCACTGGCGCTATTACCTTTGTCAATGAAACCCCTCGTGTTATTGAGCCCATTTACAAAGCCCAATGGGCTGCCATGTGGATCGCTATGAGACGTGAAAAGCGTGACAGACGACATTTCAAACGTATGAATTTTCCCCCCTTTGACGATGAAGAACCCCCTATCAACTGGAGCGAAAATATTGAAATTACAGAACCTTCAGAAGCAATTGAGCTAGAGCTTAATGAAGAAGAAGATGGTGCCGTTATTGAATGGTTTTATGATCATCAGCCTTTGATTGACGATAAAAAATATGTGAATGGACCTTCATACCGTACCTGGAAACTTGGACTTGCTGAGATGGCAGTTCTTCACCGTCTGGCAACTCCTCTCTTAACGGACAAAACAGACCGTAATTACTTTTACCTTTTTAACAAAGAAGCCTTTTTCACGGCAAAAGCCCTCAACTCTGCTATCCCTGGCGGTCCCAAGTTTGAGCCTCTCTACAAGGATGTCAACCCAGAAGACGAAGATTTTGGAGAATTTAATACTATTGACCGTATTATTTTCAGAAGAACCATCCGAACAGAATACAAGGTCATGTATCCTCATCTCTACAACTCCTTACCCCGTTCAGTTCATCTGACTTGGTACCATGACCCCCAGACTTGTTTTAAAGTAGCAGAAGACCCAGAGCTTCCTCCCTTCTACTTTCACCCCACATACGAGCCAATCTCATCACGAACAGTATCTGCATACAGGGATGACCTTCCTTCTTTTGAAGAATTTCATGAAGAAGAAGATGATGATTTCACCTTACCTGAAGATTGTGAAGCATTTCTTGAAGAAGATTCTCTTACTACTGAAAATACAGCCGGTGCAATCAACCTCTGGTGGGCTCCATATCCTTTTGATCGCCGCAGCGGCCGCATGGTTCGTGCTGAAGATGTTGCTTTGGTTAAGCACTGGTATCTTGAGCATCCGAATACAGAATACCCTGTCAAAGTCCGAGTGTCGTATCAAAAACTTCTCAAAACATACGTCCTCAATTCTCTCAAGACGCGGCCTCCGCCAAATCAGAAAAAGCGTAGCTTACTCAAAAGTTTGGGCAATACCAAGTTTTTTCAAGAAACTACAATTGACTGGGTTGAGGCCGGTCTCCAACTTTGTCGTCAAGGTTTTACCATGCTCAATCTCTTGATTCATAGAAAGGGTTTGACCTATCTTCACTTGGATTATAATTTTAATCTCAAGCCCATCAAGACCCTCACTACCAAGGAGAGAAAACGTTCCCGTTTTGGTAACGCTTTTCATCTCATGCGTGAAATTCTTCGCATCATCAAACTTATTGTTGATGCCCACGTTCAGTATCGTCTTGGTAATGTCGATGCTTATCAGCTTGCAGATGGTATTTACTACATTCTTAATCACCTCGGCCATTTAACTGGTATCCACAGATACAAGTACAGAGTCATGCATCAAATCAGAACATGCAAGGATCTCAAGCACGTTGTTTACTATAAATTCAACGTTGCCATTGGCAAGGGACCAGGTGCTGGCTTTTGGCAGCCCGCATGGAGAGTCTGGATTTTCTTCTTGCGAGGAATTATTCCTCTGCTGGAAAGATGGCTTGGTAATCTTCTTGCTCGTCAATTTGAAGGTCGTCATTCTAAGGGAATTGCTAAAACTATTACAAAGCAACGCGTTGAGTCTTACTATGACCTTGAGCTTCGTACACAGGTTCTTAGTGATATCATGGACATGATTCCTGAGGGCATCAAGCAGTCCAAGTCTAAGACCATTCTACAACATCTTTCTGAAGCTTGGCGTTGCTGGAAAGCCAATATTCCTTGGAAGGTCCCAGGACTTCCCAAGCCCATTGAGGATATTATTTTGAGATATATCAAGGCCAAGGCTGATGGTTGGATCTCTGTCGCTCATTACAATAGAGAGCGTATCCGCCGTGGTGCTACTGTTGACAAGACTGTCGCCAAAAAGAATCTTGGTCGATTAACTCGCTTGTGGCTTAAATCTGAGCAAGAGCGCCAGTACAACTTCTCCAAGGATGGTCCTTATGTTTCCCCTGAAGAGGCTGTTGCTATTTACTCTGCCATGGTCAAGTGGCTTGAGAGCAGAAAATTTGCTCCGATTCCATTCCCTCCGCTTAGTTACAAGCATGATACAAAACTGCTTGTACTGGCACTTGAAAGCTTGAAGGACTCTTATAATGTTAAGGGCAGACTCAACCAAAGCGAACGAGAAGAGCTTGCTCTTATCGAACAGGCATACGACAACCCCCACGAGTGTCTGAGTCGTATCAAGCGCTTCCTTCTTACTCAAAGAGTCTTTAAAGAAGTTGGTCTTGATATGATGGATCACTATACTCATATTACACCTATTTATGAGGTTGATCCTTTAGAAAAGATTACAGATGCGTATCTTGATCAATATCTTTGGTATGAGGGTGACAGGCGTAACATCTTTCCCAATTGGATCAAGCCCAGTGATTCTGAGGTGCCCCCTCTTCTTGTTTACAAGTGGTGCCAAGGCATCAACAACCTCAAAGATGTTTGGGACGTTTCCGAGGGACAATGTAACGTCATGTTCCAGACTACTCTCTCTAAAGTTGCAGAAAAGATCGATTTCACTCTGCTTAATCGTCTGTTGCGACTCATTGTTGATTCCAATATTGCAGACTACATTACTGCTAAAAACAATGTCAACTTGTCTTATAAGGACATGAACCACGTCAACCAATATGGTCTCATTCGTGGTCTTCAGTTTTCTTCCTTTGTTTTCCAGTATTATGGATTGGTTCTTGACATTATATTGTTGGGTTTGGAGCGTGCCAGTGAGCTTGCTGGTCCTCCCACCCAACCAAATGACTTTTTGCAGTTTGCCGATGAAGAAACTGAAACAAGTCATCCCATTCGTATGTACGCTCGTTACATTGATAAGATCTTTATATTTTATCGCTTTACTGCTGATGAAGCAAAAGAGCTTAACCAGCGGTTCCTTATTGAGAATCCAGACCCCAATTTTGAAAACATTATTGGATATAATAACAAAAAGTGCTGGCCACGCGACGCTAGAATGCGTCTTATGAGACATGATGTCAACCTTGGTCGTGCTGTCTTCTGGCAGGTCCGTAACAGTCTTCCCCGTTCTCTCACCACGATTAATTGGGAAGACACATTTGCTTCGGTTTACAGTAAAGACAATCCTAATTTGCTGTTTTCCATGGTTGGCTTTGAAGTTCGAATTCTTCCTAAGGTTCGTGCTGAAGATATGAATCTACAGACTCAAGACAGCGTTTGGGATTTGATTGATGAAGAGACGAAGGAGAGAACCGCTTACGCATTTCTGCGAGTTTCAGAGGAAGACATTGCCAAATTCCGCAATCGTATTAGACAGATTCTCATGTCATCTGGTTCTACTACTTTTACCAAGATTGCGAATAAGTGGAATACCGCATTGATTTCCATCTTTACATATTTCCGTGAAGCTGCTGTTGCAACAGAAGAACTCCTGGATGCACTGGTCCGCTGCGAGACTAAGATCCAAACCCGTGTCAAGATTGGTCTCAATTCCAAGATGCCCAGTCGTTTCCCACCAGTTGTCTTTTATACACCTAAGGAGCTTGGTGGTCTTGGTATGCTAAGTGCAAGTCATATTTTGATCCCAACTTCAGATCTTAGATGGTCTAAGCAGACAGACACTGGTATCACACATTTCCGTGCCGGTATGAGTCACGAAGAAGATCAGCTTATTCCTAATATCTTCCGCTATCTGACTTCCTGGGAATCTGAGTTTAAGGATTCACAGAGAGTTTGGGCCGAATATGCTATGAAACGTCAAGAAGCATTGCAGCAAAATCGTCGTCTTACTCTGGAAGACCTTGAAGACAGTTGGGATCGTGGTTTGCCTCGTATCAATACTCTCTTCCAAAAAGATCGTCATACACTTGCATATGATAAAGGTCATCGCATTCGTACAGAGTTCCGCCAATTCAGCATTGCTCGTGTTAATCCATTTTGGTGGACCAGTCAACGTCATGATGGTAAACTTTGGAACCTCAATGCTTATCGTACTGATGTCATTCAAGCTCTTGGTGGTATTGAAACCATTTTAGAGCATACTCTTTTTAAGGGTACTGGTTTTGACAACTGGGAGGGTCTTTTCTGGGAGAAAGCTGCCGGCTTTGAGGACTCTCTCAAGTTTAAAAAGCTTACCAATGCTCAAAGATCTGGTCTTAATCAGATTCCCAATCGTCGTTTCACTCTTTGGTGGTCTCCGACAATCAATAGAGCGAATGTCTATGTTGGTTTCTTGGTGCAGCTTGATCTTACTGGTATTTTCTTGCACGGTAAGATCCCCACACTGAAGATTTCTCTTATTCAAATCTTCCGTGCCCATTTGTGGCAAAAGATTCACGAAAGTGTCATCTTTGATTTGGCATCGGTTTTAGACGAAGAAATGGACACTCTACAGATTGAAAGTGTTCAAAAGGAAACCATTCATCCTCGTAAGTCTTATAAGATGAATTCATCTACTGCTGACATTGTCGTCTTCTCCTCCTATCGCTGGTCTGTTTGCAAACCTTCCTTGTTGAACGATTCCAAGGATAATATGGACTTTGCCACTACTAACAAGTTCTGGATTGATGTTCAGCTCCGTTACGGTGATTACGATTCTCATGACATATCCAGATACACTCGTGCAAAGTTTTTGGATTATACCAGTGATGGCATCAGTGTTTACCCCTCTAGCACGGGTATCATGATTGGAATTGATTTGGCGTACAACATGTATGACGCCTATGGAAATTGGTTCCCAGGTCTTAAGCCCCTTGTTAAGCAGGCCATGTCTAAGATCATGAAGGCCAATCCTTCGCTCTTTGTTTTGCGTGAACGCATTCGCAAGGGTCTGCAACTGTACCAGTCTCAACCCCAAGAAGCTTTTTTGAACTCGCAAAATTACTCCGAGCTTTTTGGAAAAGACATTCAGTTCTTTGTTGATGACAGTAATGTTTATCGTGTTGTAACACACAAGACTTATGAGGGTAACATGGCCACCAAGCCTATTAATGGTGCCTTGTTTATCTTTAACCCTCGTACTGGTCAGCTTTTCCTCAAGATTATTCACACTTCGGTTTGGGCTGGTCAAAAGCGTATGATTCAACTTTCCAAATGGAAGACTGCCGAAGAAGTTGCTGCTCTTGTCCGTACCCTTCCTCGTGAGGAGCAGCCCAAGCAGATTATTGTCACAAGAAAGGGTATGCTTGATCCTCTTGAGGTTCATATGTTGGATTTCCCCAATATTTCCATTAGACCTTCCGAGCTTCAGCTGCCATTTAGTGCCGCCATCAAGATTGAAAAGCTTGCTGATCAGATTCTTAAGGCTACTGAGCCTGAGATGTTGCTTTATAACTTGTATGACGACTGGCTTATTGACAATAAGACAGAGCCAGGCACAGCCTTTTCTCGTCTTGTTCTCATTTTGAGAGCCCTTCACGTTAATAACGAGAAAGCCAAGATCATCTTGCGTCCTGACAGAACTGTTGTCACTCAGGAGTACCACTTGTGGCCATCATACACCATTGAGCAATGGGTCAACGTTGAAAACCAGCTCAGTGACCTTATTCTGAATGACTATGGTAAAAAGAATAATGTGGATCCTGCATCTCTCACACAGCAAGAAATCCGTGATATTATTCTTGGTCAGGATATTAAGGCTCCATCTTTGCGTCGTCAGGAAATTGCTCGTATTGAGCAACAAGAGCAGGAGCAATCACAGCTCACTGCAGTCAAAACAAGAACCCAAAACGTTCATGGCGACGAAATGGTTGTTGTTACCACAAGTAATTATGAGCAGCAAGCCTTCCAATCTAAGACTGAGTGGAGAAGTCGTGCTATTTCTACTACCAACTTGCACTTGCGTGCCAAGCACATTTATGTTTCTTCGGATGATATTCAAGATGACGATACTCATTTCACTTATGTCATGCCAAAGAACATTCTCAAGAAGTTTATTCAAATTTCTGATTTGCGTGCTCAAGTTGCCGGCCTGCTTTATGGTTTATCTCCTGCCGATAATAGCCAAGTTAAAGAGATCAAGGCTATTGCCCTTATTCCTCAGCTTGGAAACGCACACTCTGTGCAACTGGCTAGTCATTTACCTGATCCCTCTGATCCATTGCTTGAGGGCCTTGAGCCCTTAGGTTGGTTACACACTCAAGCTCAGGAACAACCTTTCTTGTCTCCAGTTGATGTCACTGCTCAGGCTAAGCTCATGAATGAGAACTCCAGCTGGAACGCAAGTGCCATCACTATGACAGTGTCCTTTACTCCAGGCTCTGTGTCTCTTGCTGCATTTTCTCTTTCTTCTAAGGGATTGGCGTGGGGCTCTCAAAATAAGGATATCTTTTCTCCAAGCCCAGAGGGTTTCTCTACTCAATTTGGCGAAAAGTGCCAGTTGCTTTTGTCTGATCGCATCAAGGGCTTTTTCTTGGTCCCAGATACCAACCTTTGGAATTTTGCATTTGTCGGTGCTGGATGGAGTCCTAGTACAAAGTACGATCTTAAGGTTGATACACCTTTGCCATTTTACCACGAGCTCCATCGTCCTATTCACTTTACTACATTTACTGAGCTGGAGAACGATGATATTGGTATTGACCGTGAAGATGCCTATGCTTAGTTTTTGTTTACTTGTTTTTTTTGTTTTGTTTTCATATCTTGTTATATTCTGTTTCTTGTATATTTCCATAAAAAATATTTATATTGTTTATTTCAATTTTCTTTGATTATAAATTTATTAAAATTATTAAATTTTAATAAAGAGCTAAAAAAATTCAAGGTCAAAGTGTTAAATACTTTTTTTTTTTCGTTTTTCAAATACGAAGCTATTAAATTTCAGCAGGTGTTTCTAATCTCTTAAAGCAAGCAACAAACTTATCGCCCTCATTTCTGGCAACCTTCTTGCCCTCCTCAGTATCAGTATACATGATCTTTGCACATGTATCGTTTTTTTCGAAATCTTCAGACATTCTTTCAAACAAAGGATGTTCGTCTAGATGTTTGACCATCCATTCATGAAGATCTTTTACATCAGTAATGGTATAAATAATACCACCGGGTTTCAAAACATAAGCGTACTCAGAACACAGAGTTGTAGTAACAATTCTAGCCTTATGCTTTTTGCTCTTAAAGTGGGGATCAGGGAAACAGAAAAAGATTTTTTCCAGCTGGCCCTTCTCGAAGAAATTTGGCAAAAACTTCATGGCATTACCTCGCAGAACAGCGATATTATTGTAGGCATTTTCATCTGCATGCTTTTTGCGCAGAGCTATTATTTTGTCTTCAACAAATTGAGTAACCTGAACGCGAATTTCCATACCCAAAATGCATTTATCAGGGAAAGCGGGTGATAGAGACATCAAAAGACCACCAAATCCGCAGCCAATATCTGCAATTGTGACTTTTTTAGTTGGGTCATCTAGAATGGCAGGAAATAAAACATCCCAGTTCATATCTTTAGGACTCTTTGGGCTATAAATGTAATCGCGGTTAGAATTTAAAAAAAAAAAAACAATAGTTTGACGCGACTTACTATTCAAGTTGGTGGTCTGAAAATGGATTAGAATGAGCACGTTGTCTGTAATATTTTTTCTATTATAATGTTAAAATCCAAGCTTATTTTCAACAAAAAATAGGCATACCTTTGGAAGTTTGATTTCGTCATCCTTATCTTTTTCTTCAAACTTGACGGTTTTAAGCATTTTCCGTTTGGCCTCTTGTTCTAATCTGTAGGCTTTTCTTTTGTAAATAATTTCCTTAGAAGTTTCATCATCAGCAGGAGTGCCAGGAACACTGACTGCAGGTGATTCCTCAGTTGACTTTTCAGTAGACTCGGTCATTGATTTTGTAATTTTTATGATTCTGGTTATCGTCGACCAAATCCCAGTCTTTAGTTAGGAAAATTTTTTGAAGGTCTGAAAAATAAAAACGGTCTGTGATCTTCTAAGCGGACCCAATATTACGCATAAGTTACACGGGATATGAGGCCTCCACCAAACAAATTGCATCTTTAGAAATTTTTTTCTTTTTTTCCTCCTCCACCTTAATTTCAAGTTTTTTTAATCGTGTTATCAAACTACATGTTTCTTTATGCTTTGTTCTTAATTCTTAAATTTGTATATTTCCAACGATTTAAAAGTCAATATTTTTTTCTTAAAAGCGTGATCTGATATCAATAATTTTTTAATAAACACTTTTCCTCTTTTATTTAAAATAGGAAACTTTTATCCTTAAAAATGAATAGGCCGCCTCCCAATCTTGAACAGATGAGACGAGATGCTCTCAAATCTCTTCAAGAAAAAGCAAAAACTACGGTTGAACGAAAATATCAGTATCATCAGAATAGTCCTTACAATGCCAATAACAACAACAACAACAATAATAATAATAATAATAACAATCAACACTACGGACACCAATATCCTCAGCAAAATCAATATCCTCAGCAAAATCAATATTCTCAAAATCAATATCCTCATCAACTGAATCAACAATATGGCCAGCGTGGAAGCGCGTCTAACTCTGGTCCTTATCGTTTCCATAGAAATGATTCAAGACGCGCTCCACCAGAGTCTCATTTTAATTATCGTAATAAACCTTCATATCAGAATAATGGCAGTAAAATTAATAATAATTATCGAAATTCTCGTCCTAATTACTATAATACTCCTGGATCCTCACATTTTCAGCAAAATCAAGTTCAAAAAGGAGAGCCAGAAATGATTGTTATTGATTCTTCACCATCTCCAGAGGGATCAGATGATATTATGGAAATTCTTCCTCCAGTTCCTATGCAATCTCATGAATTTCCACAACAACATGGACAAGCATTAACTCAGTCCCTGGAACAAGAACAAGAAAATCTGCCACAGCCGATGCCAGTAATATCAAATGAAGCCGTTAATGAACAAAAATTTTTATTACCAAAAGAACAAACAAAGGCTATCTCACCTGTTAAACCACAAGGCACTTGGCAGGCATCTTCACCGGCCGTTTTGGCAGCCAAACTAAAGGGTTTGTTTTATTTTATTTTAATTATTATTGAGTCTAACTTTGTTTTAGAAGCTACTGTTGCTGTTAATGATTTACGCGCTTTAGGATACAATTATTATGACTTGGTTGTTCTAGCTAAAATTCACCCACAATTTTTGGATGAACATTTCCCTGAGCTGCGAGATCAGAAGCCATTGCCAAATTTAAAGCGAACACATGAACAAATTTCTTCAAAAATGGGAGCAACTGTTAATATGCAAAGCTCTCCGCTTTCTTTGCCATTAACTCCAATAACACAGAAATCGGTTTCAGGTAGTACAAATCTTAAATCTTCTGTTACGTCAACTACTTCAACTACTTCATCGTCATCTTCATCTTCATCTTTAACATCCCTACGAAACGCGTTAGAAATTCTTAAAAGCAAGTCAGGCACGGCTTTACCCACCCAACAAAATCTTTTATCACCTAACTCTAACTTTCTTGAAAAAGAGAATATTCTTACTTTAACAAACGTTCAACCTAGCATCGCATCTATTAAGCCTATTGCCTCTTCTGTCCAAGCAACAGCAGCTTCTAGCAAGCTTCAAAAAACTGATATACCCAAACCTTCATTACCCATGTTTGCTCATACTAATAAAAAGGTGAAATTTGGTGAAGATAGATGGTCTCAATCATTAAACATTGTTTTAAGTGAAAGCGAAGATAGTGATGATGAACAGGCTGTATCTACACCACTTACCCCATCATCTTCAGGTTCTTCTAATCAAGCTAAAGCATTGATGGAACAAATTCGTCTTTTGCAACAAAAAATTGAAAAGGCGGAAAATTCCAAAGCTAACACTCCTTCTAACGGATTAGCCACTCCCTCATCTAGCATTAATACCCCACCAATCACTGAAGAAATAGTCAAGGAAACTCCAAACGAGATATCTTTTACTCCTTTACCTTCAGAGACTACCACAAATTCTAAGCAATCTACTCCTACGATGGGGCTTAATTCTGTCAATTCTGTATTATCTCTACATCTTAAAAATCAAAAAGATGTATTTGAAAAATACAGTAATGATCGTGAACGTATTGAAAAGGAAATTTCTGAGTGCTCAGCTGAAATCCGTTTGATTGATTTAGAAAAAGTAGAGCGTGAAGTGCAAGAATTAAAATTAGCGTATGAAAAGAAAATGATGGAACATATGGAGAAGAAGGTTAAGGCAGCTACAACCCAAACCAAACTTGACTCGCTTAAACAATCAGCTAGCCGTATTTCTAATATTATTTTGCAAGCTGAGGCTGAAATTTTTCGAACTGAAAAAGAAATGCAAAATGACTTAGAAAGTATTGATACCAAAAAGTTTGAAGTGGAAGCCAGTAAGCAAGTTCAAGAAGAGATTCTTAATGATGACCTGGATGTTAATGTGGTTGTTCCAGCCCAAGAGACAAAAAAGAAGAAGAAGAAAGACAAAAAGAAGAAAAAGAGGGCTAAGAACGTAACTGAAGAAGAAATGGATGACTCTGACATTGAAATTATTGATGTCAAGAATAATGGTAATGATTGATTTTTATTTTTTTATTTTCTTTTTAATTTATTTATCAGTGGTTTCTTTTAATTATTAACATTTCCTAGTAGATTCTGATGACAATGTTTCAATAAAGTTTGAGGACTTTAAGAATATTGACAATATTGACAATATAGAGTCTCCAGTAGATGATGAGCCACCTAACCAAACGAAGTCAAAAAAAGAGGACGATTCTATTGATCAAAGCGACTTGGCCAGCGATGAACAAAAAGAGACACTTAAGGAAGATGAAGCTTTTGATCTTGGTGAAGTTGACAATAATGACGATCTAGAGTCTCCTATTATATCTGGTATTTCCGGTGAGCATGATGACGATAGTCCAAGTTCTCCTGAGCCTGAAGAAGCTATGATTCATAAGGAAGCGTCACCCGAAGCAAAGGTTTGTAACTTTTAGGAGTATTTACTAATTTTTTCTAACCCCGCATTAGATTTCCCACTTTACGTCATATGAATCACCATTAAATATCTTTCGATCATTTAAATTTAGTCCGTTTTTTAACGAAACTATTCAGGGTCGGTACAAGTCACTAACCTATTCACAGATTCCAGATGAGTATATTTGCAACAATGAGTTTGAGCACGGCGAATGCAAGATGCCTAATTGTAAATGGCTGCATTTTAAAGATATTGGATCTTCGGGTATGTATTTCCAGTTATTCTTCTACTAAGATGATTATCATTATTATTTTATGCTTTTTTTTTTGAGTTACTTGCTGATGACAATTTCCAATTACTTGGTTTAAATATTTTTTCACCTGATGATTTTTTTTTCTTCTTTTTTTTCCTATTTACAATTTGAATTTTTTTCTGAAATTTTCTTTTTTCATTATTTTTAAAAAATTCTGTTGTATTATTTTTTTTTTTTTTTGATTTTTTCACCGTTTTGAATTTTTCTATTCTTTTTTATGATTTCATTATTCTCTTAGATTTTACAATCTTGAATGAAATGGCCAAGGCATTTTTAGGTGATACCCCCGAAGAGATTGACGACTACCGTTCAGGACTGGTAAAGATGCTTACGGCACAAGGTGAGTCTTTGGACTTTGACAGTACCGCTCAAGCATCTATAGATTATCGGCGTAGCAAGTGTCCTGATCGTTTCTTGGACTGGCACAAGTTCAATTCGGTTAAGGTTAAACAAGAGAAAAGTGCGGGAGGATCATGAGAGTTATATTTATTGTTATTGCATGTAATTAAAAGAGGTAATTGAAGCGATCCTTCCTCTTTTTTTTCTCTCTCTGTTTTATTTGCTTCTAGTCATGACTTATCAGCAGCCATAGATAGTTTTTATATTTGGGCAGAAACGTTATTCAAAAACTAGTTTTGCCCCATCTGCTCTTTGGAGAAGATATAGAAGTAGTATTTGATTTCCAAATTATTTGGATAACACTAATATTTGTTTATAGTATTGTTTTTTTTAGTATAGATTTTATGATTAATGATTTATAAATTTGACCTTTTAAGATAAAAGAAACCCCTAGGGTTTAGGCCTAATTAGGTGATTGATTGATTGATTGCAACAAGTGGATCTGAATTCAGATGTAGTTTCGAAAGTAGATCATTTGTTATAAAGTTTAATATCTTGTCGATAGATATTATGTAGATCCAAATTATTGAACTTAAATTATTAATACTTGACGACTTGGCTTTGTAAAAAGCCAATTTCTTTTAGAGCGCCGCCAAAAGTTCCTTGAATAAACGGTGGGCCTCTTCTTTTGGAGCCGGCCACAATTTCAATGAACTTTGGAGGTCCACAGACTAGCACCTTGTTTTTTTCACCAGGAATTCCGACTTCCTTTTTTAGAATATCACTGGTTAATCTACCTGTGTATTTAGCAACTTCGTCAGACTGTTCCAAAACGTGAACTACTTCAAATCTATCAGGGTATTGGGTCTTTAGTTTATCTATTTCATTTTTAAAGACAATGTCGTCTTTTGTTTTGTTTGCATAAATCAACTTCAACTTTGTTTGGCTGAAGGGGTCGTTTAGTGTAGCATTTAAGTAGCTCCATAAGGGAGTAAGTCCGCTACCGGCGCCAATTAAGTAAACTTGGTCATATTTTGAGGTAGTACCATCCATTTGAACATGAGGAAGAGGTCCTGCAATTTTAACCTTGTCTCCTGGTAACAATTCAGAAACAGATTTGCTAACACCCCTGTTATAGTTTTTGATTGCGAAGTGAATATACCCAGGATCCGAATCATTGTAGAATGGGGTAAAGGGTCTGATACCAGCAGAGGTTTTGATAAGCATAGGAGCTGTAATTGGAACAGTAGGGGAATCAGAAGATGGAAGCTTAAATCGATAGTGTTTCACGTCTGGGGTAAGTTTTGTAGCTTCATCAAGCTCTACTGGAGTCATTCTATAAGGTGGGAAATTGAAGGCTACATTTGAAGAGCCGCATCGTTTAGAGATCAAATATCCGCCTATAATGGAGATTGTTCCGACTGTGATAATAGTTTTTGAGCCTATCATTTTGTGATTAAGCAAAAATAAAAAGTGTTATGAAAAAGAAAGGCTTGATTAGAGAGATTGAAGAGTGGTAATAAAAACTGATGTGATTCAAAAAAAAAAAAAAAAAAAAAAAAAATAGAGGGGAATTGTCTTCTTTTTAAAAGGATTTCAATTCCTATAAGGGGGGGTTAAGAAAACCCAATCAAATGTTAAACATGATGTGGTCAATTGAAATGGAACAATGGACAATATATATCACGCGGTAAGATAATTTGCATGTAAAGAAGGTGGGGAGTGGTGGAGTTTGTTAAATAACCTAATATATTAAGTTTAGTTTTCAGTTCTTCGAACTCACGTCAGAAGTTCCAATTAAGTGCAATTTAATTGGTGTGAGATGATTTTTAGCCCAAAGTAGTATTAATCTTAACGTTTTATTTTTTATTCTTTTTATAATATTTTTTTTAATTTTTTTTTGGTTATAAGCTTTAGGGAAGTTATAATCAAATCAGTTGAACTGAATTGAATTGAATTATGAATGGGTTGATTTCAAACTATTTGGAAACCTTGAAATTTTAATTCCAAAGAAAGAACATTTACTATTATTTGCATTTTTGCGGGGAAATACTAAGAAATATGTCTTATCTGTGATGTACAATTACCATTAACTTTTTTTTTTCTTCTTCTTCTCACTCGAGGACGTCATTTTGTACTGTAGTAATTGACAATGCTATTTTGGTCCATAGTTTTAAGTTAATGGAAAATAAAAAGGTCAACAATGTCTTGATACAACTTAAAGATAATGGGCAGATAAGTCTTTATCATTCTGACGTTAGTTTGACAATAAAATCAAGTTATTATTAAATATAAAACCAACGTAACGTTAACAAATTTGTTCTGATGATCGGATCTCATCACACTGTCAATGATCATGTTTTTTTTTTTTTTTTTAAAAAAAAAATTTTATTTAAAGTCAAATTGACAATCATAATCAAATGGGTTTAAAGGTGTCAAAAATCTGACTTGGTAATATGTCAATGATTTGAAAGTAAAAAAAAAAAAAAAGAAAAGAGGGAGGGTCATCATTGATTTAACCTAAAAGATATAAAATATGTTAGTATACAAGATCAAAAGTATAATAAACAATAAAAAAAATTTTATTGAAATTGAAAATTGATGATTCAAAAATTCTCAACTTTTTAAATTCAATAATGGTAATAATATCAGTATTTTGAACAGATTTCCAATTTTTTTTTTTTAATTTTGAAGTTGTTTTTTTTTTTTTTTTTTTTGATTTCAATGTTGAGAACTGTTAATATACGGGGATTGTTACGTAATTTATTACATTACCAGATCAGTTTCTAAAAATTTCACTCTACACTTTTAAAAAAAAAAAGGGCATCACCACCAAGCGTCACAACAATAAACCAACGCAACAACAACAACAGCAACAACACAAACTGTACAAATATATAAAAACATATACAAATCACAATGTCAGTTTTAGGACGATTACCAAATGATGAGGTTAGTAAATATAAAAAAAATAAATGTTGATCTCATGTCTCCATTAAATTATTGATTCTAACATTAATCTTAGTACCTGGAAAAGCTGGCCAAAACATTAAAGGCTGCGGAAACAAAGGGAAGCGTGTTTCTCACTCAAAAGAGATGTAAGTATCAGGAGAACTACAATGATATTATGTTTATTTATATTTAATTTTAAAGAAAAGAGAATAGAATTTTTTTTCTAACTTTTGGCTGAAATATTTATTAGACTCTCCTAAGGACGGAGTAACAAATGAAGTTCCAGACACAAATGCGCTGCTATTTCGGGCAACGGATGGCAACAGCGACAAGAAGAAGAAGGTCAAATTCTCGACAGTTGTTAAGGCAGAGGACCTGGAGGCATTCTGGGTCAAGTACACCGAAGTGATCAAGGCCGGAATGGTTGGATTAAGGAAAAAGGATAAGAAGAAGAAGGCTAAGAGCAAGGCAAAAGCTGCGGCGGCGGCAGCAGCAGCATCATCGACAAAATAAACGAGAAATATGAGGTGTACTATTATTATAATGCTTGTAATTATTGGAGAAAAAAATTGAACGGAAAAGAAGGATGATTTAATGATTTTAGAAAAAAAATAAATAAAGTCCCGAATCGGAACTCGGAACATGTACCGGTTTATCGGAGCTTGTCCGGAGTCCGTTAATTGTTACTAAGTTTTCGGTACATTTGTTATTTCTGTAGGCCACGTAGCGTGTGGCTTTTTTTTATTTATTCACGTGATAGTGCGTACTTTGGGCATAGCGCTTGTCTAATCGGGTTTTTGTAGTTGTTGTGGCACATAGCAGTAGCAACAGCAAAAATTTTTTTTCTTTACATGTGGCGGCGGCCAGGCTGATAAGCAGCGAGCGGCTGGGTCCTTTTTTTTTTTTTTTTTTTTTTTTTTAATGTTAATTATTACTTAATCTATAATATTATTATTATGGGATAATAATATGGTACGTGGAGGAAGAATCCATAGGATTTTTATAGAAATTTCTTTTCTGGGCTTTTTTTCTTTTATTTATTTATTTATTTCTTCCTTCCTCCTGTTTAAGACTTTCAATTCTATTGTTTCATACCTGAATATCGCCAGTATCTTCATATATAAAAGCTTAATTATCTTACTTTTATATAATCTTTAATCTTACTATTCCTTTTCCCCTAAAAAAAAAAAAAAAATCATCTTATCATGACAGTCTCTTGGAACATCTCCTTTGGACGAAGTTCCCAAGCAGTTCTCGCTGCAACCCTCACAAGCTTGGGCTGTGGTACACTCTATGTCTACTCCGCTTACTCGACCCAACTCGCAGACAGACTCGGACTTTCAGCTACCCAGTCCTCCCTTGTAGGCATGTGTGGAAGTGTCGGTGTATCATTGCTAGGAATTCTCGCAGGAGTGTTGGTCGATCGTACCGGCCCCTTTTGGCCTACATTCTCCGGTGGTACTTTACTTCTTACTGGTTACATGCTCATCTTTTACTGCTACTATGCCCGTGTAAGCTTCCTGCCATTGCTTGCCCTCGGGTCTTCCATTGCAGGCTTCGGGTCCTCCTTGGGTTACTCGGCTTCCCTCAAAACTGCAGCACTCAATTTCCCTCATGCAAGAGGAACTGCAACAGCTTTCCCCATCTCGACTTTTGGTCTTTCAGCATTCTTTTTTTCATCTCTTGGAGCTTTGCTCTTCCCGGGAAATACTTCAGCTTTTTTGCTGCTATTGGCTTTTGTCACTTCAGGACTCTCTATCTTTTGCTCCTTTTTCCTTTACGTCCCACTCACAGGCTATCACAAGCCTTCGGCCCCACCGCCCATGACCATTGCTGACCACCACCACCAATATCAGCACCAACGCCAGGACTCTTCCTCCTCCTTTGTAGACGGAACTCTTACACCTTCCGCAGTTATCTCCAGCAGTTATGGATCAACAGCTCCTAGCCCAAGGTTTTCCCCAGTTGCAGCCGTTGACCAGCGCGACAGGCTTTACTCGCAACACTCGCTTGCAACACTCACAGACCAACTCACCTCGCTTTCAGATGCTCCCAAGTCTCCCCGCAGGCCCTCCTTTTCACCAACTGTTTCGTCCTCGACTTTATCTACAGCCGTGAATGCGACCGCAGGGGCTTCTTACATAGCTACCAAGCCTTCGTCATCATCCCCTGAAACAACCCTTCTGGGGAAAGCAGCGACAAATGCTCATGAAACCCCTCCTCTAACAAGCCAACTTCAAGCCGGACCCATCCATCCTCAGGACGATAGCCACAGTATTTCTGGATGGACTCTTTTGCGCAGAAAGGAATTTTGGGCCCAATGCTTTGTTCTTTGTGGACTCGCTGGTACCTGCCAGATGTATATTTGTGAGTATTAAAATAATCTCCGAATTGTTTGATAACGAATTCAACATACAAAATTCATACAAACACCTTTTACTAACGCAGTATTATTATTTTTTTTCTTCTTCTTCTTCTTCTTTTTTCTTTTCACCTTTTTTTTTATTTTTAGATTGCGTCGGATATATTGTAAGAGCTTTGGCACTCGCCAATCAAGAAGTTACAGACGATGTGAGCATGGCCGTTGCTGCATCCTCGGTTGATAGCCAGGTGCAAGCCATCCAAGCCCTCCAAGTCTCCATCATTTCGCTATCCAGTTTTGGTGGTCGCATTATTAGCGGCGTCATGTCGGATGTTTTGAACCAACGGCTAGGTTTGCAACGTTTATGGATGATTTTTGCAGCCGCCGTAGTATGTCTCCTTGTTCATGCCATCATGGCCACAACAAACTTTACATCACCAGTATACCTGTGGCTGCTCTCGGCTCTTGTCGGGCTTTCCTACGGACTGGCCTTTGGCGTGTACCCGACCATTGTCGCAGACACGTTTGGCATGTTTCGGTATTCGCAGAACTGGGGGATGGTCTGCGCATCCCCAGTTTTGGGCGTGTACCTTTTCAATTTAATATTTGGAAAGATCTACGACGGCAACTCCGTACAAGTCCCTGGGTCCTCTGCACACACTTGCTTCAAAGGAGCAGCGTGTTATTCCAAGGCCTTTGAATATACAACAATCTGCTCCGTCTTGTGTTTGATCACAGTCTTGTGGATGATTTGGACTCGTGAGCACCAGCATCCAAGCAGTAAATATATTCCTCTTGCACCTCCTATCTTTGAAACTGAAGATGATGCCGATGAGGCAGACGAGCTTACCCATTCTCGCATTATTCCTTAAAATGGAACATGATCTATTTTAATCAAGGTGATACCAAAAAGTTTCTTGCTTGTGTTTTATATGTGTACATTTTCATGGTTTTTTCATTCTTTTTATAAAGGCTTTTTTTTTTTTTTATAAAAAAAATAAAAAAAAAATCCCCAATTATTTTATCTTTTGTTTTATTTTCTTTAGTTTAAGTTTAAGTTTAATTTTTTTTTTTGTTTTTCATTAGCAAATCTTTGGGTCTACTACCATCCCTCATCAATTTCATCGTCATCATAAAGAGGTGGTGTTGCAGCAGACACATCCACATCAGGATCAATTTTTGGTGCTGCGCTTGCGTTACCAGAAGATCCAGCGCTCGCACGCTTATTATCGGATCTTCCAGAAGGCCGCGAAGGAACATCAACTAAATCTTCATTTTTAAAATCCTGCTTGCTTCGGCGAGTACTTGTTCCATTCTTGCTGCTCTTGCTGCCATTCTGGCGCGTCCGTTGTTGGGGCTTGGAAATTTCAACAAAATCATCCTGTTCATCATCCAATGTCACAGGATTCTCACTAGTACCTTTGCCGTGGTCAATATTCTCATCCTCATGCTCTTCAAAAATATCGTTGTTGTTATTGTTTTCATTCTTCCCCGAACGGGACCCACCTGATTTGCTGCTGTTACCACCATTGTGGCTATTGCGCCTAGTATTCTTATTGCCCCTATTATTCTTGTTGCCTCTATTGTCTTCGTCGTCATCAATTTTGTCGTACCTATCTGAGTGGTACTCATCATCATCCCCATGATGACCCTCCATGTCGACGTCATCGTCATTGTCAGAGTACCGATTGTACTCCTCGCCATTATCCTCATCATCATATTGCCCACTATTCCGGCGGCCATTGTGGTGGCTGTTATTATTATTTTTGTTGTTGTTGTTGCTGTTGCTGTTGCGACGATTATTGTCGCGTCTATCTGATCGGCTATTGTTATGCCGAGAGTTGCGGTCACGGCTTCGGTCGCGGCTCCGATCGCGCGTGCGGCTATGGTTACGTTGGTCGGGACTGCGGTCGCGAGGATCCCGACGATGGGTGTTGCTGTTGCGGCGGTCCCTGAACCGGTCATTGTGTCCACCATAGTCACTGCCTCGTCGGTCATCAAATCTATTGTTGCGACGCACGTCTCTAGTATCACGTCGTTCCTTTTCACGGGGTTTTCTACTTATAGACTAGACAAACATGTTAAAAAAAACCCTTACTTGGAAAAAAAAAATTCAAGTTTACTTACATCTTCATGAATGACAATTTCGTTTCCAAGAAGCTCAGAGCCTTGCATATTGTCCAAAACATAATCGACATCTTCCTGACTTTCCAAATCAATAAGACTAAGTAATTGTGTTAATGAGATATTTTTTTGGCACAAAGTCGGTAATGAATTAAGTGCTTACCCAGTACCATCGCCGGACCGTGAGACTTCACTATAAGACACATTGATTCTTTGTTTTCTGAAGTGATCTTTCAGGTCCTGATGGATTCGAAATAGAATAGAAGAGAAAAAACGCAAAGAAGCGTTTTTTTTTTTTAATTCCAGACAGAAATTAGAAACAGGCAATTAAAAAAAGGCTAAACATTCCAGACCAAAAAAAAAGAAAACGAAAAAAAATAAGAGAAAAAAAGACTTCCAGAGCAGATGAATGAAAAAATAAGGTATCAAATGAAAAACAAAGCCAGCTTTTTTCTTGTAATTTGGTTGGTTCATTGGAGAAACAAAATAGGACATACCTTCCACTTGGTGTCAGGGTTTAAACCAGAAAGTTGGACGCGAAAAAGATCGTCTTCAGAAGGTCTGCTTGAGCGACCTGAACGAGAAGGAGGGCCCTCACGACGCTCAATACGGTTGGCCATTGCGACCGTAGCTTTAAAGCCACAAAGGTCGACCTCAGCTATAGAGAAAATTAGTTGAGTTTTTATTTTTTTGATGGTATGAGTGGAACAATAGAGTAGCGTTTTCACCAAATTTTTGTGGGCTCTTTGAGTTGTTTTAAAGAGATGGGCAACAATTGAAAAGAAGGATAAAAAAAAACCAAGAGTAAAACTTACTTTCAAGAGCTTTAGACGCGTCTTCTTTTCTTGTAAACTCAACAAAGCCCTAGATGAAAAAGTAGGATGTTAATTAAGAGATGTTGGGATTGAAAACAATTGGCTAACTGGCTAGTTTTGTGTGGTGAGAGTTTTTTTGTATGTATGTGGGGAAAAAAAAACGTTGAGGAATTTACTGTATAATAAAAATTAAAACAGCCCTTCAAAAAAAAAAAAAAAAAAGCCAAAGCGCCCATTTTTACAAATATCCAGCATTTAAGGAAGTACATACGTATCCCTTGAGCATCTTGACCTCACGAAGAGGGCCAAACTGAGAAAAAGCCGCAGTGACTTGGTCCAGACGGACTAAAATAAATGGACATGTTAGAGTGGGTTTTGGAACCTTTTTTTTGTCGTAGCATTAAACGGACGACGCGAACATATGTACGCGTGCGCGTATGTGATGAGTGAAAGCTTCATATCTGGTTGCAATCGGCAATCTGCAAGTACAGAATCAGAAAGACTTACACTCAGGCTTGCAAGGCTTAAAAAAGATTCTGTTTCCTGGCAAGGTCATTAGGATAATTTTTTTTTTTTTGTTATTGTTTTAGGGTTGTTTGGTGGTAATGGTTGTGGTAATAGTTGTGGTTATGGTGGTGGTGGCTATTTTTGTGATTTTAAAGGCTGGTTGGCTGGAAACAAAAAGACAGTTGAATGGTGGCAGTGCGCAGGAATTTTAATTTTTTTTTTTTTTTTTTGGTAAGCGAAACTTCCACATTTGAAAAAAAAAAACAAACGAGGACGCTGAAAAAAAAAAAAAAAAAAATCCACCAAGAAAAATCTAAAAAATTTCACAATCCCTAACCCATTTTGTCACGTGCATTCAGCGGCCTTCCCAACAGGCCCCTTCAATTTTCTTCTCCAAACTTTTTTTTTTTTTTTACTTTAACGCAAAACCCGATCTTTAATCAATCAACCACCACCCGACCACTCCCGCACACAATGGCCCATCAAAGACTCCCGGCCGGTGCCCTTAGAGCCTCTGCCCTGCTCCGGGTTACCAAAAAACCTCTATTTAAACTACTACAACCCAGCTCTACATCTTCCCTTTTCTTCTCCACATCATGCATCCGCAACTTTGCTCAACAGCAGTCCCCTCACCGCCGTAGCAGACCCCAGGCTCCGCCTAAAGATTCCTCTCTTTCGGATCGCTACAACCAGCTCAAGCTTGCCTGGCGCAGCCTCAACGAGCACCCCAGGTTCCGCACAGGTGCCTCTGTCTTTCTCATCATGCTCTATGCCGCAGCTGCCTACGCTGGTGTTCAGTACCTCTCCGACACAAAATACAAGGCCACCGGAGAACCAAACCCTTACAAAAAGCGCGAGGATGTCGAGCGCGAACGTTTGAATACTACCTCCATTAAAGACATTGCATCTGAATCTGGAATTGATACCCTTACTGATAAAGACGGAGGTGCTGATGACACCACTGCTCCCACTTCTGGCAAACCAGGAATCCCAGCTCCTAGAGATACCACTGAAATCTTTGACCAGATGGCCCGTGAGTACGATGACAAGATCTGGCTTGAAGAACTGACTTCCCACATTTGGTACCGCCGTCGTCAAGTCATGAAGAACGTCGAGGGTGATGTTCTCGAAGTTTCCTGTGGTACCGGCCGTAACATCTCCTACTTTGATCCTGAACGCATCACTTCTGTCACCTTTATGGACTCATCTCGCTCTATGCTCGAGGTTGCCCGTGAAAAGTTTACTGAAAAATTCCCCACTTACGAGCATGTCCAATACGTTCGTGGTCGTGCCGAGGACTTGGCCAAAATGGCTGCTGGATCCGGCCAAAAGTTTGACACAATCTATGAAACTTTTGGTCTGTGCTCTCACGAAGACCCCTCGGCTGCACTCCGCAACTTTGAGGCCCTGCTTCGCAAAAATGGTCGCATCGTACTTCTCGAACACGGCCGCTCAACTTACAATTCTCTTAATGAAACTATGGATAAAAAGGCCGAACAGCGTGTCAAGGAATGGGGCTGTCGCTGGAACCTCGACATTGACCAAATTGTTCAATCCTCTGGCCTCGAAGTGGTCGAAAGTGACCGATATCACTTTGGCAGTACTTACTTTTACATTCTCAAACGAGCCGGAGACAACTAGACTGTGTAAATATTTCTCTCTTTTTTTTTTATTTTTATACTCTGTAAATATAACGATATTCTAATTCGCTTCACGCTCCCGCTTAACCACTTCATTGGCAATGGCCAACTTGACCTCATTCTCAACCAAATCAGCCGCAGTTTTGTAAATATTGCTGGCATCGTAAGCTGCTATTATCCGCGACTCATTGATGCCGATCTCCGCATATGCCAGAGCGTGAATGCAATTAGCATACCGTGCAATTGCCTCACGTGTGCTGGTTGAAATCTCCTCATTCACATCGCTATAAATCTCCAGTCCGGCCTCTTCCTCCAGTCTTGTAATCGACACGTTTGCATTTTCTGCAGCAGATGCCTTGGTTCGCTTGCTCAGCCAAATGTACCCATTAACACCCAAAATGCAGTCAATATTATCTGGCAACTTGTACGCGTGAACCTTGGACTTGATCACCAACGATGAAGGCACCGCCAAAAAGTACCCGTTGCGCAGCTTTCCATACCGCAGCGATCGGGTGTGAAGCGACGCAGCACCGTCCTGGAAAATCGATTGTACCTCAGCGTTCAGCAGATCGCCCTCTTTTAACAACTTGCGCATCTGCAACTCGTCGCTATCAGATTTACGTCGCAACACACCGCCGGGCAAATTCACAGACCCTAGCATCAACACCGCCTCTTGACTTCCGCCAATGTCCACCTTCCATCGCTTATTTCCGACCTCGGTGATTCGGCCTACAACATGGTCACCAATAACTGGCGGGTACCGTCCACGCAAAGGCTTGACACTCAGCAGCTTGTTCACCCGCAAAATCGTGCCGGCCACTGAAGAGTATATCTTATTATCTTCGGAATACGTACCATGACCTCTATAAAATAAAAACTGTTAGCAAAACCTCAAACTGATTTAGGTATATTCTACTCACCTCATCCAAGTTGTCTCATCAGTAACTAGTTCACCAGGTGTCACCAGGTTGGTATTGTTGACTGTGCCTGCATTCACATTCGACATGTCGATGCCCTGCTCATAATCACTATCGGCATCTTCAAATAAAATGTCACCATCTTTATCGTGATGTTCTTGAACAATTCTTTGGCGTACCGGCCGAGATATTTTGACAATAGCCATGATAATTTATTTTGATCTTGATTGATGAATGTGTGTAAAAGCCTAGTTGCAAATTTTAGAGGTGGGAGTGTGTATCGACTTTACCCTTTAAAAAAAAATTTCCACCTTATTAGGCGAAAATTTTAAAATTTTCCGTGCTCACTTGCCCAACACAAGAAAAAAAAAAATTCCCCACCCATCTTCCCCATTCATGTTTCTAAGATCTGCCTGGAGATCCGTCACTTCCTTTGCTTCTGTTGCTATTATTACCCCCATAAATACCCCCGTTTGGAATTCCCTGCGTTTTGTCAAAATGGCTTCTGCTCCAGTGGCTCGACCGCCCATCAAAAACTACCACCACTCAACGCGAACTGAGCGCTTCTTGCCGCCCGTGGATCGCACAATGACTGTCCTTGACAAGTCCTTTTTCCACAAAGAGATCCCACTCGTTGCTATCAAACTCGAGAATCCTGCTTTTATTTCTAACTTTGCTCGCTCATACGAGCGATTCATTTTGAAGCAGCACGGAGTTGGCCATGTCGTGTTTTTAGGCTCAGAAGAAAATTCTGGCGCTAAAGGCATATTGCTTGCCGAGCAATACACAGACGCAGCCGAGGCCGAAAAACAACTTGTGCCAGAGTTTTCTGAGATTCTTAAACAAACTCCAATCGCTTTTGTTCCCTACAGACTCCAGCTGACGTACGATTTTTGGAAGGCCGAAGAGATTCTTGCAGCCATTCTCCCTGAATCACTCCTGGAAGAAATACCCGTTGGATTTACAATTGTCGGACATGTTGCTCATCTTAACATCCGTGATCAATACCTTCCTTACAAATTTATCATTGGCCAAGTGGTTCTTGACAAGAACCCGCGTGTGCGCACTGTTGTCAACAAACTCGACGCTATTGACACGGTTTTCCGTACGTTCGATATGGAAGTGTTGGCTGGCGAACGCGATTTTATGGTCGAGCAGAGCGAGTCAAACTGCCGCTTTCGTTTTGATTTCTCCAAAGTTTACTGGAACTCACGGCTACATACCGAGCACGATCGACTTATCCGCAAGTTTCGCAAAGGTGAGGCCGTGTGTGACGTTTTCGCAGGTGTTGGACCATTTGCTGTTCCGGCAGGCAAAAAACACGTCTTGGCCTTTGCCAGTGATCTTAATCCGGAGAGTTACAAGTACCTAGTTTCCAATATTGAGCTCAACAAGGTTGGAGCATTCGTCAAGCCATTCTGCGAAGACGCACGCACATTTATCCGTGATGGTGTTACTGCTCTTCTTGACTTTGAAAAGGAAACCCCCACAATAACTATTCCTCCGAAGGGCCGTGTGTCGCGTTCCAAACCCGAGAAGAATAACCAACCTGAGGTTATTAAGGTCCCTAGACATTATTCCCATTATGTCATGAACTTGCCTGATACTGCTACTGAGTTCCTTGATAGCTTCATTGGTCTCTACAATAACGAAGAAATCAGACAACACGCGTTTGGTTCGACCGAAGCAGACGCTGTCATCCTGCCAACCATCCACGTCCACTGCTTTCACAAGCACGATCCACATGTGCCAGAGCCTAGCGAGGCAGAGGTCTTTGAAGATTTGCGAGCACGCGTAAGCACCAAATTGAATCACGAAATGAAAGCTGATGAGCTTGACATTCACAGCGTTCGCAAGGTCGCCCCCACCAAAACCATGTACTGCATTTCTTTTAAGCTGCCACTAGAAGTAGCTCTCACTAAACCCGCTGATATAGAATAGATATGAACATAATTAATTGTATTTTTTTTTGTTTACTTTACACTTTGTAGTCAAGAGTACCCTGGATGTGACCCCAAAAGTCCTCAACAAACTTCTTCTGCTCTGCAGGTTCTGCTCCGCGTACCGCAAAGTAGAGACGCGAATCAACTGCAGGGTGCCATTCACCCTTGTTTCCACCGGCCATGATGCCACCAGCTTCTTCAAGAATGATCCAGCCAGCGCAAACATCCCATGCCCAGCAGCCGCCCTCCCAGTAGGCGTCAATGTATCCAGCGGCAGCGTAAGAAATGTTAAGAGCTGCAGATCCCGCACTGCGGAATCCGTGGGCAAATGCACCGCCATCCTTTGAATCGGCTGCCAGAGACTTAAAAGTATCAGTCTTGACCTTGAAGTTATTGCCAGTGCGATCGGAGCCCCATTCAATTGCAAGAAGAGCGCTCTGCAACTTGAGTGGGCGTGGTGCAGTCAATGGCAACTTCTGTGTACCATTGAGGTAAGCACCCTTGCCCTTAATGGCAGAGAAAAGCTGGTTGGTGACAGGGTTGTACACAACGCCGACAGTAGGCTTCTTATTGAGTGCAAACCCGAGCGAAATGCAGTATGAAGGGTAGCTGTGGATGAAATTGGTAGTGCCATCAATGGGGTCCAAAATGAAAGTGGGTTCGTCAGTCAGCTCGCTCTCTCCAGGGACGTACGATTCCTCACCGAGAAATTTGTATTCAGGGAAAGCAACCGTAAGAGCGTTGTGGACAAGTTCTTCAACGGCCTTGTCGATTTCAGTGACGAGATCAACAGCTTTTAAAAAATCATTAGTATTACGTCTTGTCAAATTCCAATTGGGCGCACTTACCATTGGCCTTGTCGTCAAAACTGGTCTTTCCACTCTTCTCTTTCATAACCTCACCAGCTTGGCGAGCAAGAGCAACAAGGGTTTCCTTGATGATATCGAGATTGGGTTCAGTCATTGTGATTGCGGTAATTGTTAAGTGTTTGGAATGATGGGGAAGAGGGAAAAAGGTTTTGTTAGTGAAAACGTGGGAAGATCGCTGGTAAATCTCTTGGGGAATTTAAATTGCAGTCACGTGTGGAGAAACCTGAAAATTAGCTTGGCTTCATAATCCCCTTTGTTTTTTGCAACCAACATTGTTATTCTTCTTGATCTTGCGCTCATAAAATGTCGGTTGCTGCCTGGCTCGACCATGTCGATAAATGTCTGCGTCTTTCACCTCGTGACACGTCAGGGTCGTTGCCATATCTGTTTGTACTTAACATTCAGGATCCCATAGTATCTTCTCTTCAAAATGATATTCTAGATGTATGTACAGTTGATGAATCAAATTTAGTCACTGCTAATTTCCTTCAAGTCTTCAATCAATATTCGAAATGTAGTTGATGAAAAGGGTCTAAATAATGGTGACTGGTCGTCGTTTGATGAATTATGTATCACATATCTAGGTTTCGCTCGTGATGTGGACCCTACAAACCCGCGTGAATCATACTTTGCGCTCATCAAGTATGTCACTGCACTTCAAGTGGCATTTACCAATAACCGCGGCGCCATTCTTCAAGGCGTTGTTAAAGCATCACTTAGTACTGTACTTACAATGGGTCGTCAGCTCGACGCCAATGATACCCTCCAGCGCACGTCATATCTATCGACGTTGCTGCTCAAAATGTTCAACAACATTCGTGCGGAAAAGTCGCTTGAAAACTCTCAGCAGCTTTCTAAGAAAAGTGTCATTCTATTTGTCGCTAATATTCTGTGTCGGTCATATTACATGCTTCATACAGAATCCTCCTGCGCAAATGTTTTTTCTAATATTCACACAGCCAATCTTAAGTTTTCGAGTTACGCGCGCGCTGAACAAGTTGAATACCGTTATATTCTTGGTCGGTTTTACTTGGCCAAAGAGCAACTGACGCGTGCATATGACCATCTATCGTGGGCATTCCGTAAGTGTTTGCCACGAACACCGCAGCAGCGTCTGATTTTAAAATACCTTGTTCCTGCAGCCATGTTACTTGGACGGCTGCCCACCAATACGCTGCTAAGTCAATTTAATTTGCAGACTCAGTATGGACCTTTAGCAGCCGCTCTTAAAGCTGGAAACTACGCGCGGTTTATGGAATACCTATTGAATGGCCCATGTAGCGAGTGGTATGTGCGTGCGCGTATCCAGTTTCTGTTCCGCAATCGCACACCCATAGTTCTATTACGGCAAATTGTATATCGTACATGGGTGATTTTAAACCGGCCAAACGTACTCAAGTTTGATCAGATCCAGGCCGCACTAAGAGTTGCAATGGCTGGATCAAGTGAGTCCTTTGGATGGTATTCAGCCGAACAAGACGCAAGTGGGGAAATCACCGAAAATGTACTGATTACTCTAGTTAGCCAGAGATTTGTGATGGGACATGTGTATTCTCGGCGAGCACTGATCAAACTTAAAGATAAAGGACCGTTCCCAGCAATGGCCCGGGTGCATAATCTGGATTCGCGTACGGGTAAAGCTTCGACGGACCGATGGCTCGAGACGTGATTTATCTTCTATTCTATATAACTGTAATTGTAATTGTAATTGTAATTGTAACATTGTGATAATTTGTAATTTATGTTGTAACACAAAAAATTTGCTACGCGCCCGCCTGCCCTTTTGCCCAGCCATAGAGAAAGTGTGAGAAGGTGTTACGCGCAGGGAAAAAAAAAAAAAACCACACGACCACCGGGAAGCAACAAAAACTGAGGACCAAAATATACCAAAAACTCTTAATAACTACCAACCATTCAGACAGGAACTTCACTTTCTCAGTCAAAAAAGAACCATTATTTATTTTGTTCTTGAAGCAAGTGTTTTAGATTGTCAGATAGGAAAAAATACCGTCTTTAATCAACTCCATTTTAGATCCCGTGGCGTTTATTTCTCTCCCTCTTTTCCCTCCATTTCTCTCTATTCTCTTTTTAATAATCCACACACTCACCCACATTCTGCGGTAGTACCCAGACGCATACACATACACATACATACATAATACACACAACACAATGACAGAACGAGGCCCCGATGTCTGGCTTGAGGAGGTGCTCAAGTGCCAGTACCTGCCGGAAACTGACATGAAGCATCTGTGCGAAAAGGTTAAAGAGCTTCTGATGGAAGGTGAGGAGCGGATGTCCGTTTTTATATGGTGGCGCGGCCCATTGTTCAATTGATCTAACATGTTGAGTTCAGAATCAAATATCCAGCCAGTACAAACACCGGTCACAGTCTGCGGGTATGTTATTAAAGCAAATTTGGATTATTTTTTTTAAAACTTTTACTAACATGTTTATTCTAGAGGTAATTATCACCAGGATGAATTAATGAAATCTGTATCCTAACTGTTATAGATATACACGGCCAGTTCCATGACCTGCTCGAACTGTTTCGCATTGCAGGTGGCATGCCCGATGATGTCAACTATATCTTCCTAGTAAGTTTTAACACTCTTTTAATATTTTTTTTGTTTCTAACAATGAATTACAGGGAGATTTTGTCGATAGAGGATACTTTAGTTTAGAAACATTTACACTGTTAATGTGCCTGAAAGTCAAATACCCTAATCGTCTGACACTGGTGCGTGGAAACCACGAGAGTCGTCAAATCACACAAGTGTACGGATTTTACGAAGAGTGTCTGAACAAGTACGGAAGCACGACTGTGTGGAAATACTGTTGTCAGGTGTTTGACTTTTTGACACTGGCGGCTATCATTGACAGCAAGATTCTGTGCGTGCACGGTGGCTTGAGTCCGGAAATCCGCATGCTCGACCAAATTCGCGTGCTGTCGCGCGCACAGGAAATCCCCCACGAAGGCGGATTTTGCGACCTGGTGTGGTCGGACCCTGACGAGATTGAGACCTGGGCCGTATCGCCGCGTGGCGCCGGCTGGATCTTTGGCTCACGAGTAGCCCGTGAGTTTAACCATCTGAATGGTCTGCAGCTCATTGCGCGTGCGCATCAGCTGGTCATGGAGGGATTCAAGTACCATTTTGAGGAAAAGGATGTTGTGACGGTGTGGTCTGCACCTAACTATTGTTACCGCTGTGGTAATGTGGCCAGTGTCATGAAGGTAGAGGAGAACCTGGAACCTGAGTTTTCTATCTTCAATGCCGTTCCTGATGACACTCTACAAGCGCAACCTCAAAAGAACCAGCGAAGTGAGTACTTTTTGTAAATTGGAGAAAGAAAAAAAAAGGAAAGAAAGATGATGATGATAATGATGATGACTTGTATTGATAATAATGACAACAAATAATGCCTGATGGGTTTCTTTTTTTTTTTTTGTGATACACCTAACCTATAATCGTAAAAAAAATTATCTAATTGAAAAAAAATACCTTGTAAATGCAAATGTACAGTAAAAATGACGATATTGTCATCGCTATAATGAAAAGGTTTAGTTCCTGTGATGAAGGTACTTGTTAGGAACATTTTTCAGGTTGACAGCACCAAAAAGGATTGGCTTGACAACTTGCTGTTCTTGTTGTTGTTGCTGTTGCTGTTGCTGTTGCTCTTGAGGCTTGTCATGTTCGTGGTCATCAGGGTGATCCTGATGTTCTTGAGCATGGTACAAGTTCTCATGCTCGATATCCTCCTTATGCACAATCTTCACATCTGGATCATCCTTAGCGTGGTATTTGAGCCAGTGGTGCACCTCGTACTCGTACTCGTAATCACCATGGTGGCCAGGACCCAGGCCAAAGTCTGGCAACAGCTTCTTGTCCTCTTCTGAAAACTTGCGCCATTCTTCCTGAGAAATAACTCCATCACCATCTGTGTCCACCATCTCTAGCACAGTCTTGAGAACCAAATCTTTGGTTGCTTGTGGAATTTCTTTCGACTCCTTGTGCTCACCCATACCATCGCCGGCACCGACCATCTTGTCATTGAGCAGGCCATAGAGATTTAAAATGTCATTAGGAGTCCAAGTGCCAGATCCGTCAAGATCGTGCAGAGTGAAAAAAGAGGCACTGTCGAAGGAGTCGAGCGCATGCTCCTCGCGCATATGCCATGCTTGCCATGACTCATCTGGTCTCTTTTCTTGTGCTTCGTGAGCTGCTACCAGCGATGACGCCAGTGCGCCTACCAATGAAATTAATGTGAATGTTTTCATGTTGTGATTTTGTGATTAAAAATTCAAGTCTAGCTATGAAAGATTTTGTAATGAATGGTAAAAGAAAGAAAGAAAACTTTCTGTAAAAACAATGATGATCTGGCAATTGGTTTCTATATATAATGATAGAAGTCAGGGTTCTATATATTTATTAATTAATAATAATAATAATAATAATAATAATAATAATAATAATAATAATAATAATAATAATGATTATTATAATACTGCTTCAAATAATATGGTTACGAAATTTTCTCCTGTGCCAATCAAGGGGGTGTCAGAAGGTTTTTTACTGCGGGCAGGGAGGATTTGTCGCCAGTGGGCCCGCCGTTTAGCGACCCTAAAAATAAAAAGTATAGCAACAGCACCAGCACCAGCACCAGCACCAGCACCAGCGGCTTTTTCCGTTTTGGGAAATTCAGACCCCCCATCATTGAAAGATATTTCAGAGATTTTCTCCCCTATTCATCATTTTGAATTAAAAATCAATAAGCTTAACTCTTTTTATGAAATCTCCACAGTCAATGTCTTTCAACATAGTCCTGAATTTTTTTTTCTTTATAAGGAAATAATATAACTATTAGAAATAAACCGAAAGGAGTTTCTTGACTATTTTTTTTGTCCGTTAAGCAGCTTTGCATGTAAACTTTCTGCGAGTAACAGCCAAACTTATATCACTACATGGCAAGTTCCTCAGCAAGCCCTGAAGGCGGGTCCCAGCCATACTCTCTCATTGATACTCGGTACTCTGTGACAACAACACCTTCTTCTTGTAACCGGGCCACATGAGCATCACGCATGCGCGCATTTGCACGCACAGGCACTACTCCCCCAGAACCAATCACTCGCCACCATGGCACATTACCTGAATGAAACTGTGCTCCAGTTGGGCCTAAATCTTCTTCTTTTTCTTCATCATCATCACTGTCTCCGTTAATAAAGAGACGTTCATCTAAAAACCCGTCTCGTGGATCAAACTGAAGTGCCATGCGCGTCGTCTCTCGGATTCGACCCCGAAACTCGTTCGGGAGAGACTTGAGTGCATACCCGACCTGACGTGCGTTACGAGGTTTCCCAGTAAGCTCTGCAATAGCACCTTTATTTAAGTTTCTTTTAGTAAGTCTTTCTAATGTTCAAGGAATAACTCAGCAGAGCTAGATATCCTTTGTTTTTTTTTTCAAATTCCTACCGTAAGTTGTTACTTGGCCTTGAGGAATATGCTGGATGGCTGTGTAGATACGTGAGTAATAGTCTTTAGCTTCTTGAGACATTGGTCTGTGTATGTTCAATGTTTGTGGTTGGAAGTCATGTTAAACTCTTCTACGTGAAAATTTTGGAAAAAAAAAGTCACACAAACAAATACACTTAAACAGCAAACACCTCCTCTTATATTATTTAATTTTTTTTGTTCATAATTTTTTTATTTTTTTATACAGCTGAAATCATAAGAAACCCATAATTAGACAAGTCATGTTGAAACCATAGCAAGTGTGAAATATGGTTGTATTTTTTTGATAAAACAAAAAAAACAAGTTGCTTAGATGTTCAACTTGGTTCTGCGCCAGTGTCTTCTCTTAGCGTTGTATCTGTGATTACAATGTTAAAATCTAAATTTTTTCAAATAGTACTTCAGTACTTACCTGATAGTGCTACCAGTCTTGAATCGGAACCACTGGGGAACAGGTCTGTTTTGCTTCTGGGCCTTGGCCAACTTTTGCTTGGTCTTCAAAGTCTTGTGAGCCTATATAATGTTGTTAGACAAGTGCTTCATTTCAAATAAATTATTTCCTGCCTGCCCTTCGCTCTTTTGTTAGATTTTCCTCAACTCTTCTATTAGTATTATTATAGCAACAAGGGTATCCAAAATTCAAACAGCAGAGGTATTTGGCAGGGGTAATATAATCATAAAAATAATGATGATGAAGATGGTGTTACATACAGCCATTGTTAATGTATATGTGGTCGATTTGGAACGAGAATATACGCTGAACGCTAGACAAGAAGGGGAAAAAAAAAGAGGGAGGGGAGGGGAGCCAAAGAGTGGGAAAGTTTACAACGACGCCCGGCTGTGAGTGCGCAAAATTTTCCTGTGATGGTTAGGTAAGGTATCACTTTAAGATTAGTCAGAAATATTTTTGGGAAGAATCACTCTTAAAGTTTTTCAAAGATACTTATTACAACTTGTTATGTTACATTCAGTTCTGTTACATAACCCAACTATTAAATTTGTAATTGACAATTGAGTAACCCCAACCCTCAAAATTTAAACAAAAAGTGACATGACAAAGATCTTTTTTCTAATTAGTCATAAAGATTAAACTCAATTAAATTGTGACTGTCAGTTCCATAATAGGAAATAAATTAGATCATGTGACAGCTAAACAGAAAAATTTTCTCTATCTCTGTGAGTATGTGTTTGGGTATGTATGCGTGCACGCGTCTATCTGAATGCTAGTGTGTGTGTGTGTGTGTGTGTGTGTGTACGCGCTTTGCTGGGGCAGCCAATTCTTGCTGGGAGAAATTTCTAACCCTCGATCTGAACCTTGATTCTACCATCATCGACCGTTAAGTTCACCAATACTTAAGTACGTTTATTTAAATATACTGATAATTAAGGAGGGCTTTACTATCATACTATCCTTCAATATCATTATTTTGAGCTTGTCCATAACTAACATGCCATCTCTTTAGAAATGACTCGTGCTTCCGTTCTTGCTGACGCTCTCAACGCCATCTACAACGCCGAGAAGGCTGGTAAGAGACAAGTTCTCATCAGACCCTCCTCCAAGGTCATCATCAAGTTCCTGACTGTCATGCAGGCTCACGGCTACATTGGTGAATTCGAGTACGTCGATGATCACCGTGCCGGCAAGATTGTTGTCCAGCTCAACGGTCGCCTCAACAAGTGCGGTGTCATTTCCCCCAGATTCAACGTCCGCATTGACGAGATTGAACAGTGGGTCAGCAACCTCCTCCCCGCCAGACAGTTCGGTTTCATTGTCCTCACCACCTCTGCTGGTATCATGGACCACGAGCAGGCCAGAAAGAAGCACGTTGCTGGCAAGATGCTTGGTTACTTCTACTAAGCAGGCACTGTTCTCGCTTTTGTGTTTTGTTGTAAAAAAATAAAGAAAAATTATGATAAACGGACTACCCCTTTAATGATAGATTGATGTTTTAAACATGCTGTTGGCGAGATTTTGATAGAGACTTTGACCAGTTTCTAGTTTGTTACTCCAAATAAAACTTCGTTTGCAACTGGTTCTAAAGCTTTTTTTTTGTAGAGCCAGACCCATTCTTAATGTGTATAACCCTAACCTTCTTTCCATCTTTTATGCGCGCTATTTTTTGTCCATATATGAAGCATCTATTATTCTTCTACTATAAATTTCTCTCTTGGTGGCTATGGCCAATTCCCCACGTATTGCCTATCGTACCAGAGTGCGCTTTTTTTTTTTTTAAACATCACCAACCACCATTTACTCCCGAGCCTCGTACACTACATTTTCAATAACACGTTGTGTTAACGGATTCCCGCCTTTTTTTTTTTTTTATAACCACCAATCTTCCGCATTTCCGACAGCAGTAGAGTGGCCTCCTGTTGATTCCTTAAAACCTTTGAAATTTTCATTCCAAAAAAAAAGAGCGACAACGATTAGTTTTTGGTCAATTCCTTAAACACTCAATTCATTACCACCCTTCAAATATATATCCAAATTTTTCACAACAATGTCTCCCCACAAGTCATTTTCTCTCGGACATACCCCAATTGCTGATCATTCCTTCTCAGAGGACCGATCTCTTTTGGCTGTTGCCCGTGACTCAAACATTGAGCTTTACTACACCGATGGCAAGCAATACGAGCTCGGTAACACACTCACAGACCATGACAAGACCGTTACTTCTGTTGATATTGCGCCCAGCGGCCGTCTCGTCACCTGCTCTCAGGATCGAAACGCCCTTGTTTGGGAGCCCCAGCTAGACGGTTCTTGGAAACCCACCCTTGTTCTGCTCCGTATAAACCGCGCCGCCACTTTTGTGCGTTGGTCTCCTGACGAGAAGAAATTTGCCGTTGGTTCAGGTGCGCGTGTCATTGCCATCTGCCACTTTGAACAAGAAAACGACTGGTGGATTTCTAAGCACATCAAAAAGCCCATTCGCTCTACTATTCTCTCCGTCGCGTGGCACCCCAACTCGGTCCTCCTTGCAGCCGGTTCTACCGACGGCCACGCTCGTGTCTTTTCCAGTTTCATCAAGGGCGTTGATGCCCGCCCGGAACCAACAAACTGGGGTGACCGTCTTCCCTTTCAAACTCTTTGCGGTGACTTTGTTAGCGAAAGCGGCGGCTGGGTCCACGATGTGGCTTTCTCTCCCTCTGGTGATGCTTTGGCCTTTGCCACCCATGACTCAAGCATTGTTGTTGCATACCCTGGTGGTCCTGAACAACCTCCTCGTGCTGTTGTTTCGGTCTCTACCTCTCTTCTCCCTCTCCGCTCACTCATTTGGACCAATGAAAACCAGGTTGTTGCGGCCGGCCACGACTTCCACCCAGTGATCTTTCAGGGTGATGAGCGCGGCTGGAAGCTCACTACGTCCATTGATGACCCGGCAAAGGCCAACAAGACGGAGGCTAAGGAATCAACTGCCCTCAATATGTTCCGTCAGCTTGACCTTAAGGGTGCCGTCGACCCTAGCTCCGGCACCTCGGGTATTCATACCATTCACCAAAACACCATTACTAGAATCCGGCCTTATGAGACGAAGAATGGCCAAGTCACCAAGATTTCTTCTACCGGAAATGATGGCAAGATTGTCATTTACCAACTTTAGACTGTGTAATTATTATTAAATATATAAAATAACTGTGAATGACTATTATTTTTGAAACTTATCGTTCTTTATCGGTTGGATTTTATTTTTGATTTTACGTTTTTCATCACACAATTACAACAGAACCTCAACCACGATATGTAATGAATTACATAATACAATAATAATTTTTTTTTTTAAAAAATTTCCTAAAAAAAATCTTTTGATCTTTTGAACAAATATCATCGGTTTACTATATACACCACCCATTCATTTAAATCATCATAAATGACTGATAAATACAAGCAAGTATTCACTGCTTTACAGTCGACGATTCGGACGGCTTCTGGCGTAGCAGCACAGGACATTTCGTTCTACCGCCGACTCGACAAACCACTGGACCAATCGGCCAAAAAGCAATCTGAAAAACTACTTGGTCTCGCAAACTACATTATGCAAAATGTCGCCAAAGGCGAGGTCGATGAAATTGTTGCTGAAGACACTTCTGACGATTTGACAGATAACTGGCACGAAGTTAATGTGGCTTTGGATACCCTGACGTTTAAAATTGACAACTGTCTTGCAGCACACAAGAAGCAACAAAAGAAGGAGGACTCGAAAGCAACTGCTGCAGCTGACGGTCAAAAGAAGCCCGGTGAAATGATTAAGATTACAGACGGTCGTGCTGAAGCTTCTGGAGATGTTAAGCGTCATCAATTCGATCTCCCCAAACCCCAGCTTAAGTTTAAAACTCCAGTCGATAACTCCAAAGACAAACCTTTCCACCCACGACTGACAGAAAAGCCCAACGCCATTGTGTCATTCGAAGAAACTGTCAAGTTGACTGAGCCAAGCGAAGAAAGCGGCCTTGCTCGTCCTTATTTCCCTCAGCCTTATGAACGCGAGATTATGGACTCCTCATACCCCAAAACAGTTTACGAAAAGCACGACCCTGTGCCCTCGCTGCCTTGGTCCACAACTGAACCTATTTGGGTCGACACACCGGAAAAACTCCAAAAGATGATTGATCAAATTTCATCAGCTAATGAGCTTGCTCTTGATTTGGAGCATCATGATTACCGCTCGTTTCTGGGCTTTACATGTTTGTTGCAACTTTCAGATCGAAAATCGGACTTCATCATCGACACACTTGCCCTCCGAGATGACCTGCAACCTCTCAACGAGATTTTCACTAACCCCCAAATTATCAAAGTCTTACATGGTGCATCAATGGATATAATCTGGTTGCAACGCGACCTCGGTCTTTATATCGTATCGCTATTCGACACGTTCCACGCATCTAAGCGACTTGGCCTTAAGCGCCATGCGCTCGCATACCTGCTCGAAACATACGCCAACTTCCAAACATCTAAAAAGTATCAACTTGCAGACTGGCGTATGAGACCCATTCCAGCCGAAATGCTGAGTTATGCGCAGTCCGATACTCACTTTTTGCTCAACATTTACGACCAGATGAAGAACCAGCTCATAGATAACAATGTGCTTCCTCCGGTTCTTGAGGAATCTCGCAAAACAGCTGCCCAACGATTTGAAAATCCTGGGTATGACACAAGCAAAAAGGCTCTTACTGACCCTTTCAACGAGCCTCTTGAACGACTTATTTTCAAAAACAACCTCGACCGCAAGCAGCGCGTTTTCCTTGAGGCTCTTTACGATTGGCGTGACGCCACAGCACGCCGCATCGATGAATCTCCAAGTTTTGTGATGCCAGTACATACCCTTATAGCTCTTAGTTCGGCAATGCCTCTTACAGTTTCGGAGATTCTCCACAAGGCTGGACCTCAAGGGTCTCGACTTCGCGAGTACTCCAAGGAATTACAGAAACTCATGGTTGCTGCATCTAAGGTTGCTGCTAATATTTCCGAGACCGAACCTACTAAGGTTGACGACGTTTCTATTTCAACATTTTCTGCTGGTGTTGTCGATTATGACTCTATTTTGGACAACCTGGATGCTTACGAAAAGAGCTTTCAAACCGCTCTTAGTCTTCAGCGCTCTTTGTTTGAGGAAAAGAATATTTCCAAAATCACTAAGAAACTCAGCAAACCTGTATCTCAATTCTGGGGAGTTACATTGCTGTCACTTCCAGACAGCCCCGAGGATGATACCCAGTTCTTCCCAATTGAACACTTCCCCGAAGGTATTACCCTATATGCCAGCACTGTTGGCAATCCTACAAAACAAGTGGAAGAAGTCCAAGAGCAACAACCACAAACAGAAACAACTGATGATCGGGAAACTGTGTTTATTGGTCAGAGCAACGAGACGAAGGCATTGTCATCAACAATGGATGCTATTCGGGAACAAGACTCCAAGTCTCGTTCGGCTGATACCATCATGATGCCGACTGCTGCAGAGTTGCTGGGAAGCGGACTGCGGCTGCTTACCAAAAACGAGAAAAAGAAAATCAAGCGTGAAAAGCGACGTGCAGAAGCTTTGGAAGCTGGAGAACAAACTACAAGCAGCGATGCGGCTACACCCGAGCCTGAAGAGAGCCAAAGCAAGAACAAGAACAAGAACAAGAACAAGAATAAGAAGAATAAACGTGCCATTTCTGAAGTCAATAATGAGGAGGATCACAGCAAGGAAACTAGCCCTAAGAAGGCTAAGAAGGACGATGACGTGCCATTTGACTTTGCCACAGCGCCTTCTGTTCTCAACAGTGTGGACGATAATGGAGCCAAGTCTAAGAAGAAGAAAAAGGCATTTAACCCTTACGCAGAAATCACCCCCACACTTACTGGAGCCGTCAAGAAGAATGTTGCAACTCAGATCAATGCAAACACTTCTGTTTCGTACAAAGTAAAGTCCCAAAAGAAGTAAATACACAATCATAAGTAACGTAACTATAAAAATAAATGCATTTTTTTACTATATATAATTAAATTATTTTTTACAAAAAGTCTATCATTGTTCATCTTCTATCATGCGAAATTCCTTCCTGAGATCTTGGATGTAAGCTCGGTAGGGGTCCGCTATAATATCCTTCCTACGTTCTTGTTCCTTTTCATCTATCGCATTACGGAATTCCTTTTTGCGATTATTGTAAAAGATTTTCCACTCGTCCACATACTTATATGTTGTGTCGTTCGGCATATGCTCGTGCTTAGCAAAATATTGAATCAGCCAGATGTGTGGACCCATTACTCCAATTGATATCACAAGATCCCGCAACTCAGAACTGCGCGCAGCCGTTGCCCAATTGTCGACCGTTATCTGGTCAGGATGATACTCACCAAGAGCTACAAATCGAAATTTTTTAGATTGCTCAGCAGCTTCCTCAAGGGTGGGAATAGGTGTTTGATCATTCTTGGGAATATACTCTGGGTCAAAGAAGGTGAGTTTTGGCCATTCTTCCCACCGCAGCTTGACCATGGCATCTTCCCACATCTTTCTCTCAGGCGCTAACTCTTCTGCGTTCTTGATGATGAATGGTGATGACAGTTGATTTTCAAATTGAGCAAGCTTTTCTGCATCAAGAACCTCGGTATTGGATGCTTTAAGTTTTTGCAAATGAAACTCATATTGTGATTCAATTCTTCGGATCCATGCGCGGATGTTACGCGGCAGCCCTTCCACAGATCTTGTATTCAGAAGGCATAACAGTTCGTTATAAACTAGTGTGCAAAAGGCCCGCTTGTATGCTGTAGACGACAACCGTGTCAGGGCTTCCAGTACAAAAGTCCAAGTGCGTACCGTTGCCGGTACGTTCCAGTTGTGCAAAAATCCAGCAATCACACCAATAATTAAATCCATTCGTCCAGCTTTTGAAAACTTTTCCACAAATAGATTTAACAGATCAGGTGATGGAATAATAAGTCCATTCGCCTGTGCTTCCCCCTCATCTGCCACCTCTTCATCAAAAAACTCTTCCGTTTGCTGGTGATACATTCTTTTATACCATTGGTTTCGTTTGGTGTAATCTATAGATGCGGCGTATTCGTTAATGAGCCTCCATGCAGCGCTAATATTAGAGCTTGTAGGTACATCTACCAGTCTAGAGACAACTGTCTTAATAGAAGCTTTGGTAAGTCGGTATGCTGACTTGTCGTTGGTGATGAGATCCATGACTTTTTGTGGACCCATGAAATCAGCAAGGTCTGCCAGCACAGATTCTTGACCAGAGACATATAATGGAATCTTGTAATCATCCATATACTTTAGCACTGCTGATTTTGCAACAGGTCCAATTGCACAGTTAAGAATAATGTTCCAGGTCTCAGCATTGGCAGGAACATTTCTATCAGCCATAGCTCTAAGCATGCTAGTAACAAACTGGAGTGGATGTTGGAGATATATAATGTCATCTCTTTCTGGCTTGAAAAGTTCTAACATGTCCGACAATGACTTTTTGCTTTTGACTTGTTTACCTTTGTTTTTTTCTTTCCAGAACTTATTTTCCTGGATCATGGTGTTTCGAAGATAGTAATTGAAATATTTACGACGGTATCCTTGTTTTCCACCAAGCAATCGAGTGCGTGTGGGTGTTAGCAACGTGTTAAAGGTCTCTGTATTAGGTGCAATACTGCCTCCATGCTCCATCATGTCGTTAAGCAGGCTTCGTGCTAAGTTGAGTTTATTCACTTCGATAAAGTATCGGACAGCAATATTGTATGCTTCAGTAGATAAACAGTGGCCAGTATCTGGAGAGTTGGGCCGTAATAAATCAAGAATAAGCGTGCTGATTAGTTGCGGTCGCTTTTTGGATGTCCCGATATATTTTTTTGACACCAGTCTGGCCAGGTAGTCTTCGAGTTCACTTGCAGAGCTCCAGCCACTTGGAAGAGGCGGCAGACTTTCATTAGTGTAGCGCTCGCGAAGACGAGAACTAAGTGTCCGTTTCTCAGAAACTTTCGGTAATGAATGGTGCAAGGACTCCAAAATATTTCCATCTGATGACATAGATATTTCGATGAGACGTGCAAGCACAAACTTGAGTCGTAAGACAAGATCACGCATGTCGTAATAATTGCGCAGTGCAAAATGCGATTCTCGAATCTCTTGGTAACTTTCAAAATTGCGTTTAGGAGGAATAACACTAAGATCCTGAATCTGACGCATTTCATTCATCATTCTTTTGTAAAATCCTGTGCCATCTTCGGTTGAGTTAGACAAGTCTTGTTCTTCTGATGCGCTAGGATCCTCTATTGGAGGAGTCTCTGTTATTATAGGCTGTGATGGGTTGATCTGTGATGTAGGTGTTACTTGAGAATACCGCCGAGTGGATTGCAGCCGAACGCGAGTCCAGAGCATGCTGGCCGGCCTCGAATTTTGCAAAAGAGACTGGGCGTGCTTCATTTGTCCGAGCTGGTAAGGTTCCGGGTCATTTGGCGGTGAGATCCGGGGTGAAGGAAGACAAAAAGGTTAGGCTTGGCGAATCACAAAATTTCACTGCTGGTTCGGGTTTGGGTTTAAAAACTCTTTTGGTTCGTATTCCTATTGTGGCAACTCACGCATCACCACCTAAAATTTTTTTTTATTTATATTTTTTTTTTTTTTTTTGAAATTTCAAAATTAAAAGTTTTTTTTTCTAGTTTATTCGCACGTTGTCGACGCCATAACAAACCTTTCAAACCTACTATTCCACAAACAAACCAGCCATGTCTAAGGAACGATTTATCCCCCCTACTTCTCAGGCCAGTCTTTCTGCTGCCATTTCTGGTACAACCGTTACTAGATCTCTTGGTGTCAACTACGTTTGTGCTAACTGCCATATGCGTGTGACTCTCGGTAAGGGTGAGCCAGTCCGTTGCAAGGACTGCGGCCACCGCGTTCTCTACAAGGAGCGCACTCGCAGAATGAGTAAGTTGATTTAAATAAACCTGAAATCTTCTATTCTAACGTTTTTATAGTCCAATTTGAGGCGCGATAAGAAATTTATCTGATCAACCCTTTACCTACTACTGTTACGAATTTTCTCTTTATCTCTCTTTTTTTACGAACCTTTTTAATAATGAATATAGAAAAAACAACTGTATTAATAATATCAGTTTGTGGCGCTCTCTACAAAAGCATCCTCAATATTCAACGCATCGATGTCCTTGTCGGTGTAGTATTGCTGTTGCTTGATAATACGCGTGGTAAACTGAGTAAATGTTTGCAGCTCGGCCGCGTATTGTTTTAGCATCTTTTTCTGTTGTTTTAACATCTGATGGTCGGCATCTGAAATACCCTCTTTATGACTCCTTTTTTTGATATCCTTGAGTGTATCACTCAAGCTTTCCAGTACACCATTTAGATGCTCAATCAAATGGATTTTAGAGTCCAGATGCGTAAAAGTCTGTAATATACGCCTAATATAGATATGATCAGGCTCGGTCTTGACGGCGGCGACCAGCGCTGTGTAGTTTGTCAAGTCCGACACAAAGTTGCTCAAAATCTCCAGTCGTTCACGATCAATCCGTGCTGCGCTGAGGTCTACCAGCAGCTCACTTAATGTATGTGGCGCCTGCCCTGAAGCAGGACTTGTAGAAAAAGGATCAATTGTAAACTTGTGTGGAAAATGTAAACCATGAGAATCTGACCTAGGATCTACCTCTTCTTTCTTGTCAAAGGAAGGCACCTTAAGGGAGTCTGATGCAGGTTGTGCGCGCCTAGAGGCAATCCTTGCTTCAACACGACCAGCAGGAGGTATCACAAAATATTTGGAGCCGTATTGCTGGGCTTCTGCTGCACCCTTCATAAGCATTCGGTACTCATGTGAAACGCTCTCTGCAATACTTGGAGCAGTTGACCGTATTGATTTAAAAGAACGGATAGAGCTTGTCGGGGACAAAGGCCGAGTAATTGCTGTTGTTGCCGCCGAAGCAGTCGATGTTCCAGTCACAACTGTACGGGTTTCGGGAGGGGTTTCTTGAGTGGGTATCAATCGGTGCCGTAACCGGAGCCATCGCCGTTTGCGCACGAATGAGTGAAACCAAACGTGCGAACCATGCCACGCGTTGGACGCAAACCTCCATGAGTACGACCAACCTTGATCATCAACATCGTATGCCATGTCTACATACCAGCTGTTCCATGTCCAATCCCAGGATGGATCGGGAAGCGGGAATGTATGAATGTCTCCTGGAGCTGCCTTGTTGCTAGGACCATAGGTCCATGGCTCTGGGTCTAGTGAAAAAAGCATATTTTTACTAAAAAATGGATATCCCAAAATAAACCATCCACGCTGATTTTCCGTCAGCACATCCGCATGCTTTTCAAAATGCTGGTGAGATGCCGCATTCATTTGAGTTATTTGGCGCGTCAAAAGATCTGCATTGTTAAATCCACGCGTTGTCTCATTGGTTTTCTTGCGTATGAGTGTGTTGCCATCATATTGGGACATGTCGGTTAATATGGGATTCCTTAACATTTGCTCCGTATACAATGGCACAATCGACTCCATGCTAGAAGAAGTGCTCTTTGTATCTGAAGGCCTTCTAAACTTTCCTACACTGTATTTTTTATATTTTGCAGTAGAATGCTGCAGCTCATGTTGTACACCATCCTCTTGAGTTTCTACTGGACTTAATACTTCTCCAACTGAATCTTCACCAATACTTGCGAGATTGGTATACGATTGTGAAGCCGATTCCATAGGAGCAACTGGTAAAAACTGATTCATGTTTGATTGTGCCTGGAATAGACCTTCAGCAATGCTATGCTGTCTTTTTGACTTTCCCTGAGGCACAACCAGCCGTGCATTCTGAGTTGAAGTAGGATAGAATGATGGCGGAGCTTTGAGAAGATGAGTGGTTTCTTGAGTGACTGTGCCCGAAGATGATGCTGAAGCATTAGACCCCGCTGATTCCTGTGAATCTGGCCTATCTACTGATAAAGAAAGCCCATGGACTGCCTTGAGACGGCCATTAACCGGGACAAGACTAATGCTACTTCTTTGTGACGGTGCCGGAGAAGATGACCGTGAGGGCGTAGGTGAATTCGAACTAAGTTGTTTTTGCGTTTGTTGTTGTTGCTGGTGCCGATGCAAGGTAATTGTCTTCACGGAGGACGCCGGTGACGATCCGGGCGGATCCTTATCGGGTGTGTACATTTTGTGCAGTGTAAATAATCAGGATTTTGCGGTCTGTGGTCACAAATTAAAACCCCTAACTGCTGTGATATGCCCATAACTTTTTGTTTTTATTTTTTTTTTTTTGTTATTCTGCGTGAGGTTTATGTTGCTTGCGGAGGCAAAATTACTTCTTTATGCTAAGCCTACTAAATTTAGCAAACCTACCCACCTTTATAAAAAAAATTCTTTGAATAATGACCCGGGACTTAGTACCAGCTTCAAAACGTCGAATCGAAAACGAAAATAAGGAACTTGTTCGTCAAGCAGTTCGGGATGCACAATCACAGACTCGCGCAGAAAATCCTGTGTTCCGGCATACGATGACGACTCCGCTCATAGGAACCTCACATGCCGGTAACCTTCAACTGACAATACCAGCAACACCTGTAGCGACCACTGCGGTGGCAAAAACGTCCAACAACAAATACACTGTTCCAGAACGACCGAAAATAGTCTTAGAAGAAGATCAATACACAGCTGGGCTGGGAAAAATCATTACGCGCGATTTTTTTCCAGATGCAGATGAACATGGTGTTGCACAAGCTGCGGCACCGAACATGTCCTTAGACGCTTACGTGCGCAGATACACATCTGAAGATAATGCTAGTTTCAATAACCTTGTTGAAAGAGAAGCGGAAGCTAAACGAAAAACTCAAGCATGGTTTTGGAAAGAGGGTGGTTCAAGCACTGATGACGCGTCCAAGCGATTGCAAATTACAGCGTATGAAGAATCTCCAAAAGCTTTAATAGAAAAAGAAAATGCAGCGGTGGCAAAGGTTCTTGGTTGGTCTGATGAAAGAAAGACCGAAGTTGATACATGGTCTACTTCCAAAGGACCAACGAATGCGCTCATGTTTCATCCTAATGAGAGCTCGGCAGGCCCGAGGCCCACTACTGAGCAAAAACAAAGCCACGCTGCAAAACGCATTATTTACGAAAATACACGATTCCCTAAAACCCCTCGAAATGCGAACAAGAAAAAAGAAGAAGAAGATACAGGGGATGATATTTCAGCAGCTGACGCTCGGCCACGCGTCAACGGATATTCATTTGTAACTGAAAATACATATTCATCTGATCGCCAGTTTGAAATGCAACCACCATCAGAAAAAGATGCCGCAAGAGACAGACTTTTAGCTCGCAAAATTGCTCTAAGGCGCCAGGAGCGTTCAGCAGCAGCTGCTGCATTGACAGTCCCTAAAGACAGTACTGTATCATCTTTAGGTACTTCTATAAGAACACCAGGCAGTTTATCATCTGCTCGCATATCAAAACGGGCACCAACACCGTTGTCTCCCGCAGCATCTTCAATTCTACAATCCATTCGAAGCCATAAGACAGAAATACCGAGTTTTTCTAAACTAAGAACACCAATTCGTCGGAAACCAACAGGCTCACCCGTCGTTCGAAAAAAATAAGTGTATTAATATGTATTAAATGCAAATGATCTGGTGCAGAAATAAGAGCAGTAGTTCTAAAAAATAAAGTATTGTCATTCTAAAAAAAAAACTGTCAGTTAGTTTGAAATAAATTATCTAAAGAACAGTAAGATCTTCATCATCACTATCGGATCCATCCCGGTAAGTTGATGTGGTTGTGGATTCAGGTCTTTGTTGTGGTTGCTGCTCCTGCCATCTTGGCAACAGGCCTTCATTATCTGTGTTGTTACGACCAATGCCTTTAAAACGCTCGCCCAAGCCACTAAAAAAGCTTTTAATCTTGGAGACACCATTGGCAGGTTCTTCATCATCAGCAGTAATTGCACTGATTTCTTCTGTTGGTTCGTATCCGTGATCGCCTAATCTTGTACGATTGATGCTACGGCCTCCCAGTTGTAATTGTCGTGGAAGAACAGGCCCCACATGTGACAAACTTGTGCGAGACGGGCGATAATCTGGACGGTCGTGGTCTTCCGATGATCTAGTACTACCTCCGCTAGAGCCAGGAAGTAAACTGGAGTTACTGCTGTTTTGCAGAAGATAACGTGTTCCTGAGACAGAAGCTGCAGCAACTGAAATATTGGGGTGGCGCAAGACATAACGATATGAAGTGTCTGACAGAGCGCGGCGTACTAAATGCTTTCCTTCGGCGACTGACCCGCAAATGGGCCGACCCTCGTCATCAACATCCATTTCGTCATCAAAAGACAAGCCAAATCCAAAAAACGTACGCACCCGATCATACACATGGAAAGTTGTCATGAGCATGGGGATAAGAATAAAGCGTGGCAGCCAGTCATTAAAGCCCTTACCAAGTGGAGTAAGGTTGATGTACTTTCCAAGAAAATCTTCAAAGACAGATTCACGAGAAGTAATCAATGTGATGAAATTGAAACTCAGCGGCACTGTCAAACGACATGCATACATCGCGTAAAACAGCAATGAAGAAGGGTCTGAATGGCGGTACACAAGTGCGTAAACTTTGAAGATGCGAATTCGAGACAAACTTGAAAATGCACACGAACACATGTATCCAAGGAATAGCATAGAAAAGGATTGCTGCCAAAAACCAGTGGTCTTGGATTCGACAATATTAACGATGGATAAGATAGTACCATGTGTGATTTCTGACCATACAATAATGATTGTGAGCGCTGCAAAAATAATGGAAAATGCGCGCTGAACATAAGGCTTAATCACAGCATAATAGAGATAAGCGGCAGTAGGGGGCAGTGGTGTTTTTTTGAATCGGAAAACTAGCTTTTTTGTGTCGCGAGAAAGGATAATGTCTTCAGCTCTAGATGCTTCGCGAAGTAACTTTTGCCAATCTGCGTCGTAACGTACAAGTCGATTACGTGCACGTTTAAATCTGCTACTAAGAGATGACAGGTAATCCTCATTAATGGTTGACCCTTCAACATGGATGCGGGATCTACCTGTAACTACACCCGAAGTAGTCGATCCAGAAAACGGAACTCCTGGTCCTTCTTCAACAGCTTCCAACAGCGATTCAATCCACGCTGTGCAGCGGGTATCTTTAAATGGCTCAAGTGCAAAGACTTCGGCAGCAATATCGGCGTATTCCGTCTGAGCTTCGGCAATGGTATCATTTGATTGAGTAGCTTGCTCGTAGAAGTTACGCAGGCGAACATGCGGATCGGCTTCGGCCCAATAGCGACGTGGGATGTTGATAAGACCGTGACCCATAAGCCAAAGCGCAATGACAAGGGCATACGAATGTGAAAGTGCAATGGCCAAAGCTTTAATAGAACTGAAGGAGAGACCAGAAGAAAGAACGATGTAAAGCAGACCAAGACTACCAACGACGAGTAATACAAGCTGATAGCGTGCGTTTTGGTGAAATGAATCGCGGATCTTGCGTGCAGTACCATGATAACCTGAGTCAGCGTAGCCTTGAAGCATTGGCATAATAGCCCATGTTAAGAAAAAGGCTAACCAGTAAATCACGCGCCATAGAATAAGACGAACAGATTCTGAAAGATAAAAAAAGGGTTTAGATGGACTTGAGGATGAAGACAAGTCGATTGGGACAAGCACGACAATGGAGCATGGAATATACACAGCTAAAAACACTGGCGCTAGAATATACACTGGGGTAGATCGAATGCGGGTATAAAAACGAATACCCAGCACAGTGATAATAGCAGTAGCAATAAATGCCAGAAGAGCCCAGACCCACTGTAAAAAGTTAGAATAAAAACTGGATTGCGGGTCGTGTTATGATACTCACCATAATAGTTTTTATATATACGATGAGAAAAAAAAAGGGGTAGAGAGAGGTCGGGTTTCGGTGGCCTTTTCCAAGTGTACAAATAAACCTCCAAAAATAAATTAAATGGTGATCACGACACCATCATCACCACATAATTTATTTTTATCATAATCATAATCATCACCACCATGAGCCTGGACCTTTGGCTAAACAAAACGTAAGAAAAAATTCCAACTTTTTGTCCAAGCTTTTAAGAAATAGCTGATTGATTAAAATTTTTTTAGTATTCTAGAAGAAAATGTTCACGGCGTGCTTATAATAGACGAAAAAACAGGCCTTAGTCTTGGGAGTGAGTATTATGTAAATCTAATAACAACTTTGTCTTCTAGCTAACTCTTTCGGCACTACTAGGCCGCGGTGTTGCTGAAAACATTGATGCCCAGAAGATTAAGTGGCTGCGCGATCATAATCAACATAATGAGATTTTTACTTTACGGCACAATGACTCAATCGTTTATGTTACTCAAGAGGGTGATATCCTTTTGGCCATCTACAAACCCGCGTCGCAAAGAGCACTTTCTTCCACCGGTAGCACACCGTCACTAAATGACGCATGAAACAAAAAATAAAAATAAAAAGGGAACCATTCTATATTGGGGTTAAATTAATTCATTTTATGTATATTTTTTTACTGTGGGTTTTCCATGTATGCTCGTGACACTTCACGAGTGAGCTTGCCACGAATGCTTTTGAGACATGTCATCAAATCAGGGTCGATGGTAGTCGCAGTTGATTTATCCTCCACAGGATCCAAAGAAAACATATATAGCTGTTTGCTCTCCTGGCGCACAGTCGCATCTTTGCTAATACCTTCCTCCCACTTATCTACCGCCCGCATCAGATCAATGAGTTCGCGCAAGTCAAACACACGTGGCTGCGAACGGTCTAACAGATGCTCAACTAGTAGAAATAAAAGACCCAGATACTTGACGGGAATGTGTGAGAACCTCACTAGAGCCGCCAGGTGCTGTGCAGCCTGCCGGGACTTACCTGACCGGAGATATTCCTGTGACTTGGCCAACACGACGTATGGCGCTAACGTATCCTTGACCACATCGGAGATCTCATAATCAAGAGTGTCATTGACAAGGTCTTCTAGAACTAGACCTCCTAAAGGTTCACCAAGTAACAGACACTCTTCAAACATTTTCCAAGCCAGCGTCCGTAGACCTTCCACATCTTGAATACTATCTAAATTGATAAATGCTTCCAGATATGCACCTTGTGCTTCAAGTCTTTTTGCAGTAGCACGGTGAATTGCTCGCACGGTTCCGGGAAGGTTAAAATCTTTTGCAACACTCAGAGCAAATGCGATATCATCGGGACTTATGAGCACCATTCTTGGGACGTATTCCGCAAAGATGGCACGAGCCTCATCAGACCCGATTAACTGTAGTAACTGAACGCCAACAGGTGCCAAATCCTTATCGTCAAGACATAATTTGGCAAAGTTGATTCGTAGCCATTCACGAATATCCGAAAATGCTTCTGGAAGATAGACATCCATAAGACCTTTGGCTTCACATGTTTCGCATACTACCGCCGCAACAAACGGGTCTAAACTCTCAATCTTCTCGATAGCTGCAAGAAAATCGCCACGAATTACTGCTGCACACCCTGATTCCCAAGCCAGGGTTTCATCAACAGGGAATTGTTCCACAGCCAGCATGTAGTAATCATCTAAATGCTTACGTGTGGGATCGCTGTAACAAAACAGACCTGACATAGCTTCAATCCATGAGTTGGATTTACTTAAAATTTCAGTCCGAGAACCTTGTAAAATGGAAAGAAAAGACTGAAAATATATGCGAAGAGAGTTGTCCGAAACTTGCTGGACCTTATTTGAACCGGTTTTGACAAGATTTTGCCATGCTTTGAAAGTAAAAACATCTGCATCAACAGGGTATTCTCTCAAACATTGAACAAAGTGTTGAACTAGATCTTGTTCAGAAGTTTTAGGAAGTGCTGCCTCTAAGGCATCTGCACATAAACTAGTCATATTACGAATAGCAAGAGTGTATATGCATTGCCAAAACTGTAACGAATTCAAAGGATTGTGATTATTTAAAAGTTCTGGAAGTTGTTCTGCACTTTGATCAATATCAGCATTATTGACCCATTGAGAAAAAGCTGCTGCAATATTATTTTTTGAATCTAGTTGAAAGCGCAAGGCGTGAAAGCATCGCACAATGTTGTTGACATCTGCCAGGCGATGATTGCTTGCTGTGTACGGATGAATAAGTTCGACAAAATTGCCAATAAACATTGGGATTTCTGAATCCCATCGGCCATCACGAATATTTTCGGTGCTATTGACAAAGTTAAAATTAAGGACAATTTGTAGCGCTGAAGATGTTTGTAGTACAAAAGTACGGTATTCTGGTGTGTAGGTAAGTCCTGGAATAGATGTTGGATATATTTTGCCTTCTTGTGGCAGAATTGGAATATCGTTTTTTGTGAGATCTGAAGGAGAAATACAAGCTAGACCGTCATTAGAAATTGGACTGAATTGAAACTGTAAAGTTCGGTTATTTTTACGCCATTGCTCTACTTGGCCGTATTGGATCGGAGCTTCTGGCAATGTATCGAATTCTTCATTGACAAACAAAGAATTGCCGTAAGTTTGAGGGTCAAAAAAAGACCCATTGTATTGGCCGTCATCATTTAAAACTTCAGAAACTAAAACTTATTAGAACAAAAAAAAGAATTTAAGACCTTGTTTACTTACACGATATCATTTTAGGTTGGTGGTTTGCTGGGGGTGGAATGAAAAAAAAAGCCTGAACAAAAGGGAAAACAAACAAAATTTGCCAAGTGACTAAAAAATTACATAACTTTATGATGTTTGGCAAACAGAAGAAATTATAAGTTATTGTGAAGTAAGATAATAGACTAATAATAACTTAAGTTATCATTTATAAATTCTTGACTAATAATTGACTCATCATTACAGAAATAGCAAACGGCTGTTGTTTTTTCGTGAGCCTTTAATACCTTTATTTTTTTGCATCCTCTGCCATTCCATTCTACAACAAACTGCTTCCAACTTCACCGCCAAATGCTTCATTCTAAAAATCTTTCATCTGTTCTGGCCCAGACACTCACCGCTGGAAATGAACATGATAGTGGCGCTATTGTTTCTTCTATTTTGATCACACTATCGGGCCAACCCATTTCTTCACATCATCTTAAGCGACCACCTCCTCCATCTCCGCCGTTTTCGACTATCAACCACATTTCACCAGGAGGCCGGATATCATCATCTCATGACACTAATAGTATGGATAGCACCCACATAATAATTAATGAAGATGACGAAGATGAAGAAGATGATAAGATAACAGACGGTGGCCGAGCAATTCCGTTTCACGTTTCACGATCTGGAAAAACCAAGGTGTATTCACTTTTTGCGTCTACCGCGTGGGAGGAGTACCGGCGTGCAGGAATGGGTCAGCAAATTTTTACGCAACAACCTCAGAATTTAAGGGATGGAACGCGAAGTGCTAGTAGGAGTGCAGGTAGTTCTGGCCGTCATGGAAGCAGCAGATCTAGCAAGCACGGAAAACGTAGTAAATCTACGGCCAACGACGACTATCGAAAACCGGGTAGTAGCGGCAGTGGTATAAGCACAAACATAGGCAGCATAAATTCTTCAGACACATTAGAAAAACAAACCAATACACGCGACTGGATTTCTTTCATAACCAACGATATGTCCAATTCTGGTGTGATCATCTTTATTGTTGCAATACATCTTAAAGCTAGCGGTGGAAAACTTCTACTTGTTCTTATTGCAGATGGCGACTGTCCTTTTGGAATCATTTCAAAAAAGGGCCAAGAGGCCGCCGCAGTGCTCGAAAACGAGCTGGATACATATAACATCTCAACATGAATGCAGTTCATTTTTTCATTTTTTCTATTTTCATAACCCATTGTAAAATACATTTCATAACCCGTCTTTGTACTTTCGTCGGCGCCCATGCCCTTTTATGACGGTTTCATTTAATTTCTTTTTACCCATTGTCTGTGAGTTTGTACAACCAGATACCTGCCAATCTTCTTTTTCGCGGTTTCTCGTCGTTTTGTTGCGGAAAAAGGTGCTTCTAAAGCCCCGGTGCTCTTTCTCAAATAATTCCTCCTCAGCAGAATTCACGATAATGACTTCAGGATTGTCTTCATCGAGCCCTTCTATATCCGAAATTCGGTTTACAGATGCACGCGACCCCTTGTATTTATAACTGGCGAATGCGTTAGGATCAGGTCGTTCTTCAGTCACCTGGGGGGTTTCATGCCTTCGAGATTTTCCTTTTCTTATACTTTTGCTGGTTTTTCTTTTGTCATTGGATTCAAAATTGCTATTTGAAGCCACCGCCTGGTATTCAAAAGATCTTTTTGTATGGAATTGTCGGTTATTACCGGGCAGACGTTCCATGGCTCTTGAATAAAAGAGCTGCTCTTCTTCTCTAGACTTCCAAGATGCATCCGTTCCAGACGATGCAGATCTTGAGTCTCTTGTCCCATTCGCCCCATTAGCAGTTGGAAGAACTGGCGGAAGAGTTTCCTCCCAATACGCTCTATCGTAAGTATCAAAAACCAGAGCATCTCTGCTTCGTTCCTCCATAAAAGCTGCGAAAGCCTGAATACTTTCCACCTTTTCTTCCTTAGACTTTTTCTTTCGCGTGAACCGATGAGATTTCTCCTTTTTTAACGACTGAGGTGCTTGTATTTCGGAATTATGTGAAAAAATTGATTCGCTTGAAAGTGCAAATGGATTATGCCAATTTGTTGTTGTTGTTGTTGTTGTTGTTTGAAACCCTGAGCTTTTCACCACATCGCTGCCATCTCCCTTGATTAATTTGGGGCTTCCCTGCGGTGATAGAATGCTTTTTCTCAGCGACCCAAAGCGTGATAACTTGGGACTCGAGCTTTCGGGTGTAATGTCTGTGGTGGTCACTACAATGCCAAGTTCCGGCGACGCTGAAGATGGTCCCGAACTGCAGGTTGATTTTGATCTAAATGGACGATGTAGTCTGAACCGGCGAGAGTGTCCGTTCTGTTCTTTTATAGTTGTTCTGGGCGCTTTATATCTATTCTTCTCCTCCACAACCTTTGTGTGCTCTGTGTAACTGTCATGATGCGAACCAATGGAAGCCACTATTGGTTCTAAAATGTCGTCTTGGATCTCCAGAGTGTCTGAGGAGTTAAGTACATACTTGAGAATTTCGCCAATTTCGTTTGAAATCCTAGGACTGGAGCTGTTCATCTTGGTTGGTGATGTAGGTTGAAGAATTGAGTCAACATGTTTACTTTCATCACTTTTCAAAGGAGATAATGTGGGCGTTTCATCCCCAACAAAGGGCCGGCCACTTGTCTTCCCAACCTCTTCAAAAATTTCCTTGACATTGTATTTTTCTTTTAACCTCATGAGTCTCATTTGGTGCGCCTCGCTAATGTGGTGCATCACAGCAGCGGCGGCAGCAGCAGTAGTTTCTGGCTTTTTGCCGAGCTTAGCTGATATTTCTGCCTCTGCCTCTTCTGGGTTTACGTGTGGCTGTTCCTGCTGCTGCTGCTGCCGCCACTGCCACTGCTGCTGCCACTGCTGCTGCCACTGCTGGTGCTGGTGCTGGTGCTGGTGCTGCTTCTGCTGCTTCTGCTGCTTCTGTCGCTGCTGCTGATACAACGACACTGCCGAACTCAGCCGTGGCGTATTACACATGGAAAATACCCGTTCCCTGTCCTCTTGTAGAATTTCAATCTGGAACCATTCACCCTTGCGCCCACGGTACTCCATAATACGCTCAAATAGCTGTGGTCCGGGAATCTTAGTCCGGCTTTCCGGGTTATATGTGTCAATCAGCCCTGGCGTAAATAAAATTTCTTCGTAATTAATTCCTGGCCTAAATTTCCCGCTCTCATCTTTTTCATCACATCCAATTTTATTACTGCTGCCAGAACTTGCTACACTGGCCATCTGATAGAGAATTGCAGCTGCATCATCATTAATGCCAATCTCCACTCCACCTTTTTCTTCTTCATTTGAATCTGGTGAAATTAATTTTGACACATCTTCTGCCGATTGCTGTGCAGTAACATTACTACTTGGGGTATGTGTTTCTGTTAATAGAACAGATTCTGGCCGCCAGTTTTCAACAAGACTCTCTGTACTTTCGCGTTCATAAAAATTTGACAGGTATTTGGTTGTAAACATTAGATACGGAGGATCAGTCGCTCACTTAGTTCATTAGTATACTGTATAAATAAAATAATAATAATAAATGTTAAATATAGTGAATAAGTTTAGAGAGAACCAATTTCCAAAGAGTTTCATTTATTTATTATTTAAATTTTTTTTTAAAAAAAACACATAATTCATGAAATTCCAATATTGGAATCGTTATTAATAAAGATTTCAAGTGTTGTTTTTCACCAACATGTTTTTTGTGGCCATCCAGAAACTACCTTCGGCTAACTACCTAGTTAAGCCGCAAGTTCCAAAGTTTATATATTTTTGAATAGTAAATTAAAAATACTTAATTATAATAATAAATGAGCAAAAGTTTTGTGAATATACTATAGAAACAAATTAAAATAAAGAGAAATCAAATCACGAAAAATATTTACTCCTCTTCATCATCAGTGTCTGGTGGCTTAGGAGTGCCCTTAGGCGAATTGAGCCACTCCAAGTGTCTCAGACGTCTGCGAACTTCACGCTCCTTGAGCTCGTTTCTAGTCATTTTCTTCTTCTTCTTCTTAATCTTAATGTTGGCAGGAGAGTCATTGTCAGCATCTGAATTAACAGCAGAAGATTGTGTCGTCGAAGGAGTGGAGTCATCAAATCTGTCAGATGCAACTGCGCTCTTGCCCTTGTGCATGAGCTTACCATCTTCAACAACCCATTGTTCCGGACAAAGCGCACCCACAAACTCGTTATTGTGCGAAATCATAATGACACCACCAGTCCAATCTCTAATGGCATGTGCAAGTCCACCCAGTGAATCACGATCAAGATAGTTGGTAGGCTCATCAAGAACAAGCAAGTGAGGATTGTTCCACATAGCACCAGCAATAACGACCTTGACAAGCTGACCACCAGAAAGGGAACCTAAAGCAGTGTGGTCAGCAATGTCACCATCAAGACCAACATCTTCAAAATGCTTTCTGATAACTGGGGGAGAAAGATCTCTGTAACCAAGACCTTCTCTGGAAGCCTCGTGATCATCAAAACGCTGAAGGGCCTTAGCAAAACCCCATTCAATAAGAGTCTCCTTAGGAATCCAGGAATTAAATTTAGGCATCCAGCCCTTCCACTTGACTTCATATCGGAAATTCTTCTTAAGCTTTTGACGACCAATAATATTCTCAATAACACGAGGCTCTCTACCATCAAATTCAAAAGCTCTGGACATTTGCTCTTCTTCTTCCTTAGAGGTGGCACGTGTCTTCTTCATGTGGATTTCACGGTCATCACCATTTTGGTAACGCCACTGCAAATACTGACTAGGTGTCTTCTCCTTGTGAAGCTCAACATGCTGGAGGGCGTGCTGAGCAATATAACCAATACGCAGATTAGGGTGCTTCTCGACACTTCCAGAGTCAGGAATAAGCTCACCGGTGAGCAACTTAATCAAAGTAGACTTACCAGCACCATTGGGACCAAGAATAGCTACTCGAGAAGAAAGGGAAAGAGAACAAGAGACATGGGAAAGAGAAGGCTTAGAAGCACCAGGATAAGTGAAAGTGACATCCGTCATGCGGGCAACGGAACGGGTATTGGATCTGACACCTGCAAGAATACCTGGGGGAGGAAAGTTCATCTTAACAATTGAATCGGTAAGAGTGTAGTAGGATTTGCCTTCAGGGCGAACCTTGACAAAGTCAGAAAGGTTACCAGGGTAGTATACGAGCTTCTTGTTCTCATAATGAATAATGTCAGTGCAGACGGCGTCCAAGAAACCAGAATCGTGCGTAACAATAAGGGATGTGATATCAGTATGAGAAACAAGATAATCCTGGAGCCATTTAACGTTGCTAACATCCAAGTGATTGGTAGGTTCGTCCAGAAGCAAAATGTCAGCCTTCATAAGCATGGCGCGAGCAAGTTCTAGCTTCATCTTCCAACCACCAGAAAGGGAACCCACATTTTGAGAACGTCTATAATCGTCAAATCCGACCTCCTCAAGAGCCTTGGCAATTTCTTCTTTGCTGGAACTTTCGAGTTCGGGATCAGAAGCAATAAAAGAAACAAGGTCCATATCACCTTCTTCACCTTGCAGCTTATGCTCAACAAAACAGGTTCTGACTTCGGATTTGTCAGGGAAGCCTTCAAGCTTTCCAAGAGAAATAGATCTCATAAGTGTAGACTTTCCGGCACCGTTGCGACCGACAATACCATATCGGTGACCTTTGTAGAGCTTAAGAACAGTTTTGTTAAGAAGCATACGGCCACCATAAGCCAAAGAGAACTCGGCGTTAACAATCTTGATACCTTCTTGACCATCGTCATCTTCCTTGGAGTCTCTGAATAAAGAGCGGAAGTATGAAACAGTCTGAGTAACGTATTCTTCAGTACCAATAGACTCTGGAAGATAAACCTTCAAAACCTCAGCAAGTCTAGCAAACTCACGGTAGTTAACATCAGCCTTAACCAAGTTAGCAACGTAGTTGCGAACAACTTCATTAACAGAATCAGGAATCTTTTCAAGAGCATCTTCCAAAGTAATTCTAACTATGTCAACAGACTCCTCATTTTGAGCATCCTCTAAGACCTTGAGAGCCTTGGAACCAAGGTTACGGACTTCAGGTTGAGAAGCAGTATCAACGACCTTCTTGATACCTGGAAGAAGTTCGGGAATAAAAGGCTTAATCTCAATGGGATTATGTACGAGACGAGTAAGGTTTTCCACGACAATGACAGTTTGACGGAGTAGGTCTTGAGAACCGGCAGCTTGGTTAAGAGCACGGAACAAAATAGGAACAAGAATAGCAAGAGCAGACTCAGTAACTTCAGCAACAAAAGTGACTTGGGAAAATGCCTTAATGCATTCAGGAACCTTTTTGGGGTCTGCAAGAGTCTTAATAATGATAGGGATTCTTGGGTGAATATCTTGATTGTCAACCTTCTGAACAAACTCAGTAAGTACCTTGGCACCTTCCTTAGCAAGTTCAGGCTTGATGTCGTTCATACAGTTAGTAAGAATTGGGACAGCTTGGAGGAAGCTGTTCTCCAAGGAAAGTTGAGGAACATCATCAATAACTTTAAGAACCTGTTTAAGGGCACCAAGCTTGCCTTGCCACTTGGCAGGAGACTCAAGATACTTCAAAAGGGTGGGAAGAATAACAGAAAGCTTAGAATCATCCTGGTAAATAGTGTAAAGTGAATCAATAGCAGACTGAGCGGCTCTCTTGACTGAGTTGTCCTTATCGGAAAGAAGATCAAAAGGAATGGTGTAAACAGATGCAAGATAGGCCTCAGCAGGAGTATTGTTACCAAACTTTCTAGCAAGTTTAGAAATAATAGTGGAAGCGGCTTCTCTCTTGAGAGGAGAAGATTTGGACTTAGAAAGAGCAGTGAGTTGTTTTTCAAGATTGAACTTTTCAATAGCATCAGGGCCTTCAGCACAAACAATGTCCACAAGCTCGCCAGAAGCAGACAGAACCTCGGAAATAGCCTTGGCTTCGCCAATTTTCTCAAGAGAGGGACCAATAGGAGTCTGCTCAACTTCCTTCAAAGCCGATGCAAGTGAAGAAAGCGAGGTAGAAGAAGAGTTAGCAGTCTGGGGAGTGGAAGCACCAGAAGAAAAGTTTGATCTGTTAGTAAAATTCTTAGACTGGAAATTATTGTTTCTATAATTGTTTCTGCCTTGATAGGTGTTGTTGTAGCCACCTTGTCTGTTATCTTGGGTATAACCCTGATTGTGGCCTTGCTGGTATCCTTGGTTATAGCCATCGTACTGCTGATAATCGCCAACAGGCTGTTGCTGGTTCTGGTTATAATTTGAAGGCTGAAACGAGGGAATATTTCCCGCGGCCAGGTGGCCTTGGTAAATAGGACTTTTGGTTATGTCGGGTTTTTCGACATGATCCTCAGGACTAAAGGTCTTGAACTTTTGCTTAGGAGGCATTTTTCTTGGTATCTGTAAAGAAATAAACAAAAAAAAGTTGCCTTCGGGATTGCAAGAGATCTTGAATAAATAAAAGCGTAAGAAGAAGAAAAAAAAAGTTCTAAACTTTTTTTTTAAAAAAAATTTTCCGTTGAGATTACTTTACCCTATAGGGGTTCATGTGCGGCTGTAAAATTTATCTTATTACATAATTCCGTATTTTTTTCTTTTTGCCCACCGCCACCAACTTTTCACTCTAGCCAACCATCGGAGCTCTAAACCTGACCCGTGTTTTTCTATACAAAATTTTTAAAAATGTCTATGCTTTTAGATCAAGCTCTCGTCGAAGACGTATGTTTAAAAGAAATCAAGTAGAGAGATTATATATTAATAGCTTTATAGGTCGCCAGATTTTGCCCTAACTATTTTTTGGCCTATCATCAATGCTTGGCTAAGGGTGATGCTTCTAAGTGTTTGAAAGAACAAGAACAGCTTTCTTCTTGTGTTAGAACAGAGTAAGTGCATGCACATTATTTTGATCTATATTATTGACGTATGTTTTAGAGTACCTTCCTTTGTCAAAATCTTGAGCGAATGTGCTCATCATATGAAGGAGTACGAAAATTGCATTAAAGAAAATACCAACATTCGCACGAAATGCTTTGACCAACTGCAAGCTGTGCGACAATGTTCTGCTAAGTCTATTAATGCTAAGGAATCCGAGTAAAGAATTTGGTAATTTTCTTTTTTTAATTTCGATATATTTTGGCGCTCTTGTAAATATTTAATCACGAACTCATGCTACAACTTTAACTATTTTTGGACTATTTTCATTAATTTTTTTTAGAATATTAAAATATAAATTGGTGGATTTAGTCTATTAATAATTATTTAAAACAAACAACAGGTTTACAAAAAATACAAATACAATAACAGTTAGCGGAAAGCATACTTCCACCCAGAGTTGCCTTTATGCCGCAACAGTAAATGTATCGGACAACTGATACTCCCAATCACTAGCTTTTGTTCTGGATCCAAAGGGTTTTAACGCTCTAGTCAAAATCCGATATTTTCCAGGCTTAGTTAACCCGCCGCTAGTGAAATCCCAAGTACCCAAATTAGTAGATGTTTTTGCTGCTATTCTGAATGTACCATCAAAAACGCCGTACAATGTACCATAGTATTTATTGCTGTTGGCACAGCCGTTTTTGTTAGTGCATTGAGTAGTGGAAATGATACCATAGATATCGCTATTAATATTGAAATTGTCTGAAACAACATCAAAAGACAGATCGGATGAACCAAAGTTGGTTCCAAAAAAAAATGCTGGAAAGTTATAATAATCAGACAAGCTGTAAGTATACTGGGATGGATCAACAGGGTTGTAATCGGAGTCGATAAAAATGATTGGGTCAATTAAAATCTTGCCATTCTTTTTTGTATTTTCGGAAAAGGCGAGATATGGGATACCCAAGGCGTCACCCTCACTTGGTTTAATGAGGATTTTCCCCGTATAACACGTATTTTCATAAGCCGGAATTAGGTCAAGAATAAGAGCAATTCTGACTGTTTTTGTGGCACCTGGGTCTAAAGAAAAGCTAGACTCATAAAAGTAAATTCTTTTCTTGTCGGCTGTTGTGGGTGGAGGAAAGGTGTAGCTTTCCAAAGTTTTATCATCACGGGTATTTACTGAAGCTGCAGGTTGAGCACTTAGAGTGTAACTAAGCTTTTTTGGAGACCCATTTTTCAAATTGAATTCAAAGTAATTAAAGAAGTATCTGTTAGCAGACGAGTTAACAGTGAGATATGGTTTGTCGACAATAATTGATTGACAATAAAGCGCGTTGTATGCATTGACCATACCAGCGCCTTGCTGAATTAATGGAGCAGGGGTTCCTGAGTAAGTAGATGATCCATCATAATAATTAACAACATTGCTGTATGACATGAGGCGACGCTTAAATTCTTCAGGAGTGCCAACAGGAGCGCCACGATTTAGAGACTTTGAATAGTTATTTTTTTCAAGGTATAGGGCAGCAATACCAGCAACAAATGGAGCAGAATAACTTGACCCAGAAACTGTTTTGTATTTCCCATCTATTGTTGGCGCAAACACATTACCACCGGGAGCTGAAACGTCAGGGTAAAAGAAACCGTCATAGGTAGGGCCCCAAGACTGTACAGTATTTACGAGACCAACTCCAGGAATACCAGATGAAGAAATGTCAATAATGACAGGAGAGATAGAACTGTTAAATACCACTGTCAATGAAGCTCCTCTGGAATGCTGATCAACAATCCATGCTCCATCAGTACTGTTATAAGCAGCAATACCTGTTAAAGGGTCTTGAGGTGAAGCATAGGAGTTATACAGATACTGCGAGGGGGTAGACGCAATGTAAAAAACATTAGTATATCCAAGTGAAGAAGCAACGTTATACTGTGTAGCTTTACTGCAATCATTAGATGCTGGAATAATAAGGACACTATTGTTGCGCTTAGGAGCTCCATTTGGAGTACAGAGGCTATTCGGGATAACATCAACTTTGTAGGCGCCATCTAATGGGAGAATGCCAGCAGATGCTGAAACATATGCAGCAGCACGAGGTGTATTTGATTTATCGGAAACAATATATGTGTTCCAACCAACTAATCTATCAGTTAAAGTATGACCAACTCCAACAGAACTGAGAGAAGAAGCGCCGGCCGAGGCATAGTAGGGACCGGCAGTACCATAATTACCAGCAGCAAAAACGACAACAATACCTTTGGAAACAATATTATCAACGACACGATTGACTACTGAAAAGGTAAACCCTTCGGGGTCACCAGCAGACACATTAATGATATCCGAACCATCTTGAACAGCTTTTTCGAGACCTTGTAAAATAATGTCAGTTGTGGTACCACCATCATAGCTGGAAAGAATACGGTACATTCTAAACTTAGCACTAGGTGCAACACCTAGAAAAGTTTTGCTCGATCCAACTGCAACACCAACAGCTTCAGTTCCATGGCCATAAGTGTCATTAGGATCGTTGTCAGGTGAGGGAACAGGGTTGCTTTGTCCAAAGTTATCACCTACAAGATCATACCCACCCAAATATCTACCTTTCAATGCTTCATGGTTGTACTCTACACCGGAATCCAAAAAAGCAATGACAACATTTTTACCTGTAATGCCTTTCTTATGGATTTGGGAAACAGAAGTAGAGTCGAGGCTACTCCAAGGTATTTGTGGAAGACTAGCAAGTGAACTTTGTGCAGCTTTAACTGCTTGTGAAGAGTCATCGGAGGTGGTGGTGGTAGATGAAGTTTTTGTTGTAGACCTCTTAAAAGTATTACGTTTTGAAAGATTAGAATCAGTATTTAAATTTTGTTGAAATGTCATTTCGGGCGAGGGAAACTCAGCAATAGTAGAGAGATCCTTAAGGACATTGTCGACAATAGGGAGTCCTTTAATAATTTTTAAAACCGTATCTGAAGAGTCTGTGAAAGAAATAGTGACACCGTTAAAAACATGACTAAAGTTAAAGTGCGATATTGTATCGATTTGAAGAGATTTCAGTTGATTAAAAAAATGAGAAAACTCGTCTGACTGATTGTCAAACGAGCGTTTACTCAATTCTCTAAGATTACCCTTGTTGAATTCAATAATATATTTTCCAGTAGGCTTTACAGCGCTAACAATGGTTGCAAGATATGATAGTAAGATTGTAAGGCCTACTAGTAGGCTATTGAAAAAAGAAAACATGGCTCAGCAAATTAAGCAGTGAGGGTTTAAGGAAGAGTCTATGAAAAAAAAATGTTTATAAAAAGATTTAATTAAAATGATTCAGATGAGATATATACAAATATATATACGATTCATTATTTCTGAAAAGACAAGGCTTGAAATGACGTAGTTTTTTGCTCAAATTAAAAAGGGATATATGCCTTAAAAAATTCCAATCACTAATGACCCCAATGTCTATAAAGCTTGAAACTTCACAAGGTTAAATTTAAGTCCTCAAATCATTCAAGAATCAAATAAACTATTATAAGGAAGGTAGTTATGAGTAATGAGATGACCAAATGGACTTAACCTTCAGTTGCTGCGACCAGCAGTTTGGAATGGGAACGGGACATATGCAGCAGAATAAGCTCATTACGACAAATGCAACAAAAAAGCTAATCAAAACTTCATTCAAAAGACCTAATTAGGAAAAGATTTATTTTAAAAAAAAATTCAAAAAAATATCCTTCTGTGTCGATGCTGTTTGCTTCTAATTGGGGTTTAGGTGCCGGTATGGAACCAGAGGGGGAATGAATCTTTGGTTACGTGCGGCTGTCATCTCTTTCCTATTTTGGCCAGGACAATTGATAAATTTGTTACCAAGTGAAAACACTTTCAGCAAAGAAACAAAACAAAATAAAATCAAATCAAAATACCTTTGGAATGGAAAAAAATTAATTAAAATTTTTGTTTTTTTATATAATTTTAAACTATCTAAGGTTTATGATTCTTAAAATGTTTTAAAATAAAATAAAATACCTGCCATATCAATGACCATTTATATGGTACCATAATTATAATGTATAAGCTCCACTTGTCATTGTTTGTACATAAAAAGTTCTCAAACTATACAATATCCAATAAACAATCTTAGACAAAGATGTTTAAAAAAATAACTATTATCTAATTCTATAAAACTTATTGAACTTTCAATCGAATTTCAAAATATATACGTGTATCAGGTACAAGAACAATTATTTTTTAAACATGATCAGTAATTATAATTATTGCTCTTAAAAAAAAATTGCGTTTTATTGTACTTAAATTCAAGTTTCAATTTAAAAAGAATTATCTGATGATCTTGAGCAAAATTTCTAATATGTATATCTAGTATTTATTAAAAATTAACATCAAAATTTGTGTCTTCAATTGTATTCAATTAATTTGATCAATTCTTTGTTATGCGTGTTAACCTTGAAGATTTTGTATTATATTCTGCTTTAGAATTGGCTGATAATTTTGCAAAATTACCTGCTAAATTATTATTCTCAACATACGTATGTTATCACCTTAAGCTTAAAAGAAATTAATACAAAATTACAATACTGGAAAAAAGGAATGTATGTTGTAAATGGTAACTTATGAAATTAATCATAAGGCATATAAATGATGATAAATTATAGAATACGAGAGATTTTCTTTATGTCTTAGATTGGAAATTCATTCTTTCAATAAAATGATAATAAGTTACCTCAACAGGAATTTTTGAACATTTCAAAATAATAATGATTTACTAGATGAAAAAAGTTACATATTAGATGTTGTAAATTGTCTTATATTTACTAAATAATTTTTTCAAGAAAGGTTTCTTCATTTCATCTATTCAGTTTGACATAAAACTTTTGTTTTTCTTTATAAAATTAATTAATTAATTAATTAATTAATTTTCAATCCATTTGTTTTTATTTCAATTTTTAAAAATAGACGAAATGACCATGAAACTTAGAGAAGTAGCTGCTTCTAATCAAAAGTTTGCTGAAATCGCAGCTCCCAATCCTGTTGGAGTATTTATCGGAGGTACAAGTGGATTGGGAGAATATACAGCCTACAATTTTGCAAAGTATGCAAAGTCACCTAAAGTGTATGTTGTTGGTCGCAGTGCTGAAGCTGGAGCTAAAGTTGTTGCACAGATTGAAAGCATCAACCCTGAAGCCAACGCTCAGTTTGTAACGTGCGACATAACACTCATCAAAGAGGTTGATAAGCTTTGCGATACATTGCTTGCCAATGAGTCAACTATAAACCTTTTGTATTTATCAGCTGGATTTGTCTCTCTTAAAGGATTTTCTCCTAGTTCTGAGGGAATTGATAAAAAGCTTGCAGTTAATTACTATGGACGCTGGAGATTTGTTGACAGACTTATTCCCTTACTTCAAGCTGCTGCACAACAAGATGATGTTGCAGCCGTATCAGCTGCTACTGATGGTGACTACCACCCCATAAATGCTCGTGTTATTTCCGTTTTGCAGCCTGGAAACGAGGGCCCTATTGAACTTGACAACTTAGGGCTTACTAGAAAATTTTCACTTGCGAGGGCCAACAGACAAATAATCGAATTTAACTCTCTAGCTGTCATGCGATTTGGACGGTTGTATCCCGACATTGGCTTTGTGCATGCTGGCCCTGGATTTGTAAAGACTGGAATTGCCAGAAATTTGCCTTTTTGGGCTCGTTTGCCATCAAAATTTGCAATGTTGTTTGTTAATACTGTCCAAAACGCAACTGAACGGCTTTACTATGTGGCATCGGCCCCACGTTTTCGTAAGGGTGCTTATTTAGTTGATGGAAACCATAAATCTGTTAAAGAAAGGGCTCAAAAAAGAGGTTACTTGACTGAAGATTTACAAGAAAAGGTATGGCAGCATTCTGAAGACATTTTTGCTAGAGCGATCCGACAAAATAATTCTCATTCAGAAGATTGCGACAATGGATTTGTATCTACAGAACATACTGAAGTTGAAGAAGCCAATTATCATTACGAAGTCCCTCCTTCAGAAGCTTTCCCTGGTTTGAATGATCACACACCATCCAGAGGAATTATTCAAGAATTTCAAGAAGAGGTAACTTCTGTTCCAAGTGCTGCCGAAGTAAAACTCCCTGATGTTGAAGTTTCTGAAGTTGGCAGCTCACAAAATGTTTAAAAGTATAAGATACACAAAAGATGATTAAATAAAAAAGTAGAATAAATGTTTATTTGTAGTGGGTAATCTTTATATTAAAATGCAACTAATTAAATTAAACTAAATTAAAGTAAAAGCTCTACACTTAAGTAGTTTTCTTCTTTTTGTAGTAAAGCTTGTGAATAAGATTACTGCCTGTCTTTTTAAGATCCTTATTTTTACTCTTGTTGTATTCAACATAAGCCATGTCCTCACCACCGGCCAAAGCAGACAAATTGCCAACAACACGGTTGGCTTTGGAGCCTCCTTTATGACGTTTGGATACAACGTTTCCACCACGACCAACAGAGTTTTCTGCATCATCGCCAGTCTCCAGTCCAGCCAGAGATTCATTGGCGAGCAACACAGCTTGCAATAACTCACGACGTTCACGGGCGGTCGAGTAGGCAAGGTTGGGCAGTTTATCCATTCCATGCAAATGTGTAATTACTTTGAACGCATAACCTTGATCCACTAAAAAGGCCTGACGCTTTGTAGAGTAATACATTTCTTGTGTATCCTTAGACACTAATGAGTAGAAAAATGCGTTGAAACCCTCATCGTTACGACGCTTGGCACGAAGAATACGTCCAAGACGTTGAGCCTCTTGACGACGGGAACCGTAGTGCGATGAGATTTGAATCAAGCAAGTAGCTTCTGGTAAATCAATACTTGTATCACCAACTTTAGACAAAAACATGGTATTGATTTCGCTATTGAATTGGAAATTGCGTAAAATAGTCATACGCTCATGTTGAGGTGTTGCGCCATGAATAAAAGGCTTGCCAAGCTTGCAAGCATATGCCTCAAGAGCATAAACATTATCTGAAAAGACAATGATTTTATCACCACGCTTCTCGTGATACTGGATCAAAAACTGACATGCCTGAAACTTTGAAGGATTCATAATATATAATAGCATGCGCTTGCGGGCATTGACATTAAGGTATTCTTGATAAAATTCAGACGTCATTGGACACCAAACTTCAGCGCACTGCACATTCGCAATATGTCCCTTTTGTGAGAGATCCATCCAGTTAGCTTCATAAAGCTTAGGTCCAATCAAAAAGTTAAGATCATCAATCTTGTCATCTTCACGGAGCAGAGTTGCTGTAAGACCCAGTTTGGCATGTGCAGCAATGGTGGTAACGACACGTCTAAACATGGCAGCAGGAACGACGTGCACTTCGTCAAGAATAATAAAGCCCCATTCGCGCGACGTTAAAAAGTCCATCATTTTTTGAGAATCATGCGATCTGTTACGCGTATTTGCAACCATAGAGTATGTTGAAACAACCAAACCAGCTTCACCGCGAAACTTTTCCTTGTTTTCAGAAGTAAAGACAGCAACGTCTTCAGGTTGAATAGTGCACCACTGAAGAAATTGTTGGCGCCATTGGTAAACGGAAACGGAGGATGTGCAAAGCACAATAACACTTTTGCGAATTGTGCATGCTGCTGTGATACCGACAAGTGTTTTCCCTGCACCACAAGGCAACACGATAATGCCCGATCTAGCACGACCGTTACCAAACATCTTACTAAGACTCTTTTCTTGGTATGGTCTAATTTGAGTAGAAGGCTTGAGATCAATGTTCAAATCAACATTTTGCTTATCATTTCTAAAATCGTACTCCTCCAACACAGGGAAATCAATTTCTTGACATCTCTTCTTGACAGTCTCAACAGAAGAAGAGGAAACCTCAAAAGAATGAACTGCATCTAAATCATCATCATCTTCACCATCAAGACCTAAAACGGCGTTAAATGCGGCTTCAGGATCATCCGGAATTTCTTTGGCCCCTGGAGGCTTATCCGAAGACCCACTGGCAGCAGCTGGATTTGTATCTGTGTTGGTAGTTGTTGTGTTATTATTTGTATTCTGAGGCTTTGTGCCAGGTATAACAAGGCCCCCCATAGTCGGAGCCTTCTCAGTAACAAGTCCGTCCTTTGTTGTAGTTTCAGAGGCTTCAATTCTCAGGGGCCCAATCTCTCGATCTTTTAACAGCATTTGAAGAACATCTGCTTGAGAACTTTCTAAAAAGTAGCGGTTATGTTTCAGGACCAGTCTAATTTTACCATATGAAATGGTACAGTCATTGATAAACTTGACAATGGTTTTTGGAACAGGGACTTTTGAAAGTCTGTTTAGAACAGAAATAATATCTTTTGTTTGAAGGCCAACAGAAACAGCTGCATATAGAGAATAAGTAGTAAGGCGATACTCATGAATAAAAGTTGGTCTACTGACGGGCTCGGCAATGGTGACCAAGAAATCTTGGGCTTGCTCAGCTAGTGGTGAGAAACTCTCCAGAATAATACGACCATCGTCTGGGTTAATCCACAGAGGTCGTGCAGCGTGGTCAGGTTTGAGCTTAAGATACGAAAAATCATTTTTGCCAAAAAAAGACGATACGCTGTCGGGCTTGAAGTCGGCGGTACGCTCAGCACCGCCTTCAACAGCACGAGCTGCTGCGACCATTGCCGCATTTGAGTTATTATCTTTCTCAACTTCATCATTAGCTCTATTGTTAGCGACAGAGTTAGGGTTACTATTGCGAACCTCGACCACGTTAGAAGACCCAATTTTCAGACGAACTTTGGGAATCTTTGGGAGATCTTCAAGTTCGCCATCCTCCTCCGAATAACTTGTGTTAGAAGAGTCAGAATCGTAATTATTTGACGCTTGGTCAATGGCCCGCTTAGTACCAGCTGCTTGTGCACGAGCCATAATTTCTATATGGCAGAGATTAAGATATTACAAAAAAGAACCAAAAAACCAGGTAAAGGGTGGCGTTGATAAAATATAGATCTGAAGTTAGGTTCTCGGTGGTTATGGATGAGAATTTTATAATTTTTTTTAAAGTTGGTCAGCATTATTTAAGTCACGTGAATAAAAATTATGGCACTTGCTTGTAACAAAATGATGTAATCAGGCTTAAGAAACATTGAAAAATTTCATATGAACAAAAAGGCACCAATTATACAAAATGCGGGCCATTGTTTTCAAATTTTTTACTTAAATAAACTAAATTTTGGCACTTCTAAAATTTTCATTGCCCCCTTTAATTGAGATCCATAACTGTATCAGCGGCAGATGCAGGAGTAGAGATAGTACTATCAACTGAAGCGGTCTTGGAGGTTTGAGTTGGCTTCCAAGCCTTTTGAATTTCGCCAACATCAGAAACTGTGGCAGGACCATAAAACAGGACCTCGGCACTACGACGATCCTTAAAAGTCACGTAGAGAGTATTTTCATCCTCACGCGAAACAGATTCGTATTCGCCAATTGACAGAAGATAACTGCGGAAAGTCTCTTCTTTATCAACAGTAATAGGAGACACTGCAACAGTACGTGGTCTCAAATCCAGGTTAAAACGAGCCGTATTAGCAGAAGTGGCTGGGCTAGAAGCTGTAGGGCGCGAGTAAGGGCTGTAAGAGGAGGGGTAAGCACCACCTCGGCCACCACCTCTACCACCCCGGTAACCACCCCGGTGAGAAGTAGAAGCGCCACTAGAAAGTAACGAAGCTTCACGCTTAAGATTGTCAAGCTGGAGCTGCAAAGCAGCAGTAGTAGTCTTTTTGAGATGGATTTCATTGGTATCACCCTTCTTAAGAGCAATTTCAAGAAGCTTGTCTTGATGTTGCTTTTGCATTTCAATGAGACGCTGCTTTTGTTGAAGAATTTGAAGCATTTTTTCTTGATTGGCGCGTTTTTTGGCAATTTTTTCTTCAAATTCTTTTTGTTTTTGGGCCTGGACTTGACGCACAGCCTCGACATCGATTTTTTCGGGCTCAGCATTTTCTCCGGCATCGGTTTCATCGGCTTTGCGCCAGTAAACTTTGACGAAACGGTTGCCAAAAATTGCTTCAGGTGAAGACCAAGCCTGGCGAGCCTCATGATGTGTGGCGTAATCGATTAAAACAAGGTGGTTTGCCGTGTCCAAAGTAAGGTGGGTAATACTACCAAACTGAGAGAAGTAAGCACGGATATCTTGCTCGTTAAACTTATCATCAGGGATTTTCTCGATAACAAGTTTTTTTTTAATGAATTCATCATCTGGAGCGGTACTGGCGATACTCTGCAGATAGCCTCTATTGTTTTTCTTGTGGAAGCCATTTTGATAAGATCCGTTATTGTTGTCATTATTATTGAATCCACCGGCCACTTCTATGCTATTGGTATCATTATTATTATTGTTAAATCTGTGGTTATCATTCCAGTTTTGTCGGTTGTTATTATTATTGTAACCACCTCTATTTCTGTGATTTCTGTATCTTCGGCCATCATTATTATAACCATTGTGACCTTGGAAATTATTATTATTGCCTTGAGTATTAAACAAGTTGCTATTAGAAGGGTCATATTGATCATTATTGTTAGTGTTGCTATTATTATTATTATTATTATTGTTGTTGTTGTTGTTTGGTTGATTAAATTGAGGAGGCGGGAACCCAAATGGACTCATATTGTTGGATCCATTAAACGGATTAAAAATGAGAGAGGGTTGCTGGCCATTAAAGTTAGGAATGCCACCATTCAAGCTGTTAAGTCCAGGTATTTGATTTGAAGCTTGAAGGATTGGCTGTTGAACCTGCTGCTGAGGTTGAGGTTGAGGTTGTTGCTGCTGTTGCTGATCTCCTTGAGTTTGAACTTGTTGAGCCTGCTGTGACGGATTACGGTAAGCCTTAGACTGGTAAACATCCATGAGATCATTAACAAAGGATTCAGTGTTATTATGGAGAAAATCCTTAAGTTCGCTTGTGCATATTTCTTTGAGCTTGTCGATGGGCTCGTCATGCTGGATAAGGGTAATGACATACTCAGTAAGAATGTCATCAGCTTCGACGTCAGGAGTTTGAACAATGCGATTATGTACCCAAGCCTTAAGTAAGGGGATATCTTCTTCGGAAACAACCATGATGATCAGAAAAATAAAATTGCTAAGTGATGTAACTTTTCACACCTTTTTGGTAGGAAGGTTAGTTTGATGGTGATGAAAAAAAAAAAATATCGGCGGCACCTCTTTTTTTTTTTTTTTTTTTTTGATACGCGCACAGAAAGATTTTTTTTCTCCAGAATTCAAAAGAATAAAAGAAGTTGCAACAAAAATGTAACAAGAATGTAACAAGAATGTAACAAATTACTAATAATTACCTAATCTACAATATATTTTTTCTTTACATTTAGTACACCCACGTTCCTCATCAGTGATGTCTCTTCATGATCCCCAGGTTTACCCAATCCACACTTCAATTTATAATGCCCAAATACGTTTTGACTACAATTTCACAGGGTGATTCAATTCCTGAAACCTTTCAATCAAAATACGACAGTGTACTTGCTTCTTCAGGTGCTAAGGTTGATAAGGTTGTTCAGTTAAGTCCAAACAAGGCTATTGATTACTATGTAACTGCTTCCAGTGAAACCTTCCCTGCCGATGTCAAATCGACATTTCTTGATTTGAGCAAAGACACCAAGGTTGATGTTATTGTTCAGGCTGATTCTCCTGAGCGTAAAGATAAGGGACTATTTGTTTTTGACATGGACTCAACTTTGATTCAGCAGGAAGTCATTGACATGATTGCGGCTTATGCCAATGTGGAGGCCGAGGTGTCCAAAATTACGGAAGCTGCCATGAATGGTGAAATTGATTTCAACGAATCTTTGACACGAAGAGTTGGTCTGCTTAAGGGCATTCGTTCTGATGTTTTTGAGCTCCTCAAGGCCGACATTAGATTTACTCCCGGTGCCCGTGAGCTGTGTCGTGCGCTCAAGAAGCTCGGTGTTAAGATGGCTGTGCTGTCTGGTGGATTCATCCCTCTTGCTCGGTGGGTGAAAGCCGAGCTTGGTCTTGATTACGCATATGCCAACACTTTAGAAATCAGTGCCAACGGAAAGGAGCTTACTGGTAAGCCATTGGGACGTATTGTCAACAACGTGGTTAAGGCTGAACTTTTGCAAGAGATTGCAAAACAAGAGAATGTTGCTCTTGAGCGTGCTGTCGCAGTTGGTGACGGATCTAATGACTTGCTGATGATGGCTGCTGCTGGTTTTGGTATTGCCTTCAATGCAAAGCCAGTTGTCCAGCTCAAGGCTCCTTCCAAGATCAACACCCCTTCTCTTCAAACCGTGTTATATATTTTGGGCTACAACGACAAGGAGATCAAGGACCTAATTGAGTAAAGTGTCAGATCAATCATATTTTAAAGTATTTATAGAGAACTTTTTAGATTGTCAGATAAATTTTGATTGGCAAAAATTAAATAATGGTTAATCTGACTACCTCTTGAGAACGCACAAGAGAATTGATTGAACACACATTCCACAACCAACTTTTTTAGATAGGACCCCATAAATTAAACAGTCATCAATCAAGTCCGCGTGGCAAAAAAAAAAAAAAAAAAAAAAAATTTCTATGATGGGTTGCTGCTCTCACCAACAAAAACTAACGCGTAGTTGTCGCGGAGAAGGGTGATCTGCGCTTGGTGAGGTACTCCATCCCCTTGTTTGATAAAATTTAAGTGGAGCTAGAGGGCTGGGTTGTTCAAAAATAAGAACATTAGGTACTTCCAAATCATACGTAGGTATATATCATTGTGACACAGCTTTTTGAAAGAGAAAGAGAGGAGTACTTAAGTATGTCACGGATATTTCGTAAATGCAACACTAATTGAATAGACAAGGAACTCACACTACTGGAAGGCACTTCCTCATCTCTTAGTCTGTTTCGCAGCAGTCATGATTAGCAACGGGCTTCTTGATTAAAGTGTCTTTGTTTTTGTTTAAGCTTATAAGCTTAAAACAAATATTGATTTGTTTTATTAATTCATGACTTGATCGGACACAATTTATCTATAAAGAGTTTTTTTTTTAAAAAAAAATAGACTCTTTTGGCATGCAGTTTTTGTGCAGAGCCATTTAAATAAAAAAAAAATTTTTTAAAACGCGTTGAACGCGATTTTTTTAAGACACGTAAAGTACGCGTCATGTACAAACTCACTCAACCGCCACAAGACAAAGCATCATTTTATGCTTTAACTAAAAAAAAATAAAAAATAAAAAGAATTAAAAGGAAAAGACCAAAGTAAAGAATAAATATAAACCATATAAAGATGCCATTACTATTTCATAAAATAGAGAATAAAAATAAAAAAACGTTATGCTATAGACCCAGTTCCAAGCCAAATTAAGGATTCAGCGACCGCGTCTTCTTCTCCCATATGGTCCCGCAACGATCTCGAAGAGGTTGATTGTGAGGTTAAAGATACCACAGGTTTAGAAGCCGACATGGGAGCAGCCAAAGCCGGGGCAGGAGACGTTGAAGGAGAGAAATATGCAGCTATTGAGGGCGACGATGATACACCTGATTTTTGTAGTCGCAAGGCATTGACCGGTGAACGAGACAAAGATTGCATCTCCGCTTGAAGACCAGCTGTTGCGGCTGCTGCCAGCTTAGTAACGCACAGCGCCGATCGCCCGCTGACTGAAGGCGAAGTAGGAGTCAGCAGTGGTGGAGACAATGTTCCTACAACAGGAGTGCGGAAAACGTGTTGTTGTTGCTGCTGTTGCTGCTGTTGAAGAGAGTTTGCACGGTCATTGCTGCGTTTCAGACGTTTACGTCTAATGTCTTTATAAACGCGCGAAAAGTAACGGTCATCGTTAGTCCGCGGGCCAAGCGCGCGCAGCGCGCTGCCAAACGATGGAGAATCGCTATAAGAAGTATCCATAGATGTATCAGTCCCAGGGTCAACCCAAGAGTGTGAAGAAGGTGTGTTTGATGCAGTCGTAGCATTTGCAGTCATTGCTGAGATAGAAACCACGGTTGAGGATGAGTCTGGTAGATCCAGGTCTGAATCCGAGTCCGAATCCGAATCTGAAGAATCTGAAGAATCTGAATTAGACGAAGAAGATGTGTTGATTGATGAAAATAACGAATTAGTTGATGATGGTGATAACTCATTGTGTATGCTATTGAACTTTGTTGTTGGTAACACCGTTTGCGGTGTAGTTTGGGAGCTTTGTAAATTTTCTTCTGTGCCATTTTCTTCTGTACACAAAGGTGTACCTTCTCGGGATGGTAGTTTCTTTGGTCGATCCACTTTCTGTATGGCTGATGCCAGACGTGACCGGAGATTAGATGCAAGAAACCTGACACTTGGTGGACCACTGCTTTTGCTGCGCACTGCCCCAGTAATGCTTTTGGGACCTACTGGTGGGCACAGACTTTGTAGACTTGGACTTGACGCGCGAGAACTGAAGTTTGTATTAGAATCAGACACACACGGACTTGTTTCTAAGGAACGAATGCCTGGATGAGGCTTCTTGGGATTAACAATAGGCAATGCGGAAGACTGCACGCGGTTAGGTAGGTTGGTAGCCAGAGAATCGAGACACGGTGGATTTACTATACTGTAAAGTGCCGAGTATGATGCGGTCACTTCGTCTTGAGTATAACTGGGGTACTTTTTCAAGCTTTTTAGAAAAGGGTTGTTAAAGATTGATGAAGAAGCCTCGGTTGCTTCTTCCTCTGTTGTTGTTATTGCGGATTGTTCTTCTTCCGCGGTACCCGTGATGTTATCAGGGACCTCTTCTGCTGGCTCTACCTGCGGCTCTACACTCGGGGTCCTTGGAGCCTGCAAAACTGGCGAGGATTCAGCTGACATTGTTCTTTCTGGGACTTTCTGGCGTTGCGGGTGTTTTGTTGAGTTAAGAAAAAAAAGAGAAAAAGAGAGCAAAAAAGTAAAGGGGAAAATAAAAAAAAGGGGAGAGAGAGAAAAAAAAAAAAAAAAAACTCGTTAAATGACTGTGCGAAAAGGAAACGCAAGTTTACACAGAGGCCAGTCGGCCGGTGCGAGCGCCCGCCAACAAAAAAAAATCCAAAATTTTTTTTCTCCTCGTCGTCGTGACATTACAAAATTCGTCGCGAAAAAATCGCGGTTTTGCGCGTCGCACTTAAATAACTACACAAAAAAAGCATAGTAAAAGCTTTACATGTAATTTTTTTTTAAAAATATTAATGAGATTTATTATTGAACTTCAATCTTTTTTATTATAATAGAATTATATATTTTTTTTTCAATTTCAAAGATTTCAAAAGCCTGGTATTCCCCACAGTCACTTGTAGGATCTCTTGGATCGGAGGGGGCTCACCACGCGAACAAGCATGCGCCGCACTGCACTGCACAAAAACCCTAAACCCAGCTATTACCCACCCATCTTTTGCAATCTATTTATTCCGTGTATTTATCATCCTGACTAAGTAAATACAAGAACTTTAGCACACCCGTTCAAATACTCCATTCCCAGTATCACCACTAAAGGGTTAGCATCAACGCAAATAGAAGCCAAACAAAACCATGACAGCGAATCTGTCAACAGCACAAGCATCACCGAGAACAAGCAATCAGGACTCTTTGTATTCTGAAACCAATTCTGTAACTGCGACTGTTGCATCTGGTGTTTTCTCTGCCTCATCTTCAGTTTCCAGCATAACCCAAAATCCACCAGCCAATTGTTCTCTTGTGTCTTTATCTACAACAACTGATATCCCAAATATTGGAGCTCCACCGGCTACATCTTCCTTTTGGGCCTCTCATCCTTCCTCGTTTGAAACAATTTGTAAAATAATGAATGTTCAACCACACCTTTTGATTATTCCTTGTCCTCATGCAAAACACTTTTCCCAAACACGTCTCATTGACTACCAGGCCTTTTGCAAACTTGTTGAAATTGACCCTGATCGAGTTCTTTCTAAAATGCTTTATGTTCGTGTTGAAAGCAGATATTTTGACACATTTTTTGTTAATATTGAAACTAAAACTCAGCCGGTAAATTCCAATAAAGAACCTCAGCAAAAAGATCAAGAAAAAGCTCTTTCGTCTGAAACTATTTCTGTTGATTCAAAACTAACTGATTCTTCATCAACGCAAATAAGTCAGGTAATTGAAAATATTTTAGATCCATCTGAAGAATTAGTGGAACCAACGTCTTTTAATTCAACTCTTTCCAACTCAATTTCAAAACCTAAAGAGTATGGCCAGAGCTCTTTGGTGCAACCTACAATGTCATCCATACCTCAAAATTTAACTTCATACCATGAATTTTGCAAATCTTTTGGCAGTCTAGACTCCTCAAAAGTTTCTACTTTTCAACACTTTCTTTCTTTTAATTCTTCCTCTTCTTCCAACTCCTTGCCTTTAGCATTTTTAGAGCATATTATATCCAAACCCGAGACACCTACTTATAATCAGTTTTGCCAATCAAACTCTCATTTAGAAATGGATTCTCTTTCAACTATGAAATCATATATTGTATCCCTTGTTACAGATTCCCAAGACTTTTTTGAACCTACTGGTCTGGCAGCGCTCGACCAAAATGATAAATCCGAAGCTAAGATATCTTCTGAAAAACTTGCTTCAGATACAAATGACGCAAAAGGGATAACTGAGCAACGGAAAAGAAAGTTTAGTGAAATACAAACCCCATTAGAGTAGCTGTGTTATTATGGCTTTTCAAAAGTTGCAATTTCTACGAAAGTCGTTTGTCATCTGATTAATTTATTTTTACTAGGACGTGATGCAAAACCAGCACGCATACATTTTATCCCTTAAGGGGGTACTGGTTCTAGTCCAGTAATCCTAAATTTACGAAGAAGCAATGATGACAGTTAGAAAAAAATTCTTATGCTAGCCTGGTACTGGGTTCTATTTCCAGTTGCCAAAGAATACCATATCCAATGCTGCCCGATTCAGTGGCATACACTTTCCTTTGAACAAGACCATACCACTGCAATATTTTGTCAGTAACTGCTGAATGTTCCGTACTGAGTTGCGATTCTATTTTCCTTCATTAACCTCAATACTATCGTACCATTAAGTGCTTGTGAACCACAGTAAACAACAACTTTTAAAGCCAAGATTCGTTATAACGTTGAATAAAAACAAGGACCCTTTCAGACCTTCACAGCTGGATTGTAATTTGAAGAAATATCTATAAATAGTACAATAGATAGGGAATAGTTTTAATGTAACGATATCCAATGTTTAAAAAAAGAAACACACTCTCCCTTAAATCTATTAAACTCTAATTTTTTTTTTTTTTGATATTTGGGATAAACCTTTAAAAAAATCAAATCAAATATGCTGGTAAATTTACAATGATTATCAAGCTGAACTATGTTTGTTTTTATTCAAGAAATAAATATCATTACATTTCCAACAACTTGAAAATAAGTCCTGATAGCAGCTGATCAGAAACAGAGGACAAGCTAGAGTAACTTTAAAGATATCAGGCTATCCATAAATAGCATATTAGAATTTAATTTTTTTTTTGCTTAAAATATAAAGGGAGTTTAAAATTTCCGATTTCTAAGTTTAAATAACTTTTGAGCTAACTATTAAATATTCTAACTCTTATAACAGTATTTTAATAACGTTGTTGATTTTTTAAGAATTTACAGCTAGAATTCACTATTGTGATTGTCATTATGATCATTTTCATAATTATTAAATTTTCTATTAAATCTCAAAATTTAGTTTAGATATATTTCTATAAAAGCTTTAAATGCTTATTATCCTATTCAATTATTTGATTGGATATGACAGCCATTACTATAAAAGACATCAATACAATGTCTGAAACAAAAGGGAACATATTATTTTTATATATTTGAAAATTAAACAATTAAACAATTAAACAATATAAAAAATAATTATAATCACAGAATTTTATAAAGATTTTGAAATTAAAAATTATTAAACTTCCTTTAGAGTAAGAAGAAAGTTAACAGGCAGGAAACAATTGTAGGGACCAGAATATCACCCACAGAAATCATTACACCAGAATTCACTTGAGTAATTCCAGATGGAACATTTCCGGCAGAGACTTGAGGTATAACCGCTGTGGACAATGATAGCAATGAAGAGCCATGTGAATTGTCTGGATTAGGCTTTGCCGTAGGAACTTCTGCAGATGTGGGGCTGGAGTGGCTTGATGACGTAGCTGGAATCACTGGAATAGTATTAGTATTAGTATTAGTATTAGCAGTAGCAGTAGCAGTAGCAGTAGAGGACCCCAGGAAGTAGCTTAAACTTCCCAGTGTAGAAGGAGTGGCATGCAATTTAGAATATCCCAAAATCGGCGCTGTTGGACTAGCTAGATTGCTTGATTCAATGCTGTGACTGGGATTTCCTAAAACACTTGGAAATGCCGGAATAGCTGAAGTAGCTATGCCAGATATCTCAGTTATGTTATAAATCACGGATTTACCGATTTTCACAGCTGGACTGGACTGTTTTGCAACAGCATTACTAAAAGTTGTGGTAGTGGTTTGTATAATAGATGTATCAGCAATTGCTGTTATTATTGTAGGATTTGATGAGCCTGAGCCAGAGCCAGAGCCAGAGCCAGAGCCAGAGCCAGAGCCAGTGCTGAGAACCGTTTTCAAAGTAGCTGTAGTAGTTGTATTAAAACTGTTACTGGCTGTTGACCCTATTGTAATTGTAGAAGTGCTTTTACTTGATAAAAACGGAGATTCAACAATTGTAAAAGTGGTTTGGCATGGCTCTGTAACTGTAACAATAGTACCACTCAAATTTTTTGTAATCGCTTTAACAGTCGAAGTCGTGAAGAGTTTTGTAATGCATTTATCACATAATTCTGTTAAAATGGCAGTAGTATCAACTTTAGAAGGCGAACTTGAAATAGTTTTTAGGTCTGATTTAATCCCCGTATGAGTATTAGATGTAAGGGTAAGTGTTGAAACACCATTTTTGTAAGAGAAAGGTGATTCAGCAACAGTCAAAGTAGTTTCACATGGCTCAGTTATAGTGACAATTAAACCGTTAATTGTTTTTGTTACAGGGGCAAGTGTTGAAGTTGTTATAACTTTTGTGACACATTTGTCACATAGCTTAGTTGAAATCCCAGAAGATTCTAAGAATGCAGAAAATTCAAAAGAATTTCCAGAACCTACTGATGTATGAGTGATTGTGAAAGTAGTAGCATAAGGCTTTTCATTAGTGATTGTTTGAGTTTCTGAAACAGTAGGAAATGTACTAGTTCTAGTTTCCGTGATGGTGTCGATTATATATATAAATGAATCGACAATGAAAGCACTAGCATGACTGCTTGATTTAGTTGAAGTGATGGATACATGATTTATATTGGTTTCAGTTGAATGTTGTACAATTGTCAATGTTGGTTCGTATGTTTCGACACTAACGATAGCTTCGCCATTTAATGAGACTGTAAAAGTAACAACTCCGGTATCAGTAATCGTTTTGGTAGCAGGTGAAGAAAGTGTAATTGTTTCAACATTAGTATAAACACTTGTAAAAGTCAATAAATGTCCATTAATTGTAGAAGTTATTGTTGACGTTTCAATTTCTGTTGTTGTGATACAATCGTAACTAGTACTTGACGTTAATGTTTGAGTAGCAATAGGGGTAGGAAAAATCAAAGTGCCTGTTGTTGAGATAGTAACCGTTGGATCAATAGATTTGGAAGTTGGGTTAGAAGAGTGGTGATATAATGAAGACACACTTATAGAAGTAACTGTGGACCCATTTGAATACGAGGGAGATATTTTACTGGAATCCTTTGCTGTGGAGTTACCAGTAGTTGAACTGATACTCAAAAATACAGAAGTTGGAAAGCCAGAATATGAAGACCCAATAATAATTTCATTAGTAGCTGAAGCATTGGAAGGAATTGCAGAATAATTAGTAGTTTTTGAATTTGATTTAGTAAATTGAGAAGAAATAGTAGATTGAGTTGAAGAAACATAAGTTAAGCTGTTTGTAGATGCAACAACTTGTGCTGATGAATTGCTGGTAGATTCAGTAGAACCAAAGCTTCCTGAATTACTAGATGTTGAACCACTTGCTACAACGGAACCAAAAGTTTTTGACAAATCAGAATTTGAATTACTTGCAATCAAGCTTTCAGAAATAGATTGACTGGTAGATGTTGGAATAGATGAGAATTTATTGTTTGAGCTATTGGGAATGATTGTGCTAACTGTCGACGTATTTTTAACAACGCCAGTCTTGGAAAAAGAAGTGCTAAAACTGTTGGCAATAGATGTACCTGTAGAATATATCAAAATAGAAATTTCACGGGTAGAAGTTTTTGAAATTGATATTCCTGAGCTAAATGTATTTTTGGTAATAGACTCTGAGAAAGAAGTTTTATTTGAGGATGTTCCTGTTGCCGAAATCACAGTAGAAGAAACGCTGGAAATAGATGATCCCATAAAAGAAATGGCAGTAGCAGAATCTCTTACAGAAAATATTCCTGTAGAAGAAGTTCTGCTCGAAGATGCACCAGCATTAGATGTTCCATCAATTGAAGTTTCTGAAACAAAAGTGCTTGAGGCAGAAGTGCTTGTAACAGCAATTCCTGCTAAAGCAGTCCCAGTGGAATGAGTATCTGAAGAAGACGTGCCTGTAGAATAGGTACCAATGGCAGAAGAATCTGTAATAGAAAATCCTGTAAAAGAAGATTTAAAAGTACTTGTGGCTGAAATAGATGAAGATGTTCCCGTGAAAGAGGTTCCAGTGAAAGACCGACTGGAAGAAGTTTCTGTCGCAGAAGTTATTATTTGGGATGTTCCACTTACAGAACTACCTGTGATTAAAGTGCTTGTGACAGAAGTACCTTTAGATGAAGTGTCTGTGACTGCACTTTTGGTAAAATAAGTACTAGGGGGGAAAGTTCCGGTAGATGATTCAGAAGTAACTGTTACTGAAACTGATGAAAAAGTTCCTGTAGTAATAGTTCCTGTAAAAGATTGATTAGAGGAAGTAATTGCTGCAGATGTTGTGATTGTAGATGTTCCGCTAACAGAATTGCCTATGAGTGAAGTGACACCAGCAGCACTTCCTATGGAAGAAGTACCAAATGTTGAAGTTTCTGTATAAAAAGTACCTATGCCAGAAGTGCTGGTGGTAAAAGCAACTGTGGCAGAAATTGATGAAGATGTTCCGGTTGTAGAAGATCCACTAGCAGAAGTGTTTGTGGCAGATGTTATAGATGAGAAAGTTCCACTAGCAGAAGTACTAGTAGTAGCACTTCCAGTGGGAGAAGACCCAGATATAGATATCAGGGTAACAGAAGTGCCGGTAGAAAAGGTTTCTGTGGAAGAAGTTCCTGAAAAAGAAATTCCTCGAGAAGAAATTCCTTGAGAAGAAATTCCCTGAGAAAAAATTCCTTGAGAAGAAATTCCTAGAGAAGAAATATCTTTGGAAGAAATACTTGTAGAAGAAGTACTCGTAGAAGAAGCACTGACAAAATCACCTATGGAAGATTTTCCAGATATAGATGTTAGAGCAATAGAAGTGCTTGTGGACGAGGGGCCTTCTAAATTAGAACTTATGGTCAACGCAGTTCCAGAAGAAATAAAAGTAGATATTACTGAAATGACAGATGAGGAAGTTACCGGCCCTGGTGAGATGACGGTTGAGGTAGATGCAACCACACTACCAGACCGGGATGTGATTATAATTGTATTACCAGTTGCCGTAGAAGATACAGTAGAAGATATTTGAGAATCATCAGTTTTACTTTGATAGAATGAATAGTCATCTGAGTGAGAAATATGGCCTAGTTCAGAAGAATACCAGGCGGAAAAGTCAGCACCATCAGAAAATTCGAACCCTGCAGAAAATTCAAGAGATAAAAGAAGAGAAAGTTCAAGATCTTTTGAATAATCAACCCCGGCAGAAAATTCGATTTCTTTTGAGAGCTCTAAATCAAGTGAAAGTTCCAATCCTTGAGAGTATTGGGCTGAAAGTTCAAGTTCTTTTGAGAACTCTAGACCCAGAGAATATTGTGCTGAAAGTTCAAGCTCTTTGGAAAATTCTAAGCCTGCGGAGAATTGTAAACGTTGTGAGTGATCTAAGCCGGAAGAATACCCCAGATCTAAAGAATGATCTACATCAACGGAAACACCAAGATCCGCTGATTGCCCTAATACTGCTGAAAAATCCAGGCCAGCTGAGTGTTCTAGTCCTACTGAAAAATCCAAACCCGCTGAGTGCTCAAGTGCAGCTGAAAAACTGAAATCAGCCGAATGTTCTAGACTAGTTGAAAAATCAAAGCCAAGACCAGCAGAAACTCCCAGACTTTTTGATAATTCTAGAGAAGCAGAAAATTCCAATTCTTGTGAGTATAAAAGAGCCTCTGAATGTTCCAAGGCAAGAGAAGCAGAGAGTTCAAGTTCTTTTGAAAGGCTCAGACCAGCCGACAACTGTAAAGAAATGGGTAAGTCAAGGCTTAAGCTTGTGGAAATACCAACTTCATTGGAAAGCTGAAGAAGTTGAGAAGCATCAATACCAGCAGTAATTTGGGGAAGGTTTGTATTGATAGCGCCAGAGGGGTAGCCAGATTCAATATTAAGTGAGAGTGTGGGATCAATGGCCAATGTTGGAGCAATAGTAGCACCAATACTAAAAGAAAAAGAATTATCAGAAGTAAGAGCAGCACTCTCTGTAGGAATTGAAATTAACAGTTCACCATAAGCAGAAGGTATTTGTTGGCGGGGGGCTAAATCCATTTCATTTCTTTCCAAAAAACTGTGGTATTCATTTTGAGGCAAAGCAAGGCATAATTGAATCCCTGCGATTAATATTGACAAGTATTTCATACTAAATTAGTTAGATTAAAAAAAACTTGAGTGTTTTTTTCAAAATAGCATACATCAAAGCACAATTTTAATCACTTATTAAATTAAAGGAATGTGAGGATTTTTGAGATATTAATTAAAAGAGTGTAGATAATTGAAATTTTGATATAAGGATGAGATTATTTTTTTTTTTTTCAATTTGCATTTTTAGAAATTTTGACAAGTATTTATAAGATATATTTTAAACAATATATAGCTATAGCTACATAAACGTTTTCTAAAATACAGCTATCAATTAAAAAAGATATTATATATATATGAATGTTAGTAAAAATAAACAAGGCCTAAGTATAACGAACATTTTGAAAATGATCAACATTTTTTGTAATTCTTCTTTAACGATTTCTAATTTTGGGCAATATTTTTTTTTTTTTTTTTTGAAGATCTGATCGACATCAAAGGGGGGTTAATCATTTGAAGATTGCTGTAGAAGATACATTTAAAAAAAAAAAGTAACAGACCGGTGGGGCTCGGTACTCACAAGCTCCATTTGTGTTTGTTCACGATCAAATATTTTGATGATCGCCAAAGATTAAAAGACTTTAAAAAAATAAAGTGTGTTAAAATTAATGAAATTTAATTACAAAAAAACAATTTTTTTTAAAAAACTCTTTTACTTTTTGCTGCCAATAGGATTTAACTATGATAAGTGGTATAACAAATAAATTTGGTGAAACAGTTGTGAATGTGAAATTATTTACAGTATTGAAAATTGATATATTTTTAAATAAATCTTCCCAGGAAAAACAACCTCGTCAGATTATACCATAATCATGAGATAACTGTGTATTAAAAATTTAAGAATAGAAAGGACTAATTTTTTGCCATGGTTTCTGAGCACGATAGGTTTAGAAGAAATGTCGTCAAAGATTATAGTGTATTTTGTCAGTATGAAAATAAAGTTGTTTCTCATTTTTATTCACACATAACTCTTTATCAAAATTTATGAGAAATCAACGCCTGGATGTTTTTTTTAATTTAAATCCATCATTTTAATATAGAATTTTTAAAAAGTTCACTTTTTTTTTAATATATTAAACTTTTTGATTATTTCTTTTTTTTTTTTTTTCTTCTTTTTTAATTTGGTCTCAAATTTTCTTTCGGCTTCTTCTTTTTGTTTTTGAATTTCTTATTTTGACTAGGTTTTGTTTTTTCTGGAACCATTATCGTTGATCATTCGTAAAAATTACCAAGATTAATTCTCTGTTTATAACTAAGTTTTGTCAATTTATCAATGTTGAGATCTAATAATGATAAGTTTACTCCAACTTAGGTAAAAGTTGTAATGTGGAAAACAATTTAAATGATTGTAGCAAATTATGAGCTTTAAATCCGGAGTATGGGTTTTAGAAATACTAGATTTTTTTTTTAAAAAAAATGAAACAAAACAAGAACCTCCAAAATGTCTTTGAATTCTATATTACTTATTCAAAGTGAGATAGGAAATACGGCTGAAAAAAGACCTATTTCCGGATAAATCTTTGTGAGGCCCCCAAAGTATATTTAAGTTTAAGCCTTTTTCTTTTTCCCTTTCTTTTTCCTTTCCTTTCCTTCTTTTTCCCTTTTTTTTTTTTGTTGTGTAGTTCGTTTCGAGGAAATTGTTGCAAACCTTGTTTATTTTTTATTTCTTTTTAATATTAACAATGCCTTCTAATATCAAAAAAAATCCGCTTTCTAAAAGTTATACTCGGTGGAAAAGTATCAAAAAGGACCCACCGGGGCCAGCCAGGGGTGGTTTTGAACTGAGCCAAAGGTCGCACAAAAAAGGCTTTAAGAGAGTTGTTACTCTGGGACAGTTTTTTAGCAACATTGTAATTTTGTACAGCCTAGGATCAGGTCCATTAAACAACACTTTGCTTGAGCATGAAGGCGGATATCGAGCTACAGTTTCATCAATTACGGCAGTGTTTGTTGTGGTCTATTTTTATCATGTGGGACGGTATTTTCGGGAACTTTACGATGCAGGGGAGCTCAACTCACTTCACGAAAGAGGCTTAATTGAAGTTGGATGTGATTTAATTGAGCGAACAAATTTTGTTTGTACAGGAACGTTGATGATGATTGTATTTCAGTTTCTTGGTCATGCAGTTAGATGTTCACACAATACTAGTCATCATCAGAATGGAAATGGAATCGAAGCGAGTTTTCAGAGTGAGACGCCGTGGTGCGATACTGCAGGAATGATTAAGGGATTTGCAGATGCAGTTTCAGTGGGTGCTCAGTTGATTAAGGAAAAATGTACCAGTCATGAGAAGGGGATGGACAATGTGATGAAAGGAGAGGGGGTTGCCGTTGAAGTGCTTGTTGCCTATGCTTGGTGCCTTAGTGGAGTGCCTTTTATCATTTATAGCTATTGGCAAAAGTATAGGCCAAGTACTGGGCATTGAAAGCGGCAAATATCTAAATTCTTGTTAAGGAAATGAATAGTAAATAGGAAGATTGTGAATGTAGTAGATCTTGAGTCTTAAAGGTCAATAGAGAGCATTTGAATGGTTTGAGCCGCATAACCAAATCAGGAAAACTATTTGTAACAAAGTTGTAACAAATTAATATATTTTAAACCTTCGTCATTTTGTAATCTCTACTACATGAAAAAAAAAAAAATAGATAATCAAAATCAAATCAAAAAATAAAAAATAAAAAATAAAAAATAAAAAATAAAAAATAAAAATAAAAAATAAAATAAAATAAAAATACGCAATTATGGACTCATTCATTTCAATTCCTCCGATAATTAAACAGTCTAGTACACCGACTCCAGATTCGCGGCGGGGAGAAAATAGTCCTGCTCCATCTGGTGGCGTGGGGACTCCGGTACCAGCTTCGTCGGGGTCAGCCGTGGGCGGCGGAGGAGGACCTAGTGTAATCAAGACAGAAGATGAAAGCGAGGAGGAATTACGGCGGAGTGAAGCAGCAGTAGAGACATTACAGCAGATGGATCTATGGTCTCTTGTACTGGATCTAATGACTCGGATCCAGGAAGGAACAGTGACAGCGAAAACTGTGGACAATGAGGCAGGAATTATTCGGGCGCGGATTTCGCGGGCACGTATGTCGTTGAAACATGTGACAGGGCTGGATGTGAGCATGGGAGAGCGTAAGGAGGAGATTTTGCGGTTGGAAGAGGCGATTCAGAAGAAACGGGACTTGCTTGTGCGGTTCCAAGCCGTAATGGGCGGGAACTCCAACGAGACTGAGTGGCCCTCTGCGACAGTCGTGTCAATAAAAAAGGAGCCTGGGACAGGTGAAGAAAATACAAGCAGTGGGCCACCTGTTAAGGAAGAGTCAGTTGATCCGATAACCGATATTTCAAACTTTACTGGAAATGGTGTCAATGGGGACGAAGCAGTCCCAGTGACAACAATGTCGGCTGGACTGGATGTGCCTGCACCGAACGACTTGGACGTGTTCATGAGCGGGATAGATGGAGTTCAAAGTGGTGGGGATAATCTTCCAGTTAGAACCAATGGTTCTGATGAAATGAAGCCACCAGATGCAAGTTCCGGGTTACTTTACGATATGCCATTGGACACGTTTGAGGGTTTTGACTTTTAGAGTTCCGTAGTAAATTGAGGACTGGGTGTGTAAATTTGGGGCTAGATATGGTGTTCCGAGTACTTTTTAGACAAAACTTAGCTGGCTGGTAGAGGTGGCATTAAGCGAGTTGGAAGTTCTTGTAAGACCCGCCAGAGTCCCAGTAACCCAGTGATGTCTTTGAAGTTTTTTTTTTCAACTGTGTCCCGTTACTTGTTATTATTATCGACTTTATCGTTGTTGACATTTAAGATTGCGCACCCGGCCGTTTATTTACTCATCAATTTCAGTAGTAAAAAAACTGCCTTCCTTCTTCTTCACCCCCCCACCTGAGCGCAAACCCTGCGCCCTTCTCTTCCTCCTCCTCCTCCACACAGCCAGCCAGCCAGCCAACCACACGGCCGCGCTGTGAAATTTTTTTTTTTTTTTGTTTTGCCCTGCAAAAACTTTTCCTTTCAAAAATTCTCCTTTTTTTTTTTTTTTCTCACAACCACCATCTTCTTTACCACCCTTTTTCCCAGCTAACCAGCAACAAAACCCGCCACCCGACCCCATCCATCATCATGGCTGCTGTCCCTACTCCTTCTGCCTCGACTATTCCCACGCTGGGAGATATTTCCAAGATCCCATTAGGCACAATCCCTGGAACTTCGATTGTGATCCCCAGAGAGCCTTCTGTTTGGGAAACACACCCGGTTCTTTCACCCTTTAATGATCTTTACAACGCGGTGGCGGCCCGGAGGTCCGCTCTCAACCTCTCTAACCCAGGAACCATGGAGAACCTGACCAAAGAGGTCACCAAGGATGTATTCCTTAACAACTACTTTTTCACCGGTCTGCGCGCTGATTTGTCCAAATCTTTCTCCATGAACCCAGCGTTCCAAGTCTCGCACTCGTTCGCTCTCGGCTCCCCCATGATGCCTCCCTACGGCTTTGCTGCCTTCTATGCCACAGACAATGTCCTTCTTCAGGGTAACATTGACAACGAGCTGTCTTTGTCGGGCCGTGCCCACTACTCCTTGTCCAAGGGTTCTATCTTCAAGGCCAATGCCCAGATCGCCAATGGCCAACCTCCTATGCTCCAACTTGAGCACGACCTCCAGGGCTCCGACTTCACCATCAACTTGAAGGCTCTCAACCCTTCGTTCCTTGACGGCGTCTTCACCGGTGTTGGTGTTGCTTCTTACCTCCAGTCTCTCACCCCCAAGCTTGCTCTCGGCATTGAGACGGTCTACTCGGCCCAGTCGGCATCCCACCCCCCAGATGCTGCCATGTCCTTTTCTGGCCGTTACGCTTCTGGTGACTGGATTGCCACTGGTCAGCTTCAAGGTCAGGGTGCCATCAACGCCACCTTTTACCGCCGTGTCACTGACAAGGTTGAGGCCGGTATTGAGGCCTCCATTGGCTTGACTAACCCCCAGGCTGCTCTTATGGCTGGTCCTGCTGGCGGTGCTCCCGCTGGCCCTACCATTGAGGGCACTACCACCATTGGTGCTAAGTACGAGTTCCGCCAGTCAGTGTTCCGTGGTCAGATTGATTCTAACGGTAAGGTTGCTGTTCTGCTTGAACGCCGCGTTCTCCCCGTCCTTTCTATTCTCTTTGCTGGAGAGATTGATCACTCTAAGTCTGCGGCCCGTCTCGGTCTCGGTATCCAGTTTGAAGCTGGTGGTGAGGAGATTTATGCTCAAGGTCCTCCTGACCCCACTTCCCAGGCCCATCCCCCCATGTAAATAATAATAATATCATCCTAGAGGAAAATAAAACAAACAAAAAAGCTGGAATGGAGTATTTTTTTTTTTAGTTGAGATATCATGTTGAATAAAAATTTTTTGTACATTTTTAAATAAAAACCGTTAGTTAATTAAAAAAAAAATAAAATAAAATAAAAAATTAAGTAAAGTCTACTTAGATCCCCACATTGCTAACATGGGGTTTGTTCCATTGGATTCTTCTGGCAGAGGAGACCGATGATAATACCGGGAAAGTCCCGAATCCTGTGTCCCAAACATTGCAGCATGTTTTTCCGCAGGAGTCAGCATGGTTATTGTGCGGGCCACATTTCTATCTTCGTCAATACTATTTCGCCTAGACCTGGGCCCGTCACTACTACCAGATCCAGGCGAAAACACGCGCACACCAAGCCCAGGGGAAACAGGCACAGCCATCACACCAAGCGTAGCCAAACTACTAGTGCTTGCACTACGTGACAACCGTGGTTTTGGAGGTAGCACGGTGACGGTAGATAATGATGCTGGCGATTGGGTTGAGCCTAGCGAAGACAAGGTTCGGGTGGGGAGCGGCGGACAGAGCTTGTTTGGGTGTTGTTTATTTGTAGACAAGACTCCGAGTGGGCCGTAGGATTTGCGAGAGCGGCGCCGGTCGTATTCTCCATACCAATCCGTTGTTAATGATGATGGTGGTGGTGATGATGATGATTTTGTTGTTGTTATATCTGGTTGTAGCCGATTGTTATTTCTTTTGGTGACTGGCGCGTTCTGCTTGGTGCCAGAATTAGTTGCGTCGCCGTAAAGGGTTGCCGCTGCTGCCGCAACAGCAGCTACAGCCGCCGACGAAATCATGCGACCAAGCGACATGCGTTTGGACTCGACTGATTTCGGTTCCATTTCTGGAGAAAAAGACAGCAGAGAACTCGCATGGTTCTCGGTTACTGTCTCCTGATCCTTTTCGAGTTCGTCGCCCACAACAGTCGTACTGCTTTCTGTGAAACTCGCGCACCTGCTCACTGAATAAACGGGCTCCTGCGATGTGAAAGGAGATGCACGTTGAGCAGCCACGGCGGCCAGCACCTGCTCGTCCAGCGAGTATACAGGTAGCAAGGACCTAGGTGTGGTCGTGTCGTGGAGTCCTGGGAGGGCCGTTGAGTTGGTTGATTGAGCAACTCCAACGGTATCCGGGAAGTCGTCCAAGATATTGTCTAGGGTAGATGAGGACGAGGAAAACTCTGGGGTATAAGCGCCAGTAGAGCAAGTCTCTAGATTCAACATGTGGTTATGTTTAGGAGACGAGCATGCCTCAATATCGGAGAGCGTAGGCGAGGGGTAGTCATGAAGAAATAGCGGCGAAGAAGGGCCTGGGGTAGAGATTGGGGAAGTACATAAAGAACGCGAAAGAGGAGAAGATGGTGAAACACACAAGGAAGTTTCGGTTGTGGCTCTGGTGAATGGTTTAGGGGGTGAGTTGAGCGGGAACCCAAATGGGTCTTCCACGGCGGGTTCTAGGGTAGCTGTGCGACGAGATGGGAGGCTTTTGCGGATTCTAGGAGCCTCTGATTGCTGTTGGGTCGACATGATTTCCTCATATTGGCGCACCAGCATGCTTGTCATTTCGGATGAAGATTCACTGACTACTCGAGTCTGCGGCATTTGTCTTGAGCGGAGCCGGTGCGAGCGCGTTACAGGTTGTTCTTCTGCAGGATCGTCTTCATAGACAATTTGAAAGCTACATATTTTGGCAAATAAATTATCGAGAGTACGGATTTCCTCTGTATCAGACTCTGGAAGCTCTATGCGCCAGAACTTTCGGGGGACCGGTTGCGGGAGTAAGTATTGGGCACGCGCGATGCGCCAGACTCGGGTTCTGGGGAGAATGGGGTGCGCAAACTCACTACCGCAGCGCACATACGCAATAGTTTGGCCAAGCAATTGGTAGACAGAAAACCGACCACGGGCTACAACGAACATTGCTGACTGGGTTAGTAGCATAGAGCTAATTCGCGGACACTCGTCGTGCGGGGTGTTTGCAGCAATGGCTGCAGGGACCGGGTATTTATAGAGAACAGCGAGCGGAGTGTCGAAAAGAAAGACAGTATCATCGTCATCTGAGGGTGGAAGCTGAGGGACAGAATCAGAGGAGTCTTCTGGGACATTCTTTGTGGTCTTTTCGTTCCGCGCTGGCGGATCAGACATGGTTTGTTTATGGTTTGTTTACGGGATGGATGGAAGTAAACAAATGGTGGAGGGGAGGATTTTTTGATGTTTGGATTATAAAAATAATAAAAATAAAAAATAAAAAATAAATTTAAATAGAGGAAATGTAGAGTCACGTGCTGCGATTTGGAATGGAGAGACTTCCAGGGCAATGCAAGACAATCAGGCACGCACGGCTTTTTATTTATTTATTTTTTTTGGCATAAAAACAACCGGAACACCACGAGGATCCGATCAAGTATTGCCCATGGCCAGCTGGACAATCAGATAGACGTTGAGAACTGCAATGAATAGCCAGACCATGTACCCGAAAATCATTACGAACCAGCCGTTAGTGTAGTTGACGCGCAGCGGTTCTGGTTCTTCAGTCTCTGTGACTGTAAATCTTTTAGACTCTTTAGACTTTTTGGACTCTTTAGAAAATGTTGGTTCCAGTGTTGAGCTATTGGGCAAAGACGACGGACCTGCATCGCTCTTAGTGATCCCAAGATCCTGCAAAGGAATACAATTTTGCGGGACCTGTGCCGGCTTCTTGGGATTGACCTCGACGCACATGACGGAGGGCTTGCAGGTAAAGTACACTAGGGGGAAAACAAGAAAGGGCAGCAAAATGGAGAGCGCAGTTTGGGAAGCGTTGAGAACCTGAGATAAACCCTTACGTCCAACAGCGGCAGTGACAATAAGACATGGGACTACTGCAATAGTGCGTGTGATAAGTCTTCGGATCCAAGTCTTTTTAATGTTCCAATTGAGGTAACCTTCGGAAACAATCTGGCCAGCAACTGTACACACAATACCTGCAGATTGGCCGGAAAGCAGGAGAGCAACCATAAAGAGGGTAGCAGCACCTTTGGAAATGAGCTCCTTAAGAGAATCGTAGATAGAAAAGAGATCAGCAGTGTTTGTGGAGTCGTTGTTGTAAAGGGTAGCACCCGAGACAATGAGGATGGCAGAGTTTACAAAAAACGCAAAAGTACATAGTGACACAGCCAGCTCGACAGTACTGTACTTGAGAGAATAGTTGATGGCTTCGACACTAGGTTTATAGTTGTCAAAATCTTCAGAAGTGTAATTTTCAGGGACATTACCCAAACGCACATCCTTGTCGATAACGCGGGGCTTAACGATGGAAGAACCAAGGTAAAGCGAATGGGGCATGACAGTTGCACCAAGAATACCACAGGATGCATACATGGCACCGCTTTCAAGAAGATGGTGTGATGGCAGGTAGCCGCGGAAAACATCAGCGGCTGGGGTTGGAGGCATCTGCTTGAGCTGAATAGCAAAACAAATTGCAACACCGACCACTAGTGCGGCAACGCCGTACTCAAAGTATCGGATTATACGGATAGACTGCTCACTGCGGTAGGCCATCAGGACGATAAGGACGTCAAGGATGGTGATGATGACGCCGACAATAAGTGGGATGTGCATGAGGATGTTTAAAGCCACAGCAGTACCGACGACTTCTGCGATATCAGTAGCAATAATTGCAGCTTCAGCGAGGACGTAAAGAATGAGGTTAAGCCAACGGGGGAACTGTTCCTTTGAGATTTGGGCAAGGTCGCGGCCAGAGACAGTACCAAGGCGGATGGCAAGAGACTGGAGGAAGATGGCGAGGCAGTTAGAGAAGAAGATAACAAAGAGCAAATGGAAGCGGAACTGGGCGCCAGCTTGGACGTCGGTAGAGTAGTTACCTGGGTCGATATAAGAGGTACAGATAAAGGCACTACCACCAGCAAAAGTCAAGTACTTTTTGAACATGGCCATTGACTGGGACGTTGGAAATTTGCGCATGGACCATGCCAGTTTCTGCATGGCACGCTGCCAGCGGGTTGGAGGTGGAGCATAGTTGGGAGCGGTTGGAGTTGGCGCAGTTCGTGGCGGGTCGTTTAGGGTTTGTTGGAGGGTATCGGATGTTCCTGCCAAGGCCTGGGCAGCCGTTTGCTGGTTAGACATTGTTGGAGGGAAGTTTTGATAAAAAATTTTGATAAACTTATAAAAAAAAAAAAAAAAAAAAAGGAACTAAGATATACAGAGTATATTTATATAATAAATCTATATTCAAACATAGAATATAGATTATATATATATATATATATATATATATATAAAGAAAAAAACAGAAAACCTCGTTTTCAGACTTCTTAAAAAGTTCCGAAGACGGTCGACTTTTCGTGGGGGGTTTTAATGGTTACACGGTGGAAAGTTTTTTAGTACAAAAAAAAAATAAAAATTTTATGCTGCCTATTTTTATTTTTTATTTTTTTTTTGAGGGGATGGAAGCACAAAATAAGAACGTACTCACTCAGGTACCGGCCATAAAAATAAACAAACGATGCGGGTACCGGAGAAACACGAAGAGCAAGATGGGTGAAGTTTTGTGCCTTGCAGTGCACTGGAGAAATACCCAAGAAATGGGATTTCAAAATTATATCATTTATATATAAATGAAAGAAATGAAAGAAATGAAAGAAACGAAGTCAGTTCTTTTTTTTTTTTTTTTGAATTATCTCAATATTGGACTAAAATATTTAAGCCTTTGCATCTGCAAAGCTTTTTTTTTTAAGAAAAAATTTTTTTTCTTTAATTGAGCTTATGGAAAATTCAAAAGAGGTCTTTGAAGAATGATGGAAACTTCACAGATACATGGCAGTCAAGGCCGGCAGTCGGTCGTTCAGGTACCCCATACTGTAAATATAATTGAGTCGACATTATTATTTTTAGAAGAAAGAAACTATATAATTCAACTTTTTTTTTTAAATCAAATATGAAAAACAAGGGAAATATATGAAGAAAAAAAAGAAGAAAAAGAAATAAGATATTTTCATATGGGTCATTAAGAAATTATTGTCAAAGCCGCTATTAAAAAATAAATATATTTATATATATATTCAAACTAAATCAAAAACAACTGGCAAATGGATGTGCTGTTTGAATATCGTGGTAAATAGAACGATAATTGGGTTCTTAACTGATAAAAGATTTTTTTTAGTAAATTGACATCTAGAATAATAATAACAATTAAATTAATCATATCATATATGATTAATATGATTATCTTTAACAAAAAAAATTAAATTTAATCAAGTAACTTATACTCAAATTCAAGTCTGCCCTCATCTCCGCGCTGATATCCTCAACTTCTGGATCACCAAAAAAAAAAAAAAAAAAAACGCTTTGGTCACGTGTCTAATTGAAAATTTTTGTCCCGCAAATCGCCCTCCACCACTCCTCCGCACTTTTCGTATTGGCCGAATTTTCCCTCTACCGCCACCACCATCACCATCACCACCACCACCACCACCACCAACATCACCATCTCCATCTCCATCCACCCAACTGCCCGCTATGATTGCAGCTACGTCTTACCGTCGCGCAGCCGCAGGACCCTTCAAGTCCATTACTCGTCGCTCGTTTGTCTCATCCGCCAAATTACTCAATGGTGCAACTACTGACGAAATTAAGGTCCCCATTGCTGCACTTAACCCTCGCACAGTTACTAGTGATCCAACCATTCAAAACTTTTTCAAGTATACCTGGGGCACTTGGCTCCACAACGACGCTGCTGAAAAGGTCAAGCGTGAGACTCCCTTTAACGTCCTTGGTCTGGTCGAAGTCCTCAACTCTGTTCTTGAACCTGCTGACCCTGCTACCCCCATTGAAATTAAAACGGTGGCATCGCTTTCAGAAGGCAAACACCACAAGGTCTACAAAATCGATGTCGCCCACGTTAAACAGGCCCCAGGAGCAACCCCACAACCTGTCAACCAATATGTCCTTCGTATCCCCTACCCAGGCCTCGGCTCTCATACCTATCTCTCTGAGCGTCTCAAGTCTGAGGTTGCTACCATGGATTTTGTTCAGCGTGCTCTTGTCGATACTGGCAAGGTCTCTTTCCACGTTCCCAAGGTCCTTGCATGGGCCACTAACCCCAAGAAAACCCCAGTCGAAGCCCAGTTTATTCTTGAAGAACACGTTGACGGTGCTGGAGCATTGATGCGCTGGTGGGAACCTGGATCCCACGACATTGCTGCTAAGCAACGTATCCTCCAGCCCATTGTCAATGCCTACGCTGGTCTTGTTTCCCATGTCAACTTCTCCAAGTACGGTTCTCTTTACTTTACCGAAGACGTGGAGTCAAGTCTCCAAAACGATCTCTTTGTGGCCGATCAAGACTCTGTCCCCAAGGATCTTCTCGACCGTTACCGTATTGGACCTACCACCGAGGCCCAGTTTTGGAAAAACTCGCTCCCAGCATCTTCCCCACTCCGTGGACCCTTTAACGACCCCATGGACTACATCAAGGCTACTGGCTCCGTTCTGGTCGAAGGTATCAAAAAGTCTCTCGAGTCTTACAGCGATCCTGCTATTGTCGCACACCTTAAGAAGCAGCTTGCCACAGCTGAACGTTACGCCAATGTGGCCCCACAGCTTCTTCTCGAATCCGAGCTTGACCCTGCTCTCTTTAGCGCCCGTATGGCTCATCCTGATTTGAACCCACTCAGTTTCCTGACTGATGCTAAGGCTCCTGAAGACTTGCCTACCGCCACCACCACTCTCATTGACTGGGAATCAACTGCCATCAAACCCTTTTTGCTCCATGGAACTCCCTTTTTCGCCCGCCATGACGGCCTCAAGATCTTCTCACTCGAAGAAATCCCTGACTATGAAAAATTGTCAGCCCAAGACAAGTATTCAGTCAACCACTTCCTTGCCCTTACTCAAAACCAGTTCTCCTTCGAGTACATGCTCATGCAAGCCTCCGAGCTCGGCAAATCTGCTCCAGGACTTATTAACGCTTTTGCTCCAGTCAATAAGCGCCGTGAGCGTCCTATCCATACTGCCCAGACAAAGGCTGTGGCTGACCCCACCGGCACCTCTCCTGAGTACTTGGACCTGGATGAGGATCTGATCCAACTGTCCCAAGACTGGGAGCAGCTTCGTGTTGGTAGACCTTCCCCTGTTACCTTCACTCAAGCCCAACTTGAAGAGCATGCAAAGGATTTCGCAGAGTACTCGCGCGAGATTGTTAAAAACCCCTTCATTGGCTCTAAAGGCTGGATCCCACAAGACTTGTTTGAACGTCTGTTGGGCGATGGCACCATTGTCAGACGTGATGATAACAACTACGACATCAACTACAAGTGGGAACTCAACAATTAACTCATGGAAAACTTCTTTTGTATATAGCTAAAAAAAAAACATTTATATAAATCCTACATATTAAAAAAAAAATAAAATCAAAATCAAAATAAAACAATAACAACTTTACATTACTTGGTATTGACCTGGGGACGACCAACAAGCACATCCGAAATACGAGCCATGTCGTACCAAAAGCTCTTTTTGGGTCTACGTTCAGAATGCTCCGTCTCAAAATCCCAAAGCTGCGACACACTGGAAAACACCAGTTTGGACGAACGAATGCCAACAACCACGGCCGAATCGTTTTGCTCCGTTACAGGCAGCTCACGTGTGTTTTGATTGTCTTCAATAAATTTGCATGCCTGAATGGCAAATCGAGTTGCGCGCACGCGGTCCAGCGGCGACGGGTTACCGCCCTGCTGCACGTGTCCAGGGATGGCTGTGCGTGCTTCGAAACGGCCCTTTGCTTCGTCACGGATAATGTTGACGATAATTTCTGTTGAAAAGGTGTTGGATGACCGCTCGTTCCGCAAAATCAGCTTACCTGCACGGTTGCGACCTTGGTCATTCTCAAAGCAGTCCTTAATGTAATCAATGTCTGACTCCAATTGGCGCAGACTAATACCCTCCTCCGGGAGGTAAATGGCATGCGCCCCAGTAACAAGACCCGCGTATGCTGTAATGTAGCCAGAGTTACCACCCTGAACTTCTACAACGAAAACTCTGCGCCGCGAAGCACTCGCAGACTGTTTAATCACGTCACAGTACTCCACAAGTGCATTGAGACAGGTGTCAGTACCGAGAGAATACTCAGTGCCGGGGACATTGTTGGAAATGGTGGCAGGGATACACACCATGGGGATTCGGAACGCCGGGTAAGCTGTTCTTGCCTGTTGGAGTTGGTGCAGCGAAGCAAAACCTTCGTAGCCGCCCACAATAATAAGCCCATCAAACTTGTACTTTTGAAAGTAGTAGGCAATCATACCAATATCGCATTCCGGAAGAGTACGGTTTGTGCCAATTTCCGAGCCGCCGCGCATGATCCATTCCTCAACCTCAAGCCAGTCCAAGTCACGCACAGATTCGTGGCGGGCCAGACCGCTGAAACCATTATGGATGGCGTAAGGGCGGTGGCCGCGTGAGTAGCAGTATGCAGCCATGGCACGGATGGAACTATTCATACCACCAGCAGGTGCACCCACATTGATGATGGCAATGTTGAGTGGAGTTTCGGCTGGGTTGCGAACGTCATGTTTGTCTGCAGAGTTGATAGTCATAAAATTTGTCCAGTTTTCGGAAAACTCTGGGTTGCGTAGAGACATTGCCTTGTCAAAGTCTTTGTTCTTGATTGCAGTAGCAACCGACTTTGTCAGAGCGACAGATTCCATCAAATCACGGCGCACAATCTTGTTTTCAGTAATACCAATCATGGGCGAAGGAGAGTCTGGGGTGGCCGAGAGAATAGCATCAACAGCGTCGACACCTTGGAGCGTAGCCAAGAGACGGTCAAAGGCTACAGCATTACCACCACGTTGAACATGACCGAGGGTGGTAACACGAGTATCGAGGCCAAGCTTAACAAGAACGTCCTTGACATTGTCAGAGCTAATAGGGTTGAGCTCTGTGTCGATGGCACCTTCAGCCACAATAACAATTGTCTTGCGCTTTCCAAAGTCGCGATGACGCTTGACAACCTTGCACATATTGTGTTGCCACTCATCAGGGGCAGGAGGACGTTCTGGGATAAAGACAAAGTCTGCGCCGGTAGCAATGCCAGCCATAAGAGCGAGCCAGCCACAGTGACGGCCCATGACCTCAATGACAAATGCACGGGAGTGGGACTGGGCTGTTGCATCAATATAGTCGACAGACTGGCAAATACGCTCGAGAGAAGAAAATGCACCAATGGTTGCATCAGTAGTAGCCATATCATTATCAATAGAGCCGACAGTACCACAAATGTAAAGATTCTTGTGTTTTTCAGCTTCTTCTTGAGTAACAACGCCGTCTGTGACTAGTTCTTGAATAAGAGAAGGCCATTCTTCACGGAAAGTATCAGCACCGGTAAGCGAGCCATCACCGCCACAAACAATGAGAGCATCAATTCCATTTTTAATCATATTGCGTGCGGCAGCCAGACGGCCGTAGCGTTCACGAAAGGTAGCGCAACGAGCCGTACCAATATTTGTTCCTCCAATGGCAAGCCATCCGCGGACATCGTCCCAAGTCATGGGCTTGATAAGATCACCACCCTTGACGAGACCATCGTATCCTTCAAAAACTGCGTAAACATCGCAGCCACGGTGAATGGCGGTACGGACAACAGCACGCACACAGGCATTCATACCTGGGGCATCACCACCAGAGGTCATGACTGCGATTTTCTTACGCTCGAGAGAGCCAAATGAAGAGGGTTTCCCCGGTTCGCCGAGAGCCGTTGCACCGGGGAGTCTCCCCCCGTGAGGAGTGGAAGCACCAGATACAGAGCTTGAACCTTGAGGATTTGAGCCTCTTGTTGAGATGAATCCCGGGTCTACGACGGAGAATGGGTTTTTGCGGAGTGTGAAGCCAATGGCGTTGCCAACGGGGTCGATTGCAAAGACTTCAATGGGGGAGACCTCGTTAGGTCTAAGTTGGATATAGGGTTTGACATCTGGGAGAATTGGGAAAGAGTCGAGAATGTTAAGGAGGCTATCCATATCGTGGGTCTCAAAGATGAGAAGACAAGTAACTGAGCGCCAATCATTGTCCTTTTCTGGGCCGTCTAGAAAGGCTCGGGCCTTGTCCAGGGATTGGGAAGCTGTGGGGCCAGTTGCGGAGAGTCTAATTTTGAGAGTAATTCCTGAGTCTTCTGAAGCGTCCTTGTGTCCGTACTCGGGTTCCGGGAGGAGGTTGAGCCAAGACTCGGCAATGGAGTCAATGGCATGGGCGGCACTCAGAAATCTTTCAATGGTAAGATCTGGGTCACCGCGAGAATATGAATGGATTTTAGTAAAGCCGAATTGTTGGTAGAATGCGACAGTACGGTGGTAGATAGTTTCGTCTGATGTTGCAATGGACAAACTGGAGATGCCATTGAGGAGTTTTGGGTTTGGATTTGGCACAGCCATTGTGAAAGGATGAAGAGAATGAGAAGAATGAGAAGAATGAGAAGAATGGGAGGCCAGTAGATGAGTGAGGATGGGATAAGATGGAGAATATTTACGAGGGTTTGCGATTTAAAATAAAATTGTAAAAAATAAAAAAATAAAAAAATAAAAAAATAAGAATATTATAGAAAAAGGTAGAAAGAAAGAAAGAAAGAAAGAAAGAAAGAAAGAAAGAAAGAAAGAAAGAAAGAAGAAGAAAAGAAGAAAAGAAAATGGGGAGATAAGGAGGAGTATTTATATTTATTATAATTATTATATTGTTATAATAATTATTTTTATTACTGTGAATGGCTGTACAGACTGTAACCGGTGTGTATAGCGGCGGTGATAACTTAAAAAAAAAAAAAAAAAAAAAAAAAAAAAAAAAAAAAAGAAGGCCATTTTTATTATGGAATAAAACAAATTAATCACACACAAAGCCTACAATTTCCACTACAAGCCAAGGGAACAATCTGTCGAAGGTCCCGAACGGTACATCTTAAAAAGGGGGCATTGACGATAAGTATATAAGCATTAATTGTTATAAAAGACCCGGAGACTCGTGTCATGGCTTCTCCTTTCCTTTCCTTTTCATTCTATCTTTTTTTTTTCTTTCTCTCTCAAATTTATGTTGAATTCCTTACCAGAGATTTTCAAGTAACCATCCACCGCCACCACCACCACCACCACCACCAGCCTAGCAGAATAGCCGGAAGATCGTCAAACGTCTGCATAGCCGTGGTGGGGGAACCTTTTTTTTTTTTATTTTTGGTTGTCATTGTCATTGCTGTAGATGTCAACCAGTCATTTTGACATGTAAGACACTTGTAATGGTGATGGTTGTAAAAGAAGTTAAAAACTTTGAAGATTTCTTCTTTTCCTTTTCCTTTTCCTTTTCCTTTTCCTTTTCCTTTTCCTTTTCCTTTTCCTTTTTTTTATTTTTTTTTGTATGTGTGTATATATATATATGCCCATTTTTCTACGAGAAAGTCAGGTACCGAGTACCGGGTTCCGGGTTTGTTTTTTTGTTTGTCCGATACTTCAATCTGCGCGTTTTACATGTTTACTATTTCAATTGGTTGCATCAAAGGCCATATAATAGAAGACATACAATAACTATATATAATAAGCCATATTGTTACACTTGAAAGAAAGAAAAACATAAAAATAAAAAAAAGTGGTCTTATCAATTGTTATTATTGTTGTTGCTGCTTCTAATACTATTGATACTACTACTACTGTTGATACTATTGATACTATTGATACTACTAGTGTTGATTCTGATGCTGCCACGAGTGCCACTGCCTAGCCAGGCACGTCAACTTTGACTGGATGGCCGCTGCTAAACCCCCTCCTATTGTAGTCGCAGTGCTGCAAATGGCCCACTTTAACCCGCGTGGCACTTATGCGGCTTCTGTGTGGAGAAGTACAAAAAAAATAAATGAATAAATAAATAAATGCATTCATCTGAATTCGAACAAGGCCCTTAAAAAATAAACTTTGGTCTGAAATTTTTATAATATTTCTTCAACAAAAAAAAAAAGAAAAAGCTGGTATTATGCTATATATATATATATATATATGGCATAATACCAGCTTTTTCTTTTATATATATATATATATTGTTAAACTAAAGTTTACGCTGTTGAAAAAAAAAATGTTGGTGGATTCATTTATAGCAGAAGCGGACCAAGGATAGAATAGACTCATAGGTAAAGGGCCATAGAAAAGACTGAGGAAAATTATAACAAAGTCCAGTATGGTCCATCAGAGTTGCCAAGTCTAGGTATTATTAGATCAGAACTCAAACTTTCAGTACCAATTTTAAACTGTATAATCGATATATCGTTAGTTAGTTAGTTAGTTATAACTAACTAATTAGTTAATTAGGTAAAAAAAAAAAAAAGAGCAAGAGTCAATAACAGATTAAAGACAACATGTATCTTTTTTTTTTATCATAGACAGAGCTTCAATGTTTGCTAGGTGTATGTCGGAACCCTAACCTCACCCTGCACAGTGTGATTAAGGCACCGGCGTAACCACGGGCTACACTAGAGCTCAGCAACCATTGCGCTACATTCTGTAGCACTAACAATGGCATGCCTTCAGCATCAAAATAGTGAAGAACTCCCCGTCAAAACACGCCACTTCTCAATACTCTTCATCAAGTCTAAACTAGTTAAACCAGTATCATCATGAATATCCATAATTCATCCAAGGTTATGAGTGTGTTATGCAGAGTAAATAATAATAACCATTACCGGTCAGGCACCACCGGGACAGCAAAACCGCAATAAAATCTATCCCGGACTCCCGCCACATTTATTAAAGTGGCTATCTAACAATATAAATATATAAAAAAAACTAAACTGACAATAGCTCATAAAGAACCTTGCACAGTTCAAGGTACCAATGTCAGTCAGATCATTAGAGTCCATATAAGATCTATTTCCAGTTCTAGCACTTTATTGTTTCTTGGTCTTAACACCGTCAGAGACTTTTAGATAAAGGTCACGATCAACGTTTGCTTTGAAATAAGCAGCCTCAATGTCAAGGTACCAAATATCCATTTTTTTTCTCCCTAGCAGCAATCGAAAGTACAAGACAAAGGCTTTCTTAAAAGAAAACAGGTAAAGTGGTATCATAATAGCCACAGTCTTTGATCTGACAATGGTCACAAGTAACAAGGCGCGCTTGGTATATATATCTACGTTTCCAAACTTTTCGTACTTGATTGAGAACTTCCACGTTGCTTCTAACAGGGCAACGCTTCTTGACCTTTTCACTTTTCTCCGTGTACCATTTATCTTATAACTTCAATCCGCTTGTTGTGCTTGGCAGAAGCAAAATGCCTCTTTAAACGTACGTGGAATTGAAAGCAGTCTGATCAGAACAGTAATAAGCTGCTTGGAACATGACTTCCCAGGACCAAAAGAACTTGCAGTGTTGATAGCAAATATACCATCAACACCGCCGGTGCTACTGTCTATTGGTTCTTCACTTTCAAACCCAACAAATATAGGATGTAAAAATTGTGTGTCATCACTAATATACATAGTAGCAGCAGCAGAATCAAGACCTTTTCCTTATGGAAGAGAAAAACTATTATGGCCAGAGACACTTACCTGCGGTTTACCCGCCTTGCGTGCTTAGAGGAACTCTTCAGATAGTGTCCAATAACCAGGGTAATATCTGTATGTCAGCGTGTCGTCTGACAAAGGTATCACTTGCGAAAAGCCATCCGGGACTTGGGCCAACAAAAAGGCCTGGCGCCCTGGGTATTGTTGTTTGGAATCAAGTGCAAAATATTTCACCAGCATGTCGGCGCGAGGTCCGGCAATCTAAAGTCATAGAGCTGGTTAGGCTCCAAGACAGGTTGGTCGTCTCCTCCTGAGGTCTGCGGGACTGTAATGTTCTGAGCACCGGGTTGTGCACTTGTGTGTGTTGCTGTTCTTGGACACAACTTGGTGGGGCAGAACGAGCCAATATTAGAGTTGACGGTATCCGCTCCAAGCAGGCACTCGCAAAATCTCGCGCATTCCGGGTCAGTCTTGCAAAATCCTGTTCTTACAGTGAGGAGGCAAAAGGGAAACTCTCACAGTTTCCCGTGGTTCTCAGTCCATCAGGGTATACAGCATTGTCGCAAATCGGCAACACAATACATTGATATTATACTTGCCTTTGATAGTATTTATACTTATGCTGACATTTTACTAAGGCCCCGCTCGGGCACGTACTAGTACCCTGTTGAAGACTTACAGGCCAACAACTATGATAAAGGATATTTATAGAGATTAAAGAATAGAATCAAATCATTAATGAAAACAAGGTGAAATAACGAGAAAGGTTCAGTCTTTGATTTCAATGTAGCTCATAATTTGGAATCAGGACTTATTGTCAAGCTATTGAAATGAAATAAAAAAAAAAAAGAGGGTGAAGTAAAATTGAAGGATTGTTTTTGTGAAAATATGGAACGTGTCTATATCTGATTTTCCATAAGCCCCCCGCACTAAACCTTATTGATTTTTATTTAGCTCCCCTAAACCTTGTTTGTATTTAGGTTTGACTGTTATATAAAAACAAAAATAGATTACTAAATAAACAATTTTAAAGTAATCTATTTAACAAATTTATTAGCAAGATAAATAAAAAGCAGTAAATGGACAAAATCAATGCAATGGAAGCAACCAAAAATTAAAAGAACTGAATCAATTTTTTTAAATAATTAGTTTAACTAAGTTAGCTAATTGTTCATTGTTAAACCCTAACCTGTTTCACAGTATTCTAATATACTTTAATTATTTATCAATGTTAATTCAATGAATTTTATAACTTATATATTGTTTATAAATGAACATCAATTGATATATTATACTCACTAAAAATTTTAACACGAGCAAAAATAATATCGTTGAAGCTGCTGATGATATATTCCTTTATTATAGTCCTTGAATCATAGCAAAAAAAAATAAAAAAAAATTAAATAAACAAACAAATTTTTAAAAACTTTTCACTCTTTTTCTTTTGCTAAAACTTGCAAAAATCACAAATCTTTTGAAGATCATTTCAAAATTTAAACCTAATATTAAGTTTAACCATTAATGGTTAAATCAAATCTACCTGCTTCCTTTTAAACTCATCATCCCACTATCCATCATCACTTGACGCTCAAGTTCTCTAGATTTATCCTTTCCCTCTCTCCCTTCTCAACTAAATACAAATTCAAGCTTAAATCTTTTTTTTGAATTTCCCTATTCCCCGTATTTTCACCTTAACCATTTCATATTTCAATTAAATAAAATCTTGCTGAAAAATCAATTTGAACAATCCCCTCTTACTTCTCTCTATTTCATCCTGAACTGTGTCCATCAAACTTTCCTCCCGTGCTACCCACCGATACAAACCTCGGTTAGAATCTCCCTCTATTTAATGTGGCTTTTCTCCACATAATTCTTTCTAGGAACAATAATTTATACACTCTATAAATACCCACCATAATCTCCCAACTACAGACTTTTCACCCATAAAATCCATCCATCCATCCATCTTTCCACCATCATGTCAACCATCTCGTCCACTGCTGTAGACAACATCAAACGCATTGTCGACGCCGCTGTCGCCAACCCTACAAAAGACCTCCCTGGCGCTTCCGTCGTCGTCGTCAACCGTCGCGGTGATCTCCTCATCGATTACGCCGCAGGCCTCCAGGGCCTCGAGCCTGGCGCTAACCCTCTCAAATCTAATGCGGTATACTGGCTAGCTTCTTGCACAAAACTCGCAGTTGCTGCACTGGCTCTTGTGGCCGTCGAAGAAGGCAAGATTTTTTTAGACGACTCCAAGCAGATAGAAAAACTGTGCCCAGAACTCCGCTCAATCCCTATTCTCGAAAGCATTGACAAGGAAACTGGAAAAATCGTGCTTGTGCCCAAAACAAAAAAAATTACCCTAAGAATGCTCCTCACACATACCGCTGGCTTCTCTTACACACACCTTAACCCCAAACTCGCCGCTTATGGTCGCATCTTTGGGATCAACGAAGGCACAGGCCTGGATTCAAGTGTTCTTATGCCCCTCATCAGTGAACCGGGTACTAGATTCTCATACGGCGTCGGTGTCGACTGGGCAGCTAACGCCATTACCCGCGCATACAACCGTACCCTCGACGACCTCATCCAGGAAAAGCTCTTTGTTCCCATCGGCATCAAAGACACAACTTTCATCCCTAATAAAGACATGAAGGATCGCACAGTCACTGTTTCTTTCCGCAAAAATGACGGAACCCTTGTCCCTACCCCACGCCTCAAGCATAGAGCTCAGGCTGAGGACCCCACCTACGCTGCCTCCGGATACCAATACGGTGGCTCTGGACTGTACACTACCCCACCTGAATTTTCCAAGCTCTTTGCAACACTCCTCAATGGTGGTGTCTCACCCTACACCAACACTCGCGTGCTCTCTCAAGCATCCGTCGACGAAATGTTTACCAACCAGATCCCCGATTGGCCTGATTTTGGCCGCCAGTACCCTATGACTTCTTGTATTCCAGCAGTCGCAAACTCGCTTCCTGAGATCTTCCATCAGCCAGGTAATCCTCCTCAAGGCTGGGGGCTCACTTTTTTCCTTAACCTTGTGCCCCTCTCTACTGGCCGCAGAGCCTATTCTGCTTACTGGTGCGGCATCTCAAACTTATACTACTGGATTGATCGCGAGGCAGGAATTGCAGCTTTTGTGTCTGCACAGATTTTACCTTTTTCAGATGAAAAAATGATTCGCTTTGTAGATAAAGTTGAAAGAGAGATCTACAAGGGACTCCAAGAAAAACCAAAATTGTAAATTATTTAAATAAAATTTTTTTTTAAATAAAAAAAAAAACAAAATTGTAGTGAATACTACAAAAAAGATAAAAAGCTTGCTCCGTGGGAGGATCGAACTCTCGACCTTCAGATAACACAACTATTAGTAATTATGAGACTGACGCTCTACCAACTGAGCCAACGAAGCTTTACTCTTGAAATGTAAAAGATCAACATGCGATCGATCGACCGGATAAACTAACATACAAGCGATCAACCGGATAAAAGAAACAAGCGGGGAAAGGGCTGGATGGTGTAAAGGACAACACGTTCGCTCGACAGCGGAAGATACTGGGTTCGATTCCCAGAATACCCCCTTTTCCTGAGGATGTGTACGGGAGTATACACCTAGACTGAAAACCATAGGCTACCCTGGTTACAGGAATGCCGACTCTTCCGTACAGTCTAAATAGCTTGCAGGTGATTGCGGGCCGTATCTCTGACGGAAGAGATTAAGAAATACATGGGCGTCCGTGAAGATAAGTGGAAATGGGTTGGGAAGGTTTTGGGACCGACAGACTGGTTCTCCCTGTTCCTCGTAAGCTGGCATCAGGGCCCATCTTCCGGGCTACCGGAGACGCACAGAACAGAAACCACCCGTACTAAAAAGGTACAAATGAAAACCGGCAAGTCACATAAGTCAGACAATAAAAGGATAGCGCAGATGCTGATGTTATATAGTTCTATAACCCTTGAATAAAAACAAACAAACAACAAACAAACAAAAGAAACAAGCAATAGGGGAAAGGGCTGGATGGTGTAAAGGACAACACGTTCGCTCGAAAGCGGAAGATACTGGGTTCGATTCCCAGAATACCCCCTTTTCCTGAGGATGTGTACGGGAGTATACACCTAGACTGAAAACCATAGGCTACCCTGGTTACAGGAATGCCGACTCTTCCGTACAGTCTAAATAGCCTGCAGGTGATTGCGGGCCGTATCTCTGACGGAAGAGATTAAGAAATACATGGGCGTCCGTGAAGATAAGTGGAAATGGGTTGGGAAGGTTTTGGGACCGACAGACTGGTTCTCCCTGTTCCTCGTAAGCTGGCATCAGGGCCCATCTTCCGGGCTACCGGAGACGCACAGAACAGAAACCACCAGTACTAAAAAGGTACAAATGAAAAACCGGCAAGTCACATAGTCAGACAATAAAAGGATAGCGCAGATGCTGATGTTATATAGTTCTATAACCCTTGAATAAAAACAAACAAACAAACAAGAAACAAGCAATCAAGCGATCGAGATAAATAACTATAAACACTTTAAAGAACAAATATGCAATCGATCGAGATAATAATTATCGATAAATATTTGAGGATAAATACATTAATTTAGATTAAAGATTAAGAAGCGATTAAGAAGGAATTATTAAAGAGAATCGCTTGAATATATATAGTCTTATATTTCCATAAGTTTTATCGGTATCTAAAAAGATATTTACATCAATACAATAAGTTTTATATTAAACTATTAGCTTGGTTCTTTCTTTGGACAATCCGACTTTACTCTCATACGATAACTCCATTACATGAAAATTCAAACTATTATCTGACCTAAGGTATCAAGTTGAATTAACTAAAAAACGTTGAATATATAAGACTGGGGGCGATTTCACTTTTCAGATTTTGTAGAAACAAACATTTGAACTTAATTTTAGGTTGTTCCGACTCCATATCATAAAGTTGGTAGAAGAAAAAAAATGGATAATGTTTGTTTGCTTAAACAAATAACAAATTTTGATTTTTTTGTTTGAACAAATAATAGAAATAAAATTTTGTTTTATTCAAGAGCCATAAAAGTATACATCAGTAGCATTACCATTATTCTTATAATTGCCTATATATTCACCCTTAAAGGTGGCAAATTTGTCTGTGTGCCTTTTAAACTGGTATCATCTTCAATGCTACACAAACTGGAGCTTGTATATCAAGAATAAAGAATAAAAATAAGAATAAGAAATTGTAAATGAAAATGAAAATGAAAAAAAAATTGGAAAATGATTCCTGCGATCAATAGTGAATAGTCTAATATATTTGTTTTTTTTAATCAAAAAAATAAAAAAAGTTCCAGTAGTCATGAAATATAAGAGGGAACATTATTCCTTGGTAATTAGTTTGTTCCACATGATTTCTTTAAATATACATTTGAAATTAATAACAAGCTTGTTATTCTTAAGATCTTTGGAATAAACAATATGAATCAGGTATGGTATAGTTAAAATTCTATACTATTATCAAAAATTAAAGTCAAGTCCTTAACGTTAACTAAAAAAAAAAAAAGAAACTATTTTCAATTTCAAAAAACATCATTCTAGATGACTATGTCGCTTAAAATAAATAACCAAAAAATTTCACTCCGTAACTGTCGTCTGTATACGAAGCATTGAATGAAATTTCTATTTTTTGAATTTTCACATACTATAGTTCAAACTTTTTTTTGGTGGTGTATTCGGTGGTGTACTACTTACTGTTGGTGAAAATTCACCATAAAATGACAGACTTCTTTAGAGGAACATAAACATCTGTTGTACCGACTTTTTTTAGAGGAACATGAAAATACACCTGTGATAACACTACTTGGTAGAAGCCAGACACTTGATTATAATCAATATACTAATTAGTATGTTTCTGGCTCTGTTGATGTCTCTGTCAACAGAGACACCACACAAATCACAATGGAAGTAGATACGATTACTCAGAGACAGACTAACTTTTATTGTTATGCAATTGGTGCATGTCTTGCTAGTGTACATCATCTCCAAACTTACTTTTCTCCATTTAGTGTGTAACACACTTAAACTTAATGTTTCCTCCAAATTCACAATTCCACGACAACCAACAACTTTTTCAAAACAGAAAAAAAAATAAAAAAAATACCAAAAATACCAAAAATTTATCAACAGGATTTAAAAAAATATCGTCACGAACAGGATTCGAACCTGCGCAGGTAAAACCCAATGCCTAAACTGCTAGTGTATAGCAGGGCATCGCCTTAACCACTCGGCCATCGTAACTTGATTTTTTGACCATTTTTGACAATTTAAGCTCGGCGAAAAACTCCCGTATTTGGTATTTGTTAATTTTTAGTCTAAAACTATTTCTTTTTAAATGAAATACGTATATATTATATCTTTTAATGATTTAAAATATAATTTCTAATGTTAAATTAACATATTATTGAAATAATGAAAAAAAATGAGTTAGTACAGTAGAAGTAACAATGATAGTGATTGATACCGATCTTGCAAATTTTTACAACCCGTATTAAAATATACAACAAATTTCAATCTCCATTTTTTTATTTTTACAATTTCAATAAAATTAAGACTCTGAGTTTATATGTAAAATATTTTTTTTCAAATTGTGTCGATGTGGTTGTCTTACTCTTGCCATATTTGGTTCCAACTGTGTAATTTCCTAAAAATTAATTTACCGTATTACTTAAAAAACAAACAAAATCCAATTAATGGAGCACCAACATTGGTAATTTTTTTTTATTGTTTGCACCAATCACCATTTTCTAATAAAGTTGGAAGTTTCATCAGTAAGTGGTGAATACGGTTCGTTATCGAAACCTTGACATGCATTATCTATTAAAAGCTAAACAGAGGCACTTGATTTCAATGCTTCACAACCTTAAATCAAAATGTTTAATTAAGAAATAACCAATGCCTTGCAAGTAGGAGTGAGTGATTTGCAATACTAGATTACATTCAAAGTCACCATTTTCAATTTAACTGGGACAGTCAATGTGGAATAAAGCTACTAAGCAGCTTCAATATTTGCTTGGACTTAAGGTTTACAAAATGCCTATGACATTAAATCATCAGGCAGGTTCAAACGGCTAGAAATAGACTAAAAAAATGGAGTAAAATAGATGAGCAATGGACAAAGTAATCACATTTCATAACTTAGTTATTCCTACAGGCGTAGAAGAACACTTTTAATCTGTGTTAGATATCTGACTTCAGAGTTTTCCAAAGGCTCTACCCATCAGATAAAACCAGTTTGTAAGGCTTTTGAAGTTACAATTTTAGTTCTGTATCTTCTTTGGGGCTTTGTGTTTTCCTTGTTAGGATTAGAGCCATGTACTCAAGTTGGTTTTAAATTTTTGATAGGTTCATTGATACATTGTTTAGTTGCTGGTTTAAACCAACAATCAAGATAATGCAGAGTTGAACAAGAGACACGGTAGCAGAATTGGTATTCTACTTTTACATTTGATCCCTTTGTGATTGTGCAAAACTTTAAACATGAGAAGCTTCTTTTTTTTTTTTTTTTTTTAAAATATATCAGTTTGAGAGCGACTTATATAGATAAGGAAAATAAACGGCTACTAAGGAAATCCCAATTTTTTTTTAAAACCTTCTTCTTAAAATAAAAAATTCCTAAATAAATAAAATGCAAACACATAAATTGAATAAAAAAACACCAATGTCTCTCTAAATGCAAAAATAAAAAAATAGAATAAAATAGAATAAAATAAAAGATTGTATTATTTTAATCTTGGTAGTTGTAGCAAACACACCAATCAAATCCAAAGGGCAAGAAGTGCCATGAGAGCAGCGCCAGTGCACATGCAGCCATAGGCAAAAAGAACCTTACCGGTACTGGCGTGCTGGACTTCCTCATTATGCATAAATTCACTGCCAATGAGTTCCACGAGTCCCACATAAAGTAGAATACCCGCAGAAATGGAATCAAAAACACCGTTAATCACCAGGGCATGATAACTTCCTGGTGGATACGAGTTACGCACTCCCAATCCGATCGCAATAGCAATCGGTGTTGTAAGCCCAAATGCAACGCAGAGTGCCCACGGTAGCCACCACTTTTTATGGGGCCAAGGTGCAAGTGCAATTCTTGTACCGAGACCAAGACCTTCAAACAACTGGTGGAACACAAGAACAATGTACAGCGAAGTGAACTCATTCCCGGAAACCGCAAGAGAAAGACCGATAAAAATCGAGTGGAAAAGAATGCCAAACTCAAGAATGAAGATCGAGCCTAACTGCATTGCCAACCCGCGCTCTTTGGCTCGTTCTTGTGCAGCATCTTGTTCTGGTGAAATAGCCACTGCAGAGTTAGGGCTGGCGTTATTAGCTATCTCGACGACTCCTCCAGAGAGATTGCTGGTAGTTGATAAAGACCGAGAGGAGTAATCACAGGGAAATATTTCTTCGTTGTGGTCGTCTTTGCAGTTGCTAAGTGAGGAATTCAGTATCCGATCATCCACAGGGAAATGCCGGCCATTATTGTTATTTCGAAAATCTGAGTGTGTATGGATGTGACCTTCCTGGCCTTCCAAATCTACAATATGCTGATGATGATGATGCTCTGGATGATTGTGTGCATGGTCATCTTCTGGTAATGGATGGGTATGGTTACTAAAATCCTGATTTTGATTTTGATCATGATGGTGTTCAAACCCAGAGTCTCCGTGGGAATGAGTAATGCCTCTTTTTTCTAGATACCTTCGCGAAAGTAGCTCAACGAGAAAAGTTGCAAACAGCGAAACCAAAGCAATACCGTATGCATAAGGGTAAATCAGCCATGATGGACCCAAGCATGGGTTAGAAAGAGCGATGCTTCCTGGCTGTAGGAGGTGGATCAGTGCTGTGGCTACAATAACGCCCGATCCAAAGTACTTTGCCACAAAGAAGAAGATTGGATGAATATTGACATGCCTAGAGTTGGAAGAGATGACTGGGAATAGAGCACCGAATGAGCCTGCAACGAGAATCACAAATATCGAGGAAATACGCAGACTCATATGGCCATTAAAGTCATTGCCGATTTGACATTTTAAAGCCGCGGCGGAGGCGGTATCTGTAGTATTTGTACTGGTTTCTTGGGCTATATCGGCCAGTGCGCTTGAGATGGCAGCCGATAACAGATCAGAGCTGTGAGCGATAGAGTCTGGCTGATGAAGGACGAGAAAGTTTTGTAAAACTTGTGAAAGAGCTGTTTGATCCATTGTTGTTGATGATGATGGTAAGTAATTAGCAAACAAAAGGGTAATAATGGCCGCGCAATCTAGAGGTATATGTATATAACAATATGACCTTCAAGGTTCTCTTTTTTTTGTTGTAGCAAAAATGTCTCTTCCAGAACGCGGTATAAATAGGTTTTAGTATTATTGAGGCTTCCTAAGAAGCAGCCATACTCACAGAAAATGCTGAAGTGGCGATATGAAAATTCGTGAGAACCGTGGAGGTTTTTAATATTTTTGATATTTAATATTTTTGATATTTAATATTTAATATTTACTATATTTTTTTTCTAAAAATTTTTTTTTATATTAAATAATTATAATTATTAAAAAAAAAAAAAAAAAAAAAAAAAAAGGGCTGCTAAACGCGCATTTTTATTCTCACGGGATCCGGCGCTGATGGCGAAAAGGGACCTTGGAGATGACACATGGTTAATCAAACAAAATGAGAACCTTGGAAGTGCATCTAATTAACGGCCCAAAACCACCAAAATTCCAAACAACTCATCATCGCTCTAAACAAACTCAGCCACCTGATTTATTTTTATAATTATAATTATAATTATAATTATATCAATCAGTGAAATAAACTAGCTTGTTTCAAGAAATAAAATAAAAGAAATGAAAAGTAAAGTAAATAAAAGAAATTATTATTATCATCATTACTCTACAACTCGTACAAGCTCTGGCTTTGACTGATTCTGCAACATATAACTTTCTAGCTCAACATCGTTCTGGCTGTCTCCCTCAATCGGCCCATCCCCAACTTTCCTGGGCATGTCTGGAATGTAAAACCGCAAATCCACTCGCCCAGCCAAGTAAATTATGTTTATGATACACTCAAACGCTCCAGTAAATACATACATAGGCCAACTGAGGTACATCCAACTACCAGTAGGCACGCCGTTAAACCCACCGCGCGCAGTTCGAGGAAACGTAGAAGCCGCCCGCAGAGATGCCCCAATGCACAGCAAAACTGAGGTCACAACAACTATCCAAATGTTAGTTGACATGCGCGGACCGTGCCCTGAAGAGCCTTGGTACCCACTCCCAAACGTATGTGTTGACAACCCGCCAGCAGGTGCCTTGCGAGTAGCAATCACTCTCACTGCCCGCGACTCGGACTCCCCACGCGTGTACCTCACCTGCGAACCTTTAGCAGGATAGAAAAACAAGTCTGCTGAACGTACCCATCCAGCGGAAAATGTTTGCAGTGGTGTGTTCATCCCGTTACGGCGACTGCCAAACCTTCCACAAACTAAACCCAGTCTCCCTTCAATATGTCCTGGCTTGATCACATAACCAAGCACAATCAGCCCAACTCCCATCATAGTGTATAGAGCCGTGGCAACAGCTCCTGCACTACCAAGCCGCTGGCAAACCGTGTAACGATGGCGCGTCATAAAGTTGGCAAACGGCAGCCCTTCTCCTGAAAGACCCATGATGAACATTCCAATTATCGCCATATTGACAAAAAAAACAGCACCATTAAAAACTATATTTTTGTTGAACTCAGGATGGCGCCATGTAAATATTCTCAAGCCAAATAACATGTTGGTCACACAAATAAAAATCCCAGGCCCAAAAATAAGTCCACTTGAGGTCATCCCCAAGTCAATATTAGTTGGATTTTTACTCCAATTGACGCGCAAACCAAAAGCAATGGCCCGCAAAAGAGAGTAAATAATAAGCCCTAATGTTGGGAAAAAAATATGACCGCGCATGCAGTTTCGCGTAAATATGAAAATATAAGACGCTGTGAAAATCGAAAAGGCAACCACAAAAAAAACACTCGGACCAATATCAGAATTGGCTGAATAGTCTCCCCATTGGCCTGGTAACTCTGCACCAACCAAGTTGAGGATATCATTTATGACATTGGAACCAGTGCCAAACAAAAGTGAAGCTGTTGGATCGCTTGCATAACTGTTGAGGTTTTTGACAATTTCTGAAAGCCCTGTTCCAGGAACTTTCCCTTGTGGAGTGACTAATGAAAGAATACCACCGCTGTTTCCAAGTCCAAGCATCTTTTCTTCTTTAACAATATGAAAATAATAAATGATGTGATTTTTTTTCTTTGTTTTTGACAAATTCACGAAGTATTTATATTGTGCTTGCATTAATATTCAAATTAAACAATACATTTTGTTTCATAATTTATGCTCTTATTCGTCATTTTTTCATCATTGATTAATATATATATATATATATTTCCTCGATGTAAACGGTCGCAGATATGTATGAGAATCCTGTTTTTAATTTACCCCTCTTTCTTTTCTCCAATTCTTGGTACGTATCATCTGAAATTAAAAACTTTCAAAAGATGCATCTTAATGATTAACCCCTTCTTTTTTTAAGTTATTGTTTATTTTATGCAATTTATTTTGAGAATTAATAAGCACTTTTCCTTTTTACTTAACGTTTTAAAAATTGTCATATAAAAATCATTTGGATTTTCAGCGTACCTTGTATATGGCGCCATATAATTTATTATCTAATCCAAGACGACATGATACCAATGTCATTTATATATATGCTTGGTTTTTTGGGTATATGTGAGAACTAATTTTAAGAATGGGATGTGGTAGAATTAGGTGAATAGAGTGGGGAAATAAAGTATGTCCAGAGTTTAACTATTCATGGAAAAAAGTTTTTGCAATGACATATATAGATGAAGAAATTTCACGAATTCCTCTTCATCTCATATAAAGGCGTTAAAACTTATTTTAAGAGATAAATTGAGTTTTTAAGTAAATTCACAGTTAAATAGTTTTTGTTAAAATATACGGCTCTGATTGTTTTGGCGATTATTAAATTTGTCGTTTTTAGTAATTGACACCATTTAAAAATTTCATTAATAGTTTTTATTTTTATTTTTATTTTCAAATTATAAGTTTAGGAATGCTATTGCTCCATTATCATATATTTTTTTTTACATCTAGATGAGATCTCATAATTATGAAAAAATAATCTCATCTTCTCACAACCTGAAACCCAGAAAAGATGGAGCGTTTGTTCCACGGATTTCCATGACCTCCAGGACCTCCAGGACCGCCAGGACCGCTGGAACCGCCAGGACCATTAGGGCCTCCAGGACCACCGGGACCATGAGGTTCATTACCATATCCACCACCAGGACCACCAGGACCACCAGGACCACCAGGACCATGAGGTTCATTACCATGTCCACCACCGGGGCCACCAGGGCCTCCGGGACCATGAGGTTCATTACCACGACTACCGCCGGGACCTCCAGGACTATCAGGACCGTTGGAACCGCTGTATCCAGGACCGTATGGACTGGGTCCACCCTGTATTTCAGCATCACCCAGACTGCGTCTCTTTAATGATGGAGGACGAACAGACGAAGCAAGAACATTGGACTGTCCACCAGCAATGCACTCAGCCATAGCATTCATGTGGTTGCTAATAGTATTTTCAATTTGTGCAACGCTACTAGGATCTAAATTTGGTCGTGGAACATTGCATCCAATCATGTCGTTAATCTGAACGATAGAATCACTAATCCAGTCCCAGATCTGTCTCTTTTGAACAAGTTCGAGTGAATTTTCAGTAGTTCCTTTGGGAATAGTAACCAAGGATTTACCACCAGTAATGCATTGAGTCATTGCTTGCATGTGCTGTGCAATTGTGTCTCCAAGCTGGTCAATGTTATCAGATGCAAGGTTTGGACGAGGAACTTGACAGCCTATCATATCATTTACTTGCATAATGGAATCAGAAATCACATCCCACAATTGACGTCGCTCAAGTACTGGAAGTGAGTTTTTTTCATTATCGTCAATTGAAACATAACTACCAGGAACAGCCACATTAGACTGGCCTCCAGAAATGCATTGAGCCATAGCTTCCATGTGCTTGGCAACTGTTTCCTCAACTGAAGCAAAATCACCAGGGTCAATGTTTGGTCTTGGAACATTGCACCCAATCATCTGGTTTATTTGAACAATGGAATCTGCAATCATATCCCAAAGTTGACGCTTTTCAAGTTGAAGACGAACATTAGATTGTCCACCAGCTATGCATTGAGCCATAGCTTCCATATGATTGTTGATGGTTTCTTCCAGCAGACCAATATCTCCAGGGTTAAGATTTGGGCGTGGGACATTGCAACCAATCATTTCATTAATTTGAACAATTGAATCAGCAATGGCATCCCAGAATTGGCGTTTGTCAAGAGAGTTATCTCTATTGCTAGCGACATAACTTGAAGGAAGGGCAACAAGAGATTGACCATTAGAAATACATTGAATCATGGCTTCCAGGTGCTTAGTAACGGTTTCTTCCAGCATACCAATATCTCCGGGGTTAAGATTTGGTCTTGGAACATTGCATCCAATCATTTGGTTAATTTGTACAATTGCATCAGAAATCAAGCCCCCAAATTGACGTTTTTCAAGATCAAGACTAGTATCAAGGGGAGCAGAATAGGCGAAACTAGAAAGTGTCAATGCTGACACAAACCAGGTACTGAATAGTGACATATTTTTTTTAATCATCGTTATTGCGATAGAGAAAGAAAAAGCATTAAAAAAAGATGGATTTAAAGGTATTTATAAAAAAAATCATATTGAAAAACATTTTTTGGTGTTAATTATTATACAAATCAAACTTTCAAGCATGCGAACTATTTTCCCCTTATACCATGGATGTTATTTTATCTTTTGTGCAACTATTATTACCATTTTGGGAAATTGATAAACTTGCATAAAAAGGGGATCGAAATTAGCCCAAGGCTTTAAAACCGTTTAAACAGGTAAGCATTCATATATTGTTATCAATTTGAACTTATTTACACGGAAAATTTTTATTTAAGTTCATTCTTAAGAACTCACCACGATAGCCAAGCTGATAAAAAGGCCAAATACAGGTTAAGTTTAAGGTTAGTCAAATTTCATTTCATGTTCTTTACAATTGCCTAAATAAACATATGGCTTTTATTCGCTAATTTAATCATAATGATTACCGAAATAGTAAACGCCATCGCTTAAAAATGGAACGGAAAAAATACGAAAAAAGCTTATTGATATCTTTTATCCGAAGGTGCTAAAAATCATTTTTTAAATAAACTGCTAGACATGCAATTAAGTGAAAAACATTGCATGATTTCCATTAAAAACAATTAATTGAAAAGGCGGGCACAAATCAATATCTTAAATAAAAGCCCTCTTTCAAATCATTTCATATAAAATATATTGCTATAACCAACATAAATACATTAAAATAAAATATATTTTGTGTATATATACGCATTAAAAGTTTCTATTTACAATCTTAAAGAAGAGCAGACTTTAAAGACGTTTGGTGCAATCAAACTATTTATTGTATACTCGATTTAGGAAATTTTATGGAGTAAATCAAAAACTGGTTACCCTGCTTCGCAATCATAACGTATTAGCCGCACACACAGCGGATATTTTTAATGGATAGGATTGTCATATATGACAAGAATATATATTCTTAACCCCGACACAGCCCACATCTTTGTCTAAAATAACAATTAGGCTAACTTTCACTTACCTTTTTTTACAAAACTTTTAGACAAATATAATGCTCATTATAGTTTCAGGAAATAAATGCTCTGGCAAGTCTGAAGTTGCTAATTACTTGATGATCAATGACTATACGTTGTTGGAACTTGCTCGTCAGTGGCCCCTGCGCACTCCTTCTATCCCACACACTCTACCGGGTTACAACTTTGATGCGACAGGCCCTACTGAGGAAGAAACCGATGGATTGATTCATGTTGGAAACGAAAACCAATCATCTACTCCTCGAGTCAACTCTGATGAAGAGGCTACTAAAATGTCTAAAAAATACTTGAATCTTCTTTCTAAAAATATTCGCAAACAAGGACTTAAGGACAAAGGAATAGAGTTTGAAAAAGTCAAAAGAGAAGATACACTTGTCAATGATTTTGATTCGACTTTAGAAAAATGCACACCCCCAAGAAAAAAAACGATCCGAGAGATGATGGACGAGTTTTCTGAAGACGAGGAGGGAGAGTCGATATCCCAACATCACGAAGAATCTGAAGAAGATGGTGAATCCGATTCTGAAGAGCCCAAAACAATTTCCGCCAAAAGTTCTAGCGATAATTTGAAACCAACTCAAAGCATCACGGATCTTATTTACGAAATGACTACCTCAGCAACAGACCATTCTATGCACACCAAAAATGTACATCCATACGTCTACACCCCAGAATTGGCAAGTGCAGCACAACCTCAGCTGCTACACGTACCCCAGCCACCCCCTCCCTTCACAGCATATAAAACAGCGGATGGTACAAACAAAATTATTTTTGACTCTATTGATACTCTTATTACTTACATCGTTAAGAATTGGAGAGATGATTTTGTATTTATTCTTGAGCCGGGCCCTAATGCATATACCCAGCTCTTGCAATTCGAAGCCATACCATACTCGCTCCATGTAACTGTGGAAGCACCTATAATAACTCGTTGGAAGCGTTTCTTGGGGAAGGTATATGATTTTTCGTTCCCACCAGCAGCTACTAGTACTTCCAGACTAGAGGATCACTTGTCTAAAACCCTAATTTTCAATGGCCAATCAACTAAACCCGAGTCTGAAGTTTCACCTCCAGTCCTTTTAGAGCGCTTCGTTACGGATTCTGATAAAATCATGTACGACATATCAGATGGATTCAAACCACTTGCAGCAGTAGTGGATCGAGCAAAGTTAACAATTGTCAATAACACCGACACAATCAACTCATTACAAATGAAGTTGAGCAGACTCAATCTTAAAAATACTGAGCGGTTGCGGCCTTCATGGGATCTTTATTTTATGCGCCTGGCTGGTCTTGCAGCATTGAGATCTAATTGTATGAAGCGCCGAGTGGGGTGTGTTATAGTGCGTGAGAACAGGGTTATTGCAACTGGATACAATGGCACTCCCCGTGGATTACCTAACTGCAACGAAGGTGGCTGTACTCGGTGTAATGGGGGTGGGGTATCTGGGTCAAATCTTGATAGTTGCTTGTGTCTCCACGCTGAAGAGAATGCTTTGTTAGAAGCCGGGCGGGATCGTGTTGGATCAACGTCTGTAATTTACTGCAACACAGCACCTTGTCTTACATGTTCTATCAAGATTGTTCAAAGTGGTATCAAAGAAGTTGTTTATGAACAAGCCTACAGTGGTCAAAATTCCGAAAATATTTTCCAACAAGCAAATGTAGTCATCCGCCAGTTTGTTCCTCCCAACGATAATGTGGTCATTTGAACTATTAAATGTCTTTATCAATTAATATAATGTTATTATAATAGTAGTCATTTATTCATTAATTTAGGTCTGCTTGAAAATATAAGGACCAGGCTTCTGAGCAACATCAAAATCCATAGAGCCCTCCTCAATGATGTTATCAGCCTCGTCATAAATCTTGCAAGAAACTTTGTCACCAGGAACAATTGGGCCAACACCCTTAGGAGTTCCGGTAAGAATAATGTCACCGGCCTCGAGGGTCATGATGGAAGAAACAGTCTCAAGAATTTCAGGAATCTTAAACATCATAAGGCTGGTCTTGTCCTTTTGTTGGGTCACACCATTAACATCAAGCTGGAGGGTAACATTGTGGGGGTCAGAAATCTTCTCCTTGGGAATAAATTCAGAAAGAGGAAGGAATGTGTCAAAGCCCTTAGCAATGGACCAAGGAAGACCTTTCTTTTTGGCCTCGTTTTGAACGTTACGAGCTGTCAGATCAATGGCCAAAGCGTAACCAGCGAGTGCATCAAGGTAGGAATTGGAGCCACCAAACTGAGCATTTTTAAGAGGCTTTCCAAGGACAAGAGCAAGTTCAACCTCGTAATGAACGGTAGTGCCTTGGGGGATAAGAATGGGCTCTTTAGCAACAGAAGGAAGGATGGCCGAAGGAGGCTTAAGGAAAAAGAAGGGCTGAGAAGGAGGAGCATTTCCAAGTTCCTTAATATGGTCAACGTAGTTGCGGCCAATGCACATGACCTTTCTGGTGTTTTTAGCAAAAGACATTTTTGATAGTTATGAAGTTGATGAGAGAAGAAAAAGAAAAAAAAACTGAGAAAATATTAAGAGAAAAGTGATGTTTGAATAGATTTGTAAGCTCTGTATGGTTGGGGATAATTTCTGGTGGTAGTTGCATTGGTTGGTTACTCGGTTAGGGTTGGGTGAAGCCGCGCGGGTATGGGTGTCCGTCAACTGGCGGCAAATGTTTGAGTCACACCGAAAGTTTATATCATTGAAAAAAAAAATTGAAATAAGTATTATACATTCAAAAAAGTAAAATGTAAAGAAATGTAAGCTTCAATGAAAGACTTGAAATGAAGTGATATTAACTTTTCTAAATAAGAAAAACATGGAAGGAATCCTAAATATTTAGTAAAATGTCTTTTCTAAATGTTCAAAAAGTCGGAACAATAAAACCATTGAAAGAAGTTATGAAAAAAACAACTAAAGTTAACATAAAAAATTAAAAGCATTTTTAAAGTTAAAAAAACAAAATTTACTTTTAAAGGCTTTTTAAATCATTTCAGTAGCTCTTTTTTTCTTCGATAACAATATTTATTGTTAATGTTGAAAAATCATCTTCAACAATATAAAAAGCCGTGCAAACCTCTGGGAAATTCAAAAAAAAAAAAAAAAAATAAAAGTAAATGTTTTACATAATAATCACGTGATACGTGACAATCCCGTGGAGGAGTGTTCTTGTATGATTTCTTCCACATTGCCAAACTTCTTCTTCCTTTTCTTTTTATAAAGACTGATGCAGTTAAAACTATATATATATATATATATATTTTTTTTTTTTTTTTTTTTTTTGAAGAGAATAAGATAAGCATATCGTTTCTAAAATATAAAGGTCACTTAGTTTGAATCTTTATTATTGGACTTAATCATTTTAACTTCCTATCAACTGCCATCAATGTCTTTCCCTAAAGCCGCTTTGGACGGTTTGGTGGAAAGTTCCACACTCGCTCCTGATCCTTACTCCAAGCCTAGCGTTTATTATGGACCTCAAAACGACCCCTCCAAACTGGCTACTCATGGAAATAAGAAATCAAGAGCATACTCAATTGTATGTTTTTCTCATCATTGGTTCTTTATTTTTACATTCTAACTTTATCTAAGTCCACTGCAAAAATATCTGAAATCCCAATGTTGAAACGCCGTGGATCACAAGGTATGCTAAATTTATAATCGCCCAAAACTACCACTATAATACTGACTTTTTTTAGATGAAATCACCAAGCCTCGGCAGTTTCTTATTAATGTCGACGAAACTCTTAAAAATCTTCTTGATTCCGAAGGTATGCTACTTGAACCAATATTTTGACACAAAGAGATGTTTTTCTCCTCTGGTTTGGGTAACACGTCACAAGACTAACACTTTGTTTAGACACTGACAACAACTTCCAAATTACAATCGACGATGAAGGACCTAAGGTTTTAAGTGTCGGTACAGTCAATTCGCTTGGATATAATAAAGCAGAGATTCGTGGCACATATATGCTTTCCAATTTACTTCAGGAGCTTACCATGGCACAAAAAATGGGCCGTCATCAAATCATTCTCGACGAGGCTCGCCTTAACGAGAATCCCGTGGCCCGACTCTCTCGTCTCATTCAATATCAATTTTGGGACTCCTTGACCCGCAGAATCGACAAGGATATGATTGATATTATTGCAGTTGATCCTAAAAATCGAGGCCCAGATTCTCGACCACGTATCTATGTTCCCTATTCCGAAAAAGAGCAGTACGAGTATTACACCAAAATTTCAAAAGAAAGACCTGATCTCAAGCTCGACGTTGTCTATCTCCCTGAAAAAATCACGCCAGAGTGGGTTAAAAATATCAATGAAACTCCTGGACTTTTGGCTCTTGACATGGAAAAATCAACAGATCAAGATGGAAACGTCTCTCTAAAGGGAGTTCCCTATGTTGTTCCAGGTGGTCGATTTAATGAATTTTACGGATGGGACTCGTACATGATTGCGCTGGGTTTGCTGGTCAATGACCGCGTAGATTTGGCTATGGGTATGGTCAAAAACTTCGTTTACGAGATTAAGCATTACGGCAAAATTTTAAATGCAAATCGATCTTATTATTTATGTCGGTCTCAACCTCCATTCTTGACAGACATGGCTTTGAGAGTTTACAAACAAATTAAAGGAACTCCTGGTGCCAAGGATTTTTTAAAAAATGCCATGTATGCTGCCATAAAAGAGTACAACACGGTATGGACCTCTGAGCCAAGATTGGATCCTATCACGGGACTTTCAAGGTACCGCCCAGACGGTTTGGGTATCCCTCCTGAAACAGAATCTTCTCACTTTGAGCATTTGTTGTTACCTTACACCAAAAAGTACAATCTTTCATTCAAAGAGTTTACCGAAAAGTATAATGACGGGATCATCAAAGAGCCTGACCTTGATATTTACTTTTTGCATGATCGTGCTGTCCGCGAGTCTGGCCACGACACCTCTTATCGTTTAGAAGGACGGTGCGCTGATATGGCAACAATTGATCTAAATTCGCTTCTCTATAAATACGAGTCAGACATAGGTGCTACTATTCGGGATGAGTTTAGCGACCAATTAGAAATGCCCGATGGTACTATTGAAAGCTCTGCTAAGTGGGAGTCTTTTAAAAACAAGAGGAAGAATGCTTGTGACAAGTACTTATGGAATGAACAACGAGGCATATATTTTGATTATGATACTCGGTTAAAACAACAGTCCGACTACGAGTCATGTACTACCTTTTGGGCGCTATATGCAGGTCTTGCTACACCAGAACAAGCAGCGAGCCTTGTCAAAAATGCAATTCCTCTTTTTGAAGAACCAGGTGGTTTAGTTGCAGGAACCCGAAAGTCGCGCGGCGAAGTAGGTATTGACCGGCCTAATCGCCAGTGGGACTACCCCTACGGGTGGGCCCCACAACAAATATTGGCCTGGATTGGTTTGCTAAGATACGGCTACAACAAGGAAGCCCTTCGTCTGATTTACAAGTGGCTTTACATGATGACTAAAGCGTTTGTTGATTTCAACGGAACAGTGGTCGAAAAGTACGATGTCACACATTCCTCTCACCCTCATCTTGTCGATGCAGAGTATGGCAATCAAGGGGGTGATTTTAAAGGTGTTGCCACTGAAGGCTTTGGATGGGTTAATGCATCCTACGTTCTAGGTCTCAGTCTGATTAACAGTAAGGCAAATAGAGCGCTGGGTACGCTAACTACGCCAGAAATTTTTATCAAATCGGAAGAAGACGAAGAAAAAGAAAAAGAAAAAGACTTGGAATAGATTTGTAAATTTGCTTAAAAAATTTTTTTTCCTGCTTTCATATCATACATTCTATTTGTTTTTTAAAATTTTTTGGAACTCGAATCAAGACGTCCAACATTATGATGAAGTTCAGCAACGCGGTTACCAAGACCCATGAAGAAAAGATATTCCTCTTGTAACGCTGCGATAATGTTTTGAACATTACGGAAACCCTCCGATGCTTCCTGCTGGATGCTTTCAATTCCATTCTCAGCCTCTTGAATAATGGCTGCGTATTCCTGCAACCGCAACATAAATTCTTCAAGCTTACGCTCAAAATATGGCACTAAAGCATCACCACTAGCGCTGCTAGCTGTTCCAACAGTACCGCTAGAAATGTTATTAGAAGATGATCCGGAACCCACGTTTCTTGCAGGACCATTGGCCCCCATCACACTTCCTCCATACACAGAAGCCCGCAAACTGCTGACCCCTCCACCAAGTTGTGCAGCAGCGGCAGCAGCGGCAGCAGCGGCAGCAGCAGCTCCTGATGATGAAGATGGAATTCGCAAATGGCCAAAGAGATTGAAGCATGTGTCCGAATCTTGGGCTGCACCATCTGATTCGGCACGCAGCCGGGAAAGAACAGTTTCATCGTATTTGAGAGCCTCAATTGTTGTTGTTAATTTGCGAGAAACAAGCTCACAGTCTTGAGGGACAGACATTACCTTAGTTTCTAACCCCTCATGGCGAGCCTTGAGATCCTCTGCTGCTTGGCCTTCAGACCGAATATACATCTCCATTGCCAGTAATTCGCGTTGTGCTTGCTCTGGAAGATCGCTCGTTCGTGTCGAGCTGGTAATCTGTGAAAGAGGCGTGAAGTTGGGATTAGCTGTATTTGTTGCAGCTGCATTGTTGTTGGTATTATTGAGAATAGACGTGCCGCCCAAACCACCAAAGGTTGGAGCAGTAGTAGCTGTAGCTGTGCTTCCTCCAAATTTAAAGCCAGTGGAAGCACTAGTTGTGCTAGAACCAAAAAGGCCGCCACCAGTAGTATTTGTGTTTGTAGCACCAGTTGTGCTGGCTCCAAAAAGGCCACCGGAAGCTGGCGCAATTGTAGATGTGTTGTTGGTATTACCAAAAAGACCACCAGCCGTTGCTGCTGGCTTTGCACCAAACAAAGAAGTCCCTGTTGAAGTATTAGTAGCGTTATTGCTTCCAAACAAGGTACTTCCTGTTGAACTAGCAGTAGTTGAAGAGGCATTGGCGTTTCCAAAAAGTGTATTGGTGGTTCCAGAATTTGATGTATTGGTATTGTTAGAACCAAAAAGACCACCACCAGTCGCAGGCTTACTCCCAAAAAGACCACCGGTCGATGGTGCAGCCGTATTGTTTGTGTTGTTAATATTTCCAAATAATGATCCGCCAGTAGAGGTAGTATTTGTGTTGTTTGTACCAAATCCCAATCCAAACCCTGTTGATGTCGTAGTGTTATTATTGTTATTATTGGCACCAAATCCACTTCCAAAAGTTGAGGTAGTGTTATTATTTGTAGAAGACCCAAATCCACCAAACGTAGAACCCGTATTAGTATTTGCATTATTATTAATATTATTAGCACCAAATAACGAGTTGGTATTATTGTTTGATCCAAATGCTGAGCCCGTATTGGTATTTGATCCAAATGCTGAACCAGTGTTGTTATTTGAACCAAAGGCTGAAGTTGTATTGTTGTTAGAACCAAATGCCGAAGTGTTATTATTCAATCCAAATCCTGAAGTTGTATTGTTCGAAGAGCCAAAGGCTGAGCCTGTATTATTTGTGCCAAAGGTTGAACCAGGGTTATTGGAAGCACCAAAGGCTGAGCCAGTGTTATTAGAGCCAAAAGATGAGCCAGTGTTGGTATTGGTATTAGCACCAAATCCAGCACCTGTGTTACTTGCCCCAAATCCACCAGTGCTTCCACCAAAAAGACCGCCTCCAGAAGTATTTGTGTTACTGTTGTTATTGTTATTGCCGAATGAACCAAAAGCGTTGCCGCCGCTAGTCGAAGCTCCAAATGCAGGTTTGGGTGCATTGTTTCCAAATAGCGAAGAACCGGTAGATTGGGTGGGAGGGTTGTTATTACCAAACCCACCAAATGAAAAACCAGTACCACCTGTATTAAATGCCATTATAAATTAAGAGGCAATAATGCTAAAGAATTGACAAAAATAACCTTGAAAAGGTTTGTTTTGATTTTGGTGGGAGTTGAAAAAAATAAAAAAAAAATGTCAGAAAAACAAAAAAATGTCAAAGAAAAAATTCGCTTGCGTATATTTCAGCACTAAGAAACTTAACGTCTGAGTTCGTTGTTTTTTAGTTTGCCATCCACCCTAAAGTACTCACTTATCCTTTCGCGCGTCTATTTTTTTCATCCTTCCATCCTTCCATCCTTCCATCATTTTACAATAATAGAGGTAATCATTATATTTAGAGTAGGATGGGTATGTTTTTTTAAATTCAACGTATACATGAATCATTTTAAATTAACTTTCTTTAGGTATTCCTAAATTTTTTCGCTTCATCTCAGAAAGATGGCCTCTTATTTCGCAGCTAGTTAATAATAACCAAATTGCAGAGTATGCACCACACGATTAAAACTATTCATTTTCTTCTGCTAACAGTAATCTTGATAGGTTTGATAATCTGTATTTGGATATGAATTCGATTATCCGTAAGTCTTTGTTGTGTATTCTCTATCACTTTTTCTAATCATCCATCTAGATAATTGCACTCATAAAAATGGTGATGCAACGTTTCAACTAACTGAAGAACAAATGTTTGCTCAGATTTTTAATTATATTGAGCATTTGTTTACTCTTATAAAGCCTAAAAAGCTTTTTTATATGGCAATCGATGGTGTTGCTCCTCGTGCTAAGATGAATCAGCAACGTTCACGTCGTTTTCGAAGTGCACTCGATGCAGAACATCAACGTGAGAAGGCTCTTGAAAAAGGACTTGAGGTTCCAAAAGATCCGTTTGATTCTAATGCCATTACACCTGGAACAGAATTTATGGCTAAACTTTCAGTTCATCTGAAATATTTCATTCACAAAAAGGTTTCTACCGATTCTTCCTGGCAAAATATTGAGATTATTCTTTCTGGTCATGAAGTTCCTGGCGAAGGTGAACACAAAATCATGTCTCACATTCGCATTGCCAAATCTCAACCTGACTATGAACCAAATCTTCGTCATTGTTTGTACGGTCTCGATGCAGATTTAATTATGCTTGGTCTATTGACACATGATACTCACTTTGCTATTTTGCGTGAAGAAGTCCTTTTCTTACCTTCACACAATAAACAGAAGGAGCTTGCTGAGCAAAACTTTTACTTGCTACATCTTTCACTTGTTCGTGAATATTTGGAACTTGAGTTTGATGGCATTGAAGAAGAGATGAAATTTACATATAACTTTGAGCGCATATTAGACGACTTTATCTTACTCAATTTTTTTATTGGTAATGATTTTTTGCCGGAACTTCCATCGTTGTTGATCAACGATGGTGCTCTTCCATTTGTTATTAAGTCTTACAGCAATTACCTTAAAGAGGGTAAGGACTACATCACTAAAAATGGTATTATTAATTTCAACAACCTTGCCGACTGGATTGAAAAGTTATCCCTTTTTGAATACAGATTATTTGAAACCGGAGCTGTTGATCTTGAGTGGATAAATAAAGATATTGATAGCGTTTCTATGAAAGGAAAAGAGAAGGCTGCAAAAAGCAAAGTTCTTGAAATGACGGAGTACCAAAAGGGCCTTATCAAAGATATTAGCCAGTTTGTTCTCCAAGCCAATTCTACTTTAAAGCCTGATCCTGAGAGTGAATCTTTACCTTCAATGACATTGGATGAAGATGAATATGACGAAATTGACGATGATGATATTGCTGTTCTTCGAGAATTTTGTTCAAAAACATATATTAGAGTTGTTGTCGATCAAGGACGTATTTCGCTTGTTTTAGATGTTGATGGTATTCCAGATAATGAGACCGATAGGGATCGAAGTGAACGACTTCTCAATGTCAATAAAATCATTCGTGTTTATATCAACGCTAAAACAATTTCAGCACACGAGGAAGTTGAAAATCGAGAGGAAATTTACGATTCCAAGTTTATTGAATGGAAAAATGAATATTACAATGAAAAATTTGGATACACTCTTCAAGATAATCCTGAAAAAATTAGAGATGTTTGCGAAAACTATCTTGAAGGTTTACAGTGGGTTTTGCTTTACTATTTCCGTGGTATTGCTTCCTGGGGCTGGTATTTTAGATACTACTATGCGCCCAAGATTTCTGACATCAAGCTTGGGTTGACTAAAGTTTTAAAAGAGGGAAAAATTAACTTTAATCTTGGACATCCTTTACGCCCATTTGAGCAGCTTATGGCTGTTTTGCCTGAAAAAAGTAAAGCCCTTGTTCCTCCGGGTCTTAGACCATTGATGGTTGAGGAGAACTCACCCATCAAGGAGTTTTATCCAGCTAAGTTTGAACTTGACAAGAACGGCAAAAAGGCTGATTGGGAAGCAGTTGTTAAGATTCCATTTGTTGATGAAAAGCGTCTTTTGGCAGCGATTCATAGCCGAGAACAATACTTGACTCCAGAGGAGAAGCATCGAAACACATTGGGTAACGATTTGGATTTTGTTTTCAACCCTCAGGTTGATACTATTTTCCCCTCTTCATTGCCAGGCATTTTCCTTGATGTGGAGCATGATCATACTATTGAATCTGTTTACCATGAGCCCGCAGTTCAAGGAGGCGAGTTTCGATATGGTTTATGTGATGGAGCCAAACTTGGCGTTAATTCACTTGCTGGTTTCCCCAGTTTAAAAACTTTGCCATTTACGTTTGAAATTGACAAGGGCAAAGTCAAGATTTTCGAAAGGCCTGCTCGTCGTGAGTCTATTATTATTACCATCACAGATCAATATGCTGAAAGTGAAAGCTCTGCTATTTCTAAACGTCTTTTGGGACGAACAGTTTATGTTGGCTGGCCTTATCTTCGCGAGGCTAAAGTTGTTGCTCTTAGTGATGAATTATTTTCTTATAAACTTGAGCATGGAAGGGTCTCGCAAACACCTCACCACAGCCTAAAGGAATGGACTGGTGGTGTTGCTAGTTTCCTTGACTACTTTCAAATCAAGGGTGTTGATATTGGGAAGTCCAACTTCATTCTGCATGTCATGACCCTCAAGGGTTTGGAGAGGGAACCATCTGGCGCGTATGTCAAAAAGTATGAGTCTGATCCTTCGCTTGAAGTTAGAGTTCCTCTTCAGCTTGTTGTTGAAAGCGTTCAAAATGATGATGAGCGATTCATTGAAAAGCCAGCTCAGCCGATCGAAGAGGAATACCCTATTGGAAGTCAAGCTGTTTCTTTGTTAGATGTATGTTATGGTCTGCCTGTTACTGTTATAGGCTATAAAGACGGTGCTCTTGATGTTGAAGTTCGTGTGTTGAACCAAAAGCTGAGCCAAGTTGGGCACTTTCTCTGGAGAAATGAGCTGCACTACCTTGATTATCAGCCAGGTTATAGATTTAGCAAGCAACTTCGCATGCCCTCAAGCTTTATTGGACAATTGACGTCTAGATATTTTGTTTTTGTTGACGGGAAGAAGGTTGACATTGGTCTTAATCTCAAGTCTGAAAATCTTCGTCAAAAGGCATTGGGTTTCGTGAAACGTGGAGCTCAAGGATGGGATTATAGTGTTTTAACAAAAAAGTTGATTGAGGAATATGTCGGTACATTTTCTCTTATTTTTGCCAAGCTGTTGAATAATCAGCGCCGTGATATGCCTGAGCTTACCGAGTTGCTTGGTCTTGGTCCTTCTGAAGTCAATTTCAAGGTTGATCAAATGAAGCAGTGGTTGAAGGATCATGTTTTCAACAATCCCAACGTTCGCCTTGTTTCGTTAGAAGACGACGGGATGGGCTTTATGTCTGTGCAAGAGCTGGAAAATAGAGTCATCCAACGCAACAGTGTTAAGTACCAATACACTGTTAACACAATTCGAAGTGTTCCCCGTGAAGCACTTTTTGCACCCGATTCTCCATCGTTCATTTTATCCAAGCAAAAGTTTGAAATTGGAGATCAAGTTGTTTCTATTTTGGATTATGGCAAAGTTCCACTTTTCAGCCGTGGTACCGTTATTTCAATTAAGAGTTATGTTTCTCATGTCACTTTGGATGTGATTTTTGACAGCGAAATTGACTCTGGTAATCATTTGAACAACCGACTTAAAACCAGACGCGGCTTAACAGTAGAGTCGAGCTCTATTTTGAATCTGTCAAATCCACAGCTGGCTGTTTCTCTTGAGTATAAGGGTAACTCTCGAAACACCAAAGGTAACTTTGCCAAAAATGGAGTATCGGCTGTAAGTCTTCCTTCCGGACCTAAGGCTGCTCAAAATAATTCTGTTCGAAATGGAAAGGCTCCTATTACCAAGCCAGGTGTTAAACTTTCTACGCCAAAGCAGCCAAAGAGCAATGAAAGGGGGACTCAACCTCCCAAGCCTCAGAATGTTCCTAAGGCTGCTAAACCTACATTTGATACAACGGCCTTGAATAATGAGCTTCTTGGATTGATTAAGAATAATGCCGAAAATGCCAAGGCAGCTAAAGATGATCATGCTTCGCCCATTGTTTCGTCTGATGATGTAAATAAGGATATTGGTAATGAGCTTTTGGAAATGATCAAGGGCCCCAAGAGTGCTAAAGGACAATCCAAGTCGCGTGAAGCTACGCAAAACAAGGTTCGCAGTGCCATTATGGGACAATTTTCTGGAGGAAGCCAGCTTCCTCCTCAGCCCAACATATCTAGTCATATTTTATATCCTCCTCCTCCACCACCACCTGGAGGAATTTTCCCTCCAATCCCTGCTGGGTTTGTTGCTCCTGGCGAAATGCACCCAGGATTTGTCCCCATGGGGTACCCTCCACCACCTCCCCCTGGTGCGTACCCTATGCACCCTATTCCAATGCATCCAGATATGCTTCCACCTGGGCCTCCTGGAAGTTCTCCATTTGCAGCACCGTTTGTTCCTCAGGGAATGCCTCCTGCTCCACCTAGTATTGGAAATGTGCCTCAGGGAATTCCTCAGGGACCTAGATACGGCAACCGTGGAGGACGCGGTGGAGGCCGCGGAGGCCGCCGGTCCATGAACCCTTTGAATGGTGATGGTTTGGAAGGTGGAGATTCTCTTCCATCACCTCCTGTTCCTCGCCGTGGAGGCCGCGGTGGTCGAGGCCGTGGTGGTCGTGGAGGCCGTGGTGGACATCATGTTCCCAAGGATGAAGGTACTCCATCTCAGACTTCTAAAGAAATGCCCACAAAGCCCGAGACTCCTTCAGAGTAATTGAGTCTTTATTTTTTTTTTATTATTATTATTTTCTTTTATTATTATTATTATTACCTGTATATGTATAAAAATTAAATATCGTATGAGGAAGTGTATTCCCGATTTTTAAGTTCCTTGACTTGTGATTCTTTTTGAAACCATAGTTTTTCAAAGCCGTTTGAGCGATCTACGCCATCCCACATGCTCCCTGGTGGAATATCAAACCGATTTGGCGGGTATGGGCCTGGATATATTTTCCATGAAAGACCATCATCAGCATGCCTGCTTTTTGTGTTAGAGCTTTTGACAAGAGCTGTTGTTTTTTTCTTTTTAAGGAAAGTTGCAGCAGGGTCGTGGAAAGTGTCAACTTTACTGCGCTGTTGAGCATTAAGTTCGGCATCATCAGCGTGTCGCGTGTAGCGAGTTCCACTACTATCTTGTGCACCTTCTTGTTCCATTCGTAATTGAACAACACCAGCATTGATTCTTCTGTGTGCTTGTTCTCGTGCTCGTTTTTCTGCAGCTTCTGCTTCTAACTCTGCTTGACGGATGCTTTCAATATCATCAATTCGGCGACCCTGCGCGTCACGATGGACAGTATCATGTGCATCAATGTCAGTAGTGGTTGCAAGTTGTGCTCGCACTGCAGCTTCGGCCTCAGCCTTTTCTCGCATCTGGTCTGCAATCTGATCTGCTGTTTGAAGGCCGTAGTATTTGTTGTGTAAAGAAAGCGCAGAAGTATCTGCTGGAAGTTGCTTGTCTGGTTCTTCCATTTTTGTAGATCCATCAAGACGCTTCCATGCATTTTTCTTTTTAATTTTTGTAATGTCCTTATTTTGATTATACTCCTCTCCTTCTTCTTCTTCTTCTTCTTCTTCTTCATCATCCGCGTACTCTAGTTTTCTTCGTTTTGTGTATTCTTCAAAAGTCATATTTTTGGAAGAAACGCGTTTTGATGGTTTATTTGCAGTTAACAGGGTATCACCCTCATCATCATCTTTGATTACTGATCCAGAAGATTTATTAGACGGATCATTTTTTCTCTTCTTTTTCTTAGTTTTCTTTTCAGATTTATCTGATCCCACAGGATCCAGGTATTTTTTCGAAAGGTAATCTTTGAGTGCAGACATTTTTTTTTTTTTTTTTTTTTTTTCAAAATGTTTGCTTTTTTTTCTTTACAAGTCAAAAAGGAGTGGCGCGAGGACAAGGCTGGAATATAGGTATAGATATCTAAATCACGTGATAGTTGTGTTAGTCAGCAATTTTGAAAATCTTGAAAGTTCCACACGTTTTTTTTGCCTTTTGCTGGTGGCTTTTCGCCTCTTTTTTTTTTTTTTTTTTTCTTCCCCCTTCACACTTTGATTAGAAAACCAACACGCAAGCCTTTTTTTTTTTTTTTTTCTTTCTTTCTTTCTTTCTTTCTTTTAAAAAATTCATTACTTTTTTCTTTCTATTTATTTGCTACTATGAACAATATCCATAATCAACTTAGCCAAGGACGCATCGTTTTGGCGTCAGGATCTCCACGCCGAAAGCAGATTCTTGAGGAGCAGCTTGGGTTCAAGAATATTAGTGTGGTTCCATCCAAGTTTAAAGAAGATCTATCAAAGGACACACGATCACCATTTCAATATGTTATGGATACCGCGACAGAAAAGGCATTGGATGTTTACCGTTCCGAGATTGAATCAGAAAGAGAACCCAGCATTGTTCTTGCTGCTGACACTGTTGTTGTATCGGTAGAACAGATTCTCGAGAAGCCCAAGTCACCATATCATCACTTGGAGATGCTCAAACATCTTCGTGATTCTCCTTTCCCTCACAAGGTTTTTACAGCAGTGGTTGCTATTGTGCCACTGGAAGTTCCCATCACCCCTGGCTATGCCTTGGAAACATATATTGAGGAGTCTATTGTGAATTTCGACAAGACAATTTCCAATGAATTTCTGCAAAGTTATGTGGACTCTGGTGAGGCCACTGATGCTGCTGGCGGTTACAAGATTCAAGGGCGTGGTGCTTTGCTTATCAAGTCGATTGAGGGTGACTTTTTCAACGTCATGGGTCTTCCTGCGAACGGTACCCACAAGTTGATTGAGAGGGTTATTAAGATTGCTGATAATGAGAATGCTGGTGGAGCTGGAAGCGGAGACGAAGATGAAGATGAGGATGAGGAAGAAGAAGATGGTCGTCGTTTGCTCTAAATGATGATAAAATGATGACGATCGAGTAACGAAGAAGTTCAGGGTTATTGTTGTTTTTTTTTTTTTTTGATGATTTGGAGACTTGCTTCGGGTCGAGTTACATGGCAAATCATTTTGTGTACGGCTTTATTTATGTATCTTCCGGAAGATACAACAATGTTTATTTTGAAGAAATGAAGAAACTTTTGCATTTGACATTGACAAGAAAAAAAAAAAAAAAAAGAACCCCGATTTTATTTAAAAGGGTTCAAATTTAGAGAATAATTTAAAAAAAAAAAAATTAATAATAATAATAATGTTTGTTTTATCATTTATGATAATTAAAATTTTTTTTTAAAATATCCCAGAGTTGTTTTTTTTTTTTTTTTTTTTTTAACGATACCTATGTCTAACTAAGCTTGTTAATGATGGTTCGTATCGGGTGCGGACCAATCTCAAAACAGTTGAAAAATACCACATAAAGTTTTCTAAAAAAAAAAAAAAAAAAAACCTTTTTACTACAAGAAAGTTTGAAATTTTTTGTTCTTGAAAAAAAAAAAAAATTCTTTTAAATGATTTATTTTTTTTTTCTCTTCTTTTAAAATACCTTTAAGATCTTTTATTTATTCTTTTATTCTTTCATTTTTTTTTTTTTTTTCACCACTACTGCCTTTTTTTTTAAAATCTTCTTCTTCTTTATCACCTGATATGTTACAGCCGTGAAAAATTTTTTGGGCTGCCTGCCTTTTTTTTTTTTTTTTTTTTTTTTTTTTTATTTTGCCAGCGTTGCTGCAACAAAAATTTTTCACGTCTCGCATGTGAAATTGGCTGCTCTTATGGTGGTGGTGGTGGTTCCTAAAAAAAATAAAAAATAAAAACCTCTCCTACCACAACCACACAGGACATAAATAAATAAATAAATAAATAAACACGACGACGACTCAGAAACATTCCACCTGTTGTTTACCAGGGAAAAAAAAAAAAAAAAAAAAAAAAAAAAAAAACCTCCCACAAAGTTCCCCCTTTTTCTTTTTCGTTTTTTTTTTTTATTTTTTTTTCTTCTTCTTCTTCTTCTTCTTCTTTTACTTTTCCTTCTCTTCTTTCTCTTCCTTCCCCAGTTTCTTAATCTCTCATTAACAACCTCCCTCCCTTAAACCTTTCTATTTCCAGCTATGCCTGCTCCGCCGTTTGCTCAGCAAGCTATTCGTGCTGCGTCCTCCGCCGTGTCTACGGCTACATCCTCATCTTCTGCCGTTGCAACAACTGCAGCTGTTGCCGCTGCTGCCGGGTATGCATCTACACAGTACCTGCGCAAACACCGTCGCAACTCCGTCAAGGCCCAATCGGTGCGCTCCGCCTCTACCATGTCCTCTGCAGGCTCTGTTTCTTCCTCGAGTTCATTTTCACCTACTCCCTCCGAGTTTGGCTTTCTACCCAGCATTTCTCAAGCTTCTACTCACTTGACATCAACCTCAGTTCTTGGGTTCAAAGATTCTCAGGCGTCTTCCTCCGGTGTCTCTACATCCTTTTCATCCTCCTTGAATAATAGCACTACATATCTCAAGAATCAACAATCAGCCACTCCCTCGCAAAGAGGTAGTACACTCCCTAGAGTCTTTTTCCCCAGAGCTTTGCCAAAATACCCCTTCCCCACTATTCCTCGTCCCCGCAGAAACTTTTTGTACTACAATCCTGTTTCTACACTAAAGAGAGGCTTGTCTACTTTTAGACGTCTCCCCACTAAATCTTTGTCGCTTCGCGGCATTCGTTTTCAATTCCCTGCCAGACTTCGCCGGTACGCTGGTCGCAGAGAATACAGCACTGCTCCTCAGCAGGACGGCACTGCAGGCGGAGCCGGCCAAAGCCGGAGATCGCGTGCCAAGCGGGTTCTTTGGAATATTTGGACTCTCCCTGCTCTGACAACTGTGATTTTGTGGTCTGCTCTTCGTCACAAGAAGCCTGAAGAAGAAGAAGTGGCTGGTAAAGCCCCTGAACCTACTGGAAAACCTGCTCAACCTTGGAAAGTCGCTGCTTACAATACACTGCCGCTCAAGGCGATTTCTCGTCTTTGGGGTCGATTCAATGACATTGACTTACCTACTTGGATGCGTGAACCTGGATACAAGCTCTACTCGTACATTTTTGGCGTGAATCTTGATGAGGTAGCAGAGCAGGACTTGAAGACATATCATAATCTTGGTGAATTCTTTTATCGTGAACTCAAACCAGGATCTCGTCCAATTGACCCTGTGGCTCCTTTGGTTTCCCCCGCTGATGGTAAGGTTCTTCATCTTGGTGTCATTACCGATGGCCAGGTCGAACAAGTCAAGGGTATCACCTATTCCCTGGATGCTCTACTAGGGTCTGGTGGTCATGCCAACCACGCTGCTCCCTCGCGTACCATTACAGACTTTGACGAGTACAAGCGCTTTTCGCCCTCTGAGATTATGGAACGTCATGAGGAGTTTGCACGCCTCAATGGCATTTCATATACGGTCGATGATCTCCTTGGTAAGGATGAGCATGCCGGTAAAGACCCTCTTTTGAAAGATGAAGGTGATGTTACTGTTGCTGGTGGCTTGAAGAATGCTGATGGTGAAACTTCTACCTCGCAACAGGAAGCCTCCACCAAGGTTGCCAAGGCCTTGTATGCGCCACCCTACAACTTGCCCTCTGAGAATGAATTGTTTTTTGCTGTGATTTACCTTGCACCTGGAGACTACCACCGATTCCACTCGCCGACTAACTGGGTTACTGAATTGCGCCGCCACTTTGTGGGTGAGCTCTACAGTGTTGCGCCATACTTTCAAACACGTCTGAGCAATTTGTTTGTGTTGAATGAGCGTGTTGCTTTACTGGGGAAGTGGAAGTATGGATTTTTCTCCATGACACCAGTTGGCGCAACCAATGTTGGGTCTATTAAACTGCACTTTGACAAGAAGCTGGCTACAAACACTGTGTACGAGACTGGGCTTGAGGAAGATAAAGAAGATGTTGATGACAATGCTTCCTCTTCTTCTTCCTCATCCTCTTCCTCTTCCTCTTCTCCCTTGATTTCTTCGGCAATGCGTAATAACAAGCGGGTGAAGAAGGCGACATGCTACGAGGCTACATATGCTAAGGCATCGCCACTGCTGGGTGGGTACCCGTTGCTCAAGGGCCAGCAGATGGGCGGGTTCAATTTGGGCTCGACTGTTGTTCTTGTGTTTGAAGCACCCAAGAATTTTGAGTTTGATGTGAAGCGTGGACAGAAGGTTAAGGTTGGTCAGCCTCTTGGACATTTTCAGGAGTAACAATATTGTTATTACTTGACGGGATCTGATATATATATGTATAAATATTGAAGATTACCGAAGAAGAGAAAAAAAAAAGCAGAAAAAAAAAAAGAGAGAGATATTACTATTACCCTATTATATTCATTTGAGACATTTTTTTTTTTTAATCAGTAAAAAAATAAACAAAAGATACCCCACCTTCATACGAGACATTAATTTGTTTTTTATTTTATTTTTTTTTTGTTCTTCCCTTAATTCAAGGAAATTAAAAAAAATAAAATAAAAATTAAAGAATAAAAAAAAATTAACAATATTTATTAGACACGGATTTAGTCTTTTTTTTTTTTTTTTTTATTATATATAATGTATATTTTTTTTCCTCCTATATATTAAGCATAAATAAATATTTAAAAGCAAAAAAGTTAAATAATATTAATAATAATAATAAAGGACATTTTTTTTAAAAAAAAATAAATAAATAAGAGTTGCTAGTTAATATTTATTAGTGGTTTGTATGATTCCCCGTGAAAGTAATAATTCATATCATCATATATATATATATATATATACATTGTGTGGTGTGATGAGATGAGATGAGAATCAACCAATCAGTGGAGTTAACTGAGCACTGGTGTCATTAAGTTTTCTTTTAAAATTTTTACAAAGGAGGATTTAAAACTAAAGTTGAAAATAAGTATTAAAATATAAATATTTAATAATTTAAATAAAATAAAATAAAATCTGGGGTATTTTTTTTTTTTTTAAATGAAAGAAGTAAATTATTTATTAATTCATTGTATAGCTAATATTAAAAATAAGAAAAAAAAGATTTTTAAAAAAAAAAAAAAAAAAAAAAAAACACATATTGAAACAATAAAACAATAAAACAAAAACACACACAAGTTTTTTTTTTTTAAAAAAATAGAAAAAATAAAAATAAAAAAAAAAAAACTCAGACTCAATTCCTTCTCATTATCCATTTATATCAATCATTATCATCATTGTACTAATCTTCTTCTTTTTTTTTTTCTTTCTTTTAATGCTTAATTTCTCGTTTTTTTTTTATTCTTTCTTTCTGTTCTGTTCTGTTCTGTTCTTTTCTTTTTAATTTACTTTTTTGCTTTACCTTCTTCATCGCCGACGGACTTCCTTACACCAACCTTCAATATCTTTACCCGAGTTCCCAGCAACACGATCAATTGGACTAACATTTTCAAATCCCATTGCATCCTTAAGCCATTCATGGTTACTCATGCCTCCAGCATCGGCCCGTTTTTTCGGATTAAGTTCTAGCATCGGTAGTAAAAATGAAGCAATGGACTCACAGTCTTCATGCGTGAAATTATACTCCTTAAGAACATCGTAGAGCGGCTTGGGCCTCAACTTTTTAATGTGCCGTAACTCTCCGCGTCGGTTAAAGTACTCCGACGCCCACTTACCCGTCAGTAAAACGTGCGAGGACATGCGGCCCAACAGCTCAATAATTTGTGCAATATGGTCATCATCTTTGCTATACGTCTGCGCCGAGTGTGGATCAAACAAGTAGTTACCAGTAAGTAGCTCAAAAACCAAACACGCCATGGACCACACATCAGTCGACGCGCCCCAAAACGAGCCCAGCAACACTTCTGGCGACCGATATTGTCGTGTTTGAATATCATTAGTAAAATGGCGATTGACCCAGCACGCATTGCCAAGATCAGCAATCTTGACGGAAATAAGGCCTTCCTCCAGCGCTGTTTGTCCATACTGGCTTCCATACAGCGCCGCCTGCGACGACGATCGGGACGGTGCAACTGACGACGCAACAGAGTTGGCCAGCGACGCACTTGTAGAAATGACAGCTCCATGAAGAAGCTGGGGTTGTTGTTGGGTATTATTAGATAAGGGTTGGAGGTGGGCGGGTAAAGGTGTCAGGCCATTTTGGGACCCAAATAAGGGTGATCCAGGGGCAGACTGGAGTTGTGTCGAGGTGGCTTCTTGAGAAATAGAAAAGGAGGAAAGGCGACCCTCAATATTGGAACTTGAGCCAATGGATACAGAAGCAGCAGCATTTGCTGTAGCCAGGTGATGGAGATTAACAAGCGAGGAAGAGCCACCTGAAGGAGTCAGTGCATCTTGGGACTGGGTGCCAAACTTCATTTGCAAATGTTGTTGGTGAAGTTTCTGCAAGTTTTGAAGATGGGGCTGTTGCTGTTGGTAAAGCTGTTGTTGTTGAGCCATGTAATTTGTAAACTCTCTAGTTTTAGAGGTAGCCTTTGAGGTTGGGGCAGAGTTAGGGACCGAAGAATCCACATCACTGACAAAGGCAGGAGACATGCTAAACTCATTAAAAAAAACCGAGTTTGAGCGCAGAGGACTAGGAAGGGGTTGAGAGCCCGTAACGACAGATTTACGACGAGGACGACGACCCTTACGAAGGGCACTTGGGTCTGCAGATGAAGCCTCTGAGGCTCGTCTCTTTGCTCTGCTCTGCATGCGCTTGAGTTGTTCTTCTTCCTCGAGTTGCTTTACAATGAATTCAACATCACCAATTTCAATGAGGACGTTTTCAGGCTTAAGGTCAGTATGAATGATGCCACACTCGCGATGAAGATAATCAAGAGCAAGAAGAACTTGTTTGGTAATTTGCTTAACCAGGGGCATTGGGATACCCTTGTACTTGTAGCGCTTGATAAGGCCGAGAAGGTTTTCGCCGAGAACCTCGAAAACCATGCAAACGTGGGAGCCATTGGGTCCCTCATGCTGGAACGAGTCGAGGAGAGAAACAACGTGTTTGCGGCCTGGGTGGTCAGGGTTAGCATCAACAGCGCGTTTGAGAAGGTGGATTTCGTCAATGGCAGCCTCCGTGTAGTGTACTGCGGAGCGAACAACCTTCATTGCGACATGGCGGTTGTTATTGTGTGTATCTTTAGCGAGCCAGACGGTTGAAAAGTGGCCCCAGCCGAGTTTGCGGACGATAACGTAGCGGCCATCCTTAAAAGTTTCTCCAATTTCAACAGGGTGATAGCCACCAGTGCAATAGTCCTGTGCATTTTCCTCGTCATTGGGTGACATTTCATCATCTTCGTCATCTTCTGAGCATGAATCCGAGTAGGATGAATTGTCACTTGTGTTTGTTGCTGACGTGTCGATGGGGGTATCGGGGAGTTTTTTAGAAGTTGTTGAGACGACGGAGGAGGGTTTTTTAGGGGCAGTTGAAGTTGAAGCAGAAGAGATACTAGAGGTTGGAGAAACTCCGGCAGAGGCGGCAGAAGTAGCGGCTGCGGCAGCTGCTGCTGCAGTAGCAGCTGCGTTGGAGGTAGAAGTAGAGGTAGAGGCAGACGTTGTTGAAGTAGAAGAAAAGGTACTTGAACGGGGGCTAATTTCCGAGTATTTTGGAGGAAGGTCTTCAGAAGGATGGAGAGTAGCCTGGAGGGTTTTGATGGAGAGAGTTGGAGAGGCCGGTTGAGGGGTCGCGGTATTTAAAGAAATGATGTGAGAGTTTGTGTTTGTGTTTGTAGGAGATAGGTCTGCAAGGTCTTGGTCTATGGTGAGTGTTTGGGCAATATTATTATTATTATTATTATTATTGTTGTTGTTATAATTATTAATAATAATTGGAGGGGCATGTGGAGGTTGCTGATTAGAGCCAGTTGCAGTACCAGCAAAAGAAGCAATAGCAGAAGCAGAGGCAGAAGAAGCAGCGGCAGCGGCAGCGGCAGCAGCGGCAGCAGTAGCAGCAGTAGCAGTTGATGCTGAAGAAAAAGATTGAGGATTGACTATAGAAGTAGCCATAGGGGCCAGAATTGTTTCCGGGGAAGAACAAGAAAATGGTCCATTGGTGGAAGTTACAGAGGTATTTGTAGAGGATGATGATGATGATGATGATGCATTGGTAGTGTTGTTATTATTGTTGTTGGTGTTGTTGGTAGTGGTAGTGATTGTAGAAGGATTAGCAGCAACAGTTACGGCTGCAGCTGCAGCTGCTGCTGCTGCTGCAGCAGATGAAAGAATGTCAGTTTTGAACAAAGGAGGGTTTTTAGGAGATGAAGTAGGAGAAGATGAAGAAGAAGAACAAGAAGAAGGGGATAGCATTGAAGTTTTTGAAAGTTGAGAGGGTGCACTAGGAGAGGTAGAAGATGGAGAAGAAGGTTCAAAAAAGACAGGTAAAGTTGATTCTTCTTGTGCTGGTGGAAGTTGTGGAGATTGTTTAGCCTTAAGATGATGGCTGTCCTTTTTAGAGTGATGGTGAGGATGGCTACTGTGGCTGATACTTTGGCTCGAACTATTATTTGTGTGATGGGACGGATGATGATGGCCGTGATGGCCGTGGTGTCCATGATGGCCATGAGACTTATGATGGTTATGATGATAACCACCATGTTTATTTGAAGAGGATGTAGAAGAGGAAGAAGAAATTGAATTTCCAGGTGAAGAAGTTGAATTAGAAGCGGCAGCTGCTGCTGCAGCAGCTGCTGCAGAGGCTGATGAAGGTGAATCTATGGTAGCTGCCATTTGAGTTGTTGATTGTTGTTGATTGTTGATTGTTGATAGTAGATAGTAGATAGTAGTAGTTGTAGTAGTAGGTGGGGGGGTGTTAAATTTGTGTGTGTGTGTGTGTGTAGATATTAAAAAAAAAAATAAAAAATAAAAGATTGAAAGGTCTTCTTCTTCTTCCCTCCTTTTTTTTTTTTCTTTTTTTTTTTATTAATTTGTGATCTGATGGGTATGAATAATTGTTTTAAACGCAATTGAAAAAAAAAAAAAAAGGGAAACAGTAAGAAAAATTACAGATCAAACAGCAGCAACAGCAATCAGTAGAAGCAGCAGAAGCAGTAGAAGAAGCAGAAGAAGCAAAAAAAAAAAAAGACAGCAAAGTCAATAATAAAAGACGATTGCAGAATAGTCAATTAGTTGGTTAGTTGGTTAGTTGGTTAGTTTTTTGTGGTTTATGGTGGTAAATAAATAAAAAAATTAAATTAAAATAAAATAAAAAATTGTTTTGATTTTAAAATCAAATTTGGAAGGTCTGCAGCACCAAAAGTACCAAAAGTACCAAAAGTACCAAAAGCAGTAGAAGCAGTTGAAGCAGTTGAAGCAGTTGAATAAGAAGCAGCAGCAGTAAAAACAACAAATTGTTGTTGTTGTTGTTGTTGTTATTTTTTATTATTTTTTATTATTTTTTATTATTTTTTATTATTTTTTTGGTGGTAGTGAAAAAATAAAAAATAAAAAATAAAAAAAAGCTGAGCAGCCAAACAGCTTTCACAGATTAGGCAGCTGGGCTTTTAAAAATAAAAAGAAATTGTAATAAAAAAAAATTAAATGTAATAAAAAAAAAATTAAAAGACTATGATCTACTCATATAGACTATGATCTACCCATAGAAAGATTCTCAAAAAAAAAAAAAAAAAAAAAAAAATTAAAGCAATATATACACAGAATATTGTTCTTTTATATTATTAACCATTAAACAAATATATTAAAATATCTCTTAAAAAGAAACTCCAATGGGAAATTCTCAAGATCTATCTTACGATCTACCTTTGGATTTATCGGAACTTACCCCTCCAGTAGCCCAAATTCTACAATCTGCAAACTTCCCTCAATTCTATTCAACTACTATAATACACCAATCTCCAGCAGATCTCCACGCATCTATCGAAGCCCTTAATAACTCTACAAAACATCTCAAGCAATCTAATCAACATCTTAAAGAAGCTATTGCTGCTGCTGATAATGACAATGACAATGACAATGACCCAGATCTTTCACAAAATGAACGAAATGAATATCTGCAGTATATCAAAGATAATGAGCACGTCATAGCTGCCAATGAGTACCGAGTGGACATTATCAGCCGTTTGATTAAACGCAAGGCAGGAACAATATAGAGAGTTAAAGAAGAAGAAGAAGAAAAAGAAGAAGAAGAAATAAAAAATAACAGCAAGTTCAATGACTTTTTATTATTATTCTTTTTTTTTTTTTGTTTAATTCATCTTTTACCATTCAATTTAAAAGTCCTTTTTTTCTTTTTTTTTCTTTTTTTTTTTTTCTTTTTTTTCATTTCCATCTTTTAAAATCAATCACCACCACCACCACCACCATTATCAACGTCATACCAAAAGTGTAACACATATAGCCCTGTGTGTATGTGTGTGTAACACAAACAGCCGTATATCACATGATGCTCTGCTGTCCTTTTGCAACTTGTCAACAAGCAAAAAATTAAAAAAAAAAAAAAAATCCTTCGCCGTGCCTGCCAACCTGCCAACCTGCCAACCTGCCTAACTTGTCTGTCTTGTATTGTCTACCAGCCAACCTACCTGCCTGCCTGTCTGCCTACCACCTTAAAACTTCCACATCCCCCCTTTTAACTCCTCGAACTCTCCACCTTCCCTTTCCTCATCCAATTATCCAGATCAATAAGATCAACTAGGTCAATAAGATCAATTAGATCAATAAGATCAACTAGATCAACTAGATCAACTAGATCAACTAGATCATAAATCCCCCACCCTACAACAATGCGTGCATTCCAACTCCTTCTCACCTTGGTTTGTGCATTCCTGCCCATTGCAGCAGCCCTCAAATTCCAGATCGAAGCCAAACAACAAGGCTACCCGCCACGCTGTATCCGTGACTTTATCCAAAAGGGCAAAATGGTAGTTGTCAAAGTTACTTCCAGTGGACAGCGTGGAGATGGCCAGAATCTTAATCTTCACATTCATGACAATAAGGGCAATGAGTATGGCCGTAAAAAAGATGTGGCTGGTGATGTTAGACTTGCCTTTACAGCCCATGATGATGCCTCTATTGATATTTGCTTTGAAAATATTGGCCAAGAACCAAAGAAAAGAGATATCGAACTTAACGTGGAAATTGGACCTCAAGCTCGTGATTGGAATCAGATTCAAGCTGCTGAAAAACTCAAACCAACAGAACTGGAACTTAGACGTATTGAAGAACTTACAGATGAAGTGCAACGGGAACTTGAGTACTTGAAAATAAGAGAAACAAGACTTCGTGATACTAACGAATCAACAAACAGACGTGTTAAACTTTTTTCAATCGGTGTTGTTACTTCTCTGGTTTCCCTTGGTCTTTGGCAAACCATTTATCTTAGATCTTACTTCAAGTCCAAGCATATAATATAAAAGAGAATTTAATTATAAATTAATAAAGAATGAAAGAATGAAATTAATAAATTAAATTAAATTAAATTAAATCCTTTAATTATTCTTATTCTTGAACAACTCCTACTACTTCTACTACTTCTACTACTACATGTCACACTCTTGCATGATTTTAAGGAAATCCTCCTTGCTCACTTGTAACTTTTGGTCATTCCTTCCATTCCTTCCATTACCAACACCACCATTTCCCCCTTCTCCTTCTTCTTCTTCTTCTTCTTCTCCTCCTCCTCCTCCTCCTCCTCCTCCTTCATCTACTGCATGTAATCTCAACATGTCTCTAAGATCATCATCAGTCACATTCCCATCTCCAATCTCTTCTGCAACTCTCCTCAAGTCCTTCAATTCAATTGCCCGATCTTCTCCATTTGTAAATAAATAAAAACTTTCTTCAATCTCATCTTTTTGTAAATAATCTCTCTTGCGTTTTTTCCCTGAAATAAATTGTCCTGTAGTATCCCGTAAATTAGATCCATTTCCATTATCACCATTACCATTACCGTTACTACCAACACTATGAGCTTGCTCAAGAACCATAGGCATCACCTCACAAAATGCCATAAAGTCAATACGACCCTGATCCTCACGATCAAGTAAACTCACAATTTCTCGTAACGCTCGTTGTCTCTCTTTCCTAGCTACTCCTGAAAGTCCTGCTGAATAATAATATTCATATAGCCCCATGTCTTTGAAAATCTCTGGCAAATATCGAATATCTATACTTGTTGCTTCCGCATCTGTTTCATACCGCTCCAGATACTCAGCAAAAATGTCAGCAAGAACATCTTCCTTTTCTTCAAGCTCTTGCTGTTGTGTCTCTAAATCTGTTGGTGACATTGAATTTTATTTTATTTTTTTTTTTTTGATATAAAATAAATGCAAATGAAAGGTTGTTGTTGTTTGCTCTGTTCTGCTCTGCTTTTCTATTCTATTCTATTCTTTGCTTAAAAAAATAAAAATAAAAATAAAAATGTTCAATTCACTTGAAAAAAAAAAAAAAAAAAAAAAAACCATCTTGCCAAACGTCAGCCTTGCCTCCACTTAACCTTCCCTAAAACATAAACCTTCAAAACTACTCCCATAAATCTCACTATTATAGGATTTTTTTTAAAAATTTTCATTCAACTCTCTCCATCAACAATATTCATTCCCATCCTTCCCATCTATCCATCCACCCTCTCCTTCCACCTTTCTCTCTCTCTCTCTCTCTCTCTCTCTCTCTCTCTCTCTCTCTCTCTCTCTCTCTTAACACACCCAATCTTCTTCTTCACAATGGTCAGACTCTCTCCAGCAGAATACTCATACCTCCGTTCTTCTCTTGAAACTGTCCCCCCAGTTCGCCCAGATGCCCGCACCGTTGCCCAATTCAGACCCCTTCAGGCTGCAACAAACTTTATGCCAACCTGCTACGGTTCTGCACGCGTGCGTACCGCCGACGGTGGTGAATGTATTGTAGGTGTCAAGGCAAAAGTTGCCCGCACAGTTTCTGCAAAACTTATCAATGTCAGTATCGATATGTCTGGCACCCGTGACGATGACCCAGCACTTGCAAATATTGCCTTGACTTTTGAGAAACTACTCCAAGATTCGCCCATTCTTACAGCTGAAAAACTGCGCCTGACCTCACGCTTTTCCTTTACCCTTTTCATTGATGCTCTTGTTTTAGCTCATAATGGAAATAACCCATTAAACCTGCTCTCTCTCACAATCTACCTTGCTCTCATGTCTACAAGACTCCCGAAACTCATCTCATCAACAGACGACAGCGCTGCAGAAGAAATCCCCGTTTTTGACGACGATTGGGAAAACTCAGTCCCTCTCACAGGTTTAATACAAGGTCAGGCGCCGGCCCCAAGACACGATCTGCTACTTGACGGTAAACAAATTACCCCAGAGCAAGCAGCTCTCTTTTACAAAACAACACCTTGGAAACCTCCCATTCTCTTTGTTTTTGCCGTCATTGGTAACTCCATTCTCATTGATCCTTCTCTTGAAGAAGAAGCCGTTGCAGACGGAACCCTCACCATTGGTTGGCAACAAGGCAAGGTTGTGGCCCCCCTGCGGTATCTCGAAACATACTCATCTTCCTCCACAGCCGCCGCAACTTCCTTTGTAGACCCCTCTGCAAAGAAACAAAACTCGGCCCTCGCAAAGTCTGGCGGTATTAACCTTGAAATTTTGAAAAAGGCTTATGAGTTGGCACTTGATGCAGGTTCAGATGTTGCCGAATCACTCGATCTTATCATCAAGCTCGACCGGGAAGAAGAGGCCGAGTCCGGGCCTCCAGCCATGTTTTAAAAAAAAAAAATAAAAAATAAAATAAAAAATAAAGAAGAAGAAGAAGAAGAAGAAGAAGAAAATATCTTGTATACTATAGATTGATTAATTGATTTAATTATTTAAAATAAAAAAAATAAAAATTAACACTCCTCTAACAATGCTGGATCGAGTAGGCGTGAACAATCACAGCCGTCGCCGTTTGAATATTCATGCTGCGAATCACCCCCACCTGCTTGATCTCCACACAAAAATCCAACTCAGCCAAAAACTCACCAGGAATTCCTTCCCGTTCTTTGCCCAGTAAAACAAGTGACTTGCGTGGGAATCGGAGCTCTCCATTAAGCTCCACACTCTTGTCCGTCTGCTCCAACCCAATCAACGTATACCCATGTTCCCGCTTCATCTTCAACATGTACTCAAGTACCGCGCTCTCCGGTACCTCTGTCATAGGCATCCACCGGTCTGCAGTCACAGCAACTCCACGGAAAGCTTGAGTCTTGGTCACTCCTAAATCCCCCAAACACAATAACTTGGCCCCAAGTACATCCGACAAACGACAAATTCCTCCAAGATTCGGCGGCTTGGCCACCAAACTTGCAACCACTATGAGCTCACCCCGTTCAACCTTGTCACTGTCTCTTCCGTCCTCACCCAAAGACAAATTAATCACGTCGTTCCAGAATCCACTCTTGGTCTGCAGTGGTGCAGGCTCTGCCTGCTTGGTACCACTTATCTTATTAAAATCCTCCTCTGCTTCGCTCTCTTCAACCTCTGGCCGCCATGTCTCGTAGCTGACCGTAAACCCGGCAGGAACATTCAATTCCAGGTCTTGTAGTCCTCCAAAAGAGCATGTCTCAAACTCCCGCTTGGTCACAACTCCAATCTGTCGGTCAGACAACTTTTGAATTACCCCACCACATGCACCAATCAAGTTCAAATCACCATCAATGTCCCATACACTATTCTCACCACTCCGGTGCTGCTTGAACGTATCCGAAGCACGCGCATTAGAACAAATCTGTCTAATAATCCGAACTACATGCTCATCAACCAGATCTTGACTTCCACCCTCAAACTCGTTCTCAAGTGCAACAAGCATCGATACTGATGAGTGACGCACTGTTGCACGATTGCTTGTACTAAACGGCACAAGCTTATAAATATACTCCTCATAATAATCTCGTGCCAATTTAATATTTTTGTTCTTGAGACTCCGAGCAGTCAGCAGTGCAATCCGTTCCAGCGATGCAATCACCCGTGGCGATTCCTCCACTTTATCCATTTCGCGAAGCACCACATTTTCTTTAACTCCACGAACAAAAACGTCTTGGACGTTGAGCAGTGCCAGTAACCATTCCACATAAATGCGTGCCACCGGTGATGGTTCTGTGTCGACCACAGGCAGTAACGCGCGAGTCAAAGCCTGTTGTCGATCGACCCAGAACCCGCTCAGAAGTAGCAGCACCTGATGCCCACGAATCCGCTCCAATTCCTCGATCCCATCGTTGCGTTTCAAGGGTTCGAAAATGTGATACGGCCCGTTATACAGAATGTAGTCGTGGACGTTGCTGGCAAAAGCAGCATGAGAAGAGTTTTGAACGTCAAGGCTCGCAAAAAACATGGCCGCGTAGATTTTCGCGTCAACCTCGTTGCAACCGTACTCTTTTAGGTACGTTTGCCGTGACCCAGAATATGGGTGCGCGTCTAGCTTACTGGCAACCACAATCTCGATTCTAAAATAATTGTCCGCAAGTTGGTTAAAAATGTAAATGCGAGCAAGCAACGTTCCAATCCAGAATGGTAATGGCAGTTCTGTCTTGGATTTCTGAATCGTTTGCAGGTACTCCAAAAACCTCCGAGAAATGTGTGGAAGCAAGCATCTACGCGCATATGAGAGCTCCACAACCTCAAGCAAAATGCTTTCCATGGTTTGCGAAAACTCCGGATTCAATGCTGTCATTCTAATAACAATGGGGTCCAGGATCATGTCCAAAAATGAAAAATGCAAATACTTCTCGTTGGCCATCAGTCTATCAGCAGCCAACGACGACCATAAAGTTTGAAATGCAACAAAAAATTGCGGTGTCAGTTCTTCCGAGTATTCATGAGCGCTACGCAGTAACGTATAAATTCCAGAAACAATGTGCAACCGGCACTCATAGTCTACTGACTCAAAATTCGTTGCAAGAGTATCCAAAAATTGTGCCTTTGTATTGTCATCAAAGTCCAAAGAACACGCCTTTAGAGCAACTCCTACAGCCCGGTGAACCTCGGTAAGTGCTGTTTTCTTGGTATCCAGGTAATTTCTATTAGCAATTTTCGCACGAATCACTTTAGACGCAATGGTGAAAATCAAAGATACAGTGTTGCTTGAAACACTAGTCTGTGACAGTAAAGCAACGTTAAGTGCAACCAGCTGGGCACTCAAAACAGTCATATTATCTTCGTTAGCTTGGATCCCGGAAATGTTGTTAACAATAGTATCGAGGTGCTTGGAAGCAGGCTCCAGACGAAGCCAATTGGCATTGGTCAGTTGTTTCCAAACAGGAATAAGCAAAAGCCCGTTGGTAAAGTCATTGCTGAATGGTTCGGCAATGATTTTCTCTAGAAAAGAATTGACAAATAAATCAAGTTTTTGCTGGTATTTTGTATTGGAATAAAGGTCGTCACCATTGGGCCACGACAAAACAGTAAGGAAAAACTGGGGTGGCATAGCTTCTAAGTCAACTGTAACCCCAAGCTGTGCTGAAATGTCTGAAAAAAGAACCAAAAAGTCATACTCTTTTTGCTCTGAAGCCTTGGTAAAGTATTTCAAATAATTAGGATCCTGTGAAATAAACTTGATGATGGATTCGCGCTGTTCAAAATATAGTGTTTTTTGCAGTGTGACTAGTTGCAGCAAGGCGGGAAACCATTCTTCGGGGGTAACCAAAGACTGGTCCACTGAAAGCAATAATCTCAAAAAGTAAAAATGGAAAATACCCTCGCGAAGTCTCGACTCAGAAAAGTTTGTGAAAATAACAAAAAGCGACTGCAAGCATTCCGAATTAAGAACGTGTTTCCCTCGAAGACCACTCTCAATGCCGCTCACCAAATAAAGTCGTGCTGGATCAAAGGAATATCTCTCAGCATCCAAGTGAACAAAAAGTGCATTCAGTAACTGATTCAGAACCTTGGGCTGAGGTTCAAGGTAGTGGATAATGGACCCAATAAAGGATGCCAGTTGCTCACCGTAAACACATCCAAATTCGCTGTCCACCGTCTCTCTCTTGACCACAAAATGAGATGCAAGCATAAGATGTGGCAAAAGCGTGCCAGTCAAAAACTCGTACCCGTCTAAAAATATAGACATGTCTTGTACATCCAGGGACAACACCACATTTCCAATAAACTCACGGATTGAATCCGTCGATGATTTCAGGCCAGTGGAGAGTAAACACCGAGCCCAAGTCTTGGGGATCAATGAATCCTTCCCAATAAGCTTGACCAGATCAGCAGCAGAGTCGCCTGTTTGGTGGATCGACGTGTCAATTGACACAATGTTAACCAAGGTACCAAACCGCTCCCATTCCCAAAGATGTTTTTCACGCTTGCTTATATCCCAAAACATGGTACTTGTATTTATATTGTGATCAATCTTTTGTAGTGACTGAGAAAGAATGTGTAAGGTGTATTTTCTAAGGTCATATGATTTGCTTAAAAGTCCCTGAATCATCAGATCCCAATACAGTTCTAAGTCAAAAAGTTTTTCAAGCGCTTCCAGGGAATCTTTTAAAACATTCCCATTGATGCATCGAAGCCATTGGATATAACCATTGACTGTCTCGGTGCCGTCTTCGAGAATGCATACCTCAACCACCTTCCACCATAACTGGAAAAGCTCACTATCAAGCTTATTTTGTCTTTTGATGACTACGCCAAAAATCTTGGTAGCTAGCGTTGAAACTTTAGTGTCGTTAGAACAATGCAGCACCAACAAGTACTTCAAAAGCACTAAATCACTAATACAAGTTATGTCGTCTAGAGGAATAACTGCTTGGTATAAAGTTTCCAAGAAAAGGAGCACGTTAGCTTGAGCATCTTCAAAAGAAATCTCGTCTTTTTCTTGGAATGGTATGTCAAATGACCCAAAGTACTTAAGGATCCCGGAATCATCAAGGGTAATGTAGTCTGAAAACACTTTGAGTGTTTTTTCGAGAAACTGGTCGCGTAACGAAGGAATTTTTTGAACCAAAAGCGCAGTGGTGTTTATTTGATTCTGCGCAAGACTGGTCTCCATGTATTTGACAAGAGACGCGTAAGTTTCCTACATCAAAACAAGTCTTAGATTTTAAAATCTCCCAAGTGTATTTCCGTGTCTTCTACATACCGCCCAGTCTTCAGGCTTTAGCAACGCTACTGTTTCTGCAAGCGCGTCTATGATTTGCGGCGACTGATCTGCATCGTACGGGAAATTTACAATTTTCTTTTCAAAGTTGACCACCAAAGACGTTTTCGCATTAAGGTCCAACGCCTGGACAAGCGATGGTATTAATGAGGTCATCAGTTTTTAGGTGTTGTTTCGCTGATTGAATCGAAGTTTAAGAAGACGTTGAAAAAAAAAAATTTTTCTTCTTTTCGGGAATAATCATTGATTATGTAATTGGATACATGCCCGCTTATTCATGCCTCTTTTTTTTTCAACATTAGCCATGGATATCGAAGAAATCTGAAAACTTATAAGTTTTCAGAATAATAATAAATTTCAATTAATTAGTTATTTTACAATTATAATTACAAGTTATTATGCTTTGTTGGTCATAGCTTGTAACTATTTTTTTCAATATTGTCAACAATTTATGACTCCTAAAATCCAACTATCTTGTATAAAATAGTGTTTATTGTATTAGTTGATAGTAAATGGTATTTATTGTATCAGTTGGGTACTTTTTTTTAACAAAAGGCCTCATACATTATTTTCATGTCTAAATCCGTTTTTTAAGCGATTTATTTCAATAATAGTCGCCAATATGCAATGACACTATTAAACTATTCTTAAATTGATTTCAGTATATTAATTAAGAGGCTTGTAAAATATTATTTTTTTATTTTCAACTTTTCTTTTAAAAAAAAAGATTCTGATCTAAACATAATTACAAGGTAACTTTTGTATTAAATAATTTATTAAATAATTTATTAAACGAATTGGTTAACGTCGTATTTTTTTGAAATTCCGAGACCATAATAAAAAAATATATATATATAACCAAAATTTATTAATAAATACTTATGAATCTTATTAAAACTAAGAGAACAAATTGAATTTTAGTTAATAATTGCATTGTTTGTTTGTTTGTTTGTTTGTTTGTTTGTTTGTTTGTTTGTTTGTTTGTTTGTTTCTATTAATTGAATATTCAAGTAGAAGTATTATCACGTATTCTTTTCGCTCCAACTATATAACTTTCCGTTTTTACAATAAACTTTTAATTTGACGCCAACGATTTATCCAACAGCTCAAAAATAAATCATGATGTCAGCATAAGAGAAACAAGTGCCCAATGACCAAAGCCTACTCAATTAATTTTTTTTCTTATCTTCATCAGCACTTTCATTATTTCACGATTCCTCCAAGCATAGATAAAGCCTAAATTTTCTTGTAAGCCAATTAAACTATTAATGGAAGTAGTCGTCCATTTCAATCCATTCTTTCCTCTTCTAGCAAAGCACACTCAACAAAAAACGTGCCTAACTGTTTTCAGCTTGCTACACTTAAATTCTAGCAATTCTGTTCAATGCCAAACTTTGGAAACCATTCGCTTATAATTATGTTGCCATGTACTTTAGATAATTGAGAGATATTACTCAAATTTCTTAGACTATCATCTTTCATAATTACTCTTGTGAACATTGTAGAAAGATTGTGGGTACATGTTGATTATATTGTGGTATTATATACCATTAATTTATCAAATTGTAACAATAGACTCCATGACACCATTTCATTCCCAGCTATTTTAGAACCCCAATCGTCTGATTCTATTGTTTAAGTGTAATATATCCAAGGATCTTGCATTTTTTTCTCTCCTCATTCTTTCTATTCAAATATATGTCTTCTTTGGCCATAATATAAAGTGGTTATCTTTTAACAAATGTTAATTAATAAAGTTAACTTTGCTAATATCTAGGTATAAACGAACAGCTTTTTGCCCTACCATAAATGTTTGTTCAACACTATACTGCATAATACCAGCTTCTGTCTGTTTCTGTAACAGGAATTTTGCAATAAGTACCACCAGTTTTTTTTTTCTTTCAAAAGCAAATTCTACGTCACCTCCAACTTGTGAATTTCCGCTTTGAAGATCTTATAATTTCAAATTTCTAAGATATTCCACAGATGATCTTACACTAGCTATTTACAGAAAGTTGAATGTAGACCCTCATGTAACTTTTTTACGTGTCCCGCAAAAAATTCCAAATAGCTCTGACTGTTTTTCTTACTTTGTTGATTTTATTCATGAAATTTAAAATAAAGACAGTTGTTTAAAATGATTTTAAGTAATTTAACTCCGTTCTGAGGGGTCACAAGTTTTTCCATTCAGTAAAACTAGTTTATAACTAAGCAATTACTTTATTTTTCATTGGTAGCTTTAACGTTTTAAAATTAATAACAAATTTTAATGAAAAAAAAAAGAAAAAATTGTTTTCTTTGTTTGTTTATATTGAAGGAATAGAATAATAACATTAGTATCTGCTCTATTCTATTCTTTTTGTTATTACTATATGCTTTCATTTTCACAGTGAACTGTAAATTTTACTTCAACATTGCATCTCCAACGACCCGAAAATAAGTCCTGATGCTGTGGTGCTAAGTATAAAATCAATATAAATCTGCTCATAATCAAGTAAAGGGTCTGTTAGCACGAGAGATTCAAAAGAAGGTTGATGTCCGTAAAACACAGATGAAGCATGAGGGTTTGTTAAATCATTTGCAAATAATATTGGGTCATTAGCTCTAAAAGCCTTTAATAAGCCACCTTTACCAGGTTCAAAAAGGGGTTGGAAGCCGTTTTTATCAGTAAGAAATTTGTTGTCAAAGGAGACCACGCTTTTATATATATAATTCTTTAAAAGCGTACAATTTCTGCGGTTGTGTTTGTTATCTCCACAGAAGATGCATTCATTTTATTTTGGACGCTTGGCTTCAGCTGTCTCTGTATTTGTTTCTGAAAACTTGCTTCTTTTACTTTTTCAACATCATGAGTAGGCTTTAGATTTTTATTTTTGACAGAGGAAAAAAAAATCTCATGACGCTTACTGTCAAAATAAGCCCGTGTGCTGTCAGAGTTAGTATCAAAACGACCGTAAATAATGCCTTTATCAAGGGAAATAGATGAAGAAATCAGTGTGATAGATCTGCTCAGACCATCTTTGTCAAGGGTGGGAATGCTTTTATCAAACTCAAGAGTATCTCTAAGTTGGATAAGAGCATAAACAGCATTTTTAGCAAAAATACCATTCATGAATCTGGCAACAACTGCTTCAAAAGTGTAATTGATTGCTTCTTGGTCACTTTCCTAAAAGGGTTTTACCACAGAAGATAAAAGAAAAGCCAATTGTTTGTAGCAGAGCGAATGTAGTTTATAGCTTCATGACACTCTGGGCCAAAATTGTTATGGCCTATGCAAAACTGAATAGTATCACTCAAGATCCTTCGACTATCGTTCTTAATAATCACTCCCGTGACCATTTTGGCAAGATTATATGTACATTTCGACTCCATTATGATATTATGACATTACAGATCCTAAGTATCATTAAAATAAATTTTATTATATTTCTTTAATTGCATTTTTATACAATAAAAAAGAATTCAATATTTAACAATATTTTGTTGAAGATCTTTTTATATTTTTAAAGTATCATACTTTCAAGCATTGCCTGCGTAGCCCAATGGTTAAGGCGTTAGACTTCTAATCTGAAGATTGTTGGTTCGAGTCCCACCGTGGGTGCTAATTATTTTTTGGTTTGATCTTTGCAAAAATGATAGTTGCAATTTTTTTCATTTATATAAGCTACAAGTTTGAAAGGTTTAGTATCTATATATGACATTGATATATTGATTTGTTTTCTTAAAGCCTGGATTTAATCACAGTTGAGCTTTTTTGTGTTTGCTGAAAAAATATCAAACTCTTAAATTACGCAATGTTTGTTTGTTTGTTTTTATTCAAGGGTTAAATTATGCAATGCTTATGTAATACTTTTATTGATACATTTATTTGTAATTTTATTTTAAAATAATTATTAACTTTTTTAAGTCACGTGGGCGTCTGGTGTAGTTGGCTATCACGTTCGCTTAGCATGCGAAAGGTCCCCGGTTCAACTCCGGTGTCGTCCATAATATTTTTGCTTATGTTTTTTTTGGTTTAACCGATATTTAAAGAGTGCAATTTTTGTCAAATTTGAATGTTGTGTAGAAGTTAATGAATTTTTTTTTTTTTTCGGAATTTTTGTTTAATTTTTTTTTTTTTAATTCATGTGTTTACTAATCAGTATAAAAAATAAGCTTAATTATGTTAATTTTTTTTTTCAACACCCAACATCGGCCTTTGGAAGTGGTTCAACTTTTACGAGAGCTATTTAGCTACTTGATACTATATTTTTACCCGAGAAAAAAAAACTTCTGAAACCAATGCTGGACAACCTGGAGGGGACCCAGTTAAAATGACTAGTAATTTAATTCAGTCAAGATGTGTAAAATAGTAATTTTTACTATTTTCAATGCCGAAATCATTTTTTTACCATTTATGTTGATAATAATGCCTACTATCAAACCCAGTCTCTAATTCTTGAGACTTTGCAAAAATCAAATGGTAGAGAGAAGGTTTCTGACTACCATGAACAAAAATAAATAAATAAATATATAAATAAATAAAATAAAATAAAATAAAATACACACACATGATCTTCAGGGCTAAGAAAAGGGATTTTTCCATGAATAGTAGGTAGTATTTTTAAGCGGTTAAAACTTAAACACAACAGAGATTAATGCAATCATCAATATATTTTTTATTTTTTTTTTTGGGAGTTTCCAATTATAATGATCTTTAATAAAAAAAAAAGGAGATTCATGTTATACACCAAAAAAAATAAGGTCGTACCCGGGATCGAACCGGGGTTACCGGAATCAAAATCCGATGTGCTCACCACTACACTATACAACCCTGTATCTTATATTTGTTTTTTTAGTTTGTACTACAAATGACAAGTCAGCCATAATTTCATTAAACATGAAATTGCTCTAAATCAGATATAGTTTGTTTTAAATTACTTTTATTTAACAGTAAATGATTTAGAGTTTTAATTTAAATTGTTAACCTTCTCTGAAGGAAATGTTCGATGGTACATATTTCACCCAAACCCCTCCCAGGCTACACAAGCGAACAGGAAAGCTGACTCTTCTATTCAATCTAGTTATCCGACAGGTAATTGCAAGTCGAATTATAGGCAAAAAAAAATTATGAAATACAGGGTCATCGATGAAGGTAAATGGAAATGAGTTGAGCATTTTTGGGAATTGATAACATGGCTCTCACTGCTCCTCGTAAGCTGGTATCAAGGCCCATTTTCTGGGTTATCAGAAGTGCATAAATCAAAACAATCTCTGTAAAATGGATACATAAAAAAAATAATTCAAGTTAAGGATAATTTTTGAATACTTTATTATTTAGTTAAAATAACAAATGAACGTTACAAACAACGAAAGAATACTAAAAAATACCGACCCCTTTTTTTCTTATTTTTTAAATTCATAAGCTAGTAATTTTAATTTTGATTCTATTTGTGCAAAAAGTTATTATAGTTAATCTTAGCTAATTACGTTTAACTTTTACTATATAGTACGGGAGTCATATTTATGAAACACCAGACAATACTTCAGGTTCTTTAAAAAAAAAACAGATTGTTTAGGTTGATCAGATCCTGAAAACTTTGGAAAACCAAGATCACTTAGTAAAGAAAAATACTATCAGCCAATTATATCATGGAAAGTTTTTTAAAAGATTGAGGAAATAATTTTAGTCTTTAAGAAAAAATGAAAAAAAGGTTAGGTATTAGAGTGTAACAAGGGTATAAAATTTTTAATTAGTATCTGAACTAAAACTGAAGTGCAGGCCAAAAAAAATTTCAAGATTTCAAGATTTCAAGATTTCAAATATTTTAAATATTTTAAATATATATATTCTTTAAAATTCCAATTAATAACATGAAAGTTTTGGATATTCTAGATTTCCACCAAACCATTTTATTTGATAACTATAATATCATTTCTATATAGTACGATAAAAAAAAAAACTCATTGTGTTAAGGGTTATTTTTTTTATTTTTCTATTTTTGCAGAACTTACTTAAATGCCGGTATTGTTTTTTTTGTTCTGGGTTATTATTTTAGTTTCATTATTATCTCACAAATTACTCACATTACATTGAGAAATCAAATGTCTTATTTTTTTACGATTTTTTTATGGTATTTTATGGCCATATAAATTGTTAATAACTTAGTATTTTCATTAATATTGGACAAGATTTGATATACAATTGGTATTCTAGAATAAAATTGTGATTGTTTAATTGAATTCCATAAAAACTCAATGATGTGGAGGGAGTTTGTTGTTGTTGTATACACCACTGTGTAATATTTAGTGTAATTTAACTGGATTCGAACTGCGGATATAAAAAAAACCCCCCCACTAACAGGAAAAAAATTAATTTCAACATTTAAAAAACATTGAGTTAAAAGCTTTTAAAAAATGTCTCAATGGCAGATTATAATAGTAATCTTTCTAGTACTAATGTTGTTTTAAAAGTTAGATTTTTTAAAAAAAAAAACTGTTATAATCTCTTTGTAAAGCGTGTCATCCTTGTGCAGGGGCCATGCTAATCTTCTCTGTATCGTTTCAAATTGACCATATGTCCCGAAGGACAATAATTTTCTAACTTTACCATTATTTATAGTTAAGTTGTTAAAAACTGAAAAAATCAACATTTTGAGGGATTATTTCAATTATTTGAGCTTTTTTTTTTTTTTTTTTTTAAATGTAATTATATTGTATTGGTTTATTATGAATGAGAAAATCTATGATAATAATTTCAACATATTAGAGAGGATAGGAAGTATGGAATAGCATTTTTGTTAGAAAGAAACCCAGTTTAGAGTAGGGTACTAAAGATGGACTAATTTATATCATAAAATGAGTATATATAATGCCAAACTGTCTAAATCGGTTAATAACTTATAATGAATATAACACATGCTTTATCTATCTACGGATCAAGAAAAAAAAAACATAATGGTACATTGATAAAGGTAGTGGAAATATAAACCTTAACCCGGGGGGATCTATTTTTTTTTATTTTTTATTTTTTATTTGTAAGGTGGCAAGCATTATGAGAAGGTGGTTAGGTTTGACTAGGGAGAAAAAGAATAGTATATAGTTGAATAGCAATGATCAGTTCAACGTTTTAAAGAGAAGGGGAAAAAAAAAAGTTAATGTAAAAAGAGAGAGAGAAAGAGAGAGAGTGTGCCGTTTATCGAAATTGTTTTTTTTTTTTTTAGTATAGTTAGTGATGATGGTAGTAACTAAGAAAGATATTAGAGAAAAGTCAATAAAATGAAAAGGAAAAAGGTATATTAATAAGTCAAAAAAAAAAAAAAAAAAAAAAGAAACAAGGATTTAAAGTTCATGCTTATTAAATAGAGTCGTGGGATCTTATAGTTGTGATCACTGGCCAACATCTTATATACTGTATTCTTAAAGGTGGGCTGAAACAGCAGCAGCAACAAGCTTTTTGATGGTTATGATTATGATTATGATTATGATTATAATAATAATAATTGAAGACACAATTGAGTTGTCTTCTTTGTTTATTTATTTTTTTAATAATAAAAATAATAATTCAGGATAAAAAAAAAAAACAAATATCATAACATGATCATGATCTACTTATTATGATGAGATATATATATATACATTTCTAATTACAGAAAGAGAAAGAGAGAGAAAAAAAATAAAAGTGGCATTATTTCTAACTAATCAATCATATCACGCACTTTTTTTATTTAGTCTTTGTAATAAGGATTCTAAGGTGATGTTTGTGGTGGTGGTTGTGGTTACTATGATGATGATGATGACGATATTGCGGGGAGGAGGGTAAAAGAAGAGAATTGAAATAAGTGCTTAGTAATATTGTTGTATTAATGGTATTGTAATTACAATTACAATATATAAACCCTAACCCATGAATAAATTTTATAAAAAAAAAATACCCACGTGCCCCTCCAATTTCCCCCTCCCCCTCCTTTTAATAAAATTCTTGAAGATACAGTAGAAGCAGTAGAAGCAGTAGAAGCAGCAGCAGCAGCAGCAGCAGCAGCAGCAGCAGCTTTTAAGAGGCGATGCAAAGACAATCAACTCTTCTCTTATTTGTTCAAATCAACAAAAAAAAATAACAAAATTTTTATTTTTATTTTTATTTTTCAAACGAGTTAAATCAATAAATTGAGATGAGGGACCTAAAATGAAAAAAAAAAATAATAGATAACTAGCTAGGTTTTAAGTGATTAATTCAAAAAAAAAATTTTTTTTTTTTTTTCTTTTTAAATTAATGGGGAGAAAGATTGGAACAAACAAACTAACCCCACGTATGCCTTCTGACATCACCTTCAACAACAAAAAAATAAAAAAAATAAAACTTTTAAAGGATCCATTTAGTACCTCGATGGTTACAACAATCACTTCAACAACAACAACAACAACTTCTTCTTTTTCTTCTTCATCTTCTTCTTTAAAAAAAAAAAAAAAAAAAAATTAGTTACCTCGGTCTTTCAAAAGTTTTTTTTTTTTTTTTTTTAAACAAACTTACATGCAACATACTATTCCCGTTTAAACCTCCGAGTTTATGCGGATATGAATGCCTTTTGCCTACATAATAAAATTTAATATTTAATATTTAAATTTTTTTTTTTGTAGATATTAGGCTTTAAGCCTTGTAATATTTAAAGTGATCCGATCAAAAAAGCTCTTTTTAATTTACGAGCCATTTTTCTATTTTATTGTAAAAGTGGAAGAAACAAGATTCCAAATAGTTATATAATAATAATAATAATAAACGTAAAAAAAAAACACACACACAACTCAACAGATGCAAAGAGAGAATATGAAAAAGTAGAATTTGTTCATAATTTGTTCAAAAAAACCCCCCCCAAATTCCATCCATAATGACAATATCAAGGTAAAGTCGTCAATTATTCTAGAGACAAAACAACAATGTTCCTTATTTTTTTTATTTTGGCCCATTTTCTTTCGTCAGAGCTTAGAAATGCACAATAACCAAAGTGTCCCATTTGTAACTACACATAATTTTTTTTTTTTTTTTTTGACACCACCTTCTTCTCATGTGGTGGCATCATCATTATCATGTGTAAAAACAATATATAGATAACTTCCATTTTTGCTTAAAGCGTGGTTTGATCGTAGGCAGCAACCAAACCAATGCCTTGGTATCGCGCACCCGACCCAGAGTTCCGCCGCAGGCGGTGGTGAGGTCGATAAGGAGTGGTGGGAGACATTGGTGTTGCTGCACTCTTATCAGAGCCAGCAAAGCCACCACCACTAGTTTGTAATTGCTCCAGACGCTGTGCAAGGCCCGAAGACGATATGCTGTTTGAAGCATCATTGGGTATGTTTGATGCTGTGCTGCTTTGTTGTTGTATAGAAGAATAGGAGGGGAAGGCAGGAATGCCAGCAGCCAAATGGCTCACATCTTGGTGGGTAGGTGCAGCAAAGTCCGGCTCTGCAGACACGACCCGCGAAAGAGTGCCTCCATCATAACGACCATAATTATGGTGAGGGTTATTGCTTGCGTAACTTGAAGGCCCATTAACGCCTGCAGTAGATCCTGGTCTAGAAACTGATGATGCACGATACTCATTTTCTGACGTGGCAGGGCTGTGTGTGCGATCAGTAGTAGAGGAATCCACGCGAGAAATGGCGCGTGATAGGTTCATGGCTTCATCGGCAGTGATTGGGGGTGCAATATTTGAGTAGCGGGGCCGCGAGAGTGAGCGTGCACGCCGCGAAGCTGTGGAAGCTGATGTTCCTGTATAAGATGCTGGTTGATTATAGGGGGTATTATTTAAATCAGATTGAATGTTACTGTGGGTAGAGTCAGTACTAGGGCTGCGAGGGTTAAAGAAGCCACCAAAGGTAGATGAGAAGAAAGAAGGATGAGATGTTGATGAAGATGATGTAGGATGCTGTTGTTGTTGTTGTTGTTGTTGAATAGAAGAAGGAGCAGCAGAAGCAGCAGCCGAGGGCTGCAAGGTGGGTTGTGCAGCAGTGGCAGCAGCAGCAGTGGTGGCGGATTGTGAAGCGCCGGAGCCCGGGGTCTTTGATGAGCCGGAAAAGAACTGCATAAGAATGGCTGGAGAGAGAGAGTTAAAATAATTGATAGAGAGTAAGCAAATAAGCGATTAAAAAAAAAGTCAAACAGTAGTATAAAGGAATAAAGGGAAGATTGGGAAAAAGGAAGGTTTTTTTTTTTTAAAAAAATCAAAAAAAAAAGGGGAAAGTAAAAAAAAAATAAATAAAAGACATGATGGGATGTGCGGATTTCAGAATATTTATATATTTATATATTTGTGTGTGTGTGTGTGTGTGTGTATGTGTGACTAAGAAAAAAAAAAGTTCTCCCCGGCAAAAAAAAAAAAAAAGTCAGATGCCCATGGGCTCATCTTTCGGTCCATTTTGGGCCAGCAAAAAAAAAAAAAATTTTAGTCCTTTTTTTTTTTTTTTTTTTTTTTTTTTCAATATAATAATTAAAAAATTAAAAAATTAAAAAAATTAAAACATCTTCTTTTAGTATTCATTTTCATTTTCATTTTCATTTTCAATTTTAAACCAAAAAAAAAAAAAAAAAACGACTCTTTATAATGATATTTGTATTTATATATATATATATAATACCATCGTTAGCCCTTTTTAGATTTTTATGGAAAAAAAAATAAAATTATTCCCTCCAAGTCAATTGCGCACATCTCAAAGATTGATTGATTGATTGCTTGTTATTTATTTATTATTTTTAGGAGTTTCCAACTTTGTTTCTTGAGCTTTTTTTATATATATATATACTAAATCTTAGTCAAAGCTGCGCACTTTTTATTTAATTCTTCATAATATCATCTCTTTATTCATCCACTATTAAAATAAAAATTAAAAAAAATTAAAAAAAAACAAAAAGGAAACAACATATATATATACACCAAATACCAAACCAAATACCATCTTTTCTCCAATAGATAAGCCTGGAACAAAAAAAAAAAAGCCTTGGGATGCTTTAAACTCTGTTGTAGTAAGGTCACGTGGACAACTGCGGGCTTTGTCTGACCGTAGAACATGGAGACAACAAAAAAATGAGAAAATAAATAAATAAATAAATAAATAAATTAATAAAATAAAAATTCAAAAGGAGTAAATTATTTCTTAATTTTTTTTTCTCCTTCTTCTTCTTTACTGATTGTTGTTAAAATATCTTTATTTTTTCCCCTTCTCTGGTTCTTTAAAATGTGGTATATATATACCACAAAGGTAATTTCCCCGGATTTTTTGTTTTTTTTTTGTTTTTGGTTTCAATCACGAGAAAAAACAATAACAGAAAATCCCCTTTTTTAATTAATTAAATCAAATACTTTGTCTCCCAAATCATTCATCTGGTTATTAAGCAAGTAAGCAATCAAAAAAATAAAAATCTAGAAAGACAAAAAAAAAAAAAAAAAGAAAGATGACTACTATTACTACTATTCTTTCGCACGTCATTTATTCATTTTCCAGAAATATATTCCTGTTAAGCAACTCGGATGGCTGGTTCCCTTTATTATTTTGGTGATGATATGTATGTGTGTATATGTGTGATGCATTTCTTGAAAAAAAAAAAAAATAAATCAAAAATAATCCGCTCTCTCATCCCGCAGGCTTACAAATATAATTTTTTTTTTTTTTTTGTAAATTCAAAATTACTCGAGTAGCTCCATAAATCTCCAAGCGGATCCCCACTCCCAGCCACTCACGAAACATTCATTTTGCGTAACTGCAGGTGGTGGCATAGGTGATGATGGTGGTAAATTATTACTATATATATATATATTTGATATACAAATAGACATTGAAGTACCTTTGGTAGTGAGATACTATTCTCTTTAGATAATATGCGGGATTGTGGTGGAGAATGTTGTTGTTGGTGGACAGCAAACTACTCGTCTTTCCATCTTTTCTTCCGGTTTTTTCTTGCGGACTTTTTTTATTTTGACCCCGCGCATCAAATTCGGATTAATTTTAGAAAAAGAAGAAATAACTAAAAAAAATGAAAATGGAAATGAAAATGAAAATAAAAATAAAAATAAAAATAAATGAAAATCAGTTTAAAAACTGACTGCAATACAATGCAATTTTTTTTTTAATAAATCATTTCTTAATAAAATACTAATCGCCATTTTTCTCCTGTTCAAACACCGTATTCCTTAAACACCCTAACCCTTATATGCGAGATCGGGCCGACAACCGGACTATTTACATAAATTATTGAAAAAAAAAAAATGGAGGGTTGCGTCCGGACATTGTCAAATCAAAAAAAACACACACACACACCAAACCAAACCAAAATAATAATAATAATAATAATAATAATAATAATAATAATAATAATAATAATAATAATAATAATAATAATAATAATAATAATAATAATAATAATAATAATAATAATAATAATAATAATAATAATAATAATAATAATAATAATAATAATAATAATAATAATAATAATAAAAAAAGAAGTCTTATAGAGGAGTATCAAATTTTTAATAAATTAATCAATTAAACAAAGAATCGGTTCCTAGTTTCGCATGATCAAAATGATTTTACCATTCTGTGGAAAAAAAATTTATATAAAAGAAAAGAAATAGAAATTATCTTCTTCCCTCTTTCTTCACCCCTTGGGTTTCGGTAAAAACAAACATTTTATTTAATCAGTCACATTTATTCTCAGCCGTGTCGTTAATCACCAACAGAACAAGCCGAGAAAATAGAAATCAATCAATTTATTAATCAATCATTCAATCAGGTTGGAAAGAATATCCTATATAGTACAGTAGAAAAAAAAACAATTTTAAATTAAAAAAAAATGATGATGTCAACGGACCAATTTCCATCTTTGTACAAAGTCACTTTTAACTTTTTAAAGAATCAACGGCTTCTTTTGGTAATTGTTGTAAACCTTTGAAATACTCTATTTCCTCAAAGTCTTCCACCCCTCCTTATCTCCTCTAGCAATATTAATAATACTTTTTGATAAAGATGAATTTGTAGAATTAATTAAGCAGATGATCTTTGTTAGTGACGTCGCAATGTAGACAATAAAAAGGTCTCGTAAGAGTTAAAATATTAAATAATAAAAAAAAAAACTTTCTGTGTATGTCATAAATTTAGCCTTTTTTTTTTCTTTACCCCAGATTTTTGAAAAAAAAAAATAAAATAAAATATTTTTAAACATTGCCCACAAACAAGGCCTTATCAGCCCCAAATATACATCCCCACGCAAGCTTATATTCTCTCCTCTATTACCCCACAAAATACTTTCCTAATTGAGTAATATGTGACCCCGGCCTAACAAAAAAAAATCCATTAATTTAGAAATCTTCCTCTTTCCTCTTTCCAATTTTCTCCCCTACCCCCCCACAAAAAAAGATGCTTATTATAATGCTAAGTTCTCTCAGTTTATTTTCGTACGGCATCTACATATAAATAAATAAATAAAAAAAAAACTAAATCTCGTGTATTCTTTCTTTCCTTTTTTTTTTTTTTTTTTTTTTTTTTTTATAAAGGACTGGACCAATTTTTTTTTTTTTCATAGACAAAAAAAAATAAAAAAAAAAACTTCAATTTCAATCCCCCCACCTTCGTCCTCTTTCCTTTTCTTTAGTGTTTGAGTAAGCATATATATATATATATATATAAATACACACATATAAAAATAAAGCAGCCACTACTCTTAAGCCCCCCCGCCTCCCCCCGCGGGGTAAAAATACCATTAATGCACTTTTGGTACCTTAAACACATTCACATGTGCTTGAAATCCGAAATATTCATATGAAGAAAAAATTAAAAAAAAAAAATTAAAAAAAAAATTAAAAAAAGAAAAGGATCATTGGACTGAATATTGTAAACATTAAATAAATACCAAAGTAAATAGAATGTGGAGATATTTAAAGAGGGGATATTTTTTTTTTTTTTTTTAAATATAAACTTTTGATAGAAAAAAATATAAAAACTTTCTTTCATTCTTTCTTTCTCTCATATTTATTTCTTGTGAAGATGAGCTTTCATAATAAACCTAATTCAAGAAATAAATAATGACAAATTTATAATTGTAACATTGTCACGTGAATGTAACACAAACTATTGTCATGGGACTCAATTTTTATTTCCAATTATGTACTTTGTACCTTCATTATCAAACATTAATTTCTCTTAAACTTCATTTCACACATCCTTAAAAATAATGAATACACAAACTTATTTATAAATACTTATATAAAAAATATTAAAAAAAACTTTGGTAACTCAAAATGTCATAAAAGGAACTGAGATTTGATTGTTTGGTTGAACCAGAAAATCATTCTTTTAATACTAAATATCTATCATTTACATATAATCCAGACTGTTAGAATTTAATTTATTTTCAATTTAGTATACATTGTTTTTATATATACTAATTTTTTTCTGGGGTTTTAAAAAAACAGACTAGAAACTGTACTATTTTGCGTCTCTAAAATTTTCTTTTCAGGAACTTCATATATATATATACATATATTGGTTTATAAAATAAACCGATCATGATTATTCGAGATTGTAAGAGTCCAAAAACTGAAATAAAATACAGATAATCTTTTTTCCAGTCATTTTTTTTTCTCTTTAAGGCTGATCTATAAAAAACAGAAACAAAATTTCACTCCTTCTTTATGGCATATTGTTTTCCGACCTCAACTTACTTTATTTTTTTAAAGACATTTAAAAAAAAAAAATAAAAAACCTTCACGATACTATCTCAGATCTCATCATATAAATTAACTAGATTTGACTCACTTTATTTTGGATTTAAGTCTGGTTTACTTTTATTTATTTATTTATTTTTTTTTTTTTTGCTCTGTCGTTGAGAGGTCTCTAAAATTATACAACCGCAGGTGAAAAAAAAACAAAAAACAAAACATCCTGCCTTCCATCACCACCCTAGAAACAAGGTCTTTCGTGATCGTAGCTTTTAACAAAAACAATAAAAATTTTTTTTTTTCAACTATCTTTTTAATAAATTATTCAAGAAACGCATTATTTTTTTTTTTTAGAGAGAATACCCTGTTTTCGCCTCATTCTTAACGATTCTATATTACTCCCTTTCACTTTTTTTTTAAGGGTCCTAGACTATGATGCTCGACTCATTCTTATTTCTAAACATGGCAAGTGATACTATACAAATGGTGGTAAGTTTTATTGTTGAATAATAAAACTCTCTTAACTAGGTTGTTTGGACTCAAATTTTACATACATTTCTTTATATTAATTAAAGAACTATCTTTACTTCAATTTTTTTATGGAAAGATATTAAAAACAATATTAGAATACAAAGAAACCCTGTTTTTTTTTAATTTTTTTTTTAAAAAAATAACGTTTCAGTCAAAAAAAAAAAGAATTAATTAATTTCCATTTAATAACAAACCTTAGAAATCCGCCCACAAAAATCAAAATATTCAAAAGCTTACCACAATCCCATTTTTATTTTTATTTTCATTTTTATTTTCCCCGTTCAACACTTTGAATGTACATCAACAACTATTTCAATCGAAAATCAATTGACCAATGATCAACTTTTGGAAATACACACTAAAGTTTTTTTTTTCTCTTTTAAAGTTTTACATCTGATTTTTTCTAATACAAAAATTAAAAAGGGTTAAATTGATATCTTACTTTACTTTACTTTATTTTCATTTTATATTATTTTTGGGTCGTTTCCAAAAAAAGAGAGGCCACTCATCTCCAACAAAAAAAAAAAAAACTTATTATAGATCTATTAGGAACTCCTTTTTTTTTGTTAAAAAAAAAGTCCTTGGATTGTCGAACATGTCCAATGTATTTATACCAACCGAGTTTTAGTTTTTTTTTTTTCTATAGTCTTTCACCTAATTCATATTTAAGAATACAATTTTCATTTTTTTTTATCAGCAACCTCCTCCATCCCGATTCCCATCTTTTTCCATATAAAAAATGTCTTTCAAATGTCTTGACTTTGAAAGAAATGAAGGCATATTGTATACCCTTGATTATTTGCCATTATTTGAAACACCACGGGAAGAGTTGATTACAAGCTTAAAAAGATAAAAAAATAATTCCAACGTCCCACTATGACAATTGCAAAAACAAAAAATATATATATATATATTTTATGACAGCTTCTTCTTTATCTTTTCTCCAAAAAAGTTATGGCGTTTTAATTAATAGATCTATCACACGCCAATTTATTTATTTTATTTTTTTTTCTTTTCCAGCTGATCAATCCTGTCAAACTCTTGTCCTCCATTTTGTTTCACTTTCTCAATGACGAGATATTTCTTATTAGTACAAAAAAAAAGAAAAAGATAATAGAAAAACAATAGCAGAAATATTTTAATAAAACCATTTTATAAACTTCTTTTCTAATGTTAATCATTTATTCTTTTTCTTTTATTCCAGATTTCTATTTTTCTTCCCAAGACCTTTCTCGATTTTTTGCATGATTCCTGACACCTTGTTTTTTTAAATTTACGCACTCATATACCCTATTTCCCGTAATATATAAAATCTAATCAAAATCTTCATTTTTTTTTCCCGTTTTTTATATCTCCCTCATCCTCATTACTTTAAATTTGCCAATTATTTCTTATATTCATCAAAGTTGTTCTAGTGCTTGCTGGCCATTACACTCTTTAAGCTCAGCCGTCCACTATCTAGTTTTTTTTTTTACCAGTCCTAATTTTACCACGCTCATTACCTGCAACACCCAGACTTTTTTTTTTTTTCTTCTCTTTCAAACTCTTTTCTCCATTTAACTTCCTCCTAGCCAACCTTCGCTACTCTCTCTCTTTACAATGCCTGTCCCGCTGACCGTCCGCATTCGAAGGTACAGGGTCCAGCTCATTTTCATAGCTGTTTTCTTCATATTTCTCTTTCAATACCACAAATCATCCAACTTTGCTCCTGTAACATTCCCTAACGAGCCACCTCAGCAACCCATAGTTCACAATGTCCCAGTCGCAGAACAAGAAGCAGTCCTGCCAAACAAACAACTCCCGAAGCTAAACAAAGAACAAGACGACATCTCTCTTGACCGCACAAGGCCAAAGAAAGTTGCACCAAAAATTCTTGAGGCTCCCGATGTTCCCTTTGAAGAAGACGTCGGAGTTGCCGGTGCCGCTGCTGAAGCTGCCACCGCTGCTATTGCCGCTTCCAAAAATGAAAAACCTTCTTCTGAAAACACAATCACCAATGACAACCAACCACTGAAATTCCCACCAAGTTTGGGCGGTGGCACCATCACTGGCAATATCAACATTGACCGCCTTAACAATGCCAATCCTAATGACATCAACCCCAAGGGCAAGAGCTCGCTTCCTCAGTTGCCCTCTGCAGACGATCCTCTTGCTCCCAAGTATACTCCAGGTGACAATATTGTCTACCTCCCTTCAAACCGCCACAGTACGATCCGTGCCATTGACAGGGTTCTCGAGCCCACATACGAGGACTGGATCACTTTAGAAATCATTGGTACTGGAAATACAAATACTCGTCTTGACGGTATCGGTGGATCATTCCGTCCTAAAGTTTCAAAGCTTCCACGCTCCCAGAATTTCCCCCCATCAAGTATCATCTCTCTGCCTTCCGGTGGAACCACCCTTCCTCAAATCCAAGCTACTACCTTTTACACTCAGTCCGATTCTGATCGCACTGAGCGTCTTCGCCGTCTGGAACGTGCAAAGGAGGTTTTCCGCATTGCTTGGAATCAGTACCGCACTCATGCATGGGGTTATGACGAAATCAAACCTGTTTCCCAAGTCGCCTTTAACCCATTTGCTGGATGGGCTGCCACACTTGTCGACGCTCTTGATACAATGCAGATCATGGGTCTTACCACGGAGTTTCAAGAAGCCATAGAACTTTTGAAGACGATTGACTTCTCTAGCACCTTTAGAATAGACATTCCTCTCTTTGAAACTGTCATTCGTTACCTTGGTGGACTTCTCTCTGCATATGATCTCTCTAACCAGAGCGAAAAGGTTTTGCTGGACAAGGCCATTCAACTCGCTGACAACCTAATGGGTGCATTTGATACCCCAAATAGATTCCCTCGCCTACATTTCAAGTGGGAGGACACCCAACAAAAATACAAGGAACGTGCGGGCTCTTCTTCCAATCTTGCAGAGTTTGGCTCTCTTTCTGTAGAGTTTACTCGTCTTGCCCAGCTTACTGGAAACAACACTTATTACGATGCCGTTGATCGTCTCACCCAAGCGTTGGCCCGTAAAGCCCCAGGTCTCTCCAAGCCATATCTCTTTCCACCAGGGCTTGACACTTCCGGATGTAACCTGGTTCCTCTTGATTCAAACTCTGAAAGCAACGCCCAAAAGTCTCAGAGAAACCTCCCGCTTGCTGGAGAAACTGTAGTGGACGCTGCTGAAAGTTCAGCATCTTCTTCAGCTGTTGCTGACGGGTCTATTAGCACTATTCCTCTATCACTACTAAGCTCTAATAGTATCACTCTTTCTTCTTCATCTACAACTATTTCATCTCCATCCTCCTCCTTCTCCTCTTCCTCGGCTACCCAGACTACTACGCCGTCTGCCACGTCTACCTCTACCACTTCTATTCCTACGTCATTGTCAACCACTTTAACCACACCAACCTCTTCTTCCACTTCATCTAATGCTGTTACCTCTCCTACCACCAGCGCTGGTTTTTCCGACTCTGCGGCTTCTACTTCTTCTCCTAACATTTTTCAGAACCAAGCCACCGTCATCACCCAGACTCAGACCCCTACAACTGTTGCCGTTTCCACAGTATCCCCTTCCACATCATTTTCCGTTCAAAACTCAGCGTCAACAATTAGCCAAGTTGCTTCAGAAAACACTGTTTCCGTTGACTCCATTGTTCTTGTTCAAAATGATCCAACTGCTGTTACGGCTACTTTGACCCAAACAAGTCCCGGTGCAAATGCATTTTTCTCCAGCGCCAACAACCAAAACTACATTGCCAATAATGTTTACAATGGCGGGAATGCAGTTACACCTTCTTTGATCTCAGTTGTCAGCTCTAACTCTCTGGCCACTGGCCAAATTTTTATTGCTAATCCTACCCCCACTTTTAACATTAACAATGTCCCAACAACAGTTGTTTTGTTCAACCGCGAAGAGGATAGTGCCGGGGATGATGACGAGTCTAATGCTGAAGACAATTCTAATAAAGGTGTTGCCCTTGAACGTCGCCAATTAGGTTATACTTTTCAAGCAAGTACTAAGGTTAGCGTTAGCGGTCCTGGGGCTGTTAGCGTTGCAGCCGCTGCAGCTGCTGTGGTTGGAGGAAACAACAATGGGCAAGCTCGGGTTTATACTAAAACCGTTTATGCAAGCACACCAAAAGCTGCTAGCACACAGGCTAGTGATGTCGGGTCTTCTGCTGGTTCACAAGCCGGTTTGAGTGGATCTCAAGCTGGCTCACTAGCTGGTTCTTTCTCAGGATCAAATGGCTTTCAAGCAGGCTCTAATGCATTTTCTGGTAATGGCTTTGCTCAGGCATTTGCCCAGGCAGGTAATGCTGTAGCTGTAGCCAATGTCAATCTCAATTCACCCGCTGTTGCTTTTGTTGCACCCACAATGGTTTCTTCAGTACAAACCCTGACACACCCTTCAGTTCAAGTGCAGGTCAATTCTGGTACCCAATCAGCTCAAGTGCAATCTGTTAGCACTACTATCAATCAGTCCCCTACTGTTCAGTCTCCATATACAATAACCACTACTGTTAAAGCTCCTGTTCAATCCCAGTCTCCATATACAATAACCACTGTTATTAAGGCCTCACCTTCCCAAGAAACTCAGGAAATTCAAAGGTCAACACAATCTACAGCAGATGTTTCATTGACTTCAACTTTAACGTCTACATTTTCTTCTGATGCCTCAGGATCTGTTCAAGTTCAAGTTGGGGCTCAAGCTGGTACTTCAGTTGCTGGTCAAGGAAGCACGCAAGTCCAGGATTTCACATCTGTTGAGGCTAATGGTGCAAATATAGAAGTTGAAGCTACAACTTCTGCACAAGCTGGGAATGTTGGAACTACCACCTCTGCCCAAGGTGCTCGGCAAACTACTTTTTATATCGCTTCTTCTGCTTCTGCATTCCAATCCTCTCCCAATTCCGCAAGTGTTAATGCTGTTGGCTCTGTTTCTACATCTATTGGGGATGTTGGGACTTCTAATTACGACACTGCAAATGATTCTGATGCTATTTCTAATGATGACTCCACAACCACTGGGTCTCTTTTTGATTTCTCTGCTTATGCGAACAAATTTGACTTGTCTAAGATGTCTCTTAACAGCAAGTTCCCTTTCATTAAGATTAGAAATTCTGAAGCAGAATCTTCTAGTTTTGCTAAGCGTGGTGTCATTGTGCCAGAAATTGCTCAGGCTGAGTCGGCAGATAATATTGAAAAGAGACAGTCTTCATCAACAACAACTTCTGATGGTCTTCAAAAAGTTATTGCAGTTTATACTGGTGGTCAAGCTGTATTGACTGGTTGTCAAAGTCAAGATCTTGTTGCCAAAGATAGTGAGTTTTTTTTTTTTGGTTCATCAAACATACTAACTTATTTTTTTAGGTCAAAATGGTTCTACTCTGAGTATGAGTGGTGGGACAGATAGTGCCTACGAATACTATTTAAAAGAGTATATCCTTCTCAATGGTGCTGACGACTCTTTGAGAACTCTTTATACAAATACTATTGATGCTGCTAATGACAATTTAGTTTATAAGCCCATGGTTGAAGGTGATCCTGATATTCTGTTTATGGGTGCAGTTGTCAATCGTGAAAATGGATTTTATCAGTTTGATGCTCAAATGTCTCATTTAACCTGTTTTGTTGGTGGAATGTATGCCATGGGCTCTAAAATCTTTAACCGGCCTGATGATTTGGAAATTGCTCGCAAACTGACACAAGGGTGTGTTTGGGCATACAATTCCACTCGAACTGGTATCATGCCGGAGTCTTTTACTGCTAGACGTTGTCCATCTTCTTCGTCCACTTGCCATTTTGATTTTGACACGGTGGATGAGGTGGTCCAAGAAGACAGCACCAACATTCTCAACTCTCTTCACCAACAAGGAATTTCAACTGAAAGTTATGACGCTTATTCTTTCATGACTAAACCAAATGTTTCAGTTATTAGTGATGGAAATGGGGGAACTAGATGGCCTGTTGATGGAAATTATGACCAGCCCAAATCTTTCATCAGAATGGACTGCAGATACGTTTTACGCCCTGAAGCGTTGGAAAGTGTTTTCTACATGTACCGAATTACTGGTGAAAAGATTTGGCAGGATCAAGGTTGGCAGATGTTTGAAAGCATAGTCAATGCTTCAAAGATTGAATCGGGTAGTGGATCTATTCAAGGTTATTCTGGTATTAGTGATGTTTCTGATGATCGACCTCTTTCACAACAACCTGACAAATATTTGGATTCCGCGGAAAGTTTTTGGTGGGCAGAAACTCTCAAATATGCATACCTTTTGTTCGCCGACCCAGACGTGATTTCGCTGGACGACTATGTTCTTAACACTGAAGCGCATCCATTAAGACGACGAACAGCTTAAAAAAGATATAGTCAGAAAAAGAAATCTGATAGATTTACTAACCGCACCAAATTTTTTATGAAAATAATGATAAAATGACTACGAGAGATGAATTATTTAATATATAGTAGATAAATTTATGAATTTAATTGTTGATTTATGACGAAAAGGAAATTTCATACGACCACAAAAAACCAATTATTACCAATTATTACCAATTATTACCAATTATTAACAATTCCTCATTGAGTACATTCAAATGTATTATTTTTACTTGAAGAATGTAGATTACAGTAGTTATTAAAGATAAATTCTTTATTCTGAGTCACTTCCAAAGGTTGAATTAATACTTAGATAGTTGTAAGCTTATCAAGAGCTTATTTCCTTTGAATGATCAAGAAACTATTTCAGCCTTGTACGAAACAAGCAAAAAAGTAAAACATCCAAAAAAAATATTTGTTACATATATAAACTCAAGCAAATAGAAATCCGGGATTCTTGAATCAATGTCTAAGCTAGATTTTTTTTTTTTGATAGTTTTGGGAATTCGACACAGTGCAATTCAGGAACTTTTTATTCCTCCCCCTTTTTTGAATTTATTATTTGAATAAATTGGTAACAAAACTTATCTTACACTTTTTCTTTTCTCTTTTCTCTTTTCTCTTTTCTCTTTTTTTTATTTTTTTTTTTCAAACAAAAATATTGCCTGGTTTAAATTTTTTATACCATTGTTTTTCTTTAATTTTTCACACTAGAGGTGTGTTTTATATCACCTTTTCTGTTGTTTCAAAGTATTCATCAAAAAAGCCACATTCAAATAAATCCAGATTTCACATTCGCTACTGATAAAAAATTTAATTTTGATCTTGAAAATTTTTTCATAATACTTAGGCTTCTGATAAACTTCTTTTTTTTGCTTTTTTTTTTTTTTGTCTATATCTATCTTTGGTACCTAATTTTGTCAACTGTTTTTTTTTCCTCGCAAGATTTTGTAAATGGACCAGAACCAACCTGAAAACACTTTCATGGTGGGAAAGTGTTCCTTGGGTCACTGTATTCCATACTGTCTTTCGGGGGAATTTCTGTTATTTTGTTCTTCTAAAAATCGTCTTTCTGCAGCCAGAAATGAGGATTCATCTCATCAAACTACGTGGAACGCTTATTATGGAGAAAGAGACAAAATACCTTTGAGTGATATAGACAAAATTCAAACAGTTATTATATTTTTTTCTTATTTAAAACTAGATAAAGAGTCAGAAAAAATCACCCACCATCTTTCCCGAATCAAAGACTTGGGAGTGCAAAATGACAGGCTTAAAAAACTTGTTTTGGTCATTGAAAAAGGAGAAGGATACAATGAAAATCATCCTCCAGGTTTCAAACCACCCTCAAACATTTTATGGGAGGTTGTGGCATCCTTCAAACAAAACCCCATTAAAATATTCATTTATGCAGAAAATATTGATGAAATACCTAGATTTATTGATAATTTACTGTCCTTTGTCTTTCTTTCTTTAAAAATTGATAATTTCTGTGATCTTGATTGCGGAAGGCTTTCAAATTGGTCTAGCCTTCAGTATCTCCAGCTCAAGTTTGTTAAGACTTCACTCAATAGTGGGCTCATCAAAGTATTGACAAACATGAAACAACTAAAAGCTTTAGCAGTAATCCTACAAAACACACAGAACAATGAGCTTATGAGGCTTGTTATTGATTCACTTCCAGAATTCAAAAATCTTCAATTTCTCTCGCTTTCTGGTATACCCAAATCCTATGTGACTCTAGTGTTACAATCACCCATAATCAACAGATTACTCTCTTTAGTTGTTGAATCACACGTTTCATCAGAATATTATTTTGATCATAATCAAACCCAAAGCTTGCACCCTTTGAACTCGGGTCACGTTAAAAACAACCTGATGAAGCTTTTACATTGTTTTGGAACACAAGAAACACCCAGAAATCTTATTCAACAGATAATTTTACAAAGCCCCAGACTTGAAGCTTTGATTTTGCCAGGAGTTGATGCTGAATTTCTTTTGTTTATATTTGAGAATCTTAAAGAGTCTCTTAAATATCTTGTCACTCACAATATGAGCGAAAACAAAGTCAAAAATTTGGAAGTGCCTCAAAATGTTTCTCTTTGGTTGAATACTGTTTATGAGCCTTTAAAGCCTGACTTTCTAAGCAAGATCTCCAGCAAAATATTTTCCTGCGATGAATTGGGCTGCCAATGCTGTCATTAGCGACAACTTTTTTTTTTTTAAACAATCTCAATTACTGTTTATGAACTTTGTTTCAACACTCTGGCTAAAAATCATAAACTTATTTTCAGTGATCAGGATATTATTGAATCATTCGAAACCAAGTTATCTATCAACGAAATTGGTAAACTTTCTTATTTTTTTGGGGGGAACTACTTTTTTTCGTTCTTACTCACGCAAAATTGCGCAACACAGAAGACAATATTCTTTCCCGCATCATATTTGTGGGTTTTTGCCTTGAAAAACTATCAATATTTATTTCGGTATGGGCAATAAAAATTTACCTTAAATTACGGTTGTTCATAACAAGATAAGTATTGGCAATTTTTCAAGGCAAAAACCCACAAATATGATGCGATGAAGCATTGATTTTTTTCTGTCTTATTCAATTTTGGGTAGTATAATAATTTTGTAACAACATTTGTAACAAAAAATTAATCATATAAGAAAATCTAAGAAAAGAAAAAAAAAAAATTCCATGTAATCATTGCCACCACTCCAAAATTCTAGAGCTCAAGCTCTGTTACTTTTAACAATCTGCAATTTGTTGTGCAGAAATTTCCTTTTTTTTTTTTTTTTTTTTTAAATATCATCTTGCCATGATTTTTATTTTTATTTTAATGATTACAAATAGAATACATCATATCTTTTAATTTATTTTAGTTTGGAAAAGTACCACCTTAAATAACTTTGCAAAGGGTACGATACCACATTTAATTCGCCAGAACTTTGTAAATTCAACAATTTTTTAAAGGACTATAGAATGTCGAAAGGAAGATTTGAAAATCGAAGTACAACTTCCAGAAGAAATAGCATTAAACAAAGAAATAAGGATAGCGAAGATGATTTAATGCCCCATATCTTGGAAAGCAGCAGAGCTAGCGAAATGGATCAACGGTTAAAGCCTTATAGCTCTTCTGGTGAAAATACTCCGGAAAAAGAAAAAACACTCGACAATGTTCCCGAAAAAGTTTTTACATTTCGAAATGCATCCGCTTCTCGTTCTAAACCGCAACCCAAATTTAAAGATGACCCCCAGGAAGATCCAAAAACAAAGTCGCAAAATTCAAAAGATAATTCGTCGCCACTTTTGACTAAAAACAGGTTGGAACCTGAATCAAAAATTCTTAACGAAGTGACATCTGTGAAACGAGATTTACCACAACTACCAGATTCAATTCATAAACCAAATTCAAATGACAGGAGTTCGTTTAAAGGGTCCCCCAATAGTGATCACAATAGTGATTTAAATAATTCCCCCGAAATTTCTTCTAGGAATAAATCTCCCAAGAAATCTTCCAAAGCTATATCAGAAACAGATTCTAAAACTATTGATGAACAGACAGATTTTACAAACGAAAACTCTTCGGTATTAATAGAAGAACAAAAACGTAGTTCCTATTTTGATGATAACACGGATTCACCTTCAGCTTCTTCTGTTCGCGAATTTAAATTTCTTTCTGCAGCTTCTGGAAAATCTTCCACTACCCCAACCCACAACTGTGACACACCACCAGCGTATAATAATAACTCTTCAGGTGCATCGACTCCTATTAATAAATGCCCATGGGTATTTTATGGATGCAGCAATGTTACATCTGAATACCGCATGCTTGATAAGCTTGGAGAAGGAACGTTTGGTGAAGTTCACAAAGGTGAAAAACAAAGTAACGGATTAAAGGTTGCTTTAAAACGTATATTTTTGCATAACGAAAAGGAAGGTTTCCCTATCACAGCTCTCCGTGAAATACGAATTTTAAAAAATTTGGATCATCCTAATATTATTCCAATACTTGACATGGCAGTCCAGCATGGTGACCGAACTAGAAAACAGCGTGGTTCGGTTTATATGGTTACACCATATATGGATCATGATCTTGCTGGTTTACTTGGAAACCCCAGTGTTAATTTGGAACTCCCACACATTAAGTGTTACATGAAACAGCTACTGGAGGGTATGAAATACCTTCATGACCAGCAATACTTACATCGTGATATTAAAAGTGCAAATATTTTGATTGATAATTGGGGAAATTTACGAATTGCTGATTTTGGTTTAGCGCGCAGTTACGTTGAACCTCATCCTGTTAAGGGAAGTGGTGCAGGGAAGGGTACAAGGGTATACACCAGCATGGTTGTAACTAGATGGTATCGTGCACCTGAGCTTGTTCTTGGTGAATCAAAGTATACCACATCTGTTGACATGTGGGGAGTAGGATGTGTTTTCAGCGAAATGTTTTCACGCCGTCCCATCTTGCCTGGAACATCAGATTCTGATCAAGCTCATTGTATCTTCAAACTTCTTGGAACACCAACTCAAGAAACAATGCCTGGTTTTGATAAGCTTCCTGGTGGTCAGATCAATTTCACTTACAGACGTACACTTGAACAAAAATTTAGTGATTTGGATGTACCAACAATTTCTTTACTTTCGAATTTATTGAAACTGGACCCTTTGAAGCGAATCACAGCAGTTGACGCATTGGACCATGTGTTTTTCCGATCTGATCCAAAGCCGTGTCGTCCACAAGATCTTCCAAAGTACAATGATTCACACGAGATGGATGCTAGAAAGTCAGCAAGCGAAAAGAAAAACAGGCCAGAACAACGACCTCCTGTACCCCATCCACAACATCCTGAGCAGCCTGCAAACTTTTCACCTCCAAGCAATTCATATCACTACAATGAATATCCACCACATCAACCTCAAAATAACCATACTAATCGACTTCCACCATACAGAAATCAAGAACCTTATTACGATAGCGATAATTCTCCAAGACCATTACCTCCTTACAAGCAAACTCAAAATCAAGATAAACGCAACACTAGGAATCCGCGGATACCTCCATACAAACAGCATGCACCACTACCATATGATGGACCAGGTAAACCATCCAGGTTGGTGCCACCTTATAGACAACAAGTTCAAGAATCTCCATATGAAAGTTCAAATGGATATCAACGATCTCAGCCACCATATAAACAGCATCAGCATCAGCATCAGCATCAGCATCAAAAACAACCACATGCACCTTATAGACAGCAACCACCATTACCGCCAACAGCCTCATACGACAGACCCCTGCCTCCATACAGAAAGTCTCAGCAACTAGAATACGCCGATTCTGATCGTGGAGGACGAAAGTCTCGATCACATCCTCAGGAAAAGTCTCCTCTTTATGGAAATCAAGGCCCAAACTTAACTCCTAGAAAGCGAAGACCAAGTCTTGAAAACACTAGTTTCAGTGGTGATGAAACGGTTAGTTCAGCTCCACATCTACCGCCAAAACCTCATGTTGAAGTTCCCAAGCCCCAAAAACGAAACAGACCAAGTTTAAGTGGGGATGAAAAAAATAACCACCAAGATGTAAAAAATTCGGAAGAATCATCAAGGGAGGAGTTGCATCCTAATGTACAGAAACCAAACGACACTGAAAACGGCGAAAATGGTAATTGAACAATCTTAAAATATAATCTATACTGGATATTAATTATAAAAATTTAAGCAAATTCGTTAGTTATCTATATAAGTTTAAGCTAAAGAAAAAAATCAAAGAGGGGAAAAAAAACAAAAAGTATATACATGTTAAGTTTTGGTCAAATTTTCTGAAATGCAAATTAAAAATGGGGTTTTTGACCTAAGTTAGGTGTTGTTTTTTTACGAAAAAATGATGATAAAAGAGTTGAAATTTTACTTGGTGAAGGTGGCATCGCTGTGTGTCTTTGCGAAAGAGAGCCATTTTGAAATAAAGATGATGCAACACTTGACTGTGAAGACATTGCACCAAAACTTCGTTTAGACATGGACTCGTTGCTCATCATGGTAACTCTTTGTACTCTTCTGAGGTTACGCAAACTCATTATGATAATAACAACTGTGGATACAAATGTGACACCAGTGACAGCACCAAATCCCCAATTTGTTTCTTCAATAAAGTTTTGCAAGTTCATACCGTAAAGAGCAGACACAAAGGCGCCGGCGCCCAGGCCTAGAGTGCCAATCTGGAACTTAAGATCTAAAAGCATGAGCGAATTTCGGTTCGAATCCAAAATAATGTTGATAATTTCTTCAGTCGAGCGAATATTTGATACAAGGTTGTCCACTGTTTGGACAATTTCATCACAATGTTTGTAATACGATTCAAGCAACATTTCTACCTCAGAATGATCACTTTCTTCATCACGTGGTAAGCCTTGTTGTTTTTCAGTAAGATAAAGCCCTGCCAAGTCCTCATCTTGTTCAAGTAATTCATCAATAGCATCTCGAATTAAAGTTGCTTTTTGAAGAAAAGCAGAAAGTTTTTTAGATTGAATAAGAAGGTGTCGTAATTTGCTGCGGTCAATGTTGGTTTCCAGATCGCGCAAAATGCCATTAACAACCGTGGTCAGAACTTGCATTTCTGCATCAAGAGATGTGACAACAGAAATGAATATAGCCTCAAGCGCGCGTAGTTCATAAGGAAGTCCACTTGCAGCATCGTCGCCTCGTAACTTGTGAGTCAAGTCATACATAAATATAGACTGAGTCTGGGAATCTGTAGAGCCATAAGCATCAAATATAATAACCATTTCAGCCTTTATAAGGGCTCGAATATGAAGCAAGTTGACAAGAATAGAGTTCTGTCGAACCAAGATAGACGGAACGATAGTAGAGACTCCAGTATCTAATTTCCGTAAATCGCGGGGAAGGAGACCGTGTTTGGAAAGTAATTCAGAGCGCTTAAACTCTCCAGAAACCACTTTAACGTTTCCTTGAGGATCAAAAACCGTGCATCTAACTAGATTATCCCCTGGTGATCTATGTGTAGATGTAAGTAGACTTCGCTCTAGAATGAGATCCTCAATATTTGTATCCGCAGCTGTTGATGACCCAGAAGACAAAAGAGGAGGTATATGTAGTGCACTAGCAGTGTTTTTTACTGGGTCCACCAGAGTAGAGACTGTAGGAACAGATAAATGTGATAATTTTTGTTTCAAAGAAGATGTAGAAGAATGCGATGAAGAAGCATTTGGTGATATTTTAGAAGTATTTGGGGGTTCCTTCTTGGCATTGTAAATAGCTGAGTTAGAAAAGGCTAGTTTAAAGCATAATCTAGAAGATTGCAAAGATTTTGATTTTAACAGCAGAGGCTGTCTTTGCATTTTTGGGGAAGAGAAGTTTCCGCTAGATAGACCGGGGAGTCAGGTTGTGAAATGGTGGGTATTAGTACTATAACCGTTAAATGCAAGTGGAGGTTTTGTGAAAAAAAAAAAAAAATTTGTGGCAAAAAAATTTTTGGAGGTTTCGTTTAGGCGCCTAACAAAACCAAAAATTGCAAAGCACCAATCATCACAAAAAATACTCTCAAAAAATGAGTTTTGCCAAACGTCGACAAGACCACAAGAATTCCTTTAATAAGAGGCAAAAGAGGCGTTCATCATCCAATATGGTAGATTTGCCTGAAGATGTAGTGATACTGAAACCAAAGCATTTCCCATGGTTACAAAAATGTGCACAGGTCACCAGTCGGTATGATATTATAGATCTGATAGAGCAGGGATCATATGGGACAGTATATAAAGCTAAAGCTAAAAAAACTGGGGATATAGTAGCTATCAAAAAAATTGACAACTCTGCTAATAGTAATAGAAGTACCGAAATGGGGACACCGGTTACAGCTTTACGTGAAATTGCTTCATTGCAAGAATTACGACACCCCAATATTGTTCGGCTTTTGGAAGTAGTTATCGGGTCAAAAGTTGAAGAGTGAGTTTGTATTAATGTTTTTTTTTGTAATTATTCATTGCTAAGATTAAATGTAGTATTTCGTTAGTCCTGGAATTTGTCGAACATGACTTAAATCGGTTACTTAAAAAAAGAAAAGCAGCAAATAGTACTTTTTTGCCATCGGAGGTCAAAATGCTTATGAAACATATTTTGGGAGCTTTGGATGCTATACATAGTCACTGGATTATGCACAGAGACCTAAAACCAGCGAATCTATTATTTTCAAATCGCGGGGTCCTCAAGGTTGCTGACTTTGGATTAGCAAAGAAATTTGTACCAGTGACCCAGTATTTTCAAAAAGCACCAGTACGTAGTAGCAGTAGTAGTAGTAGAATCAGCAACACTCTGCCTTCTAATGACTTTGGCGATACGGACAGTATCTTGGAATCAAAAAACTTTCAACTGACGCCCACTGTAGTCACATTATGGTATCGAGCCTCAGAGATTCTTGCAGGATCTTCAGTTTATGACTGTGCCATAGACATGTGGGCTGCGGGTTGTATTTTTGCAGAAATCACAGCTCGTGGTAATGTGTTGTTTGCAGGGACTAATGAATTAAATCAACTTCAATTGATTTTTGATCGTCTGGGTTCCCCAAATAACAAATCATGGCCATGGTTTTTTGAACTCCCCGGGGCACATAAGCTTTACGATCGAACCGTAGATCGGAATAGCGGAAGCTTGAGTGCATCTCTCAAAGAAAATGGTATTATTTCATTCATGTCTGAAGGGCATCGAGGCTGTACCAATATAAGCAAAGCCGGATTGGATCTAATGTCCCAAATGCTAGCTATGGACCCTACTCAGCGCATTTCAGCAAGCGAGGCACTGCGCCACCAGTACTTTGAGGAAGACCCTCCACCAAAAGACCCAGCCCACTTTCCTACATTTCCATCTTAAAACCGCCAGTGAGCTGTTGATTTACACGTGATTTTCAGCCCTATTGTGTTGAATCCGCCTGCAGCCACGGTTTTTTTTTATTATTATCACAACAGTTTAACTATTTTTTTCTTGTCTCCTACACATGCACTGCCTTTTAAAAAAAATAAAAAATAAAAAATAAAAGCCCTGTTTCAATAGATTTCGGGGATTTATTCTTGAAAATATTTGAATATACGGATGAGTTACTTGGATTAATATTTATATATATCTTATTTTGTTTTATAGTTCTTTTTTCGGATTGTTTATATTTTGGTTTTTAAGAGTCCAAAGAACCTGAAAAAGGAGAAAACACCATGAAACAACCCTTTTACTTTCCGGACCACATTTTTCCCGAGGTCGAGCAATCTTTTCCGGGATTGCCACCCTCTCCTCTTGAAAAAATTAAAAAAATTGAGAATGGTTATCATACTCTTGTTCGTCAAGTAAGTGGCGGACCTGATATTGAAGCTGAACTATCTTCAAGCGCATCATCAGCATCCTCAGTTTCAAACTTAACCCGTCGTCTTTCTCAAAACATTCGAGCTGCAAATGAAGATGGAACTACAAATCCTTATCAAAAAAAGATTGATGTTGACCGCATGTTTAAATGGGCCCGAGAAGCCGTTGATTTTGCCGAAAATCAGCCTGGTCTTCTCCCTGAGATTATCAACGCTGCTTGTGATATCATAGTTTTGGTGTCTGATTCAGAGCCAGGGCTGACGAAGTTTAAGGGAGCAGCTCAGTATATTCTTGGTGTTTGGAATCGTTTTGGTCTCTTCAATCGTCCAATAAATACAAAAGTGGCCCTTGAGTTCTTCTACTCTTCGGCAAAGTCTGGATTCCCTAGGGCACTTTACAGAATCGGTACAGAGGTATTTACTTTTTTTTTTGCTTAACACATTCTTCATTTTCTAAGAAAACTTTTTTTAGTACGAGTCTGCTGGTGAAACTGCGAAAGCATTGCAGTATTTTACTCAAGGTGTTAAAAAGGGTGACAGTGCCAGTCTTTATGTAAGTCTCAGTTTTTTCTTAATTTTGATCTGAACCACCCATAAGCTAACTTTAAAAAAATCCTCAGCGAATGTCAATGTGCTATCTCAGAGGTCATTTAGGCATTGATATTGATGTCGAAAAAGGACGCTCGCTTCTTCACCAAGCATCTAATACATCTGACCCAGACAGCGCACAATCTTCCTATGTGTTTGGTTTGGTTCAGCTTAATGAACTTCCTAATCTAGCACCATCTGACCCAACAATTCCTTACGCTGCGGCTATACAAGCGATTGAAAGATCAGCTTGGATCGGGTTTTCGCCTGCACTTTTGCGTATGGGGATGGCCTGGGAAGGTGGTGAAAAAGGCTATGACTCAGCCATTGCGTTAAGATATTTTCATATTGCCAGTCGCCAAGAGCAGTACCAGAGGTACAAGGGTAACATGAGTGCTGGACTAGGAGGAAGTGCCGAGGCTGAAATTTCTAAGTGGATGCTTTGCGGATCTGTAGATAGATTTCCTCCAAACGAAGAAATGGCATTTTACTTTGCCAAACTTGCCAGTGAACAAGAAAATGGACTTGCTGAATTTGCTGTTGGGTATTTTTATGAAGTTGGTATTTGGGTTGAACAAGACATTAAAGCTGCACTTATTTGGTATGGTATTGCTGCTTCTCACGGAAATACAGACGCTGCTGATAGATTAAAGGCATTGAACCTTAATAGATCGAATACCATCACAAAGCAACAGCATCATCGTACTTTGACAATAAAGGGTCGAGGGTCGATTAAATCTTTTAAAAAGAAACTTGATTTACAACAAAAATCTCAGCAATATCTCCAGCAGCCGCAACAGCAACAGCAACAGCAACAACAACAAGATCACTATCAAATACGGCCTGCTAATTTCCAACAATATCCTGACTTGTCAAATAATGATGGGCGTGAAAGTCCATCCAAAAGCCTCAGACTTGGAAATTTGTTTTCGAAAAATAATGGCGATATTAACACTCCTAAAATTGAAAATTTGACACTTAGCAACAGTACATCTCAGTACTCATACATTAATAATCCTCAAAATGAAAGTCTTCCAATGCCACATGCTACTCATGAAGCAATTGCAAATCCCCGTCCTCGCCGTGCTCGTTATTCATTTCCTCTTACACCATCAATGACCCAAGAAGATCAATTTAAGACTTCAACTTCTTCACTAAATTCGGCATCTTCTGGGCGTTCATCTCCGTATGCTAATGGTCATGCAGATATTAATAGCACTGCTATTCCTAATCTTTATCCAGAGATTGAAGGTCCCAGGAGAAGATCTTCTCCCATTTCCCGAGGATATATGACAACATCTACTTCTGATTCGACATTTAGGCAAAGTCAAACATCTCGCATTCCTCGCAAAATTCCGTCGCCCTCAAATGCCGGAAAAGACCAAGTTTCGAGCAGTTTAGGGGTTAATCCTTCAAACTTCACTGCCAGCTCTGGAACGTTTCAACAACTTTCTAAGAAAAATGAAGAATTATCAGATAGAGATATTTTTGACTTTGATAATATTACAGACATTAAAAAAGAAAACAATTTACCCAAAAAAGAGGTCGAAACGGAAAATCAAAATGAAATCAAAAAAGAAAGTAATAAGAAAAATGATTTTACCTCTTCAAATTCTCCTAAAAAGGCTTTGATGAGTAACGTTCTTGGTTTTATTTGGGGTGGAAGCAATTCTAATAAAAATGAAACGGAATCAAAGAAAGAAGCTACAGAGGGAAAATCTTCGAATATAAAAACATTTTCTGATATCCAAAGTCAAGACGATAATTTACATCTTAAAACTCAAAACGAGCAATTGCCGCACCCCCCACCTCACAGCTCAGCTTCTTCTACCTTTTCAAAGGATAGTGATGGCGGAGACAGTTTTAATGAAAGTGTCTCCAGTAGATTACCTCAAAAGGTCAACACAACGCCTATGATGAGTGGATCGAATGTCGGTCACTACAGAACACCTAGCCAGTACAAAAATACGCCTAGTGAAGTTCCAGGAGACCCTCTTCCCCATAGTATGTCAACTTCGACTATATCGAGCTTTTCATCGGCAACTACATTTACACCTATTTCTACAACTAATTCCAGAACAAGTGGAATTCCTAGCTTGCGTTCAAATACACCTTCACCATCTCGTCAAATACAAGGCAATCCTTATTTCACGTCAAATCGCATTGGTGGCGATATTTCCAGCATAACAAGACCCCCGATAACAAACTCTTATGCTAATAGTGAAAATGATGGTAGAACAACCACTGTGGTAAGCAGTTTTACCGAGTCACAAAGTAATTCTAGTTCTATTAATCAACCAACACGATCCATTTCCCCTGGAAAAAGAACAATGCATCCTAAAAATCCTAACGTCATAGTTGTTCATGCTCTACCTAGCACAGGACGTGGGCCTCAAACATTTGCAGAAATGCAGGGAATTCCTGTTGCTAAGCCTAAAGAGGATTGTATAGTTATGTAAAACCTTTTAAAAACTTTTGATTTCTGGTATCTAATAATAAGTAAATTAAAACATGTATTGACTGGTTATTCCTGCTTTTTTTTTTACAATATATTGGATATTGTACATCCTAAGGATGACTTTAAGAAGTTAATAACTGGCTTCTTAATCCTGCTATATTATGTAGTAGGATTAATGTCCAATGCTATAAGGGTTAGGTAAACCCTAATTTTTTAAAGACTGGGCCGGCCGGGTAATAGTGTAAGGACCATAAATAAAAAAAATTTGCCTATTTTTTTATTTTGCACAATTTATTAATCTTTTTTTTCCTCTCTTCTCTCTTTTCTCTTTTTACATATTATGCATAAACTTATGGTAAGTTGTTTTGTTTAACCCATTCAAAGCAAACTAAAGTGATGAAATGCACTTAACAAAAATTCAACTAGAAGCTGTTTCTGAATTGAGCATTGAAGAAACAGAAGAACCGCTACTCTGACCATTGTTTGTTTTGATTAAATTTTTGAGTTTTATGATATTCGAGCCATTACTAATGAATATCTAGTTTTTTTAAAATAATGTATGACGATAGTCTCATTTTTCGTTTCTAGGACTGCATATTTATTAATCGTATCTGTAAGCACTTGCTTTCAATATTGTGAAAGTTTCCATATATATACATATAAGTAGACCAATAATATTTTATTTGTTTCAATTTTTGATTATTTCTTTTTTAATGATTTCTATAAGATCTGTTGGAATTTTCATTTCAAATATTAAATTATATTTCCTGATATTCTTACTTTGTACCATGGCTTGTTGAATTGTGTTATCTTAAAGCTTCTAATTAAAAGCTTAGGGTCATAATCTGGACTTAAATTTTTCTAAACAGAGTATATTGGGATTTTAAATATGGTTATTCGTGCCATATGTTAATTGATAGTCTATTATAGCTAACTATCTTTCAAAACGACTTGGACCTCGAGTATTCCTATTTAAGCTGATTAATTACATATATTCCTTAAACTTAGCATTTTCTGTTGAAAAACGAGAAATAAAATCTGTCTTTAGTGTGATATTTTACAATCTAGCCTAACGTAATATTTACATTAGCTCCTTTGGTTACGAACATATGACAATTTTATGTAATTGCTTTTTGTAACTGTAGTAATATATCATGTGATTTCATTTGTTTATTTTTTCACTTTTATTCTACCCACCATTTATAACTTAATTTTTTTTCTGCTTTTTCAAAACATCTAGGCTTATATCAAATCAAAAAGAAAAATAAGTAAACTGTTATTTTAATATTCTTCATTATATTCTATTAATATCGGCGTTTTTCTATCGTCAACAAAATGCTTTTATTATAAGCATATAATGCACTTTTATTATCACAAATCTTTTATCTTAAGTTTTAAAATTATATTTACAATTGTGCATTTTGGCCATCCGCTCTATACCATTTTTCTCTGATTTCCTTTTAATCTCAGATATTTTTGTAGCGCAATGGCTGATTCAGGTTATTCAAATACCGGCAATTCTGCCGTTCAGACAAATCCGCTTAAAATTGCTCCTAAAGATATTCACACTATCACCGCTGAGATACACACAAACTTACTACAAACTACAGATTCTACTCTTCGCGAATCTACAATTCATGATGTTCTTATTTATCTCACAGATCCTGCTACAAAAATTGATCACTGGTTTTGTGACTCTGATGAGCGAATTTTAGTGGCGACTGTGTCGTTGCTAGGATTTGCTTTTTCTGACGATATGCCTATTCTTAGGGCACATAGATCTCGTTTAGCTGAAGTTTTAGGGGGATGTCACAAATGTGTACGTGAATACCACATTCAGCTAATACGTTTGCGTCGACTCCTTCAAGATGATCTGCAATTTGGAGTTGAAGTTGCAGATGAGCTTCTCAACTGTATCACATCCTGGAATGTGGACAGACTTACTACCTTTCTCACAACTGTCAGTCAAAATTTGGAAAAAATTGAAAATCCAAGGCCTCGAGATATTTCGTATGCATTTGTTTCTATATTTGAATGCTTATGTGCTCCTCGCATGCTCTTAGATCCTGATCACAGGGCGTTATTCGATATATGCAAAAAAGTTTTCTTTTACGTCCAAACACCACAGTCACCTGGGATTCGCCCGCCAGAGCTATTACCTGGCTTTATTTCTTTTCTTTTTGGAAATGATCCTGAGTTTTATATATTTGTACGAACTTCTGTGGCTAGAATGATAACGAAAAAACAAACAACAGATGAATCTTCTTTTGACATTATGCTGTGCAATGCTATAGATGATATTGTCAGCGATATTCAATCAAATCCTCGCACACAAGATGAAATGAGACTTTTTTGGTATAATTTTGATTTTCTCTTAAACATTCTTGAACCGTCTGTTTTAAAGCAAAAATTGGCTGGTCGTGAATTTGATATTTTACGATTTCTTGCGAATTCGATACTTCAGTCTCCTCAAGCGTCACTCCCTGCAGCTCTTTCAGTGTTGAGTTCAGTCATTGAAAAGCTGGGCTCCGAAACATGGGACGTTTTTGCCCCAATAAAAGTGAATGCACTAGTGATGGCGATTGTTCGAAACCCATATTTTGTTAAACCTGAAACCTGGATCCCTAGACCAGCTGAATCCGAATTAGATTTCCCACAAAAAACAAGTGATTCTTTAAATTGGATAATACCTCTTCTAAGGAGTTGTGACAAAACAGATCTTCAAAAATGTGGTCAGCAAATTCTTCCAAAAATAATGGAAGTAGCAATTCATTTTAAATCAAAACAAGAAGAAGAACCAATTTTCAACAAAGCTCTCGACATTTTTATTCTTTGCCTTAAATTTGAACCACGAACAAGTCGTCTTCCATTTCTTTTTCAAGTTGAGCGACTTGTGAAGCAAGACACAAAACTTTTATGTTATCAATATGCTGATAACTTACTAGACGCTTGTAAGCGCTTCAAAGATATTGATCTAGACGTTTTTCAAAAAACTTACGACATCATATATTACTCAATTTCTTTGGATGTTATAGCAGGTACACCAGAATTCCAAGCTCTTAAAAATTCAAATAGTTATGAAGGTGAAATTCCCCCACCTGGTACTAAAAGCCTTTGGGAAAAGCTCAATAGTGCATTTCCAATCAATACTGATATTTCCATTCCTGTTCTTCGAGCACTAAAACATATTACCTTTATTGCTCGACCACCTCCAAAGAAGCCAGATGAAGTTTTGGTTGTTCCTAAAGGAGAGCTTTCACATTCTGCAATTAACAATGCCATTGAATCAATGAGACTAATTGGTCTTTATGACTCCGAGAACCTAGCCCCTGTTTTAAAAGATAAGAAAGCTCTTCTTTCGATCTTTCTTTGCATGTTTTCTGCGGATGAGAATGTCAATCAATCTGCTGTTGATGTTTTTTGTCAAGCACTAGATGCTGACGATAGACTCAGTGCACTTACAGGCGTTTTAAATTTTGATCTAAAAGTCACTTTGTCTGTTCTGACAGAAGCGATTGATTTTGTCAATGTGATAGGAATTTTTGCGCCATGCCCAAAACTCATTAAGGTTTCTCAAGACGTATCGCAATGTTTATTTGGTGCATCTTTTGGTGTTTTTGCAAAACATAAGGATGAACTGTCTTCAGGAAGCGATAATGAATTTCTGCTTTACTGGGTCAAGCTTTGGACATTTTTAGAGCGAACATTTGCTAAGACACCCAAATGGAGTTCTTCTTTTAAAACAGATTTTATGATGGAATTCCTTCGAGATTTAATTGACTTCAGTGGTGGTCTTGTCGAGTACTTTTCATTGGTTGAGTCACTGATTCCCCCTCTTACGCAAGGACAGATCCAAAAGCTGCAAGAACAATCGATGGCTAAGAATGATTCTAAAACTCCCAAGAGCATCAGTGGATTACTACTTGAGCCTGTCATTGTCTGTTTGATCCAGATGTGTGAACTTCTACGTCTTCGTGATGAAGCACTTATTCGGTCTTGCTTTGGAGTTATCATGGCTGTTTTAGAGTTAATGAAACGCTTTAACATTTCTCCATCTGATGAACTTGTCGAGGTTTTTACTAAGCTTGCTAGTAATGCTGCACGATTTGAAAACAATTTGACTAATGACCAAAAAACAAGTCTGTTAGTTGCCAGTGGTTCTTTCACTATTGAAGAAGCTGAACGCGTCATGGGTGGTCGTGCAACACCAGATGCCGATGACGATGATATCCTTGAAGAGAGTGTTGTTCACCGTAACGCTGCCACGTCCATTACACCTGGTGCCACTTCAAAATCGGATGCTTCAGGGAAGCAAACTTCATTGCTTGATTTTACCAAATCCAATGGTCAGACTTCTATAAAAGCATCACCTTCATTTCCAAAACCTTCATCTTCAGCTGCTTATACTGTCGGCCTTTCAACTCCAAAGGCTAGTATGCTTGATGCTGTTCGGCAAAGTCTTAATGCCAAAAAATCCACACCGTCATCCACTTTATCAAAACGCGAGATTCATCCAGCCCGACCTCCCGGATTTAATTCAAATTCTATGTTTGCTCGCAAAGCTGCGGCTGCAGCTGCTTCTGGTTCATCTCGGTCAAACCGCAGCAGCCCTAATAAAGATGGTCACAGTTCCTCTGAAGATGAGGATAGCGAGAATGATGATAATGAAGATGGCCTGTTTACTGCTAAGCCACAGGCTCCTCATAAGTTACGGAATATTGAAAAACAGACTACCACCTCCTTAGGTGTTGGATTTTCTAGAGGTCGCTTTTCGCGAGAAACCATTTCCGAAAAGGAACGTGAAGAAAGAAATATGCGCGCCCGTCTTCAAGTTGATTTGGATCCACTATATCGGAAGATCTTAAGTTGGGATTACCATGCGACTTTAGATTATCCATCCGTGCTCAATAAAGATGGAACCTCTTCTCCCAGTGATACCCAACAGTACAAAGCTGTATCTAGCACTTTTAAAACTGTCACCGAGTATGTGAATACTTTTGAACCTTTGCTTATGCTTGAATGTTGGCAAGGAATTGTTAAATCAAAAGAGGAAAATATGGAAAAGCCTTTCAAGGTATGGGTTGGAAGTAAAACTTTAGTTGGAAATGGAATCTATGAAATCCGCGTTTCTGTTCCGACAAAGGTTTTTTCACAAACTAAAATGGGTGATTCAGATTTAATTATGCTTTCATACTCTCCTCAACCTAGCGTTGATGCAATTTACCCAAAGAAAGATATTCCATACTGCTTTGCCAAAGTAAAGGAGATCAAAAATAGTGGTCCGGAAAACACCGAAATTGCGGTTAGAGTTGATGAACCGCCTCTAAAAATGCATACATCTTTGACTTTAAATACAGAGCTTCATGTTTTACGAGTGACGAGGTATATCTTTCCACTTTTGGTCTTGAAATTATAATTACTAACTGCTTTTTTTTTAGCTTGACAACAATTGAGCGTGAATATTCATCACTTAAAGCTCTTGCTTATTATAATCTTAAAGATAAGATTTTGGCTGCTGAACCTAGTGAATCATCTGAACCCAGAAATGAGATCTTAGCTCAAGTAATTAAGGCCTATAATGTGAATGAATCTCAAGCTCGTGCAATTGTTTGTTCTCTTAACACTGATGGTGTTTCACTTATTCAAGGGTATGATTTATATATTGTCTTTTTTTTTTAAAAATCTAATTTTTTTAGTCCACCCGGTACTGGTAAGACCAAAACAATTCTTGGTGTCATTGGATCGTTTCTTACAGAACAACGTTTTGGAGCTTCTCCTCCTGTAAATAAAACTTCCAAGGAACCTGTTACACCCGAAAAGACACGCCGTATCATTATTTGTGCACCATCAAATGCTGCTGTTGATGAACTGGTTCTTCGTTTGAAAGATGGTATTCAAGGTCATGATGGACGAAAGTTTAAACCCAGCGTTGTACGTTTGGGTCGTTCCGATGCAATTAATAGTAATGTTCAAGAATTTACTTTAGAAGAACTAGTTGATCGCAAACTAGCTGCACTTGACAAAGAAGCAAAGAATGTATATGATGGTCAACTGCGCGAAACACAAAACGAACAACTTGCTGAACGTGAAACCTTACGAAAGAAAGTAGCGAATTGTCAGAACCCCCAAGAAACAGAAACTCTTAGGTCTAAAATTGCTGATCTGACTCGCAAAATTAAGGATACTGGTCATGAGCTTGATCGCCAACGTGAAAACATCAAGGTTAATATCCGGAAACGTGATATCGAAAGAAGAAAGTACCAAACCTCTATCATCCAAGCAGCAAACGTCGTTTGTACAACTTTGTCAGGTTCAGCTCATAATGTTTTGCTTTCTCTCGGAATGTATTTTGAAACTGTTGTTATCGATGAAGCTGCTCAATCCGTAGAGCTTTCATCACTTATTCCACTTAAATATGGGTGCAAACAGTGCATCATGGTTGGTGATCCAAACCAATTACCACCAACAGTTTTATCTTTAGAAGCGGCCAAATTTAAGTATAATGAATCGTTATTTGTTCGCATGTTCAAAAACTTCCCTAACCGTGTTCATATGCTCAATACCCAATTCCGTATGCATCCTGAAATTTCACAGTTTCCTAGCAGAGAGTTTTACCGCGATAAGCTTAAAGACGGACCTGATAATCATCTTGAAACTCGTCGAGTTTGGCACACAGCGGAACTTTTTGGGCCCTATAGATTTTTTGATGTAAGTGGTCAGCAAGAACAGTCAAAAGGTACCAAATCTTTGTTCAATAGACATGAAGCTGCCTTTGCTCTTAATCTTTATTCAATGTTGGAAAGACATTTTGGGCGTGATTTCCTTGCAGGAAAAGTTGGCATTATTTCTCCTTACAAAAGCCAAGTTGGTCTTTTGAAGAGAACATTTATCAACGCGCTTGGAAATGATATTATTAAGGATATTGATTTCAACACAATTGATGGTTTCCAAGGTCAAGAAAAAGATATCATCATCATGTCATGTGTACGTGCACAGCCTGATGCCAAGGGTGTTGGTTTCTTGGGCGATACTCGCCGTATGAACGTCGCTGTTACACGTGCTAAAAGTTCACTTTGGATTCTTGGTAATGAAAAATCTTTGGTTGGAAATCCAGTTTGGAAGCGACTGCTAGATGATGCAAAGAAAAGACGACTTTTTACTCGAGGTACACCTAGGCTTTTCGAAGATGAAAAACTAAACTATGACGTTAGAAGGGCTGCAAAATCAGTTGCTATTGAAGTTGGAAATGGAAATCTTTCAAATGGGCATTCCAGCAATTATAAACCATTATCAAAGCCTGTCCAAAAAAGCTCAAAGAAGCCGGGTCCTCCTATTCCACCTTATCCTCAGCCCCCAAAGCCAACACAACAAAAGCCATCTTCAATTTCATCTCGCAGAGACAGTAGTGATTATGAGCCAGGAGTTTCTTTTACCAAAAGAAAAACGCCACCACTTTCAAACAATAACAGTAGTGACGCGTATTCTCCTAATATTTCTAAGCGCCGTCGGCAATCGCAGGATGAAGAGAGATCCGCCAGCGACCAAGCTTCAAAGGACAAGGCCCAACCTGTCGAAAATCAAAGAAGGTCCTCTAACTCTTCTAATGACTTGGCTAACCCGTCGTCATCAACTTTCAGTATTCCTTTAAAGCCATCACCTCGCAATACGACCTCTGTAAATCCTTTAAAAACTTTTCCAGATACTACCAGCCCTTCAAAAGCCCAGAGTAGCTCTATCATTCCTCAACACCCTAGACAGCAGTTACCCCAGCAAATACCACAAGCTCCACAAGCGCATCATGCGCAGCAACAAAATTCTAATACATCACATTCTGAAGCTGAACCTCAGAAAAAAGTTACTATTAGAAGACGCCCACCATCTGTTTTTGTTAAACGGCCACCTGGCCGCCGATAAATTGGTTAAAATAGAGCTTTTAACTATACATTAATCTAATTAGATAGCATTAATGAAATAAAAAATATTTTTGAATGCTATAATTTTAATTTAAAAAAAGTTTTTCAACTAAAACATTTACTTTTAATTCCCTAAATTAATTTTTATTTGAAGTCTCAGAGTGATCATCAACTATGCCATAACTTCGAGCAACACCGCCACGGCCCCGCTCAACTTCAGCATATCGTTTTTCATTACCTTCCTCCTCATCTACTTCTTTGAAGTCACTTCCCAGACCTGTCCAAGACAATTTATTGTACAAATGGTCGGCAGCAGTCGATACAGTATTGCGAATAACGAGGTGTGAGGAATGACGAACTACAAGTCCTTTTGATTGAGATCCGTTGCTTTCAGAAGAACTGTTTTTAAAGTCTTCTTCGTCTTCTTCTGTTTGAACGTCAAGATGTGTAATCCGTCGTGTATGAAGCGGTCGTGAAGTGCTCACGTACTTTCCGGTAACTGGGTCAAATTCTGGAGGTTCAGATTCATCGTCGTCAATTGGTTCATCATTTGGTTTATTCTGGACCTCTTCTTCTTCTTCCTCATCTTCTAGTCCCAAGTTTCGCATATTATTTAAAACATTTTCAAGCTGTATAGCCCATTTTCCAGTCCATGTGACCATTGGTTGTAATGCCAGTTTAAGTTCGTATGGCGTAATTATAGGTTTATAGTAATCTGGATTTTGGCCACCATTGTTACTCATAATTATTCCTCCACGAGGGCAACCCAGAACAACCCACACATCTACTACATCAAAATTTGCCAGCTTAGGAACGTTTGGTTTTCCCACAACAAATGTGTAGTATTTCTTCCCTGCAGCTGTGATCCACTGTTGTATACGAGTAATTGCATCGCTCACATCACGTAATGATAAAGTATTAATTAAGATTCCAATAGTGGATGCCATTCTTGCTTCATTCATGCTTCGGTATCTGCGTTGTAAATTAGTTTCTGGAGTTTTAACACATGCCTCAGCTCTGGTGCCATCAATGATGAAAACCCTACTACCAAGGGTTGTGAGATGAAGAAGGTATGATGGAGAAGGGGTACCATATGTAACATAAAATATAGATCCTGAACTTAAAAACTCGTCTGTGTCAAAGTTTTTGTTTTCTATGTCTCGTCCAGGGATTTGCAAGAATGATGGATCTGTGATTTCTTGCTGTGTAGAAGAAGTTATGCTTGGAATAATGACTGAAGAATCCGAAGGCTTTTTTAACAGTGTATTAATAACTTGTGGAGTAGAATTATCTCCATTGTTATCAAAGTTAGCATTGACAAACCCGACAAGTTCATATTCAAACTCGGGATCATAAACAAAAACCACATTTTCAATTTCAGGTTCATTATTATAAGTTTCGTTTATTGCCTTGAGTAAATTTTCTTTCCCGAAACCTAGCTTCTCTTTCCCAAAAACGTAAATCACTTGAGCGTTGGAAACTGGGTTTAGGCAAGCAGTGCCAAAATGAACAATTATATGAGCATAAATGTGTTGTGCTGCAACAACATCCACACAACATGGAGAGTATGATGAGTCACCAAGAACAAAAAGTCTTGGTAAGGTAAGCTGATTGGAAAACTCGGAGCTTTTGTATACGTTTTCAATTTGGTGGTTTAGCTCATGGGTAATATATGCTGAATCGGGAATAAGCTTGTCTGGGAACTGGAGTGCAATAGCTGTAGTTTTTTGAGAAAGTTTCGTTGATGCACATTTGCTTTTCGTATCAGCAGACAGCGTATCAGAACCAGTACATTTGCATGACTGAGAATCGTTTTCTGAAAGTTTGGTAATCTCAAAGTCAAGAATCTGTTTAGCTACTAAATCAAGGGAGAATTTCGAAATTAGATCATGAGCCAAAATTCTGGGGCCCTTTCTATGAAGCTGTTCTGTTCTGTAAAACTGATGATTTGTTGATAAAACAGGAGCAGGAACCGATATTTCAGAAGTCATTTGAATCTATTGGAATAAAATTATGATTGTCGTCTTGAAGTGCTATCTGTATCAAAAGACTAGTCATGGATAAGCAAGGCAATGTATAAAAAAATTTTTTGGCAGTAAGTGTTTGATTACATAATCGTGTTTTGGCAACTTTAAAATCAAATTTTGTTGGTATAAAACGCAACGGTCTAAAAACAAATAAACGTTAACGTTAAGCAAAATAGGAAAAAGAGTTAACTTCAAGCGGGACTATTTCTTCCTTGATTTAATCTAAAAAAAGAATTTGAATACTGAGTCCATTATGTTATCAGTTTATTCATTTGAAAGATAGTAAGAAATCAGATAAAGAATGACAACTTAAATTTTATATCCAGCACACGATAAATTATGGCACTATTTCCTGATTTGAAATGCTTTTTAATAGCTATGATAGCAGCTGAGTTAAAAACTTAGTTAATATTGGATTGGTTTAACTATTAATTCTAAAAGCATACTGTTTGAAAATTTTAAAAGGAATTTTTAAAAAAAAAATAAGTACTTGTTGTTTTATAGAAAATCAGTTCTATTAATAATTTTACATATCTAAACTTAAAATTAATGAATGATACAAGATGAATAGAATTTTTGCTAAATCACGGTTGTTGGAGGTTGAGAATAGCCGAACTTTTCTAATCAGAAATAACAGAAAATCAATTTATGCATGTATCAAAACGATTTTCAAAATCAAGAAATATAGGAAGGTTTTCTAGCTTAGAATAACCCTTCGGAAAAAGAAATAAGAAGGGATATAATCCCATTAAGGAAATGAATTTAAAGTTGCTCACAACATTTGTTGATTAAGATGAACAATAATCTTACCCCATAACTTTACGAGTTTCTTTTCAAGCTTCTGTCACCCGAGGTCTCACAATTTAATTTTTAGTTTCAATATATGAATGCACTATTAATAAAATCTAAACTATGTATAATCGTCAGTGTGATAAAAATAAGTGATGTTGGCACTATTCATTTTAATTATAATTATAATTATAATTGGATAATTTACTCAATTAAATTTTTTCCAATGCATCTGATAAACCATTGGCTATTTTATTAAAGTAACACCTGTTGGTCTATGTTACATTAAACTTTTGTATTGATAGTTTTTTAGGTAAGACCCACTTCTTTTTTGTAGCGATCCCTTCCCCCTCATTGCGCATAGAATCTGCACACTTATTTTTTTCTTTAAAATAACTTTGGGCATTATGAAACTGCGTGACCATTTATGTAGTAGTCAGTATAATTATAACCATTTGAAGGCTTTAAATTTGAATTCTATGACTACTCAAGCTGATAAAGTTATCATCAATTATATCAGCCATGCGATGAGATGAGTTTAGAGTAATGGGATGATTTCTCAAAAGTTTGACATTTTTTTCTATAAAAATCATGGAAAGAGACTATTTAATCTTGGTATTTTTTATGGAGAATTAAATCTACATGAACAAGATTTAAGTTTAAATTCCTAATAGGCAATGGATTATTTAAATATATATATATACTGTATACGTTATTATTTTTGACTTAGTACCTGCCTGTCTATTAAACAAATATAATGGCTATCTCATTTTTTTATAGCCCGCCCATTTTACTAAGTCAGATTTTAATGCTTAAAATACAAATTTCTGAACGGGATTCTTTGGTAGTTATAGTGGAGTCATTGTTAATCTAGTGCCTGGTCGTTTCGTCAAGATCACATCGATTTGTTCAGCTCTTAGAACCCATGTAAAAATATTCTCTTGCATTCCAAAAAATTACTAAATGTGGTCAATGTCGTACTTGTAATGTAGACTTACGATTTTAGGCCTCTGTAAGCCAAAGTTTTTTTAGACAAAAAGAACAATTGCCTATCAATAAGGCTCAATAAATAAGAGCAAAACCTTGATTCACATTGCTTTTTAATACTATGATTTTAACACAGAGTAAGCGATGCGGGATGAAATATTTTTTCAATAAACCAATAAATAATTAATTAATTAATTGACAATTGACAAAAAAATAACCCTCTTCACGGCCGAGTCATCATTTGAAGCTTAAATAAACTTTCCCCCAGTCAATACTGAAAAGTCAATAGAAACCCAATTGGCTCGAAGTGTTTTCCTTAACAGCACGCATTGTTGTACCCTGTCGCTTCCCCTTCTTCCATCTCACATAATTTAAGTTTGTTTTCATTTACTTCATTTCGTGATAAACTACCACTATCATGAGTAACTTTGTCAGGGAATATGAGTGTTTTACTGTAGAAGATAAGTGAGCATGTGGTTCAAAAAACCATTGTCCATAGAATATACAATTAAATAGATATCCGGTTAAGGCTTATTGATAATATACCAGTCTGGTTCTAGCTATGCCAGAAATCTGGATCCGCTTTTAAATCTATTGTGATAAGGCCTGAAAAAGTGCTGTGAAAGTGTCATATCTATCATCATAAAAGAAGAAAACAAAAAAATTATTTGAAATCTGAATACTACAATTCATAGAAGATATTTTAGAATAGAAGTATACTACATTTTAGCGCAACAAAAGTTACATTGTTAATAATTGGGTTTCAAAAAAATAAAAAATAAAAAATAAAAAATAAAAAATAAAAAATAAAAAATAAAAAATAAAAAAAATAAAGGAAAAAATTTTGCTTTAGGAATAACGCATCTATTAGAAAAAATGAATTTTATATAGCCAAACTTTTATTCAGGTGAATGGCATGTTAGTGTAATAAACAGGAGTTTGGGTTGTCGAACCAAAGTTTTGTTGCTGATTGACAACAATACCATTTTCCCCAGACCGATGATCTCTAGCTACAGGTTGACTATTAAAGTGATTGTGCTTAATTGAAGTCCCTGCCTCATAAGTGGGTCTAAAAGTGTTTTGTTGCACTGGAAAAGAAGAAGAGGAGGAGGAGGAGGAAGATGAAGATGGGACCTGTATGCTCGAACCAGAGTGGGTACTTGAACTTAGCTTGTCTCCGTATCCATTCTCTTGGAAAATCTCAGGACTTGTGTGAATCCTTCTTAGTTTCGAATTTCCTTCAATAATAATTTCCTTGTCTTTTCTAGTATTGCGGAAAAACTGGGGGTTTCTTCCACGGACCACAATTGGATTTGAGGAAGCAGAAAGAAGTGGAACTGTAGTTGAGTTTTCAAGATTAGCAGAGAGTGTGATTGTGACAATAAAGTAGTTGCTTTTTTTGCTTCTGCCAGCAGAATGCGTTGCGCGCTCAAATCTGAGGCGCTTCCAATCAATGTGAGAATCTCTGGAACTAGAGTTCATGGGCACTGGTTTTTCTTTAGGACGGACGTGCACATGTTCAGTTTTTTGAGACGGGCTGTGAGAAGGATCATAAGAAGAATCATGAGAGGGATCATGAGAAGGATCATGAGAAGGATCGTGAGAAGGATCGTGAGAAGGATCGTGAGAAGGATCGTGAGAAGGATCGTGAGAAGGATCGTGAGAAGAACTGTGGTGGGAGCTCGCACTGTGAGATTCCGAACCTTCGGCTCGAGGTTTTTTTGAAGTCTTTTGTTTCCCCATACTATGGTAAAACAATGCAACAGGTTCCATTTTATCATCATGAACTCTGAGATCCAAAGAAAGGGATAATATTTTAACAAGTTGTGGTATTTGGCTGTGCGTTTGTACAAAAGGACCAAAGTCAACATAGCGAGCCTTGTTAGCGTCAGTCACAGTACAAAGAATTTCAAAAAGATTTCTTTTGGTAAATATTAGCATCCATGGAGGAGTACTTTGTTCAGATAAAGGATTTGCGTCCTTTTTAGGATGTTGGCTTAAGCTGAATTTTCCATCAAATTTACCAAAAAGACCAATTGATACTACAGAATTGTTTGCATCATAAACAGTCGCTTTATTCACAGGAGGATTGAGTTCGATTGAATGAAGAATTTCTTCGTCAGTAAGATTGGGTTCTAAATCTTGTTTCTGCGAGATTGGAGAATTGTTTAAGTCTGCGACTGATTCATCTGAATCAGATTTCAGTGTAGATCGTCTGGATGAAGAAGAGGAAGGAGGTACAAACTGCTGTTGATTTTGGGGATAACTTGGAGCCATGGGCAAGGTAGGTTTGACAAAATTAGAGATTGGGGTGGCAGTTGAATGGATTTGAGGTGTTGTGTTTAGAGATTCAGGAGACGGGAGGATCTGCCCGTTTACAGGTACCGGTTGGTATTGTTGGTTGTATACCTGATTAAAAGGTTGTTGATAAACAACCTGTTGCTGAGGTGGGATGCTTGGAGGGTATGGATGCTGTTGATTTTGAGAATAGTGATTACATTGGTTGATTAAGGGGGCTGGAGAAAACTGAGGATAGGTATTTGCATCAGAAATCTGCTGTTGCTGATGATGAGTGGGAATGGGAGGAGGAGGAGGGGGGGGAGGAGAAACATAAACTGGAGTTGGATTAAAGTATTGCTGCGACTGGACAGGATACGTTTGTGGGATGCTCTGGCCTTGTTGTATAGACACAGGAGTTTGGTTTGAATTGTAATGATGTATTTGAGTGTGATAATATTGAGTTGGTTGAGTTTGGGGAATTGCAAGTTGTTGATTGCTTTCACGAATGTTCTGATATTGGGTATCAGGATAAGGACTGTCTCTAGATACAGAGGTGGTTCGAGAAAGATTGGAAATCGGTGAATGGTTCGAAATTGCGGTAGCAGGAATTCTAGTTGAATAATGGTTGTTAGAAATCAATAGAGTAATTTTTTTTAATGGTTCAGGTTGATTTTGTTTTACATACATGTTGTTTGAATTTCCTTCAAAGTGAGGATTACCTCCAGGTCCATGGGACCCGATAGAGTAATTGTTCATTGGCAGTTATTCAACCAAAGCTTTTAATTATGCAAATTTTTGATTATTTAGAAAAAATTAGAAAAAATTAGAAAAAAAATAGCGTAAGCTTTTAGATGCTAATTTTCTTGAGAGGAAAAAATGAAACAAAAGTATAGGGTGCAAATATATATATATATATATATATATATATATTTTTAACCAAAAAAAAAAATGAAAATGGATTATATTGAGATTCAACAAAACCGTTAAGATAAGGAATTGACAACTATTATTAAGGTCGATATTCTATACTCATAGTCTGTTTTTTTTTCGAAATCTTTTGATTCGAGTATTGAAGATTATATTTAGAAGATATTCCAATTAATATCAACTATTAAATAGTCTAAAGATAGATTGTAACGTAAGGAAATATTGCGACTAGGCTTGTATATAATATATATAAGTCCCAATTAAAAAAAGCTCGAAAAAAAGAGAGATTTTAAATTGAGCTTTATGAATCTTTCAAAAATAATAACAAAAAAGTGGTTTAAATTTGAAATGAAAAAGGGGGGAGAAAAAAAAAGAGAAAGAAAGAAAGAAAGAAAGAAAAAAAAAAAATGTGATAAAAAAGTGGGAGTGTGAGAGAGAGAGAGATCCAAAGGTATATATTTATTTACATTGACATGACAATACTTGAAATATATACAATAAATTAAGTATAATACGTTTATATGATAAATATTTACTAAAGAAAGAGATAGAAGGGGAAAAATAAGACCGATGTGATGATGTGATAAATTATGGTTATTGGAATTAAAATATTTTGTATGGGTGTATGCAAAAGGTCACTAAAGTCAACTAAATACTAAAGTTTATTTTTATTTAAGTATGATAACGTAAAAGTTTATGTAATTAAGGAAGCTTGTCATATAAACCTTTTCAGAAAAAAAAAATTAATTTTGGATGCTACATAACTTTTGATTTTCCACGCTATTATTTTTATATTAAATATATATATATATTTTATTTTTATTCATATTTTTATTTGAATGCACGAATTATGAGTTGAAGTTTTGTTTGTTTAAAGTGCATATTCTTTTCTATGGAGTTCCACTTTTTTCTTATAGAATAAATATAAAAATAAAATACGTCATTCAGACTTTAATATTTTTTCAACATTTTATTCTCAATATCAGTTTGTATGTGGATGTTGTTAATTTTCAAATCATATCTCCTATAACTTTCTCTCTCTCTCTTTTTTTTTTTTTTTTTTTTTTTTTTTGCAATTTCGATGGCTTTAAATTTTAATTTTTAAAAAAAACCCACCAAAGACTTTGTTTAAAAAAATTAAATCTACTCATTTTTTTTTTCTGGGTTTGTTACTGGACCACAGCCACCACCATAAGTCGGCTATTATGTACATTCTTACGTCCTTACCATTTGTTTATTGTTTTGCGCATAATATATATATATATTTATTAAAATATTACAGAAATATTCTCAAGCATTGACCTAATTGAGTTAAGTCCGTTTAAAGGCCCTCATACCACATTTTTGGGAGTGACAAACAAATCCAGCAAAAAAAGCCGTACTGAATGCATGCACAACTGCTCTGCAGATTGTGTGAGTGTGCAAACTCTGGACATGAATTCCGACCATCCAGAGGGTAACTTGAAATAACTGATAACTACTGAGTTCAGGACGCTTTGAGGTAAGCTGCTACTTCTGGTTTCTAAAGTCATATTCTGTACCAATGAGCTATGGTATATATTTTTTGGTTTCTTTTCCATACTACAGATTGTATTTTATCAATGTTCATTATTATGTCCACTTAAATTTCAGCAATTTATTTTTCATCAGAAAGTTTTAGTTATTAGTTATCAAAGAAACGAAACGAAACGAAACGAAAAAAAAAAAAAAAATGGCTTTGTCTTCATTTGATGACGCATTATTATATATGTTCAGTATGTTGCTAAAGTGCTATAAATACTATTATTATTATTATTTTTGTTTTTTTGTTTTTTTGAATGTTATCTCCGCTATCCAGACCAAAAACATCCTTGTCCTAAAAAAAAATAATAAATAAATAGAAAATAAAAAAATAAGAAAAATAAAATATATGAGTGGGTAAGGGTTTTATAGGTTTTTTCAGGGTCTTAACGGAACACGGGAATTCGCACCGTATGGGTAGATGGATCCTGTAACTAACTACAATCACTTCTAAGCTTATTAGGAGTAAGCTTAACAGTTGTTAACTGCCAAGTATGTTAGCTGCTGTTATACATAAAATCCAAACGTATCGAGAAAACTTCCCAAAAGTTTTTTAGTATGCCGCCTTCTTTTTTTTTTATTTCCTTCTTTTTCGTTTTTTTTTTTTTTCTTTTATTAATTTACATCAAGGCGTGAACTAGTTTAAATAAAAATAAAAAAAATCCCAGATTGGCAATTCACTTTAATATCGTAATATTAGAGCCAAACCGTTATAGATATTCATATTCAAGATATTCTGGTAACCTGAATCTTTGGATAACTATATATGTATATATATATTTTTTTATATTGCTGCTACCTTTATTTTTTTTTTGTCTTCCTGTTTAATGATTTGTAATAATTGACAAACAAATCACGATACTTTGAAGCGTTCATTCCAAATAATCATCGTTTTTTTTTTTTTGTCTTTTTCACTTTTGTCAAAAAAAAAAAAAAAAAAGGAGAAAGAAATGAAATCTCATTTTCAGGCATACGAGCTTGTGCAGACAATACTTGTTGAACCAACCCCGGAGTAATTACGTAATAGTAGCCGCACATGTTTGCTTATTTCTTCTTGTAAACTTATTATTTTAAATTTTTAAATACATTTTATCAACACAAAGTCCCAGACCTTTTTCTGTCAACTCACATATAAATGAAAATAGGGGGGGGGTGGCAGGTCACTGTAAAAAACATAAAGTGAACATTAATTTTTCATCAATCAATAGTTCGCTGGCTAATAGTTCTTAAAAAGCCAATCAGGTTTATCCCGTTACCCCTATTTTAAAAGAATATATTTATATATTCTGCAGAAGTAGCCAGATGGACATTCACCAAATGATAACTACAATTAAGATCCTACTGTTTATTACTACATTACCGGTAATTTGAGAGAAACACTTCTTTTAAAGGCATCACCCTTATCTTGTTTGTCGTTTTTTTTAAAAAAAATTGTTTTAAAAAACGTTAAAAAAAAGTCGATGGGATATATATAAGTTCTGCATGTTGTTGTTAGAAGAGGACATCCCTTTATTACCCAGACCTTTTATATATGATATATAAATTCTCTTATAGAAACCTGAAAACCCTGTAACGTTAAAGTCAAACAACTTCACTTAGGTTGTTCTATTCACTCTTTCACTTTCCACATATTAAAAATTTCCATTAAAAAATTTATGCTAAGTAAACAATCAAAAAAAAAAAAAAAATACGCAATGTCAACTTTTAAATTGAGAATATGTATGTAAGAAGATTTATCAAATACTATGAAAGGGAAAAAAATTTTGACTTTTTTGTCATAATAACCGATTATATTATATTAATATATTAATATATTACTGCCCTTGTCTAAACGCAATTAATATAATAATAATAATAATAGGTAGAAATAGATGTAAATAATTTTTTTAACAAAAAAGGTTTTAAAAAATTACAAAGTTTATCACTATCAAATAATATTCTGGTTATTTTAAGAATGAAAAAAAAAAAAATGATGGAGAAAACCGCTCGGAATCATTCAAAAAAAAAAAAAAAAAAAAAAAAAAGTCTTGGTTTTAAAATCTTAAAACCAAAGAAAATGGGTTTTCCTAATTTGGTTATAATGAAAAAAAAATATATATATACATAAATATTTTCATAAAAAAATTTAAAAAAGATTTCAGCTGATATTCATACATCATCATATTTAATATTTAATATTACAATTTTTTTTAATTACAATTTCTCTTTGATATACCAGGTATCATACATATAAGGGCCACATAATATTACTGCAAATCAATTTTTTATTTTTTTTTTTTTCAGCTTTCTAAATGTCCAAAAGAAGTCATTATTCATATATTCATAAGAAATACAGTAAACTTCTTCTCCTCCCTTTAATAAAATTAAGAAAGTAATCTACTATGCATTTTACTTATGCGGTTATCTCGGGAAAAAAAAATTTTTCTAAATTTTTTTTTTGTTTTCTTTCTTTAAAATAAATTTCAATTGAAACTACTGATTAGGTATATATAACAGCGATATTCGAATGTTCTTTTTAAAAAAAAAAAAAACATATGTTCATACTTTTATACTCTTATACTTTCATAGATTAAGAGATTAGGATATACAAATAGCCAATACTATAAGTTTTAATGGATCAGTCTATTTTGACCCGTCTTCCGGTACCTTACTTTGACATTTATGGTTATCATCGATTTGAATAAATTAAAACAAATTTTGTTAACAATCAATATCAAGTTTAAACTTAAATACCTAGTTAATTCCTTTTTTTTTTTAACTTTTATTTCTTTTGACTGTATTGCATGAACTCAGGCCCATCAAGAAACACCCAAGTTGTTTCCCAACCCATAAAAAAAAAAAACGAATGGTATAGTTCTATTAAAAGAACTTTTCCCCATGTGAGTGCCGCCTATCGCTCCAGCTTTTTCGTGACAGATTTTAATGTACCAACCTTGTTAAATGTTTAAAAAAAAAAAAAAGCTTCCAAAAATAAAAATAGAAAAAAAAAAAAGTATATATATTTTGTCAGTAGTGGTGCAATTTTTTTTTTCCTCTTTCTCTCTCTATCTCTCTCTCTCTCTCTCCCCCCCTTGTTTTTAGATAGCCGTATTATAGAACAATTAGTTACTTGTGAAAAATAAATGAATTCTGTGCCAAGTAGATACATTTCTTTTCTATTCATTCGTATACTAATTTCCGGTATACTAATTTTCATAAACCCACCCACCCATCAGTCATTTCATTCTCCGCTTCCTTTTATTTTATATTCTTTGTTTGAAATCTAAATGAAACCATTGAGTAAATTACAATAGTAATATAATAATATCCAGTTAAATCCTTTTTTTTTTTCAGTCATTCAAAGTGTCTGAAATATTTAAAGTTAATTTAGTTCTTTGGATCCTTGAGATAGTTGTTTAAATTTTTCACATGAAATCAGGAAAATGTAAGAGCTATGGAGCAGGCATGTGTTCAGCCGACGGCTTCTTTTTTTTTTTTTTTTTTGAAAAAACCAGGATTTAGTAACTAAAACAGAAGAGAATATGTCTTAAGCTTAGTTTGTTAAGAAGAACTTTTTATGCCAATAAAATTAGTTTAGCTGTTGTATTCTGCTATGAATTTGTAGGCGTATTGGTAGCAAAAGAACAAATATTTTATATTAGTGTACTTTTCTTGCTGTTTGACGTTCTGCCACTCGCCTAAAGTGAATAGAAGTGAAGAATATTTAGATATATATATATATTTTTTTTTTAATATGCTTACTATTTCTAGATATGATTTCCAAGATTAGGTTGACTATGCGCGATGTTGACAGTTCACCAAATGAACTTCAAGAGTAAGGTTTAGTTTCATGGATTAACGTTAGATAACAGCCTATCATGTGCAACAATTTAAGTGCTTTCAATGTGAATTTTAATAATGCAGAAAGTCCTATCTTAGGTTATCAAATCTCGACCCCTTTAAATTAACCATCAAAATAGAGTAATTGTGCAAAGAAGCTAATTGAAAATATCTGTTTAAACAAAACTAGAAGAAAAAAAAAAAAAAAAACGAAGGCTCTTTGGGGAGGGAAGGAAATGAAAAAAGAAACCTTCTTTGCAGTTACAATCACAACTATGATTGAGAAAAGAAAAAAAAAATTAACATAGAAGCATGCTTTTTTTTTTTTTCCAAAATGTTGCAGTGTACTGCATAACTGCAGAATACTTCATTATTTCCTGTTTTTGAGCCATTACTATGACCTAAATCCATGTACAAATATCAAAAAAAAAAAAAAAATTTCTTTTTAACCTAAGGAAAAAAAAATAAAAGAAGAAGAAGAAGAAGAAGTGGATATAAACACCTATCTGATGCTGTCACTTTTCCTTGTATCTCACCGCTATTTTCCAAACGACTACACTTGGAAAAGAAAAAGAAAAAGTTTATTTCGGTGATTTCCACCAGAAGAAACATGTATGTGGGCGTTTATGAAAAAAAAAAAAAAAGAAACTCAAGAAAGAAACTAGTCATAAAAATTAGTTATGGTAGGAATTGGCATCAAAATCCACTAAGGCTTTTTACTAGTGGGAAAGAAGTTTTGATAAAAAACATGGAAAAGAAAAAAAAAAAAATTACAAATATACAAATATACCGCTAAAACTTTTTAAAGTATTCTTTTATCAACCTTTGTAGAATAGATGTTTAATCCCAATAGAAGAAAAGAACAAAAGAACAAAAGAACAAAAGTGACAAAGAAATGAATTATCCCTTGGAAAAAAAAAATAATGAAGAATATATATCTCCTTCGTAGTTACTTAACTGCTATAGACTTCGTCATCTTCCCCACTAACGGTAAAGAATCTAGTAACGAATTGTTCTACGCGAGTCATTGCTACGCCATCATGCTATTCCTTAAGAGAAAAATGGTTGCTTTTTACTAAAAAAAATACCCATAAAGTACTAACATATTGATCTATTTATAAATATGTGGTGCATACTTTGCTTGTGGAATAGAATCAACGATGGGCTCGATTTTTGATGGTCCTGGCAAAACATTGGCCTGTGCAATTGCTATTTCTTCACCATCCAAATCGTAAACAACATACATTGACTTCAAAATATTAGCACCAATGATTGGTACATTAAATGAATTGTCGGAATTTGCGATTCCAAAAACTTTCAAGTTACTAGAGGCCTCAGGAAAGTAATCCAAAGCAAAATCTTTGCCCTGGACAGCAATTATGGCACCTGCAAAATCTAATTTGATGATCTTGTCGCCAGTCTTTTCAATATCTATTAAAGGATAGCCTGATGCTCTAGTATCTTTGTAATCTACTCCAAAATACTCACAAACAGCCAAATATGCCTTTCTTGGAAAATACGACATAGTTGCTCCTGTGTCAAACGCCGCAGGTTTATTAATTTTGAAAGTTTTTCCATCCATATAAATCTCACTAAGCTTGATTGCAAGCGACTTTTTCTTTTTCAGCGTGGCAATGTTGAGTCGAGGAAATTTGTATAATTCTCCAGTGTACTTTGAATGATCAATACCTCCAAAAATTATTCCACCATCGCTTTTGGTTTCTTTCGAAAAAACAAATGAAATAGAATAGGAATTTCTTTTAATGTATCCTTCATCTTTTAAATACTGGGGAAGGTTTTTCCTATTTGAAGATGAATACCCTAATCCCAAGTATCCACTTGTGTCACCTTGAAGAGGAGCCATATCTTTTGTTTTAAAAGCAATTCCATATGGAACATCTCTTAGGGTCTTTCCTGCAAATTCAAAAAAATTGGTAGCATAAGCGAAATTGACAAGGCCCATCATGTACCTTAATAATCCTGTTTCACCAGTTAGTTTTCTGGTTAAATCTCCATGATAATCATAAGGCGCATTTGAAATTGTTGTATCATTAGTTATCCAAATATCTGAAGACCCAGTGTCTAATAAAAGCTTGTAATCTCTTTTGGGCAATCCTATTCCGACTGTGATACTGTAAAAGTACGCTCGATCAAATAGTTCTGCTTGTGGAAGAGAATTTTTTGGGATGGCCAAATCATTCTGGAAGACTAAAGACCGCGTTAGCTCATATGAAATTATGCATTGATGGTCATATTCTAAAAAGGGAAAAACAAAAGATAAAAGATAAAAAGAGAATAATATGTATAACTTCATTTAAAACGCTAGAGCGTGCCGCCTGACTTCCTGAAAACAAAAAAAAATCATTATAGATATCTTTCCAATTTTCTTTTATATTTTTAATGGATTTTTTATGTTATTTATATATATCATTATTGGTAATGTATTTTAATTTCAAAACACTTTATCTACAATACATTAAAATACGTTTTTTGCTTTCATTTTCCATCATTTTTTATAGCATGATTTGTCTTTGAACGTTGTAGATTAATTCATAAAAAAAAATCAAATTTATTTCTTAATTTTTATATGTATAACCAGTTAAACGTAATTGAAATTTTTTCTTTTTTTTTTCTAAATTCTCTCGTACCACTATGCGAAATTGACCTCTATGTTAAGACTAATTCCCAATTTGTATTGAAAAAGAAAATTGATTAAGAAGCAATTTCTACACAAAATAATCTGGACCATTTTAAGTATGGTTTTTCTTATAATCTTTTTCTAGAATTTTTTGTTTTAAATCGAGCAATTATTAAATAATTAATGAAGTTTAATTATCAGTTCATTTTGCAAATTTTCAAATTTGCAACATTTTGCGACATGTTATTAATTTACCAGTGGTCTACTGATGTTTCTCATCTTATCTGAATGTCTTTTTTTTTTTTTTTGAAAGAGAAAAAAAAATTAAAATTAAATGAAGTCTCAACAATAATTCAATTCAAATACAGTTTCTTATTGATTCGTAGTGTAGTCAAATGTAGTAGTGAAAAGGTTTAAGCAAGAACGTTCTTTTACGTTACATTCTTTTTCTAGGGCCCAATTTTTTTCTTTTAATATTTTTTGTAGTATTCAAAATCAAAAAAATATGTATATTTTATACTTAATTTAAAGAAATTTGAAAATAAAAAAAATTTAAGTATTTTTATTTTCATATATTTTTTTCTCTATTCTAAAAAAAAAAAAAAAAAAAAAAAATATGGTGTTCATTTTTTAAAAATCAACGACTGGTTAATTAATTAGCTTCTTACAAAAGTTTCCAGCCGCATAACAGTTGCAAAATAAAAAGGGCAAGTGTTTGGAATGGCAAAACTTAAAAAAATTTAAGCAACTAACTTTGACAAATGATTTTTTTACGCATAAAACTTGAGTTCAAAAAAATAAAATAAAGTAAAAATAATTTATATCAGTTGAATAAAAACAAGCAAACAAATTTGCAACATTTAAAAACAAATATAATTTATATTTCAACTAAAAAGATTGATGCCTCGAGCCGGATTCGAACCGACGATCTCGTCATTACTAGTGACGCGCCTTACCAACTTGGCCATCAAGGCTTCTCAAATATCTGTTACTTTGGGCCTCTGGTACCTATCTAAGGCTATGTATTTGAAAATCATTTTTAAAAAATGTTTTTTTTTTTAAAAAATTAAACAAAAACAAGTAACAAACTAAAACTAAAACTTTTTTAAAAAAATATTAGTTAAAAAATTTTAAGTATTATAATTGAGCTTCTCTTACTTTTCATGATAACTTTAGTGCTTAGTTTTAAATGTTTGGAATTAAAAAAGACAGTCGAAACTATAGGTGCAGCAAGTTGGAATCAGGGCTTATTTTTGCAACGTTGGAAAAGCAAAGTTAAAATTAAATTAAAAGTTTATTGTGAAAACAAAAAGTCATCTAGTAAAAGCAAAAGGGATAGCACAGATACTGCTGTTATATAATTGTGTAATCCTTGAATAAAAACAAACTAAGTGCAGCGATCTGGAAACAGTTGGGCACATTTGAGTGATATTTTCTCGTTGAAGGAAAAAAAAAATTAGAAGGGATAGCTTCTACAATAGGTATGCTAATTCTCTTTAACAGTTTAAATGGCCTACAGGAAATTGTAATGATATTAAGAAATAAAATTATAGATCATAAAAACTAATAGAAATAACTTTTGTAGGTTTGCTCTTTGACCCCATGTTCTTCGTAAGCTGGCATCAGAACCTATTTTTGGGATGGAGATGCAAACGTTGATGTCAAATTAAAATTATATTTTAGAAACGGGAATGTATAGTAGGATCAAAAAAAAAATAGCATTGACACTAATTCTATGTATTTCAATTTCAATTATTCTTGAATGAAATCAAAAATAAAAAAAATTTAAGTAATTTTGAATAAAAGAAAACTTTTAATTTTGACATAATTTTTTATTTTTATTTAACTATACTGGAAATTTTTAGAGCTTCCTTTGTAACAATATTGAATTGTCATATCAAGAGATATATGTTAACAACAAGATAATTTTTTTTTTAGAATAGAAGTAAATTTGATCGTTTTTGAAAGAAGAAACCCCAGTTTGAAATGTTTAGGCACTCCCACGTTTTTCATATTTCAAAAAAAAAAAAAAATAACTGGCGAATTTTTTATTTATTACTTGACATAATCAAAAATAATATCATTTCAAATGGTCTCTAGTTAAATAGGTATCAATCAATAATATTATTCAATCACAAAAGAAAATAAGTGAAACTGAAATCAAAAAAAGTTAGGATTTGATGATTTTTAAGATTATTTATTCATTTATTTATTTAAAAAAGTATATTTGTTGAAATAATATTGTTCTGAGATCGCTTTCATTATTGTAGTATTATGAACCTATCCCTAGTAACTAGCAATCAAAGTAACTGTACTAAGCTTTCTGGCTACAGCAATACCCTTTGAAATGTAGTATTAATAATTATAAATGTAGCAATTCCGACATAGAGTGTCCTATATGGTCTATTGGCGCAAGACAGAAGGAATTTAAAAAAAAAATTACTATAATGAGAGATTTTTACAAAGAAAGAAGTAACATTTATCATTAGTAAACTGAAGTAGCAAATAAACCTTTTAAATTATTGTAAATTATATTTAGAAAGTAATTTAAGTTTATAAAAAGTTGAGGATTCTTGCGTAGAAAAAGCGGAAGCTAAGTGAACAAGTATCTATAGGTTACTATATATATATAATAATTGTACACATGAAGTTCACATTCTCGGGAACTATGGGCGAGCTCAATTTTTTCATCATTGGAAATTTCTAAATGATGGGAAGTATTTAAATGTCCAGTTTTTTTTTTTTGAGCAATTATTTAGCACATAATATTTTACTCTTTTTTTTATTAAAAACATTGTTAATCAAATGTATTATTATCAATTTTTTGAAAGCCTTGTTTTTTTTTTTCATTTTCTATTAACTTTTCTTAAAAATCAACATTTAACTAAAAACAATATTAATCTAATTTTATTTCCAAATGACTCTATCTATATATTCTATTCATTTATTTAATTTTTTAGAAATCATATCCCATATGCATCAGTTTTGTTTTATAAATTGCAGAAAATAATTTTCAATACTCAATATTCAATATTATTTCCATCTTTAATTTCTTAATGCTCTATGATTGAAATAACCGGTTACTTCCTTTTTTTTTTTTTTTTTTTTGAGATACCAAAACTCTTTGTAGTTGTGTTTACAGCGCTTTCATATTTTATTTGTTTTGTTCAGCTGCATATATTTATAAATGTGTTATTTTTCCTATATAAGATATTTTATTCCTTTCTTCAGAAAAAAAATAAAAAATAAAAAAAATTTGATTTTATGGAGCCTAATTAAAACTTTTTTAAGGCTTTCACGGCATCACTCGGCATAATTCCATTTTTTATTTATTTTTATTTATTTTTTTTGATTCTTTGGCTTTTCTTTTTCCTTAGTACAATTATATTAGGTAAGCACCATACATTAATTTATGCAGGTTCTTATTTTAATAATTATTGGTGGGAATATTATTCTTAGTTTCTCAATATAATTATATATGAATTTTTTATTTTTTATTTTTTTTTTAATTATTTATTCTATTCTATATTTTTTTTAACAAAAATACAAATTTCCTTCATATTAATTTACATCTTCTAATTGTGAAAAAATATTCTTTTTCACTAAAAAATATCATCATTCTAACTCTCATTATTTAAAACAATAGCATTTAGATAAAAGCAAACAAAATCCATCCCTGTTCACTGTTGAAATCCTTAACGTGATGCTATTTGACAGTTAACTCCTATTCAGTGATACAGAATGCCACCACTGTATGATTTTAAATGTACATTACATGTACATGTAGTAAATATTGTTTTTCTTTGTTATAGATTTAAGTAAGGTTACTTAGCTGACCCAAGCTTTCAAGCAAAAAAAAAAAAAACAATACAATTGATTTTTTTTTTACTGGAAAATAAATTATGAGACTCTTAGACGAAAAACAATAGTCTCCATAAAGAACTTAAAATTAAGGAAAGAAAAAAATTAAACAAACTAATAAAAAGAAAGTGAAAAAGATATTTGACAACCGAGGGATTCGAACCCTCGCCTCCGAAAAGATAGGAACCTTAATCCTACGCCTTAGACCAACTCGGCCAGATTGCCAACTTGAAATTATTGAAAATGTAATTTGTTTTTAGTATATAAACGTAATATTTTAAATAATAAACTTTTTGCCTTTTAATTATTTGGCTTTAATAAGGGAAAGGGCTGGATGGTGTAAAGGACAACACGTTCGCTCGAAAGCGGAAGATACTGGGTTCGATTCCCAGAATACCCCCTTTTCCTGAGGATGTGTACGGGAGTATACACCTAGACTGAAAACCATAGGCTACCCTGGTTACAGGAATGCCGACTCTTCCGTACAGTCTAAATAGCCTGCAGGTGATTGCGGGCCGTATCTCTGACGGAAGAGATTAAGAAATACATGGGCGTCCGTGAAGATAAGTGGAAATGGGTTGGGAAGGTTTTGGGACCGACAGACTGGTTCTCCCTGTTCCTCGTAAGCTGGCATCAGGGCCCATCTTCCGGGCTACCGGAGACGCACAGAACAGAAACCACCCGTACTAAAAAGGTACAAATGAAAACCGGCAAGTCACATAGTCAGACAATAAAAGGATAGCGCAGATGCTGATGTTATATAGTTCTATAACCCTTGAATAAAAACAAACAAACAAACAATATTTGGCTTTAAAAACCCTTGAATAAAAACAAAAAAACAAATATTTGGCTTTAAAAGGATAGCACAGATGCTGATGTTATATAATTCTATAACCCTTGAATAAAAACAAACAAACAAACAATAATTATTTGGCTTTAAAAACCCTTGAATAAAAACAAACAAACAAATATTTGGCTTTAAAAGGATAGCACAGATGCTGATGTTATATAATTCTATAACCCTTGAATAAAAACAAACAAACAAACAATAATTATTTGGCTTTAAAAACCCTTGAATAAAAACAAACAAACAAATATTTGGCTTTAAAAGGATAGCACAGATGCTGATGTTATATAATTCTATAACCCTTGAATAAAAACAAACAAACAAACAATATTTGGCTTTTAGAATGTTAAAGGACTTTTCAATGCAATAAAATAGTACTAATTTTTTAAATGAATATATTATTAAAAATAAAAATACATAGTTAAATTAATTTTTTGTTGTGAAACCGAAGAAATCTCTTTGCAGATAAAAGTAAAGAAACCCCCTGGTATTGCTAATAAAACTTATTTTTTTTTAGACTATTAAACGAAAAACAAAAACAATAAATTTTTTGGTTTTTTTTAAAAAGTCATTATATTTTCCTAAATCGAATAATGAATAATTAAAATTAAACTGTGATGCTGAAAAAAGATAAATTTTGGTACTTCATGAGTAAAAATAATAATTACCATTTTTTTTCTAATGATGAATAAATTTTGAAAGAAAAAATAATATATATATATATATATATATCAAATTAATTATTTATGAAAATCTGCGTTTTGTAGAATTCCTTTTTCATCAAAAACTTTGAAAACTTTTTTATAAATTAAATCAAATGTAATTTTTTTAACATGTACGATAAGCATTATGTTGTTTACTAAGGTTTTTCCATCTAGTGTATTTGCTCACGTCACCAAAATGTTGATTTTTGCTTCTATTTTTCTCATGCTATCTATTATATTATTAACATTGAAATATGGATATCGTTTAAATATATGTTTTCAAAAATAAATCGGGGTATTTAGCATGTTGTCTTGCCCTTAACTTTATAAACATTGGGTGTTTTTTTTTTCAACTCATTTTCTAAACCAAGAATTAATCTTTTAATGTATAAAATCTATATTTAATACATTAAAAGACTTGAAATTATTATTATTATTATTATTATTATTATTATTATTATTATTATATTATTTGTGTCATTAAACGTACTTTAATAAAGTGGTTTACTCAAACTTTTTCTTAGGAGAAACAAGTTCAGCACCCTTGTCAAAGACCCAATCGACAGCATGCTCGACAGGTTCGTCAAACAAGAAAGGTAAGGCAGGTACGACGGCAAGACCCAAACCGACGGGACCCCAAGTACGAACTTTAGGATTCTTGACGTTCTTCATGGCAATGCCGGCGTACTTGACAGTAGAGTGGATGGTAAAGGCAGGCAGACCCATACTGGCGATTGACTGGAAGACAGCACGCTTAACGGCTACAAACTTCCAGTCCGGGTTGGAGTCGAGAGCCTTTGCTTGTATTTCGGCGGATGGGTAAGGGATTGCGTCCCAAGGCTTGTAGGAATCATCTACACCGTGCTGGCGCAACTTAGCCTTCCAGGCCTCGTAAGAAACATCGCCAATTAAGTAAGCCCAAGAAATGCCGTAAGCGCAGGTAACAAGCTTGGGGTGAGCGACAGGTCGGAACGATTCACCGATATCTGACGTGTAGGCAACATATCGTTGTGCGGCAAGAAGGATCTATTGACATGGGAGATGATTGTTGTGGTTAGTGCTGTGAAAGAATTAGAAGAATGGGGGTTTCTTCTCTTTATTCGAGTCAAGTTATTCTTTTCTGATTGTGAATTCTTCTAATGTAAACTTGGTGAACAGAACTGTAAAATAGATTTAATTAAAGAGAAGTCAAGTGATAGTGATTGCACGTGTTTGGAGGGGGGAGGGTATCAAGCATATCACTGGAAAAATTATGGTTTTTTTCTTGAAATGAATAAAGATCACAGAAACAACTAGAGTGTACTATTCAAAAACTAACGAATTAAAGACTTACAGTCTAAAGAGCAAATTTGTTAGAACAATGATACACATTAATAAGGAAAGAAAGAAAAGAAGAAAAAAAACATACTCTGAGACGTGAAGCATAGGCAGCATAACGAATATTGGTATCAGTAGACTCAATTGTTTCTGGGTTATGAGTATTGATTGGAGCGATAACCTGTTGCTCGGAGTTCTTTTTTTGTTGATCAGAAGACATTGTGTAGAATATTGATTTTGAAGATTTAAATTTACTGGGGAAGTATATGAAAGAAAAGAAGATGTGTTAGAAATTATGGAGAAAGAAAAAAATAAATAAATAAAAATAAAAAAAAATAAATTTTTTGAAGTAGCTAGCCTATGGAAACTTTGGTATTTAAGAAAGTGAAAATACATGGTTCTCCTCTTTAAAAGCAACTTTGATACACACTTGTCTGTAACTTTATATTATCACATAACCTTAATGTTATTATGTGAAGATTTAGCAATATTGCTTAATAAAGATTCTGTTACTGGAGTTGTTGTTTTGGTTATTGTTTAGAATGGACTTTAATTTAAAAAGAATTAAGAAAGCAAACGTAGTGTTTTTTTTTTTCTTTAGAGGAGTCTTTAAGTGGTTTTCTAAAAATTTGCCTATATATAATTCTAGACTTTCGTTCAATTCAAAAAACGCTAATTGTGGCAAAAAAAAAAAAATAATAATAACAATTCCAAAAAATCCATAAAAATCCAATATCCCAATATTACGATATAATAGCCAAATACGTCAGATAATAATAAAATGTCATTGAACTAAATATCTGTATTAACGTCAGGAAATCTGATATTCGGAAATTAAACTCCTAATCCGAGTGTGTTTTTTCCATGTTTTACATTTACATTCAAGAGCCTAATATTTTTGTGGTGGTAAGGAAAACCGGATGCATCGGAGATACCGAGAAGTTGCCCCCAAACATATACCTTTATTATTTAGCAACCATAAGAAAAAGCTAAAAAATTTTATTATTAATTTTTTTTTTTGTTAAACCAAAATTTAACGTGGCTGAGTGTAAAAGTTAAGATAACAGCAAAAATCCCCTATTCGTTGGGCTAGTCAAAGATGGTCAACATCCACAGTGATAAAAAAAAAAAAAAAAAAGACGCAATCACATGACCCCAAAGTGTAAACCGAGGGTTAACTATATATATTGACATTGGCTTGTTGGCCATGATGTTAAAAAATTTACTTTGTAATGTGCCGACATCTCAGTTCTATCACCCATTCTGCGGTCTTTTTTTTTTCTTTTTCATTTTTTTTTTGTGTATTCAATCTCTATGAGTAACTTCAGAATAGCACATCTGCCATCCAGATAATCATTTGGAGAAGTTGCCAGAATGGAGGTTTTCTTTTTTTTTTTATTCAAGAGAAGGAAAAAAAAAAAGAAGAGATCGGCTATTAGAGAAAGGAAACATCATGTGATCATCAGCGGAAGCAGTTAGCGATTGGATAAGGTTTTAGTGATAGTAGATTAGTCAGAATAGGAGATATTATTACGTAAATCGCCACTTGTTAACTTTGGTGGCGGTTGCTGAGTGAAGAAGATTAAAGAACAAGAAGCTTCAGTAGTAGTAGTAGTAGTAGTAGTAGCAGTAGCAATAGCTGGGCTGTGTAAGTTGGGCGCTCAGAAAGATGTAAATAGAATGACAAACTGGTGCGCGACTATTTTCTCAGGGATTAATCAATGACGAGGCTTTGCTTCATTTTAAAGTCATCATCATCGTATCGAGTCAATTGACCACAAAGACCAAATGGTTCGTTTTATTCTTAACAGAGAAGTCAACCAAAAAAAAAAAAAAAAAAAAAAAATGGAGAAGAAAGAAAACAACAGGGCTTTTAGGGAAATATCCACCACACTATACAGCCTGGTTTTTTTTTTTTTTTTTTTGACAATAGTAGTAGTATATATCAATTTTATTTATTTTCTCATCTTTAGATATATACAGCGTAGAATCAATATCAACAAATGAAATTTAAAAGCTTGGTGATTATTCCAATTGAAATATATTATATGTTCAACTGGGTATAGCACTGCCCTGTTTATTTTGGGTATTTTTTATCGGCTTGAAGCATATTTTTGGCCCCTGGAGTTAGGCCGCGCGCTCTCTAAATGTTAGGGTGGCGGTACACATCACACACACACACACAAAAGTGCGGTTCTTCCTTCCCTCCCCCCTATTATATGCTCTTACGTGGTAAATTCCTACTCCGGTATCTCCCTCACATATATATATATATATAAATACCCATATATAGTTTTACCCTCCTTTACGGCCTTTTTTTTTAAATATTTTTTCCCTCTCGCCCCCCTTTTTTTCTTCTTCTTCTTCTCTTTTTTTTTTTTTTTTTTCCCTTCCCCTTTCTCTTTTTCTTTTACACTTCTTTACCATTTGGTCTTGTTTGTTCAATCACCTTTTTCTCTCTCTTTAAACCACACCCTCTATTAAATTCTTACGCTCGCAAAAGCATTAATATACATTCAAAATGGAAGGTATGTAGTGTTCTATCGTTTACTCATGTTTAATCAATGTGCTTGGTGTATATTTTTAGGTTGCCTTGGTTTTTTTTTTCTTCTTCAAGAGCTTTTGTTTATATCCACGCTTTCATCCATCAGCCTTTGTTTATGAATTGCATTTCAACTAGCAATAGCTCTTGATGGCATTAAGAAGATGTTAGATATCATTATTAAACCTCAAAGTCCAGTCAAATGTTTAGTTTTTTTTTTCAACATATTACCAGGACTTGAAAAAAGACTTGAGTTTTTTTTTTATTAATTCATCTTCAGCGCATGATAATCTTTTCCTCTTTTGAACAATTTTTTTTTGCCACTTGAAATCGTTCAATTCTTTTATATTCAGTTGTCTTTATTTTGAAAAATTTCAATCCATTGCTATGCAAATGTGGTTATTTAAGCTAATCAACCAATAGCTGCATAGCTTGGACCCGCCCAACTTTAACAGCTCATCATTATCAGAAAAAAATTAAACCTTGGCTCTCCCCTCCTTTTGATAACACTTTTTGCACATCCCAAAACTCTTCAAATATAAAACAACAACAATACTAACGCCTTAATTTATAGATGAAGTTGCTGCCCTCGTCATTGACAACGGTTCCGGTATGTGCAAGGCCGGTTTCGCTGGCGATGACGCCCCTCGTGCCGTTTTCCCCTCTATCGTCGGTCGCCCCCGTCACCAGGGTATCATGGTCGGCATGAACCAGAAGGACTCCTACGTCGGTGACGAGGCTCAGTCCAAGCGTGGTATCCTTACCCTCAGATATCCTATCGAGCACGGTATCGTTACAAACTGGGACGATATGGAGAAGATCTGGCACCACACTTTCTACAACGAATTAAGAGTTGCCCCTGAGGAGCACCCTGTCCTTCTTACTGAGGCTCCCATAAACCCCAAGTCCAACAGAGAAAAGATGACCCAGATTATCTTTGAAACCTTCAACGCCCCTGCCTTCTACGTCTCTATTCAGGCCGTCCTTTCCCTTTACGCCTCTGGTCGTACCACCGGTATTGTCCTTGACTCTGGTGATGGTGTTACCCACGTCGTCCCCATTTACGCCGGTTTCTCTCTTCCCCATGCTATCATGCGTATTGACTTGGCTGGTAGAGATCTTACTGACTACCTCATGAAGATTCTTTCTGAGCGTGGTTACTCTTTCTCTACCTCTGCTGAGAGAGAAATTGTCCGTGAAATCAAGGAGAAGCTCTGTTACGTCGCTCTCGACTTTGAGCAGGAACTCCAGACTGCTTCCCAGAGCTCCTCCCTTGAGAAGAGCTACGAACTCCCTGATGGTCAGGTCATCACCATTGGCAACGAGCGATTCCGTGCTCCTGAGGCCCTTTTCAACCCCTCTGTTCTGGGTCTTGAGTCTTCTGGTATCCACGAGACCACTTTCAACTCTATCATGAAGTGTGATGTTGATGTCCGTAAGGATCTTTACGGAAACATTGTCATGTCTGGTGGTACCACCATGTACCCCGGTATTGCCGAGCGTATGCAGAAGGAGATCACTGCTCTTGCTCCTTCTTCCATGAAGGTCAAGATTATTGCTCCTCCCGAGAGAAAGTTCTCTGTCTGGATTGGTGGTTCTATTCTCGCCTCCCTTTCTACCTTCCAGCAGATGTGGATCTCCAAGCAAGAGTACGACGAGTCTGGTCCTTCTATTGTCCACAGAAAGTGCTTCTAAGCGTTTTACTCTTGTATTTGTTGAAAAACTTTTTATAATGATAATGAAAATCTTTAGTCGTTGAATATTTTTTTTTGTTTTTTTTTTTTACAGTACCATGAGTTTGTTTTAATCATATCTTTTAAAATTAACTTTGCTCCAATTTTTTTTTTTTTTTTCAAAAATTTTCAAATGTGCACATTGTTTTGAGCGTTTTTTTTTTTTTTTTGAATGTTTTGATGAATAATTTTTTTATGGTTCGTTTTTTCGTATTATATATATATCACGTGCCAATGATTGGAATGTAATTTTCTAAAATTTCATAAACAGAAATGAATGAAAATATGTGAAAAATTCTTTAAACTTGGAGCAAATTGAGTTGTAATCATTTTAATTATGAATTTACTATTATTATAAGTATATATATATATATATATATATATGATAATAAAAGATTGCTATTGAAAGGATGAAAAGAATGATAGAAACAATTGGATTATATTAAAATGACAAGGTTAAGAAATATATGTAAAGAGATTTTTCTTTTGAAAATTATAGCGAGGGATTTTTTTTTTCTCATGAGTTGAGATGTATTTACACTCACATTGCATATATTTTACAGTAATTGTAAGAAAATAAAATAAATAAATAAAAAAAGATCAGGATGTACAAATATATGAAAAATAAGCTTATGAAAAATGAATTTTGGAAAGTTTTTATAGTTTAGATGTTCAAATTGGATATGCAGAAGAAGAAGAAGAAGAAGAAGAAGAAGAAGAAAAAAGAAAAAAAAGAAGAAGATTGAATTACTATTTCAATTGACTTGATTTGATACTGAATGATACCAATACATTCAATTTATTTTCATCTAATAATCAACAAATATTATCAATTGAAATAACCTGGCCTTTCCTCTTTTTGGAGAAGAAAAAAAAAACCTATTTTCATTTGAACAACATTATTAGTAAGTAAGAAAAAATGTATTAATATTGGTAAATATTTCAAGACAAGATATCTTTAAAATTTGAGCTTGAAAATTTGAGAGAAATGGTAGAATAAAGAAGAAAAAAAAAAAGAGTTTAATGCTACCGTTGTATGTTTATCAAAAAAAAAAAAATTAAGTGCATTGCATAGCCAGTGGTTAAACGGTTCTAAATGACGTTTAAGGGGGAGAGAGAGAAAGCTAGGAGTACTGAGTTTAGGGCATTAATAAGAAGTTAAATGAACAAAATAAGGTCAAATTTTAAAGATATTTATAGAGACTTATTTTTTTTATGAAAAAATATATATATATATATAATTGGTATTAAAGTAATAATAATACCTGTATATTGGCATATTCCATACATGATATATATACTATTTTTTTTTATTATAAAGAGCAGGCTACATATTTCAAGCAATTAGTATAAGATTATATTATTTTCATTGTATAAATAAACAATTGTATTTAAAAACCAACAAAGTCTTTTAAAAAGTCTTGTTTTACTTTACTTTATTTTCTTTTCTTTCTTTGTTTATTTTTTTTTTAAATAAAAAGAAAAAAAAAAAAGCAAAAAATCAATTGACGAAATGCAGAATAAAAAAAAAGAAGAGATTTAGTTCAAGTCCAATAATGTACCGAACTGGATAGGGTAGTATATATATAAATGCTTAATGGTTGATAACTAATTAGTTATTTATATATATACCTTGTTACTAGGTATATCTTGTTTATTACGCTTATTTCTGTTAGGTTTTTAAAGTTAAGCGAGACGGATCTCTAATCCGAAAGAAGATTTGGACATGCGATTAATGGTGAAAAGGGGGAGTGATAAAGTGATTCTTTTTTATTTTAATTTTTATTTTTATTTTTATTTTTTTTCAAGTAAAAAAGCACAAGACGATGGGTTGGACATGATAGATGAAAAGAATATATTTTCTTTTTATTTCTCTGTTTTTTTTTTTCTGTTAAATAAGAGTATTAGAAAGGTACTTTTTAGCTAACATATGATATCCTTATGAATTCATTTTATTGACTTTTTTTTTTTTTTTAAAACAAAATATCAATGTTGAGAAATAGGATTATTTGGTTACTTTACAAGAGAATTTATTAATTTTTGTTTATTTTTATTTAATATTTGCTTTTCCGCTTAGTTTTATATATAAATGTTAAAGAAAATCCTTTAAAACAAGCTGTTTCAAGCACGTTTTTTTTTTTTTTTCTTAATTATTAAAAACAATTATTCTTTTATCAACATCAAACATTATCGCGACATTTTGAGACATGATCCTACCAAAAAAACGGTAGGTTAAAAAAAAAAGGTTCCAAAATGATTTCGAAATCAATAATAAAAATAAATCAAGTATATTTATACTGTTTTATTTTATTTTATTTTATTTTATTTTATTTTATTTTATTTTATTTTATTTTATTTTATTTTATTTTATTTTATTTTATTTTATTTTATTTTATTTTATTTTATTTTATTTTTATTTTATTTTATTTTATTTTATTTTATTTTATTTTATTTTATTTTATTTTATTTTATTTTATTTTATTTTATTTTATTTTATTTTATTTTATTTTATTTTATTTTATTTTATTTTATTTTATTTTATTTTATTTTATTTTATTTTATTTTATTTTATTTTATTTTATTTTATTTTATTTTATTTTATTTTATTTTATTTTATTTTATTTTATTTTATTTTATTTTATTTTATTTTATTTTATTTTATTTTATTTTATTTTATTTTATTTTATTTTATTTTATTTTATTTTATTTTATTTTATTTTATTTTATTTTATTTTATTTTATTTTATTTTATTTTATTTTATTTTATTTCATTTCATTTCATTTTATTTATTTTTATTTATGTTTATTTAATTTTTTTGCAGTAACAAAAGTCATAGCTACAGTAGCAGGAAGTTTCCCTGCAAGAAAGAAGAAAAGAAATAAAAGAAAGAAGCTTTTTTCTTAAGAGAAAGAAAAGAAAGAAAAGAAAGTAAATACAAGATGGGATGGGCTACACTATCCAAACATAACTTTATGCCGGTATGCATATGGTGACACCGCGATAACCGATAACACCAGTTGAATGGTTGTGAAGAAGAGGGTTTCCTTTCTACTTTTTAATTTACCTTTCTAAAGGTCTATTATTATTATTATTATTATTATTAATAAAAACCGACGCTAGCCGCCGGACATACCTATCGATTGAAAATCATCATCACCATCGTCGTCGTCGTCGTTGTTGTTGTTTGTAGTTGTTTGTAGTTGTAGTTGTCATGGGGTGAAAAAAAAAACACATAAGAATACCAAGCCATTTTTAAAAAAAAAAATATATATATATATATATATCTTAATTACTGAAAAAAAATAATTTTTTTTTTTTAGATGAATGAATTATTTGAAATTATATAGATAGATGATGGTATACTACATATATATATTTTTTTTATTTGTAGATCAACAGAAAGAAAGAAAAAGAAAAAAATCCTTCTTGTAGAAAAAGGTGTTTCTAAACTGAAATTCATAATCTGAAAAGGACCCTCACTTCTTCATTTTTCCTCCCCCCATATCTACCCTCCTCCTCTTTTTTTTTTTTTTTTTTTTCTTTGAGTTTTATTTTATCAACTCACAAATTTCCTATTAAAAGCAAACCAGATTCACTATACTTTGGTTTCCTCAAAGAAGAAGAAGAAGAGAATCTTCTTTTCACCACCAGACCTCCTCCTCCCCCTGTATTTTGAGCTCAAGCCAATGATACGCATGAGACTAGTGCGGTGCTCCTTGGTGAGGGTCCTTGTTGGGCGGGTTTTCAGTATTTTTATTTTTATTTTTATTTTATTTTATTTTTATTTTTATTTTTTTTTTAGCAAAGGTGCTGAAGGTGATTGAATTTTTTTTTTTCACCTGTAGAGCGCTCGGGATGACCCACGTGAAGTGAATTACATAATGTTTATTAAAAGGATGACATAATTTGGATGGTTTGGGATGTTTCCATTTTAGGCTTGTTTAAAGACTGGGGAGCCCCATTTTACTTAATCAGTAAAACCATTAAAAAAATCAAATCATGGTCGTAAAGCTAAAAAAAAAAAAAAAAAGCCCTCCTTTTTTTTCTTCTTCTTTTTCCTTTCTTATATACTTTATTATTTTAAATGAATGAATTCTTTTTTTTATTATCAGGATTTGAATTCTGGTTTTTTCTCCTTCCTTTATAACTCTTTTTTTTTCCAATCGCCATTTGACGGACAGATTGCGGAGAAATAATCCAAGTTTATTGTCCGGGTATATGATTTTTCTTGGACAATTATTGCTTTTTATTTTTTTTTTTTTTTGTTAAACATATATATAAGCCTTGTACATTATCATTTCCATAATAAAATATTCCATCAATCAGATTTTACTTTTAACTGATCCTATACTTATCTATAAATACAAGCCCAGATCCACCATCAATGTTTTCAAGTCCGACACTTTCCCCCTCCATGTCCCCTAAGGCTCCGAAATGTCTACCCACTCGTCGATCCATGAATATCTTCCCTCAAACAACAACATCAACACCAGCATCAGCAGCAACAACGTCTTCATCCTCTTCATCAGCATCTTCTCCTTCGTTGCCTGCTGTTCGTTGTAAAAAAGAAACTTCGGAACCACTTAGAAAGCAACCACAACCACAACAACCATCTCAATCACAACAACAACGACTTCAGCACTCTGGTAGCTTTCCCCAAGGTTCCGTAGTAGCTTTGTCACGGACTTCACCACCAATACAACCAATACAACCAATACAACCAGTACAACAGTCTTTGGTATTGTCTTCCTCATCCTCGCCATCACTGTTGTCGAGCCATCATAATCATCATCACTCGACACTCCGCGGCGCTACATCAATCTCGCAGCAACAACTCGAGCCTAGTAGCTCTAATGAAAATAATAATAATAGTAATAATTATAATAACAATGGTAACAATAACCAGAGTAAACTTAATGACAATAATAAACCCTCTGCTGTCACTGCTACTACATACACCATAATAAATGCTTCCAGAAATAGTATTAAAGCGGTCTCCAGCCTTTCAGACAGCCGCCCTAACAAGCCGCAAGCCACGCCGGCCGGCTCCGCTCAACAACAGCAACAACAGCAACAACAGCAACGACAACAACAACAGCAACGACAACCCCTACCTCTGGAGAATTCATCTTTGCCTGTGGCTGACACTTGTAAATCTGTTTCTTCTATTTCTATTACTCCTTGTATTTCTTCATCTTATTCATCTTATTCTTCTTCCCTTCAAACTTCAAGCAAAAATCCAACGCCACTACAAAAGCATCCTCTACCGCCGCAGGAAACTAAAAACTTTAATCCCCCCCCCTCATCTACCCGCTATTCTATTCCGACGGCCATCCCGACTGTCAAACTAAATCACCACCCCCGACAAAAAGAAGAAGAAGAAGAAGAAGAAGAAGAAGAAGAAGAAGAAGAAAATTTACAAAAACCTTCTTTACTACCCCTCTCAGAATCGACTTCACCACTAGAAACAGTCACCAATACCAATACCACCACCACCACTAATCCAACTGGCACTCAGGGCTTGCAAGAAGAAAAAACATTAATACAAGACAATAATTTATCAAGAGCTTGTATTAGTAATAATAATAATAATAATAATAATAATAATAATAATAATAATAATAATAATAATAACAATAATACCCTCAGGGACCTTCAACCCAAAAATATTGTCCAACAAAAGGCCGTTAGCTCCGCCGCCAAAATGGGGCCCCACAGGAAAGCTTCCTTTTCATATCCGTCATACTCATCTTCGTCATCTTCATCGTCGGCATCATCCTCACCTGCTCATTCTCCAGCATCAACTAACATTCCGAGCAAGCAGCAGCAGCAGCAGCAGCACCATCAGCACCACCACCACCAGCACCACCATGCACAAACCAAATCACTTTCAAATAACCGACCTCAGCTAGCATCTTCTCCTTTGTCTTCTTCATCGACTATCGCGATACCAGAAACGAAACCTCAGCAGCAACAGCAACCTCCTCAACAAGCCTCTTCTACCAACAAAATAGCACAATCAATAGCACAACCAATAGCACAACCAATAGCACAACCAACAGTACAACCAGCAGTACCACAACGACAGTCTCGTCCACAGATTGATCCTCCTCAGAATTCCGCTGCAACCTCTACGTTACCATCTCCTACTACTGCTACCGGTCCCAAGATTCTTTCTCGACACTTTTTTGAGTGTTCGACAGCTGATATCATTACGCTTGTATCATCCATGCTTCAAGAGCTTGTTATTCTAAATGATGCACTTCCTTTTGACGCACAGCATTTGACTCGGTTTCATTCGCGGTCGCATCCACCGATTTCGATTCGAGACTATTTGATTCGTATAACTAAGTTTTGTTCGCTTGAAAAGAGCATCATCATGGCTATAATCTATTATATAGATTTGTTATGCACGACCTTTAACATTTTTAACATTAATAGTTTGACGGTACATCGATTTTTAATCACAGCGGCTATGGTTGCCAGTAAGGGACTTTGCGATACATTTTGCACTAATACCCATTACGCTAAAGTCGGAGGTTTGTCTCGAGTGGAACTTAATTCGCTTGAAATTGAGTTTTTGATCCGCGTTGATTACCGTATTGTTCCACAAGTCGAGCGCATGGACCAGTATTTTGAGCGCATGGTCATGCGTATGGGCGACAAGTATCAGTTTAAGTTGGTTTCTCCTACAAGACTTGTTGTTTCACAACCCCAATCTCAGCAGCAGCAGCAGCAGCAGCAGCAGCAGCAGCAGCAGCAACAACCACAACCACAACTACAACATCAAATAGCATTTACATCAGATACCCATAATGAAGGTTCTGGAAAATCCACCCAGGACTTTCAACAACAACAACAACAACAACAACAACGCTTGTCGTGTTCGTCGTCCTCATCATCATCTGCTGATCTGATTGGAGACCAAAACCCCAGCAACAGTAGTCAGTCGTCGATCGTTTTACCGTCGGAAGTTGCAGTGCGCGAAGGCCGTTTGAGCAAATCTTCGAGCCGGAAGCGACCGTCCGTGACGGATGATTCTATAAGGCACGAGACTTTTGCATCACCTGGGAACGGCACCAGTAATAATGATAATAATAGTAACAGCTCGGCGTCCAAGTACCAGTTTAATAACCGGCGGAAACCTCATTCGCATTTACACCAACAAAATGATACTCAGCATATAAGTAACAGCAATGGTGGTAGTAGCCAGAGCAATAGTAATGGAAGCAGCGGCGCGTCTGATAGAATGTCCACTGACGCGAGAGGTCTTCCATGTCATGAAATTCAAGCTACAAATGCCAGTACTACTGTTGATGGTGATGAAAGTACCACTACCATGTCTACACCTTTGTCTACATTGACGACCACTAGTAATGAAGAAATACCCAGTAGTGTGAACCGTGGAAGCGGCACGAGCGGTCGACGAAGAAGGAGTACAGGGGAGCGTGCAGCAGCTATGGCTGGGGTCCGATTGATTAGAGATTCTACTTCATCGTCAATAGCATTAACATCATCAAGGCCATTAACGATTGATCAAGATACATTTGAGTATGATTCGATGAATGAAGATGATGTTGACGAAGATGACGAGTTGATTGATGATGAGGAGGATGACAGCGATGGAGATTCAGCTGTATGGTACGAAAACTAGAAGAAAAAAAGTAATGATAAATAATAAGAAAAAAATAAAATAAAACAAAAGAAAGAAAGAAAGAAAGAAAGAAAGAAAAGACAATTTCTTTTTTGTTATTTGATTAAGATAAGATTTATCATTATTTCCTTTTTTGTTTGTTTAAAAAAGAAAATATATATTTGATTTTTATTTGATTTTTATTTGATCTGGTGGAAGTGTTTTGTCAATTAGAGAACAAAGGGCTATATGTTAAGCATTGTGAAAAAATTGAAAACAATGGGGGGTGGCTGATTTCAGTCAGAAGGCGACGATGAGGGTTGTTACATTTCATTTTTTTGAATTACATTACATTACATTTCATTTTATAAAAGTGTAATGTCACAATTTAAAGATAAGCGAACAAGAATTGAAAAGTTCCCGAGTCAAAAAAAAAATAAAAAATAAAATAAAATCCGAGTCAAAAAAAAAAAAAAAAACTGAGAGTTCCGGAAGATCGCGAATTTTTTTAAAAAACAAAAAAAAAAAAAGTTTTTTTTTTTTATCGTCTTTTTTGTAGAGAGATGACTCTCACCAAAAAAAAAAAAAAAAAAAAAAAAAAACAACATAAAATAAAATAAAAATAAAGACTTTATTACTGATATTAAGCCCAACAAGACAAAAGGGACCTTTTTGGAAGAAGAAGGGTGGGACTAAAGTGAGATGAACAAGTAGAATATATATATATATATATATATATATCGGAGAAACGGGTGATAATGGTTAGAAGGTTTATTTTGAGTTAATTTCACTTGAAATTAATATACATTTAGAAATAATTTTTTTTTTTTTTGTCTTTTATATATATATATATATATATATATATATATATATGAAGACTTCTCTTTTATTATCAGTTGATTGACATTTTGTTTACTGTTTATATAGAGAAGCACCGAGTAACCAAAGAAATTTTATTTTATTTTATTTTATTTTATTTTATTTTTTTTTTTCAAGTACATTTTCCCTGAGTATATATATATATATATATATATATACCGCCGTTAAGTGTGGCTGGTGTTGAAAAGTGTTGACTGGAGAAAAATTTCAACTCGGGACAGAAGGTTACTTTGTTTTTTTTTTTTTTTTTGGGACCAACTAAAGACGATTAAAAAAAAAAAAAAAAATTTTTTTTTATTTATTTATTTCTTTTTTTTTTTTTTTTATCATTGGTAGTTATTTAATGAAAAAAAAAATATATATATATAAAAAAAAATCAAATAGAGGATTATAGTTTTTATATATTCCAGATAAAATAAAAAAAATAAAAAAAAAAAAAGAATTGATTTTGATTTTGATTTTGATTTTGATTTAAGGCTAGTAAAATTGAATTTTTTTTTTTTTTTTTTTTTTTAAAAAAAATGTCTACTGGCATCAATACACTTTAAAATCTAAAAAAAATAGCCACTGAGCTGAAAAGAAGGAATTTCTGAGAACCCTACACACACACACACATATTCCCTGTTTTGGGGGTTTTGCGGCTTAACATAGTCTTCAAAAGAGCCTTTAAACCTCCTTTTTTATTTTTATTTTTATTTTTATTTTTTAATTCTCTGGCACTGAGTTAAAATGAGTTTACTCAGTGATTTCCCCAAACTGGGGAAAAACCATGTCAATTCACACTGCTCAACAAAAAAATAAAATAAAAAAAAAATTAATATAAATATCGGAACATTTCCCTTTCTTTTTGTTAATCTCTCTCTCTCTTTTTTTTTTTTTTCTTTTTTTTTTTTTTTTTTTACTCTTTTTACTCTTTTTAAATATAAATAATACTCTCTTAATATCCGTAAATACTCATCTTCCTATCCTTTTCCTTCCTCTCTCTCAAACTCAAACTCATCTTCCATTGAGAGATCATTTACTCTTATCTTTTGCTGGAAAAAGTCTAACTACACGTGGGTAAACCTATTATCACATCTCTCCCGTGTAAACATACAATTCTTTTTATTTATTTCTCTCAAAAAGAAAAAAAAAAAAAAAAAAAAAACTCACTTTTAAACCAATCCTAATAACAATGTCCTCTGTTGGACGATCCCTGCTCATGGCCTCAAAGGCCGCTCGCATGGCTTCTCGCGTTTCTGCTCTTCGCGCATCCTCAATCATTTCAAGATCCTCGGCTCCTATTGCTCTTCAATCAAGCGCTCTTAGAACCGTCTCTGCCACTTTTTCTACATCTACCAAGGCTCTCCTGGCTACTACTTCTTCGCCTTTGGATCCTCTCGACACCTTTATTCGCCGTCACAATGGCTCCACTGGCCCTGATGTTGACTCCATGCTTAAAACCGTGGGTTACTCTTCAGTCGATGCATTCATCTCCGATGTGGTCCCGGCTGATATTCGCCGTCCTGACGAGCTCCAGATCTCCCCCCGCAATGATGGTCTTAGCGAGTCCCAAGCCACCGCTGAGCTTAAAAAGATTGCCTCTAAAAACAAGGTCCTCCGTAGTTACATTGGCCAGGGTTACTTTGGTACCTACACCCCACCTGCCATCCAACGCAACATTCTCGAGAGCCCCGAGTGGTACACTAGTTACACTCCCTACCAGCCTGAAATTTCCCAGGGTCGTCTCGAGTCTCTCCTCAACTTCCAAACCGTCGTTAGCGACCTGACAGGCCTCCCAGTCGCAAATGCTTCCTTGCTGGACGAGGGCACTGCTGCCGCTGAAGCCGTCATCATGGCCTTCCACTTCCACAGAGAAAAGAGAAAGACTTTTTACGTCGACCCCAATATTTACCCACAAACCCTTTCTGTGGTCCAGTCCCGTGCTAAACTTTTGGGAATTAACCTTGTTGTCGGTCTCCCTCCGGCTACTTCCAACCCTAAGGAAGACTACAAGGACGTCCTTGGCGCCATGGTTCAGTACCCTGCCGCCGATGGCTCAGTTCAAAACTGGTCCCAGCTTGCTGACACCCTTCACCAGTCTGGCTCTTTGCTTACTGTTGCTTCCGATCTCCTTGCCTTGACTGTCCTCGAGGCCCCAGCTAAGTTTGGTGCTGATATTGTCTTTGGCAATTCCCAGCGCTTTGGTGTTCCCTTTGGTTACGGTGGTCCCCACGCTGCCTTCTTCGCCACTACTGATGGTGAAATGCGCAAAATGCCTGGCCGTCTTGTCGGCAAGAGTAAGGACCGTTTGGGCAACCCTGCTTTCAGACTTGCTCTCCAGACCCGTGAGCAGCATATTCGTCGTGAAAAGGCTACCTCTAATATTTGCACAGCCCAGGCTTTACTTGCCAATATGGCTGCCATGTATGCTGTCTACCATGGCCCCAAGGGTCTCAAAGACATTGCTCTCCGTGTCCATACCCTGACTGCTGCCTTGGCCACTGCTATTAACGAGTCCTCTCCTCACTCTGTTGCCAACTCCACTTACTTTGATACTCTGACTATTAACCTTGCCAATGGCCAGTCTGCTGATGAGTTTTTGGCCAAGGCTGTTAAGGACTTTGAAATTAACTTGGCCAAGCAAGGCGAGTCTACTGTTTCCGTTTCTCTTGACGAAACTGTTTCTGCTACTGATCTTGCTGACCTCTTTAAGGTCTTTGGCGCTGAAATTACTCCTGAAGAAGCTATTGCTAAGCTCAATCTTTCTGTTGATGGCAAGTTTATTGCCCCCCCTGCTGAGGTTGCCCGTACTTCTGAGATTCTCCCCTATGATGTCTTCCACAAGTACCACACTGAAACAGAACTTCTTAGATATATGCACCTTCTTCAGTCCAAGGATATTTCTCTTGCCAACTCTATGATTCCCCTTGGTTCTTGCACTATGAAGCTTAATGCTACCACCGAGATGATTCCCATTACTTGGCCTGAATTTTCCAACATTCATCCCTTTGCCCCCATTGACCAGGCTCAAGGTTATGCTGAGCTTACCTCTCAGCTTGAAAAGGATCTTGCCCATATTACTGGGTTTGATGCTACCTCTCTCCAGCCCAACTCTGGTGCTCAGGGTGAGTACACTGGTCTCCGTGTCATTCGTCAATACCTTGAGAGCATTGGCCAGAGCCACCGCAATATTTGCTTGATTCCAGTTTCTGCCCATGGTACCAATCCTGCTTCTGCTGCCATGGCTGGCATGAAGGTTGTTGCTGTCAAGTGCACCAGCAATGGTGAACTTGATCTCAAGGACCTCCTCGCCAAGGCTGAAAAGAACAAGGATAAACTTGGTGCTATTATGATCACATACCCCTCTACCTTTGGTGTTTTTGAGCCTACTGTCAAGAAGGCTTGCGAGATTGTTCACGAACGTGGTGGCCAGGTTTACATGGATGGTGCCAACATGAATGCCCAGATTGGTCTTACCAGCCCTGGTACCATTGGTGCTGATGTGTGCCATCTCAACCTCCACAAGACTTTCTGCATCCCCCACGGTGGTGGTGGTCCCGGTGTCGGTCCCATTTGCGTCAAGTCACATCTTCAACCTTTCCTTCCAGGTCACAAGCTTGTTGACATGTCAAGCAGTGGTATCACTGATCAGGCCATCCAATCTGTCTGCTCTGCTCCTTGGGGTTCTGCATCCATTCTCCCTATTCCCTGGACTTATATTAAGCTCACTGGTGGCCAGGGCTTGACCAAGGCTACCAAGATTGCTCTTTTGAATGCCAACTACATGAAGGCTAGACTTGCTGACTACTATCCCATTCTTTACACTAACGAGAAGGGTCTTTGCGGTCACGAGTTTATCATTGACATGCGTCCCTTCAAGGCTACCAGTGGTATCGAGGCCATTGATATTGCCAAGAGACTGCAAGATTACGGGTTCCACGCTCCTACCATGTCATTCCCTGTTGCCAACACTCTTATGATTGAGCCTACTGAAAGTGAATCTCTTGCTGAGCTTGATCGTTTCTGCGATGCTATGATTCAGATCCGCCAGGAGATCAAGGCTATTGAGGATGGTAAGATTCCTCAGGAAAACAATGTGCTCAAGAACTCGCCTCACACTACGCGCGATATTATTGAGAGCGACTGGTCTGATAGACCATATACTCGTGAAGAGGCTGCCTACCCTCTGCCATACCTTAAGGAGCGCAAGGCATGGCCCACTGTGACACGCTTGGATGATACTTATGGTGACTTGAACTTGTTCTGCACTTGCGATCCTCCTAAGCTTGATGCTGAGTAAATTCCAATCAACTTTTTAGACTAATGATTCAACACTTATGACGACCTTTTTGCATATACTTATATATTTTTACGATTTTGTTTATATTTTTCCTCCATTTTTTTTTTTTTTTTTTTTTTTTTGTTCTGTACCTTTTATGTAATTATGTTAATGAAAAATGATTTCAACAATCTAATCTAAAATTGGCTGGTATTAAAGTTGGGATAAATAAAAAAAAAAAAAAAAAGATTGAAAAAATAAAATTTTTTTTTCTTGCCTACACGGTTTTTTTTTTCTTCTCCCCACACAATTAATAATATTTTATTTTATTTTATTTTATTTATATTTTTTTTTTTTTTGGTTTAAAATAAAAATGACTGATAAACCCATTGATTATTCCAAGCAAGCTTGTCACTCTGAAGCTTGTGCAATTCAAAGTATGGCAAATCAAATCAACTCTATTGATTTTTTTTTTATTTTTTTGTTCTAACAAATCACCTAGATTGTTTGCAACGCAGAGGCTATGACGAATCGAAATGCACCGTTTACATTGACCAGCTTTACGCGTGTTGTGCCAGTTTTTACAGACAACAACAAGACGAATATCTTGCCAAACAAGCCACTAGCGACAATGATGACAATCCATTTGCCATTGGTGGGTCTGGGAAAAGCTGTGACAACCAGAATAATAATAATAATAATATTGTGGTGGCTGAAGAAAGTACAGTTGGACCTGGATTTACATACAAAAGAACAGTTTCATGTCCAGTACCAGCTTTGTTGCAACTCAAAATCGCACAGAGACTTGCGGATGCACATGTAGATGCGCGGCTTGCAGATGTTGTAAAACATAGCAAGGCCGGGCGTGAAGAGTAAGTAAAGTCTTAAAATAAGACGAGATTTTAGTTTCTACAGATGTACAATATTTAAAAAAAAATAAAAAATAAAAAATAAAAATAAAAATAAAAAAAAATGTATATTTCAGGACTCGACTGCAGTGGCCGCAGCAAGAGGCCAGAGAGCCTGGGTGTGATCGAGCAAAACCGTTGAAATAGAAAGGAACCCAAAGGTATCCTCCCGACAGTTAGTATAAGGGTCACGGAGCACGACAAAAACACGGGGTTAAATAAAAGTTGGTATCGTTACTCTAAAGTGAACCTATGGTGTGAAGAAAAAAGAAAAAAAAAAAAAAAAAAAAAAAGAAGAAAAGAAAGAAAAGGAAATTAAAAAAAAAAATTGTGAAGAAAATTTAAATGTTTTTTTTTTTTTTGCATAAAAAAAAAAATATAATCATGTGATTATAACCCTAATTATAGTCATGTGATATACTTATGACTAATCATTAACAATTTTTTTATTTTTTTTTTTTTTTGACAGGGTGTTGATCGGTTTGGATTTTCTTAAAGCGTTGAATCGGCCAGACTAAAACCAGTTAGCGTTGAGATAACCAAAAAAAAAATAAATAAATAAAATTTTTGATTTAATAAATATATATATATAAATTTAATAATAATAATAATAATAAAAAAAAAAAAGGATTTTTTTATCGTCAATCCAACGTTTATGTTAAAGTAATTAATTCAATTGTACAGCCCAACAACCACTGCTTGTTATTTTTTCCCCCCGAATGGCGTGAAATCGGACCCCCTCTCGGGTCTCTAAACTATTATTGATCAGACATAAAGTTGCCATTCGTCGGAACAAACCCTTACCCATTGATCACCGAGTGCCTTTTAGGGCTTACATTGAGCGACTTTCAAAGTAAAAAAAAAATAAAAATAAAAATAAAAAAGACGCACATCTCCTATCATCATCATTATCATCACCACCACCATCACTATTCTTCTTCGTCTTTTTACCCATCTATAGACTTCAATAAGACTTGGAATAATACCCCCTCCTATCTGATAGAATTCATCAAAAAAAAAAAAAAATATGGTTTTGATGCGAACTTACACTCGACTCTCGTTGCTACCCGAGTCGCCTAGATTGGCCTACCGCGCAATGTCTAGCTCTACGACCAGATACACTCGCGTAAAAGCCAGTCCGATACGTACTGCCGATCTTCCAGGCCCCTACGACCTTCATATCCCTACCGTCGAGCTTGCCTACGAAAAACATCCACGGGCATCTGCGAAATCAGGCACCTCTGATACCCCCACCAAAGAACCCATCATCTTTGTACACGGTATCTTCGGGTCCAAAAGCAATACGCGAACTGTATCCCGAGTACTGGCACGAGACCTGGATCGTGACGTCTATTGTGTCGATATGCGAAACCATGGTGACTCGCCTCACACACCTCTTCATACCTACCCCGCGCTGGCCGCGGATATTGAGCACTTCATTGACTGCCACAAACTGGGACCCTCGATCTTGGTAGGCCACAGCATGGGTGCCAAGGCCGTAATGGCCGTTGCTCTACGGTCTCGCGCCAGTGAACTAGTTGCCGGTCTTGTATCGGTTGACAATGCTCCTTGGAACGCACAGTTATCTTCCGATTTCCCCAAGTACGTTCGCGCGCTGCAACAAATTGAGGCTGCGCACTTCACACGTACCCAAGACGCCTATGCTATGCTGGCAAAACAAGAGCCCAACGTCACCATCCAGCAATTCCTCTTATCCAACATGAAGCGAGCATCCCAGCTACCTGTGTCAGCCAAACATGAACTTGTCGAGCGTTTGCGCTCCCGCCTAAGAGCAAAATCAGAAGCTGTCCCCGCTGGTCACCACCCTCATGACCATCACCCTCACCGTGATGCTCGCGGTATAATTCACGATCACAGCGTGGCTCCTGGGTCCGGGTCACCTACAGCAGCTGCCAAGACAGCAACAGCTGCATTAGACTCGGAAATCAGCGAGGCAGAAAAACACATTTTGCATTTCCGTGTTCCTCTTGATATCATTGGCAAATCGCTCGACCATATGGCTGATTTCCCGTACTTCCCATTTGAAACCCGGTACAGTGGACCCACCATGTTTGTACGCGGCATGAAGTCTCACTAGTAAGTTGTTTAACATTTTTTTTTTTTTTTTTTTTTGGTTAAAGGAAGTGGTTCTAACTAATGTTTGTTTAGTGTTCCTGACGAAGCTATTCCATTAATTGGTGAATTGTTCCCTAAGTTTACACTTAAGGATGTTGATTCTGGACATTGGGGTAAGTATTTATTCATTGTTTATTTTGTGGGGGATAAAAGATTAAAAAAAAAAAAAAAAAAAAAAAAGAGGGAAAAGACAATTGAGAGTAATTTTTTATTTTTTTTATTTTTTTTTAAAGATTGATTAAAACTAACTTTTAAAAACTAGTTATTTCGGAAAAACCTTTAGAGTTTGTGGAATACCTCAAGGACTTTATCAGCAGAGAAATCGAGTTGGATTAAAACATTGAGTAATATCACATGTTGAGGATTTGGAGAAACTTGAAGAGTTTTGTGTGTGATAGAAGTTGTAAATAAATAAAACTTGAATGAGAATTTTTTTTTTTGTTAAAAAATGAGAGTTTTTGATTCTCAATTTGAAGAGGATAAACAAACAAATAATTAAAAATAAATACATAAATTGGTGATACCGCGGCTTTTTTGGCTTGCATGAAAAGGAAATTTTTTGTTTTTTTTTTTTATTAAGCATTACTCATACGAGTTCTTCTAAATCACGGTCGATACTACCCCACGGACTATCACGTAGTTGGAGTACTTGATACTGCCACCATTCCATTTTTTTAGAGAATAGAGAAAATTGTTTGTTTTTGCATACCCCGGGATTTTGCAAAAGTCTTGTTGACCAAAGGATTTCATGGAAGTCTCCAATTTTTTCAATTTTTTCAATTTTTTTAATTTTCAATTTTCAATTTTTTCAATTTTTTTAATTTTCAATTTTCAATTTTTCAATTTTTCAATTTTTCAATTTTTCAATTTTTTTTTTTGTCTTCCTCACATCTTCAACTATTAGTATATATATGACACTTTGTCCACATAATTATTGTTAAAAATAAAAGGATAGATGGTCCCGACAAAGCCATTTTACGGATTGTCAACAACATGTGCTCGTTTTATTTTATTTTATTTTGTTCACTGTAGATATCACGACGGGAAAGAAAGAAAGAAAGAAAGAAAGAAAGAAATAAATAAATAAATAAATAAAAAAAAAAAAAGCTTGGTATATGGATCATAATCACCCGATTCTTAACAAGATTGTAGCGAGATTTCATTTGAAAGCAAAGATGCTTTATATGAAAAAGTTCATTTCATATGACATCGTCACCAAAGTCTCAATATAACTAGACTTTTGAAAAAAAAAAAAAAAGCAAACGAGAAGATTAGGAGGGGTTTTATTTCAAGATTTATTTAAGAAAAAAAAATATTATTCCAATGATGACTTCATCGAGACAAGTGGGGATTTTTTTTAAAGAAGAACAATATACAACAAAGAAACAAAGAACTACAAAATAAAGTGTCAAAGTAGATCAATTGACTATATTTAAACCATAACTAAAATAGGTACTTTAACTTTCGCTTTAACAAAGCTCTATTATATATATATATATATATATATATTTATGTGTAGCTCGTTTTCTCGCAACGACTTTTGTAGCCTTAGTTTTTCTTTCCAAAATATGGAAGAACAAGGAAGAAAATTAAGGGAAGAATTGGATTTTATGAAAATAGGGGGGAGAAAAAAAAACAAAGATTTGAGGTAACACTTCAAGGGAAAGTCAACGAGTTTGATTTCTGAAAAACTCTAACATAAAAAAGAGAATCCAACGGTTTTGTATTATCAAAGATTTGTCATGTTTTATGTTTAATATATATTATTATCTACTCAGGGCAAATCCTAAATAAGAGATTAAAGTATCGGAAAAACTCAAAATCAAAATTAAAATCAAAAATTAAAATTAAAATCAAAAATTAAAATCAAAAATTAAAATCAAAAATTAAAAATCAAATAATCAAAAAATCAAAAATCAAAATCGAAAAAAAAGAAAACAAAAAAGAATAGAAAGGAAAAATTTCGGCAAATTGACGTCTCGGGAAAGGGGGTGTTTTGTTTATGCTTAAGAATTCAGAAAGGTATGCGTGTGTGTATGTAGTATCGGGAATAGGCTTAATAAAATAACCGTTGAAGATTTCTTAATCGATAACCCTAGATGAGCCTCGGGATGTTTTTTATTATTATTTTATTATTTTATTATTTTTTTAAGAAAAATATTGTTAAGGTAAGTTTTCTTAAATAGGGTCCTATGAAAAACCCAGACTAGAAAACAGCTTGAGAGGGTGACAAATATAGGAGGGGGAGGGGGGAGAGAATGGATAATGAGGAAGAGTAATTGGCAAAAACCAGCTTGTTTTCAAATCACTTGTTGAGTATTATTAAAACTCATCACATTTATGTTCCAGATAAATCTATGTTATGAATTTGAAAACACTTTTCTCAAAAATCTCATCATCTTGTTTTGCAATTCACATACAAAAAAAAAAAAAATAGCAGATAGTTTGAATATATAAATATAATGGAAAATAGGTTCCGCTTTTTAAGTGTGTGTTTGAATATAGACAAGATTATTAATTGTTAACCTCTGGTTGGATACAATATTAGAAAATTTTTTTTTTTTTCATTTTGTAGCCGAAAGTCCACCTTTCTCCAAGCAACCCAAGGCTTTGAAAATTGAGGACAATAACTCGCACACTTCTAAGATGAAATATGGTACTAAAACAAATTATGATTTTGATTTTAAAAAAAATAAGGGGTTTCTCTAAAGAAGTAAAAAAAAAAAAATAGATAAATAAATTTAGTTACCCAAAAGTTTGCCCATGTCTTTTTTACTTTTTTTATGAGATTTCACGAGAAATTGATTTTGGGGTGATTTTTGATGATTTCAAAGTATTAAGAGATTTCTTTTAATTGTTTATTTCCTTGTATCAACTTATAAGCTTAGCACAATTCATGATAGAAGATTTGAATTTGGAATTTGAAATTAAAATAGAATAGAATAAAATAGAATAGAAAAACGATTTTTGAATAAGTCAAATGACTTTTATATTATAAAAGCCATTTATGAAATTATTGATAAAAACTAGAGTTCAAAATCTCAGGGAATTTATTTTATTTTATTTTATTTTTTAGCTAAATTCTTTTTTTTTTTTTTTTTTTTTGAGATGAGAAACGAGTTTTTAGATTAAAAATATGGGCATATCCACAATCAGCATACAGAATCTTTTGATCTTGCAATAAACCTTTCATTCAAGTTTATTATTATTATTATTATTATTATTATTATTATTATTATTATTATTATTATTATTATTATTATTATTATTATTATTATTATTATTATTATTATATTATTAATTTTTTTTTTTTAACTTTAGTCATTATTATATATAAACGGTAAATCAAAAATCGGGATTTTGGGTTTATTTCGTTGATGCTGTTATGTCCGTCCATCGATGTCAGAAAGATGATAGGTAAGAGTACGATTTGTTAACGTAAGGAAGTATAGTCGAAATCTTTGTAATGTTAATGTTGAGGAAAAAAAGAAAGAAAAAAAAAATTCTCAAAACGTCGAAATCTCGTTTTTTAAACATTTTTTAAAATAACTACGTTACGTAGTTAAATCAATTTTCAGACTTGTAAAATGAATAGAAAATATTTAATAATTATATGTTTACTCTTTGAATTTACAAAAAAAAAAAAGTCTTTAAAATTACACGACTTCCATTTGAAGGGAGTTTCTTCAATTCTTAAGTAAATCAATAGTCTAGTCTAGTCTTTATTTAAATCATTATATCGCCCTTGTGTATCATTTTCATCCATAAGAATTGGGGGTTTAAGGATTATTATTGAAGTTAGGATATTTTTTTTTTTTTAAAACATTTTATTTAAAGTCACGGGTGTTGATTGTACTTGACAATAACGGTCATAAATAAAAAAAAGAAAAAAAAAATAAACCTTCCGACTTAGTCTCAACTAAGATTAAGATTTCTAATAAAAAAATAAACTAAAGACTCCTCCATCAAACATTCAGAACCAACTAACTTATAGTTTGAAAAAAAAAAAATACAATTCTAAGTGGTACTGTAAATGTGATGAATAGTTATAATATATAACAACTATATGCAAAGTTAAAGAAACATGCTTCCTTTTTTTTTTTTTTTTACCAAAAGGTGGTGTTAAGTAAATATTTTTTATTGAAATGAATTTTTTTTTTTGGTTAAGAAAAAAAACAATTAAAAATTTCCTTTCAATGATCTGGAAATAAATTGTTCATTCTTTTTCCTTTTTTTTTTCTTCTTTTTGAGAAACATTTTTTTGGTTAATTACAAGCAGTTAAAAAAAAAAGAAAAAGCAAAACTTTTTAATTTATTTATTTCTTTTTTTTTCCCCCGTATTTTTAACAGGAATGTAAGAAAAATATGAATAGATTCCCCCCTAAATGATTAAATATTTTGCTCAAAAAAAAAAATAAAAATATGTTTAAGTGAAGAATTTCTAAACTTAATATTTAAAAAGCATTTTTCTTTGCTTCAATTTTTTTTTTTTTTAATCTCAGCAAATAAAATAATACCAAAAAAAAAAAAAATAAGAGTCTATTTTTCTTTTCTTTTCTTATCCATTCATTCTTTTGTTCTGAAACCCGACGGATTTGTTTTCTCCTTTGTTGAGGAACAAATTCCCAAACATTGTTTAAGCATTTACAAATTTACAAGTATTATATATATATATATATTATTGACATTCTTGTTTTCCCAATATTTTATTGAACAATAAGAAAAAGAAGAATAAAAAAAAAGCACTCGTAATTGCTCCCCCTTCATGTGGTGCCTGCATTTGGTTTCTAATCTTCATGTCCATGTAATGCTAGATAATTATTCAAATAAACGAGATAACCTTGATGTCAACTTTAAATTAACAGTATAGTTTTAATGAATACTTTAAAAAACTCCTAATTCTTTCTAAATAAATATATATAAATAATAATAATAATAATAAAAATAAAGTACAAGCAAAAAACAAAAGACAATTAAAAAACAACAACGACTCACACTCTTTCCCCTCTTTTCATTCTATAAAAAAACCACTTTTCTTTTTTATTTCTTTATTTCTTTTTTAGTCCAACTTTAAACAACAACAACAGAAGCAAAGCCAAAAAGTAGCGAGCTAACAATAACGGCCAGGGGCAACATGACGACCGAAGAGGTCATTGAGGGGAGATTGTTGACAGCACCAGGATTAGCGGCAGACTTAGAAGTTGCACTACCACTAGCAGAGGACGACGAAGAGGATCCAGAAGAAGCAGAAGATCCAGAGGAAGCAGAAGAGGACGAAGATCCAGAGGAAGTAGAAGATCCAGAGGCAGCAGCAGTGGTAGGACTATAGTCCCAATTGGAATCATCAGACTGATCACCACTGTCACCATATTGAGTGGGGGGTTCATTGGTGCCACTGGGATCACCGGCACCAGACACAAGCATGGCAGAAGCACGTTCGGGCATGACGGGTAGACCAGCAAGGGGGTTGACTTCCCAGACACCTTCTTCCATTTCAGGGCAAACAGCAGGTGAATCATCATCCTTGGCACCGCCATCGCCAGAGGGATCGGAAACACTGGCAAATGCATTTTTAAGGTTTACGAAATCCTGTTTCTCAGTAATAGTGCCTGAAGAAGAAATGGAGACCAAGCCGTAATTGTTTTCTTCCTCAGAATACTCATAGACCAAACCGCCAGAAAAAACGCCCGTCATATTTGTGGAATAGATGGACTCGATTTCGCCAAAGGGCCGGGGCTCGACCTTGTTGCATCCAAATTCAGACAAAAACAAGGGTCTAGTGTAGTTTGAATATTGTTCAACTTTTTGATCGTAGCCTGAAACGGTGTAAGAAGAGTTGCCGCACCATGAGTAATCATTCATGCCAAACATGTCAATACGAGCAGTCTCATCGTCACCACAGTTAAAGTATTGAATCTGTTGGTATCTGTTTGCGGAAATGTCGGCGGCAGAGTAACCGACAGGGATGGCACGCAGATTTTGTGCAGCCATGTATGTCTTCATGTCACGGACAACAGCCTTGACATAGGGAGCAGCCTGGGTAGTATTTTCATTGTTGATAACCTCGTTTGCAGCAAAGAAGCCAAGGACATTGTCATAGCTGGCAAATGCGTCAATGGTAGCAAAGACGTGTTGGAGGTATGCGGTATTGTAAGAGACTTGAGGGTCTGAACGGGAGATAGAGTTTTTAGGGGTATTCACGTCAAGAATGAGGTAGATTCCAGCATCATCAAGTTTTTCCATGCAGTCCTTGTGGTCGGCTGAGTTGTCGACAGAGTAGACACGGATTGTGTTGATACCCAGTTCCTTGAAGTATTCAATATCGCGTGTGCAAGTGTCGGATGAAGAAAGTGGGTCGGTAAAGTTTGAAGCTCCACCAGGGAGGTAATCGACGCCTCGAATGTAGAAGCGGGAGCCTGATACAGAGTCGTAAAAGGCATTGCCCTTGACCTCAATGGGGTTAAGAGCAGCGTTTGCAGAGGCCGCCAGGGCCATGAAGGAAAGTACTGAGGTGATTGAGAATTTCATTTTAAATGATGCAAATTGAATAATAGGAAAAGAGATATTTTTCAAAAAAGAAAAGAAAATAAAAATAAAACTGGATTTAAAAAACTGGATTTATAAAAGAGTGTAGAAGAAGATATTAAAAAAAAAAGGTGATTAACGAAAGACCTAGAAATAAAATAAAAAAAAAAAAAAGAAGAAGAAGAGATTTAGTTTTCTCTATATATATATATGGATATAGATTTAGATAGTTTATACGAAAATATATATAAAAAATCTCCTGAAGATAAAGAATGGAATGTTGGAAGAAGGAAAGAAAAGAAAAAAAAAATTTTTTTCTAAAACATCTGGGCATTCCTTGGTATTTATATATTTATATATTTATATATTTATATATTTATATATTTATATATTTATATTTATTTATAATTATATAATTATTTTGATATTATATTTATCCTTTATCTCCTAAATGTTTGAAAAAAAAAAAAAAAAAGCAGCACAGCACAGCACAGCACAGCAGCAGCAGCAGCATTTGTTTTAGTTCACTTTGTTGTTGTTATTGTTGTTATAGTGGTTACCCATGACAACACAAAAAACATAAATAAGCATTGCTTTTAGCCTTTTCGCTGCCGCCCAAATTTCAGTTTCCCTTTTCTTCCTAATTAGAAAAAAAAAAAAAAAAAAAACGCCCAGTTAAATATTTAATATTTAATATATATATCAGTAACTACTGATTATATCAGTAATATCAGTAAAGTAAAGTAAAGTAAAGTAAAGTAAATTATCCGCCTTTGCACACACACACACACACATCACGTGCTGTGCGTAACTTGTGCAGTCACTATGACATCATCATCTTCTTCTTCCTCTGCTTCCTCTTTCTCAACCACAGGGCTAGGGTTATTATTGCTGTTACCGCCTGCGCCAACCAACGCCGCCGTTGTTTTAGCATCAACACCAACAACAACAACACCTCCTGGCATATCTTCTTTATCTTCATCTTCATCTTCATCTTCATCTTCATCTTCATCAACAGCCACAACTCCACCACTACTAGGCGTCAATGAAGATACAACCTCGTAGCCAGGCTCCAAAACCTGCTCTTCCGCTCCGTTTACTGGTAGATGAGCAGTGCCAGCAGTTGCCGTCGTAGTAGTACTAGTATTAGTAGTACCCATTGTTGAAGATGAAATCGTAGAAGAAGACACAACCGTAAATCCCTCCTCTTCTTCGTCAAGTGGGATACCCACGCCACGGCCAAGCTCTTGGGTTTCCAAGCTTTTATCTGTTGCTGTTGCTGCTGGTGTCAAAGCTGCTGGTGAAATTTCATTTTCCACAGTTGCTGTTGCTATTGTTGTCTTGGCAGCACCAGTAATAGGGATATCACTCCTTGTTTTCTCGGCAGAAGGGGTAGTTTCCTCCACAGCCTCCTCCTCCTTGCTAGATTCCTCCTTTTTTGTGGAATGAGCCTCAGATGGTTCCACTATGACCACAGTAGATGTTGCAACATGCCCAGCTGTTGCATGATGACCAGCAGATGCGCGTGGACTAGTTGTAGCAGATCCTGTTGCATCAAAAAAGTCCTCTTCATTATCAGACTCCTCTCCCTCAACAGACGTTTTGCTAATAATACCACCAGCATCCTTCTTGATCTCCTCAACTTGAGGCACCTCAACAACATCAAGACTCTTTTCATGCTGAGCACCTTCAGATGACTTCTGAGCAGCTGCTTTTTCTTCAGCAATTCTCTTTTCTTCAGCTGCCTTCTCTTCAGCAATTCGCTTTTCCTCAGCAATTCGCTTTTCCTCAGCAATTCGCTTTTCCTCAGCAATTCGCTTTTCCTCAGCAATTCTCTTCTCCTCAGCAATTCTCTTCTCCTCAGCAATGCGTTTCTCCTCAGCTATACGTTTCTCCTCAGCTATACGTTTCTCTTCTGCAATGCGCTTTTCTTCTGCAATGCGCTTTTCTTCAGCAATTCTCTTCTCTTCCGCAATGCGCTTCTCCTCTGCAATTCTTCTTGCCTCTTCTTCTCTCTTACGATCTTGCTCTTCAACTGACGTAAACACCAGCCCCCCTTCTCCAAGGCTCCACACATCGTAAAAAACAACTACATGTTTATCTTCCTCCATCTCCTTCACCTTCTTTTTCTGGTTACCAGAAGCAACTGGCAACGGCTCTTCTTCCTTAAGAGGAGTGGCTGCCTCGCTAGGTAACTTGCGGCGGGGACCACGCGCACGGCCACGACGCATATCTCCAAGCTTCTTATCATTCTTCTTGACAGGCTCCTCTACCTCCTCACCTTCTCCTCCTTCTTCCTTGTTTTCAGAACTGGCATCCTGCATCTTAGAAGCCATCGACATGGGTGGCACACCTCCACGTGCAATCACATTACCCAGGTCTTTAAACAACGAAGCTCGTAATGCACTCACTTTTCCTAGACCTCCAGAACTAGTACTACTCGAATTACCCTCTTCAGATGTAGCTGCTGCTGCTCCTGTAACCATAGGACTACGAGCCACGCCACTTGGGCGGAACTTTGGTTTGGGTGGAACCGTTGGTGCAAATGATGATGATGATGAGGAGGAGGAGGAAGATGATGAGGACGGCCCACTGCTCTCGCCATCACCGTGACCTTGCTGCTGTTCGCCGCTAAACATTCCAGCCGCTGCTTGGATCTTAGACGACAGACGTGCTGGACGGTGCGGGACTGCAGGCTTGTGTGCAGGGATGCTAGGTGGAACACGTTTCTCACCAGTGGGAGGACGGCGCGATGGTACAGATGGTGCAGGTTTTCCATGCTCGCCAAAGGATCGGCGCTTCGGTACGACTGGAGGAGCGTGTTTTCCCAATGAATGTGCATGGTTATGAGCGTCATCAGCGCTGCCGACTGAAGGTCTTTTAGGAATCACAGGTGGAAGAGACTTTGTGTCTTCAGAAGAGCCTCCAACAGATGGACGTTTGGGAATTAGAGGTTTGTTAAGCTTGGATTGCTGCTGTTCTTCTTGTTCTTTTTCTTTTTCTTCTGTAGATGCATGGTGGGAAAGAATGGGCTTGTTGAGGTCAGTCTCTGAATCAAAAGGCTTGATGACAAGCATCTCATCATCATCAGCACCCGCAGAAGGTGTAACAGCTTCGACAACAAGTTCTTCTTCTTTTTCTTGAGCCTTGTCTTCAACCGGAGTTTCTTTCGGTCTTTGTGGGATAACAGGTTTTGATTCCTCAGTAGAGGAGTTTGAAGAAGGTCGCTTGGGAATAATAGGACGAATGATTTTAGGTTCTGTTTCTTCAACAGATCTTTGAGTAACAAGTCCTACTTCCTCTTTTTCGGCAGCTTCATTTATAGAAGAAACAGAAGGCCGTTTAGGAACAATGGGTTGAATAATCTTTGGTTCTTGCACAGGTTCACTATCTTTTGTAGACGAAACAGAAAGTCGCTTAGGGACAATAGGCTGGATAATCTTAGGTTCTTCCTCTTGTTCTTCATTTTTAATCGATGGAACAGGTCGCTTAGGCACAATTGGTTGTTGAATGATCTTGGGTTCTTCTTCTTTTTCTTCCTCAACCACTGGCTGCTTCCTCTCTTCATGGATTGAAGAAACAGAAGGTCGTTTAGGTATAATTGGTTTCGATTGTTCTTCATCGTTTTCTTCTATCTGGACAGACGTAGATGAGGGTCGCTTGGGAATCACAGGCCGTGCAACGGGATTCTCTTCTTCTTCTTCTTCTTCTTCTTCTTCTTTTTCTCCAATTTCCTTCTTAATTGATACAGAAGATGGTCTTTTAGGAACAATTGGTTGAATAATCTTTGGTTCTTGCTCAAGATCTTCTTCCTCTTCCTTCTTAATTGACGGCCGTTTAGGAATAATAGGTCTTTGTTGAAAAGTCTCCTCCTCAATTTCGTGATGACCAGATGGTCTTTTCGGAACAATTGGTTTAATCACAACTTCCTCATCTTCGTCATCACCCGCAGGCAACGCCACAGCCTCTACGACAACTTCCTCATCATCAGCTTCTTCCTGATCAGTTACCGGTCGTCGCAAAACTACAGGTGCCCTTTCTTTATTTAATTCACTCAAATCGGAAGTTGATGAAGTTGCCACACTACTGCTTTCACGCACTGCTGGTCGTCGGCTCGGGACACTCGGCATGCTCGAGCCCGCAACAGCCTCGCTAGCCGCGCCCTCAAGCGCTTCGACCACGTGTCGTGCTGCAATTTCCGGGTCCTCACTTTTGGCGTGGTGAGGTGTAGGCCGGTGCAGTGGCAAGCCGGGCACCGTTTCTTGTTGCAGTTTTTGCGGTTGTTGGGCTGAGTTAGAATTTGTAATTGACGGTGCTGCACCCCCATCACTTTCTTCAGGCGTCAATTCGGACGCAGAAGAAGAGGTACGAGAGTCGGGTCGCCGAGGAACTGCAGGCCGACGCGAAGGTAAAGACGGAGGCGTCAAAGAAGTTGAAGAAGAGCTTGCAGCAGATCCTGGGCGTCGCGGGACTTGCGGCGGTTGTAGGGGAGCGACTTCATTGATGGATGTATCAGCAGAGGTCGTGGCAATTGAAGATGAAGATGAAGAGGAAGAAGAAAATGAAGAAGAGGCAATTGGTTGATCTTCAAGAGTAGAAGAGGTCTGGACAGGAGTGCGAGCTGGGCGGCGGGCCGGGCGCGCAGGTGGTTGGGGTGTGGTGCGGGTCTTTTTTTTATTATTAAAGGAAATTAGCGCTGTTTAGAACGGGTGGGTTTAAACAAAAAAAAAAAAAAAGAAAAAAACTTACAGGAATTTCGGAATCATGATTATCGGTAGACATTTTATAATAAATTAAAATATAGTTAATGAATAATAGTCAATCTAGATGAGCATTTATGAGCAAAAAAAAAAAGTGGTTGCGATTGAAATGGTGGTGCAAAAGTTTGGTTGTTGAGCAAGAAAAGGAAAACTGGCAAGACCGATTTTAATGTGATGGTGGTGGCTGTGATATGTGGAAGAGTTTAGCTGGTTGGCTGGCTGGCTGGCTGGTAAGGTTTTTTTTTTTTTAAATTTATGTGAGGCGCTTAGTGTGTGTATGGAAAAGTCCCGCTAAAAAGCAACTCGAGGAACACTTTGAGATTTCCTATAAATTTAGCCCTCAAATCCAGCAATAACAAAATATACTTGAATTGAAAAAAAAAAATTCCTTTTAAAATCTAAGTAGACTATATTTACAAATTATTTATATAAATTAATAGGAGTTGTTTTTTTATGCTTTTTCTTCTTCATCGTTTTGAGTCTCATCTTTAGGCTTTTCTTCTTCCTTAGATTCTTCCTTAGATTCTTCCTTAGATTCTTCCTTAGATTCTTCCTTGGATTCTTCCTTGGATTCTTCCTTGGGTTCTTCCTTGGGTTCATCCTTAGATTCTTCCTTGGGTTCTTCCTTGAGTTCATCCTTGGATTCATCCTTGGATTCTTCCTTGGATTCTTCTTTGGATTCTTCCTTGGGTTCTTCCTTGGGTTCTTCCTTGGGTTCTTCCTTGGGTTCATCATTGGATTCATCCTTGGGTTCTTCCTTGGGTTCTTCCTTAGATTCTTCCTTGGGTTCATCCTTGAGTTCATCCTTGGGTTCATCCTTGGATTCTTCCTTGGATTCTTCTTTGGATTCTTCTTTGGATTCTTCTTTGGATTCTTCCTTGGATTCTTCCTTGGGTTCTTCCTTGGGTTCTTCCTTGGGTTCTTCCTTAGATTCTTTCTTGACCTCTCCATTAGCTTCTATTTTAGAATCTTCCTTGGGCTCTTCCTTGGGTTCATCTTTATGGTCTTCCTTGGGGTTCTCATTAGTTTCATCTTTAGACTTTTCCTTGGACTCATCCTTGGACTCTTCTTTGGACTCATCCTTGGACTCCTCCTTAGACTCTTCCTTAGACTCTTCCTTAGACTCTTCCTTAGACTTCTCCTTAGATTCTTCCTTAGACTTCTCCTTAGATTCTTCCTTCTCTTTTGCCTCTTCTTTTTCCTTTTCTTCTTCTTCAAACGCTGCATCTGCATCAAACAACGCCTCTCCCTTTTCTTCTTCTTCTTCCTCCTTCTTTTTCTGAGGCGGTGGCGATGGACTGCTCACTTTAATAGCAGCATTATTAACCTGATCCCATACAGCTTGCCCCACATTCCCTGACCCCTCCACCGGTTCCAGTTTATCCTTGAAATATGCCACATCCCGTAGAATATACTCCCTTTCTGGCACTGTCCGAAGCGTCGGAACAATCTTCCCGTACTCCTCCAAAAGCTTGCGCTTGTAATTGTCAAACACTAACGACATGATCATCAGGTATGTTGGCTTTGGCAAAATGCTATTCAGAATCTTAGCAAGTACTGTAGTTTCCTTCACAAGAGACAACATGTATTTGTTGGGCTCCAGAGCCTCGCCATTGGACGGCACAGGTGGCGGCGAGTGCCAGTCTGTACGCCGAATTGTAACACAGTGTCGCAACATCTTGTCGCTCATCAGTGTCACAAACTTTTGATGAATCTCATCTCGATGTGATTTCAAGTCCTTGGCCACTTTATCTACCTCATCCAGTGCTGCATGATGTGCCTCAGTCATCGAGTCCCCGCTACCAGTGCCAGAACCTCCCCGATTCATTTCCATCGAGTTCCGCGCTGACCCGGTGTTAGACCCTTCACCACCTGAAATCCCCAGGTGCCGCTTCGCGCACTCCTTAATATACGGAATTAGCGTCAGTAGCACGTTAAGACCTTGAGATGACAACGCCAAATGTTTGGCAGTAATGTGCTTGATGGCAGCCGCAGTGCGAGTCGCTCCAGCTCCAAGAATAAGCTGAGTAGCTTTTGAATTGTACCGCGAAAGGAAATCCGCAATGTTGGACATTGTTTCTGATGCAAGGTGCGGGAGCAGCACCAACAATTGCATGTACTCTTCGAGTGCTGTGACAGTCTGGATAGTCGAAATGGGGATTGTGAAAACTGCATTTCCAATGTACAATTTCTTGTTCTTTTTCTTTGGCGCACCATCGTCTGTATTTTCCACAGGTGGAGGCGACATGGTCCGTTGTAAAGCCTCGTCTTTGTCGTTTTTTGTTTCGTGTAAAATGTTTCGGAGTAAGCTGACCCACTCGTAGGGATCGGAGTGCCCGGAACGCACCATGAGGTCCACAATGTTTTGGAATGATTCTTTAATTTCCTCTTCATGCCATTGGTTACGATCCATTTGCTGTGCCAAGTCTTGTTCGTGTCTCTTGTGAAACGCAGAAATATATGTTTTGAGTTGCATCGTGACTGTATTTCCCAGAGACGGATCGATTTCCAATCCACAAATAGCCTCGCACTCGGAAAGAAACATAAGACTTAAACTGTAAAAGTCGGCCAGCCGGGGGATAGATAGTTGCGAGTTTTCTTCGCGGCGCACATTTAAAATCTTGACAAGCCGAATGAGCGACGCGTCAATAACCTTGCGAAGAACCTCCGATGTGTCAATAATGTGCAGCCCAGCGTCCGATGCAAACGTTACAGAAACGTCCAGTAACAGTTTTTGTTGCGCAGCAACTCGCCGAAACAATTCAGACAATCCAGAAAACGTATTGGCCAGCATCTCGATAAAGGCATCCTCAGTCATGGACCGCAGCAGCACGGCTAATGACTGGCTCTTATCGGCAGAACGCCCCGTCATGTTGGAAGAAATCGACATGGTATCGTCCGTATCGTCACCGGCATTTGACGTTGCTGTTGGGAGGTATATACGCACCAAGTTTTTGGCCTCACGCACAATCGCATCACGGTACGCATTTACAGCACCTTGAACATTGTTTGAGCGTACCAGTCCGCGTACGCGTGTCTCAAGGTCTGCCCGTAATGCAGGATCAATTGAAAGGTACTCCATGTTGATGGGTGCTGATTTAGGTGCTGGTGTGGTTTCGTCAAACGATGATGCTGGTTTGACAGCTTTGCGGAGGACACGGCCAAGCCGGGTGAGAGTTGCATCGCGTGGGACTGCAGCTGTGTGTTTGCGGACATCCGATATGAGCAATGATGCAAACATTTTTGCGTACTCTGCACCGACACCCGATCGCAGCGAAACAAGTGACTCGCGCAGTTCTGTGAGCCCGCGCACGGACCGCACGTCGCAGATCGGGTATTGCCAGCCTTTAGTCCATGCAGAAATAAGGGTACGGGCGGCATCTGATGGCCCAGGTTTTCCCGCAAAGAAATCATCGAGGGCATCGAGGTGGTCAAGACACGGGTCAAGGTGCTTGTTTTCAAATAGGGATTCCGCAGCATCCGCTTGATCAAGGGCCACCTCAATCTGGACCAGACTTTGGAGCAGTTTGGAGGTATTATCACGTCGTTGTTGCAGTTTGAGAGTCTCAATGCCAGTTTGAACAAGATCTTGGTCTACTTTTTCTAAATCTGTTCGAAGGGTTTTGATGGTGTCAAGGGTATCCCGCGTTTGGGCGTTGATTGTGCGCATGTCATCAAGGGCAGAGAAAAAGGAATGCGAAGCCGTGCTGATTTCATGAATAAGATGCAGCTCGACCGTGTCGATGTACCAGGAGAGTTTTTCCTGCAACATTGCATTGTTTGCAAGTCCCGTGCGTGCAATTGAGTCCGTTTCAGAGCTAGCAGTAGTTACAATTGTCGAGCGCTCGCTTACAATGTCAAACGTTCGTGGGTTGTCCAACTGGAAATCTGTTTCGAAAAAAACGCTTGGTACTGTATCCAGTGGTGTAATGTCATCCAGCTCATCATGACCTGGTTGTCCTTGCTGTCCATTTAAGCTGTCTGCAAAGCTCGTTACACTTGCCGTTTCCCATTTCCCTGCTGTGGAGGTCGAGTCCACATCGCCAAGCGCATCTACTACAGATGACAGTGCCGACAATGAGGTTTGAACAGAGCCTCCACCAGCACTCATTTTGCGATACTGAGAGCCTGGTCCTGAACCCCCCATGAGAGACGGTACGCCGCTTGCAGCAAACAACCCACCACGGGAATCGTAAAACTGGTTATACTCGCGCGACACCTCATTAATATATTCGCGAAGCTCTGCGCGTGACACTTTGGAAATAGGCGATAGAACAACTGGTGGGATATCTCGGGTAGTTGGTGGCTTGAATCCTGAGGCAGCGGCGGCAGATGATGCAGTAGCGGCCGCCACTGCAGCTGCAGCGGCTGCTGCTGATGAGTTGGAGCTGGTGGAAAACCGGCCGCCTCCAGTACGTGCAGGGACTTGAAGGAGCGATGCTGTGGAGCCTGATTGAGAAAAGTTTCCTCCCGCAGCGCCGGCGACTGCAGCCATTGCAGCACTGTTGACTAGTGGTCCGTCCACTAGGTCAGCAATGGAGTTTGGTCCGAGCCGGTGGGACCCAGTTGCTGCAGCGTTGAGGCCGAAAGGCATGTTTAATGGAGGAGGAGGTGCTGCGAAAGAAGAATATGCTGAGGATGATGAACCGGCGATAGGATATCCTAAGGCCGGGACCGAAAGTAGGGACGCAGTGCCTGCAGCTGAAGAAAAGGAAGAGGAGCGGCGGAATGAAAGGGAAGGCGAAAATGAAGGTTGAGGCAACTGTTGCTGCTGCTGCTGCTGCTGCTGATGCTGCTGCTGATGCTGCGCCAGCGTCTGCTCATGTTTGAGAGATTGGTTTTGTGAGTGCGGTTGCGCCGCTGGCATAGTTGTTGAAAAAAATGATGATGATGATGATGGGGGAGGAAGTTAGAAAAGGTTGATGGTGGTAGTGTTGATGAAAATGTTTGTGTTGATGCGGGAAAAAAATCAGGAGGGGTGTTAAAGTTAAAATTATGAGGTGGTCACTTTTTTTTTTTTTTTTTCTAATGCAACTCCAAACAAGTGAAAAAAAAAAAAAAAAATTTGGCACAAACCAGCTCAACAGCTCTACATTCAATATTTATTAATATTTACTCATATTTTTTTTTGGTATAAAATAGGTTAGAATTATTATAGCAAGTATATAGAAATATATAAATGAAAGAATAATGAAAAAAAAGAAGGGGGGTGGGAGAAAAAAAGCATTTTTTTTAGCGATTCAGATTTGCAAGATTTGCAGAGCTTGAAGTCCGTGATGACGACCGAAAGATTGACGAAGACGTACGTGCAAGGCCTCCTGAACCTGCACCTCCTAAAGTACTACCTTGGCTCGATTGTTGAGCAGACCCCAGAAACCCACCAGCTAGGTTTGTTGCGCTCAGAGATGCTCGTTGAAGCAGTGGACTTGGCTTGACTCCAATTACAACTTCTTCAGCCTCAGAATCCGAATCCGAGTCTGAACCAAAATCAAACTTGGATGTAGTAGCAATGGGTAATTGTGCAGAGAGGTGGGATGGTAGCGTCATAACACGGTCGTCGTCATCATCGTCTATATTGCTGGCTTCTGTACTGTTGGGAACTTCCACAGAATTTTTATTGGTAAGTAGGTTAGATGGTCCCACAATCTGCGCTGGATCAATTGCCTTAGTAGAAGCATGTGGAGATTGGCCTGGAGATGGTCCAGGAGATTGGACAGCCTGTGGCGACTGCGATGGTGACTTGTATACACTATTATAGTCGTAGACAGTGTAAATGTGGGTACGTGGCTGGGTATTGTGGGACATGGCATAAGCGACCGAGTTTGCGGCTTCTGCACGACGGAGCTCCTCCTCCTCGCCTACATCGTAGGCTGCGCGTAGCGTTGTTGCTGGTAGTGGAGCGATAATTGCGTTATAACTTTTAGGAGAGGTAGCAGTGGATGATGATGACAGTGCACCTAGGCGGTCCAAACGGTGAAGTGATGTTGTTGATGAAGAACGGAGGGAAAGAAACAGGCCTGGTTCGTCCTCATCTTCTGAATCGGAAGAAGAGGAAGAAGAAGAGTCTTCTTCCATGGCGGCTGAAGAGCCTGAGCCAAACGAGAGTTTTTTAGAGTTATTGGAAGCATTATCCGAGTCATCCGAGTCTTCACCTCTTGATCGCCAGTCGCGTGAAAATCTATGTCCATGGCGGCCTCTTCCTGAGCCATACAAGTCTGAGGAAGTGTTGTTGCTCATGCTGTGATCGTGGTTGTGGTGGTGGTGGTCATTATCGTCGTCGTCATTATCTTCATCTGAAGAGCTCTCATAAGTGTCGATAGCAATGCATTGTTCTACACGGTCGTTGAAGTGAATGTGTCGTTCAAGGGGCCGGAAAGAGGTGACAGAAGAGTTTGGGGATTTTGCCAATAGAGAAGCAGGAGAGACGACAGTATTAGCGGTAGCATGGATTGGTCCTTGGAATGTTGATGGTGGGGCCGACCCAGGAGCTTGAGGAGGGGCAGTTGCCAAATGGTTAAATTTATTTGATAATGTTTGTTGTTGTTGTTGTTGAGTGGTGGGTGTTGTATTAAATGTGGTGGGATAATATGCAGGGTTGTTATTGGTATATTGTGGGGTAGCAGCAGTCGTCGTGGCATTACTTGTGGGGGAAGGGCGGTTGATGAGGTGGCCGGGCATGTGGCGGTACTGGAGGTTAATTTGGCGGGAAATGCGTTCGTCCGAGTGGCCCGTGTGTGGTCGGTGGCGATAATTGTGGTGGCGCATAAATGAGTTCACGCCGCCATCCTTGATGGGTTCGTCGTCATTTTCGTCTTGAGGGTTAGAGGAGGTATTATTTGCGGTAGATGTCGTAGGAGATTGTGGTTGCTGTTGTTGCTGTTGTTGCTGTTGTTGTTGTTGCTGCTGCTGCTGTTGTTGTTGATGATTATTTTGAAAAGAAGCCAGAGTGGGAGTATGATGGCCACTATTCTGCCGGGCATAAAGCTTGTCTGAAACTGTTCGTTTTTTAAGAATAGGTTTGTGTAGAGGCTTTTGCTTGGATGCTTGAGATTGTTGTTGTTGTTGTTGTTGTTGTTGTTGTTTTAGTTGCTTTTGTTTTTGTTTTTGTTGAGAAGACATTAATTGATATGGTGATGAAGATGAAGATGTTGATATTGATGTTGATGATGAATTTGATTGCTGGCGATTTCTTTGAGGTAACTGTTGCATCAAGGACGTTTTTGAGGAACTATTGTTGTTACTCTGGCAATTTATGCTTGTACTGCTCGATCGTTTACTAAGTTCAGTTGGAGCAGCAGTTTCAGCTTGAGGATCCGTGTAATGGATATTCATTGGTTGATTGAAAAGAGGACCATAGAGCCACGTCACATCACAATCCTTGAGCCAGTTGACAGATTCTGGAGAGACGGTGCGCAGATTGTATTTAGCTTTTGTCCAGGTACGCCAAGAAGCATTTTCCAGACGTGCCGAGTTTGCCACATCTCGTCTGCGCATGACAATGTTACGCCAGCAGGTGGAAATGTCTGATTCTTTCCAGTCGTGGGACAAGTAGTCCACATGGCGGGAGGGTTCATATGCGAGAACGGAATCATCATGGACAGCTGTGAGGTCTGGTGTTCCAGCGTGGGAAGTTGGTGGAGAAGGAGAGGTTGATGCAGTAGAAGATGAGCAAGTATTATTGTGGTGATTATTTGTGGTGGTAGTGGTGGTGGTATTGTTATTATTATTTACAGAGTAGGGTGAATAGGAAGATGAAGAAGCAGCAGATGATGAAGAAGACGGCGATAAAGATGACGATGACAATAAGGTGGTATCATCAACAGAGGAAGAGGCAGATGAGCACGCGACTGGACATGTTGCAGTTGTTGTTGTTGTTGTTGTTGTTGCCATTCCTGGGGATGGTAAAGAAAAGTCAGACGGCGAAAATCCGGAAGAGCCTAATGAGGTTTGATGTTTTAAAGAGACCACAGGAGTTGCGAGAGATGAGGCTGTCTGGGGATACTGATTATATTGCTGGTTATTATTATTGATAATATTATTAGAATATTGAGTATCCACTAAAGACTGCTGTTGTTGTTGTTGTTGTTGTTGTCGTTGCTGCTGCTGCTGCTGCTGCTGCTTCTGCTGAGGCAAAGGAGAAGATGATGATGAAGATGATGATGATGAAGAAGAAGATGTCGATGATGAAGACGAAAGCTGAGGAGACACAAAAGAAGAGCCGTCTGAAATAGCTAAATGAGGGTAATCAGCCATAGTTCCTGTAAGGTCTGTGGAGGGTTTAATAATGAAGTTATCAAGCAGCCCCATAGACCGGGTGCGCTTAAGAGCAAATGATGAGCGTGTGAAAGTCTCAGAGTCTGTAGCAGAGACAGCTTTCGATATTTCGTTGAGATTATAGTTACGCTTTGGAGGTTCATTAGATGATGGCTGCTGCTGCTGTTGCTGCTGCTGTTGCTGCTGTTGTTGTTGTTGTTGAGAGGTCGTTGTTGATGACGGTGGCGCCTTATGGTCGACTCCTAAAGATAGGAGAGGAGTACTAGCTGTAGATGGCATTTTGATGGAGATGTAGATTTATAGTGAAGAGAGTAAGAAAGAAAATGTCGAAAAAAAAAAAAAAGAAAGAAATAAAGAAAGAAAGAGAGTTAATAAAAAGTTATTTGATTTATTCTTCAGTTTCTTGTTCTCTTTATTTTTATTTTTTTTTTTTTAATTTGATATTTAATATTTGATATATATATATATATATGGGGTTGTTGATGACGATTATGGAGTGGGGAGGATTATTTATAAGCACAAAAATATTGTTTATTATAAGTATGGGTTTATTATTATTATTATTATTTTTCTTCTCTCTGTTTCTTTAAAATATATATAGACACTTTCTTTTCTGAAAAATACTACTTTTTTATAATAAGAAAGTCAAAGACATACTGAGTTGAACAGAACAGAACAGAACAGAAAAAAAAAAAAAAATGGAGATTGATGTTGTTGACTTTAATGAAAGTTTTTTTTTTTTTTTTCCATTAAAGGATTTTTAAGTGGTGGTGGTGGTGATGGAATATTTTTATTTATAAAAAAAATTTTAAAGACGGCTGAAAAAAAAAAAAAAAAAAAAAAGCTGCTTGTCGCTGGTGCTGCTACTGCTGTTTTAGTCCGCATTTATGCCGCCGTCATATATATATATTTTTTTTATTTTATTTTATTTTATTTTATTTTTTTATTTTTTTATTTTTTTTTATTTTATTTTATTTTATTTTTTTGGGGAGGCTGACTGGCTGGCTGGCTGGCTGGCTGGCTGGCTGGCTAGCTGTTGTTGGTTGTTGTTGGTTGTTGTTGGCTGGGCTTTCCCTTAGCACTTGCCATTTACTAGTTAAATTTTTAAATTTTTTTTTTTGTTTTTTTTTTTTCTCCGCATAATAATAATAATAATAATAATAATAATAATAACATCAATCAATCAATTCATCAATACATCAATACATCAATATTTTAATATACATAATAAATACATTAATATACATTAATAACGCTGAAAATATTCACCATCATGCTTCATCATGCTCTATCATGCTCTATCATGCTTCAATTGTAAAATTCCCAAAAAAAAAAAAAAATCTCATCTTGTTTTTTTTTTTTTTTTTTTTAATCTCTTCGACCCTATAATATCCCTTTGTTCCTTGTCGTCGTCCCTCATTCCAGCCGTCTCTCTCTATTTTTTTTTTATTTTTTATTTTCTCCCCACACCTTTGGAATTTGTTGTCTGTCTTGTTGCCTGTCTTGCCAGCTGACTGACTGACCCGTTTACTGGAGGCTCCTTTGCGATTGGAAGAAAACAACAACAAAAAAGTTAATTTTAAATTTAAATCGTATTAATTTTAAAATAATTTTAAAATAAATTTAAATAATTATGTAATGCTCTTTTTTTTTTTTTCTTCTTCTTCTTCTTATTCTTCCTCCCCTCCTCCAATAATTTTTCTCCTCTTTACGATTATTACCCCATATTTTCTAAATCAAGATACCTGCGGCTTTTTATCTTCCGTTCAGGGCGGTCCGGCCGACGGTGACCCGAACTTTTTTTAATTTTTTTTAATTTTTTTTAATTTTTTTTAATTTTTTTTAATTTTTTTGGTCTTCGTTGGAAACTTTTCTATTGATAATTTTGATTTTAATTGAATGATTGACTTTGTTGGAGTTTATATATAAAAAAAATTTGCACTTTTTTTTTTTTTTTTTTTTTTTTTCAAGTCTATATGATTTTAGTACACTTATAATCCAATGCCAATGTATGTTTAAGTCTATACCACTTTATGTCGAGTCTATTTCTATCTCCTTCTACTCCCCTTTTATTTCCAATATATATATATATAAATATATATTTATTACTATAATAAACTTATAGGCATTTATATAAAACTTCTCTTCCTATGGTTGGTCAAATTTCTTTCTCGAGATTTGTTTTTTTTTTTTTTTTTTTTCTTTTGCTCTCAAAATGGAAACTTCAAAAAAGAAAGTTTTTTTAATTTTTTTTTGCCACAGAAATTTTAAGCAGCAAAAGTGCGTACAAAAAAAAAAAAATAGCTTTTTTCGGGACATTCGGGTCACAAGTCACCGGATTTAAAAATAGAAAATAATAAAATAAACCCCCATCGGATCAAAAGTCACCGGATTATTTCGTAAATATTATTTACCATGTAATAATGAATTGTAATTGTAACATCTATAGGATATAGCCGATTTCTTTTTCATCTTCTTCTAATTACCCCAACTTTTTCTCCATCTTTTTCTCCATCTTCTTCTTCTTCTTCTTCTTCTTCTTCTTCTTCTTCTTCTTCAACCTCCTCAATCAACATCCTTCACATATGATGATGGGAAAGACCCCTTCATCCCATTCAACTCTCCTTCGGTCCACCCATCACCAGGATCATCCTGCGTCACTGCAATCTTATCACCTGCCCTAATCGTAATCTCTTCCTCATTCGTAGCATCATAATCATACTGCGCAATCACATACCTAATCTTCTTCCCACCACGCCTAGGCGCAACAGAAGGACCCTTCTTCTTCCCCCCTCCAAATGATCCACGCGCACTACTACTCACAGATTCTTCCCCAGTGCTAACAGAAACAATCGATGGGACTGGTAAAATGTTATTGTTCCCATTGTCATTGGAAATAATCTCACAATATGACGCTGGAATTAAACCTTCCTCACCATTAGTCTTGCGCCCAATTACCCACCCAGTCCCATCATCCTCCTCCACTACCATAAACTCTTCACCTTCAATAAGTGTCAACTCCCCACTCTGTTGTCCACTGTACCCATATAACATCCGCCCCGTAGTAGTTCCATATCCCCTTTTAAACCCTCCTCCAATACTAGTCGTTGGAGTACTAGGTATAGACCCATTAGTATTACCAACACTCTCTTGAGATGCTCCCGTAGGTGCCGTAGTAATACTTCCAGATCTCTTGCGAATGGTATTCTTAAAGGAAGACAAAAATCCTCCTCCAGCTCCTCCTCCTCCTCCTCCCTGGTGTCCAGAATGAATCGAAAGTGATCTCACAGACTGTAGCTCATGATCAATATCAACTGGATCTTGTACACTATGATGATGATGACCACTCGATCCTCCACCACCACTCAACAGCCCAAGTAACCCCTTTCTCTTCTTAGTCTCAGCCACTGGCGTTACTGAATTTAAATCCTTATCTCCAGCAGCAACCTCAATCGTCTCAATCTCAACTGCAACAATCGTCTTCGCAGTCTCATTGTATGTCACCGCTTGTAGTGCAGCAAGCGTTCGGCCTAACAACTCAATGTAACTCGCCTTGGAAATCTTGCCCGAGTCTAACTCAGAAACTGACCCGCGCCGTTGTTCCATGACCGCCCGATATGACTCAGCCCGTGACTCGCTGGTCCGCGAATGCTCAGCAAGCTTGTTTTGAGCATTCTCCAACCACCGTCTCAAATATTGCAACGACACATCATCAGTCGCAATCCCATCCTCATCGTGCCAAATCGGACTTTCCTGGAAATAAAAGTCAGTGGGCTCTGTCCACGACCCCAAGTTATGCTTCACAAACATGGCTGAATCTAACGCGGGGTTGTTTTGTGCAACACACCCAGCCATCCCATCTAAACACGTTACCGTCCGCTCACAGCAACCACGTTCCACCTGAATTGCTTGGTGCCAGAAATCATTCACCATCCGCACCCGCGCCTCGTTCAGGGCCTGCAAATGGTCCAACAACTCCGGTACGTCCTCATGGTAATACTTATCCTTGACCCGGTTCGCCACATTGATCTTAATAATGTACGTGTTCTTCTCATTGTTCATGTCCACCCCCTTCTCCACCATTCGCCGACTCGCCTTGTCCTTGGCCCGGTCATACGACTTGGACGCCTTCAGCCGTGCGCTCTCCATCGCCTCACATGCCCCGTCATATCCGGCCTTGGCCTTCTTCAGCTCGCTGTAAAACCCTTCTCGGTCCTCAATCAACTTGTCGTGGTAAGACGCATACCGCCTTCGAAGATCGTCAAACCGCGTCGCAATCCCATTAACCTGCTCCGCAATTTGCAAATTAAACTCGTTTGACATCCGCAGCCGCTCTTTCCCAATCTGCTCAGTTTGATTCAAAACTTCAGACCACGCGACTAGCGACGCGCTTTCCAATGACCCTGGGGTGATGACCGGTGTCTCACCAACACTCAACGCTGTAGACATCCGCGCCTTCTTGTCAAAGTACTTAGTGCTAAGTGCTGTTAACTTTGTAGCATATTCCTTTTCAATTACTGATCGTTCGTAGTAAAACGCTCGCACATCATCAAGCCATTTAATTCCCAAATTGATCTTTATTTTTTTAAAAAAAATTGTCAGAATAAGAAAAAATATATGCCCATATAATTATTTTTACACTTACCCATGCGTCAACTGGCTTATAAGCATCCTTGTTTAATCCTGTTAGCTTGTTTTTTTTTTTTTATAATTAAATAAAGTCATTTGTTTAATGCTTACTTTTAACTCATCGCCAAAACTGACAACAAGCGGTGCAGTTGTTCCCTCCTCAGCCATTCTTTTGTTGTACTAATTTATACTGGAGAGGAAAGCAGTTTCCAAGATAATTCAGATATTCAAGGCTCGTATAGTATGTTCTAACAAAACCCCTTAAATGTCTGGTGTGCAAAGTGAAAAAAAAAAAAAAAAAGGTGAAGTATCTCGGTGTATGTGATAATGATGATGATGATGACAATATATCTTTAAAAATAGCGGGGATAATTGGGGGTGGTGCAATGTAAAATTGTGTCTGTGAAAAACGAAAAATATAAAAAAAAAAAACAAAGGGCCAAGAAAAACGCAAAAATAAAAAAGTCGCACGCACATAGTGGCCACTTGGCGTGCAAACATACACACCACGGCGATAAGACCCATTGCAAAAAAAAAAAAAAAAGAATTTGAAAGAAAAAAAAAAGCAAAGTAAACCACAGAACACCGGCGTAAATATTAAACCCGGATACCCCACTTACTTTATCAGTTACCCGGGGCAAGTGTGTATAACTTATGGTAGCTAAATCAACTGTTTGTACTATTTTTTTTTTTAACACATTCCGGACCCCCAACAACAATAATAAACACACACACACTAACAGCTTAAAAATATTTTTTTTTTATTTTTATTCTTCATTCGATTGTTGCCACCTTTACACCTCTAACATCTTGCCCTAAACCACCAGCACTTCATTCTCACTAGTACTCGACTTATCTCGAATCATCCAACATCTAAAGCATAATGTCTGGTATGTCCTGTAGAACCTTGTAGTTCTATTTCTTGCTATTGCCTCTTATCTTAATTGCCCCGCAAAAGATCATTACTAACACGTTCACAATCATATATGTAGACTTTTCTTCTATCGCCGGTAAGTGTTTAATTTTAAGAAAAAAAAAAACAATAACGAATATCCATTCCGATGACAATTCCAACATATCCGATATGCAGCTTTTAATTTACAATTTCCAGCTAACTCAATGATTCCTTAACAGCACAATTTGTCACGTTCTACTACCAGAACTTTGATACCCAGAGATCCAACCTCGGCTCTCTTTACGTAAGTTTCCCTGATTTCTCAATCATCCATCATCCATCATGCTAACGCTCTTTAATTTCCTTTTATAGAGAGAGAACTCTATGCTGACCTTTGAGAGTTCTCAGCACCAAGGTATCGCTGGAATTGTTGGGAAGCTCACCTCCCTCCCCTTCCAGAAGGTTGCCCATGAAATTTCCACCATTGACGCCCAGCCTGCTTCTCCTAACGGTGACATTATTGTTCTTGTCACTGGTTCTCTTCTTGTTGACGACGAAAAGAACCCCTTGAAGTACACACAGGTCTTCCACCTTGTTCCTGAGAATGACAGCTACTTCGTCTTCAATGACATTTTTAAGATGGTCTATTAAAAAGTAGGACATTTTTTCTCCTGATATATGCTGATGATTTTTGATTGATTAGAAAACAAAAAAAAAAAAAAAAACTGAGAATTTATAAGAATCTAAATGAATTGATAACTTCTTCGCTAGGTTTTTTTCTTTTTCTTTTTTAAATGACATATATGGGTACCATAAAGGGTTTGACGATGATGTAAGGGTTGTAAATAAATACCCCCTTTTAAAACAAAATTTATGATGGCCACGATGACGGAGAGATACTTAAAGTATTTAGCATTATACCGTTTCTTGCCAATACTAATATTATCTAAAAATAAACTACCGATTTCCTGAACCATCTCCCAGTACTCAAAAACCTTGAAATTTCTTTCTCTCAAAAGACCGTTTTGGAGTGCCCGTGCACCACTTAATAGCAAGGCATTACTATTAAAATTTTTTTTTTTTAACGTTGCATATTGTTACATTACAACTATACTTCTTAGGCCTATCGTACTACTAATAGTTGTTTCTTTCAAGTTATGACTGCTGTGAACGTCTAATGGGGTCTTTTATGTTTCCTGCTGGGAACCTCGACCTGAATTTTTAATTTTTGACAGACATCAAAACCTTTTTTTTCTTTTGTAAAGTATCGGTCACTGGATTAGCACGAGTGCTCTTCATAACTGGCGTTACTATTGTTGTTCCATTTGATGTGCACACACTGAGTTGAAGCTTAACAGTCTTGTCTTGTAACATCAAAATGTGACAAAACCGTTCATGCTTACGTAACACTTTAAAATCCTTGTTGCACATCTTGTTTTGGGTGGTGCGGCTTTGCATTTGAAATATTTCTTTCACAGCCTTTCATTTTTCTTTTCTTCACTTGTATCGTTTTATGTTATTTTTGTAGAAAAAAACCTCAATTATAACCAATCTATTGTTTCACTGTTTTTTTTGAAATAAAATAAAAAAAAGTTTCTAATTAAAGAATAATATACAAAATAATCTAAGAAATGACTCCTGCACAAGTGTTACAGAAATGGGGAATCGCCGTTTGCACCAAAAGATGATGATGAACCAACATCTTGGACAAAACTCGACATGTTTTTCATCTTTTCTCTGACAAGCTTAGCTTGAGAAAAAAAAAACATAGATTGAATTTTTACTTTTTATTTAAATATAAACTAGATTCTGCTTAAAAGTTAAATCAAGAACCCTACTTTAATCCTAATTCATCAAAAAAAGAAAAAAAAAACATTTTATCTATTCTTTTTCTCTCGTTGATTTTCTTAAATCTTTTGCCAGCTTTCAAGCAACTTTATTAATATTCTAACATCCCTTTTTAATAATACACTCGTTCTTCATTATATTATAACAATTTAATCAATCATTGTACTTTCTTTCTTTTTTTTTTTTTTTTTAACAAAGTAAGTTATATCTCTATTCATCTAATTGATAAACTAACCACTCCATTTACTTACTTCCATAGTAATGAAAGTTCTCGTCTGTTGCACCATAGGTACCCTCATTATGGGTGGTGCGGCTCTGTCGCTGGCCTTACAGCCACTCTACACAAACACAACCCTTCCAGCCTTACCATCATCATCATCATCTTCTTCTCTCATTGAAGTGAGCCAGAGATCCATTGTTGACGACGCTTCCTCTGACCTCTCATACTCTTACCAAAGTACCTTGCTGGCAAGTGCTTTTACTGAGACTTCAAATACTTTATTATCAGAAGAATCTCTCATAAATGTTTCATATGTCGATACAAACACCCCCAACTTCTCTACAGACACTTCCACTCAAACCCAAGCTTCCCCAACCCTTTCAACTGAATCTGCAACCCCATGCATCTCAGTCGACCCATCCCAAGTCTCTACTAAAGGCTGCGGTGTTTCATGTCCTTCTGCACTCTATGCTGTAGCCATCAATGGCAATTCTTGCAGCAGCCTTTACATCAACTTCCAAAACACTCTCAACTACTGTCTCATGTGCGGTGCTGTTTATGCTAGCTACGCTTCTTTCATCGACTCCACAAGCCTTCAAAAATACATTGACTGTGGAATCCAGCCTTCCTCCTACTGCTCCCTCCCTTCCCCTTCATCAACAACTACATCACAGGGCTTGGCCGGATGGATTTTCAGAAAAAACGCTGATCTTGACGTAAACGAGCTCTTATCGGAGCCCTTTGAACCTCATTTGCTCAGTATTAGCAGCATTTCAACCTCTTCTTTTCATCCTACGATTTTACAAGGTCGTGCGGCTACTACTGTTTCTGCAACGGATGTCTCAGAAACTTGGGGCTCGAGTGCCACCTGCACTCCAACACATGTCTCCACGAGATCGGCAAGCATCTCATCACCATCAACTGCAACTTACTTTACCACTTTTCCAAACATGTGGTTGCCGTCAAGTGAGATCGGGGAACTTAAATCTGATAGTGGGCTTTATGTCCGACCATTGAGATTCGTACGAAGGACTTATACTAACATGTCTTTGGAGGCCAACGAGATTTCCGAATCAGATTCTGACTTAGAGTTTGTTGAACTATCTGAGCTTTCTGAGTCTTTCTCACATTTTTCTGAGTCGATTGGCTTTTCATCTGATTTGTCCTCCTTCTCCGACCCAGAGGTTTTTGTTGAGGCTACAGAGACTTTCACAGTTTCATGCTCTCTTTGCAAAACAACTACTGTGACCTTTTCGGGGTCCACTACCTACACAGTTTCTACTGGAACAACCACAACTACGGTTGTCGAACCTTGTCTGAGCACTTATACAGTCATTGAAACTCCGGTTTCGACGAACGGAGAAAGTATTATTTTTTCTACCACCACTTTAGGAAGCACTCTGTCGACCTCTGCTGAACCGCTTTTAGAGTCAAGCTCCCAATTAACTGACTATGATTCTTTTTTAGAGTCTTTAGAGACCTCACAGTTTTCAGAGACTTTGGAGTCGTTTTTACAACATTCTGGGTCCTTTTCTTTGATCAACAATGAATTGACTTTTGAGTCTTCATTTGATTCTTTATCTGAATCTATTTTGGAATCAAATGATCTTTCAATTGTGTATTCTTCTTCTTCTTTTTCATCTATAGAATCTTCAGAGTCTTCAGAGTCTTCAGAATCTTCAGAGTTTTCAGAGTCTTCAGAGTCTCTAGAGTCGTCAGGTTTCTCTGCTTTTGTGACTGGCTCAGACTTTTCTACTTTATTCATCGATTCTATTGAATCTGTTTCTTCAATTAACCCCACAGATTCTTCAGAGTCTAATTTCATCTACTCGTTACCATCCGACTCTTTAGAAACTTCTGAATACCATTCTTCAATTTCTTTGTCTGCTACAGATGAACTAGTCAACATTTTTGTTCAATCTTGTTTAGAATGCAGAACATCCACTTTCACTTCTACGAGCTCCACTACAAAAACCGTCACCACAGGGACTACAACCATCACAGTTACTGAACCTTGTGAAATTACTTTTACAGTAATAGAGACTCCTGTAACTACTAGCGGAACTAGCACACTGTTTTTCACAACTACATTGGAAACTTCTTCTTCTTTCTCTGAATCTTTAACCGAGTTTTCGAGTAAATCTTCTTTCTGGTCTTCTTTAGGGCTCTTGACAGAGTTTTTATCTAAGTCCTCATCCGAACTTTCTACTGAGTTTTCAGCAGATTCTTTAGCAGATTCTTCCTCAGAATCATTGGAAGGGATTACAGTTGACTCTTCAAAGTCTTTAGAGTCTGCTCTTGTACCAACTGAATCTGTTACCAAAATTTCAGAAACTCTCTTTGGGTCTTTTTCTAGTCATTCTCTTGAACCTCTAACCGAGTCTACTGAATTTCCTTCCGAGATTTCTTTGGAATCAAAGTCAACTGAGTCAACTGAGTCTAATGAGTCTACTGAGTCAACTGAGTCTACTGAGTCTACTGAGTCTACTGAGTCTACAAAATATACAGAGATTTTATCAGAATTTTTATATGAATCTTCAAAATCTTTAGAATCTTTTTCAGAGTTTTCAGACAGCTCTACAAACTTTTTTGAGTCTGGAAAGATTTCTGCAGAATCTTTTTCTTTAATTGAATATTCTGTCGAGTCTTCTGTCGAGTCTTCTGTCGAGTCTTCTGTCGAGTCTTCTGTCGAGTCTTCTGTCGAGTCTTCTGTCGAGTCTTCTGTCGAGTCTTCTGTCAAGTCTTCTGTCGAGTCTTCTGTCGAGTCTTCTGTCGAGTCTTCTGTCGAATCTTCTGTCGAATCTTCAGTTGAGTCATTAAGTACTTTTTCAACTACTCAATTTCCCCTCAACTTGTTTGCAGTTTTAAAAGTCAGTCCGGCTTGCTCAGCTTGCAAAACAACAACTGTTACTTCTTCTGGTTCCACCACTAAAACCGTCACCACAGGCACGACAACAATTACCATTGTTGAACCATGTGAAAACACATTCACGGTCGTTGAGACCCCAGTAACCACAAGTGGATCTAGCACTATATTTCAAACAAGTACTTTGTCTACTTTTATTGAGGTTTTTTCGGGGGATTTTTCCATTGATTCTTTTGCTGGAGAATCTACACTACCGTATTTATACTCTTCGCATGAAGCTTCCTCTTCATTTTCTACATACATTTTGGATTCTTCGGATTCCACGGAAGCCACCACCACTTCCTTCTATTTTCCCGATTCTTTTGAGGTTTCTTCTTCATACACTACCGAATCCTCTTTGGTGCTTGCTTCCTTATCTGACTTTCCTGAATCATTTCCCACCACAGAATTTACTAATTCGGCAGATATTAGTTTCTCATCTGAGACCATCAACACTTCTGCTTCGGTTCCAACAGAGTCTAATGCATTTGGCGAGACCAGTGTATCGATTTCCAGCACCAGTTCGGATGATTTAGTTGTTTCCTTTTTTGACTACAGCACTCAAACCTCACCCGATTTTTTCATTCAAACTGTTGAAGTAACTGAATTTTGCACCGTCTGCAAAACACACATTGTCACCTCTTCCGGGTCAACAACTTATACTATCACAACTGATACTTCTACCACGACTATTATTGAACCGTGCGAAAGCACCTTTACTGTCGTTGAGACCCCTATTGGTACAAGCGGAACCAGTACAATTTTTTCAACACGAACCCTGTCAACTGAGCCTACGTCAAGCGCATTTTTTGGAACAGTTGCGTCTATTGGATCTGCTTCCATCAAACTTTCTGAATCTTCAAATGCTTATTCTTCATCCAGTTCTCTTGCGTCTTTCACACCTTCATCTGTTGGATCATCTGCATCTATTAAATTAAATTCGTTACCTCCTGCGTCTGTTGTAAACCCCACGAACACGTCTCCTGCATCTACCAAAACCGTGGAGTTTTTCCCTTCTTCAAGCACTTGGACAGGCTCCTGGGAAAGTACCAAGACTGTCATATCTACGATCTTAGTTACAAGCGGTACCAACTCTGCGACTTCAACGTCGACGATCCTCGTTACCTTAACCACCCCGGTGCCTTATTCTCTCTTGCAGGAGTCAGCTGGTTGCACTAAGTGCAAGACAAGTGTTATTAGTACGACTGGGATCACGACTTTTACTAAAACTTCCGGCACATTCACACTCACCGTTACTGAGTCATGTGAGAGTGAATTGACGATAGTTGAAACCCCGGTTTCGGTTAGTGGAACAAGTACGATTTTTTCCACCTTTACATACTCAGCGCCTATTCATGAGAGCACCGGCACCGGCACCAGCACCGGCACCGGCACCGGCACCAGCACCAGCACTACCACAGCCCCTGAGTCTTTGACGTTGTGCACTGCTTGTTCAACAAAAGTTGTGACTACTACTAGTTTAACAACTTATACTAGTACGAGTGGGACCACTACTGTGACTGTAACTGAGCCATGTGAAGAAATTTTGACAATTGTCGAGACACCGGTTTACACTAGTAGTGGTAGCACTATTTTCTCTACCACTACGGTTTCTTCGATTCAAGCGGCCAAGATATCCAGTCTGGCGAATCCCAATAGCGTATTCTCAACGACTACCCCGCTCTCTACTCCGGTTACGAGTATAACCACTGGTGTGGTTCTGACTAGTGAGACATGCATATCTTGCTCAACCGAGCAAAAGCCAAATTTGTCTAGCAAGAGTGAAGTCACTGAGACAGTCACTGAGACCTGCAGCAGTTGCTTGACGCGCTTTGTGACAGTTTCAAGCACTACAACGTATATCACGACGAGCGGGACGCATACAGTGACGGTGACGGAGCCTTGTGAGAGCGTGTTCACTGTTGTTGAGACACCTGTTACTAGCAGTGAACGGACCAGTATTTTAACACGAACTATTTTGTCATCATCGGCAATAATACCAATCTTGCCAACAACAGCAACTCATGCAATTACCAGATCGGTCAGTGTGCTGGGCAGCGCAAGCGCTTCGTTGTCTAAACTGGAGTCTGAGATTGTTAGCTCACATTCCACATCCGGGCCTGGAGATTCTGTGCATTTTACAGAGACAAAGATAAAGCAGACGGAGACGGAGACGTTTAAGGAATGTAAGGAATGCTTGACAGGAGTGATGACAACTACTGGGGTAACAACCTACACCAAAACACGCGGGACAGAGACAATAACAGTAACTGAGCCATGTTCTGGAGTTGTGACAGTAGTAAGCGTACCGATTTTGTCGAGTGGCTCGAAGGTATATTCGATCTCGACGCTGGTGTCTGTTTCAAGCGTAGGGGCTTCGCTGTACCCTTCAACATTGTCGGAGTTGCGCCCGACAGCAGTCTCATCTTTATTCTCTTCAACGGCGAGCCAAACGTGCACGACGTGCACCCATGTGACGGTACCCAGCTCTTCAGGGGTTTCTGCAACAGCACATGAAACTTTAACGGTGACGAAGCCCACGACCACTCACACGGTGACTGTGACCAGGTGGAGCAACAGTAATGCATCGGAGAAGTCAGAAAGTGACAGCAGTAGTTTTGACTGGGCGGTGTTGACAACAAGTGTAACTAAACATTGCGCGGAGTGTATTACGAGCCGCATGACGGTATCTAGTTTTAAGATGTTTACAAGCACGAGCGGGTCTCAGACTTTAACCATCACCACGCCCAGCGAGGTGGTTTTGACGGTTGTTAGCACACCAATTACTGGGAATCCCACGGCTACGACTACAGTCACGTCTAGTTTTGGTAGTTCCACTTCAGCCACTACCACTACCTCGAGCAGCTCTTTCACAATTACATTATCATCATTCTCTTGGACTTCACCAATTATCATTTCTTCTACATCCACCAGGTCTTCACCTCTGTCCTCAGCACATTCGGCCATTGTCTCCACCCAGGTTCCTACAGTCACAGAGAGTTGCACGGGGTGCATTTCCAGCCATGTGACGGGGTCGAGTTTTTCCACTTTGACAATGACGAGTGGGTCACAAGATTTGACACTTTTTAACCCTAGTGAGAGTGTGTGGACGGAGGTTAGTATTCCAGTTAATCATTCTTTTTCTTCTAAAGGTGTTACAATTTACTCAGTGACGACTGAAGACCATTCTGAGAAGTTTTCTTCTTCTATACCCATACTGCCATCATCTTCCAATGGACAATCGACTAGACCCTTTACTATTTATTCCGCAATCACAAATTCTGAAAGTTCTTCTTTTGTTGTTTCCACTGTGACTGAGCATTGCACGGCTTGTATAACAAGCCTTGCGACAGTATCTAGCTGTTTTTCTACACTTACAACAACCAGTGGATCCAAGACCGCGATAATTACTGAACCCTGCGAAAGTGTTTTGACTGTGGTTAATACACCTATTACTTCCAATGACTACACTACTGTTTATTCAGCAATTACAGTTTCTGCAAGCAGCTCCTTGCCCAGAGAATCAAAAAGTTTGTCGACTTCAGTTTCAACTTCTAATACTATTGATGGCAAGCATAGTAGTCCAATTACTGAGAGCAGTGCATCTAGTATTTCTATGGGCTCTTCATTTTCCCGCAGTCACTCAACTTTCATTGAAAGTTCTTCTTTTGTTTTCGTTGTCTCCACAACATCCACGCCAGTAATAACAATAAGTCTAGTCTCCACAGATGATTGCACGGCTTGCAGCCATGTGACGACATCTGTGTCGAGCTCTTCTATCAAATTTACAACAACAACATCAACAACAACCAGCGGATCCCAGACTGAGACAATTGCCCAGCCCAGTAAAACTTCAACGACGTTGGGGTTGACGGTAGACAGCACTGCAGCAGTTTCAAGTAAATATAGCAATACTGTTTACTCGGCAACCGAAAGTTCTTTGACAGAGTTCTCGAGCCTCTTTTCATTGTCATCATTGTCTCCTTCCAAGCCACTTAGTTTTCCAGTTAGCGGTATTGTTAATCATTCTACCGAAATTTCAGTTTCCACGGTGACAGCTAAGTGCACAGATTGCAATTCTGTAATTGAGACAACGACAGCGACTTTGATGAGAAAAGAGTCGAGTTTATCTACCATCATTACGAAAACAGCAACAGCAACTATGACGACGACGACGATAAGTAGCTTCAAGAGTGAAAGAATCAGCACCCCTATAGAAACTGGATGGAATATTTTCAATGATAATGGAAGCAGTAGCAGTAGCAGTAGCAGTAGCAGTAGCAGCAGCAACAAACACTCGTGTACGAGCTGTGATATAAGTCTTGTGACAGGATCTAGTTCTTTATTGGGATCTGAGCAACCAAGTAAGACTATTACTAGTCTTTCTAGTACGGGTTTGACAGTTGCAAATACTCCAAGTATTACAATTACTACTACTAGCAGTAGCAGTAGCAGTTTAGACCTTTCTCATTTATCATTAATCACTGGGACGAGTAGTTTGACTTCTTTGAGTAGCATTGATAACATTATCAGCACAACGTTATCGCTGGAGGGTTTTTCAAGTCAAGTTGATAGCGGGCCTTCTTCATCGGTACCTGTTTTAGTTGAACAAACTAATGGAGCTAATTCTATGGTTGTTAAAGGCGGGGGTATTGGTAAAGTTTTAATTTATAGTACTGGAGTCATTTTCTATGTGGTTATTGGCCTTTTTTAAAAAAAAAAAAAATGATGACGAAATTAACAGATAAAAAAAATTTTTTTTTTTTTGATAAAATGAACAATACGGGTATTGCGATGAAAAAAAAATAAAAAAAAATAAATGGATAATTTGGTATATATAATAATGGAAAAAAAAGTTTAGTAATAAGAAGATAATAATAATATTGATTTTGAATTGATTTTGATTATTGGCTGTAGATGATGTTATTTTTTATTTTTTTTAAAAAAGGAATTAAAAGAAAATTGTGGCCTGGTTTTTTTTTTTTTTTTTTATTTTTTTTTATTTTATTTTTATATTATAAAAAAAAAAAAATTATATTATTTTGTATAGTTAAGGAGATTTTTTTTTTATTTACAAGGCACTTGATCGGTGGATCTATAGGACCCCTTTGTTAAATCCAAATGGAGATTTAAAAAAAAAAAAATCAAAGATGAAAAAGGATTTTTAGATAGATATATATATATAAAACAATCAAGGATATATAAATAAAGGAGATCTAAAAGAATACTCAAATTTATTTACATGGAAATGATTTTTTTTTTAACTCAATGTGGGATTTTTTTTTTATATTTAACATGAATTATTGTGAACTTTACCTTTTATTATTTTTTTTAGAAAAAAAAAAGATGAAGAAGAAAAAGAAGAAGAAGAAGAAGAAGACATTACGGTTAATAAGTGAGACATGGAGATATGCGGGCCGCAGGTTTTCAGGGGGGAGAGATAGCAATGGCTAAAAGAAGGAGAAGGGAATGAGAATGAGAATGAGAATGAGAATGAGAATGAGAATGAGAATGAGAATGAGAATGAGAATGAGAATGAGAATGAGAATGAGAATGAGAATGATAAGAATGAAAAGGTTGAAGATAGAAGGTTTCTTGTTTATAATAATTGGATGACGGAGAAAAAAAGAAAAAATAAAAAAAAAAAAAAAGGAAATTTCCTTAAATGAAGAATATTTCTGTATGTTTCTAATTAAAGTTTTTTTTTTTTATTATATATAAAGAGAAAGTTGAATTTTTATTTTATTTAATCAAATATACTGGTAAAATAAATAAATAAATAATTTAACCAAGGATAAAAGGGTTGAAAAAAAAAAAAAAAAAAAAAAAAAAAAAAAAAAAGATGAGTGATTGAAAACAAGAATCAGGGCGGTGGAATCAAATTAAGAGATGATGATGATGATGATATGAGAAGGGCGTTTTTATATATATATATATATATGGTGATACTTTATTTTATTTTATTTTTTTAGAAAGAAAGAAAGAAAGAGATACGTTGAATCCAAAGAAGAAAAAAGGACAGCAAAAAGAAAGACATCATCCGAGATCTGGGGAAAATGAAAATTATATAATATAGAGAGAGAGAGGGAGGGAGTGAAAGATAGGAGGAGAAGGAGGTGGAGGAGTAGAGAAGAGAGAGAGAGAGAAAGATCTCGCAGGAACCAAAAAAAAAAAAAAAATGGCACACACGTGTACACATTTTGAAAATAATGAATCATTCTCTCCACATCATGGAAGGAAGGAAGGAAGAAAGAAATAAAGAAAGAAAGAAAAATTAAAAAAAAAAAATCCAAAAAAGAAGAAGAAGTTAAAGAAATCAAGTTAATAAGAAAAAAGAATGAATATTGTGTAAAGATTTGTTGAATAAAAGCAAAATTACTCAATTGAGTGATGAGGATTAAAGGAAGAGTAATTTTATTTATTTATTTATTCAGTTTATCTTGTTATCTTGTTATCTTGTTTCCTCATCTCATCTCATCGCATCTAAAAGTAAGCAAATTAAACTAGGGAATATAAAAGTAATATATATATATATATGATATTTTGAGTATTGCATAGTGCGGTATATAATTTCTTTCCATCTAGTTTTTTTTTTTTTTTTTTTTTTTTTTTTTTTTTTCAAAGAGATTAAATAGATATTTTTATTGAAAGGCGTGCTATGGTGATTTAGTTTTGTTGAGAAACTTTTTAAATTTATTTTTTAAATTTATTTTTTAAATTTTTATTTTTTATTTTTTAAATTTTTATTTTTTTTTATTTTGAATACGATGATAATTACAGATACTACCACTAATTCTATTAAAAAAAATAAAAAAAAAAAGCTGTTATTGTTGCTCAATCTAAAATTATTGTTTTACTGTAGAAGCTCATCGCTTGAAGCATATGAGAATAAAATAAATAAATAAAAAAAATAATAATTTTAAAAGGGTATCTATCATGATGGGAATACAAATATTGATGGTGTTGATTTCTGTGAAGTATGGATAATTTTTTTTTTTTTTAAAGTTAAAGTGCACACTGTTTTTTTTTTTTTTTTTTTTTTTCAAAAAAAAAAAAAAAAAAAAAAAAGAGAAATGCCCCCTTTTCTGTTCAATATTATTTGATGAAAGATCCATTAAGCGAGATGATGCATCATTTTCTTTTTATCGTTTTCATTTTCATTTTCATTTTCATTTTCATTTTCATTTTCTCTTTTTTTTTTTTTTTTTTTCTCGTTTTATAAATACAAAATTTTCCTTAATAAGAAAAAAAAAAAAAAAAAAAAAAAGGGGAGGGAGGGGAGCAAAAGAAAAAAGAAAAAAGAAAAAAGAAAAAAGAAAAAAGAAAAAATTAAAAATTAAAAATTAAAAAAAAAAAAGGAATAAAAGGAGGAGGGCGTATTTTTGTTGTTGTTAGAAATACTGTTTTTTGGGTGGTGGTTATTCAGTGCAAGGCCGTTCAGGACTTAAATGTATATATAGAGAGATTCAATGTATGTACTATATATACTTAAGTGTGCCATACTATTACTCCTACTACTACTGTTGCAAATTTATTATTATTATTTATTGAAATAGTATTTTACGATAGTTTAAATATGTAAAAAGTTTATATATACTAAATTGCTATATAAAAATTAAAATTTGAAAAGAAAGTTTTTATTCAAAAAAGAGGTCAACTTTTTTTTTTTTTTTTTTTATGGAATTTTCAATAAACTCAAGTTTTCAATATAAAAAGTATAAAAAAAAAAGAATAAAAAAAAACCCCCCCACTTAAAAGAAAGAAAATAGAGTATTTTATATATATATATATATATATATATATATATATATAAATATAAATATAAATATATATACCTCCCTTTTTTTTTTTCTTGATCCGAGTTCCATGAAATTTTTTTTTTTTTTTTTGATTAATAAGTTGAATTGTTGTAATTGATGTTATTCAAATTTTTTTTTTTTTTTTTTACTGGATCCGACCGTTTTTTTTCTTTTTTTTTTTTTTTCTTTTCTTTTCTTCTTCTTCTTCTTCTAACTTTTTTTTTTATTTTTTTTTTTATTTTAATAATCAACTCTCAGCCTTCCTGCGCATGGGCCCATATGGGTGTGCGGCCGCCGCGTGCTTTTTTTATTTTTTATTTTATTTTAATTTTTTTTTATCCAAAGTTAGTATTATTTGACCAAAAGTGAATATTTAGTTAGCGAGAGAAAAAAAAAAAAAACGGAATTTGAATTGAAAAAAAAAAAAATAAAATTTATTTACAAGTTTAAAGACCAAAAAAAAAAAAATATTTGGTTCAATATATATAAATAATTGTAAAAAAAAAAATATTTCTTTTTAAAAGAAAAACTATTTTTTTTTTTTTTTTTGATTTGATTAAACATTGAATTGTTTATTATAAAAAACTTTACAATAGAAATTGATTATTATCAAAATATCCCAATTATTATTATTTTATTTTATTTTATTATCATCAACATTATCAACATCAACAACATCAACAACATCAACAACAATAAATTTACCAGTTTACTTCCTTCTCTTTCCCCTCCAACGTTGCCCCGGCCACCGTCTGTTGCCTAAAGTGGTGAATTGCAGGGTGAAGTTTTTTTTTTTTTTCTTTTCGGTTTAAAAAAAAAAAAAAATAAAATAAAATAAAACTGCTATGGCACACAAAGTAAACAACAACAGACAAAAAGACCAAATAGATTTTTTTTTATTTTAAAATAAGAAAATAAGAAAATAAGAAAATAAGAAAATAAGAAAATAAGAAAAAAAAAAAGGGATTTCAGTTATTAAAAAGAAAAAATTGATATAAGTTAAATTTAAAAATGAAAAAAATAATAATTAAATGAATATAAATATAACCAAACAAATACTCAAAAGAAGGAAGGAAGAAAAGAAAGAAAGAAAGAAAGAAAGAAAATGTTGTGCATTGAATATTAACAAATAAATAATAATCAATATGAATCGAAATAAATGATTTTATAGTAGTCAATTAAAAAAAAAAAAAAAAAAGTAAGACGATGGCCAATTTTTTTACCAAAAAAAAAATATTAAAAATTAAGTCCAAAAAGACCCTTAATATACCACCAAAGACACAAATTGAAATTGTATTATAAATATATATTATTTTACCAAGTTTGTTATTATTATTATTATTATTATAATTATTATTATTATAATTATTATTATTATTGTCTACTAAAAAAAAATAAATTAAATAATTATAAAAAAAATTTCATTTCATTCCAATCCTTTTTTTTCTTCTTTTTTTTCTTCTTCTTCTTCTTCTTCTTGTTTACTACTTTTCACATTCCTTCTTCTCATTCTTTCTCATTCTTTCAGTTATTGCACTTGTTGGAAATTTATATATCCAAAAGCAGCAATAAAAAAAAAAAAAAAAAAAAAAAAAAGACAAAAACCCTGAAAAGTCCAAACTCACTTGATATTCACTCATTTTTTTTTCAACCCTTTTTCTTGAATTAAGAACCTTCATTTCCCATATAATACATCTAATAGTATCTACTTAATAGATTATATGCTCAACTAATCTATCCTCTTTTTCTCTACAACATTCTGCACCATTTATTATTATCCTCAAAATTCATTATTATCACCTATTCAGTAATTCTCTGTAAATCGTTCCCTTTATACCAGCTTTCATCTTTATAATATATAGATATATATATATCCATACCAACTATATATACATAAAGTCTAACAAACTCCCTTCAGTCGATCCTTTCGTTATCCTCTTTCTCTCTTTCTTTCTTCTCATGTTCTCGCGCTCTGCGACCGCCGCAATCTTGTCCGTCTCTACTCTTTTACATCTACCCGTGTCCCGGCCATGACCACACCCCCGGGCTTTTCACAGCAGCAGCAGCAGCAGCAGCAGCTGCAACAACAACAACAACAACCATATCAGCATAGTGCCTATTACCATCATCAACAACAACAGCAGCAACAGCAGCAACAGCAGCAACAGCAGCAACAGCAGCAACAGCAGCAACAGCAGCAACAGCAGCAACAGCAGCAACAACCTATACATCCATATCAATACCAATATCAGTATCCTTACCAGTCTTCGGGATATGCCCAGCACACTGATTACTTTTATTCGCAACAACAACAACAACAACAACAACATCATCATCAGCAACAGCAATCTTCCTCTCCATTCTTCTTCGGATCTCAAGCATCAAGCCAAACCTCAGTTCCTCCAGTCTCCATGATCTCCTCAACTACAGCGTACCGACCAGTCCTGTCCAGTGGACCAACAACCGCCCCGACATCTATGCCATCAGCAATACAATCATCATCATCAACAACAGCAGCAGCTGCTGCTGCCGCAGTAGCTTCTGGTGGTGCTTACAATAATCCTACTCAGCAACAACAACAACAACAACAACAACAACAATTACCGACGTATTCCAACTTCCAATCATACCAATACCCTCCTCTTCTTAATCCTTCTTCTCACCCACAAGCATCGTCATCCTCACTTACAGCTTCACAATCGTCATCCTCGTTAAATCCAGCAGCGACGACGGCAACAGGTTCACAATCATCAATCACAACTTCTATGACTGGACCGGCGTCGGCAGTGTCGTCTTCTTCGTCATCATCTGCGTCAACAACATCTTCTTCTAATCCCAATCCCACTACAGCAGCAGCCGCGGCGGCGGTAGGCTTTGCCGCTGCTGCTGCAGCTGCAGCCGCCGTCACAGCAACGTCAACAACCACCAACACCAACACCAACACCAACACCAACACCAACACCAACACCAACACAGGCCTGCCAAATCTCTCGTCTACCACCACTACAAATTCTCTTTCCAACCCACACCTCACTGCTACCACCAACACAAATACAAATACAAATTCAAACACCACCGCCGCCATTCCAAATTCTTCCTCCACTACCACCACATCCTCATCCTCATCCACATCCACATCCACCACCACCACTTCTAATACCACCACCAATACCAATACCAATACAACCACAAACACCAACACCAACATGGCCGAGGAAGACGTTGAGTGGGATGCGGAGGATGTAGATATGTTGTTGGGGCTTTTGGACTTGGGTGAAAAGGCCAAATGGAAGTACTTGGCTTCAGAACTTACAAAGGAGCGAAATAAGCGTATTACTGCTGGGGCTTGCGAAAAAAAGTTTAAAGACATGTTTGGTGTGGCCGAAGCTTCGTCTGCACTTGGGTCTTCGCTATGCTATGTTGTTGCACCGACTGGCTGGGACTGTTTAGGCGATAATCCTGTTCCTCGGTCCTCGCAAATGAACCATTTGGGGCATTTAAGTCAGCATCATTCATCCCAGCAATCCCCCCAATCTCAACAACAACAACACCAACTTTCTCAAGCCTATCCTGACCCCTCGTCACAACAAAGAATAATGTCAGACCCCTCTACAACAACAGACCCAGGGAACATGTTTCAAGCTCAGGCCGCCCAAGCTGCTCAAACTTCCTCACCATTTAATTTTAATCAACTTGCATCTTCCTCCAGCAGCTCCTCCAGTCCTTCTAGACCTCCCCGGCTATCTTCCTCTTCCTCTAGTTCTCTTATGATGCCATCTCAGCAATATGCGTATCCGTCTTATACTACAGCAGCCTCATCTTCTACTAATTCATACATTGCAGCAACACCAGCAGCCAAACAATCAACAATAACCAATAGAGCTGGCACAGCACAACAAGGACCGTCGTCAACATCGTCGTCGTCTGCAACCACCCCAACCACAACGGCATTGCCATCGGTCACATCCTACACCGACCCATCGTTTATTTCATATCCTTCATATGGATATACTTACTCGGATTCTCAACAGCATCCTCATAATAATAATAATCATCATCATCATCAGCAGCAGCAGCAGCATTCTACAGCAAATTCCCATGGCCAACATCAACAACAACCACAAGCATCTCCAGCATATGCATCTATGGCCGCAATTCAGGCCCCACCACCACAACAACATCATCATCAACAACAGCCACAATCAGTTTATTCGTCAGCGACTAATACTAGCGTGACACCAACATCTACAGCCACAACTCCTAACTCATCTATGGCAGCAGCTGCAGCAGCTGCAGCAGCAGCCGTACAACAGCAACAGCAACAGCAGTATGGGTACCGAGGGTCCTACGGAAGCACAGATATAAGTGGCGGTGGAGGATTTTCTGGGTATCTTTCTGCATCTGGCGGTTCCGGCCGGGCGCGGACTGGGGTTGGAACTGGAGGTGCAGCAGGATTAGGAGGAAGTGTTAGCAGTAGTAGTAGCAATAGCAGCAGCAACAGCAGCAACAGTAATAACAGTAGCAGTAGCAGTAGCAGCAATAGCAGTGGAGGAAGTGGATCTACAGTAACAGGAAGTGCGGGGAGTACTATGACGATGGCTACACTTGTTGAAAGTGAGACTGATGGTGATGGTGATGAAAAGACATCGAGTTGAGATAAAATAAAAAAAAAAATTTTATTTTATTTTTTTTTTTTTTACAAAGATGGTTGCAAAAACAACAACAATAATAATAATAATAATAATAATAATAATAATAATAATAATAATAATAATAATAATAATAATAATAATAATAATAATAATAATAATAATAATAATAATAAAAATTAATATCATTTTTTTTTTCTTCTTCTTCTTCTTCTTCTTCTTCTTCTTTACATCCTCTCTGAATCCAAAGCTTCTTTCTTTTTATTTTTTTTTAATTTTTATTTGTAAACTTAGTTAGAGAGTAATAGTACATTAGTTGTTAATATTATAATAATGATGTTAGGATAATGTTTATTAGATATATATTGATAAGGTTCATTTTTTTTTTTTTTTTTTTTGAAAAGGAGTTTTTTTTTTTTGGCTGCTTAAAGCATAGAAAGGAGGTTTTTTTTTCTTTTTTTTCGTGTCGATAATCTGTATATACACTATATAGATTTTCGACACGAAAAAAAAAAAAAAAAAAAACAAAGAAAATAAACGAAAATTGCATATCGGAACTCTTTTTTTTTTTTTTTTTTTTAACAAAAGTAAAGTAAAAGTAAGACAATGAATTATAAAAAAAATTAAAAATCTTTTTTTCCGAAAAGATTATCATCATCATCATTGTAAAAACAAGAGTTTTTTTTTATTTATATTTGGCTTTGAATAAAGAATATTTATTTACAAATAATACATGAAATAAAAAAAAATAATATTTTTTTTTTTTTTTCGTCTTCTTTTTCTTTTTTTTTTTTTTCATAATAGACAGACAAGGTTTTGACTACTGCATGAATTTTGTTTTCTTTAAGATTTTGAAAAAAAAAAAAAAAAAGTAAAGATCGTGAACAGCACATGTGAAAAAGTTTTTTTTATTTTTATTTTATTTTAATATTAATATATATCAGAAGGAGGGGGGTCCTTTCACATGGGCTTAGGTATGGTGGGTGTGCCAGTTTATTGGTGGTGATGATAAAAATTTTTTTTTTTATATAAATTTAACATATCACAGTGGAGGAGGAGGAGAAAAATGAAAATGAAAAAAAAATAAAAAAAAAAAGGTTTTGAAAATAAAAAAAAAAAAAAAAAAAAAAAAAACAAACTTTTTTTTTTCAATTTTTCAATTTTTCAATTTTTCATCAGGAACAATGGGGAGGAAAAAAAAAAATATTAAGTTAAGTTTAGGATTTAAACTACTAGAAGCATGAATTTCGGGCATTTGGAGAGTCAAAGAAACAAAAACAAATAATATTATTTGAACTATTAATAGTTGAAAGAAAGAAAAAAAAGAATAGATTTTAAGAAAATAAAGGATTAATAATTAATTAAATGATTGTGAAGGAAAATTGAAGTTAATTTAAATGTGTGCAATTAGAAGTTGTTTAAATTAAAAACCTCAGCATTTCCCCTCCAAATAAAAAGAAAACCTCCTCCTCCTTAGTTCCTCCTTCCATTCTTGCTTTTTTTTTTTTTTTTATTTTCAAAAACTTTTATTTTATTTGGGTGCCATTAGGATCTAAAGTTATGTTTTTTTTTTTTTTTTTTTTTTATTTCATTTGTTTATTTATTTTAATATAAACAAGTCCAATGACAGTCCAATCAATCAAAGTGAGGGAATTATAAAAGACTTTATCCAATTCAATGTTCTACTAAAAAAAAAAACAAAAAAAAGTGCCATTTGTTTTTGTTTGTATATTATATTGTGGGACTTTCAAAGCATTTTTTTTTCTTTCCAAGCGATCTCGCGCAGCAAAAAAAAAAAAAAAAAAAAAAAATTCAGTCATTTAATATTAAAAGGAGGAATTAGTTTCTTCATTCCTGAGAATTTATTTTTATTTATTTTATTTTTTATTTATATTTCTTCCTATAAAAAAAAAATTGAATAGATAAAAAAATAAAAGCAATTACCTTTTTCATAAATAGACAATGATTTCTTATTATTACAATAAAAGTTTGATTGTTTGGAAGGTGGGAAGGAAGGGCCACTAAAAAACTAACAAAAAAAAAAAGAAGATCTCTAAATTTGCATTGTTTTATTCTTTTTTTTAAAAAATATATATATATATATTATTTCTTCAAACGATAATATTACTTTAAAACGGTGATTTTTAATAATAATAATAATAATAAAATACGTAAAAATTGTATTTAATTTTTTTTAATTTTTTTTTTTAATTTTTCTCTGCATTCCAGAATTACAATAATAATAATAATATATATTCAATTCAACAAGAATTTGCTTTTAAATAGAGAAGAATAACAACTATGCAATGTGTTTCCATTATTATTTTTATATATTGTAATAATGTTAACCAAACAATTTAAAGAAAGAAAGAATACCCTTTAATTATTTAATTAAAATAATTCGGTTTTTGAATAAAAAAAAAAAAGTTTGGATAAATAATAATATTTTTTATTTTATTAAACAAACAGTAACCAATCTAAACAATCAAATCAATATTTAAAAAAAAAATTCATTCATTCATTCATTCATTCATTCATTCATTCATTCATTTATTGGGACATTTAATATAAAAATTTTTTTTTTTTTTTTTTTTTTTTCTTATTCTCATAAAAATTGAAATCAACGTGTAATCACGTGGACACCTGTCTTTTTATTTTTATTTTTATTTTTTTTTGCCGTACAATTATTACTAATACTAAATTGAAATATTAAAAAGAAACGTGAATATTATTAATGTTACAATTTATAATGACATTCCATAATATTTGTTAAAGACCAAAAAATACGCTATCAATTAATTAAAAATAAAATAAACCGATAAGTTTTGGTACGTGATATGCGGATAAGCTTTACTCTCAAATTTACTCTTTTTAATTAAACAATTCAACCATTTCAAAAGAATTCACAAATGAAAAAAAAAATAAAATAAAATAAAAATAAAGTGTCAATTTTTCATTTCCCTTTAAAATCTACATTGTTAATCTTTGAAATTTTTATTGGATCTAATTGTTGTGCCTTTTGTTCTTGCCTTTAGTTTAAGACAATGTACTACGGAAAGTATTTGCCTTGGAATTGAATCTTCATCGTAATCATCTTCAGGAACATGAATCATTAAAGATGATGAAAAAAAATAATATATATGTTTATATATACACATACATATACCAAAAGTTTAACTGAATGATAAAGATATTTTTTTTTTTCTTCCGTTCTTATTCTTTGGTCATTCCAGGAACCAGGAACCATAATATTAAGGAGTAAATGAACGGCGTATTATCTGTGATTCTCAGACAATGTTAAAGAGGGAAACAAATATATATAAAAAAAAAACAATTGCAAAGCGACAAGATTTTTTTTAAGCCTTTAGTTTTGTTTTCATCCAAAGTTATGATAATACCCGTCCAAAATGAAATTACCTTTTTTTTTTTTTTTTTTTTGGCTAGAAAAAAGTATACTTAAAAGCTTTTATCGTTAAAAAAAACACATCATAATTATCACTTTGTTTTTTTTTCTTCTTCTTCGAATTCTTCTTATTAAAGCCTCTGCTTTACAAAAGCAGATACAAAACAATAACCATTCCAGCAATGGCTCCATACCCAGCTACCATCAAAATCTCTGTGTAATATTCTTGTTCACCCTGATAATGTCCATTCTTTGTCGACTTGCTCTTGTTTTTTTTCCCTTCGATAAAAAGTTCCACTCCAGTCAATGCAGACTCATGATCGTCATTGTGGTTACTGCAGCGCCGTTTTTTAAGACTGTCAAGAGCTTCTATGCTATTCATTAGATGTGTGAAAGTGTTGTATATATAACTAGAAAAGAAAACTACCGATTTTAAAAGAAATTAAAATAATAAAATAAAAAAATAAAAAAAAAGGGAAATTATCTTAAAGATTTTTTTTTTGTTTGCCCCATTGTTATTTTTCTAATCAAATCAAACCTTGAAACACTTCTATCGATGTCTTCATGCTATGCCTCAAAATCAATTCATGAATCTTTTGATGGGTTAGGGTTATTATCGATACTACTAACATTGAAATATAAACAAACTTGTTAAAAAATAAATACACAAAAATTAAAATAAAATACAATAAAAAAACCCCCCACCATTCTTTCATTTTTACTTACGCTTTATTTTGTTTTATTTTTTAATTTTTTAATTTTTTAATTTTTTAATTTTTTAATTTTTTGACAACCCTACAAATAATGTCTGGCAAAGACCCTTGGGCTGATTTTGCTCCAGCTCCAGAAGATGATGCCTTTCTTGAAGACTCGGACTTTTCTTCAGAAAAAGATGCTCTCATTGTTATTATAGAATCCACTTCTTCATTTTATGATTTCCCCACAGACTCCGTTTCGCAATCAGGCCCCGTCCCCCAGCGAAGACTCATGATCTTGCTAAAGCATATCCATGCTGCGCTTTTCAAGCGTACGCTCAGAGAAAAATATAGTATGGCTGCTATTGTTCTCTTTAATACCAAAAACTCAGAAGGCCCTTGTAAGGTACTCATGGACCTTGCAATCCCTTCAATTGCAGAACTCCAGAATTTAAACCTTTTGGCCACTTCTATTACCCATTTTGAAGAAACTTTTGCTCCTGCAACTGACCCTTCTGCTTCTTCTTTTTCTACAACTACTACAAACGGTCTAGTAGCTGCCTTAGATACCGCTGCTTCCATGTTCTCTAAAAACCGATTCCGTACTTATACCTCTCGCCGCGTTCTGCTCTTCACCGACCGCGATGCACCTTTGGATTCCCACGAAATCAAACTTGCCGCTAAAACTCGGATCCGTGACCTCTCTGCTGCAGGTGCTTCTCTTATCCCTTGTTTTGTGCACCCGGCTTCCGGGGTCCCGTTCGACATTCGCCGCTTTTACGAAGACATTATCGTGGCTACTGACGCAGACACACCGCTCATCACGGCCCCCTGCTCGCTTGCAGAAGCACGCAATGCTCCGGCACTTTTGGCAGTTCAGGCATCCCCCAAACGTGCCCTATTTCATGCCCGATTCGATCTTACAAAATCATTAAGCATAGGCGTACGTGCTTACGCCCTTGTCTCACCACAAAATGTCCCCAGACCTGTAGATGTCCTTGCAGTCACAGATCGCACCAAAAATATCACAGAACGGATACCCGCTGTGCGGAAACGAATTGCCATTTCTACAGTATGAAGGATTAAAAAAAAAAAAAAAAACATAATTTTGCATGCAATAATCTCATGTGTTAACTCTCTTGGATAGGAAACAGGCAAAACCCTCAAACCTGAGGAAGTTGTGCGCGCATACAAGTTCTCGGACATGTTTGTGCCATTCAATTCAGATCAAATGACTGCCATGCGCAACTTTGGCACTCCTGGAATCCGGTTGCTTGGTTTTAAAGATGCGACAGCGGCCGGCTGGGAATACAGTTTGGAAAAGGCTTATTTTCTATACCCTTCAGAAACACATTACGTGGGGTCATCGCGGACATTTGCAGCATTGCACCGTTCACTCACTGAAAAGAAAAAAGTGGCACTCGTATGGGCCGTCTTGAGAGTCAATGCACCCCCGCGCATCGCAGCCATAGTCCCACACGGACCCGTTATTACCAAAGAGAGCGAAGAAAGCGTCAAGGAAACTGCACAGCACCCGACGTTCCCTACAGGACTTTACCTGGTGCCGCTCGCATATGCAGACGACCTAAGACACTTACCTCCAGCAGCCACGAACAAAACAGCTCGGACGACTCTTCCGTCTACGGAACTCGTAGCTTCGGCTAAGACGCTCGTTCAAGCACTGCGCATGAGTATCGGGTACTCCCCGCGGCGGTACCCGAACCCACATCTTTCCCATTTTTACCAAACGCTTCAGCGAGCAGTTTTTGAAGAAGAAGAGGATGATGAAGATAAAGAAAAGGCTAAAATGGACGGGACACGGCCGAAATACAATTCGATTTATAAACGCGCCCGCGAAGCAACATTGACATGGACTAAGGAACTCAGACGGCTGGAGTACCAACCAGCTCAAATGTCAAACTACGCTGCAAGTGTTACAGGTAAACGCGCGAGAGACAATGACTCTGCATCAATTCCTGCGTCCAAACGGTCAGCATTGAATGGTGACTATGTAGCGACAGATGATACCTCGGCAGAGGCTCGCGGTACTCGGCGGCCCCGTAATGCTGGCGCGACTACTGAAACTGCATCTTTGGAGAGAGCGATAGAGCACCCGTTATTTGAGCGATTATTACGAGATAAGATCATGTTACCACTGAACACACGGTTTGATGATTTGAGTGTAACAGAGTTACGAGAGTTTGCGGATGTGGCCGGGATTGCGACGCGTGCATCGACCAAGGCGGGGTTACGAAGCGCAGTATCGCGGTATTTTGAAGAGCACTTTGAGAAATGAGCGAAACGCTAGTATCAATAGTAAGAGAAGCTAGTGATGTTGGTTGATGAATCAAGAAAGCTGAAGGCGGGATAGACTTAATTCAGGGTTTGGGGGGAGAAAGAGAGACGCTAAAGATTTTAGACTAGTTAGAAAAAAAATTTTTTTTTTTTCTTGACGGAAGAAATGATGATAAGAGATTAAAAAAAAATTAAAATAAAATAGGAATAAGAATAAGAATAAAAGTTAGGAGATAAAAGGGTAACCGCGATGGAGTGAAGCAAGCATCTAACTTTGTTCCTGGTTAGCGTAAAAAAAAAATTTTTTTTTTTGACGATACCTATGCAAGATTAATGAGATGAAACTGAATTCCAGTCTAAGAGCGTATTTGAATACCCGCTTTCTTTCATTCTTTTTTCAGGGGTAGAAAGATCAAAGGAAGAAAAGAAAGATCGGCGAGGTATTAAAATATAAAAATACAATTCAACAGTTCTCTCCCCTCTCCCCCCCCCCCCTCCCTTTTATTTTTTATTTTTTTTACAATAGCTTTCAGAACGCGTTTATTTTTTTTTGGGGGTCTCATCTCAAGATGTAAAGGGGAAAACTTTATATAAATGCAAGATCGCAGAATTGACTAGAAATGGAAGCCAAATGTGGGAAAGCATAACCCCCTTATGAAGAAGAAGAGAAAAGAAAGGACACAGACAAGTATTTTAAAAATTTTGAAATTTTGACTACACAATAAACATGTTGAAAATCCATAGTTAAATCAATTGACTTCAAAAGCAACAAAATGGGCTTGATTAATAAATAATACAATTCTATAAACATATATATATAATTTTTTTTTCTTCTACTTTTTTTATTTTTTTATCACCATTTTTTTATTTTTTTTTTTTTTTTTTGTAAATCTCACATTTCAAATCTTCACCTTCTATTTTTTTTAAAACCACGAAAGGCCAATGTTGGCGGTGCGAGCAGGCGATGTGCTCTGGTTTAAAAATGGGTACGACAGTAACGCAACCATATTGTCACGCGGAATCTTGCTAGAAGACGATACAGGCGATGCCGGAGCACTCTCATTGTGTTGTCTTTGTTCCTGTCTCTCATTTTGCTCATCTTCCTCAACATCAGCTTCTTCTTTTTCTTCTTCTTCCTGTTGCTCAAGCTCCTTCTGCTCTTCATCTTGCTGTGCTGGACGGCTTCCCTCAGTTTCTTCAGCCCCAGGAACATATTGAATGGCTGCAAGTGCTGCCTTTCCTAAGGCTGTTGGTGCATCATTTTCCAACTCCATTTTGCCAATCAGAAACTCCACATCCTCTGTACCTTCATCCTCTATAGACTTGGATGCAGAAGAAGAACAAGAAGAAGAACAAGAAGTAACAGTAGTAGCTGGCAAATCTTCAAGCTCGGCACCAGCAGAAAAATCAAAGCCAAGTTCCTTGCTCTCGTGGCTATCGTCACTGGGTACAACCATGTAATTATCCTCCAGAGAGGAAGACAAGTTTTGCATGGGAGCAGCAAGCTCATCTTCCTTCACATTGCAAGTATCCTCTGCAAACGCGTAATCAGGCAGCCCGTAAATGGTATCAGTGTGATGAGACAAAACAGATATAGTTTCATCTTGCTCCTCCTGCTGCTGCTTATACTCGTATTCCGATCCCTGCTCTTTCACAGGCACCTGTTGCTCCTTCTTCTGTGACACAGACTCAGGGCTGTTGGAATCAATAAGTGTGCTGCTTCCACTAATAAACCCCTCCTCATCACTCGACAAAGGCTGCGGAGTGGCAACCACAGGTGGAACTTCAGTCTCTGGAACTTCTCTGGCAGCACCAACAATCGTATTGTTAATACTAGCTTCGCTATCGCTATGGCCGCAGCACGATTGACGCGCAGTACTGTTAGAGGAAGCATCAGTCGCCATTGAGCTCACAACCTCTTCGTGCAACTCCTCAATCTTATTTCTGTTGCTGCTCGAGTCAGCCTGGGCAAGTGCTGAATCAATGTCAATTGCACTGGCATCCCAGTCAACTTCCATCACATTGGAATATTCATTAGAAGCAATGGCAGCCGTGGCAGCAGCGGTAGCTGCTGCTGCTGCTGCTGCTGCGGCCGCCGCAGGATTATTGTTGACCATCAAAACATTGTTTGTTGTCTTGTTATTATTGTTGCGATAATAATGATGGTGAGTGTTGATGACTGTATAGTGGGTAAAACCACCACTGTGGTATCCACGAGTGTTGTAGCGAATATTATTATTACTATTATTGTTGGCATAGCGGTGTTGTTTCTGTTGCTGCTTATGAGGAAGGCTCTTGCTATTGTAGTAACCATTGCCCTGATTGTAACCGCCAAAGTTTTTTGTAAAATTGTCGGAACGACTAAGCACATCATCGTCGCTGCTGCCGGGCTCCTCATCTTCGTCACCAGCATCCTTTTCATATTCCGAGCGTAAAACAGAAGCGCCATCAAACTTGGAGAGCACATGGCTATCATCGAGGCTCTTCGACTGCTGGAAAAAAACCTCGGGCTGCTCAACATGGCGGTTAATCTTGGCCATGCGTCGTTCGTCCTTGGGCTCCACATCCGAAAGTACCTCGCGGTCCCACTGCCCTCCGGTGAATTGGAGCTGTTCAGACACAGGCTCAAAAAGAGCCTTGTCCGGGAAAGACTCAGAGCGGACGCGGAGACGGGGGTTTGTTGGGGCAGAAGGTGGAGAAACATCAAATGACTGTTGTTGTGTCTGCTGAGACTGCATCACGGGGAAATCTTGAATTGGAGATGATGACTGAGAAGAAATCATAACAATAGAACTATCTACTGTTGATGGGTTATACCGATCACTGTGCTGCTGAGAAGCACTATTTGCCGATTGAGGTCGAGAGGAAGACTCAGCAAAATCGTTTTGTTGATTCTGATTCTGATTCTGATTCTGATTTTGATTTTGATATTGTTGATAATTATGCTGATGATGGGGGTGTTGTTGTTGCTGCTGACGACGCATTCGCTGGTTATTAAAGTTGTTGCGACGAAAGTTGCGATGACGCTGAGGAATTGGAGTAACAAGAGATGCAGCGTTGTAATGATTCTTGCTGTTGTTGATAACCACAGAGACAGGCGTTGTTTGCTGATATTGCTGGTGTTGTTGATGGAACCGCTGTTGCTGTTGCTGAAGCAAAAGATGTTGTTGCTGTTGCAGCTGTAATTGTTGCTGGAGCTGTTGCTGTTGTTGAAGCTGTTGTTGAAGCTGTTGTTGTTGTTGCAATTGCTGGACATAAGTGGGTGGAGAAATACCTGCACGGGCTTGAGAAATTGTCGACATGTAATGAGCATGTTGCTGGACACGAAGACGAAGCTGCTCATAAAGCTGACTTTGCTGCTCCACATTTTCGGCAATCATCTTGTCAAGCTCTTGTCTCATAGTCTCAAACTTTTCTCGTTGCTCAAGAAGAACTTGTTGCTGACGTTCATGGATAGACAACTGAGACTGGATAAGAGAGTTTTGGAATTTATCGGGAGAAGCAGAAGCAGTTCTATCATTAGAATCCACTTGAAGAGTCGAAGACAATGCAGGACTAGAACTAGAAGAAGGGCGAGGATCTGAAACGGTCACAATCATGTCAGTTGAAGGAATAGTAGCTTGATTAGAATTCTGTTGAATTTGAAGCTGCTGTTGCTGTTGTGAAACTTGTTGTGGAACCAGTTGTTGTCTTGGGCTTGGATAAATAGTTGATATCTTTTGCTGGGTGTCGCAGTTACCGAGAACAGATGCAACAGTAGACGTGCGAGAGGTTTGCGACTTGGAATCAATCGAAAGAAACTCGCCAATGCACTTGGGTCGTTGACGGTGAACTGAATCCATGTCACTGTTACTACTGTCATCGCCACTATCCTCTCTAATTCTAATGGAAAGAAGCAGTTCATCGGCCTCACAAAGACCTTCAAGAAGTGGGTAAGGTTCGGGAACATCAATCTGCTTAACAATGGGGGCACTGGTATCGATGCTAATGTATGGGTAAGGCCCAAAGATATAATGTGTGTCTTTAAACAGGATTTTAGGGTTGTAAAAAACAGCAGGCTGTGGCCTCCGCAAATCATCTAGAGAATAAGGCTGCGGCACAGATGAGTCATTGCTGCATGCAACCATGGCTATGGAAGTGTCAATAGAAAGACTAGGCTTGACAGAAGATTTCTGCTTCTTCTTGCTTTTCTTCTTCTTCTTCTTCTTTTTCTTCTGGCTGGAGTCTTCTTCCAAAGTGCCAGATATTGGTGTTGATGTGCTGTCAGCGATATCCTTTTCACTTTTTTCAGAAGTTTCTGGTTGATTTTTGTCGTCAGATACAACGTCTAAAAGAGTTGACTTTTCCATAGGGAAAAGCTCCATGCTGACTTCAATGGGAAGACAGTCCGCATCATCTTCATCCCAAGAAGAAACAGTTTTTGTTGTAGTTTGTGGTCGTGAGGTTTCGCCAATAGGTGGTTGTGATAGAGATTCGGATTGAGAAGTGTTAGCAGCAGACCTTCTAGTTGCCAGCAAAACCTGTTCACGTTGAAACTGTATCAACTCAGTATTGGGAATGAGCTGGACAGTTTTAAAGTCTTCATCTTCATCCGAGTCCCAGCACTTGTCACAGTCAAAAAATATGTCTTCAGTATTGTCTAGTCGGTCACCAGAATCAGAGTCCACAAGAAGGTCGGGGAACTCAACTGCCAGAGACGTCGACGAAGACAACGGCTGCATGGTTTGAGATGAAGATGAAATAGATGATGCAGTAGTAGTTGATGTAGTTAATGAGGTGGCGGGATTAGTAGAACAACTCCTGTTAATATTGCTGTTGGCCTTGTTTGTCTTAATGTGTGCGGATGTGGTAGTTGAATTATTACTAACACTACCACCATTGCTATTAGCAGTAGTCCTATTCAGTGAGTGGGTGGGCGACAATGCGAGTGTGGAGACGGCAGCCTCCTGTTTTAGGCTATCGGGGCTCCCAGCAACGACGGAGTTAGAAGCCGCAAACGCGTAGCTTACACCATCAGAACTGGGCGGCTGAATAATTGCCGAATTAGGAATAGCGTTCTGGTCAAAGGCGCGCAGCCCCTTAAAGGAGTCACCCGCGTCGCTTTGCTTGGTAGGGTTAATTCCGGGAGTACTACTGGTGAGATTAGAGTTGGCCGGCTGGTTTAGTAAGGTTGTGGGTTTTTGCTTTTTTCTATCAAGAGAAAATTTAACCGAAAATGCAGAGGTAGATGGAGTGGATGTGATCGGGGCGACTTTCGAAGCTGGCGTCATTTCGGAAAAAGTGCACATGTCATCATCGATGCATGGTAGTTTTTGTTGGAGACGCTGCTTTTTGGAGAAATCCATATTGCAGGTAGTGTCAGAAGAGGAAGAAAAGCTGGCGGTGTTGACCTTGTGACTCTCATTGTTTGCCAGGCGTCTGCATTGTTCTAAATTTGACTGTTGAGAAAACGCCGTGGATGGAAAATTTCTGGAGGAAGTAGAGGGCTGTTTCTTGGACTTTGAAGAAGAGGAAGAAGAAGAAGAAGAAGAAGACTCTTTGCGAGTATGATTGCTGCTTCTTTTTAGTTGGTTTTGTGTTTCAGATGCATACATTTCAGGAGCAGCAGAGCCTAACTGTCTTGGGGTATTACTATTAATATTTTTATTTGAAGAAGAAGAAGAAGACGACAGATGACTGTTACTGTTGTTGCCACTACTACTGTTGTTAGTCTTATTATTATTTTGCCCCGACTTTTTGAGTGGAGCTGATGATTTTGAAACTATCGGGGAAGTTGCAGATTGAGTTTTAGTGACTGTTTGAGACGAAGCAGCCAGCGAAGAAGGCGTTGTTGGCTGATTTGATGATGACGGCAGAGGTTCCAGTGGATTGCAAACTACCTTTGAATTGAGTTTTTTGTTGTTATTTGCTGACTGTTTGGTGGTGGTGTCCTTCAAGGCTTGAGAATTAAGATCTGCACTAACTTTTTTCCCACTCTGCTGGTTTTGGTGCTGCTGTTTATTTTTTTTAGCCTTTGGTTGGCCTTGTTGTGGACTGTTTTGGGGTGCAACTGGTGTAGAAGAAGAGGAGGTGGTATTGGTATTGGTAGTAGTAGTAGTGGTGGTGGTGGTGGCACATAGCAACAGAGGAGTTGTGGTTTTGTTGGCCGAAATACTTGTGCCAGAATCTTTGTCCACAAACTCTACCATTTTTGAAAAAATAGACTCAATTTCTGAATCTGCTTGTGGAGATGACAAAGAAGACGTTTCAGAAAATGAATTTTCTAAAAGAAATTCTGGAGAAGAAGACAAAGCAGACTTATCTACTGTTGTCACTGTTTCTGCCACTAATGCCTTAGAAGGTTGTGCTGCTGCTGTCGTCGCTTGCTTTTTCTTCTTTGGTTTTGATTTGGGCTTCTTAGCAGGTTTTGAAGAGGCTTGTTGAAAGCTCTCTGCTTGTTGCTGCTGTTGTTGTCGTTGTTGTTGTTGTTGTTGCTGCTGCTGCTGTTGCTGCTGCTGCTGTTTTTTAGCCATATTATCTAGTGGTTTACTGACGGCAGTGCTGCCGCTTCCTGGAGATGAAATAGTATTATTACTTGAACATCCAGAATGGTCTGCTGCTGAGATTGAAGAGAGGACCTGAGTACTTTTGAGTTTGGGGACTTCTGGATGGGGCCTGCTCGACAAAGAGAATTGCTTCATTGTTGGCTGAGAGCAATAAAATAGAAAGTAAACGAGTGTAAGGTTCAAATATTGAATTGGATATGGAACGCTAAAGGTGGAAGAAATATAACGATGGTGGGATTGGCTGTTGGTTAATGAGAGATATATTAAAATCTATTAAAAACCAAACAATGTTAATAAATAAATAAAAAAAAAAAAAAAAAAAAAAGAAAGAAAGAAAGAAAGGAAAAAGAGTGTGTATTGGTTTTAATTTAATGAGATGATGTTAGGATTAAAAGTAAAAAGGAAGAAGAAAGAAAGAAAAAAAAAGTGGTAATAGTTTAAATTTTATGTGGGAAGAAAAAAAAAAAAAAAAAAAAAAAAAAAGGAGAAAATAAAGGAGTAGAAAAAAAAATTTTGTCAATTAATAACTTTAAATTATTATAATAATAATAATTATTATTATTATCCTTTAATGTCAAAAGGTTAATCCCACGCGCTGGAAAAAAATTTTAAAAATTAAAAAAAAATTTTAAAAAAAAAAGGCCATGATTTGTTTTTAACAAACCTTTTTTTTTCTTATAAATCTTACTGGGCCCCCAACTTATCTTCTTTCTCCAATTTCTATTTTTTTTTTTGGTCGAGTGTTAAGCTTATATTTATTATGGAACTGTAAACATTAAAAAAAATATATTTATTGGAGATATTAACATTAACACTATTTATAATAAACTACATGTATGAACAGTAATCCAATGTCACACAAACTGATATTGTATTTTCTTTTGAAGGCTTCTGCAATCAGCTCCATATGAGACCAATCACACTCAAATTAAAATTTGAAAAAAAGAAAATTAAAAATTAGAAATTAGAAATTAAAAAATAAAAAATAAAAAATAAAAAATAAAAAAATAAGCGTATAAACAGTTCATATGCGCCAAGGTTAATTTTTTTTTTTATTTTAGCTTTGCATCATCGTATTATTATTATTCCACAATTTCTGTGACCCGCCTAATCCAGCGTATCTTTTTCTAGATTCAAGCTTAATTTAGTTATTTTTAGAAACAACCTAACTTGCCATAAATCTATTATTTATTTTATTTTATTTTATTAATATTTTATTATTTATGTTGAGGAGTAGAGCGCTTCGAGAACCCACCACTATAAGTTAATGTTATACCTGTATGAATAGGTATGATTTACCTCTCTATTGCTTAGCACAGACCGTCGCCACCTCCTCAATGTTCTGGAGCCTTCTCACATACAATTAAACCCTAACCTCAAGATAAACTGTGGTTAGGGCTTTGAATAAAGCAATATTTATTCCTTCATCCTACATGTTTAATCATCACAATTATTCCCATAGCTTACATCTCATATCATACTATGAGTGACCTAGGAGAAGACCCATATTCCATAGGCATAGCGACACCGTTAAATCTCACTGAACTTCTTATTCTTCCTTAAATGTACTCGTTCAGCTCATATCACTTTCATTCCAATCAAGCTCCGTTTCCGTTATAACCTCGATTTATACCTATAATTCCTATGTATTCATTTGCTATCCTCTAAATATATCTACAATTTAAAAAAACTAGGCCAGTTTCAAGAAAAAAAATTATGGTGTTTATTTAAGCTTCTTCAGTTTTGTAACAAATTTAGCATTGATAATTAGTGTCTACTAAACGCACTATAAAAACTAAAACTAGTAGTGTTCTTTAGAATACATATTTGGTTATGACCCAGCTTATCACTTTTAATCAATTTCCACAAGCAATTTACCAGTAGTCTTACCCTCAAATAAGTCACGTAGACCATCCCGAGTCTTCTCCAAAGGATAAACATTGCTAACCTTAATACGTACAACTTTATCAGCAATCAGCTTAAAGAGAAGCTCTGAGTAATACTTCCACTCGTCCACAGAATAAATGTAGTTGAACAAGGTCGGGCGCAAAATCTTCAGGTTCTTGGCACTCAGGGACAAAAGGCTCACTGGCGGAACTGGACCCGACGCATTTCCAAAAGAAACAAGCGTACCCTTACGAGCAAGAGCCGCCAGCGAAGTTTCAAAAGTTGACTTGCCAACACCATCAAATACACCTTGAACACCCTGACCTTTAGTGATCTCATTCACTCGCTCAACAATGTCCTCCGTCTTATAGTTGATAATGTAGTCAGCACCATTTTCTTTGGCAATTTGAGCCTTTTCTGGAGTAGACACTGTGCCAATTACATGAGCACCAAAGTGGTGTGCAAGCTGCACAATAATCGAACCAGTACCGCCAGCAGCAGCATGAACCAGAATATAGTCTCCAGCCTTAACCTCATAGGCCTCCTTAACAAAAGTCAACGCAGTAAGACCTTGAAGAAGGGAAGCAGCTCCCAACTTGGTATCAATGCCCTCAGGGTTCTTCAGCACTTTGGCTGCCTGTTCCAAAGCAGTGTATTGGGCATAAGCATTGGGATTGACGTATGACACCTTGTCTCCAACAGCAAACTTTGTCACCTTGGCTCCAACCTTAACAACCTCACCAGCTCCCTCACGACCCAATGTCAATGGGTAGGAAGCGGGATAAAGGCCTATGCGGAAGTAGTTTTCAATGAAGTTGATGCCAGCATACGCGTTCTTGACAAGAATCTGGGTATCAGAAATCTCTGGAACAGCGACATCCTTATCCAATTGGACAACGTCAAAGTCACCAGTCTTGTGGATTCTGATAGCCTTTTGAGTAGAAGGTATAGTAGGAGCAGACATTGTAGAATAGAAGTAGTGGTGGTGTGTGTGGCGATAATTTAATCTAGTAGTTGGGAGTGAAAAAGCAAAATAACGAAAAGGTTTAATTGAGTAATAATTGCTCATAAAATTATTTTATATATATAACAAAACAAAGAAGGTAATATCAATTAATTGAAAAATAATAATAACGAACAAAAAAAAATATATATTGATAAAGAAAAAAGAATTCGTTCTTATATTATACTTTTTTTTAATAGAAGAATTGTGGTGGAGCTGTTAAAATTTCATCCCCATATTCCGTCATTATACAATATTACAAATCAGCTTCGGGTAACTGCAATTCTTTTGTGGGGGTCGCTCAATGGCTGACAAACGCTTGACATGAATAATAATGACTCTCTTGTTGATTATTACTTTATCATAGCTTTAAGAATAAACATGATCCGCAGCAACGGTTACCAGTCATTGCAATCAGGAGCATCTGGATTTGCTACTGGCCATGTTGGTGCCATCAATGCTTTGGACATTGAACAACAATACTCCCGCTACCTGCTCTCTGCCGGAGCAGACTCTTCCATTAAGATTTGGGACTTGGGTGAGAAAAGATTACCCTTACCAAAATCACCACCACAAAATGAAGGCGATAATGATGACAATGATGGCGATAATGACGATGATGACGATGATGACGATGATGATCTCAATTATGACAACTCTCCAAGCTCCTTTCATGACGAAACCTCTTCAGCAACTGATGCAAAAGCTTCAACTAACCTCTCTCGAAAACGAGCCGCATCCAACAGTTCCGGTACATACGGACCGCCTCAACCTCCCACCACATTCTCAAAAAAGCGCCGCATAACATCATCCGCTTCACATTCCTCACTCGGGTCAAACTCCAAACCATTCAAGTACTCGCTGGTGGCACAGGTCCCGCGCAAAACTCACCACCGTTTCGGTGTCAGCGCCATCCAATGGTACCCGGAAGACGCGGGTCTATTCGTTTCGGCCTCTTTCGATCATACTGTCAAGGCCTGGGACGCAGAAACATTGGACCCTGTCTACTCGTTCAATCTCGAGCATCGTGTCTATTCAGCTCACGTAGCCCCCGACTCTGCAGCCCACGCCCTCATTGCAACTGCAACAGAATCTCCCTTGTTGCGGTTACTGGATTTACGCTCTGCTGCCGCTGCACATACCCTCAAAGGACATGGGGCAGGAGGATTACGATCAGTCCGCTGGGCTCCTACTCAGGCTCATCTCTTGGCTTCTGGAGGAACTGATGGAACCGTACGTCTTTGGGACATTCGTCAAAGTAAGGCTTGTCTTGACATTTTAGATGTATACAGAACACAAGCTGATATTGACCGCAATACTACTGTAAAAAAAGGTTCAATATGCAACAGAACTACAAATTCTTCTCCTAATAACAATGCCACTCCAGCTGCAAATCTCTCTACGAAAATATTCTCACATCGGGGGACAGTCAACAGTCTATTGTGGTTGCCAAATAGTGAAAATTTGCTTTCAGCCGGTACCGATGACGAAATCAGGCTCTGGGCAATCCCTGACTATTCGATTCAGCAGCAGAAGTTACAAAGATCAACACCGCGCGCTCACAATACACTACTAAATTATGGCCGCCTTGTTAGCAATAGATTTCCACAAACACTATATATGTGTATAGCGCATGATTGTGGGGTTGAGAATGAAAAAGGAGAAGAAAATCAATTCAATTCTAGTCGCATTAATAAAGATTCGGAAATATTTTTTTTCCCATCAGATTCTGGCCAAATTCTCGTTTTCGATGTCTTTTCGGGCCACCTCTTGAATAGGCTCGATAGACGTACCCGCGAAGGAATTTATGCAACGGATATTCCTCGCACCACATGTATTACCTCACGCGGCCGTGAACCTTCCAGCTTATCCAATTCCCTCAAAAACAGTTCTTTGGAATACTATTCTGGCGCACTTGACGGTACCATTACACGCTGGGTTGTGTCTCCTCCTTCTACGTTGCAAGAGAACGATTACAACAGCAATCAGCAACATTCCCAAGATTCTTCATTGTTGCAAAATGCAACCAAAAACGTAGACTTTAACGAGAACGAGGATATTGGCGGTGATGGCTACAATAAACTGACTACGACTAGTCCAACCTTGGACGATGCGGCACTGATTAAAGTCACTACTACCACTAATGACGCAAAAGACAAGGACTCCGATGAGTCCAATAGTGACAACGACTACGAATGGGCTGGAAACGCTCTTGCAAGCTTAAAATAATTTTTTAAGACAACGTCTTTCCTTCTTTGAATATTTCTTTCTTTAAATAGTTTCATGTCAAAATAAATATAATTAATATTCTTTGTATTATTATTATTAAATATATATGATATTTTTTATATTTTTTTTAAAAAATTTCTATGTTACAGCTGCATTGGTTTTTTTATTCTTGAAATGCACTCTTCAGTGTCAGCCATTTGGTCGTAAGCTTCGAATGATCCGCCTCCAACTATAAAAAAAATAATGTCTTTGTTAGTCAAACAACACTGCATCAGTTAAATCGTTTTGTTTTTTAACAACTTACGCCCTCAAGCTTTGACTTGGTTTCGCCCAATTCTGACTCTAAGTTGGTCAGCTGGGATTCTAAACGTGCCTTGGCTTCTCGTAGCTGGTCTACCTCGGTTTTAAGAGACAAAAACTAAATAATAAGAAAGAAAAAAATGACGCATCACCAAGTTAGTATCTTAAAAAGGTAAAAAAATCCCCATGATTTTTTGTTCTTCTGTAATAAAAAGAAGAAAAGAAAAAATAAAAATAAAAATAAATTTAAACTCACCTCTTCGGCACCACCCCCGCCTAGAGAATCGATCTGGTTAGCTAATGTTTCCTTTTGCGCCGCAAGTACCTCATTCTCATCAGCAAGATTGGCAACTTTTACCCGTTCGTGGGCAAGTTCGTTTGTGACCGTCAAGTGCTCATTTGTCAAGTCTGCAACTGTATTCTCCAATCGTCGAATCCGCTGCGTCAGCTGTCCGTTTGCGCTCCGCAAATCTTCAACTTCCTTAATTCGCTCCTTCTCCACTCGGTTGAGCTCTATGTATTCGTCCTTATATTTTTTTAGTGTAATAGGGAGAATCTTGACATCATAAGCATCCGCAACTAAATCGTTAACTCGATAGTGGGGCTCAATCTGGCTGCTTCCGCCACTAGAAACACGCATCAAACTGCTTTCAACAAGGTAGTAATCAAAAATGTTGTCCTTCAAAAAGCCCAGCATTTGATCAAACTCAAGTTTCAAAATAGTGGCTGCGTTGCGACAAATCAAACCAACAGCAAAACGCAGCAAAGACTCAATGCCCTCTGCAACAACGACATCAAAAATACGCTGAACAATCTGCAACGGGAACTTGTAAGCAAAAAAGGTTAAAAACCATTGCGAAGCATACATGCTTGACCGCACACCCTGGCGAGCCAAGTGAATATGCACATCTGGAAGAGTGTCTTCCAAAATCCTGTCAAACTGATATAATCTCAAATGCAAGCCAGGCATATCAGGAAGGAAAAACTCTCGCAGTCCATAATCTTTCATCAGATTAACAAGCAGACCAAATGCCTCATTCTCAGGCATGCTAATCAGTAATGGAACTGCAATAAATGCCATTCCTTGTGTGTATCCCACCTCGGGGTCAAAAAGACTATAGGCCTTGATAATTTTGAAAAGACTCTCAGAATCAGCATTCTTAATAAAGCTCGTACGGCTCAAGTCTCGTCGAATAGCCTTTTCATGCGGACTATCTTCCAGAATTATTGAAGAGTACACCTCCTCAAGAGAAAGAGACTTGGACCCAGAAATAACCTGCCACACAATTCCCCGCAAGTCATTAGGAATGCCTTGGGCAATCGCCAGAGACAAATCAATAGGATTGCTCTTGGCCACATTGGGATAGTCAGAAACAACTTGCTCCCAAAAGTCCCAGTCAATGGCTTGTTGGCCATCGTAATCACTAGGAGAATCAATTGCCGAGTTCAAATGCTTTGTTTGTTGCGCAGGTTCCAGCTCTGCACGAATGGCTTGGAATCGTTCCTTCAATTCGGAAATTCCATCAACAACTTTACCAGAACTTCTACCTCGCTGAACGTTTTCCAAATTGGCTTCAACGCGACTCAACAAAAGATCAAAGTTTGAAGTAGATGTAAATGAATGCGAGCCACCATTAGTGCTTTGGGCATCTGTGTCGCTTGTTGCAGGCGAAAGCTTGTCACGAAGCCAGAAGAATGGTTTTCGCTTGCGAGGAGGAAGAGGTGGTACTGCGGTTGTCACATCGCGAGAGGGTAGGGTTGGGGGTTGAGTAGGGTGGCCTGGAGGAAGTGGAGGAGGAATATGCGCAGATGGAACGTCTGTGGTCGTAGCAGTAGTGGCATCAGTAGCATGAGACTCGCTAATAGCAGGCTTGGAATCAATATCAGCCTCTGACAAAACAGCATGAGGCTCACCTTCATATGGGTGGGTCAACTCTGGAGCGAAAGGGTTGGTTCCGGCTTGGGGCGGATTCTCTGTGACAGCCGTTGCCGCCGGGGCACTGGCATCTTCAAATGTATCCTGGGAAGACACATTAGCACTTTTAGTACTGGGCACCGCCGACTCCTTTTCAATAGAAGCATCGTGGAATACATCACTATCATCGTCATCTTTGTCCAATGCCTCGGCCTCGTATGGGTTGCCTTCAGTTCGGTCCTTGGTCTAGTGTAAAAAAATTCTAGTTAATACCTCAAAAATAGTCCAGTGTAAAAGGCACACTACTAAATAAAAAAAAAGACTCACTTCAAGTTCTAAGCTTTCCAGATTCTCAGCAGTAGAATCAATGGGGCCATTGTCAGCTGTTCCAGAAACTTCGGGGGTTACTCCCGTAGCTTGAGCATCAGAGTGTTCAGACATTTTTATCAATTACTAGTTAAGTTAACTGTTCGTAAGGGGGAGGTGGTGAGAGGTGAGAGGTGAGAGATTTGTGGTGGAGTTGAAACTATAGAGGGAAAAAAAAAAAAAAAATGGAGGAAAACTACAATCTGCTACCGTGTACCTTTGATAATATACACTAGCAAAATAGCCCTCATAATACTTTTAAACGAGAATAACTCTCCTTTAAATTGGTACAAAAATGTGATTTCAAGTTACGTAATTTGTAAATAAAGTTATATTATAATAAATTAATAAAAAAACTAAACTACTTCAAAAATAAAATTAAGACAAAAAAGTATAACCCTCCGAAAAAGTATCATAAGTAGGGGTAGTTGTGGTAAGAGGAGGAGGGGAAGTCATGGAGTGCTCAGAAAATCCGCGAATACGACCGATGTCCAAACTGCCAGCGGAGGACAAACTGTTGCGGCGACTGATAGACTCCATATCTTGGTAATAGAAACCAGAAGAGGTGGACACAGACTCAGTCTCAGTGTTCATGTAGTAAGATGACTCAGAAGAGGAGTCAATCGGAGAAACAATGTTACTGTCATTATGAGAGCGAATGACGCCTTGAGTGACTTCGGCCTCGTTCAAAAGAGAATTAACTTGTTCAGGTTCGCAGTTAGGAAAGTAAACTCTGATGGCACGATCTTCAATAGAAATAGGAAGCTCACCCAAAGAAGAAAGCTTGCGAATATTGTCGGCCATTGCACGAAGCTCATCAATATGACGCTCAATATCATCCACAACTCTGTCAACAATCTCGGTAGAAAGCTGAGTCACAGGGGGGACGGTGAGGTTTGGCGTCATGTCAAAATCAACATAAGAGCCAGTTTCAGGAGTAGAGTGAAAAGCACGAGTCAAAACAGTAAAAGAAGGAAGGGACGAGGTCATTGAAGATGCAACATCACGCAACGAGATCTCCAAACTAGGCTGGGGGAAAATAAATGAAGGAGGACCCAAAGGACGATGTCTAGGAGACTTGAGTCTATTGATAAATGAATTTCTAATAACATCAACAGGCTTGATATTAAGGGATTGAGAGTGAACAAAGCGCTTTCTCAAGTTTTGAGTAACACGCTTGCGCAAATCTTCCTGAACAGAGTCATTAAATTTAGACTTCCAAAAAGAAAACTGAGGAATCTTTCCTCTATCACGAGAAAAAAAACTAGCTGCGGCACTTGAAAAGGCTCGATAAGCGGTCAACTTATTTGAACAATAATAAGCATAATTAGAGGAAAAAAGATAAGGTCTAACATTTCTAGTTTGGATAGTAGAGAAATATCTCATTGTCGCAAACTTATGGCACATTGCTCGGGCAGGACAATAGAAACGAAAAGGACCAATGGTATGATATTCACGTGCCTTGAAGTGCTCAATTCTTGGGAACCGGCTCCGTCTATTATGGACTGGAACCCGGGCAAGAGCAGGTCGGGCTTGTCGCCCAAGACGCTCTGAAATGTGATTGAGAAGGGAGAGTTTTAAGTTGCGCTTTGCATTTCTAGCATATTGTCTAAAAGATGACAAAATGCCTCTGAACTGAAGGAGTCCGTTCATAAATAGTAAGGGGAGGGTGTCGTCAGATTGTTTAATAACAACTCAGTTGAGCTGGCAGATGAGAGAACTGAAGTATGTGCAACACACTAGTCCATTCTAAAGGTAATCAGACTGGAAATTACCTCTAAGAGCATGCAACCACAGAGAAATATAGATTTTCAAATATGTGGATGCAAACAGAAAAAAAAAAAGACTCAATAAATGGAAACTTGTGGTGATTATGGTTGCGGAGAAATGGTGTTGGGGGACTTTATCTTTTTAAATGTATTTACAAAAAAAAAAATAAAAAAATTTGCCACACCTTAATTCTTAAAGTTACGAGCAAGTATGCATGTGGTATCTGCAACACTCATCTAAAGGCCAACTTTTTCTCCGGCTTAACGGCAATGATACATCTCTCCTCCAAATTTAATTACATAATGATTACAAATATTTATATTAAACGGCTGTACTTTTAGCAGGGTAACTGTTTATTGTTTTGTTTTCATTTTTGGGAATTTTTTTTGAACATTTTTTTTTCCTGGGAACGCCTGCCAAAATATAACATTTCCTGGGGAAGATTTTTGCTTATTTCTTACTCTCTTCCTTTAAATACAATTCATCTTACATACCTTTGGCAATGATAAGTTTGAGGATAAATAAATATGTCAACCTCTAGCACACCATCTTCCGCGCCAATTAAAAAACATATAATAAAACCATGGAAAAAAGACACTAAACCGAAAAGTCTATACAACACACTTATTCCAGCCGACTACATTGACCCAATCAACCAGCGGCTCACAGTAATTTCAGTCTTTTTTCTTATACAAGCCTTTAAATTATGGGATCTGTGGTTTTCAGATAAATATGGATATAATTCAGATTATTCATATCTTTTATTTTTGCTCAAGTTTGGGCTAATTGAAGGACTTTTTCTTTTACTACTACCGATACTACGGATACCATGGCTGACATTTACATATCGATTCACTATACTGTTAGTGATTGCATCATTTATTTTTAATATTTTTCTTGTCACATTTTCTTTAGCTTCCGTGGGCGCCTTTTTCATGGGAATCTGGAAACCCATTTTTGATCGCGAAGTTTCAATATCAGGATCTCGTGTACGGCAAAGAGACATTTTCGACTCGTCTTCTCACTTATCGGGAAAATATATTGTTCATATTCTTCCAGAAAGTACCGCACTTTTAAATCCTTTAAAAGAATCGTACTGTTTGGAACAATCGTACTCAGAAGTCATTATCCCTGTTAAATTTAATGCCACTATTCCAAATCTTGTTCAACTTAATCACTATGATTTCGACACTATGGAGATGACTACCACTAATTTCACAAAGAAGCAACTTAAAAAGCTAAAAATGTCTAATCCTCCAGAAAAAGTGACCGATCCCCGCATTTCTTACTATTCGCTTCCTGTCAACGAACCTGGCCTATATAGACTTGGCCAAGTTGTTGATTCTTCCGGTCTCAATATTCGATTATATCGCTCTGACGTCGTTATCCCTCGTTGCCCGTCAGCCTACATTTTTAGCGGAAGAGAAAATGGCGACTCCCATTTGTGTATCGGCGATGTTGATCTTCCTAAGATTTCAGTTGATGGTGTACCTCCACTTACTGTCAAATATTCCAAATTAATTAAGGGCGAGGAGTCTAAATTTTCAGTTCAAAGTGTCAGCCCTGAACATCCAATGCATCATTCAATTAAGGCCGCTAAATCATCGATATTTTGGAATGGTCAAGACACTCTTTCTTGGGCTGCATCTCAGTCATTGGAAATTGAAATGGATACAGCTTTAACCACTACCGGTGACTGGGTCTACTTTATTGATCAAGTTGAAGACGCTCTTGGTAATGTGGTCAATTACAATAAACTTTACAATTATCGCGAAAACCCTAAGCTTTTATTTTCAAAGTCTTTGGGCTACGGGTTTCAGGTTCATTCTAGACCACACATAAATTTCAAAGGCTGCGGATCTCAGACCCCAGTTAAACTTAAGCGAAATGGTTCTGCTCAACTACAGGTGTTTATTAATGCCGATTTGGAAAATGGTCCATTTGAAGTTGAGTTGGAACATTCTCCCTTGGAAGATAGCGACGACTCAGGTTCGTATTACACATTTACTCAGAACTTTACACATCAAATTGGCCATATCCCTGTCAAAGAGGCAGGTATTTACAAAGTTCTTAATCTAAACGGAAGGTATTGCCAAGGAACAGTTTTGGAACCTTCGGCTTGTATTGTTTATGTCCCACCTGAGCCAGTTGCTAAAGTTACATTTGAAGATGTTGAAGACAAATGTGCTGGTCCTGTTGGTGTTGTTGCTGATATTTCACTTTCTGGCACTCCTCCATTTACCGTCTACTACCGAATTATTAAGAATGGTGCCATTATTCGCAATGAGTTTAAAACAATTAGCCAAACCCGTGATAAGATTACTCTCAAACCAAACGAAGCTGGCAATTATGCTTACGAGTTTTATAAATTGAGTGATTCCATCTACAAAGACATTGACATCAAGGGACAAGAGGGATCTCGCAAAGAGCAAACTATTCAAACTTTGGCAGGTGCTACCTTCGTCAGTCCTCGTATTCGCAGAAAGGCTTGTTCTGGTGATAGCGTTGAACTTCCAGTGCAATTGTTTGGCGTACCACCATTTAAACTCAATTATGAAATTGTTCATGGCTCCTCCCGTAAAATGCCTTTCACTCAGGAGAACATTACTGGATCCCGATTTGTTATCAAAACTGATCCCTTAAAAGCTGGTGGATCTTATACTGTTTCACTTGTTTCAGTTGAAAACAATAAGGGATGTGTCACTACTTTAAAAGAGCCTGATGTTGTTATTGATGTTAGCAGAATGCGCCCGACTGCTGGGTTCTTGTCAATTAACGGAAAGCGAAGCCTCATGACTCTTGAAGGTAATAGCGTTGGCCTTCCAACCAAATTTAGTGGAGAGGGTCCGTGGAACGTTGTTTACAAGCACACTAATGTTAATGGGACTGTGAGTCGGTACACTCAGACTATGTCTAAGCAAAATGGTGAGCTGATTTACGTCAGTTCTGAAGGCAACTATACCCTTGAATCTGTTAAAGGTGCTTATTGCCCTGGCGAGATTTCTCCTGAAAATAATTTTGAAGTTAAATGGCTGGAACGTCCCACTCTGTCTGTCATTCCCAACACATTGGTTCCGCTCGGAAATAATAATTACCGACGTGAGGCTGTTTGCGAGCAAGATGATGATGTTTTAGAACTTAGTTTGACTGGTAAGTATATGGATAAAAAGTTTGATTTGGAATACCTTTACTAATTATGAACTCTAGGTTCTTCTCCCTTTAAAATATTTTATGATATCACTGGTCCTCGAACCCTTGTTAATCAGAAACTTGATGTTGGTACCAAGTATGCCTCCATTATACTACAAACATTTAAGCCTGGTTTATACAAGTATAAGTTTACGGGCATTTCAGATGATGTTTATGGTGAGCGAGACATGAGCCGGTTTGATTTCAATACAATTACGGTAGAACAGATGGTCAATCCACGACCAGCTGCGTCGTTTGCTGAGAGATCAAAGACTTACAAAATCTGTGTGAATAATGATGGACGATCCAATGGTGATGGTATCCCCATCTTGCTTAATGGAAAAGCTCCATTTTCAGTATCTTATAATGTTTACCATGAGAGTACTGGTAAAACCGATATTCACACAATTGACGGGATTGAGGACAAGAAGTTTTACTTGAGCCAGATTTACAAGGGCTTGGGATTGGGAACGCATAGAGTTACTCTCACAACTATTTCAGATTCGAATGGCTGCCGAAGATCATTGTCAAAAGAAGATGAGGTATTCATTCATGTCAATGATGTGCCATATGCCACTCCTCTTACTCCTCGGACCAACTTTTGTGTTGGCGAACGAATTGGTTTTACTCTTAATGGTGTTGGACCTTTTGACATCACTTATGAATTTAATGGTAAACGTCAAAGTGTGACCACTGGTTCACCATTTTCTCGTATCGCTTCTAATCCAGGAAATTTGACACTTGTTACTCTTTCCGACACTTCTTCGTGTGTTGTTAATTTAAGTCATGAGCCTCGGATTATTCACCCTATGCCCTCTGTTATGATTTCAGAGGGAACAACAGTAATTCAAGATATTCATGAGGGCGACCAGGCCGAAATCATCTTTACACTTTATGGATCGCCACCATTTTCATTTACGTACACTCGCAGTGAAATGGTTGGAAATCCCCCTAAACTTAAGGTGGTAGAAACGAATACTGTTAACCAAGTATACAGTAACCAATACAGCATATTTACAAGTCTTCAAGGAACTTATGAGGCGATTGCTGTCGAGGATGCGTTTTGCTCGATATCGAGTTCATCATTTGCAAGTAATAAATAAACAAAATAGGTGTATGATAGAGGTTTATAGAGAGTTTTTTGTACTTTTTAGGCATAGCACATGAGGAATGTCTACTACTAATTAGTAAGCAATCAGTCGATTTATTATGGTTATGTTTATTAATTCAGATAGAAGTTTAAGTGGTTTAGAAAAATATCACCATTGTAGAGATACGACATATAGACAACATCTATTAATTAAAATGTTGTCATAACTATTAATAGAGATGGAACGATAAAATAAACGCAACATATTATGCTATTTTATTAAACAGTGGGTTAGCGTTGACCAGTTATCTAAAAAAAAAGCATATTTTAAGAATATTCTTAATTAAGAAAAATTATTTGGGCATTTTAATGCTTACATGAAATTTGGAACGCAGATACACCAAAAAGGATTCCAGGATCATAGTGTAGTCATTGATTAATAATAGTGAAATTTGTATTTCAATGATATATAAATCGACTTGGATTAATTAATCTTTTTATAAAAATAGAGAAAAATTTAATTAATTAACAATTAATCATTTAAATATATATGTTTAAATGTTTGAGTTAAAATTTCATCTATGCATATGCCTGAATATGTATTGCATGGAATGATTTTATTGAATACACGAGAAACAAATACGTAATAAATCACAATATTTTTTAGTTTACGGAGATATTAAGAATATTTTTTTAAAATACAGCAGAAAATCCTTTCCTTTGGTACAAGTTTAATTTTTTTTTTTATTGAACAATAATAAACAATAATGAATTTGTCAGCGGCACTTCGACGAGATGATTTATCAAAAAGAAATTTCAAAAAAAGCATTATTTACGTATTATATTAATAGAAAAGAATAAAAAATAGCTCTATTTGAAATATCTAAAATAAAGATACTCATATAAGTATGGTCAGATAACCAATAAAATTAATGATATTAAAAAAGTCTAGATGAATTTGAAGATGAGTACAGCGCCTTCAGATTTTTTTGAAGAGGTTGAGATTAACAAAATTTACTTATTTGGAATATCCTATTTAACTAAAAAGCGGTTTCTTTTATTAATTTTAGAAGAGGAAAAATACTAATCTAGGGTTTATATTATTGTATATTATTTCTCAAGGGGTAAGGTTTGTTATAGTTCGCCTTGTGTCAATACACACTAGGAACAGAATATGATTTTAACAAACTTTTACTGTTTAAGTAATGAGTTTAATGCATTCATCGCTTAACAAGCCAAGAAGTTAAGATAGAGTTTTTTTTATTGTGCGGTTTAATTCTGAACTTGGGAAGAAAATAACGGATTGAAAGTGTCTTTGATGAAAAGTGTGGGTTATTTAATACTCAGAACCAAAGTAAATTATATGTATAGATGAGATGAAGTGACGTGTCTTAGAAAGCTTAGTTTTTACAATTGTTCATGTAAATGATAGGAAATTATCATTATATAGACAACCAACTATATTTTGATGAATAGTGAAACATAATTCTAAACTTTGAGTCAAGAAGATGATTGGCAGGTATATGATTCCATAATAAAAATATATTTATAATTGGAATTCTGTTAAAACGCAAAATTAAATGGAGAATATTTTAAAAATTACCTAAATTTGGGTAAACAAAAAAGCATTAAATTATTTTGGCCAATAAGCAAGGCTTTTTAGACATTAATAGTTTCTAAAAATTCAATGCAGTTGAAAACTTAAAAATGCATTTCCATTTTAATAAATGAATTTTTTTATTTATGAATTAGTTAAGAGCATTACCTTCGACTTCTTTAAGGATCTCGATATTCCGTGGACTGATCATCGATGATGACTCTTGATATTATTCCAATGTCCTGAGTTAGCGGTTCAACGTTAAAGCTGAGACAAACATGTGAATAAAGAAGTCATTGAAAGAAAAATTAAAAAAGAGATGTTAAAGAATAAATTAATTTCATGAAATCTCCGAAAAGGAAATAAATGAGCTATCCGATTTTTAAAACGAAGAGAAGAGTGGTTTACTCCTGAACCTACTAATTTTTTAGATGAATAAAGAACTAGAAGTGCTTTTTTTTAAAAAATAGTTTTTTTTTGTAGTTTTCAGCAAAAGATAAAGAATAAATCAATCTTCAATGAACCGGCCTTTTTTTTTCTTAATGCAATAAAATTTAAAATACTTGTGCAGAGATAGGTTTCGAGGGAAGATTCGGGGTTTTGAATGTTGTCAAATTTCCCATTGTTAAATTGGTGTCACATATGCATATAAAGGTTAAATGAGAAAATGGAATCCTTTGAAAGCGATGAAACGGTTGAACGATCTCCAATACTAAATCTATTGAATATTGTCATTAAAACAAGTTCCAGTGAACTTGATGTATGTATCTTAAAATAAATACAAACAAAATTTTTCGGATTTAAAAAAAATTCTTTAATTGGCAATAATGAAAGATATTTATTTTACAGGTTTATTCAAATAGCCTTTGAAGAATCGATTATTGGAATTAACTGTTTATAAACTAGGTCAATCAGTAAACATGTATGAAATTCTTTTGCACGATTTAAACAATTTGAACGATTTGCACGATTTGCACGACGCTCTGGGTTTGAGAGATTTAACACAACTTGAGTGAGTTTCATTAAACTAAAAAAAGATTTGAAAATAAAAAAGGAAACCGCATTCTTTTAATGTTGCGTTTAAGACATTGACAAGTAACTTACAGGAATGGGGGCAATGCAACTTACTTTACTGTTAAAACAACTTAACAATTTATTATTCAAATAACCGGTTAGACAACTATAGTTATATTTAATTAAGGGTTAGGGTCGTAATTTTTTTTTTTCTACCCCTCGATTTCATGAAAAATACCATCAAGTTGTGGTTTGCGTACAAATCTCTAGCAACCCCACAGGCAAAGTTTTTTTTTTATGAAATCAATGTTTATTTCAATTATACATCATCATGCAGTTTTAATGGTCACTTAAAATAAAAAGAAAAAGACACAATTTACATCTTTTAATCATACTCTAAGAAAACCTAGAAATAATTTACAGTGTGGTTACTCGTATTCTCAACAGAAACAGAAGCTGAAGGGGCATTGCATTTCAAGAGAATTTCAAAAGACGTCCACAGAGACAAAAACATCCTGATTGAATATTTGACTTCTTCTACATAAACATATTTAAAACAGATGTGCGTCAATGTTCATTTATAAAAATAAATGCCATTTTATGGAAATGATACATTCACATGAACAGTTATACACCTGACAGTTGGATTGTTTTTAATAGAGTAATCATAAACCTTACAGGATTTTTTAATTCTGGAATATAAATACTGAAAGAACCGAGAGAACATATTAGAGCGAAAGTTTTTTTTTTATTTAAGACTTATGATGGTGATGACTCATGGAACATGATAAGAGAGATGGGTTTATTCAAAAAGATTAAAGTGGTTGTATTGCATTTTATTACATTTTATTGCATTTTATTGCTGTTGATGATGCTTAAGCTAACCAATAGGTAGTGTTTGACAAAAAATTGGATTACCACTACATCACCTTCTTATGAAAATATTATTTAAGAGCTATTTAAAGCATCATATCTTACATTTTTGAAGATGTCAAACGTTGCACCTGCACATTTACATCCAAAAATTAAAAATCTTAGTATGTCGAAGTTAGCGATGTTGGCGAGGATGACAATAGTGATAATAATGAGGTAGAAAGCTCAAGAAGACCTATAAGTCGAATCAGACTGGTATTAAGGGGGGATCGGATATAAAAGGGTATTAAAGTTATTTCCTCGGGGTTGAAAGTTATCTCTTCCCTCGTTAAAAAGTGGGTATGTTTTTGTTTACTTTTCTAGATAAATTTTTTTTAAGACCCAGGGAGCTTCAACCGTATATGAGAAGGCATTATTTGACATTTTGCTTTTAAATTTTTAACATTTAAATATATCAAGAAATACGAGAGTTGCGAAAAAGTCTCAAAATGACGAAGAACAACGAAAAAATAAAAAAATAAAAAATTTTAAATTCCTCAGACTAAAATTATTTTATGGTTTTGAAAATCCTCACAGGTCTCAACGTAAATCACACGTAAAAACGGGGTATCGTTTGTGAAGCGAGTCAGTAGACTGGCCGGTATCGGAGCAGCGAATGTATGGTGAGAGCCTAGATTGGCTACAGAGGGAAATAGGCGATGGAGGCAAGGCATTTGATTGGAGGATGATGTGGGAACCATCAGATAACTCTGAAATTGGAAATATTGCATAATATTAGCACAGAGCTCAAGTGGCCGCGCCGTTGAATGTCAAAGTTAAGGAGATGCTTGTTTAATTTGTTTATATAAATCATTAGGATCATCTTGAAAAGATTTGAAAAAATTTTTTTTTTTTTTTTTCACTTCTTCAAAATCATTGAAACCTCTCTTTTTCCATTGCACATTATTCAGCTTGGGACCGAACAAGCCACACTCTAAGCCACAGCATTCTTCAGCTTCAGCTAATCCCGCGCTCAAGCCACATCTTTCTTATCGTTCACAAAAGTACGCTTGGGACTGTGTGTTACCGCGATAATCATTAAGATCACGTTCAATGTTTATAATAAAAAATAAAAAAAAATAAAAAAAATGCCGTACTTTGAAACCGTATCTTTTTCCTACAACAGGCTATCTCAAGAGAGTCTTTCTTCATTTTGTTCTACTAAATCTTCGGAAGTTTATTCCAACAATATTTTTTCTTCATCTCAAGACAGTTTTTTTTCTTCTTCCATCATACTAGATATGCCAGAAACATTATCTTGTTCTTCCAAGGGGTCCCCACAAAAACCCCGCATGACTTTGGATGCGCTGCCGTTTGAAGTCCGACATCTCATTGCACAGCAATGTAGGCAAGCAGATGCATTCCGGCTATGTTTGACGTGTAAGTCTCTCTATGAGTCGACCATTTCAAGACTCTACCAGTGCATTGTACTGGATTCATCTCATAAGCATTTCAACAAGGAGGTCAAGTATAAGCGGCTACGACCCAAGAGCGATCTCTCGGATTCGTATTCATCATCTTCTTCATCTTCATTTTCTTATGGGTTTTCTGGAGGTTTTCCAGGATCTGTTTCGACTCTTGACTCGGAAGTGTCCATCACCTCGAGTGCGTTGGACGAGCATTCAGATCATAATGATAAGTATTTTGCATATACGTCTGTACACACTGTTGGCGGGATGCGGCGGTGTATGCGAGCACTGACTAAAGACCCTTCGAAGGCGACGTACATTCGTCGGTTTGAGGTTCTTAACAATATGGATTTGCCTGATTTTGAGATTCGCCAGTTTTTGGCTCGCACACTACCAGCGATGACCAATCTTGCAATATTTGTGTGGAGTGCTACACCGCTATTAACGGTGGATTTGCTAGCATCTCTTACGAGTGCGCCTGTGGAGACACTATGTTTGGCAATGAAGCTGACGCGGGAAACAGTTGGTGGGATTTCAGAACTACATTTCCCACATTTGCATAAGCTTGAGCTGGAGCCGTTTTTGGGGTCTGAGTTTTTACCGCACGTTGCGCGGATGCTTGCCAACTCACCTGAAACAGTGCACAATCTACGCCATTTGCACCTGGACCGGTCTGCAGGCACGGCTGGGTCTGCGGGGGCCGGTGGTGGAGACCCATTTTTGGCGTTTGCTTCGCTAGATCCCCAGGGCGTGATTACACCTGCGGGAGCTGGGGGACCTGTGGGGAATGCAGGAGGGGTTGTTGGGCGAGACAATCATGCTGCAGACCTGACGACTCGGGGGCGAGCGTTTTGGGGGCTTGACGGGCAGATGGACGATAAGTGCATATCAGCCTTTTTCGGGACGTTGAGGGAGCAGCTTGTTGAGAAGCAGGAGGAGTCTAGACGAGGCAGTTATTCGCCTTTGCGATCTTGTTCGATTCCTATTCCAGGAGGGGTGATTTATGGGCCTCCGGGGAAGCTGCACCTTGAGTATCTTGGGTTGCGCGGTGTGATGGTACGTGGACATGAAGACTTTGCATTGTTGGAGCAGTGTGTTGAGCTGAGTGTTCTTGAGCGGCTACATCTTAGCGGTGTGGATACTTATAATATGGAACTTGATGGGTTGCCCGATCATAATAGTGCAGAGGGGTGCGATAGTCGTGGTCGTCCGTTGGAGGCCGGGTTTTTGCCTAATTTTGCAAGACAAGTTTCACGAGGATTGCGGTCAGTAACAATTGATTGGTCGGAAAATGGGCGGGACACGGTACCAAGGTTTTTGGCAGGACTTTCGAGCGGGGTTGGAGCTGAGCGTCCATTGGAATCGCTAAAAGTTGTGATTCGGTGGAGTGCAGCCAAGGCCGGACGGGTGTCGTGGCCTGTGCTGTGCGAGATGTACTCGCGGGCGATTGTATCACGACATGGAGGGACATTACGGAACTTGGTGCTTGATTTGGGATTTGACAATACATTTGGGACAGAGACTGCTGGTGGGCAAGCTGTGCGGTTTGCAGGGCCTGGGGGTGGGGCGACGCAGACGCTTGTGATGGGGCTTGGAGGGGCCGGGTCGTTTGTTGTGACGACGACGGGTAATACGGCTGGCCGGGGCGGATCTTTGGGGACGGTTGCGGCGTTAAGTAGTGGGTGTATTCGGCAACTGGCAGGGTGCAAGGCGTTGCGAGGGTTAAGCGTTGCAGCGCCGTCGATGGGGGTTGTTGAGGAGGTTGTGAGGGGGTTGCCGAAGCTTGAGTTTTTGAGGCTGCGCAATTCGCAGAGCAAGCCGTACTTGGGTCAGAACACGGCGTATTTATTGGAAGACTGGTTGCGATATAAGCACATTGTGGAATCATTTTGGCGGGAGCAGGGGCAAGATGGAGGGAGCAAAGCACTTCGGTTTGTGAAGCTGGAGAGTTATGTGTTTGAATTACAACAACAGGACCCGGAGGTAGGGTCAGGGACGGATCCGGTTGGGGAGAAACCCGGTGGTGGTGGTAATAGTAATGGTAATGGTAGTGTGGGTTTGGGTGCCGGTGCTCGGGCCGAGGGTAGTGGTGTGGGGGGCGGAGTGAGTGTGATTTTACGTGAAGGGCTTGGCGGATGGTTTGCGGCGCGGTGCGAAGGCCAATTTACACAGCCATGATTTTTAATTAATTATTTAATATATCAATTATTTAATTAATTATAATGAAAATTGATGAGAATTTAAGAGAGCAATGATTAAGAAAAAGAGACATTTGAAGTTTGCCTTTGAAGTTTTTTTTTTTTGGAATTTGTAGATTTTTATTATAAACATACAAGAGGAAATTCTTGAGGATAAAAAGTCCCGCGCTTCTTTTTATTTATTTATTTATTTTATTTCTTTTAAGTTACTTAATAAAGACGGAGAAAAAAAAAAAAAAAAAAAAGCAGCCAATCTGTTGAGTTGCCGATTTTTTTTTTATTTTGATTTTTTTTTTCTTACCACCATAAAAAAAAATCTACGTTCGCGTTATCTTAACAATCTTTTTTTTTTTTTTTTTTAAGTCCATCTGAGCCATCTGAGCTACATCATTGCAAAATCTCTTTTAAATCATCATCATCACCACCACCACCACAACTACAACCACTTTCACTACTACTACTCCAAAACAATGGGCAAAGGCCAAAGCAAACTGTCCAAGGACGAGCTCCAGGAACTTAAAAAGGCAACACACTTTGACCGCAAAGAACTACAACAGTGGTACAAGGGGTTTCTTAAAGATTGTCCATCAGGACACCTTGACCAAGAAGATTTCCAGAAAATCTACAAGCGATTTTTCCCATTCGGAGACCCAAGCACATACTCTGAATATGTATTTAAAGTCTTTGACAAGGATAAAAATGGATACATTGATTTTTCAGAGTTTATAATCGCTCTCTCCATAACATCACGCGGCTCTTTTGATGAAAAACTTAAGTGGACTTTTGGACTTTATGACTTGGACGATGATGGATATATTTCTTATGACGAAATGCTGGCCATCGTCTCTGCTATTTATAAAATGGTCGGCTCCATGGTTAAATTACCAGAAGATGAATCAACTCCTGACAAACGCGTTCAGAAACTTTTTTCAATGATGGACAAAAATAAAGATGGACAAATCTCATTTGAGGAGTTTAAAGAAGGCGTTCATTTAGATCCAACAATTATGTCTGCATTACAATTGTACGATGGTTTAGTATAATAATAATAATAATAATAATAATAATAATAATAATAATAATAATAATAAAAAGAATAAAAGAATAAAAGGAAAAAAAAATTATTAATTACTATTATAAATGGACATTGTTTGTAAGACTTTTCTAATTCGTAGTTGGCTTCTTGCCAAGGTTAAGAATACCTGGAAGAGGCTCTGCGTCAATGCTGTAGACAAGCTTGATTGCCGCAGCTCCAGCAAACACAAGTGCAATACCACTCCACAAAAACATTTGTGTTGGCACGCTAATGTCCACCTTTTGGCACGCTGCTCCGCCATATCTTGTTGTCTGCTTCTTGTCAGCATTGTAAGAAGCCTGGCATGCGCAGCCATACACGGGAGTCTCACCGTCAAGTGCAGTGCCAGTCTTGATGCATGCACCATGGCCCGTGCAGTTGCCAGTTGCAGTCTCGCAGGCCTCAATGGAGGGAAACGATTTGGCAACAATAGTGGAGCGTGTGCTGCTGCGCTTCTTGAGACCGCTCTTGCTAGAGCATGGCTTCAACAAAGTCTCCTGCTTGTTGGTGCACGCGTCGCGTGGAGCAGCAACAACCATCAGGCGCAGGTTGGCGTCATCAACATGGTCTGCAAGGTTGTTAATAGCCTTGGAAATCTTGCCAACAGCCTTTTCGTAAGACTGGGCGTACTTGGAGTTTTGAAGCATCACGTCAAGAGACTCGAGACGCAAAAGAGCCTTTTCACCAGGGGCAAGGCCCTTGGAAGCAAGAGTCTCCAAGCGAGCAAGATCGTCCTTCAAGCGTTGGCCCGCAAAGCTGCTGCAGTCTTCATCGTCGTCCTCACTGGATTGTTCCATCATGGAGTCCATCATGTGGCCCATAGCATCGCCCATCATGGGGTGACGCTTGTAAATTCCAATATCCTTGAGGCCCTTAAGAGCAGCCTCCTCAATCTTGTGAGCCAAACTAGATACCACTGAGACGGCCTTGTCTGCTGACTGCTGGAGGGACTTTGTTGCAGCTGAGACCTTGGTCATGTCGCCGGACATGCGGTCCAAAAATGCGCGGAAAAAGGATGGCGAAGGAGACTCCTTAATTTCAAATTCAGGAGAGGATTCCTGGAAAAGAGTGTGAGAGTCAGGAAGGCCATTGATAACGACGATTGCTGTGGCGAGGTTTGAGTTGGATGTATCGCCATTCATGGCATTGGTGAGGGATGCAATGTATTTGTGGACCAAGTCTGAGGGGAATTCATCTTTAATGTCTGCGGAAGAGTAGAGGGAAGAAGTACCGAGAAAGTCAGCCAAGAGGAATTGGGATTGTTTGTTTGAAAGTTGAGGGGTGGTGTTGCTAGAGACGGTCTTTTGTTGTTTGTGTTGAGGTTCAAAGACATAGACTGAGGCGGGAGGGCAAGTGGTTGAGGAAGCGGCGGCAGCAACCGATACGGAGGCCGCCAGTTGGACTACAGAGGAGTACTTCATAGGAGGCGTTAAACCAGAGTAACCTTGAGGTTGAAGGTAGGTAGGTAGGTAGGTAGTGATATGAAAGGTTTGTTTTTGGTTTGTTGTTGAAAAAAAAAAACAAAAAAAAAAGGAAAAAGAGGAGGTTTTTAAAGAAGGGAAAAAAAAAAAAATTTGGTTGGCCATAAAAAATGGCGGAGGCTGCACAAGTTTGGCTGCTTTTTTGAAGGTGGTGAAGACAGGCAGGCAGGCAGGCAGGCAGGCAAACAGGCAGCCACGCAGGAAACAAAAAAAAAAAAAAAAAAAAAAACGCCGGTGGTGGCACACAAAAAATAAATAAGAAGTTACCCGGCATTAAGTGAGCATGAAATTGAAAATCCCCGTTTTATTTATTTATTTATTTATTTTTTTTTTTTTTTCATATCTTATATAGCAGCATTTATTTATATTTAATATATCTTTAACAATCCACCGCAGGAATTTGATTAGAATAACAATGACCAGTATAACGGCAGGTCCGCCTATTCCGGAGTCAATTCTCAGGCAACGAGAAGAAAGAAAACAAAAGTTTTTAAAAATACAAGAAAAATCACAAAAGACGGAGGTTTTAGATCATGAAGATAAAAATGAAAATGAAAATGAAAATGAAAATGAAAATGAAAATGAAAATAAAAATAAAAATGAAAATAAAAATGAAAGTGAAAGTGATAGTGATGACGGGTTTGGTCCACAACTTGCAGATGCAACAACTGATAACAGTGCACAGGAAGAACAAGAGGCTATGGAAAGGTTAAAACTACGGGAATTAGAAGAGCAGGAGAGGAAGGAGAAGGAAGACAAGGCAAGTGGGAAAAAAGACATGGCAGCGAGGGAAAACTGGATGGCATTTGCACTAGGACAAAAGCAGGACAAGGACATTAGGTATGATCCTAAGACAATGCGGAGGATTGGAGGAGGAGGAGGAGGAGGAGGAGGAGGAGTATCAATGGCAGGGAAAATTGAGACTGAGAGTGAGAGGACGAAACGGATGGCAGATGAGATGATGGGATTAACAGGAGAAGCCAATAAGGAAGAGAAAGAGAAACAAAAGAAAAAGGAAGATAAAGAAGAGGAGGATGAAGAGAAAGAGGAAGAAGAGTACTTTTTAGCACGAAGGAATGAACCATCATTATTAGACCAGCATTTGAAAAAGCGAGAGGAGGAAAATAGTAAGAAAAAAAGGAAACGGGACAAGTTTGATTGGGAGCGGGATATGAAGGGAGGATCTTTGAGCAGTAATAAAGTACAAAAGATTGTGAGTCAGGCCCAGGATATGAGTAGTCGGTTTTCACGGGGGAAGAAAAAGTGAAGAATTGAAAAAGTAAAATGAAAGAGAGAGCTATATAGAGATAATTACAATTATTTATTTTATATATGATACATAGAAGAGGGGGGAAAGGTCCTATTTTTTTTTTTTTTATTTTTTTGAAAAGAAATTTAGAAACGTTCAGCGGTCCAAATGGCAGCTCGACATCCAGCCTTGATTGTTTCTGTAAGAAAGATGTAAGGTACAGCCTTATGGGCATCATGTTGGATGGCTGTGTCAAGATGCTCCAATTCATCATCACGAAACTGTTTGATGAGGTGTTTGAAAAACCCTAATTCGGAAGCTTGTTCAATTTCCTCTGGGAAGTTTGTGAGTAACCAGCGAAGTTGTGAATTGTAATGGCCACCAATTACAGTTTCGACTGCTTCTGTACAAGCCATTGCGGCTTGAGTTGAAATAAGGGCAGTAGAGAGACCGACACCAAAGGCAGCAGCACGCCAGAGTGGGGTGAAAAGACTAGGTCGAACACGGTTTTTAACTTGAATGTCATTGAAAGTATTATGATGAAGAATTTCTTGGTCCCACATGTGTTTGATGACGGGTTCAAGGGCCGGGGATTTGCGTTTAAAAACAAAGTGTTGGCCAGCATAGATGTAGTTTGCTCCCAGTTCTCCTGCTTGGTCTACACGAATGATTTTGTCTAAAATTGATTTTTGTTCCTGGGTCAGGGGCTTTTTAGGGGCAGCAAGAATACGTTTTGCAACGGCTGCAAAAGCAGCAGTAGCTTGATGAGCTGACATTAGAAAAAAGTAGGAATTTAAGGAAATGATTTAAAGAAGAAAAAGTAAATGAATGAATGAAGTTTTTGTTTGTTTGTTTGTTTGTTTGATACGAATTGATTAAATGAAATGGACAGACAGAAAAAAAAAAAAAAGGTGAGTTTTTTTTGTGATTTTTTTTATTTTAAATTATAAAATTTAAATTTAAACTTAAAAAACCTACAAAATGCACAAAATTAAATATATGGAGTGAGTATCACATAATCACTCCTAAGATACAACAATAACAACAACAATAACGCCTACAACAACAACGACAACCACCGACAACCGTTGAGTTTATGAGTTCATTATTGTACTGCCATCCATCTGTGTTAGCAAATAGACAATCTGGTGAGAAGAGACCGAGAATATCGAGCTTTTAATCAGAATCATATAGATAATTTGCCTCTTTTTTCCTTTTTTTTTTTTTTTTTTTTTTTTTTTTTTTTTATTTACCCTGGTTATTAGTATTCTTCTTCTTTTTATCATTTTTCTTTCTTTCTCTTTCTTCAAGTTCTTTGCGGGTTCCCTTAAGCAGTTCCAAGTGTCCTATTTTGGCTGCAAGGATTTTCTCTGTTGCTCCTGTAAGGGCAGCTGTGTGTTTGCGAGCAATCTGAGCATCTTTAACTGCGGCACGTTTTTTTGGAGCCAGAGTTTTTGGAGCAGCCTTTTTAGGACTATTTAAAGTGTTAGATTGATATATATAACACTATCAAATATTAGATTAGATGATAACTTACGTTTTACTTGTTTGTTTTTTGATTCTACCAGGAGATTTTGTTGTAGACTTTTTAAGAGATCCTTGTGGCATTTTTTTAGTATTGTTTTTTTTCTTTTTTTTTTTTTTTTTTAAAATAGAATAACAATAAGAAATTAAATATTTATTTAAATTTATTTAAATGAAAAAAAAAAAAAAATTAAAAAATTAAAAAATTAAAAAAAAAATTTGCTTTTAACTACTACTTTATTACTAATCATGACAAATACCCGTGCGGCTCACTTTGCACCGTTCATTTCACTTTTTTTAAAAAAAAATTTTTTTTTTTATTTTTTTATTTTTTTTTTATATCGTGAAAAGCCATCAACCGGTCTTTTTCGTTCCTGGCTTTTAGTGTGTGTGTGTATGACTGAATTTATAAAATAAATAAATAAATAAATAAATTTTTTTATTTTTAAAAAAATTCTCCCTTTTCTTTCTTTCTTTCTTTCTTTCTTTCTTTCTTTCTTTCTTAAACTATCACCACCACAACAACATTAACATCTAACAATCAATCCATCCCTTCATCCTTCCATCCACTACCTTTAAAAGGTCAATCTCTTCCTCCCTCCTCTAAGATGACCCTAATTGCCCTCCCAGGCCCTGTTGCCTACTCGCCCTTTCGCATCACTTCTCTCATCAACCACATCAATACAAGCTTAAACTCTTCAGCTGTCGTCGCTATTAGATCCGTCTATGTCCACTATGCTGATATCGCACCAACTTCTTCAATTCTCGATAACTCTAACAATGAAAAACTAGCTCTCCTTAAAACTCTCCTCGAATACGACTCAAAGCCTGACCTCTCTGACACTCTTACCCAGGCTCTCGTTGATTCGATATCATCTTCTTCAGACTCACAGAAATCAATCCTCCCAAATCAACCCACAAAGGACGACTCTTTAGAATCTTCAACCCTCCCAGAAAATACTTACCTTATCAGAGTCATCCCCCGCCCAGGAACTGTCTCCCCATGGTCCTCCAAAGCTACAAACATTGCCCAAGTCTGTGGCCTCGCTGATGACGTTCTCCGTATCGAACGCGGCATCGACTTCATCTTCCAGGTCCGCAAAAGCTTCCCCTTTGAAGAGTACCTTAAATCAGGCGTTTTCCTCGATTACGTCTACGATAGAATGACCCAGTACATTCCTCTAACCAAACCTTCCAGCAATGATCTCTTTGCTCATCACTCTCCTAAACCCCTTGTCCATGTCCCCCGTAACGGCATCCCAGAAGCAAACAAGACTCTCGGCTTAGCCTTGGACCAAGCTGAAATCGACTACCTCGTTGATTCTTTCCCCGCTAGAGAACCAACCGACGTTGAGCTCTTCATGTTTGCCCAAGTCAACTCAGAGCACTGCCGTCACAAAATCTTCAATGCAGACTGGATCATTGACAATGAGCCTAAACCATACACCCTCTTCAAAATGATTCGTAATACCCATAACACAAACCCCCAGTATACCATCTCCGCATACTCTGATAACTCTGCCGTCCTCCAAGGTGCAAAGGCTTACTTCTTTGCCCCAGACCCTCAATCCCACATTTATTCAATGGACCCGGAAACACAGCACTTTTTGGCTAAGGTCGAAACCCATAACCATCCAACCGCTGTCTCCCCCTTCCCAGGCGCTGCAACCGGCTCTGGTGGTGAAATCCGTGACGAAGGTGCTACTGGCCGTGGCTCCCGCCCCAAGGCTGGACTTGCTGGCTACGCTGTCTCTGATCTTCTTATCCCAGACTTTAAACAACCTTGGGAACTTGACGTTGGCAAACCAGCTCACATCTCAAGCGCCTTAGACATTATGCTCCAGGCTCCCATTGGTGCCGCCTCATTTAACAATGAGTTTGGCAGACCAAACATTGCTGGTTACTTTAGAACCCTCACAACAACCGTCACCAATGCCGCCGGCAAACAAGAAATCCGTGGCTTCCACAAACCTGTCATGGTTGCTGGTGGTCTCGGTACCGTTAGACCCCAGTTTGCTCTCAAGGATCGTGGCATTAACCCAGGCTCTGCAATTATTGTCCTTGGTGGCCCTGCAATGCTTATTGGTCTTGGTGGTGGTGCTGCCTCCTCAGTTGCCTCCGGTGATGCTGCTGCCCACCTCGACTTTGCCTCTGTTCAACGTGGCAACCCAGAAATGCAACGCCGTGCCCAAATGGTCATTGATTCCTGCGTCGCTCTTGGCCCTGCAAACCCTATCCAGTCCATCCACGACGTTGGTGCAGGTGGCCTCTCCAACGCCCTCACCGAGCTTGTCCACGATAATGACCTAGGAGCAAAATTCGAGCTTCGTGACGTCCCCAGCATTGAGCCCGGCATGTCCCCCATGGAAATTTGGTGTAACGAGGCCCAAGAACGTTACGTCCTTGCAGTCGCCCCCAATGACCTTGAGGCCTTTGAAGCTATTTGCAAACGTGAACGCGCCATTTACGGTGTTGTTGGTCATGCCACTTCTGAAAAGCGCTTGATCCTTACTGACCGTCTCCTCGGCTCTACCCCCATTGACATTGAAATGTCTGTGCTTTTTGGTAAACCCCCTCGCATGGTTCGCAACACCACAACAAAGCCCCTTAGACTCTCCCCCTTTGATCACTCCTTGGCTGCTTACAATGTCTCCCCCGTTGATGCTGTTTCCACCGCTCTTGAGCGCGTCTTGTCTCTTCCCTCGGTCGGCTCCAAGTCTTTCCTCATCACCATTGGCGATAGATCTGTTACTGGCCTAATCACCCGCGACCAAATGGTTGGCCCTTGGCAAACCCCTGTCTCTGATGCTGCAGTCACCCTCTCCTCATTTGGTGTCCGCCACGGTGAGTCCTTTGCCTGCGGTGAGCGTCCCTCTTTGGCTTTTATCAACCCTGGCGCTTCCGCTAAAATCGCTGTCGCTGAATCTCTTCTTAACCTCTACGCTTCCGATGTCCAGGATCTCCAACGCGTTCGTCTCAGTGCAAACTGGATGTCAGCTGCTTCCCATGAAGGCGAGGGTGCCGCTCTTTACGAGGCCGTCCAGGCCATTGGTCTCGACCTTTGCCCTGCCCTCGGCGTCTCTATCCCCGTTGGCAAGGACTCCATGTCTATGAAGATGAAGTGGAACGGCCGTGAAGTCACTGCTCCTCTTACTTGTAACATTACTGCTTTTGCTCCCGTTGACGACGTTTCCCGTACTTGGACCCCCCAGCTTCAGCGTATCCAAGACTCCAGCCTTGTTTTGGTTGACCTTGGTCTTGGCCAAAACCGTCTTGGTGGCTCTGCTCTTGCCCAAGTCTTTGGCCAAGTCGGTAATGAGGCCCCCAACGTGGACGATAATTCTCTTCTCAGAACCTTCCTTAAGACTCTTGAAAAACTCCACAAGACTACTAATCTGGTCCAAGCTTACCACGACAGAAGTGACGGTGGTCTCATTACCACTCTCCTCGAAATGGCTTTTGCCGGCCGCGTTGGGCTCGACATTAACCTCGAAACCTCTTCTGGCGATGCTATTTCTCAGCTCTTCAATGAAGAGCTTGGTGCTGTTTTCCAAGTGACTGACGCTAATGAGTTTATTACTCTTCTTACTGAAGAAGGCATCCCAGCTCAAGCCATTTCCATTGTTGCCCAGGTCAATACTCAAAAGGAACAATACGTTAACATCTCTTACGGTGGCTCCCGCATCTACTCCAACAACAGAGCCACTCTGCAGCAGGTCTGGTCCAGCACCTCCCACCGCCTCCAGCGCCTTAGAGACAACCCAAAGTCTGCCGACCAAGAGTTTTCGAACATTCTCGACAACTCCGACCCTGGTCTCTCTTTCAAGTTAACTTATGATCCTACTGAAAATATTGTCGCCAATCTCTTGCCCCAAAAGCCCCGTGTCGCTATCCTCCGTGAACAGGGCGTCAATGGTCACAATGAAATGGCCTACGCCATGATGCTTGCAGGCTTTACTCCAGTCGACGTTCACATGTCGGACCTTGCTGCCGGCCGCTTTGATCTGGCTGACTTTGTTGGTCTGGCTGCTTGCGGTGGCTTTTCTTACGGTGATGTTTTGGGTGCCGGTGCCGGCTGGGCCAAGAGTGTTTTGTACAATACCGAGCTCCGCACTATGTTCAAGCACTTTTTTAACGACCGCAAAGACACTTTTGCTCTTGGCGTGTGCAACGGCTGTCAGTTCTTGTCCCGCCTTAGCAGCATCATTCCAGGCGCTGAAAACTGGCCCCTGTTTGAGCGCAATGCCAGTGAGCAGTACGAGGCCCGCACTGTCATGGTCGAGGTGGTTGACGATGCAACCAACTCTGCTCAGGACCAGCCCTCCATTTTCTTTTCTGGCATGCGTGGTTCGCGTTTCCCCGTGGCAGTGGCCCATGGCGAAGGCCGTGCGTCATTTGAGTCGCCTGAGGCGGCCAAACAGTTTGCCAAAGATAACCTCACGGTGCTGCGCTTTGTAGACAACTACGGCAAGACTACAGAACGCTATCCTTACAACCCCAACGGCTCACCCGAAGGCATTACAGGTATCCGCACGCCCAATGGTCGTGTGCTGGCTTTGATGCCTCACCCTGAGCGTGTCACGGTGCTTGAAACTAACTCATGGTACCCAGACAATGTGGCTGAAGGTCCTTGGCTTCGTCTGTTCCGCAACGCTCGCAAGTGGGTTGCTTAAGTTTTGGGGGAGGATATCTTAGATGCTTGGGAAAAAATATGTGTGTGTGATTTTTTTTTGTAATAGACAGCTTGCCTTTTTTTTTTTTTTTTTTAAAAAACAAACTAAAAAAAAAAAGTACTTGATTTAATTTATATATAAATGTTTATTTTTCAGTGATACAGAATAATATAATGCTTTTAAAATGATAACCAGATATAGTATTGATTGAATTATTGAGTAGATATTTTTTTTTATTTTCCTTTATTTCAAACTGTTTAAAGATTACAATATTGTTAATTATAAAAAAAAAAACAATTTAAAGTATCTCGATTTGATTTTAATTTTAATTCTTTACGGAATAGCGCGTAGAGTGTGAGACGATTTGGTACATGAATTGACTTTTTCAAAAAAAAAAAAAAAAAAAAAAAAAAACAAATAGGAAGAAACTCAATTTGTCAAAAAAAAAAAAAAACGGTGATAAACGGTGATAAACTTTTCAAATTTATTATTTTTTTTTCATTTCAATTTGATTTTTTTGATAAAAAATAAAGATAAATTTTTGAATAATAATTATAAAATAAAAGAAATTCCTTGTTCTTATTTTTAAAATAAATACAACAACAACGCTTAATCATGGGCTTTATAGTAGTAATAGCCTGTATATAAACAAAGACTTTTTTTTCCATTAGTTTGGCTAAGCTGATGCTGCTACTCGTATAGAGATTTATATCTTGATGTGGGGGAGAAGGAGAAAGAAAGTTGAGATTTATGCAAGCCATATATATTGCAAAATGCAAATTTTAAAATGGCTAACAATTGTTGTTAATTATTATGTTTATTATAAGTATGTAGATTGATTAAATGTCTACACAAGTGTAGTTTTTTTTTGATATATAAATAATTAATTATTAACAAAACCACTTGTACAAGTGTAGACATTCATACTATTAAATTATATAATTTCTTGGCCATAAAAAAAAAATTAGTTTGCTAAAAAAAAATAAAAATTTCTAAAATGAGTATTTCTTTAATTAGTATCACAAGTATGGACTAAAAGATTAATTAATCATAAGTAAAGACTAATTAGTTTTTTTTTAATAATATTTATATAATTGAGTAATAATTTATAAGTTAAACGACAGTTCTTGGAGGGAGACTATTGAAAATATTGACCAAACTTTTAGAGAATTTGCAAAAAAAATTTTTTTTCAGTATCGTGACATTATATTATGATATTTATTAATTTTTAATGTATTTTTTTTTTTCATTTGGAATATTTAATATTTAATAACGATATTCAATTACTTGTATTCACTGTAAAAGCATTCAATCTTGTCTTTAACTTCAGTGCTTGTTTTTTTTTTATAATCTTTTCCAATCTAGAATTAGTTCAAATCTTTCTTTTTTTTTTAGTTGTACCTGAAGTAGGTGTATTTTAAAAATTCTTAACTACCTATGTAGTAACATATCAGGCATTGCAATCTTGAAGAAAGAAATGTAAAGTCATATTGAAGTCATTGAACTTACTGAAAAAATGCCCATTTGCTTTAAAATATTTGTCTATTAAACAAAACTGTTATTAAAAAGTCTAAGTCTTTACATTAAAAAAAAAAAAAAAAAAAAAGGATTCCGCAAGGTTTTTCCCCTTAGAGACTTTATCTTTTCCCCGTGTTGGGATGGATAATTCTCACCAATAGATCTAATGGTGGTCGGTTATAGATGGTAACAAAGCCAGGTTTCTTGATTAATGACTTTTTCCCCATCAAAAAGTCTATTAATTTTGCATACCTGAAATGCCAGAATTGTTATTATATATAAATAGCCGAAAGGTAGTTTTTAATAATGCACTTTTTTTTTTATCTTTTCTTTATTCTTTTCATAACCATTTTATTTGTATTAAAAAAAAACACCAAAATTTAAACCAGAAAAACAAAAAAAAACACCCCGAAATGACTTTAAAAATACTTTTGAATTAACTCATGAAAACTGTCTTTAGAAATCACACCGTTCTGCCGTGCAATTTGCGTTCCATCTTTGAAAAAATACGCCGCACCAATGTTTGGTCCTGTTTTGCTAGCACAAAACTCGCTGTCAAACACCTGGTCAAAAGATGCAAACTTGATTGATGGGAACTCTGGGGGGAGTTCTTCCTTAAACGGAACAATAAACTGGGTTATTGGTACCTGTGACGAGCGGCGGAAGTAATACACTATGGCGTTCCCCGACGCTGTGAAGTCGTCAACTTCCTTTTGTGAGGAAAGCTTTTGAAATGTCATTTTTTTTTGTTATTGTTGTTGTTGTTATGATTGCACGTATAAAAGAAAAGGGATTTGGAGGTGTGGGCAGATGGAGAGATAGGATTCGTCAGTAAAGGGGAAGGGAGAAAAAAAAATAATAAAAAATAATAAAAAATAATAAAAAATAATAAAAAATAATAAAAATATAAAAAATAATATTTGTAGATAGACAGACAAAAATACTTCAACTATTTTTTTTATATATATTTAGAAAGTACTTGTAAGCGAATTGGGTACTATTGAAGTTAAAACACCTTTTAATACTGCTAGACACTAACCAGCTACAAGAAATGACCGATCGGGTGTTTTCCTATTCTACAAAGTCTCAATTTCATATCGTGAGAAGTTTTTTTTGTTTTTGTTTTTGTTTTCCAAAGATTACCGGCCTAAAAACTGAAGAAGAAGGTGTCTCGTAAAAAAAAAAAAAGTTCTTACTGATAAGCTAACTTTTTGTGTTATCAACCAGCTTTGTTAAATATATATCCTTTTTATCATCAAACAAAGTGGAAAATCCACATACCATTTACATCAACAACCGATCGCCGACTTTTGAAGTAGCTAAAATATATCGTGACAAAGAAATGCACTGGTTTATGAAGTTACAACCAGTACAACGCACCATTCTTATCGAAAAGAAAGAAAGAAAGAAACAAATAAATAAATAAATAAATAAATAAACAATAAATTGACTCTACTGTTGACACGCAATCGTGAAAAAAAAAACTGCCTTGAACGACTTTAAATAAATGTCTTTGTACTTCAGCCAATGCTTGTCAGTTTAACAAATGATAACTGCTATGTATCATTTATTAATTGCATTCCAGGCTCAAAATGCAATGCAAAATTTCAAAAAAAAAAAAAAACAAGTTCACCAAATTCGTCTTATTTTAGAAAATCAGCCAAATTTATTAACGATATTGCTTAGATCCAACCATCGTGAAAACAAACGAAAAAAAAAATGGTGCATTGAGTAATTTGTTAGTAAGATGTTACACTATTAAAAGTTGTAACTATACTGTTTTATTTTTATCTCTTTTTTTTTTTGCTTGTGACATAACTAAGTTATTGAAAATATTTTCTTGGTTTATGAAAAATTATACTTATCAAGCAACATTTACAATATATTGAACTGAATTGCATTTCAGTTCTTATTTGTTGTCATAGTTTTAATTTTTTTAATTTTTTTAATTTTTTTAATTTTTTTAATTTTTTTAATTTTTTTAATTTTTTTAATTTTTTTTTTTTTTCATAAAAAAATTCTGTGAAAAATTAACATGTTAATCCAAGATTCAATTTGAATTTGAAAATTTTCAGATTTGCTAAAATGACTAAATCTGGAATTTGATTTCTTTTAATTGTGAATCTTATAATAAATTATACATTTTATACATGTGTCTAGACTCATTCTTCTGGAAAATTAAATAACAGTTTTTCTGGAGTTAGCTTTTTATTTTGAAAATAAGTTGTTCAATGGAATGGTCCGTTTATCAAATTCAAATATGTTCATTAGATTGGTGAAATTCAAAGTTTTTTTATATAAATTTATGAAATATTATGGGAAGGGTATTTTTTTTCTTTATTGCAATTTAAACAAAATTAAATATACTATCGTGCCGGTTCCAAAAAACATGCGGATGATATTCAAAGCCGATTCAAACAAGTACCCTTCTTACACTTTTATTTCAGGTATTGATTCTGGAATTGTCCACTTTCTTTCCTAGTCTCTGTATATGATTTCATTCTCTCTTTAGTTAAATACCAGATTTTTTCTAGATCAAATAATATTTGGAATTTATCAAATAACCTACCAATTCAATTGTTGACTGCAAAGTTCACTGTTAAGTTAAATTAAATCTTCCGTATTATATAGCTAAATACTTAGATAGAGAATGAGAAATAAAAGAACTTCTTGTAAACTAAAATGTGTAGCAGCATGCTTGCTGATGAAAAAAAAAAAAAAAACAGAGATAAAGACAGAAACAGAGACTTTACAAAAACAGAGACTTTACAAAAACAGAGACTTTACAAAAACTCGGTAATCTCTAATCTGTGTGGTTTGTTGTGCACAAAGCTTACCAATTGTCTTTCAACATGTTCATTCACAACATATAAATGAAACTTGTTCTAATTCAAGTTTGTTTTCACCAGAACTTTCATTGTAATCTGCATTTCTCATATATTGATCATTGTGATGTAAAAAATTTGAATTCTTCTTTTTTTTTCCAAGCCAGTTTCAAAAAGGAATTAATATCAAGTCAATTATAAGTAAACCAATGAGGGGAAATAAATAAATAAATAAAAAAAATAAAAAAATAAAAAAAGGGGGGGTTATCTCTTACTGATTTTCAATCGCAAGTTATTCTCAATAGAGAACTGCAATATTTTCAGGAATTTTTTTCCGACTTTCTCCCATATTGGTTGTTTTTATACTGTTATTAAATTGTCAAAAAAAAAATTCCTCATAAATTTCATAAAAGTTACATCTATTTAGCAGCATCGCGGACAACTGTGTGGCGAGTACATGAGCGGATCCAACGTCTACGGCGCAACCATATAACATTACACTCATTACTAGCCTTTGGTGTTGAAGCCACCTGTGAAGAAGATTCTGTCAGCCAAGAGAAATATTTGCTTGATTCTTCTTCATTAGAACCTCCAGTCGGCTTCCCATCTGCACTTGAGTCAGACTTCTTTGACGGTTTCTTTTTGGAATCCTTTTTGGCATTCTTATTATTAGGAAGACCATCGGTTTCAAGAGTAATAGGTATCTGATCATAAACCCATTTTTCATCATCGTCAACTGCAATTGTCCCATCCTCCGAGTATATAATTTCGCTTTCCTCTCCCTCCGAAGTTCTATCGGCTTCTAGTTTTTCAAACTTGATACCTCGAGCAGAAACCCATTCCACAGCCTTCATATCAAGCTTCCACTGAGTCCCAGGAATAAATTGCCAAAATGGTGGGGCCAAAACTTCATTCAGTTGTACAAGTCCTGGAAGAATAAAGGGATCACTGGCAGCTGCTGCTGCTGCACTGGCAGCTGCTGCTTCTGCTTCAAGCTTGTCTTCATTCTCATCAGCCTCTTCAGCCTTATCAGAATCGTTTGATGAAGATGAACTAAGTGTAGCCAATATTTGCTGAAGCTGAACTTGTTGCGAATTAGATGTGTACACGGTGGAAATTTTGACACGAGGAAGGCATGACTGAGTGGAATACAATGACGGTTCCCAATTGCTGTATCTGATTCTTTTCTTAGATGCCTCAAGTTTTTTTCCAGTTTTAACTTCGCTAATGGGCGCTCGGCCTCGAGCAAATTGAATTTCGAAAACCTCTACAGTTCTCTGTTCATGAGGTTCTTTTGAGTTGAACTCAGCATAAGCTGTAGTATGTATAGCTGTCCAAAATTCATTGCTAATAGGGTTGAGAAACAAAAACCGTAAATTAGATGATAAGAAAATTTCCTGAGCTTTAACAACAAAATGTCTTCCAAATAAAAGTGTCTGCTCAAAAACACTTTTGGGCCCATCATCGATTTTAGGAACCAATTTAGACGTCTCATTACCGAGTTCTTCAGGAACCTTTTCCTGTGGTTCTTCTTCGATTTCTGATTCAGAATCTTCATCAAGATCGCTATAATCTATGATATCTTCTGTTAATTCATCAACGTCTTCTGGATGCTTAATTTCAATATTGTTCAAGTTTTCTTCTGAATCTTCTAAAGGCAAGTCATGCTTAGAACTGTGTCCGCTAAAAATATTGTCCAAAGAAAATGATGATCCACTATCACTGCGTCGGTTTTTGATTTTGCTAACCACCTTTTTAAATGTCTTTTTGCCTTGTTCTTTGGTCTTTTTAAATTTCTTCTTAATTGGCTTAATGACCTTGTTATGGTCATACCCAGGATGCATTCTAATTGAAGCACCCCAGCCAATGATGAGAAAAACAACTTTCCATGGGGTATATTTAATAATTAATGGTGTGAAAATATAAGCAAATAAGGCCCCTGCCATTAAAAAAATGTAAATCAAGCAGGATGTTGTTTCATCCCCATCAAAAAATGCAAATCGTTTTAAAAACGCTAAAACAGAATCAAAGCCATCAATGTATAAAACCATTGCATTTTGGGTATCCACCATATTCATGAAAAACTCGCGTGAAATTTCGGGAACAGGCTTGGGGATTATGGGTTCTCCAAGAGGAGGTCCTGGTGCAATAACCGGACTTGGGTTGTGGTGGATCAAGACATCTGTTGCAGTAGAATTGTGGGTAATATAATTTGCTCTTGCAGAATTGGAAGATGAACTAGAGGGCGAATTATAAGTTGGATTTGATAAAGAATAATCCGCGGGTGAAATAACGCTTAAAACCTTACTTTCTATAGTTGGATCAGGATCAATAATTGTTGGGTCAGGCGGATGTCGGTAAACGTAAGATGGGACCATGAGGTATGCGAGAATAAAAATGAATGGTAAAGTGGGAATCAAGCGAGGGTTCAAAACCACAATGGTATATATCCCCAAGATTGAAATGGTATGCATAGGGCACTCCCAAGTAGCAATGCGAAGAAATGAGTAATAAGCTTCAAAAACAACCCCTGTTCTAGCCGTCATATTGCTGAAATTTCTGCCCATTACTGGGATGCTAAAAGCTGGGTTGGATTTCATATAAACTGCGCGTCGTTCAGCATCTGCCATATTAAGAGAAGACGTAGGGAGGGCTGCAGCCACCAGCTTATCGATTAGCTTATCAGTCATAGATGATGAAGATGGTTGATCCTTTTTAGATTCTGGAGGCGCGGGTTTTGTTTCCGGGGTTTGTTTGTTGCCTGTTGGAGAAGAAGAGGCAGCCCGTGCCACAGATGAAAGACTTTCATAAGCAGAAGAGGGGTTATGGGTAGGTTGGGGCACAACAATACTGGCTTCTCCGGCTGCAAGTGAAGAATGGACCTCTTTTTTGTAAAGACTATTCATAATTTTGTTGAGCTTGCTGGGCTTTCCAATTGTGTCAGGATCTGATCTACTACGAGTATGTGTTAATGAGTGATTGTTCGGAAGCCCTTTAGATGCTAGTTCTGATATTTTGGCATGATCTTGTATTGTTGGTGGAGCAACGGTATTAGTATTTTTTAGTAAAGGTGGAGTAAGGGAGCTGAAAGAATGGGGAAATTCTGAATTGATACCAGCAGTGCTTGGAACTCCAGAGGGGAATTCAGGAGATAATGTAGTAGCAGGGGGGTTTAAAAGCCAATTTGATTTGGAAGATATTTGCGGGGTGCTGGATGAAAAAAGAGGAGATGATGATGATCCATTCAAATCGTTTTGCGGGAATGAAGTGGGTATGGATGAGTTAGACGAGAGACGGCGCTGTTGAAAAGATTCATGGATAGATGAAGTAAGAGTTGGTTTCAGAAGACTAATGGAACTTGTAGCAGAGACATAATTTGAGGAAACTGCGGTAGTTGGGGTTCCGTCTGTATCAATAAAAGATCCCCAGTTTACTCCAGACCGTATAGAGGAGTTGGAGGAAGAATTATTAGGGTCTGCATGTTCCTTTTTGGAATCCGATAAGTTATTCATAGATGCAGATTGAGATAATCAGAAACCCTGAAAAAATTTGCAAAAGAGAACAGATATATATATAAAGGTATTCGAGCAATTAGAAAAAAAAAAGGAATAAGAAATTGGCTACTTTGGGGGGATATGGAAAGAAGACAAAAAAAAAATAACGCTCCGAGCCAAATGGTTTGCGTAAACCAAACGACTCCAGCGCAAACTTAAAAAAAACCTAAGTAGAAAGTCTAGGAAAGTTATGCAAGCTAAATTTTATTTGGTTTTAAATTTTAAAAGGCTAGGGTTTGTTCTATTTACTTTTTCATTGTTTTGATTTATCCCTGATTTTTTCATTTTTAATCTCGGCTTTTTTTCATCAAGCACAATGATCCCTGTACCATCACCTCCTCAAGACATTATATCATCAGTACGATTAGCTCCTGAAGGCTCTGTATTGCTCACCACATCATGGGATAGTACCTTAAGAATATATGATGTTCGTCACAAGACGTCTCATGCTTTATATAGTACCATGCCATGGGACAATGTGTTGCTAGATTCCGTTTGGGATACGACACAGGATAACAGACTGGCTTATGTTGGAGGATTTGGGAAGAATGTATATGGAGTGGATGTGCAGAATGGTAGAGCGTGTCAAGTGGGCCGGCCCCACGAGCAGGCTGTCAAGTCACTGGTTTATCATAAGAGTACTCGAACAGTACTTTCCGGGTCACTGGATAAAACAATTCAACAAATAGATAGTCGGGCATCACAATGGGAGAAATCACCGGTAGTGAAATTGCCGGGTAAAGTAATTTCAATGGATAGTAATGATGCTGATGAAAGCAGCGGGAACTATTTGGCAGTGGCCATGAGTGGAATGTGCGTACAGGTTTACGACATGCGACAAATGAGAGAACCAATGTTGTACAAAAAAACGCCATTTGTTTATCCGATTCGGTCTCTGAGATGCATTTTGCATGGTCTCCCAGGAGTGGGCCCTGGGTATGCAGTGTCGTCGCTAGACGGGAAAGTCACGTTTGGGTACTATCGAGAATCAGACCAAGACGAAGAATTTACATTCAAGTCACACCGAATCCAGATGGAAGGATCCAAAGATAAGATTATGCCAATAAATGCGTTGACAATGCGCCCAGACTCGACGATTTTCTTCACTGGTGGATCTGATGGCCGAGTAATGGCGTGGGACTATGCTACACATAAGCGGAAGGCTTTTGAAAATCATATGCCTGGTGCAGTAGTGGCACTAGATGTGGATCGTAGGACAGGACAGAAACTTGCTGTTGGAGTGAGTGACGATTCATTTCGCGCGGATCCGGTGGGCGCTGGCCAGACTGCGGCGCAAAGCAACTTGTTTATACAGTATCTATCGGACTTGACGTTTTAAAACGTAAACCTGTTGAGATTACATACAAAGTTACATAATAATGGGAAAAGTGCTGTTTTTTTTTAATATGCCGCTGCACAAAAAAAAAAAAAAAACTTCCAGCAGCGTTCATAGTCTGGCTCACGGCACAACGACTGACTGACCTTTTGACCACCAATTTTTTTACTAAACTTTTCCCTTAATCATACGACCGACTGAGGAATAGATCGAGTCGTATATCATTTGTACTGCTAGACTCTTCTTCAGCTTTTAAAGCCATATACTTTTAACAAAGCATGCTTAACAGCCTTGCCTTAGGCGGGCTTTTCAAACAACAACACCCTTTCGAAACTGACAGTCTCAGCTATAGTAGCCAAAGGAGCATCAAAATGCCTTCAAAACTAATGGTGCTTGCCACAATAGTTACGTTGATGGTCTGGCCAGCGACAGCAGCTCGAATATCCTTTTCAAATTGCATCCCTTTATCAGCCGTTGAATCCGGTGTCTATTTTATACCCACGACTGTCGACGCCATATACAAGTCTATCCCCGATCTAAATAAAGGGTCCTTAAACTTCAATATTGAAGGAAACATGTCGACCGCCCTTGAGGATCTTAACCCAGACACAAACAAGTATGGTAAGTTACAAAATAACTAAGTAAATAAAAAAAAAAAAAGCAAGCAATGTGTCTAAATACTAACCTCTGCTCCAGCCACTTTGAGATCGCAACTTAATGCTGTAAATTACCTGCTGCTAAACCAATACTCGCGGCTTTGCCAAAACACAGCGGAGTGCCCCTTTGGTCCTGGTCCTTCTTCATTCAACTACACCTTCAATGTCTCAGAGGTCTACCAAGGCGTTCCCTTTAATGTCCGGTTTGTTATTATCAACTCAGTCGACCAGGCCAATGTTGTCGGCTGCATTGAGACTCAGGTCACCCCTATCATCGCATCATATGCATGGTACGTGGTTGTATTTTGCATCATTGGTATCGCTGTTCTTATAGCCATTTCGTTCGTCATCACTGCATATTTAAACCCATGGACAGGCACCACCAACATCTACTCATGGGCTTCCATCCTTCACCGCGAGGTCAACGTGGTCCGGCTTTTAACACCGGGATTTTTTGACTTTATACATTACTTTCAGTTTGCATTCTTCATCACATGTCTCTCTTTAGAGTATCCCTCCTTTCTTCAGCCTGTTATCTCTACCTTTTCTTGGGTGGTGCTCTTGTTTTCCGAATCGTTTGTTTCACACAATGGTTCGGGCAAATTTGTCGATGGTATCTACGCTACCAATGGCACTTTTGGCCTTGATCGCATGAGCCAGGTTGTCCAGCTGGCCCATGCCAAAGACGTTTGGGCCAGCTTCATGGTTTGGCTTCTTGTAGTCACCGGAGCTGTTCTTGCAATTGGACAACTTGCTATTCTTGCGACTTGGGCTTGGCGCAAATATCGATCGGATACATATGACCTACGCTCCCGAGCCCCCTCGTTTGCATTTGGACTGGTGCTGCGCATCTTTTTCAAGGTTTTCCACCTTCCTCTCCTTGTGTTTTGTTTTTTCCAATGTGTGATTACTCGGCTCAACGATGGTGACAAGGCCACCAGCCCCGCCTATTTGACGGTTTTGGCGACCCTGGTGCTTGTTGGGTGGGTGTTGTTTGCAGCATTTATCAGCTACCACCTTTGGAAACGAGCACAACGGCCAACTATTTTTGATAATGTGTCGACCCTACTTAAGTTTGGCACGCTGTACAATACCTATACCGAGGATTCGGCCATGTTTTTTGTCATTGATTTCGTAACCACATTTTTGCGGGCAATGACAATTGGTGCGATTCAAAGATCAGGGCTTGCACAAATTACACTTCTTGCTGTGATTGAGCTTGCGTATTTTTTTTCAATCATTATTGTGCGACCATTTGACCGACATACTAGTATGAATCTTATATCATGCATCATTACCGGTGTTCGATTTACACTGATTATGCTGTCGTTGCCATTTATTTCGTCAACAGGCGTTTCTGCATTTGTCCGGCAATGGCTGGGATATGTGATTTTGATTTTCCATGCACTTGCCTTACTATTATTTTTAATGCGGGCAATTCAGGTTATTATTGAAGTCATTTCTCGGTATACAGGTGCAGGCATTGAATCAACACGCTCTGGTGCGATTTACAATCTTAAACAGCTATCACGTCGTCGTAGACGGCCTCAGGTGGATATGACAGAGCTGTCAACCTCACCTACGAATGAGAATAAGCAAGGGACACCTCCTCATTCCGACAGTCAAGAGTTTGAAACTGGAAATAATACAGGCGATCAAGAGGATGAAGAAGACTCCAGTGGAAGACGGGCCGGACAGGGTCATGGATTGGATGATGATCAGCAGTTGCATCATACCCTGAGCAAGAATGGCCATAATGGTCCAGCCATAACTAGGGGAGGATATACTGCGGTATACCCGACAGCTGCCAATAGCAGAGGTGACACACTGTATGAAGATGTAATGCTTTCATCGCCAACATCGGACATCTCGTCAGTTGGGGGGTCAATTCGTGGCCACAACAATAATACCAACAATCCAGGCAATAGTCCTGTGGGGTTCACTAGATCATCATCATTTGGTGGTGCTAATGGACAAAACAAGTTTCATAATGATACGGTATATTATCGTCGCCCTCGACGACGTGGAAGTTCACATGATTGGTCATCGAATCCATATGTTCGTGACGAGGAGAACTCTCCGCGTCAAAGCACGAGTCAAAATCGTGGTGTTAATGAGTACGAGTATGATTATGATGATGAGTACGATGAAGAAGCCGAGGCTAGAGGGTCTCGGAAAGCAGCCACAAGCACCGATGCAGACCAGATTCGGATGGGGGTGGTGTCACCTCCTCCCCCCGGTGTTGATTATGCAGTGCGTGAAGCCGACATTTATTACAGACAACGGCGAGAGTATAATAAAAGGCGACGGCGACATAAGAAACTGTCTCGAAAGGGCGCAGAGAATGATGATGATGATGGTAATAATAATAATAATAATAATAATAATAATAATAATAATAATAATAATAATAATAATAATAATAATAATAATAATAAATAACAATAACAATAACGACTATAATGACCAGCACAACAACGGCAAGACTACAACTAATTTTAATTCTACTAATACAACTAATAATGAGCAACATAATAATACCTATATCCAAGGCACACCAGATGAAGGGGATGATGAGGATATGGTGTATCAGCATAGAAACTTGCGGGAGCAGGATCTTCTGCAAAACTATGAGCCGTATGGCGGAGCGGCTGGAGAGCTAATTGGGGGGCTTGAATCACCGCGAAGTGCGCGGCGACGGGCCGGGAACCGGGGTAGCTTTGGGACGAGTGAGTTTGAACAGAGCACGTTGTCGACCCCTGGACGGTTATCATTTGTTCAAACTAATGATGATGGGTTTGGAGATAATAGTGTTCCTGTGGGGAGCTCAAACAAGAGTGGGATGAGTGGGAGTGGGATTTTGCCGAGTGGTCGGCGGAATCGGAGTCACTTGAATTCACTTGTTGGACTTTTAGAGAGTGGAAATGATGAAGGAGGTTCAGGGAAAAGTGGGAATGGTGGAGAAGAGGGGACGAAAAAGAGTCCGAGCAAGTCAATTAATGGGGTTACTGGGTGGCTTTCACGAGTCAAGAATAATATTGGAGAGAAGATTCGTGAGGGGATGGGGAAGAAGGTTGAAGATGATGATCCTTTGAAACCGCGAGGATTTGAGGTGTTGCGTCGTGGGCCAATCAAGTCGTATCGGTCGTCATCTTCTCTTAGCGGAGACTCATTATCGTATGAAGAGTCTGATAAGGATGACAGTGATGGAATTGGTGGCTCGAAGACAGCTACTACAGGTACTACGACCACTAGTAGTAGCAGTCAGAAGGTCAAGCCTATTGATGACGATGTGGATGCAATTGAGCCTGTGAAAGCGAAGAAGAGCAAGTCTAAGCGAAAGAAGACTTCGAAGAAGAGAAAGCGGGACAAAACAGCTCAAGAGCAACAGGAATCTGGGGTTTCCGTTTTGGCATCTGAAATGACAGGGACCAATGCTGAGAGTATGACTGAGGGGTCTACTGCTGCTAGTACGACACAGGATCTTAGAGATGATGACGATAAAGAGTCACCATTTCGGGATTCTGTTGAGACTAGTAGGACAGAAGAGGATGAAGAGGAGGAGGGGAAGAGTAGCACGTATGGTGCGGTTCTTACGAGAAGTGGGGATGGAAGAGGAATTGAGGGTCGGCCAGAGTCTGGTGTTTCGTCATTGACACAGGGAGATGATTATTATGACGATGGAGTGGCTCCTCCTGAATCAACGACGTTATTATTACGAGATGATGAAGATAAGTATGAAGGACCTAGTGAAAGGTATGAAGCAGGAGTACGGACGACTCATGATGGGTACATTGAAGCAGGAGATTTTATTTTCCCGAGATCTACGGCTACAGTGGGGATACCTAGGGATGAAGATGATGAATATGATCGAGCAGATGAGACTGTGATTCTGGATGGAGCTGGAGGAACAGGAAGTCTTTCATTACAGAGACCTGCAGGACCTCAAAGGAACAATAGTAATGTGCCTACTCTTCGGATTCTGACATCTACAGAGGTTTTGCAGCATGTGCCTTCGAGTACGTCTGGTACTGTTGAAGGTCCAGTGCTTATTCGGCGGGTGACTGGAGATGATGAAACTGGAGGAGAGCTGCAAGTTCCGCATGTTGTTGCTAATAAGCGGAGTAAGGATGATTTTAATTTCTTGTGAAAAATTATATATATTGATGATTGAACAAATGAATTGATGAATGAAACATGGAGAAGTATTATGAATTAGAATTATTAAAAGGAAGTTTAAGTTTTTTTTTATTGATATTTTGATACTTTGATTGTTTTATATATATTATATTATTATATCTTGTCTTGAATACCTGACCTTGTGTAAGGCCCATATTATCCATTATTTGGTGATGTTGACATGAGAAGGGCTGGTGGAGTTCTTTTTGTACGTAGCGGAAGGATTGCCGCATTGGAAGTTAATAGGGGATTAAAAAATGAGCCCCATGATACCTTATTAAGAAGGAGATTGTGTATTTCTTGACAGTGATTGATGGTGTGTTGGCCACAAAAAAAAAAAAAAAAGGCCGCCCGTCAGCCAGTCAGCCAGTCAGCCGGGGGAGGGGCAGCCCAACAAAAAATGAATGAGAGAGACATTCCTTGTTTGTTTGTTGTCAAAAGGCTAATCCGGGACCCCTGCATAATCGCAAAAGCATCACCCAGATTTGGAAGCAAAAACAAAAAAGCGGCTTTTGAAACTATTTTTTTTATTTTAATATTATTTTCTAATTTATTTTTAAAAAAAATAAATAAAATAGGGGCCTATCAATAAGAATTGGTTAAAGGGTGAGAAAAGAGGGTAGTGGTGATGATGATGATGATTATGGTGTTGATTTCCACGTGACTGTACAAGTGGAGGAGAGAGGAGTGGAAAAACTTAAAGTTGAGTCCTTGAAGGTATTTTTTTTAAAGGGGGGGGACAGGTGGCGGCGGCAGATACTCATGAGGAAAGGGACGAGAATTGGAACGGGAAAAGGCGGACGAGAAGAAATGTTATTAAGATTATGGTAAGAATGGCTTTTTTTTTGTTTTCTTTCTTTCGATATGATTGATATTGTGATCTGGTGCTACTACTATTACTACAGGTCTCAGTGATATATATATATATATATATATATATATATAATTTTTAGTATAGGAAGAACACGGGAATGTTAAAAAGGGAATGGCGTGGGAGAACCAACAAAAATAAAATAAAATAAAATAAAATAAAGGGCGTGCTATTTGGTTGGACGTGATGGGTCGTGGTGGGCCGGTCGGGACAGCAGATTGGGTGCAAGTTGGAATTTGAACAGAATGAGTTGTGGTGGTTGATTTTCGGTCGGATGTTGGTTGATAGTGGCCATTGTTTGGCACTAACTGTGACTGATGATGGGTGAGGGAGGGGGGTTTGGTTTGGTTGAGATACAATTAAGGATTGATTTTTGGATTTTCATTATTGTTATTGTATTTGAAAGATTCATTGCATTGCATATGATTTCAATTTCAATTTCAATATATTTCAAACTTTTCAATAGGTTGTATATTAATGTTTGTGATAATAATTTTCATGTTGATATTTTTGTCATGTATAGGGGGCCCAGCTTTTTTTTTTTTTTTTTTTTTTTTCTTTCAACAATTCAATTTTACAAAGCCTACAGACATTCCTTTCCGAAAAAATCTTCTATATATAGAAACCAAAAATAGGAAATTTCTCAATGGGCAATTGAAGATGATTAGAAACAATTATTCCATCAATCTAATTGTTTACTTGAAATATCATTACAGTCCATTGTTGATTTTAAGCTCTGCTGGTGCTGGTGCTGGTGCTGGTGCTGGTGCTGCTGTGATAGTGGCCTGTCATTTGGGTGGTCTCTCATTTGTCTACGATTTTATCAAAATAAAAATAAAATAAAATAAAAATAAAATAAAATAAATTAAATTAAAAAATAAAAATAAAAATAAAAAAAAAAGCCCAGAGTGCCACAACATGTTTTGGTGTTGTTCACCACCACCTTTGCCTTGTTAGAAATCTCATCAGTTAATAATATAATTTTTTTTTTGCTATGTATATATAAACCTTCCATTCTTCCCTATTTTTTTTGTTTTCTATTTTAATCTTTTTACATTTTTTTTTCTTCCTTTCTCTTTCTCTTTTACTTTTTTTTTTCTTTTTTTCCTTTCTTTCTTCATCTTCTTTTAATATCATCAATTAATTCTATTATAATCTTTTACCCATATCACAATGGCCGCTGCTACTGCCGCTCCCAAAAAGCATCTCAAAAGTCAAAGCGCCTTTGTATGTTTCTTTTTGTTCTTATCATTCCTTTTTTTAAACTGCCTTTCCTCCCCCCTTTTTTTTCTCTTCTAACTCTTGCTATTTCTTTTAGGCTTTCGACAATAATGCCACTACAGTGGCTGCCAGCCACATGCGCAATGCTCTCAACCGTCTCGCTGATACCGTTCCTGATGAGGCCGAAAAGCGCAAGTTTGAAAATGAAATGGATAACTTCTTTGCCCTCTTTCGTAGATACCTCACCGACAAGGCAAAGGGAACTACCCTTGAATGGGAACGCATCAACCCCCCTAATCCCAAACAGGTGGTGTCTTATGCCGATATCCAAGGAAATGAAGCAAACACTTCAAACCTCTCCAAACTCGCCGTCCTTAAGCTTAATGGTGGTCTCGGTACTTCCATGGGCTGCGTTGGTCCCAAGTCCATCATTGAGGTCCGCGATGGTAAATCCTTTTTGGACCTTTCTGTTCGCCAAATTGAGCACCTTAATCGCCAATACGACGTTAACGTTCCCTTCATCCTCATGAACTCTTTCAATACGGATGACGATACTCAAACCATTATTCAAAAGTACCAATCCCACAATGTCACGATTAAGACTTTTAACCAGTCGCGCTTCCCCCGTGTCTATAAGGACTCGCTGCTCCCAGTTCCTAAAAACTACAATGACCGCATTGACTGCTGGTACCCCCCTGGCCACGGTGACTTGTTTGAGTCAATTACAAACTCGGGTGTTCTCGACGAGCTCATTGCCGAGGGCAAGGAGATTCTGTTTGTCTCTAATGTCGACAATCTTGGTGCTGTTGTGGACCTTAACATTTTGGAACACATGATTAACACGGAAAGTGAGTACATTATGGAACTTACAGACAAGACCAAGGCCGACGTTAAGGGTGGTACCATTATCGACTATGACGGTTCGGTCCGTCTGCTTGAAATTGCCCAGGTCCCCAAGGAGCGCGTTGAGGAGTTTAAGTCCATCAAGAAGTTTAAATACTTCAACACTAACAATCTTTGGATCAACCTCAAGGCCATTAAGCGCGTCGTTGAAGACAATGAGCTCAGCATGGAAATCATTCCCAATAACAAGTCTATTTCCCTTAAGCCCGGCTCTGATATTGAGGTTCTCCAGCTCGAAACTGCTGTCGGTGCTGCCATTCGCCACTTTAACAATGCCCATGGTGTCAATGTCCCTCGCCGCAGATTCTTGCCTGTCAAGACCTCTTCAGACTTATTGCTTGTCAAGTCAGATCTTTACTCTATGAATCGTGGCCAGCTTGAGCTCAGTCCTCTGCGCTTTGGTGGTGCCCCACTTATCAAGCTTGGTGGCCACTACAAGAAGGTTAGTGACTTTCAAAAGCGTATTCCATACATTCCCAAGATTGTTGAGCTTGACCACTTGACCATTACTGGTAATGTCACTCTGGGCAAGAATGTCACTCTTAAGGGTACTGTTATTATTGTCTGTGAGGAGGGCAAGAAGATTGATATTCCCAATGGCTCGGAACTTGAGAATGTCGTCATTACCGGTAGCTTGTCTATTTTGGAGCACTAAAAGGCTTTTTGAATTTGATTTAAAAAAGTAAGAAAAAAAAAGAATTATATAGGAGAAAAAAGTGTATGTGTAAATTATTATTATCATTAATATCTTGATGTTTTTCTTTTTTCTTTTTTTTTAGACTAAACAATTGTATTTGACATTTAAAGTCTGTATATGAAGACTTGAGTGTTTTGAAGAATGTTTTGCGTGCTTTTTTTTTTTTTTCCTGCCTAAAATATATATATATACTACAGTATTATAATATATTGGCAAGATAACCCACCCAGTTACACACGTTGATACTTTTGATTCTCTGTAAAGTTTAGGTTTGTCTGTTCTTTACCACACAATTAATTTTTTTTTTTTTTCCCTGTACAACCCAAAAAAAAAAAAAAAAAAATTATATAAAATCTAAACTTCAAACCTTCCTATTTACCTTCACCACCACCACCACCACCACTTTCATTTCCACCAAATTTGCACATTTACAATCTTCTCTTTCAATTCCCAATTCATTCCACATATCCCCCTCTTAATATTTACTCGCCACATCTGGACTTTCTTTTTTTCTCATAAAGATCTTGTCTTATCAGGCTCTTCTATCTATATTTCATTCTTGTCCTCAGTAAACAACCTTCTTTAGCTACATTGCTTGTTTTTATTTTTTATTTATTTTTTTTAGTTTTGCCAACTCAGTCTGTTATCGCCACACATTATACCAATGTTTAAAGGCATCCGTTCCGCTTCTCACTCAATCATAAGTACCGTCACCGGAACCGGCACTGGCGCTCCTGAAGACTCGTCGGCATCTGCTGCTCCCGGATCCTCCGGATCCGCTTCTGCAAACGCTGGGGGACATCAGCATATTCATCATCACCATTCCTCGTCTGCGGCTCCCGCCACAAGCTCCGGAACTTCCACTTCACCTAAAGACTTCTCATATGTAGACCCAGAAGGTTTGTATATATATACACATTATTACCACTACCTCAACAATAATTTCATATTCTTTATCACACGTCCTTCCGCTCCTATCTCTTCGTCCTTTCCACTCCCCCACCTACATTCTTTGCCTCCTTTTTTTTTTTTTTTTCTTTCTCTTTGCTTACTAACTTTTTGATATAAAGACATTGATGAAGTTGATGACCAAGGCCAAAACATTCTCATGGGCATCATTTCCCAGCTCCGCTTCGGTTCTGATCTCTCTCGTATCACCCTACCTACCTTCATTCTCGAGCGCAAGTCTATGCTTGAACGTATCACCAACCAGTTCCAACACCCTGATATCCTACTCGAAGCCCACACTACAAAGGACCCTGAAGCCCGCTTCATCAAGGTCGTCAAATGGTCCCTTTCAGGATGGCACATCACCCCCAAGGCTGTCAAAAAGCCCCTAAACCCGGTTCTTGGTGAATACTTTAGCTCTTGGTGGGACCTCTCTAACGGCACACGGGCTTACTATATTGCCGAACAAACCTCCCACCACCCTCCAAAAACCTCCTACTTTTACATTTCCCCAGAAAACAATATTCGCATTGACGGTACTCTCGTCCCTCATTCAAAGTTTCTCGGCAACTCTGCTGCATCCATAATGGAAGGCGTTGGTTTCCTTCAGTTTATGGATATTATTGATTCTAAGACAAAGAATCCCGAACTTTACGAAATTACCCAGCCCAATATGTACGCACGCGGTATCCTCATTGGTAAGCTCAAGTACGAGCTCGGCGACCACTCCATAATTCGGTGCCCTGCTCTTGACTTGGTCGCCGATATTGAGTTCAAAACGAAGGGGTTCATTTCCGGAACCTACAATGCTATCCAGGGTGAAATCAAGCAAATTTCCACCGGCAAGGTGCTCTACGAAATTACAGGAAAGTGGAACGAAATTATGGAGATTCGTAACGTCAAGACCAAGGAAAAGTCTGTTCTTTTTGACACTTTTACTGCTAATCCTCAGCCTACTTCAGTGCGCCCACTGGACGAACAGGGCCACCTGGAGTCGCGTCGGTTGTGGCATAAGGTCATAATAGCTCTTGGCAAACGCGACCACGAAACAGCTACAACTGAAAAGTCCAAGATTGAAGACAAACAGCGCGTGGAGGCCCGTGTACGCGCTGAAGAGGGTGTTGAGTTTCATCCAAAGTTGTTCAAGCCTGTTCATAGCCCTGTCGGCTACCGTATATACAAGGACTTTGATGGAAAGACACCTGCCGAACAAATCAAGCTTGTGGAAGAAATCATGCCCATTCTCCCTGGCCAGAAGTTCCGCGATAACTTTGAAATGCCTGCGTACGAAAAGCACATGCATGGCGATGATAATGCTGACTTGAGGGATGATACTGAAGAAGAAGAAAGTACGAAAGAAGACTGTGAAAGCTGCCAGCAGGAAATATTAAACAAGCAGGGGCCATTGGACCAAACAGAGGATCTTAAGCAGGCATTGCCATGATGCCTTTACTTGTTTTGCAATATATGTGTGTGTTTGTGTGAGATCTTATTAGATCTTATGATGCTTATCTAAATCTATCTTTTTTTTCAATGTGTATTAATAACGGTTTCTTCTTCTTTTTTTTTTTTTAACAATCTAAAATAAATCTATCAGTGTCTAAAATAATTTTTTTCAACTCAAAAAAAATAAAAAAATAAAGAGTTGCACCTGAAGACGCAGAAATGTCTTTATGATTTCCTAGTCTTTGTTTGATGCAGTGAATTTTTGTTATCAGCCGGTTTAGGTGCACTGAGCTTTGGAGGCAAGAACCAGTACAAAGGATATCTAGCATACATGTTTCCAAACAAGCAGGCAATAGAAATGACAATGACACCGCAGATAACCTGGTCAGCCAAATAAAACCAACCCAAGTGGCGAATCTCAGCATTAATCGAGCAGATAAGCGCTGTTGATGCAGCAGCCGGGTGTAATGTATGGGTATGGCTCATAAAGATAGATGCAATTGCGACAGAGAGGGCACCACAGATCCACAAATGAGACTCGCCGGAGGCTCCTGCCAGCAGAAATAGTTTGGTGAGCCCCACGCCAATTACGGCTGAACACAAGGTGCCAAAGAAAATGGCAAATGGTTGACCGAAGGGCGATTCGAGGTAGTTGTTTGTAAGAATCACTGTGGCGGCCTTGTTTTCGTGCGTTAATAAAATTATGACAGAGACAACAATCTATGAAGAAGGACTTATCATGAGGGGACTTACCCAAGGAGGAATGGGGGGTGTGTTGCGGTGACGAAACGGCGCGCCGTACTTCATGACAGCTTGAATTGCAATCATGGTGGTGAATGAAGATAAAAGAATAAAAAAGGACTTGACTACGTCTGAGACTGGCTTAGTGCGGGTGTATTTTTTGCCCAGGAACCAGAGCACGGCGTTGTTGAGGGGCCTTGTGTGTTGTAAAATTAAGTTTAATCTGTCCATAATCATCATCATTGTTGAAAATGTATATATATGCCATATAAAAGTTTATTTCTATTGTTTATTCAATGTATATTATGTTCTTTTATAATTGTTGAAATTAAAAAAAAAAGAGAGAGAATTAGGATTATTGTTGAGGATGAGTTGAAATAGGCATGATTTCTTTTACAAGCTTGATGTCTGAAGATCTCTAAAAAAAGAAGACTTAATAAGAAAAGAAGAAAAGAAAAAGAAGAGGAAGAAGAGGAAGAAGAGAAAGAAAAGGAAAAGGAAAAAAAAAAAAAAACTAATAGAGAAGCTACCTTTTTTTTTATGAAGACAACAAAAACGTGGAATACCACTAAAAATCTTTTAAAAACAGAGGTTTTTAGATACGAAGATTGGCCTTGAGAGGTGTTTAAGCCGCACGAACTGACGGAACTTGAGGAGGTTTTGGAAACACAGAGGTGTTTTTTTTAGAAAAAGAAGAAACGCTAAATGAGCAACTCACTTTTTATCCCGCCGGAGATCCCGATACTTATAGTAGTGGTTAGACCAGTTATGCCTAAAGTTATATACTTAAGTTTTAAGTCCTAAGTGCTAACTGTAAAATTTACACACGTGACTAAATAATAGCCCTATACCAATACGAGCCCTAACCGCTCCTTTTCTAACCAACCAACTAACCAAAAATATAAAGATATAAAATTTTTCTCCATCTTTTTTTCTTCTCTTCTTTTTCTTTCTTTGTTGTTTGCATCAACGACTCTTTTCAACTCCAATTCAGTCCTGTAGAGTATCGACATCACAATATCGACTTTTGTTTTACTTGTAGAAGGTTAGTAGTTTAATTCTTTTTTTTTTTTTACTATTGCATCAATATCTTTACTATTCTCTTTCAATCTATGATGAGCAAAATGTGTCGCCCCAATCCGATATTCCATGACGGATTCGACCAACAACCCTTACTGACATTTGAATATTTGGGAGAACCTTTTTAAAAGCTTTTATTTTAGTCTTATTTTTTTGCTAACTTTATTATAGTATACTGTTTTTTTTGTAATTAATAAATTTCTATTTAAAATTTTTTTTCCCCTACTGTTCCTTTGCTGATGATGTTTTCCAATCTATGCTAACCATGAATCAAACCATGATTAACAACTTTAATGACGTTTAAAAACTGAAGCACTTTTAAGGAATGTGCTTTTTTTTATATTTAAATTCTGTATAAAAATGCTTATGTAATTATAAATAAAATTCTAATAAAGACCACCACACCAAATAACTTCTCTTTCCGCCTATGTGAAAAAACCTCCATCTCATCTTCTCTTATGTGTATCCCTTCTTCTCACTTGTTTCCCTCCACGTCAACAAAGTTGTAAAATGGTCGTCTCTTTGTTTGATTTATACTTTCCTCTGCCATACCGGATATGCGCCACTATCCTTATAGGAATTTATGCTTGGGGTCTCAACGTCCACCTCTTAACTGATGCTCGCATCGATGTCCAGTCTTTGATCAAATATACTCACTACAATGATTCTCGAAGACCCTTCTACCAAGCTATCTACCATTTTGCCTTTGTCCTAACCCTCTACGTGATCATTAGCTGGGGAATTTTTGTCATTGGAGTTAACACAAAAGACCTCGATATCAATGGACCCTCTGCCTCAATCAAGCTCCTCGACTTGGTCCCGGTTCTTACTCTCTTTGGCTTTCTCTTTGCCTTTGTGTATCCAGGGAAAACTTTCCACTACAATGGCCGCCAGCGACTCTTGGGGTAAGATAAAAAGAAATAAATAAAACATTTTCTAACCTTTATTTAATCAGAATCTTTAAGCGCATCATTTTTGGCGGCTTAGACATTGATTGTCGTTTTGCCGATATCCTCATTGCAGATGTCCTTACCTCCTACAATAAGGTTCTCCTTGATTTGGTCTACACCCTTTGCATCTTTTTCTCGGGAAAATCAAGTCTCACAAACCCAAACCGGACCTACGGTGGTGACTTTGTTGCCCCAATCACCATGGCCATACCCTCTCTGATCCGCTTCAGCCAGTGCTCAATTGATTATCTCCGCTCAGGTGCTACCATTCACATTCTCAACTGCATCAAGTATGCTTCCGCATTCCCCATCCTAATTGCCGCCTTACTGCTTAAAAAATCAAAAGATTCCCCAGACCAAGACGCTTTCTTTGACCAAAATTTCTTCTTCAAACTATGGACCCTCGCATCCCTCATCAATTCTACTTATTCCTTTTACTGGGACGTCACAAATGATTGGGGACTAGAACTTTTTGACTCTTTCCCTTCATACCACTATGGTGGCCTGCGCTCTGTCCGCGTCGTTAAGTTCCGTCTCGTTTACTACGCTGTAGTTCTCATCGACTTTACTCTTCGTGCAGTTTGGATTTTGAAACTTACTTACTCCTGGAACGACTTCCCAGATCTTGAAACCGGCCTTTTTATTCTCGAGACTCTTGAAATTTCACGCCGCGCCTTTTGGGTTTTCTTCCGCACTGAAAAGGAATGGGCTTCCTCCGGTACAATCATCAAAGATCACAACATTCAACTACCTTTAACTGAAAGACGATAAAATTTGATTTTTTTCTTATTCTTATTCTTATTCTTATTCTTATTCTTATTCTTATTCTTATTCTTATTCTTATTCTTATTCTTATTCTTATTCTTATTCTTATTCTTATTCTTATTCTTATTCTTATTCTTATTCTTATTCTTATTCTTATTCTTATTCTTATTCTTATTCTTATTCTTATTCTTATTCTTATTCTTATTCTTATTCTTATTCTTATTCTTATTATTCCTATTCTTTTTTTTCTTCTTGTTTTTATAGATATTATACACTTATTTTCTATTTTTTGCACGTTGGCGCTTTTCCTTGTTTCTATTCTTTTCCCGCCGAGCGTTTTGCAGGCGCTCGCTTTTAGTCAAGTACCGCGTGTTTTTGTTTTTCTTTCTCTTGTCTTCCCGAGGTTGTCTCTTATTCTTAAATTCCTTATTCACATCGATTGTCGCCTTCTTTTTGCTCGTTTGATCGTCATCACTATCTTCATCATTTAAACCGAGAGGATCGTCCTCGTCGCGATATATGCTAGGTTCTGGGAATCCGTAAATAGATGCTTGAAGAGCAGCTGCCTTAGCTTTTTGAATGCTGGCTTGAAGCACTTGTTTCGACATTTCAGGGTAAACATAGTTATCTCCAGGTTTAGTGCTAATTGTATTATCCTCCGTCATTTCCTCAATAACGACGGTTGCAGATTCATCATCACTGTCATCACCTTCATAAATCTGCCGCTTTTTGAGAATTCCCGAAACAGACTTTTCTTCACTCTTTTCTCCAATACCTTCCCAATCACTGTAATCAGAGTCGTCTCCATGTTCTGTCTTGTCTTGATTATCTTCCTCATCTTCATCTTCGTCTTTTTTGGTGTTTCCCAAAATTGGAAGTCCTGAGTTATGGTATGCAAGTCTGTAATTCTTCAAGTCTTCCGCCAATTTTGCCTTTCGTTCATCTCGTAGCTATCAAATCGTGTTAATTTCTTTGAACACTACCCTTCAATTTATTAATTATACATACCTTTTTACGCTCTTCTATCCGTGCTTGACGGGCCCGCTTTGCTGCAACTTCTTGAGCCTTTTCTTTTCGTTGGACCTTTCTCTTGTGAAATCCTGTGAGAAACTCCCTAAAAACAACCATTAGCAAGTCTAATCATCTTTTCCCCCCCTTTTACAAGACGTACTTTCGAGCCTCAGAATCATAATCTATCTTTTCAACTCCAGCATTTTTGGCTGACTTCTTTTTGGCATAGACATCTGTGCCTCGCGACAGTAACTGCCTATTTGTTCTTATAGGACCCATTTTTGTAATAATGATTCGAGTACTTTGAATCAAAGTGGAATGGAAGAAAAAAAAATTTAATACCTGTAATAAAATTTTTTTTCGTGCTGAAAATTAGGCCTAACCCATGTATTAGATAAGCTTATAAACGATTCCATGATCTTTGATTGCCATTTTTCAGCTTCTATCATTATCCGTACCCTAGTTTTTATTTAAATTGATTTACTTAGAAGTCTAAAGTCATACTTTGAGAAATATCGGTATTCGAAACCATCTGTTTAAATTCCTCAAATGATATCTTCCCATCACCATCCCTGTCCGCTTCCATAATGGTTTTGTCAACAATTTGCTGAAGCTCTGCATCCTTCAAGTTATTCCCCGCCATCATTTTCAGTACAATGAACAGCTCGCCATTTGAGATATATCCATCTCTATCAATATCATAAACTTTAAACGCAAACCTTAGCTTTTCTTCTTTCTGACCTTTGCTGGAAAACGCACTTAAACCACTGATGAATTCCTGAAAGTCAACATCGCCACCCCCATCTTCATCAAAAATCTCAATCAACCTTGACGCTAATGGGTTTGTCGCTATTGCTGGGATGCTTAAAAACTCTTCTCGATCTATGGTTCCGGAATTATCTTTATCGAGTTTCATGAATCGTTTTCGAAGACGATCAGCCTCTTCTCGATCGACTAAAAACCTAGCATTAGTATGATATATAAATGATTTCTTATTTGTAACTCATCATTACTAACAGTTTGTTCCTTCAACAATATCATCTAAAATACTCGATGACCCAGCTCCCATTGTATATGTTTAATAAGAAATTATTAATGAAAAAATAGATAATGTCCAAATCTTTAGGCAAAATTTTGCTTCATGTATTCATGTAAAAGGCTATCAAAGGGGGAAAGCAAAATGAGTAGAGAAAAGAGGCTTGTTTCCTATTTAATTTGGTAACCTTATAGTGATAAAAAAAGTATGTCAAGCAACTGCTACTTATTAATGATAACAAATGTGTTACATAATTTTTGAAGCAACCCCTCTTCCTAGTCCATATACCCATATATACCCATATATACTTCCCCACACACCAATAGCCAACTACTTATTTATGTGTTTTTGCAATCACAAACTTACTTTCTTCGATTACTCCTCTAAAAACTGATATCTTGATCAACAATGCCTGCAACAAGTTTTGTTCGTACTGTATGTTTTCTATTGCTGATTTTTCTGATTATATAGTGTACATATTAATATTGAAATTTATTGATAAAAATATTTTAATTAAATATAACTTACTCACTCAAAATAAATGAATTAGGTTTTTAGCGATTTTCTCAAGAAGAGTGGTCTTGAACCCACATTGCTTGACAGAGTAAGTAATTAATATTTTTGAAACCCGAAGCTAACAATTCTATTTTTTTTCAATTAGCTCAGGATCACTAGATCTAGTCCTGGCGTGGTTCATTTAAATTTGCCGATTGAGAAAAAACACACGGTAAGATTTTTCGATTATTTTATTTCCAGAATGAAATTGTAACGAAACTTAAGAACCGCCTTGAAATTCTTCATGGGGGAACAATAGCGTCAATCGGTATGATAATTATTTTGTTATTATTTGTGTTAAACTAACAATCAATAGTTGATCTTGGTGGTTCGCTTGCAGTCGCTTCTAAAGGTCTTTATAGCACTGGTGTTTCTACTGATATCTCTGTGACATATCTTAGCAGCGGTGGAAAAGTTGGTATGTGACATTTTATTCCTTTTGATAAAAATTTTAACATGTATATAGGAGATGAGATAAATATTGTGAGTAATTTAATGATTTCTTTTATTGTACTAATAGAAAACAGAAATGTACTTGTGATCGAATGGGTCGTACATTAGCTTTTACCACCATTGAACTTTCAAACGTCCATAATAAAGTGTTTGCTCGAGGAAGTCATACGAAATACATTAAGGATGCCTATAAAGATGTAAGCTTTAACCATGAAAAAAAAAAAAAACTAACATAAATTTAGCCGTTGAATCAAATTGATGCGCATAAAATAAAATAGAATGACTTTAGACAATATTTTTGGCAGCTTTTTCAAAGAGTTTTTAAAGAAATAAATAAAATTAAACGTTACAAATTACTAATTACTAATTGGAGAGTTTATTTTCGGAAATGAAAAGTAAAAAAGAAAAACTTAATGTTCTATTTTAGGCCAAATCCTTGGCTTTCGTTAATTGCTCGACTGAGCATATTGACCAGTTTTTGTTTTGAACTATACTCGTACAAGCACAGCTCGTTAAAGCAAGTATGTGATATTGGGTATCTATTACTATCCCCACCATGTCGCGTTATTGTAAAAGACATGGTGACTATTCCAGTAGCTGGAATTCTATCTGAACCTGTTACAAACATTAACAAATTTCTTTGCATACTTGGTTCTAATGATTTAAAATATTTCCAAAACCATTTAATGACCTGTACATCTTGATCTGGATTAGAATATCGAGGTAGCCAATGCTTATATTGTGTAACAGCTCTCAAGGCATCAACATCTATTGGTTCATCGCTTCCGTTTATCAAAAGTTGAATTTCTTCAGGTTGAAAAAGAGCCAATGAATTGCTTGCAGCAACCTTGTAAAATCCTTGCTTTAGTGGTTCAAATTGTCGTTTGATAGAAGATTCAAGGTAAAATGTTACGACTCGTTTCACATAATCATGTCGATTTTTCTTTGTGACAGGGATGCTAGATCCATTGGGAACTAGTTCTTCTGTAACAACACTTGTATCATTTGATTCACGAGTGATGTCAAAAAACAAATAAAATACATCTTCAAAATCATCACCCGTATAATCAAGGAGCATTTGTAGGCTTTTCCCATAGCTTGGTATTAGGGTTTTAAAATCATCCAAAGTAAATGAAGCACCCAACAATTTTTTAAAAACCACAAGAGGAAAATTTGTCTCTAGAATTGTAGAATTATACAATGCTAAGCCCAAAACAACGCCCGTTAATTTAAAATATTTTAAAGGTTTATCTGACCCTGGTTTAAACCAACTATAGCCGGAATCTTCGACTTTAAACAATCCAAGTTCTTCACTGAATAATTCTCTAATTAACAACAAAAACCATTCTTTTTTTAATCCCCCAACATCAATGCCCGGTTCATCCACAAATTTAACCCTGATGCCTTTTTTCAAATCATTTTCTTGGGCTTCAAGTATTTGGAAAGAATCCTGCAAAAGGTGATCGCGGCGCACACAAATGTGCAAATACAACTGCTGAGGGATATGCGTGTCTAATGAATTGAAAAATGCTTCATGAGCTTTGTGCGCCATTTGTCTTCGAGCATCATACTCTAATATATTGATTTTTGTTCCCATTGACAAAAAAAACGGGTACTCGCAGAAAGCAAATAAAATCTTTTCCCAAGAAATTTGAGATTCAATAGCACTAGATTTGATAGAAGAAGGAACTAATGATTGCATACTAGGCATTGACATAGGAACCCCTAGTTTTTCCCACGCATCAAAATCCGCCCTAATATCAATGTAATCAACCATAGTGTTGTAAAAACTTGAAATAGGAATTTTATGAGTTATGATATTGGCGTTAAAATAGATAGCTTGAAGAATGGCGAAGGAGGAAATTTTCCAGTTTTTGCCATAGGAATTTACCTTTACTGTAGATGATAGTCGTTTTCTTTTTGAAGATGATAATTCAGGCTCAAAAACAGCTTCATGAGATAAAGAGCTTGGAGAAGAAAATGGGTTCGATTCCTCTGATTCTAAAATAACAGCATTATGGTGAGTTTCGTTAATGCTTGAAGGACTTCCTGGGGCAATATCTAATTTAGGTAATATTGGTGAATATATATTATCCAGTAATGAGAATGCTCTGTTAGATTTTGTTGAAGTTTTAGAGCTAGATACTTCAGTTAATTTATGCGTAATATAAGCATTAAGTAGCTCGACTTTTGATTGAAATTGAGTTGTAGGGTATCGAGAAATCCAGTTTAACAAATAATGTCTCACCCGTTTGGGTGCATGTGAAAGTATCGATACTGAACGTTCAAGAATTTCTAAAGATAAGGCAGAAATAACATCATTCGATTCAGAAAAGCTTGACTTAGAGTAATCATTATTCGTAATTTTTAGAGAAGAATCGCATCTTTTCAACGATATATTTTTAACAAGTCCATTGACCAGCAATGATTTTGACTTCTTTATGGATGACGCTATATCGTTCTTTGTCCCAGTACAACTTGAATTATTATTAAAAAAAATTAAATGTGAATTTAAAACTGGAAGCTCGAATATAATCAATAGAAAATGAATATCTTCTGGACAATCCATCGAACATGGAGGATTTTTCAATAAAGAAAGAACAGTTTTTAACAAAACAGATAATACCCTTTCTGAATTTAAAGAAGTTATAAGTGTATAAAACGACAACACGTCTTCAAAGTCAATGTTTGGACGGGAATAAGAAAGCTTGGCGAGCCCTATAGGGAATGATTTATTAAGTACATCGACACAAGAAAATGCATTGATAAGCAAAGCCTCCAAGTTTGGGTAACTCTGAATTACCTCTTTATTATCACCTACTATACCTTCATGCTGTTGTTTATCTTTCTCAATTGCCTTTTCAACTATTCTAAGCGTCAATTGTTGCACACTCTTGGTAAATGTGCTTTTAACCCTCTTATCATGAAAAGTTTCACATATAGAGCCTAATACAAATGGTTAGTCTTAAGTTAAATTCTAATATCTTTGAATACAATTTACTCACATTTAAAATAAAGAAAGCCCAAAGGGATCTGTAATTCAGTACCACAGCAAATACATTTATAACTGATTATTTTAGGAGAAAAGTTTGATTTATTTGGACGACAAGGTTGTTCTGAAATTGTTGCGGCATTAGCAGCGGAAACAGTCTTAATGATATCACTAAAAGAGGACTGAGTTGAAACGTTTGAAAGAATTGAACTGGCTAGTTCTAATTGGTCGCGTGTTGCTACGGATGGTATTGTGCTGGCTGAAGAAATACCTGATTGTTCGTTGTGCCTCTTAAATAGTGGCATATCGAAAAGCAAAAAACTAAAAAAAAATAAATAAATAAAAATAAATAAATAAATAAAAATAAAATGTATTAATAAAATAAGAAAAACAGGAATATTAAATTATTAATTATTTTAAAATGATTTAATCATAAAAAAAAAACTATTTAAATAGAAAAAAACAGTGAATATACATTATATGTATCGGTTATATATATAGATAATAAATATCGTTATGGTTCAAACAAATACTATGTGATCAAAGACTACCCCTAACCCCAAGACTTTATTTAATTAGTAAATAATTGACTTAGCTCAGAAGCTTTGCTTTAAGCAAAGCTTAAACTAAAAAGTGTTACATTTTGTATACAAAAATAAACACAATACCTCAATTATCTAATACTTATCTTAAAGAGTTTTTTTACACAGTTATGATTCATAAAGCTTTTACGGACTTAGAAAATTCACCAACAGATTCTCGTTTTGTTATTCATGAAGTTGATGAAAATGGAACCCGAAAGCAAATATTTAAATCTAATATTGAAACAGATTCTATTTCAAAGTCTGAAAAATTAAACGTTTCATACGGCCATGCTCCTACAGAATTTAGAACCCCCAAAACAACAAACATATATAATATGTTTATTCAAATATTCTTACCATCGGGTTATCCCAATAGTGTTAAAAGTGACTATACCCCGTACCAAATTTACGATTCATTTCAAGCTTTTTCTTCTTCAATTGCATCACTATTTGCAAATCGTGCTGTTTTGACAGCAGTTGGAGTTGGAGATGACTCTGCTACATCCACTTCTGCTCTTTTTATGAAAATTATTCAGGAAACTGTTGGTCGTCTTGGTACTATACTCTTTGCTTGGAAATATGGATCTAGTCTAGAACCAGAATGCAAAAAATATCGGTTTTTAGCGGATATTGTAAACGACACTGCGATATTTTTTGACTGTATTTCTCCATTTTTTCCTTTTAATAAGTCTATAACAGTTTTCACACTTTGTATTTCCGGTTTTTTTCGGAGTATATGTGGCGTTATGGCTGGTGGATCAAGAGCTGCTTTGACGTTGCATTTTACACAGCCAGAACGTGGCTCAATTGCAGACGTTAATGCTAAAGATCAATCTCAAGAAACAGTAATTTCGTTAATTGGAATGATTGCTGGCTCTTTGGTTGTTGGAGTTGTTCCATCTGAAGGCTTATTAATGTGGGTAGTGATGCTAATGCTTTTAACAATTCATTTATATACAAATTACCAGGCAGTTAGTAATGTGGTAATGCAATCATTGAATCGACAAAGGACTAATATATTATTCTCTGATATTACTAAATCGCTTGAAGAGCTTGATCAATCAAGGTTAAATGATAGTGATCGTGCTGTAGCTCTTTCTAAACTGGTTTTAACTCCTACAAAAGTATCTAAAAAAGAAAATATTTTATCTTCTAGTCAATTAATTAGAGACTCGAATAATAATATCATTGGAAGTGGTAAGTTTGTGGAGTTTAGTATGATACAACATTTAGTTTTAAAGTCGGATATATCACTATTAGATATTATTTCTGCTACTTTGAAACATGGTTACATTTTATTTTTTGTTCAAGGCCCTTCATCGACTCCAAACATTTACATTTCGTTAGTAGATGATGACGATTGTTCTAAATCGCCTTTTTTCGATCGCGATGTAAAATCATGGGTACACGCTTTTCTGATTTGCCGCTATCTCCAAAAAGAAAAGATAGGTAAAGTGGAAATACTAGACATTATCAAGTCTACCACTAATCAGTTAGATTATTTATTTACAACTATGGATATCTCTTTTAGTCTTGAAAAGGCTGGTTGGGATTTACATACGAGGTCCATTGTTACAAATTCCGTTAAAAAATTGAAATTTTCGTTTGGTGGATAACAGGTTTCAATGGTTATTACACTGTGAATATAATTATATTAAGTAATGTGCCTAATAAACGTATCTTATCTAATCTTCACCAAAAGACCTTCCCCCCTCCCCCGAAAGACCTATCTTTTTGGCTACTTAGTAGGCACTAACTGTATTCGAATGTATTATTTATTTATATAAAAGTAATTACTTAATTATAATTAATTTTATAATTAATTACTAAAAATGTTTAAGCATACTACAGTATCATTTTAATTCAAATAACTACAGTGTTAATTACACCACATAGTATTTCTGCAATTGTGGCCTCGCTACTATTATTACTGCTTATGCTAGAGTAGTTTCTAGATATGGCTTGGGTATAGTTCAAAAAAGGAAGTAATGTTTCTCATTTTGGACAAAAGGCCCTTATCACTCAATTATAATTGACTAATTAGTTAATCGTATTTAATTGATATCAACCACGGAGTAGGCCGATCCAACATAAAAAAAGACCTCCCCTTCCAACAATTTATATGTTTTCCCTCTTTTTTTAAAGTCATAAATTTTTTAATTTCTCAATTGCAATATTAACCTAAATAAACAATTTTATATTTCTTCTGATAATTGAAATATTATAATATAATTATAATAAAAGAATGAAATTTTCAACTCTTTTCATAGTTGCAACATCTGCAGCTTCATTCTCTGCTGCGACCCCTATTGATTGGTATTCCTGGACCATTGATAAGGCTGGTCAAGCCTTTTTTGGAAATTTTAGAGAAAAAGAAGAATTCAATGTTCCAGTAAATTCTGAAGGACCTTATCAGGTTTTAAAACCTCTTGTTTCATCGGAAGCACTTCAGGCTCTTATTTTGGAGCCCGCCTTAAAAATCGCCGCAAACAAACTATACTATGCCGCAACTCTTTCTCAAGGAATGTATGGCCACCCTACTCGCATTATTGGTTCGCCTGGACATTTTGCTACTCTCAGAGAAGTTGAAGGGAAACTCCGTTCTACCGGTTCGTATTTTAACATCACAAAACAATATTTTGATGCCGTCCGGGGTGTTGTGTTTCATTCAGGCCTTTCTGTCGATGGAATCAAAATTTCTGAAGCATTACCTTTTGATCTCACACCCCCAACACCTAAAAAATCTTGGGTTTCGGCTCCCTTGGTCCTAGTTAAAAATCAAGGATGTGAAATTTCTGATTTTCCTTCGGCAGCAAATGGCTCTATTGTGTTGATTGAACGCGGTGTTTGTGCTTTTGGTGATAAGTCACAGTTAGCTGGTCTTTCAGGTGCTGTTGCAGCAGTTATTTTTAATAATATTCCTGGTGATGGTGTATTTAGTGGCACATTAGGGACTCCTTTGCCTGATCAGGTTGCTACAATTGGTGTTTCTTATGAGGTTGGAACTGCTTGGGCTCATAAACTTGCTCTTAATATTTCTTTGAATGCCTCAGCATATGTGGATTCTTTTGTTAAGAATGTTACAACATATAATATTATTGCTGAAACAAGAGACGGAGATCCAAATAATGTTGTTATGCTTAGTGCTCATAGCGACTCGGTGCAATATCCTGGTATTAATGATGATGGAAGTGGAACTATTTCGTTAGTTGAAGTAGCTCTTGGACTCTCGAAGTTTTCAGTTAATAATACAGTTAGATTTGCATGGTTTTCCGGAGAAGAAGAAGGGTTGTTAGGCTCAGATTATTACGTTGCCCAACTTTCTCCCGAGGAAAACATTAAAATTCGAGTTGCCATGGATTATGATATGATGGCATCCCCCAATTTTGCGTACCAGGTTTATGATGCCAATAATAAGGTCAATCCTAATGGCTCTGGAAACTTGAAACAACTTTATATTGACTACTACAATTCTCAAAATCTCAATCATACTTTAATTCCTTTTGACGGTCGTTCAGATTATGACGCGTTTATTAAAAATGGAATTCCCGCTGGTGGTATTGCAACTGGAGCTGAAGGAATCAAAACACCGGAAGAAGCTGAAATGTTTGGTGGAGTAGCTGGTCAACCTTATGATTCATGTTATCATCAATTATGTGATGATACTACCAATTTAAACTATGAAGCCTGGATGGTAAACACAAAATTAATTGCTCACTCTGTTGCATCTTTTGCTAGATCATTTGAAAGATTTCCAGTTAGAGAGCCTCTTGCTGTCAGCAACGAAAATCAAAAATACTCTTATAAATACCATGGATCAAAACTTGTATTGTGATCAACAACCTTATTTCTTCTTTAATTAGACACTAAATTTATTGATATAAAGCCATAATTAATTTTTAATAAATAAACCAACTGAAAGTTGTTAGGAATAAATTTATGTAAACCCTCTAAAGTACTTTGATCTAAACTCTTCGTTTAAAGTTCCTTTAACATGTTGTGATTCTCCTTTTTCTCCATATTTGCGTCTGGAGTATGTTAGAAGTCGTCGAGACCCTATATTATAAATGGTTAAAAAATAAACATAAAAAGAAGAATAAAAGAAGAATTAAAGAAAAATAAAAAAAGAAAACTTACACTTGTTAAAGTCTTGAATGCAGCACGACAAGAGTTTCAAATCTTCATGCAAAGGGATATGATGTTCTTTAAAATCTTCATTAGCAACCGGCATCCAATAACATAATCTTCCTCCTGGTTTTAAATGTATAGCTGCAAATGCCAAAAGATCATCTAACAAAGCATATAACTCATATGGCTTTTTGGTTGGAACGTAGTCTTTTCTCAAATGTGCAGCAACACCTTCGATCATTACTGTTTCTTTCCCTAAAAATTTTTCTTCGTCTTTAGCACCTAGCACTTTCAGCCCTTCTCTAACTCCATATGGTGGATCACAAATAATTGCATCAAAAAAAAGATTATTTCGAAATGCATTGTGAGTAAAGTCCATTGTCATTACATCCAAATACTTATTTTGAATGCCATATTGCCTAAAATTTGCATCAATTGTACGATCTTTCCCATTTCCCCGTAGCATTCTCACGTCAATGTCAGAGCCGCATGTGAGAGCGCCCATATAACCACCAGCAACTAAAAAACTGCCAGTGCCACAAAATGGATCGTATACAATCTTTCCAGGAGAAACTTGTGCAATGTTACATGTAACCAGAGAAAGTTCTGCGTCAAAAGTTGTTGTCCCAATATATCTGCGTCTCTTGAGATCTAAACGATCCATGGCAGATCTATCACTATCAGTAATAAATCTTCCAAACCAAACTCTTTTTGGAAGTTCTTCGGGTTTACTGTCTTTCACAATATATTCCTCTACTATAGAAAATGTCACATCAGGTTTTTTCATTCTGATAGGACCCTCTAAGCCCATAAAAGAAAAAGATTCTATAATTTTAATTTGTTCTTGTTGATCCCGTGAGCCTTTATAGCTTACAAATTCAAATTTAAAAGACGTTTTGACATCATTATACTTTTCCCATTGGGATTTATTTCGGATAGTTTTTTCATGTAGTTCTTCAACAGATGTTCCAGAGGCATACAACTCATAAACAGATCGACATAAAATTGAGCGAGAAACAAGCTTACGAGCTTCTTCTGAAGAATCTAAATCCACCACCAAAAAGGGAGACTATTATTTGGTCAGCGATTTCAAAAGATTTGAAGATTTTTGATTATGCACATACAGTAGTAGAATATGAACTAAAATCAGCATCAATCTTATAAAAATCTGATAAAGCTTTAAGTTCAGTTAATCTAAAATCCAAATGAGCCTGAGCCAATAAAATCAGGAACTTCATTATAAGCTTTATAATTTCCTAGTCTTTATTATGCAATTTATATGACTTCTTTTAAATGTCCTCCAGCTATAGTAAGCAGTTTATGTCCAACAGGTATCACAAATCAGGGATATAAATTTTTCAAATTTGAAGAAATTTTTATTACGTAAGTACTATTACATAATAATACTAATATTTTTGTGCCACGCAAAAATTACAAATATTATTAGTTGTAATATTTGTAATAGTTGTAATAAGTTAATTTTATCACCCATCTAAATGTTTTTAACTTACTTTTTTTTTAACATGCACTTTCTACTTCTCTTAGTTTTTTATTCACTACCATTTTTTCTTCTTATCCTGTTCATATTAGTTTTAGAAACCAGAATTAAAAGTTTTGAAAATCTAAAAGTTTAAGGTTTCTTTTTATTTTATTTTATTTTACATATCCACTACATATTTACAATATTTATACTTGTACTTAGCTTCCTTGATTTGATTTAGAACTAAATCTCAAGGCTTTTATTGAGTTTCTTTACCCTGAAGCCAATAAAATATAGGATATAGATTATAGTATATTATAGTATATAAAATACAAAATGTCGACATTTGATGATGATGATGATTTTTTTGCAGATATTTAGTTAGTATTCTAGTTTTTTTTTAAAAAAATAAATATATAGATTTGCTAATAAAGTAAATTTTTTTATCTAGTGATGGATCTAACGAACCACCAAAATCGGATGTAAAAGAAGAAAAAGAAGACCGAGTTGAGTCTTTACCTCATCCACAGAACGAATTACATGTGCAAAATGTTGATACTCAGGCTCAATCTAACAACGATGATAATGTTTTACTTAGACATGTTAATTTGGAACCAGAACCACAGCTAAGTGAAAATGATGCTGAAGCTACCACAAATGCCAAGCGAGATGGGAGTGCAACAAATACAGGTCAAATTTATATTCCTCCTAAGGACGAAGGGAAAATGTTTGTTGGAGGTTTAAATTGGGAAACCACCGATGGTAAGTTTCACTCTCACATATTATAAACGAAAGAAAAGTCTAACTTAAATAGAATCTTTGAGAAATTATTTTTCAAAATTTGGAGAATTAGTTGATTGTACAGTTATGAGGGATAACATGACTGGTCGCTCTAGAGGATTTGGGTTCCTTACATTTGCTGATCCAAAATGTGTTAATGATGTAATTTCAACAGAACATTTCTTAGATGGTCGAATTGTGAGTATTTGAACAAAAAAAAACTGATGGATAATTAACTAATTCACATACTAGATTGATCCTAAAAGAGCCATTCCCAGAGAGGAACAAGATAAAACAGCCAAAATTTTTGTGGGGGGTGTTGGATTGGATGTTACGGAGGACGATTTCAATTCATTTTTTTCACAATATGGAACTGTTATTGATGCTCAACTTATGATTGATACTAAAACTGGAAAGCCAAGAGGATTTGGTTTTATTACGTTTGATTCTCATGAAGCGGTTGAAAAGATAGTAAGCGAGCCTGTTCTTATTTTGAAAGAAAAACATATTGAAGTTAAAAAGGCGGAGCCTCGTTCAAAGGATCAAAATGGAAATTTTATACCCAATTCTCACTCCCAGTCAAACACGCAGACTGACTCAAATAACAGGTTTAACAACTATAATAATTATATGGGATATAGTATGAATGGTATGAACTCTGCATCTATGCCTTCAATGAGTGGTACAATGAATGGCTCAGGAATGAATTCATCTACTTCTGGAATGAATCCTGCAATGGCTCTTCAGCATTATAGAAATTGGCAACAGTATTTTGATCAAGCTGAAACAGTTTTGATTAATCAAGGGGCACAGAATAACCCTACAGGTGTACAACAACTTCAAAATATTAAAGCAATGAAACAGAATCTTCTTACTCAAATGAAGACATTTGGCTTGAACCCAAATTTGTTAAATAACTCAGATAATACCCAATCTCAAGATAATTCTCAACCTTCTTCTGAAACCAAATATTCAGCTCAAAGTGAATCTGGTTTTGGGAGCTTCGGTGAATCTTCTAATAAGTTTTCTGGTGATAACAAGGCCATTTTTAGCAGCGGTAATGAGTCCCATGAAAATAATAGAGGTAAAATAGTTGGAGGTGTTTATAACATTGGTAACGGGATTGATAATGAACCTGGAAGATATCATCCTCGTGGTCCTAAAGGATTTAATCAGCAATCTTACAATTCTTCTCAAAATGAATCCAAGCATTTTAATGGCAAGGGGAGTGCTGCAATTACTTTAGTTCAAGGGGAAAATAATTCTTACTCAGATATTCCTAGTTCTAAATCTGAAAATTATTCAAATAGCTCTGAAGTCAATCACCGTGATCGTGATCGCGACCGTGAGAGCGATACACAAAATGGTAAATACACACGAAATCGTTATCCTCGAGACCAAATGAGAGAAAAGAGGCATAGAAGTCGATATGAAAATGAAGAGGAAAGTGTGGATAACGAAGACGAGCGTGACCCCAACGATAAGTCTAAAACTTCATCTCACTCTCATCGTTCATCAAGAGATAAGTCTCATAAATCACGTGATATGTCATTGGGTGCAAGAATAAGAGAAGATTCAAGGGAAGGTCCTAGTAGAAAAAGACATCGTGGAGAAGATGACCGAGATGCTTCCTCTAGTCGTCATCATAGGAGCAGTAGTCGCGAGAAAGACCATCGGACCTCACGCCACAAGGAAGGTGGCAGCAGCAGTAGCAGCAGCAGCAGTAAGCACCATCGGAGCAGTAGAAGAAGCAAGGAAAATCGTGGAAGTGATGATTCTAGTAATTCTAGCAGAAAGGATTTAAAAGAAAAGGAATCTAAAGAAATCAAAGATCGTCGTTCGAAATCCCCCCCTCTAAATGCTCCTACAGGGCCCCGAGGTGCTTCAGGAACATCATCAGCACGCTCTGGATCAGGTAAAGGTTACTCAAGAAGATACCGATCGAACAGGCAGTACAGTCGAAGCTGATACCATAGCTTTGTTGGATTATTAGTTATGAAGTTTAAAAAAAAAAAGTTAATATTGCTAAAAATAAGGTTTTTTTTTGTTGTTTTTGTTTTTTTACCTTGTAAATGGTTTTTATTTAATTTTATTAATTTTATTAATTTTATTAATTTTATTAATTTTATTAATTTTATTAATTTTATTAATTTTATTAATTTTATTAATTTTATTAATTTTATTAATTTTATTAATTTTATTAATTTTATTAATTTTATTAATTTTATAAACATAATTTTAAACAACTAAAATACAGAAGTATAATTTTCCTATTAAATTAACTTGAATTACCCATTCCAAGTTGGATAATTAAATAAACATTAAGAATGGTTACAAAGCTCCAAATTAAAAAAGAAAGCATACTAGTTAGCAAATTATTTGCATAATTTCTTTTTTTTACCGAAGAGACATTAACATGAGTTGTTGATTTTTTTTGAGAAATTTTGTTTACAAAAACCTCAATATGGTTATCACCTTGAGTTCCTTCAACACTCATTATTGACTTGCGTCCAGTAAAATAAATTAAAGGTAGGATCAAAAATGGTAAAAGAATTGAAAGAGCTGCCTGTGACCCGTTTAAAACTTGGCTAAGCCCGGACCGCCCCACGGCTGCTGTAACAATTAAACAAGGGAGTATAGCAATTCCTCTTGTAATTAACCGTCTTATCCAAGCCTTTTTGACGTTCCAATTTAAATAGCCTTCAGAAACCACTTGTCCTGCTATAGTACATACTATTCCAGCGGACTGTCCCGAAAGTAAAAGTGAAATCACAAACAGTATACCAGCACTTTTAGATATAAGTTCACACATACTTTGATAAATAGAAAATAGATCAGCACTGTCTGAAATACTTACACCATACAACGTAGCTCCTGAGACTATTAATATCGAAGAGTTAACAAAAAAGGCAAAAGTACAAAGAGAGACTGAAAGTTCAATAATCGAATACTTCAAACAATAATTTACAGCAGAAGTTGTTGGTTTATAATTATCAAAATCGTCAGAGGAATAGTTTTCCGAAATATTTCCAAGTGCTACATCTCGGTCAATTACTCGTGGCTTGACGATAGATGATCCCAGATAGAGACTATGAGGCATAACTGTTGCCCCCAAAATTCCACAAGATGCATATATGGCATCCCCCTCTAATAAGTATTTAGATGGTAAAAATCCTCTAAATACATTTGAAGCTGGCGTAGGAGGCATGTTTTTCAATTGAATAGCAAAGCAAATAGCAACAGCTATAATTAAAAAGGCAACACCGCATTCAAAGTATCGAATAATTTTTACTGACTTCTCATTTCTATATGCCATAAGTATGATTAAAACATCGACAATAGTGATCAATACACCAACGACTAATGGAATATGAAAAAGAATATTAAGTGCAATAGCTGTCCCAACTACCTCCGCTATGTCAGTGGCTATAATTGCAGCTTCAGCAAAAACGTACAAAATAACATTCAGCCAGCTAGGAAACTCTTCTCTAGAAATTTGAGCTAAATCTTTCCCAGTGACAGAACCCAATTTTATTGCAAGCGATTGCAAAAAAATTGCAATGCAATTAGATAAAAATATCACAAATAAAAGATGAAATCGATACTTAGCGCCTGCTTGCACATCAGTTGAGTAATTACCTGGATCTATGTACGAAGTGCATATAAATGCACTTCCACCAGCAAATTTTGCATATTTTGTTATAGAATGAAATATCTTATTGTTCTGTATAGCATTTAGAGATTTCAATATATGTTTATGGATCTTTGCTGATATATTTTGACTGATAAATTTAGATTGGTTATTAGCCATCTTGTTTTTGTTGATATTTAAAATACTTTTCAATTAAAGATAATATCTTCAATTAAAAACATGAGTGATAATAATGAACATTTCTAATAAAAAAAAAAGAGATTCGACTGTTTTTATACACTAAATTAAGAGAATTTCAATTTAAATTTGAATGTTTCATGTAAATGTAAATTTATAAAAACGGCTATTTTTCTTGATTTTTTTCGATCGTAATCTTAATTAGATGACAGTTTTTTTCGTCGCTAATTTAACTATTCATATTCTAAGATTAGCATCTTAATCTTTCAAATTTAAAAAAATCTGCTTAAAGGTATATACTTGGATAAACTACCCTGATCAATTTTTGAAATCAAATTTTCTTTTTTTGAAGGTAAAGGCTTTGGTATTTTTGAATATCCTAATGTATTTTTCTTACCAATTTCAATTATTTTTTTTTCTTCTTTCAAAGTTTCATGTTCATTCTTGTTATCAATTGTTAAAGGTGTTGAGTCCAAATGAAATTCCAAATCTTTTTTTTTTTCGGGTATAATATTTATTCGATCATGATTATTTAAGTTCAAAGCCTCTTCGGTTCTATTAAAAGTATTAATAAGACTATTCCAGTTTGAGGGTGCAGTGCCTGGACGGTATTTTCCACAAACTTTAATATTATTATAACTTTCAGTATCAACGTTTGAAGGCAAAGGATGATGTTTTTTGTTTTTCATTGAATTTTTGGAACTCTTAACAAAATCAATACCTGAAGTTAATGAATAGTGATTTCCCTTTTTTCGTTTTATATGACGAGATGAAGTAGATGCCTCAGGCCATGTGTTACTATAATTTGCTCTTTCGACGTTAATATTCAAACGACGAGCTTCGGCCAACACTCGTTGATAAGGTGTGGCTTCTTCCCCTAGACAATTAAGCATGTCCTCCTCATCTTCTTCATCTTCAAGAAGGTATGCTTTAGGGTATTTTTCCATCGATAGTTTGGCAAGATTTCCTATGTCAATATCAATTTTTTTTAACTTTAAGAAGTTTTCCAAATTTTTTATCGTTACAGGCTTTGTTTTCGATGAAGAACATAAATCTATTGTCGCAGGGGCATTATTAATTAAATATTTTGAAATTTTAGCAAACTCATCTGTTTGAAGTCTGTCAACAGAACCTTCCTTCAAATTTGAAGTCAAATTTTGAGTATCATTTAAAGCACTTTTTTCTTTATGTTTTAACGCAATCAAGCCTAATTCATCTTGATCATCAGCTTCGATACCGCAATTTAAAGCTGCAGATTCATGTGAAGTAAATTCTAAGGAATGAGATATGCGACAGTGATTTATGAACCCTTGAGGACTGAAAAAGTTTTCTCTATGACACTTGGGGCAAACAAGACTATTAAAATAGGTTAATAATTTATTGCAGCCTATGTATATTTCAAGATTTATTCATACCGAACAAGAACACCATCATTTCGTCTAGTGATGCACTGAAGCTTGGAAGGGGAAGATATTTTTTGTTTCGCATCAGATATATTTAATAAATGAGACTTGGAATCGATTGCTTCTAATTCACACTCATCTTTATTGCTTTTACTCCTAGTAAGTGGTGGCTGATAATTAGCCACACAGCTTGTAGAATTATGTTCTGACGATTTACATGCTATCTCTGTAGATTTACTCGAAATAGATTGACTTAAAAATTTGGCATAAATATTTGTAAAATGTGTTGGTTCATTTGGTATTGAAATGTTAGAGGAGCCAAAAAGGCTTTTTCTCATTTGAATCATTAAGATATGAATTTTAGCAATTTCATCATCTATCGTGTTTAACTCATGGTGTTTAAGTAAAATTTCAAGATCAAATTGATGTCTTATAAGCTCGCTTAGTTCTTTATGGGCATTTTCAGTTATTGTATGATTAGCATAACTCATCTCATCGGAAGAAGATGGAAATATCTCAGCTTTCAAAGAAATTTCGGACATCAATAAATGAATAAAAGATGATAATTTCTAGAACTAAGTTAGTTTAGTATATTGTTCAGGATTAATCATTACTTTGATATTGTAATAGTGTAAATTTTTAAAAAAATTTTTAAAGCCGCATTCTGAAAAGTTTTTTTAAGTAAATTTCAGAATAATATTAGTAAATTTCGGTATAGCACCTAAAGGATATCCATATTCAAAGCACTCAAATAAAAAAAATTAATGTTAAAGAAAATAAAATCATAAATCGTTTGACATCCATGGATATTGAAGAAATAACACCTATCGTTAAGATAAGAAAAGGAGACTCCGCTTCTAAGCGATCAAATTACATTTTATCTTTGTTTCTTAATAATGAATCTAACGATTTTAAAGTAACAATAACGAATCAAGAACAATCTTTTCAGAAACTTTTTTCAATTGTCGAATTAACAAAATCAAAACTAAAGGAAAAAGATCTCAAAATCTATCAATATAATAGGCTTGAATATTTATATTGTTCTTGTGACAATCTGTGTAAGCATAAAATACGTCAAAAACGAAAATTTTCAGAGATTGGCCAGGAAAACACTATAATTCCCAGCGTTAATGATAATAGTGAAGTTGAAATTTCAGCAACGAATAATGATATTTATCCTAATGTCACTGTTGTCTTGTCTATTAAACTAAGAACTGAGCTGACAGCGGAAAATGGTTGGAGTTGTCAATAGCCATAATTAATCATTAAACTGGCTCTCCAATTAAACTACTTCTCATATATTGGTTGATTTTTCCATAATTGTGTATATATATTTATCTGTTTTCCTAATAATGGATTCTTTAATTACCGTAAATATCATATATTATTATTAATGAGAGGAATATATATTATATGCACATTCCCATGAAATCATTTTAAGTTGTTTATTATAAGTTTGACTAGGCGACTGCTATTTTGTGAAATTTAATAACGGAGACGCCTACTCTTATATTTTTTAGGTTAAAATAAAACTGTAATAACAAACATCATTGACAGTAACCCAACTCAACGATCAACCCATAAAACAATACTAAATTTGTCATGTCGTCTAGTCAGTCAACAATAATTATACCATCATCTAAGATTCCTCAAACCGGAAAAAGTACACTTAGGCAACAACCTTCGGGAGCTTCTGGTTCATTTTCAAATACACTCACGAAATCAATATATGAGAAAAACTTAAACCGTCGAGCCCCTGATTTATCTTTAAGCTCATTTTCTTTTCTATTTAGTGAAGCCATTCAATATTTGCAAAAGCAGTCTAGTGGAATTCAAGACTTGGAAAAAAAGTAAGAACATGATAATTTATCGGTATCAATATATTAACAATCGGATTTAGGCTTAATGAATTGGGATATCGAATTGGATTACGAACTCTTGAGCTTCTCACATTACGAGATGGAAAATCAGCTAAGCGAGAAACTAAAGTTCTCGGTGTTTTACAGTTTATTAATACAACGATGTGGAGAGCATTATTTGGAAAGCAAGCTGATGGCCTTGAGAAGTCAAGGGATTCAGAATACGAGTGTAAGATTCATTTTTAAGTTTTTTTTTCTTTTTTTTCACTAATTTTTGCTATTTTTTTCTGTTATATTTAGACATGATTATTGACAATTGTCCGTTGGTTTCGCAATTCATTTCAGTTCCTAAAGAAAAATCTCAACTAAGTTGTGCTGCATTTACAGCCGGTATCATTGAAGCTGTTCTTGACGGATATGTATTTACTGCAAAAGTGACTGCTCATACAGTTCCGACAGAAGAATTCCCATTACGAACGGTTTTTTTGATAAAGTTTAAGCCAGATGTGATTAATCGCGAAAATTCTTATAAATTACGTTAATTGTTTTAAGACTGTTAATTTTTATTAATTGGCATCAGATGTAATATTAAAATGGTTTTATTTTTTATATGTTATTACTGCCGGCATTCATTGTGATATTTTAATAGCCGATGTATCTGCAATAAGTGCCGTTGCTAATAAATCTTCATCATCATCATAAATTTCGTCTGGAATAAAAACATCTAAATTTTTTCTAAAAATTTGTCGTTAATAATTTAACACATTTTAATAAATTGACAACTTACTTCATATAATAAGCATCCTCTCCATCTCCATAATATTTGCTGACAATTTCCTTAACATCAAATTGCAAAGAATCTTTGTAAAGATGTATAGCAGCTTGGTTTGATTGTCGAACATGTAAAAAGACATGCTTGGCTCCAAAGGTTTCTGCAAGAGCTCTTACTATTTGAAATTATAAACAGTCAGTTTGTTTAACAGTCTGGAAATTCAATAACATACATGATTGTCTCATAAGTTTTTCAGCAATTCCAAGTTTTCGGTAGTTTCTCATTACTGATAATGAAGTGATGTGACCATTCAACGATGCTTCAGAACCTTGGGTAGTATCGTCATCCATTTTTGCTAAAGAATACCCAACAATTCGCTCTGATCCATTATATGTTTTGGTGGTAGCCACATATGAAGCTTGAGGCCATGATTCACAGTGGTAAAGATAGTATTTAAAATGATAGTTTTCAGGCAAATTATGAAGGTTTGCATTTTGCATACCCATCAAATCGTCAATCGTTGCTTTTCTAATAATGATCATTTTTCCAATATTGTATTTTGAATCAAGTGTTTTGTAATAATTCTTGTCCAAAAGAATCCATACTTACCTTGAAAATAATAATCTACTTTTGATTATGTTACGTAATTAGTATTATTTTATTATAATAATACTAACATAATGATATTATTACAGCTTTTTAAATTGTAAACTTGAACAAGTTAAAAAAAAATTGGTTATAACTATAATTATAATTATGTAATGAATGTGTTGTAATACAATTTTAACAATATATGATTCAGAAATCTTAATGAAAGGGTTGTTTTTATCACATCATCATACCATTTCCACATATAAACTAATACAAAACTAAAAATATAACAGGTTATACATAGTAATTTTTTTCAGAGTCATTTATTTCATAATTAGAGAGTATTTTGACCTGAAATTCTAAGGTTGCCGTTGTAATTATCCTGATAGATGCGAAATTCTGAGGACCCAAAATCATCATCTCTCAACTCATCGGGATCCACCTGAACTTGAACATCATGCCTAATTGCAATCTCTCACGAGCTATAAAAAGACATTGAAACCTTTTGTTTTCATTAGATGCTTAGGAATTTTTATAGCCTGCTATTATATAACCGTAGAATATTGTACCATGCGCTTTGTAGACACATTTCAAATTATCCGACGGGTTCCGAAAGTCTCTTTTTCATTTAAGAAGTCATCAATAGAACAATTTTAAAGTCTTTCAGGCTACTGGAGAAATTGAGGTTCTTTGAGGTTCTTTAAATCTGGGTAAGAGAAACTTAAACTTTTGCAAGTTGTAGAGATGGTTCAAAGGATGCTACACATAAAAAAAAACAAATTCGTTTTTGTGCCCTCTAATGCCCGTGGCACTAAAAAATTAAATGTAAAAGAGAACCCCAGTCTTGCAGAAATGATTTCAGGATAGAGAAAGTTGATTTCGGGTGTAATGCAAGACTATTGCTGATATGCAAAAATGTGGTATACTATCGTGGCAGGACTTTTTCCCATTCCTTTAACAGTATTGATTCGTTCATCGACACTGCGACCAGCGATATTTCAGTAGTTAGAAAGTTGTTTACACAGTAGTTATTTTACCTCAACGGTGTGGAGGTAATTATTTTTATGATGTAATGCCTCCAGTACCTTCGGCATATCATACTAAGATACTTACCTATATTTGGTATATAATTTCATGTATGATGAGCTACATAAATATTAGAACTGTGCAAACAGAGAACTGCTTCGTCAATTCTTGACAATAATACATTTAAACGTTAATCATTAACAATTATTAATAATTAATAAAGCAACAATTATGAATTCTTTTTTCTTGAACCTCCACGACTTATTGGTCCTCGTTTTTTCTGAGATTCATATAGTGAGTGTCCAAATCTTTCTTTAGCCTTTGCATTTTCCCATCCAAGAACACGACCTTGAGCCAAATCTTGTTTGTAACTCGTAATAGTAGATTCTTTTTCTTTTTTTAAAGTATCCAATTTTTTGATTAATCGGAGTTTTTGATCTTGTATTCGGTCTTTTAAATTTTTTTGTTTCAATGGAGAAGATTGAACTGGATCTTCTGCATGTGAATTAAAATCATCATGATTATCAGTACTGCTATCATCATCATCTGACAAAATAGTGGCTCTTCGTGAACTTCCACGTGTTGAACGCCGTTTTCCAGGAGATGGGCTCGATGAACTTGCATGTGAAGATGTTGCTGTAGCGCCTAATCGAGATGATTTTCTACTTGAACGAGTCAAAGAATCGGTTGTTGTAGTAGAAGGTTTAGATTCTAAAAATGACTCAGCAATATTATCAAGTTGTTTTTCATTGATATTATCTTGTTCGATAACTTCAAGCAATGACCTGACCATCGAAATTTTGGTATCAAGTTCTTTTATATCATCATCGTCTTCTAAAACGTTTTTCAGCTCTGCTTCTTGTTCAATTGTATCATTAGTTAAATCCTCTTTTCTTGCTCGCATAGAGTCGGTGATCTCAGGTTTCAAATTTACTATTTCCTTTGCCAATTTAGACTCTCTTATTCCATAAGGATTAAGCCATTTAATCAACGATTGAACATCATCTGGATCATCATAATAGCCCCATATCATATGATTTTCAAGAATTAAATCTCGTTCTTCAATAGATTTCCGTTCTGCAATGAAAAGATCATGATCAGATGTTCCGTTTTTATCTATGAGAATCCTAGATTCTGTTGCAATTTTCCGGGAACTAATTACCAAGTCATTTTCATATGTTATAAACTGGCCTGTTGGATCCAAAGACACTCTAGGAATTTTTGAACCAGGTTCAATCTTAAGATATCCTTGTAGTTCTTCATCGGTTGGTCCCTGAACCCAAATTCTACCCATTAAATATCCGAGATCAGAATCGCTTTCTTCTTCTTCTTCAGATTTTTCTTTATCCACATTCGGAGTGGCGGCTGCTGTTTTTTCGGAAGGATCTGAACGACCGTATTTTTTAGGTTTGGGTTTTTTCTCTTCTGGTTTTTTTGCTTCTTTTTTAAAATCATCTTCAGACGAGCGTCGAATGCCATTACCTTCAAGCCACCAATATCTATTGTGATAACGATCCTTCCCTAACATTTTAGCCCTTTGAGTATCTAATTTCACTAGCTCAAGTTCAACTTCCCTATTGGCATCAAGAAGTTCTTCAATTTTTAAAAGAGTTGCCTCCCCTTGTTGAAATAGTTTGCGAAATTCATGATTTTCTTTAGCTAATGCCATTTCAGCGTCATTTTTGCGTTTCTTTCTTTGTCTTGTCACGGAAGAAGCAGGACGCTTTCCACCCACAGAAAAAAGTTGATACTTAAGCTCGTCATCGGATTCTTCGTCACTGTTTTCTGTGATGGGAGTTCCCATTCCTCCTATAACATTACTTCCATTGGTGTGTGAAGTTTTAGGAAATCCATTAGGAAAATAAGGTTTCTTTTTTTCCTCCAGCATTTTAAGGGTCTCCAGTAAGGCTTTATACTCTCTAAGATTTTCAAGACGTTCTCGTCGAATCCGTGTACTTTCTTCCAAGCACTGGTCAATAAAGTTTCGCACAAGATTAGAACCATGTAAAACTTCACATAATATCTGTAATGCCTTAAGTCTTAATTCGACGGAAAGTTCCATAAAGCAATTCAGAGCCGATTGAAGAGTTACAGGCTTATCCAATGGTGCCATGTTATCTAAAATTGTTTGTATAGATTCTTTCCATTCAGGAACATAAAGAACGCTATGCAAAAGTCCAATTAATATAACCTGCCAACCACCATCCTTAAACATTCTCCTTCTCAATCTTTCCTCCCATTTAGTTGATTTAAATTTAGAATAAAATTCGGCTCTATTTGTTTCCGTTTCAATAGATATTTTTTTTTGTTCAGCGTTACTGAATTCCTCATTGGACGAATTTGACTTATTGTTTTTACTAGAATTATCAAGTAATATAGCCTCACTTTTGTCATTAAGACCATTTACATTATCCAGGTTAGTTGTTTCAGAATTATCTTCATCTTCACCATTATACCCATCTTCACTTTCGTTTTCTTCGTCAGAGCTTAAATCATCATCTTCAGAGTCTAAAGTAGGTTCTTCTGGAGGATCGGGGAATTGTATAAGTAACTCTGTCGAATCAGTCCCTACAATTGTGCATAAAAGAGAGCAAAAAATTTCATTAAGTAAGGGACATTCTGTTGCAGGATCATCATAATGAAGAACATCTAAATAATCGTCAAAAGTAAATGTGTCGAGAACTAAAGGATCACTATACATGTTAAGAAAAAGCCACGTTTCAAGCGCTAGATTGACTAAAGATGGTGGTTCAAGTCTAGTTTCCTGCTTAAGCGATGGCCTTAATGTAGCACGAAAGCTGTCGAATGGTATATTAAGATCTTCCTGTGTTAAAATACGTTCATTTTTTGATGAAAAAGAAGAGATTGTAGATAATCCAGGTGCTGGTGATCCTTCAACTGTAGGGGTAGCTGAACCTGATGTAATAGTAGATTGAATATCACCTTTAATGGGAGTAGAAATTTGATCAACCTCCAGCTTACTATCAAGATTAGGAAGAATTGGCTGAAACCCTTTTGGAGGGGACTCATTACTGGAATCAATTAATGTTAAATCTGTATTTGGAGTTTGAATAGATTCGAAACCAAGAGCTGAAAGTTTTTGTTGTTTTATTTCTTTTTGTTTCGGCTTTCCTTTTTGAACTTCCATCATTTCTAGCTTTTGTTGTTTAGCTTCTTGTTTTAATCTTTTAGCTTCTATTGCAAGTTCTTGTTTTATTCGTTTTTTCTCTTGACGTGCTTTTTCACGCTGTTCTTGTCGTTGTTGTTTAAGATCCTCAGGAGAAGGCTGGCCTTTATGTCGTTGTAAATGAACAGGTATTGTTTGATCAATACGATGCATTTTGGCATATTCATCTTTAACAAGCCATGGAGCTCCAGCCCAAGATTCACGGTGTACAGAATATTTGATGAATGTTTTAAGAATAACTTTCGTAAAATACTTTCGATCTCGAGTTAACTCAGACTCATCAACTATTGCCTCTTGATCAGGGGAAGATAGTAGTTCTACACGACATTTACAAGTAGCTGGCTGAAATTCACCACTTGATAAACGACGAGCACTGAACTTGGCTTTTTCTCGAATAGTTACTTTTACGCGCTGATCATTTAAATTAGCTATGGCTATTTCGCCTGGATAAAAGTCATGTTTGAAAATATTATAAATATCATCAACCAAAGTATCCAGCCGCGAAGTTGTAGAAAATTGGATTTTTCGAAGAATTGGTTCCTTTAATGGAGCGGGAAATCTATCAATAACTTTTTGTGACTGGACAGCCTTAATCCAAAAAAAAAAAAAAAAAAAAGTTAACTCAAGAAATTACATAGATGATACTAAATTTGTATAGTTATCTTACCTCGCTTTTTAAAGCCTGAAAAAATGTTAAACATGAACGACCAGTAAGCTCACAAATGAATTTTTTTTGGTTATAAAAATCCATACGTTTGAGATATTCCTCGTACGTCTCAAAAAACTCTCTTGTTTCTGGTATATACCACACATCACTATTTAACGAAGGGACATGCCGCGGTTGAAGAGGTTCAACCGTTTTCCTTTTGTAAAAAACCATAAAGATGATTATTTATAATAAAATAATTATGTGAATATTTTTAAATATTCTGAATTTTTCATAAGATATGATTGATAATGATAATGAAGAAATATATGTTTTTGTTTTTGCTGGCAAAATTCAAAGAAGCTTTAATTTTTCTCTTTTACAAATATGTTTTGTGCGGCTCAAATTGTTTTAGGGTTAGGTTAAAAAATTTTAGTTCGATTTTTTTTTTTTTTTTTCATGATCCTTTAAATCTACTTTGATTTGAATTTTTTAATTGACACACAAGAGTGACTTGACTTGGTTTTGAAAATCATGGATGTTCAACAACAGTCCAATAAGCCCCATCGGGCGCCGAGGTCTGATAATACAGCGAAAAAGAAACTTCATTTAAATGGCAATAATGCTAAAGCCTTTGCTTTTAACGCCCCTGGAAAACTCCAGCGTCAAGCAATGAGATCTTCTGATGTATGTGTTTTTCTTCTTGTATTTTATATTTTAATTATAAGATTTATCTAACTACTGTATTACTCTAAATTAGATTAAAGAAAAGAAGTTCCATGTACCCATGGTAGATAGAACCCCAGAAGAGCCTCCTCCAGTTATTGTTGCTGTGGTCGGTCCTCCTGGGACTGGAAAATCAACATTGATTCGAAGTTTAGTTCGTCGTTATACAAAACACACATTAACGGATATCAAGGGTCCCATCACGGTTGTTTCTGGCAAAAGACGGCGCTTAACTTTCATTGAATGTTCAAACGACTTAAACTCTATGATCGATATTGCCAAAATTGCAGATTTGATTTTGCTTCTTATTGATGGAAATTTTGGTTTTGAAATGGAGACGATGGAATTTCTTAACATTCTTTCTCCTCATGGTTTCCCACGTATTCTTGGAGTCACAACTCACCTTGATTTATTTAAAAAGGTTAGCACCATGCGCAATTCAAAAAAGCAACTAAAGCATAGATTTTGGACTGAAGTATACCAAGGTGCAAAATTATTTTATTTATCAGGCGTTATTAATGGTAGATACCCTGATAGAGAAATTCTTAATCTTGCTAGATTTATTTCGGTAATGAAGTTTCGTCCTTTGAAATGGAGAAATGAGCATGCTTATATGCTTTCTGATCGTGTCTCTGATCTTACACATCCATCTTTAATTGAGAAGAATCCAAAAGTTGATCGCAAGGTTGCTCTTTACGGGTACCTTCATGGGTCACCGTTGAATTATTCTAATGCCAGAGTTCATATTCCTGGGGTCGGTGATCTAACTGTTTCAGAAGCTGAAAGGCTTCCTGATCCATGTCCTACCCCGTACGCCATTAAAATGGAAGATGAAAAGGTGGTTTCAGGTAGCACCACAAAACCAAAAGGTAGAAGACGTTTAGATGACAAACTTAAGACGATTTATGCACCCATGAGCGACGTGGGTGGCGTTTTGATTGATAAAGATGCCGTTTACATTGATATTGGTTCTAAATCTTTCATTCCCGGAGAGGAATTGGGAGTAGGAGAAAAGTTGGTAACAAGTTTGCAATCAACTGGCGCAACTTTAGGTGAGATGCCTATAAAATCTGGTATCCAGTTGTTTTCGCAGAGTCAAACATTACATGCTGTTGAAGATGCGTTATTAGATGATAATGAAGATGATGAAATTGAGGAAGAGGTTTTGTCCAGAGGCAGAACATCACTTAGAAATGCTAATGCAGTCGAAGAAAGCGATATGGATTCCTCGGAAAAAAATTTTGATGATGATGAAAGTGATGAAGATGAAAATGGCTATTCACAGAAAGATATTCAACGTAAAAGAAAACAAACTGATTCTTTGGATACCGATGATTATTCAGATTCGAATGAGAATAGGGGGGAAGAATTTGTGTTTGCAGATACAGATTCGGAAATAGGTGAAGATGACGCTGATTTTGGCGCTTATGATTCTGGGTTTGATGATGGCGAAGTTGCAGCATTGCGATGGAAAGAACTTCAAGAAGCTAATTCAAACTCTACAAAATCATATAGAAAATGGGATATATCTAAACTCATTTACATGAACAATATTTCCCCCAAAGATGTTATCAATAGGTGGAAAGGGGTTCATCAGGATGATGGTGATGAAGATGAAGATGACGAAATAATTGAAGACGATGATGAATTTTTTCAAAAGAAAACATTAAATGACGATCTTGATTCGATGGATTGTGGTCAGGCAGAATATGACGATATTGCGGCCTTAGTCGAAAAATGGAAAACTGAAGAAGCAATCGATAGTATCTCTGATCGTTTTTATAAGTCTACATTTAATGTCTCAGAGCCTGCAGCTAATGTTTCTACGGAAGATGATGACGAGGTGTTTGGAGATTTTGAAGATTTAGAAGCCCAAGACGATGATAGTAAACAAACTATTGAAAGCAATAACGATTCCATCTCTGATAAAGCTGAAGGTGATCAAAAGACGGTAGATGAAGTTAGAGCAGAAAATATGGCTAAAAAAGCCAAGCAACGTTTAGAAATTGAAGGCTTATCAGAAGATGTTGATAGAGAGTTTGGTGTTGAAGATCCCGAAGGTGAAGATGAACATGAAACTTGGCATGATTTCCAAAAGGCGAAAATTGCTAAACAAATTGAAATCAACAATGCTGAACTTGAACAATTGGATGTTGCTACCAGAGATCGGATCGAAGGCTATCGTGCCGGTACATACATGCGTCTTGTGTTTGAGAATGTTCCATTTGAATTCATTGAAAATTTTGACCCTCGATATCCTATCCTTGTTGGGTCGTTGCTTACAAATGAGGATAGATTTGGATTTTCTCAAGTTCGAATTAAGCGGCATAGATGGCACAAAAGAGTACTCAAATCTAATGATCCACTTATAATATCCTTAGGTTGGAGACGCTTTCAAACCATTCCAATCTATACTACCTCTGATTCTAGAACTAGAAATCGAATGCTCAAATATACCCCTGAGCACATGCATTGTACCGCTACTTTTTACGGGCCTTTAGTGTCCCCAAATACAGGATTCTGTGCTGTTCAGAATGTTTCTGAGGATAAAAAAGTAGGAAACTTTAGAATTTGCGCCACTGGTACTATTGTGGAAGTGGATCAAAAAGTTGAAATTGTGAAGAAGCTCAAATTGGTTGGATACCCATACAAAATCTACAAAAACACTGCATTCATTCGAGGAATGTTTAGTTCTGCATTAGAAGTTGCAAAGTTTGAAGGTGCTTCCATAAAAACTGTATCAGGTATTCGTGGACAAATCAAGAGGTCTCTAGCTAACCCTGACGGTGCCTTTCGCGCCACATTTGAAGACAAGATTGTTATGTCAGACATTGTATTTTTAAGAGCTTGGCACCAGGTCCTCCCCCGAAAGTTTTATAACCCAGTCACGTCTCTTCTTTTGAAAGATAAGGAAAATTGGAATGGTATGCGACTTACAGGAGTTGTGAGAGCGGAGAAAGGAATTCCTACACCTTTGTTGGAGAATTCAAAATACAACAAGGTTGAACGATTGACTCCTCAATTTAAAAAACTTCATGTCCCAAAGACGCTTATAAATAACCTTCCTTTTACTGAGCTCCCTAAAACAACAAAATCCCGAGGAAAGGAAACATATCTTCAGAAGCGTGCTGTGGTGTTAGGAGGAGAGGAGAAGAAGGCCCGTGATTTCATGGAAAAAGTCTTTGCTCTCCAAAAGGACAAACGTGATAAAAGAGATGCTAAAAATAAAGAGAAGTTGGCAGAGAAAGAAAAGAAAAAGACTGCTATTGAAGAGAAGAAAAAAGAAAAGGCAAGAGAAAGGAAAAAAGATTATTTTCAGACAACTGCTTTGAAAAGAAGCCATAGTGGTAATGCTGGAAGATCTGTTAAAAAACAACGTCAATAGAAAACCCCTTATATTTTATTTAGTTATAATTAAAATTAAAATGAAAATTAAAATTAAAATTTAAATTTAAATTAAAAGCTAGTCCATTTATATGATTTAAACATACTGACTAAGCCATTTGATTCCATCACCATATCCCTGACGCATTACAACCGAACACATATAAATCTCTACAGGACGAACACCAGTATCAAGCTTGACTTTACCCTTACCAGTTGTTTGATACAACCCAAGAGCGATTCTAATTTCCTCCTCAGATGCTGCTGCGGGATCATCGATTTTATTTCCAAGAATCAAAAAGGGAACTCCGTTCAATTCAGGAATAGTAAAAAGAGCATCTAGCTCAGCCTTGCTTTCGGGGAAACGTTCCCTGTCTGCAGCATCCACTAGAAAAACAATTCCATTGACATCCGGAAAATAATCTTTCCATAATCTTCTGGCTTGGGTATGACCACCTAAATCAAAAGTTGTGAATTTGACGTTGCCAATAGATAACTCTTCAGACGTTGGGTGAAGAGTGGGTTGAAGAGTTGCAAGTCTGTCATTCTAAAGAAATTAGAAATTTTAAAAATATAGAAGGGGATTTTTTCATACTTTTAACATATGTAAAAGAGTAGTCTTTCCGGCATTATCAAGACCCAGAAAGAGTAATTTGGCATTTTTGTTGTACAAGCCCAAAGAGGACAAAACGTTAAAAACTAAAGAAGAAAAAAATTTGTTAAAAAAGGATGTAAAAAAATCTTGATTAATATCATAATAGCTTACTCCAGTCAAAAAACCAAACCATTTTCTTATAGGTGATATTTATTGGGGGGTCAAAATAAAAATAGGGTCCGTTTGTGTTATGATAAAAGGGGAAAAGAATAAGATGTTGAAAAAAGATTAAGATTTCATTACCGTGGCACGTTAAATGCTATGTTACACTTGTATTACACTTTCATAATACGTTTAACTAATTAGTAAGTATAATGTGCCTTATTAAAATTTACTGTTAAAAATATGCCTACTTGCTTCCATGATTTTCACTATTGGGATTAACAACTTCCTTGAAATTTTGGTTATTTTAATTATAATTAATTATAATTAATTATTAATAAGTAATTGGCTTTATATTTCTTACTCATAGATTTTATTTAATCTGAAAATATTGAAATTAAAATATTTTGCAGTTTGAATCAGCTTTATTTAAAAATCAACTTTGAAACTATGCGGTTAAGATAGACATATGTGCTCAGATATTCAGAAATATTTTTAAATTATTACATTGAATGTTAATTATTCGTAATAGAAACCAATATTCATTGACTACTATTGAACCAAAAATATTACAGAAAGAAATTTTCGCTCGTCAAAATTTTCCTTTAAAAAAATTTGAAAATTCAAGTATATTTTAAATTAATAAATATATATATGCTTTAGTAGATTCTGAAGGGAGGGCCCATGGTAGACTTGATAACCAAAGAGCCAACATTCTGCCAGTGCTTCTTAAGAAGAGAAACAAGAAAGTTGGCAGAAATCATAATGTGGGTAACAATCTGATCTTCCTCCATATCAACATTACCAACAGCAACAGCCAAACAAAGAACCTTCTTCAGCTGGAACTTAATGGTAGAACGAACTTCACGAACCTTGGTGACAAGGTCCTCGTTGTGAGAAACAGGAGTGGGGAACTTACCAGCCTTGGAAAGCTGGGGACCAAGAAGACGAGGAACCTGCTTAATAAGAACTTCAGAAGCAATAAAAGCATTGTACTTCTTGGCAAGCTTCTTAATAAGCTTCTTGTTCTTGTTAAGTTTCTTGAGATCATCAACAGACATAGCATCAATGCCAGCAGCCTTAGCACGATCAACATCAATGGCATCACCAAAAATGCAGATGGTCATGTTGGGACGAGGAACCTCAGGAAGCTTGATGGTACCAGAGAAACGCTTATCTCTCTGAGGATCATAGTTCTTGAGACCAACTTGGAGCTCAATAGTCTCAAGGAAGTTTCTCTTCTTCTTCTCAGAAGCCTCGAGGAGTTCCTTGACTCTCTCACGAACGTCTTTAGAAGTGATCTTAGACATGGCTGGATATTTGCTGTCTGAACAAAAGGACTTTTGCGATAAATATTATCTCCCAAAACTTGGTGTAATCCTTGGTGAAGTCAAAGATAGAAAAAAAAATTAATTTTTTTGTAAAGTTTGAAATTTTTTTTAGCATCCAACTGGAACAATTTTTAATTTCTGATGTTAGGGTTAAGGATTTAGAAATAACAGTCACACTTATTAATAACTGACTAATGGTATTATTAATGAAATACCCATATGGTCACTATCAGTTATTACAACTCTATTAATTTTAATTATTAAGATTTTTATGAAATTAATTAAAATAAATACTAGTATTTAAATTTATTCGTTATGGCTTAAGTTTTATGTTTTCCAATAATCAAAATGGTTCATTTTAGCTTAGGGTAACTATTTTTACTATGTGTGTTAAGAATTAATTTTTTTTCAAAATTTTTTTGTAGTGCTAAGTGTTCTCCCTTTTATTTTCAAATGAATTAAGAGATTCTATGAAATAATTTAATTTTAATTTTAATTTGATATAAAAACAATTAATTGATTTCTGAAGTTTCAGCAATTAGGATCGAAGCTAAGCTCATAATTATAACTTAAAAGTTATGGGGTTAATGGAATCTTATGATAATTATCTTATAAAATTATAAGTGTAAAATGATGATGAGACATGTTACATTTATTCAAATCATTACATTTGGTTAAGTAAGCTGGATGTGTTATTTTCACATTAATTTAAACGTTGAGCTCAAATAAATTTAATAAACGTTTTGCATCCTGATTTCATTGAAAAAAATACCAAATATGCCATTTTTCTCTTCGATTTCACAACCTTCAATGAGCAGTATTAGTATTTTAAAAATATCAAACTTATATAGACCTTTTTTTTTTACTCGATTTAGATTTAATGACATCCATCGAAATTATTCATCCAAAAGTACATCCTCAAAACGATGGCTTGTTAGACAACGCAATGATCGATATAGTGCTGAAGCTAAAGTCCAAGGATTGATGTCACGAGCAGCTTTCAAGTTAATTGAATTAAATGAAAAACACAATCTTTTTAAACCGGGTATGACAGTTGTAGACTTAGGTTTTGCGCCGGGTTCTTGGTCTCAAGTCGCTATACAAGCAACGCGCCCCAATGGTAGGGTAGTAGGTGTAGACATTTTACCTTGTCGGCCCCCAAGAGGAATGTCATCTATTCAAGGCAATTTTTTAAGTAAAGCAGTTCAGGATGAACTCAAGATAATGCTTTCGGACCCCAAATCGGGTCGACCTATTTTAGGGAAACACGCTTTCTTAGACGAACAAAAAAACAAAGAAAGTGTCGATGAAATTCCAGAAAATGACTCATATGTCAACTTAGAAAGAGCTATTACGACAGATCATAACAATAACACGAAAATAAAAGATCTCGGTTCGAGTGTACAGAATCACCATTTTTCTGTAGATATTGTGTTAAGTGACATGTGCGAAATTTGGCCCCAGACATCTGGATTTTGGTTACGGACTATTAACGACCCATATATTAGGATGATGAACACCTCCGGAAATTCGCTTCGCGACCACGCATATTCTATAGTGAGTTAATTCTGTTGTCAATACTTCATGAACTATATTAATAAGGATTCAGGATTTGTGTGATGCGGCTCTTATGTTCGCGCTCGATACACTAAAGCAAAACGGTAAATTCGTTTGCAAGTTTTATACAGGGGCTGAAGATCGATTTTTAGAGAATAGGCTTAAGCGTGCATTTAAATCTGTTAAAAGAGAAAAACCAAATGCTACTCGATCAGAATCACGAGAAATGTACTTTGTCGCTACTGGAAGAAATATACAGGTCACTAGACAATCCGTTTTTGGTTTAAGCAAGGGTGAAAAATGATTATTTACTAAATAAAATATTATATAATGATATCAGTTTAAAAATGAAAATTATTCTTCAGATATAACCTGTTGAGATACTGAGTTCTCTTCGGTGACATTTGAAGATTCTGGTTCTGTGACAGCCTCATTAATATCAATCAAATCACCTTCATTTGATCCGTTACCCAATGATTGTACTTGGCTGGTAGGGAACTTATCAGGACTGTCCTCAGGCGAAATGATAACAGCGGCAGTCTTTTGCTTTCCGGATGCTACAAGTTGCTTTTTCCAAAGATCAACAGACTTACTGATATCACCACCATAGCTCAGTGCTAACAAAGCAGCCTCGGGACTTCTATTTGTCTTATTCAGAAGTTTAACACACTTATCTATGTCCTGGACATACCATAATGCATTAAAAGCCACATTATATTTACCAAGATCTGTTGCTTGCATAGCAACGTCTTTGAGAGCCACGTTATTTCCGGTGCTAGTATAAATCAAAAGTAACGATTCTAAATCATTGGCTTGCTTAAAGCATTCTTCAGCTAATGTAACATTCCACGACTTCAAGGCAGCATCTCCAAGTAACTTCCATTTATGAGAGTTATTAACATCTGCAGCAATTTTTTGAGCAATTTTCAAATTACCCAACGTAATGGCCAAATCAAACCGCTGCTCAGGATCCTCAGAAACTTCAAGAGCAATTTCAGGATATCCCTGAGCTTCCAGGAATCTGGCTACTTTTGTCTTTTCAGTTTCAGGAATATCTTCCAAAACTTCGCTGGCTAGATCCATATCTCCTCTTAAAATCAAAGTTTGGTATTCGAGTACTTTAAGAGAAAAATGATAAGAAGTGACATTGACATCCTTATCAGCCAAATAAACGGCATTATCTCGGGGAATATAGCCAAGTAAGTACATTTGTTTATCGAAATGACTAATGGTGTATGCCTCCCCACCAACCAGGTAATTAAGTTTATTAGAGGTCGTAGTATAAAGAAAACAATCTCCGACCCATTTTCCTGTTCTAACAGATTCTGAAATATCATAGATAAGATCAAAAGAATCTTCGGCTCCAGAATCGTCTTCATAAGTCCCATTGTTAAGTGATTCAAGGAATAAATCACGATCATACTTCAACACATAGAATGTATCTTCCGAAGTGATAGCAACGAGATCTCCAGCTTCAGACCAAAATACTTGTTGAGCATCGACGTCAACTCTTCTAACCAATCTGCCGGTCTCCCAATCATAAAATGAGACGAAATCATCACTTTTACATCCAATCAATGACCCCCCAAAAAGCTTCGTGGGTTTAAAAGGAACATTCAAAGCATCAGACCGTTCTTTAAAGTTCTTAAAAAGTTGAACTTGGTTATTAGAATTGCGAACCGCATATTCATTATTATCTTGAGCCCAAACAAAATCAACAGCCGAACCAAAGGATTTGTTACGCCATGCTAAGGCTGTATAAATGATATATTCACCATCGCCAGTCACAGCAACAAAACGTCCGTTGGGGGAATGAATAAGTTGTGTTGGAAAAACTTCGACAGATCCTAAGTCTTTTTGTGCAAGGGTTAACAAATCTCCATCTTTCAATTCTTCTGAGTGTTTTACAACACTACTGAATACCTCCGAATGCTTCGACCATACGATTTTTCCAGTGGGATCCATAGAAATAGTAGGTTCATCTTTACCCATTTGTAAAACGACAACACCACCATCAAAACCCAAACCAACGTAATTTGAACCTTTTCGGCAAGTCACACACCAAGCCCTGCTTAAACCATAATTTAAGGTTTGCTCTAACTTAAAGGTATTCGAATTCCAAATTGATACTGAACGATCCTCGGAGCCCGAAATAATAATTGGGAGCTCAGGATGGAAAATGGCAAAAGAAACATTGCTAGTATGCCCTTCTAAAGTTGCAACGTTACTTTTCATTTGATAATCCCATACACGTATAGTCTTATCATCTGAAGAAGTTATTAAGTATGGCTTATCTGGGTGTGGGTAATATTCGACAAAGTTGACACCGCGCGTTTCATGAGCCAAAAATGTGAGATTAGGCGTCGAAGATCCTAGGGACCAAATCTTCACAGTGCCATCAAGACAAGCCGATGCAAATGTGTTAGGATCTTTAGGATTAAATGCAACATACATAACATAATGAGTATGGCTCTCAAAAGTGCGCAAAAGTTTCCAATTCATTTCCCAATTCCACATCTTTATAGTCATATCATCGCCAGCAGATAAAATAATTGGCTGAGTAGGATGAATCGCAATGGTTCGAATGTAATCGGGGTGTGCTTCAAATTGAAAAACCTTTTCAGAGGTATTGTAATTAAAAACACGAATTTGATAATCATCTGATCCTACGACTATCCAATTCTTACGAGCAATGAAGCGACCAGCACGAACTGGAAGATCACTAACTTCAATTGTTTTAATAACGGCCTATTATAATTAATAACTGCCATTTAAAGTCTTAGAAATAACAAAACATACCTGAGTTTCATATGAATAAATCTGGACTCGACCTAAAGAGTATTAGATAAAGCTAAACAGGAAAATTACTGGTAAATACTAACCACTAAACAATGTAGTAAGAATCTGTGTTAAGTTAGAATACAGAAAAAGCAAGAAATAATTACTAAAAAACATACCCATGGTTCTGTTGGATGAAAATCAATCCCCTTTACACGATCTGACCGTACTTGAAGAGTTTTCTAAAACAATATAAAATGTCAGTAAATAAATTAAACAGTTTCGACTGGAGTGACGTACCTTTATGTCAAACTTCATCTTAGTTTTTTAAAATTCCTATAATGATGAATATCTCGTTATTGAGATATTTGAAATAAAAAGTTACTAGTAGGGTTGATATCAAGAATTAAGATATTATGTTAAGAAAGGAGAGTTATTAGCAGATATATATGGAACTCTGCGATTAGAAAAATGTGGACACTTCAGCACATTTAAAGTTATGACATTGCAATTGCCAGCAAATCAAAAAAAATTACAACATAACAAACTGTTGTAACAATTATTTGTTACATATGGCTGAACTTGATCATGAAAATTAAAAAAAAAAATTTTACTGAAAATTTCCTGTTTCATCCTACACATTGTATTTACAACAATTGAAGTGATAATATAGTTTATGAATTGAAAATGGATCAACTTAATGCTCGGGAACAACAGGAATTTCAACAACTTGTTGAGAGAAAACAGATGAAGGATTTCATGAGAGTATGTGTATTGTTATGCTCTGTATAAAGACATATGTTTTTAAATTAACATTAACAACTGTAGCTTTATTCGTCTCTTGTCCAACGATGCTTCAGCGACTGTGTGAATGACTTCACATCTAACACACTTTCTTTTAAAGAGGAAACCTGTATCAACAGATGCTCTGAAAAGTTTTTGAAGCATAGTGAGCGCGTTGGTCAAAGATTTCAAGAACAAAAGTAAGTTTTTCCACCCCCTTTACCATTTTAAAATTTTAACAGCTTTATAGTGCCCTTTTAATGCAAAAGCAGCAAGGACGTTAACGATCAAATAGTTTTATTGTATATAATGAATTTATCACTTATTTTTACGTTTATTGGACTCTTCAATTATTGCCTCATCCTCATCAATTATTGCAATGGGTGATTCACTACTGGCTCGGTTACTATCAGATGTGGTAGACTGATTTACCGTTGCAGCATCAGTTCTTTCCGCACCTCTAAATAATGCAAGAAGGGTGTCTGTATCATGCTGCATTTCTCTTGTCCATAATGAAATGTCACTATCCCAGCCATTATACATAACCGCATTGGCAAACATTTTTTGTAATTCGCGCTCTAATTCCGCAGTGTTTTGAATCCTACCGTCTTTAACCATAGCTTTAATTGTACGCAGATTAACTGGTTCGTAAATCATTTCATAATAGTTTGGCGCATCATTAGGATTAACAGGATTTATAAAAAATGACGCTGATTTATTTGATGAAATGTTTGAAATCAAAGGGTTTGCTAAAGTTAAAAACCGCTTATTTGGGGTGTTTCCTGTAGAAAAATTGCGATCTGATGGAGACCGAGTTCTTTTTCTTTTCTTATTAAGTATTGGATGTTTGCTTATCCCATCTTGACGATGGGATGAAGATCTTGTTCGAGATGAAGGTGCAAGAGTAGAATCGCTACTGATAGTTTCCCGATTATCATCACCACCTTCACCTTCACCTTCACCTTCATCGTCGTCATCGTCATCATCATCGTCATCGTCATCGTCATCATCATCGTCATCGTCATCGTCATCATCACCTTCATCATCCCCATCACCTTCACCGTCACTATTTTGTAAAACAGGGCTTTTCTGTTTATCAAGCTCTTTTGCTTGGAAATATTTATTTGTTTCTTCCTGCTTCAATTTATTAATCCTTTGTGATTCCTGCTTCTCGTCCGTTTTTACATTAATACTTAGGTCAGAAGAGATTTCACCCAAAATGATTTCAGAATTGTTGATTGGTGATGATTTACTAAAAATTTGTCCTTCACTACTATTGTTAGCAACATTTGACTCAATACTATCTTTGCTTTCTAGCAAGTTCAGTTCCAATGCAACGTCATTTTTCAGATCATTTTGAGGTTTTGTCTCCTGTTTGTCTCTTTTTTCTGAATTATCTTCGTGGGGTTCTCCTATAATATCTCTCAGAGGCTTGCCTTTCTTTTCATTACATGTTTTCTGAACATCATTTGTGTCAAGAATATCAGAAGCATGACATAGCTTAGACCTAGTTGAATCTCCATTTTCAGACTGACCATTTTTTATTTTGTAGATCGCTTTATCTTTAAGAAACCCTTCATCTTTCTTTGGTAACAATTGGTCTTTTCCTGGAAATATTGCGCTATTTTCATTTAGCTTCAACGGTTCTTTAGGGGTACTTGGATGTATAGGTGATACTGCAGGAGGTTCTGGGCTTTCAGGTATGCTGCATTCCAGATTATTTGAATTATCAGACTTCAAATGACTTTTAATAGATATTTTATTCTTGATGTTATTTTTTGAATCATTTTCTAAAATTTCAGAATCTTTAGTCACTCCCGGCAAACGTTTTTTATACGAATCAATGTTTTCTTCTTTAGAATTTTCTTTTGATGCCTCTTCTATTTTAATATTATCTAAAGGCCGAGTTTCGTTACCAGAAATAAAAGAATCTGTTGATGACGTTTTAACAGGTTTTAACAATGCTGTAGAATTGGTAACTATTTTTTTGACATCAGGGATTGTTAAAGAGGATTGTGGTAAGATCTGAGCGTGTGTTACATCTAAATCGTTATCTTTAACTTTGTTAATATCATGGCTTTTTGTCTCTATTGCAACCATCGTGAGAGTTTCGTTTTTTATCTTTAAGCTATCTTTGTTTTCGTCATTTCCAATATCAGACAAATCAGATTTTTCAGACAATTTCCTAAAAGCTTCAGCGTTTATTTGCTTGTTAAGTGTAGATTTTGTGGATTCGACAAAATCATTTTTCTTTGAAACAAAAGTTGATGATTTTTCAGTAAGTTGAATCAATGAGGAAGAAATATTACTTGGTTGAACACTAGAAGATGTTTCAACATCTGATACGACCGGAACTGAAGCAATTGTGGGTTTAGCTGATCCAATTAATTTATTGGAATCAGGAGTTAATGAAGAAATTTCATTATCTTGTGAAAAAATTGTCTTTGGTATTTTGGATAGATCTGTTGAGCCTAATGCAGTACTAGATACCGAAGCTTGTAGATTTTTACTTTGTGACTGGGAACGTTGGGTTAGATGTTGTTGAGGTTGAACTATTTTTTGAACATTGGTGTTCTGTTGCAAGTTAATCTTTTGCTTCTGAATGGAATGTTGCGGTTGTTGCGGCAGTTGTGGTGGCTGAAGTTGCGGTGTCTGAGGTTGTTGTGGTGTCTGAGGTTGTTGTGGTGTCTGAGGTTGTTGTGGTGTCTGAGGTTGTTGTGGTGTCTGAGGTTGTTGTGGTGTCTGAGGTTGTTGTGGTGTCTGAGGTTGTTGTGGTGTCTGAGGTTGTTGTGGTGTCTGAGGTTGTTGTGGTGTCTGAGGTTGTTGTGGTGTCTGAGGTTGTTGTGGTGTCTGAGGTTGTTGGAGTTGTTGGAGTTGTTGGAGTTGTTGGAGTTGTTGGAGTTGTTGGAGTTGTTGGAGTTGTTGGAGTTGTTGGAGTTGTTGGAGTTGTTGGAGTTGTTGGAGTTGTTGGAGTTGTTGGAGTTGTTGGAGTTGTTGCGGTTGTTGCGGTTGTTGCGGTTGTTGCGGTTGTTGCGGTTGTTGCGGTTGTTGCGGTTGTTGCGGCTGTTGTGGTGTCTGAGGTTGTTGCGGTTGTTGAGATTTTAGCGATTTTAGCGATTTTTGCGGTTGTTGGAGTTGTTGGAGTTGTTGTGGTTGTAGTGGTTGTAGTGGTTGTTGTGGCTGTTGCTGCTGTTGCTGCTGAGGTTGTTGGAGTTGTTGGAGTTGTTGCGATTGTTGCGATTGTTGCGATTGTTGCGATTGTTGCGATTGTTGCGATTGTTGCGATTGTTGCGATTGTTGGAGTTGTTGCGGTTGTTGGAGTTGTTGCGGTTGTTGGAGTTGTTGCGGTTGTTGGAGTTGTTGCGGTTGTTGGAGTTGTTGCGGCTGTTGCTGCTGAGGTTGTTGTGGTTGTTGCAATTGTTGGAGTTGTTGCGATTGTTGGAGTTGTTGCGGTTGTTGCGGCTGTTGTGGTGTCTGAGGTTGTTGCGGTTGCGGTTGCGATTGTTGTGGTTTTATTTGTCGTACCTGCAGTTGTTGATGCAGTTGCGGATTATGTAGCTGCTTCTGTTGATTCTGCAGTTGCAGTTGCAGTTGCAGTTGCAGTTTCTGTTTCTGTTGCTGTTGCTGTTGCTGTTGCTGTTGCTGTTGCTGTTGCTGTTGCTGTTGCTGTTGCTGTTGCTGTTGCTGTTGCTGTTGCTGTTGCTGTTGCTGTTGCTGTTGCTGTTGCTGTTGCTGTTGCTGTTGCTGTTGCTGTTGCTGTTGCTGTTGCTGTTGCTGTTGCTGTTGCTGTTGCTGTTGCTGTTGCTGTTGCTGTTGCTGTTGCTGTTGCTGTTGCTGTTGCTGTTGCTGTTGCTGTTGCTGTTGCTGTTGCTGTTGCTGTTGCTGTTGCTGTTGCTGTTGCTGTTGCTGTTGCTGTTGCTGTCTTTGTTGTTGTTTTTGTTGCAATTCTAACTGCCTTTGAAGATTGAGCTGTTGTCTCTGAAGTGCTAACGCCTTTTCTCTTTCCTGTTCTTTGAGAATTTCAGGATCAAGAGTACCCCTTTCTATTTGATCTATCTCTTTAATTTTTGTACTGAACTGATGCTCATCATGTTTAATCTGTGTAACTATATCTTTTTTATAAGATTCATAAAGCTTAGCTAGTAGTGCCTGAATTATAGCTCCTGTTGGACGAGTTGGGTTTTGAGGGAATAAGGCATTATACAAAGATTTACAAGCACCAGGGCTTAAATTAAATTCAGAATTTAAAGGGTGGTCCTTCAGATCTTGGGAAAGCTTTAAGAAAAATTCAGGTGATGCTGGTAATGGTGATGATTTTCTGTGTTCACTGCTATGTGGTTCCTTTGCTTGTTGTTGAGCTTCAGCCTCTGCATCTACAAGTTGTTTATATATCACTTGAGCAAAAAGTAAGTTTAACAAAGCAGTGGACATTTGTCAAAATAAGAGTGGTAAATTATTGCTTTAATTGTTCGAGAAAATTGTGAATATTAAAGATAGTTAGTTGAAAATTTCTATTAGAAGTAGATTTTAATTTATCTAAAAAAATTAGTTTCGGTTTTGCTTATGTTTCCCTCTGGTAGAGCTCTTCGTGACTTTCTGTAACAATAATATTTGTTGTCACTTAATTAAGTAACAGTCTAATTAAATTAGGCTTAGCTAACTTGGCATAATGAACAAAACAGGTGGACAAGTCAAAATAAATATGCTGAAGATAATTATTTAAGCTTATAAGTTGAAGCATATAAAATAATAAAAATTTGAACGATAACATATCCATATTTCTACCTTACAGTACTAATTTTAAATAGTTTTTTCAAACGAAAAACCTGGTAATTTTTTCCTGGGTTAACCCAATGGTATGCTAACATGCCCATTGCCAAGTTATCATATACTTTTTTTTCAAAAGAAAAAATTATAGCATTACCCCAAATTTTGCAAACATCATCAGGTCTAATATTGATAGAAGTTCAAGGAACTATTCATATTGGACACCGCACCTTAGTTTCTTCTGAAGGGTTTGGATTAAACAACCTAAATGAAAATAAACGTCAGTCAGAGCTTATTCAATTTCTTGGGAAATTTAATTTCTCAGAGCTAGAGAATAATAAACTTTCTCTAACAATTGATGAGCATCAATCTCTTCATGGTAAAGTTGTCAAATTGAAAAAACCATTAGCAATATTAAAAATAGACCATTTAATTGATCAACAAAAAAATTGTACTCGTTGTGATCACGAACCGATCAATATTCCACTGCTTGATCTTATTGAATTTAAAATTGTATTTACTTCACGTCCTGAACCTATTGTTTACATTACATAATCGTTGTTTACTTTTTTTCAAAACAGAAATTTTTTATATAACAATAAATAGTGTAAATACAGTATCAAATTAAAAAGAAAATACATTAATCTATATATCTATTAAAATAAGATTATGATTTCATTTATATACTAACCACCAACCATTCCCCTTTTTTCGTTATTTTATTTAACAGGTTTAATCTTTTAATGGTTTAATTTTTTCTACCATTGAAATAGTAACATAATTTGTGTATTTTTTCAGATTGATTTTAAGATTTTTTTACCGATGTCGTATTTTTTGGGCGAAAAGGCATTCCCCCTACCACAAACAAGCTTGAACCAGTTTAAGGGCCGAGCAAATCGCCATATTTCTGGAGACATTGCTGAAGTCAGTAATGAGATCAACAATATTCAAAAACTTTTTACAAATGTTGCCGATAAACTAGAGAATTTAAGAGAGCCTTATAGTGAAAACGATTTTCAATATACCGATGATGATATTGAAGATTTATCAGTTTCTGAAAAAGCAAGAAGAGAACAACGAGCCTATAATATTGATACTGCTTTACAAACAATATTTTCCAATTACAGAGCATTGATTGACTTGAATGCTCGTAATAAAATTTTGTCTAACGCAACCTCTATTGCAGCAGAAAGTTACAGACCTCCTCCAAATTTTGAAAAAATTGATGAAAATAACATAAGCTCTATGCAAACCGATAACCTAGCCTATATTTTAGATCAGAAATACAACCAACTGGTAAATGAATATAATTCCAAATCTCAAAGTGAAAGATATAATGATACCGCTTCAAATTATGTGTCTATGAGAGAGCATATTTGGTCGATCAACCATAGTAAAGCTATGCCAAACATCAATAGAGAATACAGTGATTATGATGAAGATGAAGATGATGATTTAGTAGTTGAAGAAACTGTTCAATCTTATAAGTGTCCTTTAACAAAACAATATTACGAAAATCCAGTGAGATCAAGAGTATGCGGGCATTCTTTTTCATCCGCTGCTATATATGAGATTTTGAATAATAGCTATTTTCATAGTGACAAAATTTTATGTCCTATTCCTGCATGCTCTCACCATTTTAGTCGCAATGATTTGGAACCCAATCCTCAATTAGATCGAGAAACCAAGGCAGCAAAAAGACGAGAACAACTTGAACAAGAAAAGGAAGATCGCAATATTGATCGTCTTTGAATTAACGAAAATGCCATTTAAAATTTTATAATTAAATTATGTATTTATTTACGATAATTTTAAATGAAATTAACACTTCAATTTATTATGATGATATTGTAATAAAAATTAGGATAAGGTTATTAACATATATATATTATATAATATTTTACTTTTTTAACGTTGACTAGTTAGCTACTAATAAGTGGGTTATTAAAAATTTACTAATAATAAATTATTATAGGGAATTCTCTTTTTTTCTTTTTTTTTCTCAAATGTGTTGAAATGCCCAGTGTTGAAAAATATTAAAAATATTAAAAATATTATAATGTCAGAGCAACAGATTGCGTTAACCAATTCTGCAACCCGCAGACAACAACCTGGTACAACTACCGTGGCTAATACTGCCAATAATACCACTGGAGGCGTCCCAATGTCTTCTGTTACTTCTTCTAATCCCAACAGACAATCCAAGAGATACTCTGTTGCAGCTTTATATATGTCTATGGGTGGTGTGGACCGCGACGACGATATTGATGACGAGCTGGCAAAAGCTCAAAAATTTCTGCGAGAATTAAAATTCAGTATTAGCGAACAATCGAAAAAAAACTTCTTATTAGAAAAAGATGTACGTTATCTTGACAGTCGTATTGCACTCCTAATTCAAAATCGAATGGGCCTCGAGGAGCAAAATGAAGTTGCCTCAAGACTAGAACCTGAATCATCACCAGAAAATAATACCAACAATGAATATTCAAAAGATTCTGATGAATATTTTCCTGATCGAAAGAAAACTGAGCTTTACGGAAATCTATTTTTTTTGCTTCAAAGTGAACCTAAAAATATTGCTGTCTTGTGCCGCCTTGTTTCTATGGCCGAAATTGATTCGCTATTACAAACAGTTATGTTCACTATTTATGGAAACCAATATGAACAACGTGAAGAACATTTGCTTTTGTCTATGTTTCAGGCCGTTCTTGCCCATCAATTTGAAAACGCCACTGAGTTCTCTTCCTTATTACGAGCCAATACCCCAGTTTCTAGAATGATGACTACCTACACTAGAAGACCTCCGGGACAGGCATATCTTCGATCATGTCTCTCTAATAACTTAAACAAAATTATCGATCAAAAAGACTTAAATTTGGAGATAAACCCACTCAAAGTTTACGACGAATTAATGGACAATAATGAAGACCCTTTTACTTCTCGACCTCATATTACGCCCGATGATGCCTTTAAGAATCCACAGGTCCAAGCATTTATAAAACCAAGACTTATTGAACTTGATAACTTAGCAAACGATCTTTTAAATACACTTATATTATCACTTGATTCGGTACCTTATGGAATCAGATGGATATGTAAGCAAATACGACTTTTAACGAGAAGAAAATATCCAACAGCCTCGGAAACTGCTGTTTGCTCATTGATCGGTGCTTTCTTTTTTCTGCGATTTGTTAATCCTGCTATTGTTACTCCACAAGCATACATGCTCGTTGACAAATTCCCTTCTGATAATTCTCGTCGAATATTAACACTCATAGCTAAAATGCTTCAAAACCTAGCAAATAAACCTTCATATTCAAAAGAACCTTACATGAGTAACTTAGCAGATTTTGTTTCTTCAAATCGTGCACGCATAAACAGATTTTTAAATGACCTTTGTGAAGTTCCTGATTTTTACGAGTCTTTGGAAATGGATCAATATGTGGCCTTATCAAAAAAAGATCTGAAATTACCTATAACCCTAAACGAAATATTTGGAATGCATTCACTGTTAGAAAAATATCGAACAGGTGTTATACAAAGTGAAGATTCACATCTTGCAATACTTCTAGATGATCTTCAAAGAGCACCACCTCTAGTTCCACGAGCTATTAATGGAACTATGGAGCTCCATCTATTTAATCGATGGGAAACAGAAGTTGGAGATATTGATAACAACCTTGATTTTTTACGTGCAGATGTAATTTTTATGGAAGCAAAAACACTTATGATAAACATTATTCGAAGTTTTCCTACGGGACATGTGATTCTTCAAAAACCATTTGATCTCCATAGAATAGCTGATTTTGCAGCAATGAACAATGAACCCGGAATTGTGAAACGAGGGATAAAGGCTCTTGATTTGCTTAATGAGATAGAGGAATCTAACCCTGATGATTATGATCTACTTGTTTCGGAAGTAGAGTATGAACTTAATCAGTTAGGATCATTAAAAGAATCTGTTGAAAAAGAGGCAGAATCTTTAAAAGCAGTTTATACAATTATCAGAGAGCACAATGATTATTTGAGATCTCAACTTAATACTTATCGTTCATATTTGACCAATGTTAGGCAATATACGGTTGGATCAAAAAATGACCGACCTGTTGGTGTGAGCATTATTAAGAAAGATGAGAATGCTATCAATATGACAAAAAAGGTTGGGAGAGTTAAAACTAAAACGTCTAAGCATCGAATAATACAAAAAAAATTTGGAATTCAAAACTTACAACGAGATGGAGTTGTAAGTGACTGGAGACTTCCCCAATCAAGAATGGGGAATCTATTCCTTGATATTGTTTCGCCAACTCCAGGAACATTTGTTTTATCATTGATAATGAAGGGACGCCCCCAGCCAATTTTTATTTTGGATTTTAAATTAGATGATTTACTTGAAATGAGAGATAAAGGGATAGAAGTTTTGGATTTGAAATGTTTGGGGATTAATGTCAAAAACCTCCAGACCCTTTTAACAGAGTTTTCCAAAAAAAGATAATATAATTTATTAATTTATTATACACCAGATTCAAATACATTTAAATTTTTTAGTGCCCGATTTTCGGCTGTGCAGCTAGCACAATAATGAGCAAGTGCTTTACGAACATTAACGGGTTTCTCATCCAAGGAAGAGAAATGTTTATGATTTTTTTTCTTAATATCGCCACTAACCTCATTTTCTTCATTTTCAAGGTATCCTTTTTTTGACACAGCTAAGAGCTCCCAAAATCTAGAACACATACTGACTTCATCAAATAGCCATGTTTGCCACTCAGCCATTACTAACTCCTTTTCTATCCTATTCAGAGTCCGAAGCTCAATTATAAGCTGGTTCCTAGCAATACCAAGTTTAGAGCGAAATCCGTGTATCCTATTTCTAACAGTAGCCACAAGTTCTGAAGAGGAGCCAAGCGCATTTGGAAATTCATCTAAAAGATGAGGATTTTTTTCAACAAAATTCTCATCAAAATTAGGTGTTTCCAAGGCCAAAGTACGAAACCTATTGTAGCAAAGAGAAGTTCGCATCGGATCATTTTCATCATCACTTGTCCATATTTTAGGATAGTCTTTGGAAATGAAAGTTCCCTGCCATTCACCGCTGTGATGAGGCAAACTGGAAAAGGATGTCCCATTCCGAATTAGGTCGTCTAAATCACTTAAAGAAATCAGAGCGTTTCAAAAGTGTAGAAGACAAGGGTAAAAGTTCGAATGAATCAATTGCTTTATTTGCAAAACGGACGTCCCAGTATTCTCTTGTTGACTTGCCTAGTAAAAAAAGATTGAATAACAAAGAACATAAAAGTCCAAATAAAATTAATCTATTAGACAAAATTCCTTGCCATAGAGCTTTAAACGCTCTCTGAGAAACAAGAAGCGCATCACCCAAAATAGAAATTATCAATGACGCTCCAATTTCTAAAAGTGAAACAATTGCCGACTTTTGAGAAAGAACAATTTGATTATTTGTTGAGTTTTCAGTGATAACTGTGGTGCTCCGAACAAAGGGTTTCGGGTCAAAACTTTTGTCGTCAAAAGAAGCACCTAGTTTTCCAAACATCCTGATGGCAGTTACTGTACTTCCTCTTGAGCCTAACTGCTGCCGAGCTTTCAATGCTCTATGTATTATAATTTTGGCTTCAGCTTTTAATTTTGATAACAAATACGGTTCTGTCATATTTTTAATGATAGAGGACCGAAGCCACTCCACGCTACTCCAGATGGATAACTTGCAGGAATTTTTCGATGTCTTTAAAATGACATATCGTTTTGTGGTATAAAACGAAGCTTGCGGTAAAGTCCAAATAGCTCGTCTTTCATAAACAATATAACATCTGTCGTTCATTCTTTCCACTCTTTGAATGTTCATGACCCGATCCTGAATTTCGCCTGAGAAGGAATTAGTTGATGCGATATGATGATATATTTCACGTTCCATTCTAGAACTTCCTACCAATTTCCATGGAGTGACTTCAAAATTATCACGATTAATTAAACCTGAGTAATTATACAAAAATACATCAGAGTTTTCGCCAAACATTACGTGAAAAAGTGCTTTTGCAGGAATATCAAAATCTGATTCACCAGATAATTGAGACATAGATTGGGTCAATTCTGAGTATATATTATCTTTATACTCAGAATCACTCATAACAAGATAATTAGTGTTTTTTGAAGGCCGTCGCAGAGATGCATCTGAAGATTGTGGTTCTAATGAACTTGAGTTTGATTTAAGAGGGGGTTTTGTATCTTCACGGTCGTAGTATTGTCGTAGATGAGTTTCATATCGTTGCCCAGCCTCCTGTGCATATTGAATCTCTTCCATAGTGGTGGAAGAAGTCTTATCAATCAATAATAACTGGTCAAGTTGATCTTCATGTTTTTCAGTTCCAATAAAGTTCAGTTTATTAATGATATCTTGTAAACCTAGACGATTTTTGGAATTAGCATTATCAATTAAAAACAATAATCGCTTTTGCAACAATCTTCCTGAATCTAAAAATACATGACAAGAAGTCGTCCCACGCTTTCCAATGAAATAGATAGTGTCACCATTTAACGCTTGCCGGCTTTCAACGCTAATAATGTCTGTGAGTTTACATATAGCTGTTATAGTAAATCCAGAACTATGGGAATAAAGACACATATGTGTTGGAGTAACAAACACTCTGCTTGTAACTTCATAATTGTGATTCGGTTTTGCAAGGCATCTAAACACCAAAACAACTCTATCGTAATCATCGTCAGCAATGATGGATTGAAATATAGCACGAAGCTGAGCATCCTGAGCCCGAAGTTCTAAAGGATAATAGTCAGGATATCTTGATACAAAAAGTTGAACATTGGACTTTCTATGTTCAAGTGGTAAGTGGTGATCGGACAGCTTGTCTTCTGTATTATCTGTCTCACTTTTTTGTAAAGGAGCATTTTCAGTTGAGGCATTAGATTTTTTATCCTGATACACGATCCAATTTATGCTACCCCAATAATTTGCTGTAATAGCTGTTGGCAACGTTGTAGTATCAATAAGAGAGTTGGCAAGAATTGCTTCAAGAGATTTAGATGTTGGCATTGGTGAATTAATAATAGGAGAAGAAACAAGATTAGAACCAAATGGTCCAGTTGTAATAAAATCCACCTTGGCTTTATTTTCGTTATTTCGGTTCAATGATTCTCCAAGATTCATAATTTCACGTAAGCTATTGGTTGTATCATCGCTGAACAGGCTTCTACTAGTGAATTCATTTGGCTGAGAAGTGGGCGATTCTAATGCTTTATCATGAAGTTCCAAATCAACTGATGCACTTGTCGTAGACGCAAAATCGCTCAATGGTGGAGGTATTCTTTGAAAAGCAAATGTAATCTTGGATTGCCGTCCACTGTTTACAGCAACACTTTTAGAATCTTCATAGACTTGAAGCCAAGAAATCAATTCAAATTGAGATTCCGCTTGAACAACAAAAGTATGATCCTTTGTTTTAATCTCAAAACAAAAACGACGGTCTTCTGATGTGACAGGCATGAAATGGCACAATAAAACACCAACTTTATCACTTTCTTGAACAAAAGTTTTTGATGGTGAAATATTGAGCCATCCAAACATGGAGCTTTTGACAAAGATCCAACGTCTAACCCAAGTAACTCGAGTTTTTGAAACAGATTTTACAAAAACCCATCCATGCTTTTCATCTTGAATTTTTCTACCTTCAGTACTATCAGGAACAAATCTTGATAAAGTTGACTTAGCTGGTGTGTACTCTGTTAAATCTCTTGATGGCTGAAACTTCTGAATTGCTTGCAGTTCAATTTCTTTTCCAGAACTAGATAACTGCTTCAAAAAAGGTTTGTGGTCTTTTTGAACTGCTTTTGCCCAAAATTTTAGTCGAGTCATTTCCACAGAAACCTTTTGAAAAACAGGATCCGAATGATTAAATTCCGCAGGAGGTAAAATCCAAGGATCAGCGAGAGATCTAACCAAACATGAATCCAATTTTGATTGAACCATGGAAAGTATGTCTGCCAATTGAAAACTGATTTTAAAATAAGAAGTTCGAGCCTCAGCCAGTTGAAACGCATCTTCTCTTAAAGCAGATGGTTCCTTATTTTTAGAAAGTCCCATATACTTAGAAAGCATATAATCATATTTTGTCTGTGCGATTTCAAAAGATTTTCGAATATCTTTATATCGTTTTAATTCGGTCTTTTGAAATTGTGAAAGCTCCTCAATTATTTTCAAATTCCGTGACTTTACTTTTCTTATAATTGATGTCCAAAAATAACTTGAAATTTCAGCAAAACGCCGCATCGCCAACATGGTATAATCATGATCTATAATACCTTGAGTAACAAAATTTGGAACAAACTTTGATATTAACGAGTTTGCATTCTCTTGCAATGCTAAAAAATATCAGTAATTGACCAATAAAAATTTGAATGAATAAGAAACTTACAATCCATTTCTAAAGACAGTTTAGAAAGACTTCGTGTAAAGGAATCAAGCCATCTATCAACATCATTCATTTGATTGTCTAAATGGTTCATTGAGGCTCGAAAAGTTGGACTATCAAGTGCTGCCTCTTTAAAAAGAACTGCAGTAATAGCACAAGGTGCATTTACACCCCATGTATCATCAGGTTTTTGATGTTTCTGTTCTGGAGCTTGTGTATCTGCATTAGATGAATCTGGTTCAGTATTTGTTGTTTCGTTAGTTTCTGTAATAGTAGAGTCATTATGAACTTTAGAAGTTCCATCAGAAGTTGATGACATTTTTATCAATTAATGACCTATAAAATTTCTCAGGTAAAATAAATAATAAGTAAAAGATAAAAAAAAATGTCGATTATTTATATCTTAGTAGCAATAAAAATGATAATATGATTAGATAAAGAAAGATGTATTGGGTGATGCAACAATATTACAATCCCATTTTAAATATACAAGAAATTTAAATAACTTGTAACAAGTTGTTTTTTAAGATGGGATACGCGTATCCTTATTATCGCGCGTTTTTTCATGATTATGATTATTATAATTTAACTAAGTTATTAACTGTATTTTCACCTTCGTTTCAGAGATTACATAATTTATTTCCTCCTATTGCCTAAAGTATCACAAGCAATGGCAGCATTGGCAAATGGTTTCAAAAATTAGAATAACAACAGGGCAATGAAGGCTACCTTAGCTAAGTTAATATTTTGAGTATTTAAAAATTTTCGGTTTAGTTTCCACAAAACTAGGGACTAGGATATAATGATATAAAGAATTGGCGCTAATTTAGTCCAGCTGTGCATAATTTAATACCAGATTCCAATGAAAACTTCAATTCAACTATCGTATTACAATTCATGAGCTATATAGTTGTTGAATTTCTTTAAGCATAGTTAATATGCTCCGTTCCAGTAAAACTTATTTTGAGATGAAATCATAATCACAAAATATGATTTATTTATTCAAAACATTACAACTATCTTGAAATGCAATATAAAACTACCTAATATGGAAAATGAGCTTATATCAATTAATATATAAATTGACAGGATTTTGATATTCCCACTTGTATTATATCAATATTTTCTAATAATCCAATTCTTTAACTTTCAGTAACAGTTTTTTTTTGTTCAAAAATGAAGATTTTAAAAACTAAAACACTAGGCTTTGCCTATATTGTTTCTTCAGTCTTGTCATTACCATTCATACCTCATGTTGATGTTGAATTAAAGAATGGAGATGTTGTCACCGGTTTACGCAAGTTAGGTGTTGAGTCTTTTCGAGGAATCCCTTATGCTGAACCCCCTATTAATGATTTACGTTTCAAACCATCTATACCGTATTCTAAAAGCATTGATGGCCTAGAAGCTCTTGATTTTGGCGATACATGTTATCAAGTTAATCCCCTTGGAATTTGGGATTACATGAGGAAAGTTGGTGCCCATACAGAATGGATTACACCGTCACTGATTGATGGTCTTAAATCCAGCAAAATGTCTGAAGATTGTCTAACTTTGAACATTTATCGTCCCCCGCATTTGCCACCTGGCCAAAGAGTTCCTGTTCTTGTTTGGACTTATGGTGGAGCTTTCCAATTTGGTTCTACCACTCTTTATCCAGGAGGTCGATATGTTAGAGACAGTGTTAAAATGGATCAGCCTGTTATATTTGTATCATACAACTACAGAGCAGGTCCCTGGGGGTTTTTAGGTGGTAGTGCTATTGATGCTGAAAACTCTACGAATGCCGCTGTTTGGGACTCAATTAACGCATTTAGATGGATTAAGAAAAACATTGCTTCGTTTGGTGGTGACCCTGAAAGAATAACTGCATTTGGAACTTCAACAGGTGCCCAATTGCTTTCGCATACTATGCTGACTAAAGTATTTAGAAAAGAGTCTCTTTTTAATTCTGTCATTCTTCAAAGTGGAAGCGTTCTTCCTTTTGGTCCAGCTAATGGGTTTGCTACCGAAAGACAATTTTGGACTTTTGCAAACGCCTCAGGATGTCCAACAAATATCCCTGCTACCAAGGCCCTTAATTGTTTGCGATCAAAACCTGCTGATGAACTATATCAAGCCCAGACCTATGACAATGATTTGAGTAATTCCTTTGACTTAGCAGCAGCCTTTTCTATCTGGTCGCCACGGCAAGATGGTCGCATGTGGAATGCTAACCCATATGAAATTGTTGTGAACGGACATACCCCTGACATTCCCATGATCATTGGCCAACAAGAAGATGAAGGAACACTGGTCTCAATTTTATTTGCAACGAAGGAAAAAGAAGAAACAGACAAGAAATTACGCACATTATTTCCGTTTGGTGGACAAAACTTTACTAATTACATTGATCTTTACAGCAGTGACCCAGCTGAAGGTGCTCCGTTTAGAACAGGTGAAAAAAATCAGCTTTATCCAGATTTTAAACGATCTTCTGCGATTTTAACTGACATTTTTTACACTATTCCTAGACGGCTTATTCTGGAAAATACTGATTGCAATTCCTCTCCTAGATATGTTTACTATTCTACAGCTTTTCACAACAAAATCCCGTATTTTGGGAGTACCCAAATGACTGATGTTATTTGGCAGTTTTATTTATTTAGAAATTATGCGAGCAACGCTTTTCGGCGTTATTTTATTTCTTTTGCTAATAATCACAACCCTAATATTAATACTAATCTAGTTGAATGGCCTGAGTGGACTACTGAGGAGCAACAGGTGCTTCATATTGAACGGAAAAATGGCAGCATCATTGTTGATGATTTTAGACTTGAGCAGTCAGGTTATGCTATTTCTCATTACAAGATTTTCAATACCTTGTGAGAAAAACAATTAAATAGTTTCGAATTAGGTTTTAATGTGTAGAAGTTAATGAAAAAATATATTTTAAAAAAATTCTCAAATTTGTTGGCATTTTAAGTAAAGTTATTGGTTTCAATCATCTAAATTTATGGTGTCAGAATTAAAATTGTATCATGTACTATATATAAAAAGTATTATATACAATGTATTTAGGTATCTTTAAACCGTTTTTCTAACAGGCATATTTTATCTTACACTAAGAACATAACGTTTTTGAAACTTTTGCACAATATTCTGAGTTTATCATCTCTTTAACAACTTAACAACGTCCCATAAAATGTTTCGTTTCAGTAAAACTTTTTTAAAATATAGACCATACTCAACTTATCGTACTTTTAACAATAACCATGGTCAGATTTCCAATTACAAATCATTTTGGAATCGCCACTGGAAATCTATTTCGGTGGTTTCATTGGGACTTACTGTTTTTGTTTCATCTCATTTGGAACGCACACCAATTTCTAATAGGTTAAGACTTATGATTGTCCCCAAAAGTCTTGAAGAAGCTATTGGAGAACAAGGCTATCGTGAGGTATTACAGCAATATCGTGGCAATATTCTTCCAGATAACCATGAAATCACAATAAGAGTAAAATCAGTGATGAACAGGTTAATTAAAGCTTCAGGAATGGATGAGCAAATGGATTGGCGCATTCATGTTGTTCATGACCCCAACGCACCTCCAAATGCTTTTGTTTTACCATCTGGAAAGGTTTTCGTTTTTACATCAATTCTACCAATTGCAGGAGGGAACGATGGTTTAGCTACTATTTTATCGCACGAGCTTTCTCATGTTCTTTTACGTCACACTGCCGAATCTTTAGGAAAAGAACCATTTTTTATAATTGCCAACATGATTCTTCTTTACGCATTTTCGATACGATTAGATACATTAACAAAACTTCTACTTGAATTGCCCAGTTCTCGAAACCATGAAAAGGAAGCTGATTATGCTGGACTAATGATTTTGGCACGTGCATGCTTTTCTGTTAATGAAGCTGTGTCATTTTGGGAACGCATGCTTCAATATGAGACTACAAAGCAATCTGGTGAGGTCCCGGAGTTTTTAAGCACTCATCCTGCTACTCAACATAGAATCACAAATATGAAAGAGTGGATACCTCAAGCAGAGGAAGAGCAACGTAGTGTTGATTGTGATGAATACCGAAGATTTAAAAGTTTCAAAAACTTTTTTGAAATGTAACGTCTAAGTGATAGTTTGCTTCGGTTACTAACTATTGAACAACTTAACACTTACGGTTAAAATTTACGTGATAGTGATATTTTGACGCACTATTTGTATCATGCTCATTAAATTCAAATATTGAATTTATATATTTTTAGATTTTTAAGATCTATCGAAGCAAACAAAATATACATATATTAATTGTTGACTTAGGTCACAATAAGCATTTTATCAATAGATTAATTAAAAAGTATCATTTCGAAATATTCTAAAACGGCATTGGATTTTTAGGGGTACTCTCATTCTTAATTATTATCACGTGAATATACTTTTCATTAAATTATGCTCGCACAGTGGCACATTGCTTTCCGAAAAAGTTACTTTATTATTATTAATTATTGGAGTCAAAAAAAAAAACTTAAGCTAGCGAGGTTGGGACCAAGGGATACCCTCCCCAAACCGCTGGCGCTGGTCAACACATTATAATTATGTTAAATAAATCAAAACCACACCAAAAAAAATCATACAGTTAAGAATCTCAATAGGGATTAAAAAAAAAGACCCCCAAGGCCGTCTCAGTTGGTTTATCTTGGAAGAAACATCTATAAGTAGTATGATAGATATAAGGAATTGTTGTAATGTAACAATACAAAAAATCCAGTTTTAGTAATATAGGTAAAAGCATGTCATGTGTAATAACTAGAATACTAGATTGGTTTATTCTTCTAATGCCAATTTTATATTTTAAAATCTGGTATGAATTAACAAAATTTAAGAAAATAAATTTGCTGATTCAATTCAATCCAATCAAGTTCAGTTCAGTTCAGTTCAGTACAATTTAATCTAATTGGATTTTATCAACCGGTACAGAATGATAAACGTGGACTGGAAATTAAACTTGACAATGATGCTACTTACAATATTTTTTTATCTTTATATTGCTGTAACAATAGAATCATATCCACAAGTAATTGTATCAGATCCGTCAGGCCTAGTTAAACCAGGGTTGAAGGACCAGAGATATTGCTTTTCAAACCACATCAATATGAATAATTATTTCAAACCACCGGGTTATAATCTTGAATATGTTGAAACTATACATCGGCATCACTTACGGACACCGTACAGATCGAACACATTTCCGGAAGATGATATATCTATAAATTGTAGCCAAATAAGACAATACCATTATTCCAAAAGCTTTTCCAATCCCGCTGTTGACACATATTGGGTCATGCAAAATGAAATTAGTGAACCTTTGTTATCATTGTATAAAAATTTTCTTAATACCACATGCCAGTTACCGCAAATTACAGATGAAGGATTGAAAAATTCTCAGACTCATGGAAAGGATTTGTTTTCTGTTTACCATGAATTACTGAATTTCATCCCAAAAGAGTATGATTCGAACCTTATCTCGTTTCGAGTTTCTACAAACCCCATAACTTCGCAGGTCGCTGGTGTACTGATCAAAGGAATGTACCCTGGCTTGAGAGATATTTCTGTCAAGATGCAACATGATGTTATTGATACACTTAACTCTAATTACCCATGTGGCGGTGCCGATAACCTTAGAAAAGAAATCGAAAACGATGAAGCTTGGAAAAACCATCTAAATGAAAAGAAAGAGCTTTTTCAAAAGCTGGACAATATTACTGGTATTGATCCGCTTAATAAAGAATGGCATACTTGGTTTGACCACTATTTTGATAATCTTTCATTTCGATTTTGTCACGATTTACCATATCCTTGCAACAAGGAAGCTTGCATTTCTTCAGAGGTAGCACTTGAAGTTTTTGACGTGGGAAACTGGGAGTATAATTATATCTATACAAAATCCAATAAATCCATTTTGTACTCTGTTGCACGCTCCTTATTTCTGTTTGAAGTTTTTCAAAATATCCAAAATAAAATAATGAAACTAGATTCTATAAAATATCGCCATAATATTGCTCATGATAATACAATAGCATCACTTTTGGGTGCCCTACAAATAACAAATCTCAAATGGCCAGGTCTAGGTTCTGAAATTGTTTTTGAGTTATATAGAAAAGAAAACAACCCAGATATGTTTTTTTTACGTATTCTATACAATGGGGAGCCACTTCAAACTTCCTTAAAAAACATTAACAGTTGGGATATGGTCCCTATAGATATTTTTTTTCAATATATTCACACAACATTTGGTACAAAGGGTGAAATATTAAATTACATTTGTAATGGAATTTACCATTAAAATAAATACTACTATTTTTAACTATTAATAGTAATGGCCTAATCATGGGTCAAAATACAAAAAGTAGCAATATTTTTAATATTTCTGTTATCTCTTCTTATTTTAGACAGCCTAAAATATTTATCCAAATGACTTCTTGCACAAATATAGATTATATTATTATTAAATTAATTTTTTTCCCCATATGTATTGTAGCAATACACATATGTTAAATACCAATAGTTTGCTTCTATCTCATAATTTAAACCAGTCCATATACCATATATGGTGTATATATATCTAAATATTATATTTGAGAATCTTTTTAGAAAAATAGAATGATGACAAATTTTACTGATTTTCAATTGAGATTTTTATTAAATATAGATTCTATCTGGAATAGATCAAACTCTCATTTTCTGAACAAACTACCCAGCTTTGATTTTTAAAATATTTACTTATAATATAAATTGACAATAAATATTCCACTTCTAACATTTTAAAAATGTTTCTTGATTATCAGAATTAAAAAGTGGTCGAAGGCCAAATCTACGGGATATATTTCTAATTTTCTTTTTCAGTTCACAGAAAGGCATTTTTTCTATATTTGTTTTTATTCAAGTTTTATAGAATCATCAAACATTAGCATCTATGCTACTTTTTTTTTGTTCTTACTATATATCGTTTTGTTTTCACCATAAACCTTTAATATGATTTTAACATCACATCCTTAAAAGCCAGAAAATAAGTCGGGATGCCAGTTTACGAAGAACAGGAATTCGATAACCAAACCTTCCTAAATTATCTCCACTTCTCTTCATCAACGCTGTAACACTATTTCTTAATCTCTTCAAGCAGAGGTATGGCTTACAATCTCTTATGTGCCAATTAAACAGTTTAAGAGAGTCGACATGTCCATTTCTGGAGATATCCGTTTCAATCCTTTTCTTTCCTCTTCAAGCAAAGCCCACTCAACCAAAATGTGATGAACTGTTTCCAGCTCTCCACATTTGTAGTTGTAACTATCCTTTTCAATTCCAAACCTGTTAAACTATGCCCCAAAATTGCCATGGCCTGTGCAAAATTGAGTAATTTTACCCAAGATCCTTCGACTATCTTTCTTCATAATCGCTCCCGTGACAATTTTGGAAAGATTATCAGTACATTTCGACTCCACTGTGATATTATGATACCACAGTTTGTTTGTTTGTTTGTTTGATTTATTCAAGGGTTATAGAATTATATAACATCGGCATCTGCTATTGTCTGACTATGTGACTTGCCGGTTTTCATTTGTACCTTTTTAGTACGGGTGGTTTCTGTTCTGTGCGTCTCCGGTAGCCCGGAAGATGGGCCCTGATGCCAGCTTACGAGGAACAGGGAGAACCAGTCTGTCGGTCCCAAAACCTTCCCAACCCATTTCCACTTATCTTCACGGACGCCCATGTATTTCTTAATCTCTTCCGCCAGAGATACGGCCCGCAATCACCTGCAGGCTATTTAGACTGTACGGAAGAGTCGGCATTCCTGTAACCAGGGTAGCCTATGGTTTTCAATCTAGGTGTATACTCCCGTACACATCCTCAGGAAAAGGGGGTATTCTGGGCACAGAAGATAAAGCAGATCAAGTTAAGAAGAATATCATGAAGTAAAAGCCAGATCTCTGTATAGCCTGGCAATAAGTCACGTGCCGTTGTAGTATAGTGGTTAGTACACTTCGTTGTGGACATCTTAATTCCGAAGAAACCTCAGTTCGATTCTGGGCAACGGCAATTTCCATGTTATTTTTTATTACTATATTATCTTCTTTTTTAGTAAAAATTTTTTGTTATGAGTTGTGAAAAATATTTTATATCAATAAGAAATTCTAACTATATATATTTATTAATATAAAAAGGAGACAAAGGGGGCAAAGGGGGCAAGGGGGAAAGGGGGACAAAGGGGAAGACAAGGGGGACAAAGGGGGACAAAGGGGGGACAAAGGGGGGACAAGGAAAGGGGGCAAGGGGGACAAAGGGGGACAAGGGGGACAAAGGGGAGACAAGGGGGAAAGGGACAAAGGGGGACAAAGAGGGGAGACAAAGGGGGACAAAGGGGAGACAAAGGGGAGACAAAGGGGAGACAAAGGGGACAAAGGGCAAAGGGGACAAAGGGGAGACAAAGGGGAGAGCAAAGGGAGACAAAGGGGAGACAAAGGGGGGACAAAGGGGACAAAGGACAAAGGGAGACAAAGGGGAGACAAAGGGGGACAAAGGGGAGACAAAGGGAGACAAAGGGGAGACAAAGGGGAAGAGCAAGGAAAGGGGAGACAAAGGGGAAAGGGGAGACAAAGGGGGACAAAGGGAGACAAAGGGAGACAAAGGGAGACAAGGGGGACAAGGGAGACAAAGGGGAGACAAGGGGCAAAGGGGGACAAAGGGACAAAGGGGGACAAAGGGGGCAAAGACAAAGGGGGAAGGGGCAAGGGGAAAGGGGCAAAGGGGGACAAAGGGGCAAAGGGGGCAAAGGAGACAAA